GGGGCGCTGCTGGAAGGCAGCTCAGGCGAAGCCTCGCTGGAGGGGCTGGCAACCGGAGCACTGGGCGAAGGGACAACGGCCGGGGCGCTCGACGAGGGGACCTCAGCAGCGGGGCTGGAGGGAGTCTCGGGAGTGCCGTAGCCACCGCCGGGAGCAGAGACAGCAGGCGCAGAAGGGGCCGGGGCGCTGCTGGGGGGGAGCTCGGGCGATGCCTCAGTGGAGGGAGAGGGAGTCGCAACGATGGCGCTGGAGGCCGGGGCGGAGGGAGTGTTGCCAGTGCCGTAGCCGTTGCCGGGGATGGAGGCAGCAGGAGCTGAGGCAACGGGAGGAGAGGCAGGGAGAGCAGAGCTGCTCACGACGGCAGAGGAGACGGGGCCGACCTGGTAGCCATCACCGTAGTTGGCGCGACGAGCATGGCGAGAACCACGAGCCTGGGCAGCATCGGCGGCAGCCAGCGAGGCGAGGAAGGCGACAGTAAGCTTCATCATTTTGGCGGGGAAGATGCTTGTTCTTTTCTTTAGATGTTGAGTGCTAAGGCTTCACAGTTTCCTGGATATTGTATATGGACGAGAACGTTTCTTTTTTTGCCGGATATTGATGCTGCAAAGGAAACCAGGCAGAAGTCAATTCTGCGGAAAGCGAACGGTCCTGTAAGGAGTGACTGGAGTTTGTTAAAGGAGAGACAGCGTCAATGAATGACGAAAGCGAATGTCTTGAAAGAAGGTGAGCCTTGCGGTGAGGAGCAGCAGGACGGAGGCGGCGAGACCGCTATATAGGATGCGCGATGATTGCAGGAAGCGGTGCCAAGGACAAAGGCCCATTCGCCTTCTGATTGCCCCTGGCGGCAGTAATTTCAGCAGGGGCATGTCGTTGCAGGGACCAGTGAGTGTGGTGTTGCCGGGGCCTGTTTCTGGGGCTCCTGCGCGATGGCCACTCAGGGTCCGTCGCTGTAGCGCTAGGGCCGGTGAGGTGCGCTCGGAGCCGCTCGCCTGCGAGCGAAGCGCTGCGGGTCGAGGGCTTTTGTCCAGCGGGCCTCGCGATGCAGTCCTAGTGCCCGCGTGCTGGCGCTGCAGCGGGCGTCGTGGTCTTCCAGTCGCCGCGCCCTCGTTGTCCGCCTCTTTCCTCTGTGCTGCCGCTGGCAGCGTGACAAGTGTCGACGCCCGTCTGGCGCAGGCTCGACCTCGTTTCACCGCGCTTCTCCCAAAGCAAATTGGCCCTGCGGCGATCCTCCTGGGTCTAAAACACCAGCGGCGGGTACCTGGCAGTAATGCACGGCCGGCAAATCACTGGCCAGCGTTCCTGCATCTAGGAAAGCTGCGGCTGACGGGGGTCGCGCAGATTGGCGGGCCCCGGTGAGGACACTCGGGAGGCGTCAGCCATTGTGTCGTGCGGAACGGCGGCGGCATGCTCGAGGCCTGCGCTGCGCCGTGGTGGTGCTGGCTTGCGGGCGTTGGGTCAGATGGCTGCGAGCGTTGCCATCGTGGGCCGTTTCACAATGGGAGCCACAGCGCCTTCCACGCTCGTCGCCCGAGCGCCTTCCCGACTTGCCGCTTCCGTCTTCGTGCGACACGGCCCCGCTGCCCATCCTCCCTACAATTTGCACAACTCCCGCACCCCTCCGGAATGGCAGCATCGCGGCATCGCGCTGTTCTATGCTGTGCTTGATCTTGCCGCCCACTCCTAGCATGACGCCGGTGGGTCGTCGATGGTTGCAAAACATCGCCCATCATTCGCGCCTTCCAACCATAGCCGCCATGCCTGACGGTTGCGGTTCCTGCCTTCGGCGCTAGGACCTCCAGCCGCCCTCGCCTGCCGATGCTTGTTTTCAACCCAGCCGGGTGAGCATTGCTGCATAACAACACAGCCTCAATCGCCTGCTGCCATCCCATCAACTTCCAGGCCTCAACGTCTGGACGTGCCTCGGATCCCACGTCCCAAGAACCACACCGAGCACAGAGCCTCATCTATACAACGTGGCGCCGAATGCGAGTCTCCTCCGACTGTGCCAAGTGGGCTTGCCCCAGAAACAATCTCGCGGCGTTGCTTCCCAGATTGACTGCGGGACCATGCGGGCAGGCACCTTGCATGACGTTCTGCACTCCCAGCTGTTTGCAACAAGTTTCTTCTCTTGGTCTCGTCTATTCTCGGCTGTCTTTTTTTGGTGTTGAAACTTCAATCCACGTTGCAAAAATACATGTCATTTTGGTGACAGAGCATGCGGGCTGACCAACCCCCGCGCCACACTCGGATTCTCAATCTGCTCATCTATTGCGATCCTACCGCTACCTTTGTTGATCGACACTAAGTCCGTTCATAGTTCGCACTCTCCGTGTGGAGCTACGGTCGCATGCGGAAATTCTCCGCTTACATCTTGCGTGCTTGTGGGATGCTTGATGCTGGCCGCCAGAGTCTGGCCAAGCTGCTCTCAGCCTCGCCGGTCATGAAGTCACAGTACAGTGTATGCTGCGAACTCCTTGACACTGTACCCATGCGCATTGCTGGCCAGTGCTAGCCAGTGTGCAAAGCCACTGCCGCAACAGTCGTCGATCCTCGGTATCTGGCCATCAAGCGCAGGCCATGGTTTCTTGAGCACACCGAGTATGCCAGGGCATCCATGCTGCTGTTTCGATCGCACGCATCAATAATGCGGAAAAAGTCTCCTGTCATGTCCTCTCTGACGGCCTGTTCTCTGGGCAACCTAGGGCTGTCGTCCCCACTCTCGCCTCGTCTCTTTGAAACGGGCGGTTGAAACGAAACATCTAGATCACCTAGCCAGGAAAACATCTCGACACCATTGACGTCGGTTCCTGAAGATCATTGCAGTGGGGTAGACGTAGAAAATAGCCTCTTTCCCCGCTCATCGTACTTTGGGTGAAACTAGTTCATGCTATCCATGAGGTCGGTCTACATCGATTCAAGTTGTGTATCATGACGGTACCTATCAAACACTGTCGCAGAAGAAATCCACTCGGACCGCGAGAGAGACGGCACGTATTTCCACTTCCGTCACTGCACAGCCCGAATGCTCTCTCAACTTTAGCGCGATCGAAACTTCTACCGTATGAGCTTGAATAAAACACAAGGCAAAACCTAGCAGCATTAGAACCTTGGGTCGCATGGTGTAAGAGCTACGCTGGTGGTCCTCTACAGCCCGTCCGGCACTGTGTCGCGCGTGTGCCGCCCGGGTCGCTAGATGAGCTACTGGTCACCAATCGTGGATGCTTCCAGATTCTCGAGGCATGGCTCAATACGTTCATTACCGACAAAAGCTCAAAAATATCTACCAAGGTCCAACAGAGCTCAAACCCAGAGGTTCAGCCTTGTGGTAAGGCTGCCGATCGGAAATCACGAGCTTTCGCACCACAATCCTCAACTGTCGAGCCGGAAATGACACGATCATGTTTCGCGCGCTTATTCTCGCCTTGAGAGTGTTCTTCTGCGATGTTAAGATTGCCTACAGATTGAGGTTGCAGGCGGACTTCGCGTAGAGCGTTGTCATCTCCGATCACCTGCATGCTCCATTTGTACAGCCGATCCTTCAAGATTGTAAGCGGTATATGCGCGAACGCGTGTTTACTCCGTGCCTTCTTAATGGGGACGTGGGTGCTGCAGCCTCGCTGAAGGCAGATACACTGTACGGGCATTTGGCGGCATGCCTTTACAGGCCTTGGAATTCGCGTCATCGCGGTGTAACTACGCGAACCCGCGATGGTCTCGAAGGTAAAGGACTACGTCAAGTTCACGAACATACGTTTGTACTTTCGTACGAGCTCACGTACTTAAAATAGCATTCGGCCGTAGCTTCTCATGGCTCGACAATTCTCGCGATGCGCCTACGATTGGTATGGGTGCTACTCATTACCACGCGAGCCATAGCAGAACCTGTACTTCTAGGGTTGTTATCTACCAAATTACGGTATGATACGCTGTCCAAATCATGGACCGATGTGCTGGATGGCCCCCGACGCCCTGCCATGCCAGTTATCCAACTACAGCACCAGCACTGCTCCAGCTACCAGTCCTACGATTATAGTGTTGATCTCCACCCCCACCGAACCACTACCTGTAGCTGACGATGTATGTGACTTCTGAATAGTCGATAGGTCCGTAGTTTGACTGAAATTCGTAAGCGCTATAGTAGCATTGTGCAATGCCTCACCACGCGGTACGTCCAGCTTTGCGTCTTTCCAGCCGTCGCGAAATCCATCTTGCAAATCGCCCGGCATCGAGCTGTGTGCGGCCCACCGCGATGATAGTAGTTCACGTAGATTTTTTTAGACGTACAACTGTAATCCTTCCGTGATTGATGAAGAGATCAATCACATTGCTGGCAATCAGAAATCTGGAAGAGATGTCTCTGGGGGAGTTGATGTGATTATCGGCAGTATAAGCTCTACACGTCGGGGGTGAAACGATAGCCTGTCTGTGAAGCGATTCGACCGAGATGCTGAAGAAAAACCGGTGAATCAATTCCCTTGCTTACATGTGTCGGCATATAATAACAAGTTGCTTCTGCAAACTAGCATGTGTCCAACACGATGGAATACATCAGGGAACGGCTGTCCCTTGGACTGCGGCCCTGTTCGGCCTGTACCATGTCATATTTTCACTATAGAAGCCCTTGGCCTATCATAGCAAAGTGCGTAGGTCTTTAGTCCCCACAGTGAAAGCGAGGGTATCATCTTTGGGAGACCTGTTGCGAAGGACAACTGCTCCTCTTCTCCTGTCGCAAGAGCCACTCCCCATCAATGCTTTCATGTATAGGATCCATATCGAGGCGCATATGCCGTTTTGATTACCTGTCGCACCAACTCGACGTATTGAGCAAATCCCGCTCTTTCACGCGGCCTCGGCATCAAATACTCCTCCGGCTTCTTGCCTGCGGCGCATAAACTAGGCGGCAAGTGCATCGAGTCCCGAAGGGACCTCCTGCCAAGCGCCGAGGCCTTGAGAGTGTGGATTTTTGTAGATATAGGCTTAGCCTCGATGAAAGCTCAGATCTGCATCAAGATTACACAGAATTTACCCAAGCGACAGCTTCGTTGCGGCGCAGACACAACTACATTCGCACGCTTGCACAACATTTGCACCAGCTATCAATAAATCTCGAGATGCTTCTTCACTTTGACGGTGTTGGCCAAAGTACTTACTAAACTCCATAGTGAATCTGATTTACGATCGCGGAGAATGTGTCGTCGTGATACGAGACTACTATTTCTTCTTTACTACCACATCCATGGACCCAGCCTACATCATCGAAGCACCTCCTGATGGGCGGCCAAATCTAACCTCCGAAACTATGCAAGGTCTCGGCAAAACGAATAAAGTGATCGACTCACTACGGCACTTGCCTTATACTGCCAACAAACCAGCTCGAACCTGCCTCAAGGACTTCTTGGCGGTGTTTTCATCGATTGGCAGGATACTGCAGACTGCTTGAGCGACGGGACGGCGTCCCCGGAAAGGGAGCCTTTCATGTCTGAAGGTGAAGAAGATCAATTTGGGAGAAAGATTCCAGCACACTGTATCGGCCTTGTGCATGGTGGTTTGCTGGTGGGAGAAGATCCGGATGTCATTCTGCTGGATACAAGATCTGGAGTTGTGTATTGGATGAACTTCCCCGTTAAGATCAAGGATACGACGATGACGATGACGATGACAACGAAGACGAAGAAATACAATGGGTTTCATACTGGCCTATCCGCCACTTCTTTGAGATGCCAAAGAATCAGTTCCGCAAGCTGATTATTATCACCAAAGACGCTTACGAGGTTTTCGATATATTGACTAAACAAACGGCTCCGGTACGCCCATCCCAGAAGATTTCACGGACAGGCTACAAGCCATCTATCGTAGCCATGGCCAGCCTGATGTTAGTAAGTTTCAGAAAGACCAGTGTCTCGTGCTATCGAATTGATTTGCATTGCATATTATCATGGTGATAGATTCTAATAGTCATGTACTACATACTTCCCCACAATATCTTTTCCGATCAGGACAGCTTCTGGTGAGCGTTTTCGACGCTCTTGGAAGGGCGAAACGCCTTTTAATATCACTCATTACTCTCGAGCACGTCTTGCTGTGTCCAGAATGAATGTGAGGGCGGGTAAGACCCCCTAAGATACATCTCCCCATACGTACGGAAGTTGCAGATCCATACCGCTGCTCAAATCTTAGCTTTGGAGGGGACGTCAAACACATCTGCTCCCCTGCCTCCCCGAAAATCATCCAGCATTTCCTGCGTCATCCAAGACGCCCTACTCTTTGCAAGCCCTCGCTCAATGTCTGTGAATTTATCCTGCTGTATAAGGATTCCCGCGCCATTTGCCTGCAATCGCACATCAGCACAGCATCAGGAGACTGCGACCGTACTTCGCCAGGATCTCAGGGCAATCAAGCTCACCTTCCTCCCCGCATCCAGCAAGTAGCACACAGCCAACGCCACAGACTCCACCCGATTCACCGCGACACCCGCCTTCGCCATGACCTCCCCCTTTTCCTCCGGCGACACACCCTTGCCCCCCTCCTCCCCCGCATTCAACAACGGTGTAACCGTGATCCCTGGCGCAACGCAACTAATCACAATCCCAACCTTTGCCACCTCCCCCTTCAAGCACCTTACCAGCCCCACAACCCCATGCTTCGCCGCCGTATACAGCGGCGCCCCCGTAAACCCCAGATACCCCGCCACGCTCGCCGTCAGGACTATACTCCCACCTTCTCTACCGTTCTTGCGCAGGTAGTGGATAGCGAGTTTGGTGGAGTCGACTGCGGCGTTCAGGTCTACGGTTAGGGTTCTGTGGTCTGGCGCTGCGAGTTTGCCGGAGGAGTCTAGCAAGTCGGTGAAGAATTGATCGCGGTATTCCATTATGCCTGCGTTGACGAAGACGGCGTCGATGCGGCCGAACTTTTTGTGTGCGGCTTCGAAGGCGGAGCGCTGGGAGGGCCAGGAGGTGACGTTACATTTTATGTACAGAGTGTGGGAGGCGGGGTGGGAGAATTTTGGGGGCGGCGGTTGCAGGTCAAGGAGGATGAGGGTGTGGGAAGGGTTGAGCGCGGAGAGGAGGGTCGCGGTTGCAAGGCCGATGCCTGAGGAGCCGCCGGTTATGAGGATTGTCTTTGGGGTGGAGGAGAGTGTGGTGAAGGATGCGGAGGAGGGTTTGAACAGGGGCATGGTTGGAGGTGTCGGGTTGTGGTGTAATGTGATCGCACGGTCGAAATGTAAAACGTCGGAAGGGGAAAAAGTGTACAGTAAAAAGGGATTTTTGGTCGAGCAGTTCGGTTTCTAGGAGAAGAAGGCGAGTAAGCTACGCCGCATCATCAACTTGACGGCTATGAGATCGCATACGCCTCGGTAAGTTGGACATTACAAGTGCAAGCTCGGGACATGCGGGGTCGGCTTTTGCGGATCGCCAGCATGGGGAATGCGGCGTCCGACTACACTTCCGTTCAGTAACACGCGAGAGGTAGGCCAGCTGAGGCTCGATTCCGGCCTTGTTCGCTTGAACAAGTAAGACCACTTATTTCCACAGCCATGGAGACGCAAGCGACTGTCGATTTGATCTCCTTGGGCGAGCTTAATGCGGTGACATAGAGCCGCAGCTACGGCCACAGCTTCGTGCGGATTCTTGCCAATGTAGTACGCGTGGAGTACCAAGTGATTTCAGAGGGTCATGTATGGTCGCAGAAACTTTGGGTCTGACTTGGTCTGACTTGATCGAAAAGCCGTGAAGGGCTTGCGAAGATGAGGGAGATAATGTTACACGGCACAGGAAGCTGGGCCCTCCCGCCCTTGTTTCGCGCTAGCCGCTTGCGCTCCCGGAACTTGGCGACACGGTTTCTCGACTGCAACATACATATCGGACACGGCAGCACTCCCGCACACCACCCCTCACCATGTGGCGATCGTCTGTGTTCCTCGCCGCGGTCCTCGCGGTCCCCTCGCAGGCGCTGCACTTCTTCATCGACGGCGCCGTCCAGAAGTGCTTCTTCGAAGAGCTACCAAAGGACACGCTGGTCGTTGGTATGCGCGGCGCACCACACCTCCCAGAGCAACGCAGCTAATTGGCACAGGCCACTACGACGCCAAAGTCTGGGACGACGCCGCAAAGAACTACATCTCCAAGCCCGACGTCGGCGTCTTCATCACCGTCGAGGAGACCTTCGACAACAACCACCGCGTCGTCGCCCAGCGCGGCTCCGGCACCGGCAAATTCACCTTCAGCGCTGCCGACAGCGGCGAGCACCGGCTCTGCGTGGTGCCCCAGAATGTCCAGCAGGGTGGCGCATGGTTCGGCAGCGGTGTCCACGCGAGCGTCAAGTTCACGCTAGACCTGGCCATCGGGGAGACCAGCAAGATTGAGAGCACGGACAAGACCAAGCTCGATGATCTGTCACAGAAGGTCCGGGATCTGAACAGCAGGCTGCAGGATGTGCGGCGGGAGCAGATTTTCCAGCGGGTATGTGGCTCCAATAGCGAGGGCGGGGGAATGCATGCTAACACCCACGGCAGGAGCGCGAGGCCGAATTCCGCGACCAGTCCGAGCACACCAATGCCCGCGTCGTGCGGTGGACCCTCATCCAGCTCGCCGTCCTCGGCATCACCTGCGCCTGGCAGCTGTCGCATCTGCGCGCCTTCTTCATCAAGCAGAAGCTCACGTAAGAAGGGTCTACTACGAGGCGCGGAAGGTGTGAGGCAATACCATGTACGGCTGGGAAAAGGTTCGCGCAGGTCTTACGGGCTTTTGGGTGCATTGGCGGGCTGTACTGTAGGAATTCGCGGCGTTACTTGGGTCTCGATTAGCGATGGCGATAGAATTGATGCACGTTGTCATGTCAGGTGGACTGCAATGCGAGTGAAGTGCGTGGGGATCAACGATGGCACTGCGGTGCGAGGGTGTTGTCCCCAGATGAGCTGCCGCGGTCATCGTACAGTGTGCCTACAGCGGTTGCCACTTGCCCACACGTTCAGCCATGTGCAAGCGGGCTGCTCCAGGCACTTAGTCCCGCAATAGTTCCTCGCATAGCTGTCTCAATCCAACCGACCTCCAGTCCTTGGGCAGCCTACTATACATGATGCCGAATGCGAGGCGTCCCAATGCCACGAAATGACGTTCTTACCTGCCACGCCTTCGCGCGAAAAAAGCGCAGAGCCGCCGCTGCAAGCTCTTATCGAGCACTTCGTCGCGGCGCGGGGACGGAATAGGATACATACATGCACACGTCAAGCCGCAATACGGTGGTCAATTCCATAAACTTGGGTATCGTCGCCTCATATCTCTATGTCTTTCAGCCGTCCCCCTCCGTCTCCACCTTCTTCTTCGCATCGATCCGCACAACAGCCTCCTCAAATAGCCCCAAAAGATGCTTCCAGAACGCCCTGTGCTCCTCTTTCTCTTCTTCATCCACAGCATACCGTCGCGCAAGCACAATCGGGATCCCCGTAACTCCGACTGACCTCGAAAACAGCCGTGGATCAGCTCCGTGCTCTACGAGCAATTCGATCACTGGGAGGTTCTCAACGATAGATTTCTTGCCGGGCATGTGGGTTTGTCGTAGGCAGGCGTCAAGTGGCCGTCCTGCGTTGTGCCCTACGTGCGGAAGAGTATCAAGAGCGTTGACGTCCTCTCCGTTGGCGATCGCAGCGCGGCAGGCGGCCAGCATTGTTTCAACCGGGTGGTTAGAAAGCGGTTCCGTGATGAGTGGTGATCGCTGCACGGGTTGATCGGAGCCATTTGCGGGTGATGCCTGGGCCATTGTAGTTGAAACTTGGTGTATTATTTGTTTGTGCCTGGAGCTGGTCGACTTGCTGCTGATGTTTGGTGCTTGTATAATGTTTTGACAAAGCTTTGGTGGGGGCCGGAAGGCGCAGGCTGGGGCGCAGTGCAATGCTGGCGTCACCACGTGAGGGTCTGCTACAAATAGACTAGAGCTAGGCCGAGCTTGGCGTTAGCTGGCCCCCAGGGACCGTTGAACTGACCTCCTCCGGCTTACACATTTGCATGTCCGAACGCTAAGCTTCAACGCTCCCAGTAGCTTGGTCCACCAGGCCATTCGCTTTCAGGCATCACGCCGATTTCACCAGCCCACATTGCAAAGGCTGCTCCACTGGACGACCTTTCCTGATACGCAGCGACGGGATTCTCTCCGCCAAACTCGGTATCCGTGGATCGTTAGCGTTTGGGGGCGTTTGCATATCCCGGGCTTGTACTGCGTAGGGGAATTATTCATCGTTAGTACTGCAACGGTCATCTCGTTTATCGTACGATGGCGGACACGGTGGGGACAAGCCGCGTATCCAAACCAGCGGGATTGTAGGCATTTTTGAAAATGGCCAGGGTATGTTGCTTATTTTGTTACTTAGAGGGTAGGTTCCACAGTGCATCGCTTTGAAGCGAAGAATCGCCGAAGATTTTCTCCAGACTCCGAATGGACGGACAATACTGGCCCTAGTGTTCAGCCCCCAGAACAACCATACACCGATCTATAAAACAGTATACATGGAACCCAAGTCAAGTCCTGCCACAACCTATCAACCACATCAGTCTCTACTGTCCTCTCCGCTAACCTTTCCTTCAATCGTTCATTTCTCACATTCATTCGTTTCAAACAGCCCTGTGGGCCTACTCGACGAGACACATCCATCTGTCTCTGATTTCAGCAAAATATCTGACCGTGAGCTTGCATCTTGTCGCCCAAGATGAAGTTCTCCAACGCATTCCTAGCGTCGCTCCTGTTCTTTGGCGTGACGCCCTTGGCTCTCGACAAGAAAAGGGATGAGCACGCTCTTACGACAACCTCCAGCCCCTTCGCTACCACGTCAACCATTTCTCTTGTTACGCCGGATGATGCAGGTGTTGTAGAAGTCACGGGCGGCACCCACGATGTCCTCGAGGCCAGGGCCAGGGGTAGTCGCAAGACGACTACCTCGCGGACCAAAAAGACTAAGACTAAGACGGGATCGAAGACCAAGGGAAAAAAGACGAAGACGAAGTGCACTGCTGCTATGAAGAAAGCTGGCAAGTGCGCTACTAAGACAACATGCACGGCAGCAGAGAAGAAAAAGAATGGCGGCAAGTGCCCAGCGACATGCACGGCAGCAGAGAAGAAAAAGAATGGCGGCAAGTGCCCGACATGCACGGCAGCAGAGAAGAAAAAGAACGGTGGCAAGTGCCCAGATAAGAAGAAGAGGAACTGGGAGGTACTTTCCCCCACCAAGGGCTGCAGGCCCAAGAGAGCCCAGAAGGGCACAACAAGCGCAAAGGGCAGCAAGAAGAGCGGCAAAAAGACCACCAGAGACCTTTTCTCGACCAACAGCCTTACGCTTTCCAAGCGCGCTGCCACTTTTGAGCCTGCGGCCAAGACTGAAGCTGGTCTCAACGCTTGGACTAAAGATGTGTGGGCGTCGTCTCCTAAGGTTCTGCATATGCCAGAGGACAGTTTCAAGCCCACTTCATTTTTCAAGTCGTGGGCCTCATTGGGCGCAGGTGTCAATTTCGTGACTGTCAAGAGTCTGATGGGATGTACGTCCGTGGTCGCAGTCTCTGACGAGGGTGTCTACGTGGTAAGTTCCGCCTCGATCCCGCAACTTTTGAAGCCCAGCCACTGACTTTTCTTACCACAGTCACACCACTGGCAGAATACGGTCGGTGACGCCTCGCACAAGGATCTAACCCCGCAATTCGACAACGCCTTCACCAACCCCCTGAGTGGCAAGCGCCGCGCCTCCTTCAAGCTCACTCCCGCGCAGCACAAGGAAGCCACGCTCTACATGACCGAAGCCGACGTCAAGAAGGAAGTCGACGATGTGTTTCCCACTTCGGGCTTCGAGGCGCTCACCGACCACAAGTCGCACTTCACTAAAAACGTGCAGTCGATGGTCGCCGTGTGGGACGGCGTCGAGGGCACCGGCGACCGGTACAGGACGACGGGTGCGCTCATGCAGAGTTATGTCGACAGCCTACTGCCCGGGACTGCGACCAAGCTGGTCAAGTACGCGAACCCGGAAGATGCGAGGGTTGCGTCGGGGAGTAACGACGATTACCACGGCAAGGTTATTGTGTCGTATGACTCGGCGACGAAGAAGTACCAGGTTTGGATGCCGGCTGCGAAGTTGACGGAGCCCATTTTGAAGAACTAGATGGCGCGGTTTGGGCGTGAGGTGTGCCCGAGTCAACTTCTCAGAGCACGTTGGCGGGCTTTTTACGCACTTCTCGGTGCGGTATTGTGGGCTGTTCGGGATTAGATTGGATTTACAGGCTGGGATAGAAGGACTGGGTCCAGGGGTCGGGGCGTAGGATGGCGCTTCGCGGTACATACTTGGGATATACTTTGCTTAGAATCTTCAACGCCATCAATACAATGGGTTGGAACCAATGGGTGGTCTTTGTACATGTTCTTGTTGCGCAGTCGTGCCATACCCCACAGGGGACGGACATGTTTATTCATTCATTCGTTTTGTCCATTCGCGGTCACCTCGCTCCTTGCAAGAACAGAGAATTAAAGGCACAGTGGCTGACACAAACAGCCGGAGTTCAGAAGCGCTCTCCCCGTCGGCGAGAGCTCTTCGGCTGCTGTCTCCAGCCCTACCCCCTCCGCCGCCCCCGGTTGGCTCGTACGGCAGCAACGGCTACAGCACCGGTGGCAACTTCAAGCGCTTCTTCGGCCTTTGCTAAGTGGCTCGTCCTGAAATAGAACAGTCATGAATATTTACTTCTGTACATATTTTGGTAAGCAGCTTGTGGCTCTACCCATGGCATCCAATTATCGCATCGGCCGTGTGGCCTCGTTTTTTCCTTGTGTCTGGGATGTGATGGGTTTGAGCTGGCTCGTTGGAGGCGAGAAGGGGAAAAAGTGGGGAGGGAAAGACTAGTACGATAGGAGTGTCAATTGGCTGTCTTTGTTCTCACTACAGCACGTTTTGTTTGAGGGGCCAGGGCATTTGAAAAGGTGTCTTTGAGATTTGGTATGGGAGATTCGAATTGGCAATTTTGTTTCGTTTCAGGTTTTTGATTCACGTTTAGACTAGAGAAAGAGAGGTTAGAGTGACTTTTCGAATTCAAAACGCTTGCGAGACTAAGTGAGCAATTTTTGGGTGACGTGAAGTGATGAACTGGACTTGACTCGATTTTACTTGATGGGCGACCGCCGACTGGACGATTGTTCGTATTGCATATGACTGACAGGTAACGAGACAGTACAGCGGGAAGAATAGCTATATCGGGCGTTCGTGCTATGCGACGCAATGGCGTACATGTGCATGTGGATGGGGAGTTCAAACATGGCTTGACGTGTGTTGACGTTCATGCACATGTGCGCCTCGCTCGCTTGTTTGTACTTGGTAGGGGAGGTGGGAGGCTGTGCAGTGTCGTGTCGTGTCGTGGTGTTCATAAGTGGCGTTAACCTCGCTGCCTCCCCATCTCCTTGGTATATGTGAGAGATTAGCTTTGTCGATTGCCGTGACTGTGTGGAGTGTAAGTAACTAGGCTAAACGGGGAGGCGAGGCGAGGCGATTCAGAGGTTAGGTTAGGCAGACCGCACTGGTCTTGCTGGCTAGTTGCCCAGGTTAATGTGGGACGGCGCGGCGCGGTGTGATGTCGATAGGGAAATGAAATGAAATGGGATTGCAATTCTGATTCGGATCTGAATTTGGTTAAGGCTGGTATTTACCGATTGTATTTGGTGCGGTGGAGGAGGGTGCGTGGGTGGTGGTCTTGGTAATGTTGGTGGGTGTGTGGGTGGGTGGTTTGGGATGAGAGGAGAGGAGAGGGCATGTGAACCGGGATCCGGATAATTTTTTTCGGTAGATTAAAGGATGGCTACAAGAGCTTAAAATTTGCTTTCCCCATGGCGCGAGTGTAAATGTGGTATGCTTTAGAGCGCTCTCTTTACTACAGTAATATGGACAGACTCCTTCACCCCACGCCTTTACCTCTCACTTTGCATGGGATAGAACAATGTCGCTGGCTCCGCAACAACATGTCAGATCCTTCGTATCGAAGATGCCAGCACGTCAGACTCCGTTGTTTGGTGGATCATATGGCTGAGCATAGTCGTATGGCGGCCGCATGCCCTCATAATAAGGGTCGACTTCCAGAAGCGCGAACCCAGGATCCAATGGCGCGATAGCACTGGGCCAACATTTGTTCTCCGATTGGCCATCATCCATGTTGTTTTGAGGTACAGGCAGATATCTAGCAATGGATAATTGCGATAGGATCGAGACGGTGGCCGAGAACTCCGTGATGGTTACTGTCTTGGTTGTTCGGGGCTTTTTCTTGCCAGTCACCAAGGATGTGACTTGGGTCCGTATCCAAGGATCTCTGCCCATGTTGTCTCTGAAGTCGTTTTCGTCAAATTTGTCAATAGAGGGCTTGAAGCACACACGTTTCCACATGCTGCCTGCGCCTCTGTCCTTAAGCGCGGGTAGCAGACGCATAAGCTGTCCCGTAGAATCTATACCGCCCTGTGCTAGGATCGGATCAGTCGGTCCTTTGAGGAAGTACCTGTATTTTGCTCGTCAGTGAATCGCTCCAAATCATGCCCAGTCAAGAACCTACGCAGGCGGGTATTCGCGAAAGAGTTTGGGTTACCATAATCCCATTCTGCCAGTGCCACATGAGCTACGTGCAAATTGCTACAAAGATGCTTTCTGCGGGCGATGTTCAAAACTTACGTCCATGAAGGTCATATCTGTTGAAGAGATGGAGTTATTGGCTAAGAAAACCGCAATGAGGAGCCAAAACGACTTTGTCATGTAAACAATATAATTAATAGCCTTAGCGATTCTGTCGATCGGGAAAGCTTTGAGATACCAGTAAGACGCAGAAGCAGCAATTGACACGGATTTGGCGCCCATCTTCTGCTTCAACAAGATGAGAAACTTGAGGTAATCCATCCCGTCTGTCTTTTCCCAAAGTACGGCGCCGTCTTCTTCTATGTCTGGAGTCTAATTTGGTCACTGCTAGTGGGACGCTGGTTAAACATTAGGAATTCACCCCGGGATACTCCCAATCAATATCGACCCCATCGATGCCTTCATCCTCAGCAAACTGAGCAGTATGGCCTGCAGCTCCTGGTCCGACACAAGCAGGTGTTCCGTATGATTGCATGAAATGGGTGCTACAAAAGGATGATGTGTACTGCGCGGATATGGCGAAGGCAGCAGATATTACCCTTGTGAGGTTCTATGCGCTGAATCTGGGAGTTGGAACAAACTGCGGTTCGCTCTGGTCAGAGTATACCTCTTGTGTAGCTTCTGAATGATAGATTGAGATACCGTCAGCGTAGCGCTGCTTTCAGGACTCGCTTCGACTCGGGAAAAGGCATAACTACGACGAACGAACGCAACACATATACAAAGATGCATCATTATATAATGTCTACCTAGGCACCGGTTGACGTAGCCACAAATCGTGACCTGATCTTTTGGCAGCTCTTTTCAGTGCCGGACAAGTGAATGCTCTTGCCCCATGCTGTGCGAATTATTGCGCCGCTTGCCGCTCTCTGACCCACTTGCTACGCCGCGCATTCAATACCTAACGTATTAGGACTGTCCACATGACTGAGCCGCTACATCAGTCCTTGCCCTTGTATAATAGTCGAGATCTGCCCATATAGCCAGAAGCCTATCCACCCCTCTTCAATTCCATTCGTGCTCATCATCCCGTATGGATTCTAGCTATTCCCGCGATGATTGTGTCGCCGCAATACGAGACTATTATGCCTTCCTCGCGGCCATGTTCATGGACCCATCTTATATCATCGAACCACCTCCAGACGGCTGGCCAAACATGACTGCCGAAGCGATGCAAGAGCTGGGTAAATCACGGAAAGTAATCTGCTTCGCCATTTGCCATACATCGAGTCTAAGCCAGGCCCCGGCCCACCCGACCCAGAAGGGCTACCTGGGGGCTCATTCATCGATTGGAGGCACATTGTAGACCAAATGAAGGAGGGGGAAGCGGACGCAGCTCTTGAACTTCTTGGTTCGCAAGGTGAGAAGAGACAATTCGGTGGAAAGCTTCCAAAGAGTTGCATTGGGCTCGTGCGCGGGGGTCTACTGATGGGGGAGGATCCGGATGTCATTGTGTTGGATACAGCCGATAGGCTTGTGTATTGGATGACTTGTCCGGCTGTGATCAAGGAGATTTCTGAGCCGAAGCCTACGTACTTTGTTGGTTCGGTTGATGGCGAGGAGACTGAGACTAATGGGAATGCGAGTGGCGAGGAGGATGTGGATGAAAACGTCGACCAAATCAACGAAGATGACGAAGATGAAGAAGACGACGAAGACGATGACCTTGATGACTTTATACGATGGGGTCCCTGCTGGCCCTTCCGCGATTTCTTCGAAATGCTGAAATCCCAATTCCGCGAGCTCAACTTCTTCGCCAAAGATGCGTACCAAGTGGTCGACAAATGGACCAACACAACGCCTATAGATGGGCCTATTCTAGAGGGCCTCGTAGCTATGGTGCAAGCTATATATCGCCGCCATGGATGGCCAGATGTCAGTCAGTATCGCAAAGAGGAGTGTCTCGCCGAGATCAAAAAGGAGTTGGATGAGAAGTTTCCAAGGCATGCCGGGTATTATGATCGTTGCCTTGCTTAAGGGTATCAAGGTTTATCGGTTCGGTTGTACTCCAGAAGCGTTTGATATGCAATGTAGACCTGATAATTGTGCCGCCTTTGGCGCGTTGAACTCGTGCTTGGAAATTTTGATGTCTTCAATACCATGGAAGTGATTATTTTGGCGGTTCCAGCGCATGTGGCAGGCCACCGCGAAATTCGAAAAATAAACCCTTAGCGAAGGCACGAAGCACCACAAGGTGTTGCAGGGTGTTGAGTGTCGCTGCGCCATATATTCTTCAGCTGAGCAAGACCGACCCATGTGTTTTGTGGAACTCCACTACTCACCATGTCATCGACTATCTATCATTATCGATCCTGGCGTTGTATGTTTCCACCATGCCGCATCCACATACTCCGCGTTCAGTTGATTTCTATCCTGGTCAACTTGAACCTCATGTATGTTCCTATTAGCATACGGCGGGTACACGTCTTCTGTGGTATACCCCTTCCACGGCCTTGAATAATACTCGTGGTAGTGACCTTCCCACATTAGATCGCTATACATACCCAAATGTCCATTTTATTTGAAATTAAACTATATCCACCTTACATCCTTGTGAAGGTCGTCCGTCTCGCCGTCTTCCTAATCCTCTACTATTGTAGCCGCTCTCCCGCCCCAGAAGTTGATCGTGACGACCTTGATGTCGGGAAACTGGCCGACGCTCAAGTGGGGATGCGTGAAGCAGCGAAGCACAGTATGGCAATCAGCGCTGTTAAGGGTGGCCTTGTTATTGAGGATGGTGAGCTTGTGGCGTAGAAAGACGTGTCCCTGCTGTGCATCTTCTAGTGTCTCTCTATTGTTGCTTGTCAGCTCCTCAAGCATACGGGCAAAACTGCCGTATACCGTGCGCACAACCACAAAGCCCCAGGGCGCGCCGGGATGTAGATCGCTGTCGTGGAGGCTGTTTTCCAGGTCCGTAAAAACTTCGGCACTCTCTGCTAGGGCCCACAACACTGTTCTCGCTGTCGTTGATTCCTCTGCGCTGTGAGCTTGCTTCTCTTCGTGCAGTACATGCTCGGGGTTGGGCTCCGAATTGGGCGCAGCAGTGGCGATTGGAAGATTGCGCGAGTGTGAAGAGGTACTGAACAGGTGAAGTTGCGCATCACGAGATAAGAGATTAGGACTTGATCTTGGTTGCTGAAGTGAGTCTGTACGCCTCGACGCAATTGTAGATGGAAGGGTGTGTATGACAGCTGCTGGTTAAGTGCGAGTCGACCCCAAACGCCGCAGCAGGCGAGCAGGTCGCGTCGCCATGAGGACCAGCACGATGCCGCAGCTCACCGTCGAAAATTTTGACGCCCTGCGTTACCTCAGCATGAGAGATTCAGCAATTTAACACCCAGTGATGGCGCTCCACTCCAAGGGCCGATTGATCGTGTATGTGCCGGAATTTCCCAGGCTGACCTCTCCCTCTGCAAAGAGTGAGTCGGTGGCGGTAAGGAAGATCCGTAGGTGTTAGACTCCTAGTATTAGATTGTAGGACGGTGCGGTGTGCGTGACATTTGACACGCAGCAGTCAACGATGGGCTGGAGGCTTGACCTCAAGGCGCAGCCCAGTATTGCCAAGTGCTGCTGTCGCATCAGGTTGTTGCACATCACCCTCGGCCGCGTGGCAGCAGCGGTCGGACATCTCAGCGTTACGTGCAAGTACAGTACCGTATGTTACAGCAGATGTTCGGCAACGTCGAGATCCGTGTAAGATGTGTCGAGGTGGATGCAGACGAAGGGATCTTTGATTCTTCCTTGAGTAAACAGCTGCGCTGCAGTGCTCAATGAAAAAAGATCAAGTTCGCGTCGGCCAGAGGTAGTGCTATCTAAGGAGGCATTAGCAAAGGCGCTGGTTGAGGCCAAGAGCAACGTACACTGGCGACACTATGGTCTCAACTGTGAGCAAGCCCAGGGAGAGGAGACCCAGTTGCAAAAATAGGAATAATCTTGAATGAGACCGTAGTCTCGTTTCAGAGATTAAACTGAAAAGAACAGACTGTGGCGGGGAGTGGTCAGCTGACTGCCAATACTGGGCTGGAAGCGGGTTTCACTCACTACTACACTTGATCTAAGCCAAAAGGCAAAGAGAGCTAAGGAGCGAGGGAGGGGACGGGGACACGCGCGTTTATATAGATTTTCTGGCCAAGACACTAGTGCCATCACGTGAGCTCGCGTAGACAACGCGACTGAAAGGACGGTGGGTGACCATGGCGCGATTTTGAGGTGTGTTCAGCACCCAGAACGCGTGTTATACCATGCTGGACTATGCAATGCCAACGGTGCGCGAATGTGGATGCACGACGTTGCTGATAGTGCCTTGATCGAATCGCAGCCGCGGAAATTTGGAGATGCATCCAGTATCTGCTCATGTCATTCGCGTGCGCATAGACACGGTAGTGACTCACGCCTGCTCGACCCTCGAACGCGTCGACATGTTGCATCGCTCATCCTGAGGTAACACAGGGTATCGAGATTTCCGACCGCGTGCTGCGGCATCGACATCATCTTTATGGCGACGCAATCTGCTCGCCTGTTACGGTCTCTGAGGTTAACCAGATTCTCGTCAACAGCCACTTCACGCACCGTACCCTTCAGCATTCAGTCGAGATTCACAGATTCTCGACACTGACGACTACCATTGACATCAAAACTCCCACCACGTGGCACGTATACTCGCGGTCTGGATAGTAACTACGCGCCCTCATGCGCCTCCCTCATCGGCACTGCTGCTCCCAACGAGGGGTCAATTCCTGAGTCTCCACTGTATGAAATACGCCTATTCTCTAGCCCAGAAGAGCTCGAGCGAGCAAGAAAAGAATTTGCGGAGGAGTGTGCCGCACGTGATAAGACGCTCAAAGAGCTTTACTCAAACGCGCCCGGCCGTGGGCAGAGGGAATATATCTAAAGTGTCCGATTTGAACTCATTCCTTTTGCATCAGTTGTCCGGCATGGTCGTCTCTTGATGAAATCGATCGATCAGAAAGACCAGATCATTCATCACCGAAACCAGATCGAATTTCGGACCTTCCAATCACAGTGTCTCAGATGTCAGTTACATTGAGTTCTGCTACAGATTCGACGATCGACGCCGCACCTTCAACGCACGCACGCAATAAACCGGGAACAGTGGAGCGTCCTGGTATCCCAGGCCTGGGTCGCGTGAGAACCGAATTCCTAGAACATGTTGATTTATCCGTGGAGCAACGGGAGCAGCTCTGGCAGGTATGTGTGAGAGGCCTACCGGACAGCCCACATGATGAGGGAGTCCTAGAGACCCATCATCCGTCCACGAGCGAGATCTACAATGCATTACTACCTGATGGCATGCCTATCAAGAAGCTCGTTCATAAGTTTAGAATATGCGTGAATCAAGACAATAAGAAAGAGTTTGTTAGACTTGTCAGGGCTGTCGCCTCGTATGACAAAGGCCGTGGCTGGTTAAATCCGCTTCCGAAGCTGCCGTCGGACGAGCAGATTGCTGCTGCCGACAAGCGGCATAATGAAAGGCGGGGTAAGTCAGGCCAAATCATTGAATAGGCCACTTTCCTATCCAAATGATCTTCGAACTCATGTGTTGTCTTCCTCATCCGCAGCGTATTGCGCTCCGTGACTCTGGATTTCATTATGAGTTCATGCGACCTCTCAATGATGCTTGTTGATGGTGATGTTCGCTACGATGGTTCCTGAGAGATTTACTCCTCATCCGCTGACCTTTCATTAATTTTCTTCGTGGAATGTGCCGCCCCTATACGGCGTTCGTATTTTTGCCGACAGCCATCAACACGTCCCACCGCATCCACACGCCGACAGCTCGGCATAAGAGACTGTGAAAATGGGTGACCATCACTTGAAAAATCACGCGAAACATCACATTTGGTCGATATGAGAGGAGATCATGCTGCTACCTTCATGTACTTTGCGTCTATGTATGTTACGCAGGTACAGCTGCTATCGAGTGAGACTCTAGTAATATGGCGTACTTTTTCTATCTCTTTAATCACATTTTCGACTCGCAGGGATGGTCGTTCTTATATCCAGTCCTTGTAGCCCCTCAATTCGGATACAATTGCTTTTTCTGGGTGACCGCCTTCCCATGCACATGGGAACGACGTAATAAGTACAAAAAAATACATAGCGCTGAAAGAGCCATTAATCTACATCAATGAGACCCCTACTTCAGATCCCTATCAGCCTGTAATAACACATTTCATCGTCCCGTTGCGGCAATAGCGGAAAGACCCTTACTCGCCACCAGCAAAACTCCTTACCAGTCCCCATTCAGAAATAGCTTCCGAAATGTCCCTTTACTGCCCCAAACCAAGACATTATCCGCCAAAACTAAGCAGTCAATCTTCTACCGTCAACAGACTCGGTCCCCTTCACCACTCACTTTCCTGGATATCACCGTTCCCGTTCTTCCTTCCATCCAGTTACAACGTGAGCAATCTCCTTCACTCCAAGCAGGTGCTTCCGCTCTCCAATTAGTTTTCATTCAACCACTCCTAACTCCCTATGCCTGCGCCTCTTTTGACCAAGATCTTCCTATACCTCGGTGACGCCAATCATCTAATACAGTGCTAGACGTCCGCCTATCTATCCCTGCTCCAGGTCTTCATCATGCAAATGTACCCAGCTCCATAAACTCTCGGTACGCGACAGTAAGAGCAACGCGACCGCACATGTGTGAGCCTAGGGTATATGGATATGTTACTTCACCTCGATGCCTATCGCGTCGACCCTGTTTCTTTAATCTCTTTTGGGTTGTTGAGCATGCTAGCTTGCAGCGGTGGACAGTCAAGATAGGGCCGATAGTACCCAAGGCGATATCGAGGTGATAAGTTCAGCCCTCTCGCATGAACGGGGTTTGCTCGAATATGGTTCTCTCATTTCGACCTGTATATATGTCTCAACTCGTGATATTCAATGCCGAGTAATGCGACTCATGAATCCATAAAAAGAAACTCGAACATAATACCAAGGAATAAGAGATGTCAACCGAGAGATAGAACAGCGAGAAAGACCATACCGGACAGAAGGACGAAGGAAACATGGCAATGTAAAAAAGACCTTGCGCTCAGGCGCAGCCACCTGGCTACCCCAGCCTAATATCAACCTCCTCCTTTTCACACTTTTCGCTATCCCAGAAACTAGCGAAGACGCGTCCCCAACACTTCCGGTATGCGATACCTTCTTCGTCGTACTCGACCCAGAGAACATTGATGCACTCGTACTTCCAATCTCTGCCGAGTTTGCAGTCTTTCGAATCGCGTTGACACGGTAGTCTGCAGTCTGGATGCGCGTACTTGGCCTTGGGCGCATCACGATAGTTCTTGGGCAGAGTCATCCTGCTGATGGCTATCAGCGAGCAAGAAGTTCCGGCGATTGAATTCCACGCGCCCCGAAGAACAGGCTGAAAGGACTCCTCCCCAGCACGAGTGTATTGAGCAATGTTGGTTTCTAGGAGGCCCACAATCCCTGAGCCTGAACGGGGGAAGAGGAAATAGCGTCTCGGAGAAACGCAGATCCATGTGGATAGTTCCGAAACAGTTAGCGTAGTGCGCGTGGTTCGAAATGTCAAGATGGGAGAATATGGAGCTGGAGGATGGGTTGGTGGGGAGGGAGTGCCGACTATTGGGACGGAAAGATCATAGCCTTTTATCTGGACAAATTCCATGTCGCACTCTGCGTCCCCGATATCGTGATAAGAGTTGTTTACTCGCTCTCCTGTCATAGTTATAGCGTTGGTCTTCACCATGCGGACACACGAAGTAAGAGCAGCCTTGTCGGAGAAACGATCCTGCGCATAAACACGGTACCACCACTCCAGATCTGGTTCACCCTGCCAACCAACCCAGCTCCAACTTGGAAATATGTGGAATATACGCCCATCGCTTCCCGTAGGTATCGTATCCCGACCTCCTTGGCCACGAGCATGCTGTCGTGGACGGTCTGCGGTATGTGAAATCCGTCAGGCGGTTGCTCGAAGGCACCATCGTGTAGCAAAGCACCTAACGTGCTATGTGTAGTTCGGAACAGGTTGCTGCCGGTGCGACCGCAGCAGTAGCTAAGGGCTGCGTATCGGCAGGAATCGGTCTGGGAAGTTGGCAATACCAAGCACTGTCGATCCACGTCAATGAAGAGTAGGTTAGTCGCAGGGTCTAATCTGGACCAAGGATTTGTGATTGTATGGCAGGAGCCGGAATGGCTAGTGTCGCATGAGTGAATCCATCGGCGTATTTGATTGGTATCGATCCATTGATGATCGACCATGACCGGAGTACAATTTCCATCTGAGTTAGGATGGCCGACAAGTTCCAAACGAACACCCCAAAAATAGAAGATGGTGTCTTCCCTTACAATTTCGAGTCTCTCCACATCCTCTGAAAACGTATGTACCTGTAAGGTGGGTATGGCTTCTGCAATAGCTTTGCAGATTGGGCAAATTTGAGCCCGAAAGTCACCTGAAGCGGCAACGTATGCATAGCGCTTATATTTATCAGGGGTTTCGAGAGCCTTTGCCACCTGGGTACACATTGCGCAGGTGTTTGTTTTCTGCCTTTTCGCGGACAGCCCAGACAGCAACCTGGTCAGCGCGCCGAAGTCAAGCATTTCACGTCGGCAAGTGTGCCGTAGTGGACTGGATCATCGGTCTTGATGTTGTTCTTTTCGACCTGTGCAAGCGTGTAGCACGCCGGGGTGCTGAGAGACTGCAGTGATATTACGAGGCTTGTGGAGCCAAGGGAACGCGGACACGGACCGAAGAGAGATGCGGGGAAGGAGCCAGGCTGGGCGGTAAGGAGAAGGCATGCTTGATCAAGAACGAGTAGCCCAGTCGCGGCTAGGCTCCGACCAACGAGTGGCCGTACAATGTGGGGGTTGGCTGAAGAAAGTGGGGGCGGCGCAGCGGCAACGCAGCGGAGAAGACGGTGCTTGGCGCCTGCCGTGCGCAACCATTGACGCGACGTCCAACTTTCGACATCTTTGCGCACCCCTGCAAACCCATCGACGCGCATCATCCACGACGCTCGCTCCACGCCGAATCGATACCGAAAGACCACGCGATGGCGTCTGGGCGCGATGTGCGCGACATGCTCGGGCTGCCCGTGGGCGGCGACGGCCAGAAGAGCGCCGTGCAGAAGCGGGCAAAGGCTGCCGCGCCCGTAAGGAGAATTCGTACGTCGGGCGCAATTTTGAGGGTGCGCATTGCCGCAGAGGAATGTTTGGGCTGACTTGATGTCTGCAGAGGGTGTTGCGCGCGAAGTCGCGGCGCTATATGGCGAACGACCGCCGCCTGTCGCAGTCTACGAAGAAAAGAAGGCGTACCGCGCAAAGAGGCAGAACCAAGGGCCCGCGAAGAAGTGGTACGGAGATACCTGGGCGCGAGCAGTGTTCGACAGAAGCTAATACGTCGGATTTAGGGTCCAGCAGCCCTTTGTGAACCAAGCTCGCGACGACGGCCTCGTCCTCAAGCACTGGCGACGGAAACCCACCACTACACCCCCCGTGCAAGACGGCGAAGACACTCCGATGGAGGATGGCGAGAGCGCAGAGTCTTACATCGAGAACAGCGCCGACTTCCTCAAATACAGCATACAGGTCGACCTACCCACCTTCACCGACGAGGAATACGATGCATATCTGCGGAGCGACGACTGGAGTCGCGAGGAGACCGACTACCTTTTTGAGGTTGTGAAGGACTACTCGTATCGGTGGGCTGTCATATGGGATCGCTACGACTACCAGCCTGCGAACAGGTCACACCTCACGCAAGAGACGGTCAATGGCGACGCGAGCCAAGCGCTGGCCGCGCTGCCCTTCGCGCCGCCTAAGCAACGGACCGTCGAAGACCTGAAGGCTCGATTTTACCACATCTCAGCCAAGCTGATGAAGCTGCGGATACCGGAGATGCAGATGGACGCAGAACAGTACACCCTCTACGAGACCCTCTCCAAGTTCAACCCCGAGCTCGAAGGCAACCGAAAGCTCCTGGCAGCCGCGCTGATGAACCGAAGCATGGACGAGGTGAAAGAGGAGGAGTTCCTGCTCGCAGAACTACAGCGCATCAACATGGCGGCTAACAGGCTGGACGCAGAACGCGAGGAGCTGCGCGCGCGCCTCGAGCACCCCTCCGCGAACCAACAAGTGTCCGCCGGCCTGGCCTCCTTCACATCATCACAAGCCTTGCAAGCACTCTTCTCCCAACTCTTCGCGCAAGACAGAAGCAAGAAGCGTGCGTCAGGCGGCGGCACAGGCCCTTCGCGCATTAGCCTCAACACAAACGACCTCATCCAGACCCCGTCCTCCGCCAACGCCCAACTCTCCGCCGCCGCCCGCCGCCAGTCCATGGCCACCAACCAGTCCGCCCAAACCCCCATCCGCACACTCTCCCCCCAGCAGGAGCACCGCTACAATGTCTCCACCCACGACCGCCTCACCTCCGGCGTCACCTTCGGCTCAGACAAGCTGCTCAAGATGCGGCAAGCAAAGAGCAACGTGCAGACGCAGAAGATTGCGGCTGCACTCGCTGAGCTCGGTGTACCAGACGTCATTCCCCTGCCCACCAGCAAGGTCGCCGACGTGTTCGAGCAGCTCATCGGCAAAGTGGGCAAGCTGCTTGATGTGCGGAAAGTGCGCGAAAAGGAAGAGGGCGAGAGCCGCGTGCTGGCGCAGATGAAGGAGCGGCGTGGGTCCTCGGGGGCACTGGGGGGTGAGTCGGGCGCGACCAGCGTGGAGCCCCAGGGCAAGCATGAGATTCCGGATTCGGCGGAGCAGACGCCTGGCTTGGAAGGGGATGGGGACGATGACAATGACAACGATGAGGATGGCGACGGCGATGGCGACGGCGATGCAGAAGGCGAAGAAGACGACGAGGACGCCGAGGGCGAGGAGGATAGCAGGGTGCCGAGCGAGACGGTGAGTCGCGCTGCGAGCACGGCCCATAAGAGGAGCGCGAGTGTGCTGAGCCAGGGGAGCGTGCAGAGCTCGAAGCGCGCGCGGAAGTGAGCTAGTCCCTCTCCTCAACCACCCATCATGGTCTGGGGCATGCATAGCGTTGGCGTTGGACGGGTGGGATATTATTTTCTGGTTCTTCAAAGACGGCGTGACTGCTTCACCGCCCAGTTGGATCACAGATTCCAATGTTAACTGCCAAAATCTCAACACCTCTCAATGAAGTATTACCTCCTGTGCACTAATTTCAGTTGACGGCGTGAGCCGTCGCTGATGCATGTCCGGCCTTCGAGACGGACAAGAACTTTCGCTACACGACAGGACTCACACCTCGATTACGAACAGATTCTAGGACACCACATCACAGCATCGGAGTACGATTCAATCAGCAGTGGAAGTTTTCACCCTCTCAATTCCAATCTATCTCCCTCCCTCCCCACACCTCTTCTTTCCCCTCGTCATTCACCCTTCGCCACACCCGCACACACACATAAGAAATCCCAATCCCCCATCCTCCTACGCCAAAACACCATGACACCCAATGGCCTCAAAAAAAGCAACGACCCTAAAATTCCAGCGCCACAGCTTCAGAACACGGCAACAGGACAAGAAAGCAACCAAAAAGACAACAGTTTGTGATAGATGCATGTCTGGTCCAAGAGCATTCAATCCGATGCTTTGTGCTCCCGGCTCTGTGCGAGTGTGTCGTCCATCGTTCCATTACTAACAGTGTCGGGGAGAGAAAAAAGAGAGATGGAGTTTTGTGACGTCCCAACCCCGCCCGTCTATAGCAAAGCCCAATCATTACAAAATACCTATACAGTAGGGACTTCAGAGAACGCAAAAACCAATGTGATGGATGGAGGACGGCCGTCGCTTCGCTCAAGGACGGAACTCCAGAATGCAATATGACCGCAGGAAAATGTGATGTTAGAGACTAACGCTTGGATCGTGCTGGGGCATGATACCCAGGCATTTTAGACACTGCTTCCAGCGCCAGCAACAGGCCACCTAGGACCCGCCTCCGCCACAGCAAAGCACGTTCATCAATTTCTTTCCAAAGCTCGGCTTGTCAGCCTGTTGTTGCCGGGGTGGCTGCGCGTTCGGGCTCGCCGCAGGTGTTGCGCGGTTGCTCGTCAGGTTCGGCTGGCTGTGCTGGAATTGGGCTTGCGTAGAGCCTTCCGGCGGTGCGAGCTCGGCTGCGCTCTTCCGCTTGACCGCGTCGGGATGGCTGCCGCGTTGCTGGAGATCTCTTGGGCTTCTTCCGGGCGGGCCTCGTGTCGCTCCGGGCTTTGGGAGATCCGCGTTCAATCGGTGGTGGTCGATCGGGAGGTGTGTCTTCTGTTGCCTGGCGTGGGGCTGGCCATGAACGTTGACCGCGGTCGATGAGTTTGGGTTCACGTTGCTGTGGTGCAGCTGCTGGACAGCTGATGGATGCGACTTCATCTGTTCCCAACCCTTGCCGTTGTTGAGCTTCATCCAGTCGTACTCGCCGTCTTCCACTTCGCCAGTGCTCTTGAGCGCCTGCGTGAACAGCTCGCGTAGGTAGTCGTAGTCGGGCGTGTCCTCGAAGCCGAGGTTGCGGACGTAGCTGAGGTACTTGTTGAACTCCTCTGTACGACATTAGCAAACGTTGGCCTGAACCATTGAGTTTACGTACCAGGAAAGCTGTCGCAGAGATCCTTGATCGGCGTAGTCTGCTTCTTCTCGCCAATCTTCTCGTACTTCTGCTTGTTGGTGGCCGCCTTGAGACCCTGCCACGGAAGTCCGCCGCGGAGAAAGTACATGAAAACGTGACCAAGCGCCTCCAAATCATCCCGTCGCGACTGCTCTCTCCCAAGATGCGTGTTGATACTCATGTATCGCGCGGTTCCGGAAAGCGACTTGCGTTCTCTGTAGGGGATGTGCTGCTTTGTCTTGGGATCGCGATACTGTTTGGCCATGCCGAAGTCAACAACATGGATGACATTAGCGGCCTTGGAGCCAGGTCGGCCAATGAGGAAGTTGTCGGGCTTGATGTCGCGGTAGATGAGGTTCTTCTCGTGGATGGTTTGCACACGGGACAGCTGGGCAACGTTAGATGCGAAAGAAAAGGAGGTATAGGCTACGAACCATCTGCTTTGCTACCATGACAACAGTCTTGATGGAGAACTTCCGGTTGCAGTGGTCAAAAAGGTCCTCCAAGCTGGGGCCTAGCAGGTCGATGACCAGGATGTTGTGGAGGCCCTCCTGCCCGAAGTAATACACATTGGGGATGCCAGCTGCAGCATAGTCAGTTTGTGTCCGGCAGTCAAACAGTGAGGTTGTGCGGATGCGTGTAGAACGAGCAGCCGAGGTACGGCCATGTGAATTGGCCAGCTGAGGTGTGCAGATAGGAGCATCGCGTGCGTCACGGGGAGCGGACAAGGAGGAACTCACGGCATCCCACGAGGATCTTGTAGGTACGGTACTCATCGCGCAACTGGGGAGCGTCGCTTTTGCGCGGCTCGAACTTGATGGCGACCTGCTGCTGGTTGAGCAGGTTGGTGCCCTCGAAGATGACGCCGAACGAGCCCTCGCCAATCTTCTTGCCGACGCGATAGTGCACGCCCACGACGTTGGAGGAGCTGCTGCCGGATGCCATTGTGCGGTCGTGCGGGTGGTGCAGCTGAGGAGCCGCAGCTTTCACTGAGGCTGGGGGCGGAGAGGAGGAGGGAGCGGTGCCTGGGGCCGGGGAGCAGCAGCGTGGGGCGGCAGCGAGGCAAGAATGCGAGTGCAGCCGGGTAGCTGTCGACTCTGGGGCGCTGCGTGCGTGAAGAATGCGGCGTGAAAATGAGAGCGTGGTTGGTGATGGGTCAGGTCGTAGCAAGGCTTTGGAGAAGGGAAGGGGCGGGCTTAGCGCTAGGGCGCACGGCCGACGAACCGCATTGGCAACGCAGGGCACAAAGTGCTCCGCCTTGGACGACCCGAGTTCTGGTCGAAAGCACTCCGGGCAGGCGACAGCAGCAGCCGCCGTCCACCGCGCGCCACCGCCTGTTTCACGCCGCAGCGCCGACACGCGGGCGATTTCTCCAGAATTCTCCCCCCTCTCAGTACGAGCAGGCATCACGCATCGCCGCTGCGCGTAACTGGCGGCAAGCGCTCCCAGGCGCAATGCGGAAGGTGCTATTCCCGCATAAGCCACGTGATGTGCAATTTCACAGCCTGGACGCTGTTGACACGGCCGCTCCGCTCCGCTGTCTGTACATGTGTTGTTGTGTCGTCTTGTGTCGGACACACCGCTGCTGTTCGTATCACCGCCACATCATACCGCCACTCAGAGCTCGCTGTAGCTGCCTCCCTACAACGACCACTGTGCGATTGTACACGCCCGCAGACGCCAGGCACTCGCCCCTGCTGGTGCGACACGCTCTACCAAAGGTCGAAGCAGCGTCCGCTCTCGAGCCGCAACCGCGCCGTTGCTCTGTAGCGCTCTCTAGGCCCGCCTCTGGCGTGGACGTGAACACCGGCGATGCAGCATCGGGTTGATGTGCTGCACATTGGTCCCTTCTAGTGACCCCAAGTTACCTCAGGCTCGACTGTCGGATGTTGTTAGGCTTACTTTCCATTCATTCATTTATGCTGCCACAAGAAGCCCTCAAGTGCTATTCCCGTGCAACGCCCTAGCTCCGTCATCTGTCACTGTCATCTGTCTCCGCCTGTGCTGATCATCTCACTCGCCTCAACAAACACTCCTCATCCCTACGCAATGCCATCATCGCAGCTCACTCCGAGAGAAATTGCCCAGAGGCCCCCTACGCGCACCGCATGAGGGTACGACGTGTCTCGGTAACGCTTGTGGGCCTACCACCTCATCTCGCTTCAGCCACACCGTCTCCTGCCGCCCCATATTTTCGCGCCGTTGATCGCTCGTTCCAGACCTCAACTGACGCGCCGCCGTCGGCTTGTCCATCGCTACAGGATACCATCTACGAACGCACACGAACATGTACACACGTGGTTGAGCAAAACTTTTCCTTCCTTGACAACTGAATTTCGATTCAGCCAAAGCCCCATGTATAGGAGGCGTCTCCTATCGTACAAACGAGATGGCCAATGATGAACATAGTCGCGCCAACGGCCGCGCGTGCAATCTGCTGGCGCTGCGGGCCGGCTGCTGTACTGTAGCAAACGCCATGCCCAATGCTAATACTGACCCCGATGCCGAACCAGAACCCACGATCTGCCCCGAAGCGCAATCTTAAAAGAAATTCCTAGCCCCAAAGAAACACAAACATCAAATGTTTGGTGGCAGTTCGCCCTACGAACCCTGCATCTCCACGTCCTGATCCATGTCGCCGTCATGTTGCTCTGCAGCGGCCAACGCTCCGGCTACCGGCTCCACGCGCTCGGCTGTCGGCTCAGCTCCGGTCGGTTCCTGGCCGATCGGATCGCCCTCACTATCTTGGTATTCTGCATGCGCGATAGATGTTCCTGCCGCTACAGTTCGATCGAACCATTCTTCTAAGCGGCTCTTCTCAACCAGTTCCTGGAGGATGGCCTCGTCCGATAGGTTATCCTGGATGATAGGCTTGCGTAGGTCGTCCTCCGGGAATCGCATACAGAACTCGCCGTCAGTGCAACCTGATCCAAACATGTCGCGGACTCGTCGAGGTCGAACATTCTTGAATTGCTCTGCATCACCTGCATCCCGTTAGCGATCAAGTGCTTCCAGATTTATGCCAATCGTGCTTACCTAGTAGTATCCACTCAGTCAATGTCCTGACTGTTGATCCCGCAATGGTCTGGCTCAAATATTCATTCATTCCCTCGCCTGAAAGGTTCTGGGTCCGATCAATCTCTACCCAGTCGTCTTGTAGCAATGCCCTCTTCCAAATAAGACCAGGGAGGCCTTTGCCAACTGTCCGCTGGATCTTGTTCATGGCCAGAAACCTCAGAGCCAGCGCGAAGGGATTCCAAGCCTCGCCATCCGGTTCCGTTGCATCGTGATATACCATCAGAGTGAGCACGTCGATGAACAGGCAAGGCTCTAGTACTTGATGTTGGACTAGTTGTTCAAAACCCTGTTGAAGGAGATGTTGCAGAGAGGGCCGGTCGGAGAGACGTCCTTGTCCGTACTCAGTCATGAGTAGCTGCACAGCGGATTCATTATCCATTGCTTCGGCGATGGTAGGTTGGACATAATCATAGAGCTGGGTCTGGATACTCGCTACCTCTAGGTCATTCTCAACCTGGTACAAGAACTTCTCCCCCTTCTGGAGGCGCTTTTCAAATTTTGCGCGCTGGTTTGCGCTTGTCAGTTCTGATTCGAGTTCTTTTGCATCCCCTTCTTGCTGTGCTAGTGCGCATAGTTTCGCGATGGACAGCTCCACTGTGTTGCACCAGCTATTAGGTTCTTGCTGGGTAGCAGCCTGTAGATCTTTTGCGGCCATGCTGTAGGATTTCTCGCCACAGATGTTGTTGATCCAGCTCAGCTTGGAGCGCGAAGGATCAGCACCCAGGTACGTGGACAACGACTTCTGGAAATCTTCGTCCTCCTCCCGCGCCTTCTTCAACAAGAGACCAGACTGTCCCATGGTAATGTATTTGGAGAAGTATGCGTTGGCGAATGCGTCGTGGTAACGCTTGAAACAAGAACTCACGCGGTCCTTGATCCGTTGAAGCTTCAAATTGATCTCGGTTTCGATCATCTTGCTGTTGACTTCGGCCTTGGCTTCCTCGAGGTACAGTGTCTCCTCCCAGATAAGATCGACCAGCGTCGACATATCGTGGTAGTGCTCGGCAAGGTTCATACCTTCCGTGGCCAAACCAATCCCGGCGAGGTGGTAGATTTGTTTCGGTCGGACATTGGTGTTCCACTCATCTCGTAGACTAATGCCCGATGCTCGTTTCTTCTCGTCGCTCTGGTCGAGCGCCCATCGAAAACGTTCGATGTGATTTTGGCAACTTATCCGCACTAGGCGCGGGTTGTGCTGGGCGACTTCCTGTGCAGCGACTTCCTCTTCGCGTTTCTCGTAGCAATCATCGGCGTATTTGCGACCTGCATCGACGATACTCCGAACCGAAGCCGTGAGGTTGTGGGTCGACGTCCAGATATTTTGGGCTATCTTGTCATAGCCCTGTCCTGGTCGCAAGATGCCGTCGCTATCCAGAGACTCCGCCTCTAGCCCGTACTGCTCGATGTTCTCCTTTCGAAAGCTAAACGCCGTCTCGAAAGCAGTCAGCATGACCTCGTCGGCCTCGCGTAAGCGTTGCATAATCGATTTGAGGGGAATTGCGCGGTCCGGGGCAATATAGAATAGTCTGAAGTAGTTCCATGTCCAAGGTAGCAATATGTCGAGTGAATCGATATCCTTGAGGAAAAATTGCCGAACTGGATCCTTCTCGCCTTTGCTCTCATCGATCGGTGTCTTAAACTTCTCGTGCAGTGCCTTGACGATATCCACCATGATGTTCTTTTCGGGGTACAGGTCAGGATGTGTTTCTTGTTTTCGTAACTGCTTTTGATACCAATCCCAGATATTTATGGCTGCCGCAAGCTTTTCAGCATGCCACAGTAACTGCCACCTACCCGAAAAAGACAGATCAGGAAACTGGGTCCGTAGATGCGAATTTAATGTTTGGAGGGCGAGCGCTCGTTTGCGCAGCTGATCTTCCAACATCAGACTGTTTCCTTCAAGCTGTTCGAAAGACGACGACAACACACACGTGCTGATCTTGATAGCAGCAGTCTCCACTTCAGCCTGGCTAAAAGAGTATCTACCTTTGGTAGCAAAATCTAGGATAGTGCCAGGCACAGTGCTAAAGAATGTTGCCTGCTGTAATTTGGTCCTAGCACTGACTTTGGAGAGAGCCTTTGACTCAGCAGTATATGCGCTGATTTGTAAAATACCGAAGTCTTGTATGAAGATGATGGCGCTGCTGGTTTGGTTCTTTCGTCCGGCTGGTTCCAGGGCGTGTCCAACAGATCGCACATGGGCATCTGATTTGAAGTATATACAATCCTGAAATGGCAGAACAGGGGCGCCAGAGTCGACGACAAGTTGTGCTTCTGGACCTTCCTCCGGCTGAATAAGGGACGCTACAACTACAGCGTCCGGAAATTGTACAAGTGCAGTATGGCCAGGGTCCGGCAAGAGGAGCGTTCCGGTAGCTTCTTTCGGTAGTTCTGCAGGCTGGTAGTTATTTAATGGAATTGCGAGGCTGATGACTGCGTTGTCTTCGGTTATGTCTACCTCTAAGAGGAAATGGTCCAGCATATTTCGTCCGGAAAGAGCCACAAGGACAAGCACATCGGTCACAGCAGAGTCCCGGGAACGACCTCGGATCGCAAAATCCAGTACTTGAACGTCTTGTTGCCCGCGCATTTCCGGCGCGCTTCCTTGCTGTAACGTGGCTAGTATCTTCTCTCGCGCGTCGATCTCGCGCTTGAATATCTGCTGCCCGGCCCAAGTCAGATCCCACAGTTGAAACACCCCATTTCGGGTCGCGGCAACGACTTCCATTTGGCCCTTGGATTCGGATGGGTGTGCTTTTACTGACGCGATCGTCTTGCGAATAGCGCCGCCGAGAAGACCTTTAAGACTGAATAAGCTGCCGGAGGATCCGTTGGGGCTGTTGAGAACATGAGTGGTGATGCTCGGTCGACCTTGCGCATCCCTTAGCGTGAGCTGTGCGAGTCTGCCGCTGCTCAAGACCAGTATGTAGCCCGCATGATCCACGTCCACTATATTTGCGATACGTTCCCCAGAGTAGAGCTTCAGCACACCCTCTACACCTTGCTTGCGCTGGGTAAAGAGGCTGCGGGTCTCAGCGCTGTCAATGTTCTCCCAAAACACGATTTTTCCGGTCGAGGGCGCGACAGCCACCACACCGAAGTCGTTCGTCGGTCCATTCCGTACGATTTGCCCGAGTGGAAGAGGGTCGGCATTTTTCAGAGCAGGTGGTAGAGGAAGAGCGAGGATCTTGGAGACGCCGGTTGCACCGGTGTAGTCCCATACGAGGGCTTGGTCGGAGGTCAACGCGAGGGCGAGGCTCACAACAGGTAGGGCTGAGGCGCGGAACGGTGCTACACAATAGTCAGCGGAGAGTGAGAGGGAGCAGAGGGCGATTGCGACGTACTAGACCCGCCAGCGAGGGCCGATGGGAAGCTAGGCAACCTCTTGACACTGTAGTTCTCGCACCTGTTCTGCGAAAGCCAGTGTTAGCGAAAGTATTGCTGTCTCGTCCAGCAGATATACCCACCAGATATAGCGCAATGTCTTCTTTGAACACGCGCTTCACAGCGCCCTTCTTTTCGCGAACCGGCATGTCCAACAGCACCAAGCTCGAATCGGCACTACCGTAGCCAACATGGCCGTTCAAGCTTATGCTGCCATTTCCATTCTCGTCGAACGATTCGTCTCCCACGGACACGAAAGTCTCATCGCCCAACTTGCTGCGCTTCCGTCGGGGCTGCTGCTGCTGCGGCTCAGTCGAGTTGCGCGGGCGCCGGCGGGGGTTTCGTTGCGAATTGCGCACGCTCTGGGTAGACGCCTCGGGAGAGAACATGATGCGCGAGCGACGTTGAGAGTTGCGCGATGCGCAGCCGATCGCGTGGTGCAGTTGCGGTGTTGACGCCCTCTATGCGTTGGTCGAAAACATATAGGAAAGCTCGGACAGGGATGTGGTCCTGGCACGGGGTTAACGGGGCAGGAGCGACCACGACTCACATTCACCACCGCAGTCCACCGAAACCTTAAGCCTGAACCCTTCTTGTGTTACCCAGTACAGGGTATGTGCAAGCCTGAACCCACGTCAGATGAAGTTTCTGATGATAATAACTCTGGTAAGGACCTAAGTCCTTCTGAAATGCTCGCAGCACAATGTGTTCGTAGACGCCCCTCAACCTTTAATGCCCCCCAGGTCATTTCCATGCACAATAGCTTCAGTGGCTTGTATGGTCTAGATCTGCGGATTCACCTTGTTCACATTCATGTCATCTGACTTTTCTTCTGGTGGATATTGTACATCCATTGAGTTATTTTACATTTGCCATTTAGAATACTTCGTGATACACGCGGGCCGGACCGAGGAAAACTATAAAGACAGACGAGAAGATGCCGATCATAAACCCATAGGCGCTGTACCACCAGCATGCCCATGTAGAAAGCATAGTACATAATGCTGTAACTGTTCGCCAGGCAATCAGCAATCTCCCGTGAAGACCATCACCCGTCAAACATGAGCGTTGCCGACTTCCAACGAGTGAACATGCCAGTCGACTCGCAGTAAGCAGTGCTCATGCCGCGTCCAAAGCCTTGCGCTTCCACTCCCGTCCCCAGCCGTCTCTTCCGAGCACTGACTTAGAACTTCTTGGAGGCGTCCTCTTCGTCGACGGTGTTGGAGCTCGATGTGGTGCTCTCTTTGTCAAGCTCAGCGCCCATGGGTCCATGGAGCTCCTCCTCGAAGACAGGCTCAGGCTCAATGGTCTCGAACTTAGTCTTGAAGTCCCGGGTGGGGTTCGTGCTAGAGTTGCTTCGACGACGAGCGTTGGCTATGTTGTAGCCCATGTCCTCGACCTCATCACCGGCTTGACCCCTAGTAGCGACGCAGCAGTCAGCACGAGACCACTGCAATGAGAGACAACTGATGTAATGTGGGGCTAGAGGGGTATGTCACATCGGCCCGAAAGCGTGAGATAAGAGTGAGTGAGGGTGAAGGGCCGACATACCAATTGCCTTTTCCACCACCGTTCTTCTTGGTCTTGTTGGGGTCTTCGCCGGCATTGCCTGACTTGGCAAAGTATCGAGGAAGGTGCTCCTCAGCAGCGGCGGAGCCGTCAGCAAGGCCAGCATGGTCACGGTCCGTGTACTTGTGAGAGCGCGTCACTGCTCAAAAGTCAGCTCTGAAGCCCCTAGGTGGTAAAATAGAGCAATGAGCATAGCTTCAGACGGCATTGCGCTCTGCGCATTTGCCCATGATGTTTCCAGACATGGAAGGGTCAAGCCGATATGGAAGCTACGGTATGCGAAAGGCACGGCAGCACTTACTGATGGATTGGTTGTTCGGAAGTGTCGAGAGGTGAGACGAATGCGTGAAAATTGGAGCTGATGAGGGGATGTCGGGAGTCAAGTAGCTGAGCACCGGCGGGAGAGCTCTAGAAGGAGGTCAGTCACCATCACGAGACCATCAGCTCGGGCCAATGACAGCAAGTGTCGGTCCGATCTACAGGCCACTGTTGGAGGAGCGGGCGTCGTTCGGCGTACCTTGCAGATTCGCCTGATGGATGGGAAGCAGAGGGAACGTTCCGAGTCAACCCAGGATCAACTCTGCAGTGTTTGGGACACGGTGGTGGGGATGATGTGATGATGTTGTGATGGTGAAGCGCGGACAAAGGCGAAGCACGCGAGCGCAATTGCAGGAGACCCCGCTTCTGATGCAACAGGCTCCCTTTTATATGTTTGCTGCAGCAATCTACAAGGTCCCTGTTCCCTGGGTCCCTCCCTGCGGCCCGAGAGACGCATTGCGTTCGCAATTGAGAATGCTGCGAGGCGATCGTCGGTCCCTGGACGCTGTTCAGAATGGGTCGCTACGTCACACTAGGAAGCGTGATGCTCGTGTGAGCAATGTCAGGATAAACAACCCTCGCGGACGTGCAAGAGCGACCCCACAGCTGCCCGGTAGCCCGTCAATTGAGATGGCACCTCCGCTCCTCAGCACACACGCAATGGCAGCTGTGCTGAACATGTATCGGAGCGCGTCCGCCAGTTGAGCAGCTCTGGCTGCGCGTTTACCCCGGACTTTCGAAGTGGGTCCGTCTCATCTGGGCGTGGTCGGCGCAGCATGCATCCCCACTCGCGCCGAGCGCCGAAGCCGGTCACCTGACATTGCTGCTTACACAGCGGCGGCTCATCATCACCCCACCAATTTGCTGCTTCTCCGAGGCCGCAGGAGGCGTGCTAAAAAAGCTGTAGCGGTCCGAACCGACGCCCTGCTTGCTAATACAAGACTGACTCTTTCCGCAACCCTCACGTTCCTCGCCTCTGAATCCTGCCCTTCGCATCCGTTTTCTCTAAAAATTCTCTTGCCGCGCTTTTCCCCAGTCTCCTACGGCGACCAACCCCGCCATGGCCCGCACGCTCCTCCTCGCAGGCCCGTCTATCGCGGCGCACCCCGAAGTGCTCGATAAGGTCTACGAAATCCACGATCGCTCCTCTGCCGACCTGCAGATGCTAGATCGCATCGCAGCGGGCTTGGTCCAGCTGCCGTCCTCCACATACGATGTCGTGCTGCTCCTCACAGACGCCGATGGCACCACGCGCGAGAGTCACAAGCTATTGGGCCGAGATGTTATGGACAAGGTCGCCGGCGCACTCAAGGCAGGCGGCCTACTCAAGAGTCAGGATGGCGTATTCGGCGCGGCGGGTGGTGCAGAGAAGACGGAGGCTATCCTCGCCGGTCTGATCGATGGCGCCGACGGCATGATGAAGCCGGAGCAGGTCGAGAGCGTGTCCATACCTCTCAAGCTGAGAAGGAAAACAAATGGCGCGAACGGAGCGAATGGCACAATCCCTGTTAACGTCAACGGAAAGCGCGAGCAAGCACCACCTGTACAGCCCGCTGGGGTTGGCTTTGTCGACTTCAGCGACGACCTGGATGCCGAGATTATCACGGGTGAGGATGATGATTTGATTGACGAGGACGACCTAATCACAGAGGAAGACATGGCTCGTCCAGTCGTCCAGCGTAAGTCATTCTGATTTTCCATGGTCGGTCTCACTCATTCTAACAACCTTCAGCGCCCGAGTGCCGACCCAAGGCCGGAAAGCGACGCCGCGCTTGCAAAGACTGCACCTGCGGCATGAAGGAGAAGCTCGAAGCCGAAGACGCTGCGAAGCGCGCCACCGCCGATAAAGCCCTCAACACCATGAAGCTTGGAGCTGACGACCTTACTGAGGTCGACTTCACTGTCCAAGGCAAGGTCGGCAGCTGTGGAAACTGCGCACTCGGTGACGCATTCAGATGCGACGGTTGCCCATACATCGGCTTGCCGGCATTCAAGCCAGGTGAGGAGGTGCGACTGCTCAACAATGATATCCAGTTGTGAACAAGGTTGTGGGAGACGACATTGGGCCAACATTGCATTATGAACGGCGTTCTGGGTAGAAGGTAGGATTTGGTTTTGCATATCATGAGCTACGAAAGCTACGGAGTATCCAACTACAAGAGATGAAAATACCACGGCTTATGAAAAGGAAACACCTCCAAACATGTTCTAAATCACTTGGTCAAAACCCAACCCTGATCACAAGAACGCTTTCGACTCTCGACTCTTCCAAATACTCGAACCCCGCCCCCACGCCGCCTTCAAACTCCCTAATCCCTTCCGCCTCTGCGCCTCTTCATCCACTTCCACACTAATAGGCCTCTTCCCCTTCCCCTCCACCACCCTTAGCATCTCCGGACTTCCCTCCTCCACACTGCTCTCCCGCGCAACCCCCACCCTTTTCACGGCACTCTCAGGCCCCGGCGTCGCATCCTCCTCCACGTGCCCTCCCCCCAGCAGCGACAGCCCCAACCCCACGCCCGCAGCCGGCCGCGGCGTCGACGGCGCAAGCACAGCCGTGTCGCGATCGCGCTTCGCATGGTAGAACGGGGAAGAGTGCAAGTGTACAAGCCGCGAGTTCCGCGCCGATGTACCCACCCCGATGCTCTCTCGCCGCAGCTCCTCCACCACGGGCGCCTCGTCCTCCCCGTACCCGACTACATTGCCCGCGCCGTCCCGCTCCGTAGCAGACGACTCCACCGTGCTGCGGCGCGCCCGCGGCGCCCCTATCCCGGCGCCACTGCTGCTGTGCGAGCGCTCCGAGGCGGCGAGAGACGCCCGGATGTCGGCCCAGCGCGGGTACGCGCCAGACTGGGTGCGGCTGCGGGAGTGCATCTTGGGGCGCTGTACGCCGCCTCGCGAGCGGGAGCGGGAGTGCAGCGATTTCCGGGAGTGTCTTTGATCAGGCGAGGGGACGCGCGGCATAGCGTGCGCAGATGCAGTGCTGGTGCGAACTGAGGGTGAGCGGGTGATTGTGCGGGAGAAGTTGCGGGAGCGAACTTTAGGACGGTGCGAATAAGTCTGGTGGCCGGTAGAGGCTCTGGGGCGGATCGGGGAGGTGGACGTCCTGCTCTGGTTCTGTGTGAGTTGTTCTTCCGCTGGGGGGAGCTTCGCGGGACTGTTGTCGGCCAGGGTATACAGGGATGCGCTGAGGTTTTCTTTCCCCCCATGCTCGAGGGGATCGGGACGGTAGAAGGGCGTGGGATCGCGTTCGGAGGCGCGCTTGAGGGCCTTGCTGGTGTTGGTGCTGTTGCGCTTGCTGTTTCTCTTGCTGCTGCACCTGCTGTCCCGCTTGGTGTCGCGTTCGCCTTTCTCCTCGATCTTGTCGATCTTCAGTGGACCAATCCAATTTCTGACCGAGTTACTGGGCTTGAGCGTGTGCCGGTGCTCCGCGTCTGCTATGTCTTCTTCCTCGCTGGAGTAGTTGCTCTCGCTCAGCTCGGCGTCCTTGAAGACTTGCTCGCCCAATGTCTTGTTTAAAGTATCTCGTATCATCGGACCGCGTAGACTCGCCTGAGCTGAGGACTGACTGTTCATACCTGTGGGCTGATATACCGCTGTTCCAGGACGCAGCGCAGACCGTGGCGGCGGCTCATCCGCATCGCTGCTCTTCGACGAGGAGGGCGCGTCCGTGTGTCTCCTTCCGAATCCGTGCGTGGGTCTGTTCTTCCTCAGACTCTTGGAGAGATCGAAGTGGGTCGTCGCAGGCGACGGCGTGTCAGCTGGCTTTCGGATGCGGAGGCTTGCGGGTAGATCGTTGTCCGACCCGCGAACCGTGTCACTCGGCTTGACTATATTAGGAGAAATCGGCTTCAGGGGAGACTTGTTGGCCATACCCGGGTCAGCTATAAAGCCAGGTGGAGTGTTGTAGTTTGACGAAGAGACGCGAGACCCCGCGAAGAGCGGCGACTGCTGGGCCGAAGCGCGTTTTCGAATGTAGCTGTGGCGCTTTTCATCGATGGTGCGGCGGTCGAGCAGGCGCTCGACGCGCTCAGGGCTCTCGTATGGGGACGGTACGACGGGTCGTATGCTCTGGCGCTTCTCATGGGGGGTCGTGAACTGCGTGGTACGACGGGCTTTCGAGGGCTGAGGAAATGCAGACGGGACGGTAGACAATGCGGTGGTATGCGAACTTGAACTCATAGTTCGCTGTGCGGCCGAAGCATTAGTGCCTCGAGATGCTGATTGTGCATGACTTTGGCGTGTCGAGCGTCGCTTTCCAGAGCTACGCCGTTTCTTCTTATGCTTATCCTGAGAAGCATCATGTGTGCCTTTTCGCTGTAGATCAGGTGAGCCTGCTGACTTCCGTCGTAGTATGTCAGTCGGTATCTTCATTGAATCGGCGGGATGGTGGATAGGTTCGTTCTCGGCCTTGAAGTTGAAAGATTCGTGTAGTTTCGTGACAAGGTTATCGTCCCGGTCGTTCAAGGATGTCTCGCGGGAGTGAGCATACACACCCCTCCTGACCAAGGGCAGCGGAAGGAGGTGCAGCTGAGGCGGACGCTCAAGAAATCGAGGAGGTGAGCCGTCTAGTTTCCCTTTCTCAAGATCGTCATATTCTGCTCTTTCGATTTCTCCCACTCCAGCAATAGGAATTGGGCGCGAAATATCCTTCTTGGTCGGACTTCTAGGGGCGCCAGGGTTGATATAACCCGGCTGGTTGTTCTTTCGTCGGCGGCAGAAAGACAGGAAGAGAAGAACGAGTATAGCCGCGGCGAACAATGACGATAAGACGGCACCAACTATTATGCCAGTTCTTTTCTTCGAAGACCCGTCGTCTGCGTCTGTGTCTGTGGCAGGTTTGTTGTCTTTGGTGTCCGAGTTCAAAGATTTGTTGGGATTGTTGGCTTCGGTCGCCACTACTTCAATCTGGAAGGTTTGTGTATCCTTCGTCTTGCCGTCGGAAGACGTCGCAATTAAGGAGCCCTCCACGGTACCAGCTACGGTGGTTTCTGGTAGAATGCCCGATACGATCAGGTTATCTGCATCGAATCTCAACCACTTGTTGAGTCTGCCAAAGTCCATAGAAACGGTCTCATTATCAGATGATAAGATAGATCTCGGTACTTGCTGGTCGAAATAGACACCAGGAGTAATGTTCAAGTGGCCAATCTCTCCAATGAACAGTTCAGAAGTGAATGCTAGATGAATTATCTGCTCTGCTGAGACCCCCGATTTGCCTTGCACGGTGACAGAAATGTCTTGAGACATAAGACCTGAAGGCGGAGTTCCACTGATCTCGAAGGAGTGGTTATCGAAAGACAACCATTTCGGTAAATCGGCGCTAGCGGACTGAATATCGTCGTCGCGAATTGGGGCATCGTCCAGATACAACATGCTCTTGAGCCCTTTTAAATCCACGTCTTGCCCCTTTGTGACGTTCACGGTCTGCGCTACTGGCCTGAACAGCAGCAGATGGTTGTTGATAACCAGAGTGAATGGTGTTGAAGCGTCCGCGAAACCAGGTGTATCAGAAACGACAAGAAGAATGTCGAAGTTCTGTGGGCTACTTGTCGAAGGTGTCGTTCCTGTAAAGCGCAACTCTTTGGCATCGAAGCTAATCCAAGAAGGCAGCGGGGTATGGTCGGCAAGGGTGGCATAGTAAGATAGCTTCTTACCATCCGACTCGAACACATCTTGATCCAGGACGAAATCAAAAGACTTCGAAGGAAGGAGGGTGATATTACGTGGTCCTGACAGCTGACCTAGCTTAGAGAGCGCTTGCAAAATACTCCCACTCGCTTTGGGCCCATCATCTTTTTTAACAGGCAACCGCGTGTCCAGATTGGCCACTGATCCAGCTTCACCAGCTGCAACGATTGTGAATGTCGCCGTCCCGGCATCTTTCGCCTCTGGAGTGCCCCAAAGCGTCCGGTTCTCGCTATGAATGTGGAGCCATGATGGACCACCCGCTATCGAGTACACGAGCTGGTCTGGGTTTGGCTGGAAGGTGGTAGCGGCAAACTGGAAATTGTACGCTTTTCCGACCCGCGCGACGGGTGGTAGTTGTAGGTAGAGAGGGAAGTTGATTTCGGGCGATGTCGCGACCGCAGTTGCCAGGAGGCAAAGAATGGCCACCAACTGCATGATGGTGTCTCTTGTGTATGTTTAGCAAAGCATGCCCGCCGAAAATGCAGTCGATCTTCGTAAACAACAGTTGCGTCAATGCGCACAGTCGCATAAGAAGGTGATCGCCAGGTTAGAAGGGAGCCGCGAGGATGAAGACATTCGCTCCGATACAGCCATCTTTTCCTTGGATTGCTGGAATCCAGCCAGGTCGCGTCGTTAACGCGCTTTCGCGTCAGGGGAGGACCTTGTCGCTTACGCTCGTGAAAGGCATAGGAATGCTTGAGGGGGTTGAGCGGTGCTCGGCAGAGAAGCGTGCGCAAGGGATACTGAAGCGTGCCCCTCCGATGCCAGACCAACCATGGATATATGTATACGTCACCTCGCGCATTCTGCGGTTCAAATGAGCTCGGTCGCCGCATATTGTGAGGATCGAATTACCGAAAACTGACTGGTCTACACCAGAGTGGGATGTTTCGAATGGACATCCTCATCCACTGACCTCGGCACCCCTCCCGCTTGTCCTATCAGTAGAAGCAGCAGCAAGGATAGTTACTGCTATGGTCGATAGATATTTGGGATGGAGCAGTTCGCAAACCGAACCTTAGCTCTGGGTGTTGTAATTGCCAGCCACCCCGGGAAAGGCTGCGTCCCAGATGTTCCTCCCACACATCGTTTCAAACTTGGGGATCCTCCCAAGCACCAGTTTTCTCTTCCATCCCAGAGGTTCACATTCCTTTCTGATCGCGATCAGTATTCAGTGGGGGCGGACGGCGGAGTGAGCTGTTGCCAAGGATGAGACTGTAGAGCAGGCAAAATGCACCCGTGGGAGACTTTCCATCAAGTCCGCCGTCGCTCTCAACAGCGAGACCCACATGCCATATGATCTCCTTGTGCTGTAGGTGTTCTGCCCGTGCTTGCTGTGCGGAGATGTCTTCCGACAGGTGCTTGCCACGAACACCACATGACAGCAGAATGCGCTAACCAAAAGAGGAAACCCGCTTCCAAAGAACAGTCTCTTGGGAAATACCATCCGTTCAAAAATCACTCACAGAGTCTAGCCAGTTGATGCGCTCCCAATAGTTGATAGACTCACATCTGGAGCGGTACCATTTCGTTGCATCCACGCCACAGGGAGAGGAAGACGATATACTTGTGAAATTTGTTTCGGCGAAGACAACAGTTTTTGGCTATGGGAGTCTACGCTCACAATTACAGCAGGCGAGAACGAGGCACAAAGTTTTTACCGATGCTCCCCGGAGCTCTGTCTCAGCCGTAAGCGCAGTCCCTGCATCCGTGATTAGTATGCACCCCGTGACTAGTCTGGTCCTATCAGGAGAAATGAAAAGGGATATTCGACACATTAGATGTATATCTGAACTCTTATCGCAGCTCCAAAGCTACCAGTTTAGCAACTCAAATTCATTGCTGGGATTCTCTTATTTCCCGTTGTACAACATGTTCGACTGAGTGCAATCTGAAGAGCAACTCGTTGACAAAGTTCTTGAAACCCTACGATAGTGGCGAACGAGACTTCTGCAACTATGAAGTCAAATCCCATATTAGCCAGATATGTTGCGCAGTGAGATTATTTCTGAAACAAATGTATTTGACTGGATGACTGAGCTATCTTGTTCAACCCTCTCTCTTCCCCCTACCAAAGCACATAAAGGGCGTCGAACCTTATCTTTCGCGAATTATACCGAATTAACCAAGATGACAGATTTCGGGCACGTAAATTATCAAGCGGAATGCCTCAGGTAAGTCCGACAGTTCTAGTAGCGACCCTAACCTGATACCAGCGTACCGACGCATTTATCTAGCCCTGGCTCCAATGCAATTTTGGTACAAAGTGGGGAAATTCATATAATTCACTATTATTACATGGCTTCACTACATGAGACAACCCTAGAGGCCTGAGTGATGGGGAGATTTTCCCAACGCGCAAAGCTGTTCGTTTACAACGAGAAATCATGCATCCTCTTCTGGGATACTGCTACAGCACTGAAAATTGTCTGAGGCCTGTATAGAGTCTGCTATCCTGATACGCAAACCCTTAGGAAGTGCATGTTATTCGTGCTCCCAGATCCCCCAATCGAGAAATTGAGAAAGTTCGGCACTGACTAGTTAACCGTCATGGAAACTCGTGCTGGGCATTACAAACATATTCGTGGAAAAGGCGGTGGGCGCGAAATATGTCCGAGGTAGACGGTAGCTAAGACTACAACGGAGAATCCTTGAGGCTGAGTTCGCAAGAATGTGAGCTAGCGGCAACGCCTACCTATAGTCACTCCAATGCACAGCTCCCGGCCACATGACGACAAGAGACCCGTAATCTTAAGTCAGGCATGCTCATTCGCTGGTTCCTTGCTAGTTCTGCCCAAATCGAACATTCAAGTAGCTGAACCCTGGCTCCACCACATCGACACCAAGAGAATGAGCTTCCTCATCGCCAGCCGCGCCAGCCGCCACGAGTAGTGGGGTGAAATGCTACCATGATCAGCACAGCACCTTCACAACACATGCGAGAACAGCCACCTACCTCAACCGTCGGATGCGACCGTTTGAACTCAGGCAGCAGCCCCAACTCCAGTAGGGCACCTCTCCTTTTCGCCGAGTCTTCAATTGCAAGTGCGCCGCGGATCTGCTTATCGAATGACCTCGTCTCTCCCAGGACCTTCTCGCTTGTGATACCTCGCTCCTCATCGGTCTGCGCCCGGCTGATCTCCGAAATCGACGCGAAAGAATGGACTGCCATTCCCGAGGCTACGACAAGGAACCCCTCATGCCTAAATTACCAAGGTCAGTGGAATTCACAGCCACATCTACCTCTCTTACCTTAGAGATCGAATCGATTCACCCAGCCGTATCTGACTTTCGAGGTCGTATCCGTGGAATGTCGAAACTTGTATTATGGGTACATCTAGTGGATCCTCGGGAGGGAACATGATTTTGAAAGGTACCCATGTGCCGTGGTCCACGCCTCTTTGGACCCGCTTGGCCTTGATACCCGAGTCGTTGAGATGTTTCCAGACAGCCGTTGCGAGATCGGGCGCGTCTTGATGCGACCAATCATATTCGTAGACTAAAGGATGGGAGTCGTGAAAGTCATTGACAAAGTCGTGCTATATATAGGTTGGCCATGCAGTCGATTGTGGAGGAATGTGCATACAAGAATCGGGGTGTTGCGCTTTACGTTCACTGTGCATTTTCAGTCTTATATTGGAAATGTGAGGGCCGAATGAATACCTTCAATTACACCAGGCCCGTGGATCTCACCCGCTTCAAAATGTCCACTGAAAATGATGAAAGCCTTTGGACGAGGGGAAAGCGCAATAATTTCTTTTCCAACATCTCTCAGGTTGTCTTTCACGATGCGATTATTCTCGGATTCCTTGAATAGAAGCCCTACCCCTGCGTGCCCAATGAAGTAAGTTGGTAGGGCCTTGGAGCTTTCGTTGGAAGGCATATTCACTGAAGTTACTGAGTTGAACAGGAGATCGATACGTCTGGGTTGCTATCGGAGATGCGCGTAAGCACAATATTATACGACGAATTGCGTGTCCCGTGTTGAGGAATTAGCGGTAGTGGTATTGATCACTTCGTACGAATCGAAGCGATCAAGACTATGCGAGAAGTTCGCGGTGCCGCTATTCGGCAGTTGTGGTGTTCGAGATGATAACGCGATAGCTACGCCCAAAGACAACATCGTTTACTAACCCAGTCAATGATAATCGGGATAACCGTTGCCCAATGGTTGTTAGAACGGTCTGTGGTTTCCGGCGCGTCAATCTCAATGAAGCGTAGATGTAGAGGGTCCCGCGGGGAGTTCTGTTGAAAACACTAGCCGTATGCATGGTGAGGAGGAGATGCGCGCAGCGATATTCCATTTCTATCCTGGTGGCTAAATGCTAGTCTAGGATGAAGATGTTGAAATGGGCAGGGATTATTGCTACAACCTTCCCACAAATTTTGACTCGTGGAGAGCTCTGATTAATAGGCCAGGATGTCGCACAGCGCATCGACCTCGCTGACTGATGTGCTTTTGATTCTGAAAGTCTGCGTTCAAGTCACTATGGCTTCGAAAGTCGCTGAATCGTTGACGTCTGTCGCTGCTGCTCCCCTCGTTCCCGCAAACGATGACCATGAGAAGGAGGGCATATCGATCAGTGCATCTAATGTTTGAAGTTGCAGAACGAGACGCTGAACAATACTCGGATGGACTGCTGCACCAAGTCATTGAAAGGCATGGCAAAGAGAACTTAATTCGCTGGACTGAAGAAGAGGAAGCTAAAGTTGTCCGCAAAGCCGATCTACTCTTCCTGCCGCTCTTCACCTTGATATTCACCTGGATGCCATCGATCGAACCAATGTATCCGGTGTCCTTGCTTCCACCTTCCTCAAAGACACCGGAATGACCCGAGATTAAGCGAATACCGACGTCTCACTTTGATGGTTCGGTATTGTGCTTCTTGAGATACCGTCTAACATGTTCTTGCACCGTATTGGAGCGCACTACTAGATGGCATTTCAAGTCATCACTTGGGATTTCATCGAAGTTCTATAGATGTTTGTAAAGAATACTGAAGGCTGGTACGCGGCGCGTTTGTTTCTCGGTATCACTGAAAGTGGATTTATACCAGGCGGTCTTTACACGTTGTCGAGGTGGTGAGTTGTACCAGGATCCAGTTCATCTGAGACGTATGCGCTCATTGTGCATACTTAGGTACACGCAAGACGAGCTTGCTAGGCGCACCACTTTATTCTTCTTTGGTCCTTCTCTGTCTGCAGCTTTATGATCGTTGATATCGGCTGGATCATTGCGGTTAGAGGCCCACGGAGGTTTGAAAGGATGGCAGTGGTGAGCATCAATCGTCAATTTCACCCTGGATTCAGTCTGTTAACGTAGATCCAGGATACTCATCATCTGCGGCGTATCAACCATCAGTAAGCATTCAAACATACCTGAGCATGTTGATGGGCGGCTGATCTTCTTCTTAGCAACTGGTCTTCTGGCATTAGCCTTTGTTCCTAAATCGCCACATGAAACAGATCGCCTCTTTGCTGGAACTATTCCTACAAGACCATGGCTCTCATCGCGTGAAGCAGACATCTTCGTTGCAAGAATCATACGCAAAGACCCCAAAAAGGGCCAAACAGCGACGATGAAGATCAAAATCAAGGACATAATCGAAGTGCTCTCAGATTGGAAGACCTGGCCGTACTTGCTCGCCTGCCTTAGCGGTCTTCAGTTGATTAACGGTCTATCGACTTGGGGCGCTACATCAAATCACTGGGCTTCACCAGCATTCGCGCGAACCTTCTGAGTGCACCAGCCTCCATAATCGCGTCTCTAGGCGGGCTTGCTTTGAGCTTCTACGTAGATCGCTACAAGCGCTTCAGATACGCCATCATATTCGCAGCTGTATGGACACTTGTAGGCTCGATCACGCTTTTCCATCTCCCGGTGAGTTCAGGCAGCTGATCATTCTACGCTGCGCTGATGATAACGAATGCTGCGCCGTCGTGGCAGCCGCTCAATCTAACCCTCGAAGTCTCCGCAGCATCGGGCAATCGCATGCGCTGTGTACATTGGATGCTCGAATCTGGGCGGCACTTATTATAACCAGGTCTTCAGAGGAAGCGACGCACCCCTGTACCGAAACGCATGGATTGCGTGCTTAAGTCTTGAAGCAGTCTGGATTAAGTGATTATAGTGCAAGTGGTTGGTTTCAACATAGCGAACAACAAGCATGCGCGCCAGAAGGCTGAACAGGCCGCTGAGGAAGAGGAGACTCTGTACACAGATGCGCAGGGTCGGAAGCATTTGTAGTACTGCTAACAGAGGACATCTCTGTAGGAGGGAGCGAGAACCTTCCGAGGTTCTCGGATTATTTCCAGCGACCAATGCCAAACACAATGTCGCATAGGAATTAGGGCATTGGGGTATTAGTCTCTTCGGCACAATGACTGTTAAATAATAATTGTCTGTGAGAAAGACTTGGAGTGAATAATGCTGTGAGAGGTTGACAGAGTGGATTCAAGGCTCCAGGGCTGACGCTAGTGCACGTGATCGCGCCACTCCGTACTTTCCTCACGACGCGTCGCGCTTGCACGCTTTCGATCTTGTCGTTTAACAACTCGCGCGGCCATAATGCCACGAATGTTACTTCAACGACCCTACAATCCTTTATTCAAGCCGTGAAAACGGGCGTGAAAACGGGACCGGCTCTTCTGGACGAAATCTCTGCTGGTTGCATATAAGCAGCCTGGGCATCGTCAACAGCGATGCCAGGGACTAAAAGAAGGCCCCATCATGACCTGGAATTCACCTTGAGAAGAGTTTTTGGCAAGCGGGAGTTTCGGTGAGCTAGTCAAATCGGCAAATGGTATACCTGTACTGACTGGGTCATTCAGCCCAGTACAACGCGAGGTTATTGTGGCAACGCTGGAGGGCGAAGATGTTTTCCTACAAGCCGCCACTTCTTTTGGGAAGAGTTTGTGTTACCAGTTGCCAGCTGTTGTGGATTTTGGAAGTAAGCGAAAGAACACGACGAGTCGGTTCATGCGCTAATTGCAAGAAGTTACTATTGTGATCTCGCCGCTTCTTGCTCTCATGGTAGGCAGCCTTATAAGCCTGCGGAGCCCACCTGACGTGAGTATAGAATAACCAGGTGGCTTCAATGAAGAAAGCGAATGTACGCGTGGAGACAATCAATAGCACTACGACTGCCACCAACAAGAAGAAAATCAATGACGACCTTCAATGCGGCCATCCCCTCACCCGGTTGCTATATGTCACGCCGGAGTACTGCCAGCTCGATTCCTTCCGCCGACTACTCCGCGTCGTGTATTCCCAACGAGAACTCGCCCGTATCGCAGTTGACGAAGCCCACTGCGTTAGCGAATGGGGCCACGACTTCCGCCCTTCCTTCCAACAGCTCTCCTGGTTCAAAGCCGAATTCCCCGATGTCCCCATTATCTGCCTCACAGCAACAGCCACTGCCCGGGTGCGAGACGACATCATCACGACCCTCGGCCTCAATGCCTCTCAACTGAAGACGTTTCGCATGAGCACCAGCCGGCCCAACCTCCACTATGAAATCCGCTTCAAGAACGACGATGAGGACCACTATGACGACTTCGTCCAGTACCTCAAGCGCATTCACGAGAGACGTGCTGCCCCGGAACGTGCATCCCAACTTGCATCCCAGAACCAGCGCCCAGACAACTGGCCTGGCATCATCTACACGCTGTTCCGGAAGGACTGCGAGTCGCTCGCCGCCCGCCTTCGCAGCGATGGCATAGGCGCAAAACCTTACCACGCAGGCTTGCCCCACACCGAGCGCGCGGACGCCCTTGCCGGCTGGGTCGCCAACAAGGAGGGCTACGACGTCATCGTTGCGACGACGGCGTTTGGCATGGGCATCGACAAGGAAAACGTGCGCTTCGTAGTCCACTGGCAGATCCCAAAGTCGTTCGAAGGCTTCTACCAAGAAGCCGGGCGCGCGGGCCGAGACGGAAAGGCCGCTTCATGCATTCTGTACTACAGCCGCGAGGACCGCGACCGGGCCTTGACGATGCTGGCGCGTGATCAGCAGCGGCAGCCAAAAAGCGGTGCTGTGAGTGCGCAGCAGGCGCAGCTCAGGCACAGGCTAAAGAGTATGCAGTCTTTGGTGGATTACTGCGAGGGAACGACGAGGTGCAGACATAAGATGATTGCGAACTACTTTGGTGATGACGGGGACACCCCGTGTGGGATGGCGTGCGATTGGTGTCGAGATGCGAGGGCTCTGGTGAAGAGGAAAGAGGCTGGGTTGGCGAGCGAGGAGTGGGTCAGTACGCAGAGGGATTTGGGGCGGTATAACATCGATGAGTATGAGTGAGGGGTCATGCATCGTCCGGAGCGATGCGCATCACGGGAGAGCATAGCGGACAATGTCTTGATCATACAGTTGCTGGATGACATGAGGAGTTTCGATGCTCACTATAAATATCATCCATCGCGCTATGCTCTATGCATACAGCACAAGATGCCCAAATAGATTTTTGCAGATCATGAAGTTCATACCATCATAATCATCTCATTATCGAATAATATGCCACTTTCACAATCAATCCACCGACTCAAGCTCCACACGTATTGCCTCTTATTTGACGATAAGCGCGGCGCTGGGAATCATGCCGCACTCCTTGAGTGTCATGCCAAAGTCCGTTCGCTCGAAGGTTTTCTTCGGAAAGGTCGTAGAGAACGAGTTGACCGTAGCCCCGCCCTCCTCCAACGCGTGTGCCACCTCGAACAGCGTCGTCTCGACCGGGAACGACTTCATGACGCGACCAGATGCCGTCTGCAGCGCAAGACGAGTCTCTTTGTACTCTGACGCAGGCTTCGACGTCGTGGGACCGGACGATGTCGCATGCACAGGCTCAGCAACCGGCGGCGGTGCAGCCCGACCCTCACGCGCCGCCTTCTCGATCTCCGCCTTGCGTTTCCGCTCCTGCTTGTCCGCCTCGAGCTTCTCCAGCACACGCCGCTTTGCCGCGGCATCCTGCTCCTTCTCGCGCTTCTTAGCCTGCATCTCCTTGAGCTGCTCCTTCTTAGCCAGCTGCTCCTTGATATCTTGGCTCTCCTTGGTCGCCTTCATCCGGATCTGCTCGTTCTTCTTGCGGTCGATCTTCTCTTGCTCTGCCTGTGCCGCGCGCTTGGCTTCGAGCTTCAGCCGCAGCTCCTCAAGCTTCTGCTTCTTCTCTTCCTCGGTTAGCGGCTTGATCTCCTCGGTTGACTCGGAGAAGTTCTCGTGGCCGGACTTGGTGCTGTGGTAGGAGGCTTGGTCTGTGGAGCGGAAGCGCTTGCCGCAATCGTCGCACGTGAGGGAACGCGCAACTTCGCCTTCCTTGAGGGCGGGTGGCTCTTCGTCGGCGGCGGCTTGCTTGGTATGAAGCTCGTCGATGGGTGTGTCCTGGTTCTTCTCGAGCCAGTCGATTGCGTCTTGGAGGCTGCCGGTGGCTTTAGAGGCGAGGGTGGCACGCTCCTTGTCGAAGCCCATGTCGATGAGCTGTTCGAGATCCGACGGCATGGTGTTTGTGTGTGTAGTTTGTTGTATTGTAGAAGGTACGTGAGAGGATCGAGTCGGGAAATATATATTCGATTTCGTTCAGACCTGCGGGTGAATATGTCTCAAGTACGGGTTGTTGACGAGTGTTCCACGGTACGAATACGTTCGGTGCTGAGTGGGCAGTCTTGGGAGGCAGGCGGCGGGGTTATACACCGTGGTTTGCTGCAGGCGCGACAAGTGGTCCAAGTTTGGCTGCCTGAGGATAGTGCAGAGACGAGGTCAGTAAAAGGCTCGAGCTCGGGCAAAGAGTAATTGTAGCTGAACTCAAGCTACGGCGCGATGAGACGTATAATAGAAGTAGCGCTAGGCGCTGCCATCGTCATCGCGCCAAGAGGGACCCGAACCCCCCGGCTACGTGCAACTTGGTCCGCACTCACGCTCGCAGCTCCACGCTCCTCGTAACCACAACGCCCGCGCATACCTCGATATCGCTGTCTCCACCTGCCCTTCACACTTCCTACGGTCCTGCGCCTGTATCGGGAATACTGCCTGCTCCCGAGCTGCTGTACGCGCTTGTTGACGCTCACTTGTTGATTACCAACCGATCGCCCACACTGCACTCGTGCTTCTACCATGTCCGTCGAACTCGACCCACCGGAGCTCGGCTTCAAGCGTTAGTTTGCGCTCCGCCATTGTGCAGCTGGGAACGAGGCTCACGTCGCAACAGGTCCCTTCCAGCAAGAGGTCACGCAGACGCTCAAGCTGAAGAACAACCATAGCGACCCCGTGGCCTTCAAGGTGAGCATACACACGATGCTCATGGAATCCATGGGTCTCAACAGATATTTGATAGACATCCGCTGACGGACACAGGTCAAAACCACCGCTCCCAAGCAGTACGCGCCGCCCCTCCTTCCGTGGCCCCCACCTCACTGATGCTGAACACTATAGGTACTGCGTGCGACCGAACTCTGGCCGCATTGAGCCCGGCGACCATGTTGAAGTTCAGAGTATGATATGGCCTTTTCTGTGTCTGTGGCAGCTGCTGACATATGTCCCAGTCCTACTCCAGGCGATGAAGGAAGACCCGCCGCCAGATGCGAAGTGCCGCGACAAGTTTCTCGTGCAGTCGGTCCTGGTCACCGCAGACAAGGAGTTCACCAACGTTGCTTCTCTCGTAAGACAAGCTCCAGGGCGTATATGACACGAGCATGACGGCTGACCCGAGGGCAGTGGTCGCACATTGAGCAGACATCCAAGTCCTCAATCCAAGAGAAGAAGATCCGGGTCCTCTTTCTACCCGCCGACGGCAGCACCGCGACACCCCAGACCAACGGTGGCACCTCCCACCGAGAGTCGCTGCTATCCTCACCTTCACCCGAGGCCGTCACCCCCCAGCGGGGTTCCACCCAGGAGCCCGCTGGATCTGTTTCGCGCCCTGCAGAACGCCCCGTGGACAGCAAGAACTTGGGGGATGCTCGCGAGTCAGCCTACAACCCAGCCACTTCAACTGGTGTAGCAGCAACCGTCAGCGCGGCCGCTTCAAGCGTAGCAAATGCTATTCCTACCTCCTCTAACGAGCTTCAAGCCCAGCTTGCCGATGCGAAAGCCACGATCTCAAGCCTGCGACAGCAGATCGAGTCTGGTCTTCGTCAGCGCAAGACAGAGCCTACCCGGGACACTAAGGAGCAGTTGCAGACCGCCGTAGCCCCCCAGCAAGCACCCGGCGGCGTGCCCATCCAGTATGCGGCACTGTTGTCGCTGCTCAGCTTCCTTCTTGCGTATTTCCTGTTTTGATCTCGCTTCCCCACAAGATCCCATGTCGATTTAGCCGAGCTCGCTGGGGTACGGCAACGGCTCCGATAGCGGGCACAAGGAGGCTCGTAGAGGGCTACAAAATCCTGTCACGATGATGGCCATGCGAAGGAGATGCTGAGGTACGTGGTGTAACAAGAGGTGAGGTGTAGGTGTTGCTCTAATTCTTTGTCTCTGGCGTTTTTACATATTGCGGTGGAGGCTGGTAGTTGTCTTCTTTGGGCGTATACATATACCTGGAGAAGAGGCGTGGCAGGGGCGGTTGTGAACGCATCGATTGGCATGTTCACGGCTGTGTCCCTACCTGTACAACATTCCGTAATACGATTCTTGCAGAAGCTTTTGGATCCGACAGTCCATGTGCCCATGACATGACTCACACCACTAACACACCCTCTGATCCTGCAGTTTCAACGTGGTAAGAGATGAGGCAGGTAAAGATATGCGATATCGCTTTACGTACGCTCTTAGTCACACAGCAGGCCAATGGAGGGGCTTGCGATCCAGACGACAATTATTGTGGGGGTTGGCGAACACAACTTCGTCATTGGAGCGCACGCGTGCAGCCACGCCCTCCACACGACGGCAGGTGAATGAGGATGCTTCCCCATGCCTGGCTGCCGCGCATTGCCGGAGCAAAAATGTTTTGGTTATCTGCGCTATCAGTCGCTGAGACCAATTGGCCAGTGGCGTCAGACGTTGTGCGCCCCACCAGAAGCGCGCGCCGACGCCGACGAACGGGCGCGCCGTTTGGTTGACTCAGTCGAATTTCTTTGAGCCCAGGAACACATTGAATCATACCTCTACATAACCAACCCATCCCTCCTACCCTCCTTTCTTCCTCCAGACCCCCCTCAACTGACTGGAAAAGAAGCAAGATGTGTGGTATATTTGCGTGCTACAAGTATGCTCTGCGTCCCTCTGCCCCTCGTGTGCCCCTCCGAGGTCGCAGCTGCTGTGTTTGATAACTGGCTGACGCACAAACAGGCACCCTGATGTGCAGCAATTCAAGCCCACGGCCCTGAAAATGGGAAAGGCGTGAGTTTGCCTCGGAGGTTTTGCTGTGCGCGGCCATTGACTCATTTGCGACAGAATAAGGCACAGAGGGCCAGATTGGAGTGGCAACTGGATTGCGAACGATACAAGTACGCTGGGCAATCTGTGTACCCGGAAGAAAGATCTAACAAGGCATAGTCCTCGTTCACGAGCGTCTCAGCATCGTTGGTGTTGGTATGTGAAGTCACACGAGCATCATGCAGGCGGAAGACTTATATTGGCACAGACACGGGCGCGCAGCCGCTGGTCAACGACGAGAAGACGGTCTCTCTGGCTGTCAACGGCGAAATCTACAACCACCGCATTCTCCGTAAGGGCCTCAAGAACCCGTACAACTTCAAGACACATTCAGACTGCGAGGTCATCATCCCGTTGGTGAGAAGGCCCATAGTTGCACGAAGAACGCAGGGGATTCTGACTAGGCACAGTACCTAGAACATGGCGTCGATGCCCCCAAGAAGCTCGACGGCATGTTCTCTTGGGTCCTTCATGACAAGGTCCAGGACCGAGTCATTGCAGCGCGCGACCCTATCGGAGTCACCACCTTCTACATGGGCCGATCAAGCTCAACGCCCGGCGCCGTCTTTTTCGCTTCCGAGTTGAAGTGCTTGCACCCCGTCTGCGACAACATTATTTCCTTCCCACCAGGCCATGTGTACGACTCCAAGACCGACAAGCTCACACGGTACTACGACCCCAAATGGCTCGTTGAGCCTGATAACATCCCCACAAAGCCTGTGGACTACAAGGAGCTGCGAACAGCACTGGAGACCGCAGTGCGCAAGCGGCTGATGGCCGAAGTGCCCTACGGTGTGCTTCTCTCCGGCGGCCTAGACTCCAGTCTCGTTGCCTCAATCGCCCAGCGCGAAACCCAGCGCCTCAACGACGCCGCGCGAAAACGCGCCGCCGAGACCAAGGAGAAGAACGGCAAGCTCAACGGCTACGCCATCGATGGACACGCCCCCGGCGGCCTCGTCGGCATCGACGACACCAACGAGCTCGCCACCGTCCAGATGCTCCCCGAGCTCAACTCCTTCTCCATCGGCCTCCCCGGTTCTCCTGACGGTGTTGCTGCACAGGAGGTCGCAGACTTCCTCGGCACGCGACACCACACCTTTACCTTCACGCTCGAAGAGGGCCTCGACGCCCTCTCCGACGTCATCTTCCACCTCGAAACCTTCGACGTGACCACCATCCGCGCATCCACCCCCATGTTCCTGCTTGCACGCAAGATCAAAGCGATGGGCGTCAAGATGGTCTTGTCCGGCGAAGGTAGTGATGAGATCTTTGGCGGCTACCTCTACTTCCACAATGCGCCCGACAAGGCCGCCCTGCACGCCGAGACCATCCGGCGCATCCAGAACCTCCATCTCGCAGACTGTCTGCGCGCCAACAAGAGCACGTCCGCCTGGGGCGTTGAAGCCCGCGTGCCCTTCCTCGACAAGCAGTTCCTCAACGTCGCCATGTCGATCGACCCCGAGGAGAAGCTCATCAAGCGCCCGGAACGCATCGAGAAGTACATCCTGCGCAAGGCGTTCGACACCACGGACGAGCCGGGCACGGCGCCGTACCTCCCGGACAAGATTCTGTGGCGCCAGAAGGAGCAGTTTAGCGATGGTGTGGGGTACGGGTGGATCGATGCGCTCAAGGACGAGGCGGAGAAGAAGGTCAGCGATGAGGATATGAAGAACCCGAAGGCGGAGTGGGGCGAGGATGTGCCGGATAGCAAGGAGGCGTACTGGTACAGGACCATGTTCGACGAGCATTTCCCGGCGTACTGCGCGAGCACGGTGATGCGGTGGACGCCGACGTGGAGCAAGCAGACGGATCCGAGTGGGCGGTATGTGCATTCCTTTTCTCCATGTGAGGCGCAAAGGGCTAACGAGTATAGTGCGATTGCGGTCCACGAGCAGAAGTACGAGAACGCGGCGTAAGCGGCGATGCCATGACGTGTGATCTACGACGAGGGCTGTTTACTGGATGAGGGGTTGCCAGAGTAGACTGACTGACTGGCTGCTCTTCCTCCTTTGTGCGAATACCAGAGTTAGCTGCGTCCCTAGACTGGGGACGGTGGACTATATTCTTGTATATAGAATGTCATTTACGAGTACGATTCTTCTGAGCCCGAGCTGTCGTATATACATGTCTCATCTTGACGGTATCCGTACAATGTACATTTGACCACCAAACAACTACAACCCAGATAATGATAACATCCGCGCAGAACGCTGGGTATCAGATAGTATTATCCGCGAGCGAAGACCGCCGCGTCCCTCAACGCCGGAAAACACTTTTGTTTTATTCGTCCGTATAGCCCATAAGTAATTTGTCGTGTTCCATATCACGTTGAAGCAATGCAGATGGCGTGGCCGCACCATCCAGCTACACCTCCACCGCAGACGACTCCCCCGTCCCGAAAACGCGGAACTGGATGAAGATGATCACGTCCTCGACGATTGTGCCGAGCGACCCAATCAGCCACGGCAGGTTGGTCAGGAAGTACTCTTTCTCAAGGGAGTGGAACAGGATGCCCGCGCCGTACGTCGCATTGCCGAGCAGCGAGAGGATGAAGAACAGCAGACTGAGCCCCTCGCACGAGCGCTCCCGCTGGTTCTTGACAATCTGCGGGATGCGCGCGCCGAGGTAGCACACGGCGCTGACGTAGCCCAGGATGGACGCGCCGAGCGGGGTGTCGGGCTCGGGGTCAGAGGGGGATGCGCCGTGCTCAGGCGTGGGCACCCACACGCCTGTCTTCCATGCGATGGCCCAGCCCGCGGCTCCGACTGCGCATACCCCGACGATGGAGATGGCGTTCTTCACCCACGCGCTGCCCCGCGCCTCTTCCTCGACAAGACTCGGCAAGCTGCTCGCCCTCCGCCTGCGCTCCCTCGCACTCGCCGCGCTACTCCTGCGCCTCGTGTGGCTGCCCGGGAGTCCCACGTTCGAGCTATCCCTGCGCCCGAGCAGCGGCTGCTCGACGCTGTCTTCGCTCCGGGTGGACGCCTTGCGGGCGGCTCTGCGGGCGTTCTTGGCGTTGTAGTAGACGCACTGGGCGATGAGGACGAGGTCCGCGAAGCAGAAGTAGACGGCGAGGGCGGAGACGGTAGGGACGAGCTGGGCCCAGAGGGCGCCGGCGAGGTTGGTCACGTCGCCGATGAACCAGACGGCGAGGAAGGCGAGGGAGATGCCGTCGGCGGAGGACTGGCGGTAGTTTTCGATGAGCTGGGGAACCTGTTCTTGGTTAGTAGTTGGTAAATTTTTGTGGTTCAAGTAGGTTGGGAATTGTGGTGGCTGCCCTCTCGTAAGGACGTGACGACCAAAGGCCGGGTTGCTTAGAGTTGACTCTGAGCGTTCTTGAGCTACTACGAGCATCTGGAATCCGGACGTGATACTGCATCGCCCGTGTTCACATTCACGCGAGGTTGCTTCGGACGGAGCTGCAGTGCATGCAGGTGCCCTGAGGCTTCTCGCAGAAGTTTCTCCAGGGATCACTCACCAGCAGGAAGATCCACGACGCGAGCGAGATGCTGCCGAAGACACCCGACAGGGCCTCGTGGGTCGTCAGGTGCGGGCCGTGGCCGGCGATGGTCACGTTCATGGTGGTGTACAACGGTGCCCGCGAACGTGCGCACCAATGGGCGGTGGTTATAAAAGCGGTGGGGATTGGTGTTCAGGGCCCGTCGCAGTCGTGTTCATGCAGACAGGCGTTGAAAAAAAGCTGGAGACGGGGGCGGCACGTATGACGCAGCGTGGTCGGGGGTCTGCGAGGATTGGCGAGTAGGCGGCGCGCAATGGGGAACGCAGAGCTGCGGGTGGAGCCGTTGGGCCAGGGTGAAAGCAAAGGCTGCAAAAAGCGCACGCGACGCGCAGGCACGCAGACTGCAGTCAACAGCTTCTCCTGCGGCCGGCGCAAGCACAGCAGACTCTGCTGCGAGGTGCGCCTGCAGCCGAGCATCTAGAACTCGCTGAAACGGGCGGCGGGCTGTTGTTGGCTCGACAGCGAGGCCGTCGGCGCCCTGCATTGTAGCGCACGCGCCTAAATTTGGCGTCAATGGGCTGGTGATGCGTCCCTGTCTTTTCCAAGCCCTCGAGTGCGACGCAGGCCCACGACCATCGCCTCATCGCCGCCCGCTCGGCACCTGCTGTGCTGTCAGCTCCCGGCACTGCCGCAACGTCGTTCGCTCCCTCCCACACCTTCGCTCGCTCTTCATCCCATCGTTCCTGCACCGCCGTTTTCCCATCCACCGGCCCAGCTGATACGCCGGCCCGTTGCTTGTTCAACTCTTTACCCTTCGTGAAACACACCCGCTTTAGGCACATACATAGCCTCCCTTCGCTCCACTCCTGCCGCCCACCCACTCTTTCGTTTCCCACCTCACCAAACATGCTAAGCACAATGCGGTCTTCGTGGCTGCTGTTCGTGCTCATGGCCCTCGTCGCCCTGTCGGCCGCCTTCAGCGTCGAGGACGCGCTTCACATCGACGGCATCAACGCCTACCTGCACCACGGCGAGAAGCGACAGGCCCAGGGCACCGGCGCCTCGTCGTCTGCCGACGCGCCGTCGTCGTCCGCCCAGGCGCCATCATCGACTGCCGACGAGCCCTCCTCCACCGCTGCCGCGCCCTCGACGTCCGCACCCAGCACTACAGCAGCCGAGCCTTCGTCGTCCGATACCACACCCACCAGCGCAGCCCAGCCGTCCCAGGAGAGCTCCTCGGCCAACGCAGACCCCAGCACAACCGACGCGTCTGCCGCATCCAAGACCTCCGCAAAGGCCTCCGCGTCCTTGTCTACCAAAGCCCTCGTGTCCACCGAAGTCGCCCCAGTTACCACCATCCTGACCCGAACCCTTACCAACGGGCAGACGAGCCTGGAGACGAGCGTGGGATCGCGGACTGTGGAACACACCACTGGATCCACGGTCGAAACCGCCCTCCCAACCACGCAGGCCAGCAGCAGCAGCAGCGGCCTCAGCTCCACCAATAAGTCCATCATCGGCGGTGTTGTCGGCGGCGTCGGCGGCGCTATCCTGCTCGGTGGCATTGCTCTCGTATGCTGGCGCATGTGGGGAAAGAAGAAGCGTGTCACCGAGGACGACGCCGACCTGATGGCCGGCACCGGCTCTGCCCTCGGCGACAAGTCGCACAGCAGCGCCAGCCCCTTCCAGTCCAACCTCGAACAGTACCACAACCCCGGTGGCCGACCAAACGCGGCTGCCAACTTCTAGTGGGACGATTGGTCGCAGAATGTGTACATACACAGTCGTTTCCCCTCGGATGCGACTGTTTGACGACCTGGACGACCCTTTCAAGATTAGCCCTAGCGCCACCGTGCTGCCCGCGTGCATAGGCGGTACTCTCCATGGTGGGAAGTCTGATGCTTATACGCTTGGACGGCTCAATCATTTTTGTGATCCATATTTTGCATTGCAGGCGTGGGTGCTATCTTTTCCTTTCTTCTCAGCTCATTTCCTTTAATCTCTGGCATCAGCGTGCAGTGCATCCGCAGCATGGCATGGCACCGAGAAGGGTATTAGAATGGGTTGCACAAGCAGTTATATATCCTTTGTAATGGACCGACGTTCTTCGTGTCATTCCTTTGCTGGACAAATTGAGATGGATGGAAGTATGCATGTTACAAAACGGAAAAGTAATTCAATCATGTAAGATCACTGCGTTCTGGCACGCTTGCTTCTCATATGCATCTGTCCAAGTGCGTCTAGTTCGCCCGGCAGATCTCTGCAAGGAAACAGATGGTTACTTGATGCGTTCACGTTCCAGCATTTGAGTGTCGTACGCCGTCCTGCAGAATATCTAACATCACAACACCACGGCCTACCAGACAGTGGCGCAGCGACCGCCATCTTTGGACGTTACAGTGGCGCTCCTCAATGTCTCTCGGCTGACGCATGTCCCTGTGACGTTGCGCCACGGCGCAACGAACCAGCCCTGCCACTCTGGTGTTTCAGCACCGTCTCAGCACGCCTAAGCGAACGACCACATGCCGCATCCCTCCGCGCTCCGAGCATGATTTGATGTGGTTTGACCGCGTCAAAACGGTGCGCGCGTCAAGCTACCGTCCTGCAGATCATGCTGCACGAGGGGAATATAGAGCGTGCGAGCCGCTCTGGGGCGAGGGTTTCGACATCTGGACATCTGAGGAGCGACGCGCTGGACGCCTACGTACCTACGACAACTACCACCAAAACCCCCAAGCTTCAACATTAGTCGATCGTAAAACCCACAATAATGCTTCCGCCGTCCCTTTGGCTGATGGTCGCGTTCGCGCTCCCGACCTTGACTTACAGCTCGCCATCTCCACCGTATCTCGTCGGCGACGATTTCACGCATCTGGTCCCGCGGCACATGCTGTTCTTCCGGCAATCCACGAATCTGCAAACCTTTGACTCCGCGCTGGGCGGCGTCCAGGCATCGCCGATTGAGAAGTCTGGTGACAGTAAACGCCCGTTTAGCGTGGATGGGGATACGTTTCCAGACTTTGACACCGCGGGGCAGAGGAGCTGTGACAATCAGTTTCAGGGGTGCAGTAAGAAGGCCAATGAGTCGGGGAACAAAGGGGGCTTCAAGGTAAGCAATCACTGTTTGGACGCGAGGATTGGGGTTGGAAGGGAAGTGGCTAATGGTAGGAAATAGGTCAGCGACTGCGATGATCAGAAGGGAAAGTGCAACGATGCGCAGAAGAGCGCGACGGTGAAGGACTTCCAGACCAGCGTCGCAAGTACGAATATCGGGCCTGATCCGGATTTCCCGGATTTCGACCTCATCTGCGAATCTTGAGGACGAGGGCGATGACGATAGAATTGTGGATAGGCGATTGGTTCCGCTGAGATGTTGCAAGTTGCGCCAACGACCGGGCTGCCATGGTAGCCGTGCGGTGAAGACCTCCCCATATCGAACTATGCAACGCGGGCTCCCAATTGCGAGAAGCGTGGGAAAGAGCTGGAGAGACGAGGAAATGGTCAGCTTCGAGATGGGTTCCAGCGCGGCTGATGCTGCATCGAGCCACAAGGATGGAGATCTGATGCTGGAGACAGTCCATTTCCAGTTGGCTGGGAGAATACGGATACCGCCAAAGCCGGAAGAAGGGACGAGTGATGAATCTAGGAGTATTACGATATCACGGTTATAGTCAGCTGAGGATGTAACCTTACATGACACAAAGAGGGATGCTGTCAGTAATGTTCTTGGGGCGTAAATATGCAGCAGACACACCTGATTCAAAAGTAGTTATTGCCATTGATGATCTCTGCGATGAATGATCTAAATACGTGCACCAGACGAGCTTTGTTTTTCGTTGTCGTTTGTGTGTGTGAGGGTGCAGTTTCCAACGCTAGCGCAGGGGGCCAGTGCTTCGATTGGGCAATCACATTATGATAGAGCTTGTCCACGACCACCACCTTCGAGCACCAATCTTTCCATCGCAAGACATATCCGGTAGTTTCTCTTCGCTTGTTTTGCTTGAATCTTAGATATCTAATGCACAGTAAACGTAGTGCCTCAATTGACGCGCTTCCTACGCGCTAAGACGCGTTGCCATGAAACTCGTTGCTTGACAAGACTGCTCCGTCCTTAGCGGACATATCCCACGAGTAAGATCACGGATCTTCCAATCATGCCACCAAGCAGCATTTTCCCATTGTTCTTGACAAAGAAAGGCCCGACAGTCAAAGCAGTGCAAGAGGTGCTCCAGCGCATCGGAGAAGCATCCGCAGGCACCAAAGATGTGGTGCAAAACCGTCTCCTCACCAGGGTCTTGTCCAGGAAACTTCCGCAGAAAAATTGGCCTCAGGGGAATGAAGAGAAGAAAACTTCCAGGATCTTGTCCATCGACATGGGCATCAAGAATCTGGCGTACTGCGTTGCCGACGTAGAGAAGCCTACTTCCACCCCCAGCACCACAAATATGGATTTCCTCACGTGGTGCCGATTAGATATTGGCGAAGCATTTCGAAAGTCCGACAAGAACTTGTCATTTCTATGTAGCAATGCAGAATTCCTAGACCGGGAAGACGAGGACTCTGTATCTAGCATGGCAGAACTCGAAGACCGGGAAGACGAGGAGCTTTACACGCCAGAAAACCTGTCACAGATGGGGTACTGGTTCCTGCGTAAGGTTCTGAACGACTGGAACCCGGATGTCATTCTCATTGAGCGGCAGCGGTGGCGCAGCGCGGGTAGCCCCACGATACAGCAATGGACTGTGCGAGTTAATACTCTGGAGGCGGTCATGTGGGCTGTGATGACGGCGATGAAGACTGAGCGCGAGAAGCGCTTCCACTGGCGGATGCATGCGGTGGATCCTAAGCGTGTGGGACACTTCTGGCTCGATGGCGTGACGCTGCCCGCACCTTCACGAGTACAAAAGAAGAAGGACTCCAAGTCTGCAGCAACCTCCGAAGAAAACAACGACATCATCGGCGCACTCGATGACGAAAAGGCAGTCAGCATCAAGAAGCTGACCCGCGGAAAAGCAGAGAAAAAGGCGAAGATCCAACTCCTGCGAACCTGGCTCGACTCAGAGCATCCTTCCACGGCGCTAGCAACCTGCAGCAGCACGTCTGAATCGGAAGCACTCTACCCGAACATAAACTTCACCTTCTCCAGCCACGGACGCCTAGATACCCCGAGCTATGGCGCCGACGGCACGCGCCAAGCCCTTCTCTACGCCACCGACACAACATCTGAGAGAGCAAAAAGAACAAGATACTACAAAGACTACGTCAGGAAGGTCGACGATATCACAGACTGCTTCCTGCAGGCCGCGGCGTGGGTGGCGTGGGACGAAAATCTGCGGAGGTTGGAGCCGGAGGCGAAGTCGTTGATGGCGCAGGTGGAGGAGAAGCTGGGACGCGAAGTGAATGGGCGGTTGGCTGATGGTGTGAAGGAGGTGCAAGCGAGTTTAGAAAATGCCGCGGATGGGGACGAAACAGCGGTGAGGAGCGCAATAAGGAGTAGGAAGGCGAAGACGAAAGAGAGCGAAGGACTAGAGCTTGTGGCCAAAGTGGAGGAACCCACTACATCACCGCGGACAAAGAGAAAGACAAAGAAATCGAAGAGTGAGACGTAATCTCGTAACGAAGCTAGAGCTTAATGATTTCATAGGTTGGATAGATGATTGGGCGCCGCGGTGTCACAGCTTCTATGCTAGAATCCATGGTAGAAGGCCATCTCCATCTTTTAACGCCACCATATGCAAGGACAAAAACTGTATTCTGGCGTTGCGGCGATTATGTGGAAAATAGGAGCCGAGTATGCGAGGATTCAGATCTTCGCGAGAAGTCCTGTCTGGGAAGATGTTGGACATGATCACTATTTTGGTGTTGCTGAGAATGATGGTGAAGGGTGCGTGAATGGAATCCCATGCCGTTGCCGGACTGCGAAACCTTTTGGTGCTTGTTTACAGCATAGCAAAATTCCACTCCGGCTCCAAATCTTCATGAAAGGGCATGGCGCGGACTAAAAGTTCACACATGGACTTTGGCAGCAAGGAATTTTTTAGCAGGCCTAGGCGCGCGCTCGACATCAATGTCCAAGCTCTTTATTTTTAGTTTCCCAATGTGAGAGCTGTGCAGAGAAGAGGTGAGTAATAATCGTTGAGGGACATCCTATACTGATGGTCACATGACTATGGTGTGCGAACGTTTTGATGCTGGCTTGGTAGTGATGGCCACGTAATTTCAGCCCTCCGCATCGGCTTTGGAACGTGATGTAAGGCATCGTGCACGGTATCACAGTGATTTAGCTGGGAGTAGAGCGCTGAGGAATGCTGTGCGCGCCGGCCGATGGTGCCAGGGATGGAACCATCGTAGCGTCTCCGCGGGCGGCAAACATACTTTTTCTGCGCTGAAGATTATACTGGGTACTGCCTGGTCTTGAAGACCAAGAGTCTCACGACCACGTCTAAGATATGGGGCAAAGGGATGATGTTAGTTTTGACGAGGTCGAGGCGCGTCGAGGAAGGAAGTTGGGGATGAGTGCTCCGATTTGGGTTTAGTTTTATGTGCAAAGCGCCGAGGTTCCGTCGCCGCACTTATCTATCTGAAGTCAACACTCTCATCGTCCTACTTTCTCTGATCTAACATCCATGTCCTCCACTTCACGGAGGTATATGAGCAAGCGACAACGACCGTGTGACTTCTGTCGATCCCGTAAGGCCGCATGCCGAATTGAAGGATCCGTACCATGTCGCTTATGCGCGTTGCATGGCCGACCATGCACGTTTCTAGAAGCAGCACAGCCCAAGCGATCGAACTTTCCAGCTAGTCCAGTCGACCATGCATCGCGATCAACCCTATCACATGTTGATGGTTTTGGAGACAGACCAGTCGAGGCGCCCGTGGGCCATGTCCATTCTGCTGCAAGCGCGTCACCGCAAGACCATGTCATGGAGTTTTTAAATCCCCACGCGAGCCCTCCGCAGACAAGCGTGGACGATACATCGGACCAGGCTTTTATGCTCGAAAACCTTGCCGAGCAGTTTTTTGGCGATTTCGAGAATGGACCGGTCGACTTTGACCCTGCATTCATGTCCTTTGCTGAGGAGTCAAATCCCAAAACTCCACAAGTGGCCATTGAGCGTCAGGGTGCCACAAGCACCTCCGAAGACGTGCATCTCGATCGACACGATGGAGTCAACCCCCAAATCTTGGGATACAGTGGAGACATGGATCCGTATTTGCTACAAAACTACCAATTCGACCGGTCGGGTGCTTTCAAATTCAAGCAGCTGAGCATCCAGTCTGCTTATCAAGGCGCTACACCCACACAATTCCTGCTTTCCCAGCCAGGACTCTTTTTGTGGTCCAGGAAAGAGATGGGTCTCAGTGTATCTCCCGAAGCGTCAAGAGCACAACTCGAAAGTGTGGTGCCCGCAGATACAGGTCGTCGATTGATCTGCTTATACCGCAAATTCATCCTGACCCAGTACCCCATCTTCTCTGAATCATCATTCCCAAATCCACATACGAGCCCACCATGTTTACTCGCTGCTATCTACATGATCGCTCAGCCCTTCGCCAAATTTGACGATGTTCTATCCATCGAATTGGCGTATGACACCTTGAACAGTCAGGCTCTCTTTACAATCGTTTTCGAGGCCTTGCATTACGAGGCACATAATCCAAGCCTGGATCTAGTGCAGATGCTGCTGTTGCTCATTGTTCGACCGTCTACCAATCCTTTGATACTCGAATCGTCATTGAAGTGGTCACTCCATGGGACGCTCGTGAGCACAGCTCAAAATATGGGTCTTCATCATGATCCGGCTTCTTGGGCTATAGCCCCGTGGCAAAGAACCTTGCGGCGTCGGCTGTCCTGCACGATTTTCACGGTCGATAAGTGGCTGGCTTGTAGCCTGGGGAGACCACCACTACTTAGGAAGGAAGACTGGCTTGTGACCAGTCTCACCATCGAAGACAATCAAGCATCTACCATGAATGCAGATATTTGGTCTACGCATATGCATTATGCTCAACTTGGTGCGCTCCTAGGCGATGTCCTGGAAAAGTTATTGTAAGTTGATCTAAGGTCGCATTCTTCGGCCAAACCTGATGATTGGACTAGTTCTTTGCGCGCGGTTCATGAGCTAGCATCGGATTTTCGAACGACACTGGACATCTCAAAACGACTCTTGGAACATCTTTCAGAATGGCACAACGGCCATATCGCGGACAGCAGTGACCATGCCGAGCAAGCCGTATCGCTGATGACGCTGTCTACCCTTGGACATCATTATGTTCAGATGACCATATACCGCGCCATTATACGTCCAACACTTAGTGCGGCCCGGTGGTCGACGTCCACGCCTTTGCATGTGCGGCAGGAGGAAGAGCAAGAGATTGTTCGCTTTGCTAGGACAGGCTTGCAATCTGCGACCACCGCAGCTACCGCGTTCATCAAGAGTCTGCAACAGGAGCACCTGCATATGTTCTGGCCTCAGTGGAGTCAAGTGGCCTTCTCTTGCATTTGCTTTCTCCAATTGTTGATGGCATCGTCTTCTCCGCATATGGAAGAGGCGGTATCTTGGTTTGAAGATTTGCACGCTACCCGCAAATTGATGCGCCTCAAATCAGACATGCTGCCCGTATTGCGCTTAGGGTTGTTGAGGATAGATGCCCTCTTCTGGAAGCGTATAGACAAGGTACTACATCTGAACCCAGATTTGCAACAAGCACTTGAAGCCAGCAGAGATGATGGCGCGGCGTGAGGAGGACGATTGAAAATGGCAGCCAACAAGCCACACTCTTCACAAGATTTCGGCGCCTTAGATCAGTAACACACATTACGATGTTCATATCTAATTTTCGCGCACTATCTCCATCTACAGTCGGCTCTTTTCTCGCGGAATACTGCGTAGCACGTCTTCAACAGCGCTCACTGCATCTCGCGCCATACCAAGACCAGCCTGGAATCCGGTACCACCCGCTCCGTAATTATGTACTAGGATACCGTTCCTTGATTCATCAAGTTGAATGCTTGTCCTTTCCACACGAGCGCCACCCTCCCGCGAAGGCCTCAAACCGGAGAACGCGGCCAGCACCTCCATGCCAGGAGTGAGCAGCTCTGGAAGCAAAGTGGTGGTTCGTTCAACTATCGACTCTGACTCACTCGAGAACGTATCTCCAGTACTGCAGGAAAAGATCAGCATAGCTTTGATCGACAAGTCTAGGAGCACATACCCGACGCCCTTCTGCATATAACCACCGAGAATGACGTTACCATTTGACTGAGGACGAGGTATGATGTAGGTTTCATAATCCTTTCCGTGTCGCATCACATTTTTAGTGATCTGCGGAGCTCTCGTGAGAAGTATCTGTCCTCTGGTCGGATAGGATTTGGCATCCTCAACACCTGGGAGACGGCGCGCACCGTTGCCGGTACAGTTGAACACAACCTTGGTCGATATGTCGGAGAACGCAGCCTTGATGCTTGGAAGCTTCTCACGAACAAATTGCACGCCATACTGGTTCTGCAACAGTCGGTAAAGATACTGGATATATCTTGGGGCATTCACGGTGATGGTTGTAAAAGATACGCCGAACTGGCATCCTTCGGGTATGTCTGTTACGCTCAACATTTCGAACTGCAGCATGGTCAGCTTTCCGGTCTCACAGCGGCCTCGGCGGAATCTTTGGCTCCGCCAAGGCGTTGTTGAACTAACATCCTCAAGATATCCAGACATGGACTCGATCTTAGCCTTCGATGGTAGCTCGTCCCAGTACTCGAAAGAAGGCGTCTTGGAGATGCATGCTTCAGTCCCGTGCTCCTCGGCGAGTTTCATCATGTGCTGGTACCCGTACTTGTCCCATCGAAGCGCATTCGCGTCACCACCCGAGATTGCGGAGAAGTTTGCGCCAGCCCTTCGCCATGATCAGCATGACTAGAGGCGGCATCTTGCAAAGCTTGTGGCTGGACATACCAAGGCGATGTGTAATTTATTGACGTATCTCCTGGCAGATGTTCCGCAACGACTGTGATGGAAGGCCCGTAACCTCGTTCCGCAAGCAATAGTGCCACATCCAGCCCAATAACACCAGCACTACACCGTGGTTTTTAGTTTTGCCTGCAATCACGAGTGCCAGTACAATACATACCCAACAATGACAATTGATCGACTCATGTTTCGAGAATTTCCTTGCTAGCACTCACGGGCTGAAAGGATGTGAATCAAAAGTATGTGAATCGAAAGATGTGAATAGCATTCATCGTCGTACAACTTGCATCCTTCTAGATCGACATGGACTCACACCATGCCGACGCCGACGGAAAGCAGCCCAGTTCGCCGCACGGTCGGATGTTGTAATCGGCCCTTTTCGCGGCGTTGAATTTGATTGGCGGGGTTCTCTCGCCTATCCGCCCCGCCTATCAGCAACCTGGTGTATGAAACTGTTCTCGAAAGAGTCGTTTTGATATCAGTTGTCTGATGCTCAACTCGCCAGCCTTACCTGACCACTAGTCTGAGGATTACTGTCGCACATGGAGATGCACATGGCCCCACTATGCCCTTTGCAGATGCACTGTTATCCAATACGAGAATTTATTGATTGGAATTTACCCCAACATCTATGATCGCTGCTGCTCGCCAAAGTGAACACTGCGTAGCAGCTTACTCGTATCGTCAATGTACTCAAAGCTCTGTTTCAAACCCCTTTCTGGATGGTTGTAATGACCAAAAGCATGAGGCATCCCAGCGTACCTCTTCATTGTCACCGTGTTACCAGCTTTGCGCAGCAGCTCGCCATAGAATTCTCCTTCGTCCCTCTCAAGGTCGAACTCTGCCGTGATGATATGTGCAGGCGCTAAGTCGTTAAAGGACGGAGCCAACATGGGAGTACATATCCACTTATTAAGAGCTTCTTCTTGGGCACCTACACCTCTATTAGCTTCAAAACTCCATCACCTCCAGATGAGAGATGCTTACTTCGGCTATCACCAAGCCAGTATCTCAAAAACCACTGCTCACGACCCAACGGGCCCCATGGCACATCGTGAAAGAGATGCACACTTGGGTACGGGCATGTAGCCTCACTGAGTGGCGAACCTTTCAAGCAGTAACGCATGTCTGTTGCGGGCACAATCATCAAGTGCAACTTGAGTGCGATGCCCTCGTCGCGTGCGAAATGCGCGAGCACAGCCGACATCTGGCCGCCTGCCGAAAGACCACCGATAGAAACACTACCTGGGTCGATGTTCAAGGTCCTGGCATTCAACATGGTCCACTTGACGGCATCCCAGCAGTCATATATGCTCGTGGGGAAAGGGTACTCAGGTGCTAATCTGTAGTCAACATCAATGACCTTGATGCTGGCTTTGTTGCACATATGTCGACACCAGGCGGCTTCACTTTTTAGGCCACCGAGAACCCATCCGCCTATATGGAAGTCAGTGCGTTTGGCCACGCAAGGTCACAAGATCAAACTTACCACCATGGAAGTTGAGATGTACAGGGAAAGGTCCTGGTCCTTCTGGCGAGTACACCCTGACGGTGATTTCTCCGACCGGTGCTGTGACTGGCACTTGCACGTCTTCCACATGGAAGACATCAGGTCCTGCAAAGTCTGAGTGAGTGTCTGCTTCATAGGCGTGCCTACTTGGAGGAACTGACCTTCACATGTTGGATAGGTGAAGCTGTATAGCGCAGGGTTTTTGCGGTATTCCTCAATGGACACTTCATCTGCCCTGACCATATGTGCTCCGTAAGTATTCCATAACTCCACCCAACTCGGATCGAGACCAGCTAAATGCTTCTTTTGGATGGCCAGTCTCGGTGTGGCCACAGTCGCTGTTGCTACCACTGTTGTTGTCGACATTACGTTCTTGTGGCGTACGACCAAGTGCGCCGATGACAGACAAATGCTGAAGAATGGAACGAAGTGCCAACAGACAAGGCGCAGGGTCGAAATGGGACCCTGCCCGTCCATGTCCCGTCGCTCCTTGTAGTTGAGAACATCCAGACGAATGCTGATTGGCGGCGTTGGTCGCCGACGCCGCTAGCGCAATTTTGGCCGATCTCTACGAGCCCTATCTGAGGTCCCCGCAGACCCGATATCATGGTATCATGAATCTGGGGTAACGCGCCGGACTAGCTGTAATGCAAGGTGCATTTAAGATCCAGGTCACTGCCAGCCTTGGATGCGATCCACACACTCATAGTCGCTAACGTATCGGCGCCACTGTCTCTTTCCGATTGCAGAGTCATCTTCGCCTTGTACATTATGGCTACAGACATTGAGATCCAAGATGCCAATCTCAATCGGCAAACGACACTCGACGAGAAGGCACGACCAAGCGACGAGGAGTATGCTACACTGCGTCGGGTCCCAGACAACTTGCCAAAGATAGCCCTGCTTATCCTAGCTGTCGAAGTGAGACGCCGATCATGCCGATGCAAGACATCCAGGAGACATCTGCTGATTTTCTTACAGCTAGGCGAGAGATTCACATATTTCGGTCTGAGTGGTCCGATTCAAAACTACATCAAGTACGTCGAACCCGGCCCATCGAATCTCTTCACTGCTGACAACTGTTAGTAACCCGTATGCCCCTGGATCAGACTTGCCAGGTGCTCTAGGGAGAGGCCAGGCGACTGCGACAGCGCTTGGCAACTTCTTCAAGTTCTGGGCCTATGGAAGCACCGTCATCGGGGCCATCGTAGCAGACCAGTATCTCGGCAAGTTCAAAGCTATCCTCGTCGCCTCGAGCATATATATCGTTGGTCTTATAATTCTCGTTGCGACGGCGACGCCAACCGCGATCCAAGATGGAGCAGGCTTCGGAGGCTTGGTTGCAGCTATGATCACGATTGGCCTAGGAACTGGCGGCATCAAGGCCAATGTCACCCCTATGTGCGCCGAGCAATACCAGAATGCGCGGCCGATTGTCAAGACGTTGAAATCTGGGGAGAGAGTTGTTGTGGACCCAGAGCTTACAGTACAGAAGCTTTTTAGTTGGTTCTACTGGGTGGTGAATGTGGGCGCTCTCTCGCCGCTGATCACAGTCAACGTGGAAGCCAAGCACTCCTTCTGGCTTGCCTATCTTATCCCTCTGATGTGGGTCAACAGTCACATCGTTCAAATTCTGCTCACTCTGCTAATATCTCTAGTGCTATTATCATCTCTCTTTGCGTATTTTTGGTCGGCCACAAAAGCTACGTGAAAGTGCCTCCCCAAACCTCTGCGATTGTGGATGCTGTTAAGACTGTCGCGATTGCATGCCGCGAGAAAAGCTTCCAGAATGCGAAACCATCCATGTTGTGCGAACACCACGGTGATATCAAATACAAGATCGCTAGGGAGGAGAGATACACCGATGCCTATGTTGAAGGCGTTCGCAAAGGTGTTAAGAGTTGCAAGGTCGGTGACTATCTCAAGTCTATATGTTCGAGTAGAAGACTAATTATTGAACACCAGATGTTCCTGTTCTTTCCATTCTACTTCATCTGCTGGATTCAGATATGGAATAATCTCATCTCTCAAGCCGGTCAAATGGCGCTACACGGTACTCCAAACGATCTTCTCCAGAACTTGGACCCTATTGCACTCATCATCTTTATACCATTCCTTGATCGTAAGTCTAGAACAGTTACTTTCAGAGAAGATCCTTAAGCTGACACGAACCGACAGTGGTCGTCTACCCTGGCTTACGGAAGATGAAGATCGACTTCGACCCCATCTCCCGAATCTTCGCCGGCTTCTTGCTAGTGTCAGTCTCAATGGTCTACGCCAGCGTACTGCAACACTTTATCTACAAATCCGCACCGAACAGCATTCATGTATGGGTCCAAGCGCCAGCGTACATTCTTGTGGCTTTCTCGGAAGCGTTCATCATCATTACTGGCCTGGAGCTAGCTTTCACACAGGCACCCACGAAGTGAGTCGAGCGCGATTAGCAAGGCACAGAATCCAGACTAACAAGTGTTTTCGCAGCCTCCGGTCATTCATATCAGCGCTATTCTGGATCACGATCGGTATCGCAGCTGCCATCTGCATTGCTCTCGCCCCCGTCTCGCAAGATCCCTATATGGTGTGGACATATGCCAGTCTGGGCATAGTAGGCTTTGTGGCCGGATGCGCATTCTTCTTCTGCTTTCGCAAAAACCGAAAGTGGTCTGCGGATGCCGTCGTTTTGGAGGCAGTACCTGTCGATACGAACTCTGCATCCCTTGTAGCTACGGATGAGAAGTTCGGACTTGGAGAAAAGTGAGCGAAAGTAGCAGGTACATAATCAAAGATCACATGTTCAATCCCATTCATCATTCATTCAACAACCCGCGCCTTCGTAGTTAGCCATACATGATCTTCCCCACAGCTCACGAGTTCTCGAGTAGCAGGCTTCCTCAATCGTCTTCGATCCCGACATAGTCCATGTCTTCGAAGGCTTTAATATGCCAATCGCACAACTCGGTTACAGGCATATCCGCTGGAAACCCTTGAGCTTCACATAATGCTTGGAAACCGACTGCCATATCCTTCACCGTCAGGCCGCCTCCGATAGCTTCGAAAAATCGAAGATTCAAATCCCATACCTGCCTTGAGAACCACATTTCCACCATTGCATCGACATGAGTCTGATGTGAAGGACGGACATAAGGTATAATGCTCGGTGCTCGGACTAGTTGCTCGTCACCCAGCTGAAGCACTATTCCCCCCTCGTGAGATCCTGCAAGGTAGTCGCGAGCATTGATAGTAGCCTCGTTTTTCCTTCTTTTGAAACTCGCCATGTAGCAGCTGCCAGAAGTAATCAGGTCCATATGGGACATATATTTGACAACGCTGCAGCCGGTGGGCAGCTGTTCTGTGATCAGCCGTTCCGTAGCTGGGTCTACCGGAAAATGCTCAGCTAGTACAACGTACGCCCCAGCTTCAGCTTGACGGACGTGTTTTACGGCCGATGTCTGTTCTAGAGGTGCGACAATCGCCGTCGATGCCTTCGTCAACGGTTTAGAAACATGCCACAAGCTCATGTCGTGAAGTCCAGAGAGGCACGGATCGAGACTTATGATCTTTTCATGCTTAGAGACTTTCTTATCCAGTATACTTTGTTGATCTTTCAAGTCTATCGATTGGATCGTAGCGCCAGGGTCGGAAGCGAGTTCGAAGACTTGCCGCAGCTCTTCGCAGAAAGCCCCATATGCTTTGAGTAGATGTTCAAGGCTACATTTAGACTTTTGAAGCAATGAACTAAGCGTCCAAACTCCTTCATTCCTGACATACAACGTATCAATAGAGTTGGAGAGACTCGATGCTCCCCTGAGGGCGGTATCGCGTTCAGCTCGTTGCATGTATAGGTATCGGTCCCTAACCTTCGGCAAAAGACCAGACAAGTCACCTCTGCGTATAGTTGTCGAATCCAGCGGAGCTGTGGTGTTACGACTGAATATTATCCTCGGGTTCTTGCGAAGCGAATTGTATGCACTCGTGTCGTTGAAATAGGCTAGACTGCCCGGCCGAAGCACACAAATACATGACCACCTAGCTACAAATGAGCAAGCAAACATCGCATTATCCCCACCGAAAGTGTAGACTATATGGATTGGCTTGGTCGTCCTGACATGCTGCTTGATCATTTTGTCGACATGGTCAACAATCGTCGTGAACCCGACGGACCCCGAAGCGTAAATCGCTGCCCATCGGTCGACCATCAGCCATTCGCTCTCTTCTACGGCAAGTTCGCATAGCTCCAATCTTTGGGCGGCAGAAAGCGACCCTGATATAATTTTTGATGAAACGTATTGGTCGTGGTCTGGACAGATGTAACCGCCTAATACGGTAATGCCTCGCGACTCCAATTCTCGTTTGGCTGTTTCAAGTAATTGTACATGTCCTTTGTGGATTGGACAGAAAGCTCCTGTTGTCACGAGAACCGCTAGACCGTCGGTATCGTCTGGAACTTGTGCAAGGCGTTTTTCTATCTTGTCGATAGGCCCGGTCCACCACCTTGCATCGAAATTGTAACCTGATCCTGTGTCAGTAACCATATATGAGCTCAAGCAGGTGATTCCGAGTGTTCACCTTCAAATGCAGGTGCTATCCGCTTGTTGGTGCCGGGCGCATCGTTGCCGACTTCTTCGAGGTCAATCATGGTCGTTCACCAGGCCAGAAAATGAGGGAAAATGAGTGCGACATTGACCGGACCCAAATTGTGAGTGGTATTGTCCAAGCTGAGGGAATGTGTTCTTGCCAAGTCTCCCAAGGCAGCAGCCTCACAGTCTGCTTTGCCACCATGACTCAGCCCCACGTTCGAGGATTACCCCAGCTCACACGTCGGCGAATCACACGAAACCCACCAGCGGATCGTGAAATGCGACATGCCTTCGAATCCTTTAGACGTAGTCGTGGATCATGTGTGATGACCGGATAAATACTATGTACCTAGGTATAAGCAACCAGATCTGATTAGTAGTGCATTGGATTAACACACACGACTCATATAGAGTCGATGTGCCGTCCATAGAGCCACCCTATAGTAACAGAATTACTGTTGCGCACACCACCGCACCAAGTAACCGGAGGGGCCACCCCTCTAAGCGCTTCGCATCGCCCATATATGCCCAAGTCGCGCACCCTCCATGACCTTTGTTGTATTCATCTGCTTTGTTTAATCCAAAACTTTTGATAGTATTTGGGACCGTCCTGCACTGGCCGCCGTCTTTGGTCTGACAACTGTTCTCGAACCAGGGATTCTTATTCTGATCGAACGCATCTCCTCCCACCTGCTTACAATCTTCAAATGCGTAGATGTAAAAAACCCATTGGCCATTCACGCCCTCTTCAACCTTCCCGGTCGGTCCATTCTGCTCGTACCAGACACGCGAGTAGTTGGCATTCGAGTCGTAGTTGTCCAGGTTACTAATGAGCCAGTCGACGCGATTGGGGAGTTCCAGTTGTTCAGGGTGGGAATATGGCGTGCTACCATTTGAGAAACCCGTGGTATTGGATTGTGTAAAGAGATCCGAGACATTGAAGCATACAAATGAGGCAGGGATGGTACGCGTGGTGAGTACGAGAGCTTTGGATGTATCTGCGCTGTCACATGATGTGGAGTCGCTATCGTTAAAGAATGCGACTGTGATGTTCGTTTCGCTGAACCTGATTAGCGAATTATGTTATGAGTACTACCTGGGGAGCTCTACCCTAGTTTTGGAGCATCGGCGCCCAGCGTGAGTGCTGGAAACAAGAGGAGGGCTGTGAGTTGGGCTATCACAGGCATCTTCGCTCTTAATCACAAATGTGTCGGTGATTCAAGGAATTCGCACAAGCGCGCGACATTTTTGGATATATATCATGCACGATCTACAACTGAGTGTTGAATGAGGCTGGGGTAATCCTGAGCTTGGCTCGTACGTCATGATCGGCGGCAGTGACATTGCCGGAAGGAGTGCATTGTACACCCGACAAGCGAAGTTCAGGCATTGGTCATTTTCCTTGGGGTCCAAATGATTAAGATGATATCTAAAATCCATCATTGGTCCAGCGGTGTTGTTGCGAGGCGTAGTAGTCCTTGGCGTTACATTTAGGCACAAAAATGCTGTAACGCTACAGGGTGTCGCTTCCATGGTCTTCTCTTATCTCTCTATACGCCTTAGATCCATGGTAGAAGTAACGATTATCCTCCAACAAATTATCCAGCCAGTTCTATCCCGATAATCGACGAGTTGGCTAATTACGATAATTGCTCAGCTCAAACACGATTCGAGTCAGTCATCTACCCATTGATCGTACCATTGTCTTGAAACCGATTGAGATCTTGCTGGGGCACAATATCAATTTCTGATGAGGAGTACAGAAAGATCACAATATCACAGTTCTCTGGATTGATACACAAAATGCAACGCGATAGGTGAAGTTCGAGAAAGCATGGAATGACGATTTGTCGAGAAAATCACACAATGGTGTTCGTGTCTGAACAGGGTCTTCCTTCACACTCGGTCAGCTACCGTCTCCCTGATTTCCTTCATAATGGGTGCAAATATCCGTTCGGGCTCAAGCACTAGCACACTATCCATGTCGTTGTGACAGATCGCTACTGCAAGGTTGTCCAGAATATCGGCGAACGCAAGTGAGCCGCCAGATCTAGGACTGTAAACAATATCGTGGTGGTTACTCACGAGCGGGTCTGATGCATTCGGTTGGCCTCCCAGCCAATATGCGGCAGCTCTAAACTAATAGGAATTGGCAAAATCTGGTCCGGGTCGTCAGCATTCGTTCTCGGCCTAGTCAAGCCCTCAGCACGCTCTATAGACAGCAGCCGTATGCCGTTTAGCTTCCCACCGTTTGTAATGAGCGGTAAAATTCGTGCAACAGACCTAGCGTCTGCTATTGCCCCAGAGCCGGGTCCATGGCCTGCTGCACGGTACTTGCGTTGTGAACGTCAGCCCCGGGAAATACCGACTCAGGGCTGATTTTGTGTTCATCTACCAAAGCGAAAGAATTCCCCCATACAATTTTGAGACACGAACAAGCTCTTCGTCAGGTACGCCAAGGTAGAAGTCCTCGATACTCAAAAGCTCGCAAATCTCCTCCCGTACAAAGATGTCCAACAGTCGATGTGTGGATCGGTCCTGCGGACGACCGCTCCAGAATCCAGCCCCAGCCCCACACAAGGACCTGGTGCGCATTCGCTATGCCAGGTGTGAAAAAGGGTTTGAATTCGGCGATTCTTTCTACCATCTAGTCCCAGACCGCCACTTTCTACGGCGTTACATCCTGGGGCATCTGAGGGATACCAGCTCTGTGCGATAGCGCCATTTCTACAGTGACCTCCTCCTTCCCATCTACCTCAAACTCCGGCCAATAATTTGCGATGGGTTCTTGGACATCGATCAGTCCGCGATCGGCCTGGATACGCACTGCGAGAACAGTGACGCCTCTTGTAAAAGAAAATATGGGGAAAGTAGTGTTTCTCGTCACTGGTGAGCTTTTATCCTTGTCTACTTCTCCGACATAGGCGTCAACGATCTTCTTGTCTCGATGATAGGCGGAGACGTCAATTTTGAATTCGCCGAGCTCGATCGAGCGGGCGAGGGCTGATTTAATTCGGGGGTCCATATTGCATCTCAGTCAGCTTCTAGAAACGCCAAGATACCGCTTGATGGTGGCTGTCGGATACTACGAGGTCTGGCAGGGACCATGGTCGTCGCTTGAGTCAGGCGAACGGACTCGGCGATGCCCACTATGCACATAGGACCCGTCCAAGCTTTTCTAAACTAAACGCCCCTATAATACACATAGTGTCATCCTGCTAAACACCTTCCAGCCCTCCATGTGCTCTCGTTCACAGCACGCACAATGGCACTCACAATCCTCATCGTTGTCTTCCGCACACGTGCCGCTGGTTCGGTCTCTGCATACGGATCTTTTCACGTTGTCACATTCCCGCGCCTACCTTGGTCGTGAAGGCACGAAGACCAATGGAAATTGCCCACCAACTGTGTTATTAGGTGACGCTAAGCTTTTTCGAATGCGATGTTCTGACAATGATGGTCTTTCGGGACCAGGCCTACTTCGAAGCCGTCTCCATCAGCAAGTTGCTGGAGGAAGACAACAAGGAGACGAGACGATTGAAGCCGACTGCGCCCAAATCATCGACCAGGACCGGACGGTCATCGTCGTGATTAGGGAAGTGGTTGAAACAACCGGCCCAGATAAATGGCTGGATCTGTGGGGATACGCTGTATGCGGAGCGCCACGAAGTGTGGGGACGAGGGGTGCGCGAAGCAGGATCAATTGTGGACAGCGTATCCGTAGCGTATCTATAGCGTATTTATCGTGTTTGGCGTACCCAGCCGAAGCCAGGCCGGGATTTCCTAAACTGAGGATCTGCTCCTTCTACATTACACCAACAACATCACCACCCTCACAATATGTGTGCTTTTTGTTTTTCTTAGTGTGACTATGTCTGCTTATCGTGACGAATCGCAGCGTGCCCGCAAACGTGCCACGGACCGCAAGTCGCAACGAAACCATCGCGAACGTCAAAGAGCCTACGTGCAGCAACTTGAGCAATCGTTGGCCACGCTCAAGGCTGCCGCCCATTCTGATCAGCTTGTGAGTAGTCTTCTTGCCGAGATTGATCGTCTTCAGAAGAAGTGCACCACTCTGGAGGCGCAAGTTGCACGCATCCGGGCCGTTGTGTGTGATCACCCTGAGAGTGCGGGCGAAGAGGCGCCAGTCGGAGATACTCATCCTGGGTTGAGCCTCGACGTCTGTGAAAGTGGGCGATCAGATCAAATTGGGGTTATCGCCTCGGTCGATGATGAGCTGTCGGCCATGGGGGTTGCCATGTGCGCCCCAGACGTAACACTAGCCGTTGGCGACGGTTGTCTATCTGTCGAAGACTGCAGCATGTCTGCGTTCGACTGGGATCCGTCAGCAGGAGATGGAATTTTGCAAGCAATGGCTCCCATCCAGACTCTCGGAGACGTTGAGCCAATACAAAACGTCACAGACGTATGCTTCAAACATTTCCATACTAGGCGTACTTCGATCCAGGGCCCGCTAGTGCCATTGTCCAACGCATGTCTTACTACATCGACCTCACCTGGCCTGCCCCGCTACACTGCTGCAGCCGGTGAGGCAGACATATTTCTGTTGGCCGCTCGCCAAGCTTGTCAAAATGGACAGCTTCCTTCGAGAGAGTGGCCGTTTCAACAACACAGGGCTAAGTGAACATTAATTGCCTCGCCTGTGCTACCACTCTCTAACAAAGCACAGCAAATCTCACACGAAATGCCCGAAAAGAGGTTCGTTTCAAAGACGGCACCGTCATACCTCCAGGTGCTATCCTTAAAGCACCGGCGCTGCACCTTCACCGTAGTGAGGAATTCTACCCCAACGCAGACGTTTTTGATGGTTTTCGTTTCGGCCTCATGAATCAGGAATCACAGAAAGTGACAAAACATCAAATGATCAGCACAGACATTGAGTATCTTTTTTCGGCCACAGGAAGCATGCATGGTAAGTGATCGGGGTCGGCATCCCGTTGAATGTACTGATATCTTGCGTAGCCCGGGACGATTCTTCGCAGTCAATGAGATGAAACTCATCTTTGCGAAATTGATTCAGCGGTACGATCTAAGGCTTGTTCCTGGAACCAAACCATCGTCAATGTTCATCGGTACAATGGCGATTCCGGAGACTAAATTGAAGGTGTCGGTACGAAGTGTACAGCATTAACGCACAATGCCTGTGGCAGCCGTCGCGGAGGAACAGCGACGCAGGACTGTCAAATGACAACTACGTCTTCCATAGCATGTAGAACGGATGCACAGTACACGATCTGACTGAGAAACCATCGTGAACTCTAGTGCCGGTCGTAAGTAGCGTTCAAAGGCTCGACCATATGTCCAGCATCGTTCATTTGTCAGCGTTGCATTCCTCGTGTTGATGAAGTCGTGAAGCCATGATTCTCAGTTGAAAATCATCTCGTCGAGATATGGAGTGGGAACCAGACGGTATTTGGGGATGTATACATCGTGGAACACCACTCGAACGGACCGGTAAACTAGATTGTGATTACCACGCAGGGCGGGATAAGCCTGGACGGGACTTGTTACCGAGTCCTTGGCCAGACCTTAGGTATATGAGCCCTGTCGGATCCCCAGCTCTCGTGTTCCCAAAATCAGATTCCTCCCGACTCATCGTCCTTCCTTCCCGCGCATGACTCATTGCCATCGAGGCGTCAACGAAGCCAGAAAACATGGCCGACGCTACCAACGACAACGAAAAGGTCTTCCCAGGCGGTTTCGCTGTTATGACGGTTGCGGGATCCGGCATTGGCGCCAGCCTTGCCCGTCGCGCAGGCCAACTCGGCATGACTGTTGTTGTTGTCACCGACATCTCATCTTCCCGCGCTGAAGCAGTGGCGTCCGACATCCGCGCAGCTGGTGGGATGGCGGAAGCGAGGACGGTCGACGTCTCAAAAGCCGCATCTCTGGGCGAACTCGCCGTCTCCGTATTCGAAATGTTCGAAAAGCACGAAAGTGTGCGTTTGATGGTCAACAACGCTGGCATCGAATCTTCTGGGGCACTCCTGGGAGATCCCCGCTGATCGGTGGTAGGATACGCTCAACATTAACATCTACGGTATTGTGTAAGGTTTCTGGGCGTTTATGCCTACGATGCTGGAGTCGGGGGCGCCGGGGGAAATTGCAAATCTCTCGTCCGTCGGTGCTTTCAGCGTCATGCCGACGCAGACGGCATACATCATGACCAAGAACGCCGTGCAAAGCTTCATAGCATGTATTTTCCTGGACCTTGAGCTGAAGAATGTTCCGATCTCAATTTCCTGTGTGATTCCGGGTATGCTCAAAACGAGTATCTTCGAGGGGAGTGCAGGCCAGGGTGAGCCGGAAGCGGTTCTAAGGCTCGTGGTATGACATGGCAGCATAGTACGGAATGGATGTAGACGAGGGTTGTAAGTCGATACTGGCGCAAGTGGCGGCCAAAAGATGCTGGGTCGAAACGCAGCCGGAGATGACGCATGATACAATTCGCTCCCGCGTCGCCTTCTTTATGAATAGGAAATAACCCAGAGATCGGTGCTGCAGCGAAGCATCTACTTGGCTAGAAGTACTAAGAACGTTTGGCAGACTGCCTCTTGCAGATGTTGTCTGGATTTCAGGCTTGGTCCGCTTCATCGATGTCGAACGTCCAGCTCCGGAGTATGCGGAACCAGAACCAATTTTCTTTTGGAGAATCTCAAATATTTGTAGCATGAAGTTTCGCTCTGTGAAAAGTTGGATGACGATACCTTTAACCGACATCCAACCGATCTAGCTCTTCCATCAACCCCATTTTAATCTTTTCATCCGCCCAGCTCATCTCAATCCCATTCTTAACCAGCGTGACCATTTCTGCCTTACTCAAACCGCAGTAAGTATACACCTTCTGCATATTGCCGTCGATCCAGACGTTATGCATGTACGTCGGGTCGTCACTGTTGATACACAACTTCACCCCTGCTCTGATCAAACTAGTGATCTTTGGAAAGAGCGTCTCAGTACTCTGCCTACGGTGATACGCATGAGGACAGAGTGTCAACCCAATTCCCCGTTGCTTCAGCGCAGGAACCAAGTCTGGCCGGTCCAGCGCGTTGAGCCCATGATCGATGCGCTCCGTGCCCTGTCCGTCGCACACCTCAAAAATGGCTTGGCGGACGTGGTCTGCAGCGTCTTTCTGGTCAACGTCGCAGTGCAACGTAACGTGCAGACCATCTTCTTTGGCCATGCGGAACCCAGCTTCGAATAGCATCGGCGGCTTCTCGAACTCATTCGCTGCAAGTCCCACAGCGTGAAATAAGCCCTTTCCGGTGCCATCAGCTAGCCTACCCCACGATCTTGCAGCAGCATATGCATCTAAACCTTCCCGCAACGGCCGATCACGCAGGAAGCAGAAGATCCAATTACTCCTCACGCCGTACTTTTCCAGGCCATCCTTCTGCGCGCGCAGATAGCCGTTGAGAATAGTGGGTACCGAAATGCCGCGCTCTGTATGTGCCTGCGTATCGAAGAAGGGCTCGCAATATCGGACATTCATCTCAACACATCGAGAGAAATACTCCATGCTCAATTCGTAGAAGTCGTCTTCAGTGACTAGTACTTGGCAGCCGGCGAAGTAGGCTTCTAAAAAAGTCGGGCGGCCATCGTCACCATTCACCTCCTTGCGGTGGTTGTATGTTACTGCATCTTGACAATGTTAGTAGGTGCGCTGGGTGACTTGGTACTGTCCATACTGAATTGAATTAATACAAGGTCTTGTCATTGCGTAAGAGGCTCACCATGAATCCAGCAATTCTTCATATGTTGCATATGGAAGCTTGACATTGTTCTGATGCGCCAATTTCCATCGGAGGGCTGGCGTCAAAGTGCCTTCGATATGTACATGGAGTTCCACCTTTGGGAGTCCCTTGACAAAAGGGGATATCTCGAGTCCGTCCATCTTCTGGAACTGCGAAGTTTTTTCGTCGAACGCGGCACTTTGGCATGCAATTGCGGTGTATGTATTTTAGGCGATCCGAACTCGGCCATGACTGTACGTTCTACGCGGCTTCCTTCAGGACAAATAGCAAGAACGGCGGCGGCCAAAGAGATAAGAAGCTTCGGATAGCGCTGCGCTTTCATCCGCTGATCATACCTGCTCCGGTCTAGCGTGCCCCCACTTTCACTCTTCTCCACTTTCCCATCTCATGTCCAAACGCGTGCATCCCCGCCGACAGCATTGGTCGGCGCGAACAAGCCGGCTTGGTGATGATAAGAATGTCACCTTGAATGCTTGTTAACGCCACGCGAAGGTTGCAGAAGATGGTATATCTATGCAGTCGTCGCTATTTCCAACTCTGACACAGTTTAACAACCCCGAGTCTGGCGCCATGGATCCCTCAAAGCAAACAGAAGTTGCAGCCTCACAGGCGACACCAGAAGTGATCCAAGTCGATGCAGAGCAAGAAGCGCTCGCAAAGCGTGTATTGCGCAAAATCGACTGGCGCCTCATCCCTTTGATGTTCATTACGTACAACCTGAACTTCATGGACAAAACCATTCTGTCGTCGGCCTCGGTTTTTGGTCTGCGAGAAGATACCGTACGTACACCCGACTCTCGAACCGGATAAATAAGTATGCTAACGATCTCGTGAAGGGCTTAGTAGGACAACAGTATTCCTGGGTGTCGAGTATATTCTATTTTGGCTATTTCTTCTGGGAATACCCAACATCCTATCTTATTCCCAGACTTCCTGTAGCCAAGTACATGGCTGTCAACACATTCATCTGGGGGGCTGTCGTGGCAGTCACAGCTGCGTGCACTAGCTATGGGGGCCTCATAACTGTGAGATTTTTGCTGGGTGTGGCTGAAGCTACTATCACTCCGGCCTTCATGTTCATCACGAGCACTTGGTAAGTCTGGCAGTGGATAAGTCGCCTATGCGTGGTACTTACGATACTTAGGTACACGCGCGACGAGATACCAACACGGACTGGATATTGGTTTGCTGGCAACTCGATTGGTGGTCTTATTGCGTCGTTCCTCGCCTTCGGAATTGGCCATATCACAGATTCGCTTGCACCCTGGCAATGGATGTATATCGTCCTTGGAGTCTTGACGTTCGTCTGGGGCATTCCGTTGCTGCTGTTTCTTCCGGACAGTATCGAAAAGGCCAGCTTCCTTACCGAGGAAGAGCGCAAGTTTGCTGCCGACCGTGTCGTGATCTCTGGAACAGGTCACACTGCGAATGCCGGATACAAGCTCGACCAAGTCATCGAATGCTTGATCGACCCAAAAACGTGGCTCATCTTCAGCATGAGTCTTCTGACTCAGATTCCGAACGGGGGAACGCAAAATTTCGGTAATATTGTTCTCAAGAGCTTCGGTTTCACTAGCCTGCAGTCGACCCTCCTTGTCATTCCCGCGTCTGTCATCTCCGCGGGAACGATAGCGGGCACGGGTTGGATCGCAGGTCGCTTCCGCCAGCTGAACTGCCTCCTCATCATCTGCGTCGTCATACCTGCAGTTGTAGGCAGCTCGCTCATCTATGTCCGCCCTCGAACATCCCCAGGCGTCCAGCTGTTCGGATACTTTTTAATGTCGACCGGCCCAGGAGGGATTCCATTGCTAATGTCTCTCGTAGGTGCGAACTATAAGGGTGTGACGAAGAAAATGACCATGACGGCACTTCTCTTCATTGCTTACTGTGCGGGAAATATTGCCGGTCCGCAATTCTTCCGTACCAAAGACGCTCCTCATTATAACTTGGCGTTCAGAGCAATCTTGGTGTGCTACTGTCTTGTTGTCGGATTGGCCATTGTTCTGAGATGCTATCTACAGTGGATGAATGCGAAGAGGGAGCGTGAAGAAGGAGTCAAGGGAAGTGCGGGAGCGGGAGGAGTGGTTGCTGGTGGCAAGATGGCGGATGAGGATGATAGGGGGGCTGCAGCGGCTGCGCAAATCGAGCTCAGGGCCGAGGACTACGACGATGTCACGGACTGGAAGACTTTTGGATTCAGATATCGTTTGTAGGTCGACGGTAACACTAATTTAGCGACTAGTATACATATGGGGCACTCTTGCCAGTAATACCAGTTCACCGGTCGCAAAGTGCGTACAGAGCTCGTTCCTATTGGGCTGAGATCTACTTCCCAGTGAGAACGAATGCCCGCGCGAATGTAAACCCAATCCATCCTGGCTACCCCTGCAGTGAATCTTGTGCCTACTCGCTCACAGTAAAAACACCAAGCAGTGAGTCTTCCGGACCCAAATTCAAGCAAGAAGGCGGTTCAACGCCATTCGTTTCAATGACGATCTCGTTGTCCGCGCCCTCCGCATACATCATGACAGAGTTGGCCAGGTCCTTGGTGAGTTCAGTGTCACCCCAGTTTTGCGGTGCGAAGAAGATATTGGAATGCGCCTCAGACATCAGAGTGTTGGGAATATCTTCACTGCGGGTATAGTGATGCATCCCCAGATTGACCCAAGCGACCAAATCCTCCTGCACGAGTGACTCACCGTTGAAGAATTTCCAGAACTCGACCAGGGGTGCATCTGGCACGTTTTGGTTCAAGGTTGCAGAAGAGGCAGGCTCTGAGTCATGCTGGCGAGAAACAGCAATGGGCTGTTTAGCGAACTGCCCGCTCTTGCGGAAAAAGGGTGAGCTTTTAGATGCGAGGACGACGTTGGACAAACCGGGCAAGATGCGGTACCCACGAGGCTGGCCCCACTTGTTCGTGTGGTCCTTATTGACGACCGTGAACATGGTCTGCCCGTTCGCAGGCAAGTCCATTAAGCCATCATCCTCGGTCTCGACGTCGCTGATATTGTATCGCATCATCTCAAAGGACTCATCAAACCAGGGCTGCGTGACATTCTCCACCACGATCTCGGTCTTGACAAGTGAGTTCTTCTCGTCGACAAGATCGAAGTCTGCCTTGAAGTTCATGACGTGAGTATGCAGTGTACCCGCAATCGTCTCCGCGACCCGAGGGCCCCAACGACCTTCGTCGTCTGGCCTGTAATAGTTTGCTTGGATGTAGCCGGAGGCATGAGCATCCACGCTAATCGTGCCATCAACGTAAAATCCATAGTCCCAGAGGTAGTCATAGTTGCCTACCGTGGCAATCATGCGAACAATAAGTTTGGAGCCCTTGGTTGCTTGGCTCCAGACAGGGTTCATATGACGTGTAATCGGCGTGCCAATGTCAGTCTCGAAGATACAGATGGAATTTATTTGAGAATACGACTCTTGATTGGTGGTTGCGTACGAGCCATTGAGATAGGCTGCGTGATACGGACAATCGTATCCTGGAATAAGTCGCACAGAAGCAGCACCAATGCCGTAGAATCGGTCCATGTAAGCTGTGCCAGCCTGGAATGGGTTGTTCCCGGCATATTGCGCTATGGCGTCTTGTAGTGACAGTTCGTACATGATGCGCTCGCCTCTGAATCGGATGTCGTAGAACTGCACACCGACATCGTAGTCGAAGCGCATGTAGAACGTCCAACCTAAATACTCAATGTACTGCTCTTCTTTGTCAACCTTGAACCTGTTCCCATCAAGAGACAGAACTGTGGGCGCCATGCGATCCTCCAGTTCGCGCGTGGACCCTGTCTTATTCTTGTATAGAAACTCGATGTTGGTCGCAGGCGGCGAGGTCTTCGTAACATTTCCAGCTTTCCATGCACTATAGAAAGCCTGCACGGAGTCGTACACCTCAAGGTTGTAGACCACTTTCATTGATCTCCATTGTGAGGCATCAGTACCGGTGATATCAAACTGGATGTACAGATCGGATGGTTGGTCCCAAGGCTCCATCCCGTTCCTTCTGAAAGGGCTCCAGAAGACGCTCTTCTCGCCATCGGTGGATGCAGGACTCTGCATGAAATATATCATGGTAGACCGAGAGTCGCTGGATCCGTAGAATGCCATTTCAAGAAGATCATTAGTCAGGTCGGCGATCGGAGCCAGTGTCGCGTTCATCAAGCTGTCAATGGCAGCACGTCGGAGCGAGTCGACGGGACCTGCACTCCATAGCAGCTTTGCACCATTCGGTCCATTGTAAATATTGTCCAAAGCTTCCTTTCGAGTACTGTTCGAGATGGGCAATGGCCCAACCTGTAGGTAAACTAAGCATGAATAACACGGAAGCTTCGTAGGTACAGATATACGCACTGAGTACTCTCCGACGATTGGCACCTCGCGACCACCTTCGATCAGTGTCACGCGAGCGTATCTGGGCACAACACCACTGGCATCGAGATATGAGAGGACATCCGACTTATTGGGCTTGAGCACATCCACGTGCCAGATGTAGTTATCGCTGAGGGAGATGGTCGCACTTGACGTGTTTGTGAGATTGAGACCTTGAGCTGGATCGTGTAGCCACATCGCCACGCTGTCTATCTCGTCTTGAGAGAGCGAAACGAACGGGTTGGCCTTGGGGGCAACAACCGCAACATCCTCCGGCACAGGGCAGCTGTCTCGAGGCTGTAGCGAACGACGGCCAGACCAAGATGATGACCCGCGTCTCCGTTTTTCACGGGTAGTAGGATTATATCTCGGATTAGGTGCAGCGAAGGTTGCGCTGACCAGAACGAGGAGTACCGTTGCCAAATAGATGGACTTCATGAAGTCAGATTGTTTGAAAAGGAAAGGAAAAATAGTCGAAGCTGAAAATTCCCGTATGGACCAGGCAGATACTTATACACCATGAGGGAGGCCATCCTCTGGCCGCTTGGGCGACTTCGATGCTCCAATATGAGCCAGACCGATCCCGAATCACTGATGAGGAAATGAAATCTGGTCGAGCGTGTATTGCTCAGTGCCCACCGCATCCGCCAAGATATGCGATGCAGAAAGTGAATGCACATGCGCTTGTCTCTATTTGGGCTTGATAACCCAACCCCTGTTCACCAAAATACGGGGCAGATGTTTGTAACAGAAAGCGACGGACGAGATATCTGTGCGGGGCATGATTGGCTGGCATTTATCGTTTCGCCCAGTCCATGTCAGGTAGGTACGCCGAGGTCCAACCGCCGAGTCCATGCGCTTCTGAAGGACTCTTGTCTTAACCTCCACTCCATAATGTGTATGCAGGACTTAGTCACACCGTCGGTAGCGCATCGCCGGCAAAGCGAAGCCGGCGCGTGTGAAACATGCAGAAGCGTGCATGGCTCAACAACTGCAAAATTTGGGCGTAGCTTCTGTAGCTCCAAGCCAGACCCCCTGAGGCAAAGATAGCCTATCAATATCACTTCTTTATAGTTTGGTGTGTGTCGACAAGCCACACAGCTTTCCGAGAATCCATCACGTACGGCAACAGGGCAGCATACCTTGATGGAGCCGAATTATTTTCGACGTTCACGATCCGGTGAGTGGGGCTTTACCGCACTCATCGACCCCACACGTTAACATTGTCTCTAGGATGCCTGACATGTCGTTCCCTTCACACTAAGTGCGATGAAGGGAAACCTGCTTGCTCTCGTTGCTTGGAGCGGCGCCTTGTTTGTGGAGGATATGTGCAGCCATTGCGCTGGATAGATCAAGGCCGCAGCAAAGCCAAGCCAAGAAGACCAACCGTCAGCGTTGACCTTCGGATCGGTGGTGCGCTGTGGCCATCCAATCCGCCTCGTCTTCATTACACCGATGAAATCCTTCTCGAGCACTGGATGACAGTCACCGTTCCGCAGGCATGTCTCAATCCGGCGGCTTCTCAACAGCTTCGGGGCATGTATGTACATCTGATATGTCATCGCAAGCGCGTAGCCCTTCACGCCATGCTCGCAGCCTCTGCTGCACACATGCTCTCTTTGGGGCTGACGGAAGAGGAAGCTCTAGTACAGGCCAAGCAGAGGTCCCTGAACTCAATGATTGCCGAGCTGAATAGTTTCGAACAGACGAACAACACCGCGACCAGCGTCACCGTCGGTCATCTTCAACAGCTTCACCTGCCTTCCTCAGCTCTTCAGGATGCTTCAATTATAGCTTCTCTTCTCTTGCTTGGTCCTGAAATCATCAACGCAGGTCATAAACAAGGACCTGCTCAGGTTCGGTGGCTACTGCGGGGCGCGCGGTCCTTGATCGTCGAAAGACACAAATACTTCAGCTGCCTTTGCCCATTAGACCACCCGGCGAGATACGAGCCGCAGTTCAGCCTCGATAGCCCCGTGCTCGTGTCATCAGTTCGATCACTGGTCTTTACCGACATCATAACATGCGTTCCGTGTGTGAGGAGGCCATATATCGGCAAACAGTATTGGCTGGACAGCGCCATTCAGACTACCATCGAGGGCCTTCGAACATACACACCGGATCCCGACCTGGGGTATAGCGCTTGGACGCTGGCGCTTCTGGGCGATTGTGCAACACTTATCGAAGAGCTGTATACAAATGCCATCTCTCAGGAGGCCTTCTCTGTGCGTCAGGCAACATTGCTTGGTCAACTTGAAGACACTGTGAAAGAACTGGAACAACATGACAACGACGGAGAGAATCAAATGCTAGCAGTGGCCACGGCTGATGGACGTAACGTCATGGCGGCTCACAGGCGCAACATAGCCGCGACTATATGTCACTCTAGGGCCGCACAGATCTTTCTTCATCGATCGACAAATTTTGATGTGAAATCGACACATGTTCAGCGGCTCCGCCAAGCTCTTTACGACTCCATCTCAACAATACCCATGGAAGATAGTGCCGCAACCACGGTATTGTGGCCACTGTGGGTTCTAGGATGCGAAACTTATCCGGGAATGAATTGTCCATCGCAGGTCGAGATGATGGCAATGCTGCAACGCTTATATGATAGTCAATGTATGAGGAATGTCAAGCAGTGCTTGGATAGGCTGACACGCGATATCTGGAGACAAGATCATTCTAATCTCCTCAACATGAAATACAAGTATCTCAAGCCCGACGATCAATCTGCCTGGGTAAGGCGTTGCTGGGATGAGAAATTAGAGTTGCTCTTGGCGTGAAAAAACTGCACCCTGTTTCGATGTTATCGAACTGGTTTTGACTCCAATCATCACGCGACGACTTATCTTGGCACTTATGTTTGGGAGATTCGTTTGTCAAATAAACGCTAGCAGGTGTTAGTACTACCTGATGCTGCGTACCTTGGTCCATCATTCTTCAGGTCACAATCGATACCCGACAGGGGTAGTGTAATGGTGCCAGGGATTCCTCTTGCCGTACAGTCAGATACAAGCAATTCCAAGGTAGAAAAATTCAGATCAAAGATACGCTATATAATTCCCTCGTACGATCCGCTACTAGAAACCCACCTTGCTCCCCCAGCAAAGATCACCTACATCCGTATCAGAAGGCTAAGTCGTACCCCGTTATATCATGACAGCAAGTTGTGCACAAACAACACGTTCGCGGAGTTGAACTTTCCAGTCGCAGTCTCCCGCTGCGCCTTAACATTTTCCACAACACTTTTTCAATGTGAAAGGCGCATCTTTGACATTACTGATCTTTTTCAGACTATTGATCTTGTCCTCAGCTCCCTTGGCTTCCTGTCCAGGTCTCGTCTTCCATATCGTCTCCATGGCCTCAATGATTACTTCTCCCACTTCAAGTACCCGTTCGCGAACTCCACACGTTTCAAATCCGGGTCGAATTCACGCCCCTGACATCACATCGTCGCATACCATTATGATCCTTGAAATTGTGGCGCTCCAAGCAGAAAATGATTACACCAGACTGGCAGCCTCATCGAGCACACCCGCTGCACTTCATTGTGGCAAGCGCTCGCGTTCCCGATATTCTGGATAGGCATAAAAGCTTTGCGTCTGCAATCGCTTCTACTGGGCGATACACCGTGGTGTATATAGCTCTGGTGGAAATTGCGATCGTGGTATGCTCTGACGGTTGGGCACTGCGTGATCCGAGGCGGGGTTTGAGGAATTGGGCTTTGGTGAAAGCTCTGGTCGTGCGTGAGATGTCGATACCAGGTCTCTGTTCCACTTCATCCCCACTTGGGCACGTGTGTGTCTCGTGGAAACGATGCGTCAACTCTAGAAGCTAGGAAGCAGCAGCCCTTGGGTGTAGCCTCGTAACAAAGCAACCTTGCAACTATTACCACTCATACACAACAGAAGCCAGCCACCCGCCCTCTACGAACGGCATTTTCATCAATCCAGAGCCATGCGCAGACTATATACGCGTTCAAGCTATTCCGAATTAACCACCTGCAGCTGGTTGCGTAAGCCCTTGTTGTTGTCACCAATAATGCGGAGCAGGCGATTCTCTCGAATCGATCCCGCACACTCCTAGAGAATCATGCAAAGCTTCTACAGCTTCACAGGCAACGCGCATTTGGATGAGAGTTTCGTAGTGCTGTCTGTTCACGTTGGCGAAGTACCGGTAGTGGCGCTAAATTTCAGCCTCACCCGCGTCGATCTTGCCTAACGAGATCGACTACATCATCGATATTGATGTTCGACTCTGCATCTTTTACAACCATAAAATCTTCCAGCAATTAACCGATTGTCAGTATTGTCACCCGCATTGACCTCGTTGACTCAAATCTTCTTCGTGCTTGGAATATCGAACTTAACACAAAAGCACCATGCCTTTCCAATCACTTCTCTTCTGGTCGAGTAAGACGCCCTTGGATAACGCCTGGCATCCCCAGATTGGTCGGTGTCCGACCCAGTACACTAAGAATCTTCCACTCGTTCTACAACGTACAGACGCTGAAGCAACTCTGGTCGACGCCGCGCCTTTCATCGCCAGCATTGGTGCGCTTCGCTACGCATCGCAGCTGTTCAATTTTGGCTTCACAGTTTCGGCGAATGTGTTCAAAAACGTCCGCACTCTGACCGCACTACACACTTCGACCCTTCTGTTTGTACCAATGGTCTTGTCACTACAGGCCGCGGGAGTCGAGTACAGGAATTTCATCCCACGGTGGAGAACAGCTGCAGAGTCAACACGTGATGAAGAGGAGGTTCGGCGGCACGTCGATGCTGGTGCTTACCTTGGCGGCATGGCTTGGGTTGCACGACTGATTATGAGGGTCGGTGTCAGGTACTGGGCGCCGATTGATGTGGTGCTGGGTGGTGCTGGGGCTGATGTGCTTCACCGCGAGTATGTGCGCACACATGCCTTTTAACGTCCAATGAAATTATACGGCACCGGTAGCATGGGGTGCTGCGCCGCAGTTGTTCAACTTCCAAGCACACCCGCGCCTTTTCCCAGCCCTTCTCTTAGGATCGACTATCGCGCTTCAGTCTACCATGACATTTAATTCATTCTAATCGTCGGCCATACCTACGCTAGTGGTTACCTCTGCTGTCATCACTTCTATTGTTGTTCTTGCCATGCGTCCCTTCTAGATATCGCAGTCTCAATCCAGCAAAACCTGGAAGAAAGATTCCAGTCGGCCCTCATTAGAATCCGCCAGGACCGTCGATATACAGCTCGGGCATGGTGTGACTCGCGTTGTCATCGATCTGTGGCTGCTGCTTGTTCCGATGCCGTTCGTGTTGAAGATCCAGATGACGCGACGAAAGAAGTTTCTCACGGTTATGGTGTTTGTATTTGCCTATTGGTGAGTGTGAACAGAGTGCCATGCGCTCGCGGGAGGCTGACATTGAATCAGTGCCGTCGTCTTTACAATTGGCCGGACGGCCTCGATATTCATCGCGGGTGACACCTTGAACACCGATATTACTTGTAAGTCTCGATACGTGCGCGGTATAGAACGTCTAATGACTGAAAAATGGGGTAGAGGGCTTCGTAACCAGCTTGTTCTGGTTTATCTGTGTAACGAGTGTGCGGTTCATCTCCATCTCTTTGCCAAGCGTGTTGCACCTCTTCAAACGGGCTATAATGTTCGGCTTCTGGTCGCTCTTCAATGAAACAATGTACGAGATTAATCTTTCTGAGAGCTGGCAGGTTCCGGAACCATCGCTCCGAAGTCAGAGGCATCATTTGGTTACCTCTGAGAGGCTCAGGCTCCAAGTCCTTGACCTTGTTACGAAACATGGCAGTCTGAATTTGGAATGAACTCGTGTGGCTTCCACACGGCGACCCAAGTCCCAACCTAAAGACTTCACCGCGTGCCCGATCAATGAGGGGAAGGGTTTGTAGCTAGATTGTTCCTTCTTCATGTACCCTTACTCTGATACTGCAACCGCTCCAGCTCACTCATATCCACAGCCCTAAGTTCCCTTCTCGCAAACATCACTACTGTGAAAACCAGTCCAGGCAGATACCCTCCTCCCACTGTGACTCCCTCGCCCCACGATCGCCCCTGCAACATCTCTGCAATCGCAAGCACCGCACACAAAGCCCCGTTCGCGACAACGATGTACCGCGCTACCAAGTCCGCCGTCGCTTCGGATATATATGGCACTGGCGGCCTTTCCGCTTTCGTTTCGGCAGGTTTTGTTCTTGATCTCGCAGAGGGGGACTGCAGGTCCACGACGTGGGAGACAGAAATTTGCACGGGAGGTAGAGGGAGGAAATAGAGGGTATATGCGGAGGCGAGGAGGGAGGGGATCGCGAGGCCGGCGGCAGGGAGGGTGGAGAGGCGGAAGAAGTGTGGGATGTAGAGCAGGATGGGGAGAAGCGGGAGCACGAGGAGGAGGTGTGTGTAGGTTGAGGTTGTGTGCGTGTCGTGGGTTGAGAGAGTGGTGAGGAGGTGCGCTTGGTCTTGGTAATGTTAGAGTTGACTGAGGGGGGCGCAGGGGTGAGGTACCAACCTTGTTCGTCCATGCCGGCTTCTACGGCGTCTTCGTCGTCAGACTCGGAGGGGTAGTGGAAGGTGCGGCGGAGGCGCGTTGCCGCGGTTTGGGCAGACATCTTGCGTGTGGTGTGTGCGATGGGGTGGCAGGAAGTCAGAAGATCCTTCTTCCGTAAATCGTGGCTTTTTGACGACGCGTAGGCAACTGCGTGTGAAGCGTGAACGTTGGGGCGTGCAGAGGGATGACGTTATGGACCCTGGTTTCCGGGCCGGGTTAGCGTCGAATAGCTGCCACGCGCGCACGTGTCGGACCTGGCCAATATGAGCGACTCACTAATACTATATGTAGCCAGCTTGCCTCGACTTCTCTTGTTGTCCCTGACTCGAAGGCAACAAAGCTACTATTCCATATAGCCATGACAAAAATAAATAGTGGAGGGGCCTAGCGTGCACAGGCGGCTCTCGCGCTCACGTCGGCCGCACTCCGGCCACCTGATGCCTCTCCCGCCAGCCTCAACACTCACTGCCTCCTATACCGGCCATATCGTGCTTGAATAGACTACAGTTACATGCCAACAACGCCTAAGATTCCTAAACTTGTGACTTTACAACGGCAGAACACTACTTTTAGGGAATTCCCGCGCCTACTGCGATACCTAGCAGGTGAACAGTCAAACAGGCAGCAGTGTATTGGCGAGCTGTTTATTTGACTTAGAGAGAAATCTGCCTCAGTAGCTCCGACTGCTCAATTTGCTCCTTCTCCTCAAAACCACACTTTCTCGCCACGCCTGTACATACGAAGGGCTCTGCGAGCTGCTGAGAACGCTCTCCACATTGCCATTGCCATCCTGTCCCTCTCTGTGTTCATGCTGACCTCTGAAGTAGCCAAATTTTCCTGATTGTCAGCCTCCACCCGCTCGACGTCGTCCAATTTATCCATATCCCCCAGGCCAGCATCAGCGCTGCCGACGCGATTGATTAAATTATGGACGGCTGCCAGGGCGTACACAAGCTTTACCTGAGACTCGTCAGAGAACTCATACGGCCTGTCAAATATACGCCAGCGCCGCTTGAAGACACCGCAAATACGCTCGACGATGTTTCAGAATGCTGAGGGGGTAAAATTTAACAGCTCCTTCGCCATCTACACGTCCCTGCCGACGTCCTTGATCTCTAGAAGATAATACCGAACACCGCGATATTGTGTAAGCAGCTGCAGCAAATTACGGTAGTCAGCATCTGCAAGGAAATGTTTGCCTGTCGGCGCCGCTAAGCCTGGATACTGGGCACGTTTTAAGACCCTGCCGTCATGAGAGCTGCCCTTCCAGCCAGACAATATGTACGAGAGTTCATATCGAAGTCTACAGCTGCTACTTTCTGTGACAGATATCCATACTGGTTACGGTATCGTTCTCGGTCCTCTGCTTTTAGATATATAGGAATGTGCGTGCCGTCGATCGCACCGACGCAGTCCTTGAAGTACGGCCAGCGCTTCGGACTGTCTCGCGTATGCTCAGAAATCTCACTGACGGAGCTCTTAAGACGTCCTCGTATAGGTACAGCAGCCCGTTGAGGACTTCATGAAAGTTTCGTGATATCGTCTTAAGGATGACTCATTTGGACAAATGTATAGAAAAGTGAGTACTTTCTCTTCAGCTGTAACATTGCCTGCCTTATTATGCCTGCCGTTGCTCACTAATTGACGAGACTGTAGGAACACGAGCAACACGTCCCACGTCTCTCATCGTGATCGGGTCTCCTCATACAACTGTTTATCGTCACCTAGGCAATCCTCAAGCCATTGCCGCCCCTTTCCCAGACCAGAATCACGCCCTAGAACATCTGTAGGAATATACTTGGTACTCTTCTTGTTGGGCAACTACGGCAGCAACGCTGCTGATGGCACCCGCCAGCGCTAGAAGTGCAGGTCTGTTCAGCTTACCTGCCAGATCATGTGCGCTCGATTTTCGAGACTTTAGTTGTTTTCGAGCAACAGCTGGCTAGCAGGACCTCCGGGTCTAATCCTAGTACCGGAAATATCATTAAGGCAACAATCACTCCTAGAAAGCCACCAACAGGGGTTCAAATTTGACCGACAAAGCACCGTCTCATCTGGGTTTGAATACTACAAATTCTGGCCTCAAATACCAACCAGAACACCGAACTCACGTCTCAAATGCTGGGTCATATTTCCGGCCTAATTTCGAACCGGGATGTCTGGGATATCAAACACGCCCTGCTTTAGTTAGGGCCTCGAGCAGTGCACTTCATGTAGAGCTGCTACAACCCGCCTCCAGCAGTGTCGTTTTTCCTGCATGCTAACCACGTTCCCATTTGTGCCCCACAGCGGGTGTCGGAATGAACGGGAGTCCTTAGCGTGTATTTACATACAGGGGCCACGGGATCAGCCCCAGCCTGAATATTAGCGCTGATGCCGAGAAGCTGGCTGTTGGGACACGCAACGTGTTACGGCCCGCTGCTCCAAAATGCCATGAAAGTCTGAAGCGCGCTGGATGTAGTTACTTCAACAGCATCACTTGGCGAGGCAGAGATGATTCGAACCTCCAGGCGCTTGTTACTCTTCTACATCGGTCTGCGCGTAGTCATCTCCTTAGGAGAATAATATCGTCTAATGACCCTAGCCAATGACGACGTCCTTCGGACTTCGCGCCTTGCACGAAGCTCAGACCACCAATGAGCTCGATATCAAAGTTGACTACGCCGCACAGCTGCATCTTGGCTTTATCGATTGATCCAGCTGAGGTACAGCCGTTTCGTATTTTGAGGACAGACGCGTATGATGCGCCGGTTTCCGACTCGAGAATTTGGATTGTTTCGTGCGAAACTACCACTCGATTGGTGGGACTTGAGGTCTTCCTGCCGTTCACTTCAAGCTACTGACGGCCGAGTTGATTGCAGTACACTTTCATTGAGTAATCTAATACGATGACTCGGTAGTGTTCATTGTGGGTCTTTGGAGGGCCCAATGACTGTCGTTCAGTATGCCCTCCCGCATCCCCACCCTTTGATTAGGAAACGTCTGGTGCTACAGCCAGGTCTGTGAGTCTGCGACATAGCCCATACAGCGTATCTCGAACTTCAGTTCGAGAAACTTGACACCAAACTCAATTTGAACATTATCCTGGAGCAAATGTTGCCACCTTCCTATCGAGCTCAAAGCTTGTTGCAGCCTTGCAGGTTATTCCGCAAATCGTACATACATGGCTCGACTCCAGCGCTTATGTGAAACCTTGAACCCTGTATCTACCGTATCATCGATGCTGGGAGCCTTCAGCTTCAACCGCGCCTCTTTTTGGGTGGGTTCATGTAGAACGCGAAGCACATATACGACGGCAAGAACGAACCTCTGTTGTCTTCAGTCAGCACAACATCGATCAGACACTGTATTTACCAAGTGTCTCTTGTTTCCAATCTTTGCGTTACTCATTCTTCAGACCTAGATCAGCTTCATAGGTCATGGCTACTCATACACCGAACAGAAGCATACAAAATCGCCAGTATGTCGTAAAAATCGAAGCTCAACCAAACAGTGTTCAAGAGAAGTCGCTCGCCAGTACCAATCTTCCTCGCAACGTGGAGTTAGGACCCGTTAATGATCTCGAATCTGGATTATTGGGCATTTTCAATGTCGATGATCATTCTGATGTCAATTCAGAGACACCTCTACCACTGCCTTCAACGGGAACAGCGTCCACAGCCTCCTCTCCAGGCACAATCGATGACATCTGGGATTCGCCCCTACCGTCATCGCATCATCTCAGCCCAACCTGCAGCGACGTTACGTTGACGCCGTTGACACCGCCATCAGCGCATTATGTGTCTCCGGACTCATCTCCTGCACCCCGGGCATATAAAGCATTGCCAGTGAAATGCGTCGAGGAAGGAGGGGCAAGGGACGCATTAGCGACTCTAAACGCAAGTCACTGCGCCAAAACAAACTTGGGGATCGACCCTACCCAAGATGAAGATTACTTCTTCAAGCCGCAGAAGTTGATCCGCAACCTGACCAAAGAGCTTCAAGCCAGTGAGTTGTAGTACCCGATGGCATCGTACCGAGCAAAGCTAACATATCCACGCCAGTCGCGAACGCCAATGCGGCCGCAGCTCAGCCATGCTACAATTTGAGACCTGACTTCAATTTTGGGGGAGCCACTGAGTCCAAAACTTCTGCTCGGCCACATCGTTCGATAGTCGTGACGAGGCATGATGCAAGGAGTGAGTCAAAGCCCCAGATAGAAGTCAAACGCACCGCAGAAATAAGCGACAAGAACAGCCTGCCGCGCACTCAGATGGCTTCGAACCTACTCCATACGACCTTGGAGCACATCGTTCCCATGACTATCCAATCCAGGGTCATGGAAAACCATGGAAAGTGTGTTGCCTCGAAGGTAGGGAAGCCGCAGGAGAGGTGCTCCTCGAAAAGTCCAGGACTTGGAATTGACATTATATCTCGGAACCTCTCGAGGTGCAATGTCGAGGCCGATCCCTCGGGGGTTCTTGAACACATCGAGCGACTTGTTGAAGCAGTCATGTGTGGAACTCATCGGAACGTAGCGCGGTCGAGCAAAAGGCAGGAGAAATTGAAGAACTTGGCGACCTGCTTCGTAAAATTGTCGGGTGCGGAACGTACAGAATTCCAAGCATGGTTGAGTGCAATTGCGCCCCGCCATCTGCCCACGGGAGTCCAACCTACGACAGTGCATATTCCGCAGAAGGATACAAAGAGCGCAGCCAGCAAGACCCTCGAAACTCGAGATAAACCGGTAGCGCCATCGGCGACCAAAAAGAACCCCGCTGGTGATACCTGGAAGCAAGCACATCTTCCAGGATTTAGGGCTTATCAACCGAAGTCCACAAAAGATCAAAGCATATCGACTGCATTGCACAGAGAAATCATCAAGCCACTCCCGCCCTCTTCCCTGAAGGATGGCTTCATATATGTCTTTTGGGACAAGGAACATTTCGGGAAAGTCAAAATCGGACGTACCAATGACCTCGAACGTCGTCTCAAGGAATGGAACCGGGATTGCAATCGGATACACATGTACCATCCCGCCTCGCAACGTGAAGAGCTCTCGAAGATCCCTCACGTTAGTCGCATCGAGCGGCTCATTCACATCGAATTGAAGGAATGTCGGAAGCAGAGATATTGTCCGAGTTGTGACAAGACTCATCAAGAGTGGTTCGATGTGGGAGAGGCCTCGGTAACGAAAATCTTCCGCAAGTGGCAAGACTGGATCATGCAAAGACCTTATGCGCTCGACCCCATAACTGACACATGGGTACTGAGACCCGAGGTGATGCAGACGTTGGACCAGGTGTGTGAGCCGGTAGTTCTTGCCGAGAAGCCGTTACCATTGCGTCGTGCTGCCGCAAAAGGTCCCAAAAAGCCTAAACGACGGAGTTTATAGCGTGGCTGCAAGCTGTTGCAAGTATGTGGTTATATGTCACTTCCGCCTTCGAATTCAAGCATCCTGTTATATTATACTTAGACCATATGCAAACTGCGTTGAAGTAAAACGTAAACTAACTCGTGTATACCGCTGGTGGTTAAGAATGGAGACCCGTTGTCACGGCAATCTGTATAGATTTTTATAGGTCTTGTTGAGAATATGTGGGTTCAGTCCAGGTGGTGGAAGGTGTTTCCGCAAGGCCGGAGTCACATAATGACCCACTGTGGCAGGCACTGCTTGGTGGGCAAGTGCACTTAACTTTAAGGCGAGAGCTTCATGAGATGTACACAACAACAATCAATACAATACGTTGCAGCCACCCCGCCTTGTCCCTCCACCTACTTGGTCAACTGTCGTAGTTATACTGCCAGAGAGACTTTGTTTCAATAGGTCTTACAAAACCAAAAGAACTTCCATTGATGGGAGTGATGGGCTAAACCCGTACAACAGATAGCGGAGATCAGCTAATAGGCACTGACTTGATCCGTAGTCCGCGCCGTGGCGAAGTAAACAGAAATAGGCAGCGCAAAGTAAGCTAAATCAGGGCTACGGGAGTCGCAAAGACCCCGTATAATTATGCGCATAGCTGAAATTGATAAGGCGGTACAAAAGAATGTTTCGTGGATGCAGGACTTGGGATGCTGAATAGCAGTGGTCATTGTTCAGCCGTACGGATCCAGACTACTGTTGTCTGAAAAAAAGGCGCATTAAGTAACCCAGAAATAACGCACGCACTTTTGGCGAATGGAACACGATAGCTACTTTTCAGTGTCCCATGGTCGTATGTGAGCGGAATCAGTATATTTCCTTTCACATTCCACATTTAAGCTCTCTGAGTCGGGGGTGTTGAAGTAGCTGCACCAATGTGAGTACTCATCACAAGTAATCATGAGATAACTATGTACTTTAAGTGATAACGGTCGTATGTGAACGTAGGTCCCGCGAAACGTCGCTAAATACCTTTCGCAACCTCGGAATTATACACGCGAACTATCCAAGATCACTTTCAATTCGGACACTGCCCATCAAACACTATGAGAGCCTTTGCCTCTCTAGTAGCAACGTTCTCTTCGATTGGCAGACTGGAGGCGATAATCAAAGACACCTGCTACAACGTTGTGGCCTTAGCGGTAGGCTGAGGTTGATGTACCCCCGTCACTGCATGCCTGTAGCCACAAGGAAGTTGTAGAGGCTGTATCGGTAAGCAGGTGTAACGCTGTGCAAGGCTCCTAGACATCCACATTTGAGCTCTCTTAGAGGTTCGCTAAAGACCATCCAATAAAATGCAAACGTGAATAATAACTGGGGCTACGGGGTATTGATTTCATGTCGTGCAGGAGGTATAACGCATGCAACGCCGTCGCTATGGGAAAACGAGAAGACGACATCCAAAAAGATTCGAACAACGCAGGCACGGCAGCATCTATGCAAAAGCAGGTTTGCAGTCAAGAATCCTACACCATCATGCTCTTTCTCCTGCTGGCTATCCTCTCAGCCCGCTCAACCCTCTCCGCCCGGCTTTCCCTGAGGCCTTCACTCCCACTCGGTAGTTTTTCGCCCGCCCTCTTTTCCCGTTCCTTCATCGACGATCGTACCGCCGCTGTGCTTTTTGCCAGGCCTGCTGCAGGCGCGCCAGTCTTGACAGAACCGCTACCGGTCCGCTTGTGTACCGATGGCAAACTAGCGACTCTCGCACTAGGCTCTGATTTACGATCGTCGGGATCGGGTGGCGAGACTGCAGCAATCGAAGAGTGTCTCCGACGTTCACGAGCTGCGCTTGCGAGACTGATCTTCGGTCTCACGCTCGTTGCTGTAGAAGCACCCGCCGCGGGAGAGGATTCGTTGAAGTCGAAAATGGCCATGTCGTTGTCCGATTCAGCAGTGGTTTCTTTGGATTTAGGTTCGCTCCTTTCATGTGGTTTGGTATCGTCCGCTGACAATGGTACACCGGCAGAGGTGAGCGACTTTCGTTTCTCCGATTTGGTCTGCTCAATCAGCTTCTCTATTGCCCGTTCGGCAGCCGAGGAGTTCAATTTTGGTCGTTCGGCCGTTACATCTTGGATTCCCTCTTTGCGATCGAGTTTTTGTCGGAGCGGACTCCCCAGCTCTGGCGCATCGCCTCCCCTTGCATCACCTGCGGCCCCTAGAGGTCTCCAAGGCGAGTCTTCTGGTTCTTCCTTGATGACGACGTGTGCTGAGCTGGGCGCAGACCGTGGAGGCTCCACACTCGTCCTTCGCGAATGGTCAACGATCACTGCATCTACCAACTCTTTACTAGGACGACGCATTTTGGTAGCCAAGCTTGGTTCCTTGTAGCTTACTTGCGGGCGCGCACGACGTGACGGGCGGCCAATGATACCCGTTTGGCTCATTGAGCCGAGGTCGCCTGGAGGAGGCGTGTCCTTAGACTCGGTTCGCGACGTGGAAGGCTCGGTGGATGGCGGAGAGAAGGTTAGTTCCGCAGCGGGTGTTTTCGGGGGCAAAGACTCAAGATGGATTTCGGTGGTAGCGACTGGTTCAGCGATTTCTTGTGGGAGAACATTTGGAAGGACGCTGCGAGCAACAACTGTACGGGGACGGCTCGCTTTCTTCTTTTCGGGCTTATCAACCTTATCAGGCTTCTCGGGGGCCGAAGATCGTTGTTTCTTGGGGGAAACCATGGGATCGGTGTTGACAGGTTCTGGCAATTGTTAGTCCAACGTCACCAGCTTTATGAACGTATACTTACTGCTCGAAAGGGCCGGTCGCGACAAAGAAAGAGGTCGGTCTTGGTCAGTAGTCTCGTCATCAGAGGCAGCTGGCGTCACGCGCCGACTGAACTGGAAAGACTCGGCTTGAGGCTGGCTCTTGTTGTCATCTTCTTGTACGCTAAACTTGCGCTTCGCCCCAGTTCTAATGATTTTTTCGGGCGCGGCTTCGAGTTTGTCCTCTGGGTGTTCCTCCGGCTTGTCTTCGAGGTCTTCCTCAGGCGACTCAAACAACGACATTCGCCGAATCCTTGGTCCACTCTCTCGTCTTTTGCGTCGGGGTTCGATATTCATCGGCAGTACCACTTCGTCACCGTCCACTGCCACGTCAGGCTGGCCATCGATAGCGGCGCTATTCTTGAATACGATTGGCTCTTGGATGTCAAAATGCGATACTGGTGGCGGGCCGATATCAGGAGATTGGCTCTCGGGAGCGTCTAGTATGTCCTGGAGTTCTTCCGCACTATTCTTGATTAGCTCCTGTCCGCTTTGCCACGCCGTCATGCCTGTGCGCTGCGTAGGGCTGCGGAGGGCGTGGACGTACTTCATAGTCATGCGCGGGTAAGCCTTGTACTCTGCAATGGTAGGCAGCATGGCATTCTCGACCTCCTGCAAACCGAGTGCGCTCCTCCACTGCTTTTCCTCCGACGTCTTCTTGGTCGCGGTCTTGACGTGACATGGTGCGCTGCCTCCTCTCCGATTCAGTTGCCCCAACTCGGCTACCAGTCCACCAAGCTCTTGGATCTTTGCTTCCAGCTGGTTCTTGACCGTGTCGATGGTAGAGAACGAAGGCGCGTGGGCTTGTGCCTCGAGCGTGTTCTGTAGGTGCAGTACCTGCTGCGCGAGCGAGCAGTTTTCGGCGACAAGGCGTGAGCGGTCGTTTTCAAGCTGGCGAATGTGAAGCTGCTGTTGCGAGTTGATTCTGCTTATCATTAGCATTGCGCCATGTGCCTTCGTGGCCCAGCGGACGCACTTTGCCAACTCGCGATTTGTCCTCAAAAACTTCCGCTTGATCGCGTCGTATGCTTCGGTTGACGGCGGCGCAGGCGCAACGGGTGGCTCATTTAAGCGCGCCATACGCTGATTCTTAGGTTATGGTGATGCTGCGGAAGTAATGCGTGTGTGGCTTTGGCGATGCGCGCAGTGGTTTTTGGGGTCTGCGTCGTTCGTTGTTGCCGCAGCGTCATGCGAGGCGAGTGTTTGTTTACCATGGCAACAGCGCGCTAGCCCGAAGCGCCATCCCTGCCATTGTCCCCACGCACTGCGGGCGCGCGCAGCCTCCCGAGCGAGCGACCACACGCGCATGCCACCTTGGACGGTACAGTTTGCCAGTGAGAGAAGTATGGCGTATCCCCCGCGCGGCCTCCCCTCGCACATCCGCAGCCAGTCCAGCTCCCTCGGCGGCTCGCAGCCCTCGGGCCAGTCGCCCGTCCTGCTCGCCCGCATTGCTGAGAAGAAGGCCGAGCTGGCCTCCCTCAAGGACCTGCAAACCCTCAGCGCAGGCCTCGCCGACCAGATGCAGACGCTCGCCGAGAAGCTCTCGACCCTGTCCGACGGCACCGAAGGTTCGTGCCCACCCATTCCACCCACCCACACCCCGCCGCGGGGCAGTCCTTCACAGGAACCGCGCATCACGGCGTGGATGCAAAGTACAGTACTGACGTGTCCGCCCTCCAGCCGTCGCCGCCGTGCTGTCGAACTGGCATAACGTGCTTCGAGCGATCAACATGGCGTCCAGTAAGTGTTACCGTCGCCAAAGCACCTCTCTCGTGCAGTGAGCTGATTTGCGCAGCCAAACTACCCAAGCCGAAAGAGGACGACGATGCAGAGAAGAAGACCGACGCAGAGCCACCGCTTCCCCAGACGCTTGTTCGCATCCCGACACAGCATGCTCCTGCAGTGCTGCCCCAGCCCACTTCGGACGATTGAGCGGCATGTACCAAAAGAGGACAACGCCGATACATGTAGTACGGATCTGGGACGAACCAAGCGAAAGACGCGTGAGCGCTCGCGTATTTGTCACTCTGTCTGACAAAGCAATTCGCGAGGTTGCGGCGGCTGCTATCTGTGAGAGTTAGGCCGCGATGCAGCAAGGATATGCACATCAGCCCTACCAGGCATGCTTATTGGCTGTACAAGGAAGTCATCGTGCTGTAGGCGAAGAGGACCGTCCAGCCCGTGATAAAGAGACGGCTGTGCGTGGAAGAGCGATTAGTACTGCTGGTGCTTGACAACCTCGGTGACTTTACATTCACAAAGCTTGTCTGGACGCAACCGGGACATCATGCCATATCAAGGCTGTATCACATGTTGAGAAAGAATTCATTTCCTGTTGAACACGTAGATGAATAGAGCCATCCAATAAAAATGCTCGGTCCATGCTCTACATGTCGTCCAACATGGAATATCGCTTTTAGCATGCAATGGAATTTCTTCCACTCGTGCAGTCGTGAATTGTTACAACGCCATACTCCGCGCTAAGTTCGTAAAGCATCGTCGTGTCCTGGCGCATGCGCTTCCTACGCACGCCTCCCTGCATCTTCAAATTCTGCGTCAAGCGGCGTATCCAGCCCGATCATTGACTTCCAATCTACTTCTTTTGCTTTGGCATCTTCTCGTACGCATTCGGGCTTGGCCGTCGTCGCGGTCGTTTCTGCGGTTGCCCCGACGGACCTCCATGTGGCTCGTCGTGGTCGTGGTCGTGGTCGTGGTCGTGGTCGTGGTCGTGATTGTGCGACTTGCGTCCCCTTCTTCCGTTCCCACCCTTCCTCCCGCCAGCAGGCCTTGCCTCGCCGTTGTCGGGCTCGCTGTCCGAGTCCGAATCGCTGCTTGAGTCGCTGGAGGACTCATCCGACGACTCGCCTACTTCGCGCGGCTTGTGGTAGATGCAACATACTAGAACCCACATGTTAGTACATGTCCAGTAGCAGTTTGGGCGCGCACACCTTTTGATGACTTCTTTCCCATGCCCTCGTTGTCCACGACATCCTCTGCCCATTGTATGTGCCTTTGCTCAACGGGTTCTGCGCGCAAACGTAGGGTACCTGAGGCTGCCTGGAGTCGGAGGACCGGGTGTGTAGTAGTCACGCTACCATTGGTGCGATTTTGCTGTGCGGTTTGTGTTCCCATGCTGCCTGTTTGTGACATGCTGAAGAAGAGAGGCGTCGAGCTGCGGGGAATGAGTGATTTATATGTCAGCGACCGCGTGGGGTGGCGGTGGTGAGAGACTTTGGTTGTCGAATCGCGGAAGGGCTCGCGTGCTCGGGTTTAGGCGACGGCGGGCTGCTTTCCGCGGCGTATGGAGCTGCGGCTCGGTTCGATGGTTGTGGAGGTGGGGAGAGGCTGGGGGTGCGGGGACCGGGGCTTCGCGTGGGATCGTGAATGTGCGTCTTTGTTGGAGGGCTGTGATTGAGCAAGTGGTTCACTGGTCAGTGCGTCATTGCTCGGTTGCGCTTGCCCCGCTACAACCGACCACCGATTCCAGTTCAACCAAACACGCGTGCGGCATTTCAACTAGTGTTCGAACATATCGCAGGATTGATACTTCGGCTTTACAGCTCACCATATAAGACACACCGTCGCGTCGATATGTACTTTGTACTAGGCACCTCAGCTTTGCACTTACACTTCGTGAGGGCTCGCAGAATTTGGCGCAATCACTATGGACCGTAGTACCTGATTGCATACACTGCCATACTCATCGTGTCCGGGGTGGACAGGCTGTATTCTGGATATCCGCTCTGTGGTCATGGTTCCTTTTGCATCGATCTTCAGACACCACACAATCTTAGTTTCGCCTGTCAGAGTAAGATAGCCGCAAAATCAGGTCGGCATCACAATTCCAAGCAAGATTGAGGGAGCGACGGTCACGGCGAGTGTCTGGACCATCTCTCAGAGATTGCCAACTCCTCCGTCCTACCAATATCATTCAGATTTCCTTGACTACTCACCCTTGCAGACCCTTTTACTTATCAGCAAACAATGTCGTCCAAATTCTCTACTCTCTCATACCTAAAGCGTTCTTCCGGCTGGCAATTTCAAACGCTTACCAAGTCTTTTACCAGTCTTTTACCCCAGAGAATATCAATGAGCAACAGGTCAGAGGGGCATTGACTCAGTGGCCATTCCGCAACCCTCCTTCACCATCACTGTCGCACTTCAGGTTCTTGATGCCATGAAACCAAGCCTTCCCCAGGCTCTCCTTGTAATTCCACTCCAATTGCAATCTTCTAGCAGTCGATTTGCCAATCCAACACATAGTTCAGCACGGCAAGCTGAGTACTGTTCCCAAATCGCCCACCCACTGTAAATCGTCTTGACACTTGCTATGCAGAGGAATCATGCTAAATTTGAACAGATGACTCCCGGCGCGCAGCTTCCTGGGAAGATGGCGAAGCAGTACGACTTCAAGTGGCTCAGTCTTGATCAGCTGTACATATTGACATATGCGTTCATAACATTCATTCTGACCAGTACTTAAGGAACGAAGTGGTCAACGTTCGACTGGGCTATGGATGCCGCTCGGAGATCGTGAAATTCTTCCGCTACCTCACACTCAAGTACGCTCCGGGCTTCGCTGTGATTTTCGCCGACCCTCCTGTTACGGCAATCACCCTCAAAGTCGTTCCGCTCATGGAGATGAGGTACTTCACCAAGTGGTTGCACAGCAGCTATGAGGCCGACTATACGGAGGTGCATTTCAAAAGTTCTTGCCTCCCCCCGGCACCTTGGCGGACAGGGGTTCTCAGCCGTAAACTCAATGGGGTAATTGACTCCGAGTATACGTATCCTCAACTTTTGGAGGGTTTTTTAAAGGGTTTTTAGTTCAAATTCAATCAGTTCAAATTCAATTAATTCAAATCCAATCAATTACTCAACCATGCCTCAATATGATATTGCTACTCGTGCCTTTATTGTCTGTTTAAAAGCTATAGGCACTACAAATGCAGAGATCAATCATATTACTCATGTTCCTATACGGTCAATTCGATCAATCTATTCACGGGCAATTGAACGAGGTTTTGATCCAGATGAAAGGCCTTTGCAAGTTCAAAATAGCTATCTTGAAGATGCTCCACGATCTGGTAGGCCAACAAAACAACCTAATATCTCTGAAAGTGTGATTAACTCTGTACGTACTGATCGCTATGGGCGAGAGAAATCTTGTACTGATCTTGCTGGGGACCTTAGTTAAAAGGGAGTGAATGTATCATCTACAACAGTTTGGCGGGTTCTTAAGATTGCAGGATTTAAGAAGACAAAACCAACGAGGAAGCCTGGACTGACGAAGAAGATGAGGGTAGAGAGGCTAAACTGGTGTCTTTAACATAAAGATTGGACTATTGAGGACTGGAAGAATGTGATCTGGTCTGATGAAACCTCTGTTGTTTTACTCCATAGACGCGGAGGCTATCAAGTTTAGCGCAAAGTAGATGAAGCCTTTGTAAGAAGCTGTATTTGAGAGAGGTGGAAAGGCTACTCTGAGTTCATGTTTTGGGGCTGCTTTTCATATGATGAGAAGGGACCTTGTCATTGCTGGCTACCAGAGACAAAGGTAGAGAAAGAGGAGGCTATAAAGGAGATTGAGAGATTGAATCAAGAACTTGAACCTATCATGAAAGAGAAATGGGAGATAGAAAATGGCATGCGGCGTCTATCTCTACGTACCCAACCTGGGCGGCAACCTCAATGGAAATGGACTAAAAGGAATGGCAAGTTATCACGAGGATCTGGATCTGGAATTGATTGGTATCGTTACCAATCTAAAATCCTACTCCTAAAGCTCTTCCCCTTCGCAAAATCTTGTCAAAAGAAAAGGCCAGCAATAATAGTCCAAGAAGATAAGGCTCCTTCACATAGTCACTATGCACAAAGCTATATCTATAGCCTACAAGAGATAGAGAGGCTTCTTTGGTGTGGGAACTCACCAGATCTTAATGCAATTGAGCCTTGTTGGTTTTGGATGAAAAGAGAAACTACAAAGAAAGGAGCTCCAAAGTCTAGGGCTGAGGCAATTCATGTATGGGAGAAGTGTTGGAAGGATCTACCTCAGGATAAGATTCAGGCTTGGATTGAGCGCATCCCAATTCATATTCAAAAGATTATTGAGCTAGAAGGAGGTAATGAGTACAAGGAGGGCAGAGATCGTTCATGGAGATAGATTCATAGATCCCCTATCAAACACCCTGTCAAACCCCTGTCAAAAACGGAGTCAATTACCCCATTTAGTTTACGGCTGAGAACCCCTGTCCGCCAAGGTGCCGGGGGGAGGCAAGAACTTTTGAAATGCACCTCCGTAAGCACGACAAAGACCTGTGGCAGGCTCGTGGCGCGACACCGGACTGGAGCTTAGTGGATTGTAACTGTACCAAGCCTGATAAGTATGATTATGGAGAGGAGTATGGATGTGAAGATGATCCTTTATATCCCCCCCAAGAATGTTCCGAAGGGGCTTGGGAAGGCGCAAAGGCGTGCGTGGGTTTGTTCACATTCGGAAGTGCGTACGGCATCACCCCGCTTCGCGAGGATGCTCTCGACCGTCTGTGCTGGTATTACAACGAAGTGCGTACCATCGGACTTGCGGAAATTGAAGACCCCGCAGTCGGGGATGACAATTGGGAGTTGACCGATCCGATCCTCCCATTGCCAGCCAAGCATTGCGAACACGCGTACAATCAAACTCCTCCCGGCTCGCCTCTTCGCAAGCTTCTCGTTCGGGCCTTCTGCGCTTCCCACCAGCCAGGTCATCGTGGGAAGTTCATCTGTGTCGGCTTCAAAACGTGCTGTGACTTTTCGACCGTTTATTTGCACAAGGATATCCTTCAACCAGTAGATCCTCCTCAAGAGCTCCTCGCCGACGTAGCTGCTTGCTTCGCTAGCGGGGTTTCATCCACGTACGTGGTGAAAGGCGAAGACATCGCATGTGAGAAGTACCCAGTTCTGCCCCCTTCCGACTTCCACGCCCACAATAGCGAGCAAGAGCGCCAGCACTGTTCCAAGTTGCCAGTGGATCCCAACACACGAGTACATATTGAAGAATAGTCAAGGATATGGGCCAATCCAGATGCTGGGAAGATTTATCCATAGTAGGATCCCGTCTTGCCAGTCCGTGCGAGCCATCGCGGTCTCCACATTTTTTCGATCGAACAAGACAACACCCTCAAGCTTGAGAAGAGTTGCATACACTCCGGGCTGAAAGCTCCTTCGCATACGTTCAGAGGGTATGAGACATTCTCTCATGGGCTGACCAAACGAGAGATAGATTCCTCCTAATTTGGAGTGGACCTGACATGCCACAGTTCAAGGTTTTCAATCAAGCTTGCGGTGGACATACCGCCAGCAGCTCATAACTACAAGGCTACACAACGCGGCTGGACAGCGAAGTCGTCTGCAAAGGATCTCGTTTCTTCAAGGTCGCATATGTTACACAGAAGAAGCTTTTATCTCTGCTATGGCTCGATCATTGGTGTTCAACGGTGTGAGTCATTACATATAGCTAGTTAAACCACCCGCATGTCGCGGACCACAACGCTCTCAGGTTGCCTCACTACCACCCTCCCCTTCATACTCTGTACACCCTCTAATCCGGCCTCAAAACTGCATCCCCCACACACCTCACCACATTCTTAAAGAACCGCCTCCACTCCAACGGATCCCCACTCGCCTTCACAAACCGCACCTCGCTCACCTTCTCCTCCATGATCTGCGTCCGCTCCACGACAATGTGCCCATTCAGGCCCTGCCGCCGCCCATCCGCCATTTTCACGCGCACGCTCGCCTTCCCCGCGCGATTCATCTCCGCGAGGTGCTCTTCGGGGATCGCGGCGGCGGGGACGCCGAGGCGGTGCAGCGCTTCGATGAGGAGGGGCACGAGCAGCGAGACGGCTAGCGGGGAGAGGAAGCGCGAGAGCGAGTGCGACGGCATGATGTCGCCGAACTTGCGCGCCATTTGGGTAAGCGTCATGGGGACGGAGGGCGTGGCGTAGAACTGCGACATCGAGGGGTCTTGCGAGAGGATGTCCTGAGTTGAGGGTGAGAGTTGGGAGAGGAATGAGGGACCGCCGATCATGCTTGAGGACGGTGCTCGATCGTATAGGCTCGGCTGTGAGACTGCTTCCTGGGAGTATGTGCGCGCGGGACGCTCCCAGTCGAAGGGCGTGTCTGCTAGTGGGGTCTCGGGCTGGGTTGATGAGAGGCCGTTGATGTTCGCTGGGTTGGCGCGTGAGCGGTGCGGATCGGAATCGACGTCCATAGCGTCTGGGTCTTGTGAGAAGCCGCGCTGGGACTGTACGGGCGGGCGGTCGACGCCGATGTGAAGTTGGGTCAGCATCTGCGTGGCCATGCCAACCTGGTTGGTTGTCCTTCCATTCGGCGTAAGGAACGGGTTCTTGCGCGTGTACCAAGGATGCGTGCGTATCTCGTCGAGCTTCATCCTCTCATCGGGATTCAGCTTAAGCATGCCTCTCAGCAGGGAGAGCAGCGCCGGCGGTATCTTCTCCCACAGCTCATCCGTCGTCCTTCCTTCCGTGTCCACGTACTCCCTGAATTCATCGCTACGCATAGTCGGTTCTTCCCACGGGGTGTTACCCACTAGCAGCACGAACAGCACGACGCCGCAGCTCCAGATATCGCAAATGTTTGCCTGGTACCCCTCATCGAGGATGTCCTTCCTCTTGCTCCGCCGCCCACTGACGATCTCGGGTGCGATATAGGGTGGACTCCCGCAGACTGTGTTGCACAACCTCTTCACGCCGTCCTTCTCGAACAACGCTGCCAGCCCAAAGTCGGCGATCTTTAGGTCACCGTCCCCACTCAGCAGCACGTTCTCGGGCTTGATATCCCGATGTGCAATACCCTTAGAATGCATGTATCCCAGCGCATCAATCAGCTGGTGGAAATACACATGAGCAATATCCTCGCCTACGCCTTCATCCGCCTCGATCTTGTCGAAGAGGTCGCCGCCGTCCGCAAGTTCCATGGCGATCCAGTGCCAGTAGTGGTCTTCGCCATTTGCCAGACATTGAATGATATGCGCATGTTTGCCGAGATGCTTGTGGATGGCAACCTCCATCTTGATGTGTTTTTCCGAAAGTCGACCATGCTTGAGGGCATGTTCTTTGTTGATGAATTTCACCGCTATGACTGGGCTGGGCGCGTCCATGGGGATTGCTTTGCGAATGCTGTGTTGGAATCAGTACAGTCATGCTTGCCGATCGCGGTCTGCAAGACTTACGATGCATATGCGCCCATCCCTATCGTCTTGCTGACGATCCGGAACGGGAGATTGCCCGGGAGCGGGGCAATCTGGCTCTGAACACCGTTAGTCGATCTCTTACTCGGGCGAATACATCCTTTGCCATGGTGATATCATGCGAAAGCGCTTGGGCCCACGTGGGGTCGAAACAGCGCTCAAGTCTCGTAGATGGTGGGGAAGATGGAAACCTACATTTGGCGGGGGCGGGGCCGCCATGTCGACTTCTTGAGACGATCTCAGATTCGAAGAACGACAGGGCGAGTGTTTCTCAAGCAGCTTTTGCTTTTGATCTATCCAACCCGGGTGATATGCTGAACTGCTGCCTGCACTCAGTCATCGCGTCGGAAAACACGCGCACAAACCACGCGCGCCTCGGCAACGCTATCGATAAGACGCCATGTCACATGACCCTCCTCTACACACTCGAGCTTCTCACCAGCAGATCTTCATCTGATCTCATCAGCACCTCGATCTCATCTTAGATCCCACGTGTCTCAGCCCCCGATTCTCCACACAAACAACTCATGCAAAGTTACATTTAAATTGACTTTTAGCTAGCCAGACCCAGTATGCCGGACGCGAGCTCGACTGCTCAAACGACGGCCGTCATCAGGCCGGCGGTGCGCCACAGGGGTACATTGTTCGGTTTGTTCACACCGACAAAGGTGTCGGTGTCGGAACGACATCAACATGACAGGCGAACCCTTCCGTGCCAGGCCACCAACCCCGTTCTGCGAACCTTCCAAATACTCGCCTGAAAACTTTTCGCGCGATACCCGCCGCGCGCGCTTGGAGCTCGAAGCAGAGGTTTTGCAAATCTTGAAACGCTGCTGAGGCGCTGTATACGGGTTTTCCATGAAGCTTGCGCGTACTCGACATCTCCATCGCACGTCAGATCTTCCCTGTCGGAAATTCCGAGGAGCAATCGCGTCAACGCAAGGCATCGACCCGCGCCCTCCGCCCCTGTGTACCGTACCCGACAGCGACGCACATCTCCCACGCGCGTGGTACAATCGGTCCATCTCGAAGTCTAAAAACGTGACCATTACTCATCTCGCACCTTCACCCCACACTACCCACAGAAGCATCACTTACCTCGGCTGGCCGCTACTCGCACGCAAACCCCCAAATCTTATTCCTTCCTAACACGACTCAGGTAGTTTGCGAACGCCAGCGCGGGACGCTGCAATGGTCCAGTACAGTACGGTACTGTACGTACTGAGTACGCACGAAGCAACACTGTGCCGTGCGCCCGCGTTAAAGTCCCACGTGCGTGCCACGCTGATCAAGAAGCCTAGCCACGACACGATACCGTGCTGCCCACCACCATGATCCGAATCGTAGCGTTCCTACCTTGCACTGCACTACACTAATCCTCATCGTCATCCATTCTTCCCATCTCGCGTACGTACATGCCCACGCAGGCATGTGAAGACTGTGTACCAGACCCTCCGCCGGCACGTCAAAACCACCCCAACCACCCACGCGCCACTCACCATCCACGGAGCTCCTCGCCAGCTGCCACACGCGAGCATCGGTCTTCCCCGAAGCCCACCGAACCGCCCGGAGAACCGTCAGCGCACCGCTTCCGCCAGCGCCGCGCCGCCAGCGCACCGTCTCCTCTAGTCCCCCAGTTGGCTCCTCTCCCACGTGTCTCCCCCAATCCAACGCCCAGAGGAGCCCAGCGCAATCTCAGGACCGATGGCCGCGGAAGCGAGGGGTACATGTTGTAGGGTGCATGTAGATCCCCGGATGCAGCTGTAGATGCGACTAATACCGTAGAGCGTGCAGGTACATTCGGTGCAGGTACGGTGGTGTGTGCGACATGCAAATGCGGGTGCAGACAAGACAGCGGAGAGTTTAGTAGCTTGCTTGCGTGCTTCACGCTGGTTTGTACGGTTTCGTCGACGTGCGTTTGGTCGTGAGATATGCTACGCTATAATAATCAACGTCGCGTGAGGCAAAAAGGGTTCTGATGACGGCCTTGTCTCCCGGCTCAGGTTCCCGTAACACCCTGATAGGTGAACTCCACTCATGTGACAGCCACCGCATCGCTGACGCACAATCAACAAAGGACGGGAAAAGCAACTTCCGCGAACCTCCACGCCAGCAGTAGCACAACAGCACCCCTCAACCATAGCTGTGGAAGCCATCTATTGCCCTAAAATTAAACTACACGCCTCCAACGCTGTCCAATCCCCGCTCATACACCGTCCTCTGTCCCTACCCTACTCCACCTCGCTACCAATGCAGCAAATACAAAAACTCAATGTGGGTCGCGGCCAAGAATGACTGTGACCTTCCGAAAAAGGATAGATCAAAGAGCCGATGATATGAAACATTCAGATTGGGTATCCAATCCAGCCGCACAACATCTTTTAGCAAACCCCAAACGGCGCCATGTCGTGAGCCCAGGCAAATGGGACCATGAGACCCATGGGACCCCAAGTGAACCCATGGCAGCAAGACCAAGCTCCGTGCAACAGGGGCGTCCTGAACGTCTTCCTTCGTCGACCGCATGAATACGTTAACCGGGGATGATCGGCGAAGAGCGGAGAGTCGTGAACCCGGTGCCTATGCTGTAAGGAAGGAAAAGAAAGCAAGAATAATTGCCGCCGCCCAGATGCTGGTGTTTTGACCTGTCCGCAACGCCGATGTCTAAAGTCAAAATGTCGAATAAGAATAATATGCAACCGAAGTGCAGTGAGGGGGAATAATGCATCCGCTGCGAACACTTGCCGAAGATGATCATAGATGGCGGTCGTCAAACAGAAAATCGTAGTCTTGCAGGTTTCATGCTCGAGCAGCGGTGCCAGGTGCGGCGGCGTAAGCGGCTGCGGCTGCGGCATCGAGTCCGCGCAGTTGCGGTGCGTACTTTGGGTGCTTGATGAACTTGGGAACAGAGTCCTATTGGGCATTAGTGAGATGCATGGATGCTTGTACACGAGCTACTTACGCTGGACATCAGCTTGAATATCGAGTTCTGTGCCTTTTCGAAGAGTGACGCAACCTCTACCAAGCTTTGCATCATGGCAGCGTCGTCACCAACAGCACGGGTCATGCGGGTGGCCAATTGCGTGCGCAGGGCGTGGTCGATGTTGAGCTCGTTCGGCGAACCTGGAGCAAGGAAAGCATTGTATAGGCCTAAAGAATTAGCATCTCGAGATTGTCCCACAGGGTGATAGCTTACCATATGCAGCTGCTAGAGTTTCACGGATTGTCTCGATTTTGTTGTCTCCCGTGGCATTCACGGCTGCTCGATACTGATTATTGAAGTCCTGTACCTCGATGTAGAAAGACAAGTTCTCTTCGCACATGGTTTCCTTGAGGAACTCGCGATACAGCAGGCGCCAGGAGGGGTTGCGGATAATGACGTTCGTGCGGTTGCTGTTGGAGTCACGAGCAGCGCCGTCTCGTGCTTTGGCAGCATTTGAATCTATTGGCGCTGTCGTGTCCTCGCTGAGGTTCCACCCAGCAACACGCTCGCCATGTTGTGTCATGTAGTAGTGCACTTGCTTCGCAGGTTGAAATTTCTCGGAAGAGTTGCGTGCATCGACCGGAGCGATGAGTCCCAACTGAAGGAACATGGAGCAAATCTCAATAGCTTCGCGGCGGTCGACCATGGTGGAACAATCCATGAGCCACTCAGCGGCGTTTCTGCCGTTGAACGTGTGCTCATACGGTCGGCTTTGTGTCGGCTTGTGCTTGATGGTCCGTACGCCCACGTCGCACTTGCCAAACTCATGAATCGAATCGGAATCCGACGAGGTCTCGTTGGCGCTGTTTCCAACGAAGCGACGGAAAATAATCTCAATCGTCTGCTCGTCGTGGTGCAGCTTGTCGGTGTCCGAGCTGCGCTCGAGAATAACGAGCTGGTGCGGGTTCCGGGAGGACTCAATGACAGCTTTGACGTGCGTGGACTGGATGCCATTGCGTGCGCAGAAGCGTTCTAGGATGTGGATACCCTTGGGCGAGAGTTGCCACACAGAGCTCTTGTTGTTGAAGTCGAATTTGCCCTCGACTGATTCGATGAATTTTGCCTCGTAAAATCTTGTGCAGACGGAGCGGGCCATCTCCTTGGCCATGGAGAAAGTGGTGGTGGTCGTCGTAGTAACGACGCGAGAAGCATCTTTGGGATCCGGCATGCGGTTGGATTGCGAAAACTTGAGCGAGCCTAGGTTTGTTATGGCCTCGTCGGAGGTAAAGGTGAAGTCGATCATCCTGAACCGTACGCGGTGCGGGGTGAGCGGCAACGACACCATCAAAGTTGAGAAGAGGTCCTTGAAATCCTAACAAGGGTCAGTAAGGTCCGATGCGGTCTGCGTCTGCAGTTGAGTTGCGGGTGGAAAATCTTCTCGATGCGGACCGAGTGGTTCTCGAAAAAGCGCCCGTGTCGTCATCATCATTGCACGTTACAATGCCTTTGAGAGACCAACAGCTCAATCGGATCGCCAAGGTTCCGGAAGTGATGCAAGAAACGGTCATGCTTGTCGCAGTTCCGCCCACTCTGCGTCCGTTTCCGAGCCCAGCTCAAGCGATCAAGTCGGGGAAGGGTCTCTTCGGGCGTCACAAGAGAGCAACGGGTGCCAAAGACAAGACCAACGTGGCCATGTCTGCTGTGTCGGCTGCAAGTTGAAAGAAAATTGCGTGCTTACCCTGGTGTACGGCCGCTCATCGTCCGTCATGCGGAGGAGCCGCGAAGAGGTTTGGTGCATCTTTTTGTCGCCTGGTTTGGCTGCCTTTGCGGGCTGTGGGAGCTTGTCCAGCTTGCCGATGGGCTCGCTGTCGGGGGCGTAGTACGGCGTCGAGGCTGCGGAGAGGGCAGGCCTGGAGCGGTCGCTGGCGGCGTCGGGCTCGCGGGCGGACCGGAGGCTGGGAGTGGTCGAGGAGTCGCGGGAGCGCAGCTCTGGCGTCGACGTGTCGAAGCGGCCACGGGAGGACGACGTCGAGGCACGCGGGGCAGCCGGGGCAAGCAGCGAGGCAGGCAGGGCGTGCGAGGTGCTGCTGGCGCGGGCGTGGGAGCCGCTGGACTTGCGGAGCAGCGGAAAGCGCGAGGCGAGGGTCGAGCGGCGCGAGAAGGGCTGCTGGTGGAGCGTGTGCGGAGCAGAGGCAGGCGCCGTGGACGGGGACGCGGACAGGCTGGCTTGGGCAGCAGCGCTGTCAGACGGCGACGAGGCGGGCGCTCCTGAGGCCGGCGAGTGCGTGCTGGGGCGGCGGGCCGGAGAGGTCTGGCGGTGGTGCTGGGCGGTGACGGGGCTGGGGGTGGTGACGGCGGAGGAGGGAGTGTGAGGGAGCAGCGCCGTGTTCATAGACATCTAAGCAACCGGGGCAGAGGCATGGAGGTCGCAGACTGGGAGGCAGTGGGACTAGCCAGGGTAGCCCGTCAAGCTCGCCGTGTGCGTGCGCTGGGCCAGCAGAAGAGAACGGGCCCGCGACGAATTCGACGGCGCGGGCCTACGCCCAAAACGCTTAGGGAGCACGACGGCATTCCACGAGGACAATCCCTGCCAACACGCGCGTGAGCCTGAGCGGCCAAGCCGTTTCATGCCACGGCGCGACAAAGCGGCCGCCGCCCGAGGCGGCACCCGGCCTGCCCTTGGCCTGCCAGAGCCCGCCGTGTGTCTGCTCAGGACGCAGTTCGGCGTGCACATCTCATCTGCTGCCCGCCCGCTCACTCAGACACCAGCGCCCCCGACCGCGCCGGGCCCAGCGCAGCCTGTCTGGCTCCGTGGCTCGCATGCAGGCGCGTCCGCGAGCAGCGACGGCAGCGCTGCGCTGAGCAAAGCGTCGTTACGCCGCCCTGGGTCACCGAGGTTGCGCGCTGCACCGCCCTTGGTTTGGCCACCCCCCCGTTGCCGTGTAACGCCTGCCCGCACCTGTTTGCTGCCTGCCGAGTCGGACAGTGTGACGTCCTACCATCTCAACCATCCGCCGTGCAACGACCAGCCCTGCTCCGAGAGGTGCGGAGTATTGCTGATGTCCTGCCAAAACGTGGCAATCCACGTTTTCCTGCCCTGGCCCGGCCTTGGCTGCGCTGCCAGCGGCCACACCTGCCTGGCGGCGACCGTCGCCGTCGTCTGGCAAATTTGCTCGCAGCACCCTTGCCCGCATCGTCCCCATTTTCCTGTGGCCATTGTGGCCATTGCACCTCTGCTGCAGTTCGTGGCTGGTCACAATCAGCGCCCCCAGCCCCCGCCAGTCGACACCGACTTCTCCATGCGCAGAACATGCCTGTCGCCTTGACGTCGGTGACCAGCCGTGATGCGTGCCCCAGCACACCTCACCTGCGTGCGTCTGCTCGACGGCAAAGCGTTTCGGGACACACAAGATGCTGATCGCTGACCACGTGTGCGACCCACGGCCTGGATGCGAGACATGTTCAGGCTTGCCTGGCTTGCCGGGGCCCGCCGTACCCGACCTGCTGGACACCTCTCACGCCGTCCCCCGCCTTGCCTGTTGTAGACTAGCTCCAATGTAATTCCCACTGGCTTCGCTAGGCGTCTTGAGCGAATGGGCGTCAACGGAGCGTTTCACGGGAACGCAGATCGCGCCACTGCCCACGGCCGCTTTGGTGACTTTGTTCACTCTTTTCCGTTTGCAAAAATAGCAGACACAAAGCGCGCCACAGTCAAGTCTTTATGTCAAAGACACGGCAAGCGCGTGAATCCTTATGGCTGAAATCTCCGAACAGACACGCGAGAAAGCCTGTGAAAAAGCAAGCAACCCCACGTTTCAGATCCGGGGCACTCAGCTAAGGGGGCTCCCCGCATGCTATTCCCGAGAGACGCCTACCGCATTGATTTCTGGAAGACGCCTGTCTGTTCCATTCGTCGATACCGAGCCGTCGACAGCATTGCGCCATATCGTCGCTCCCTTTCCAGACTCCACCGCCAGAGTTCCCCGTTGCGCAGTCAGTGCTATTCCCGCGAGTAGCCCTACGACAACACGTGTAGTGGATGCCAAGCGACTACCGCGACGCCCCTGGAAGATCATGCTCTGCTCCATTCATTTAATAATCTGGCGCTCCAAAGTCGGAAACATCAGTCCAGACTCCGCGGAGTGTGTCGGGAATGACACGAGCGATCCTGGGGCTCTCGACAAGCATTCCTCACGCCTTGTTTCATTAGTAGCGGTCGTCCGTTGTTAGTTGCCGCAGTGCGTTGCCTTTCCTGCAAAATCAGCTGTGTCAATCCGCTTCGTGAACCGAGTCTGTTGAGGCAAATTGTGGGATGAGCTTTGTCGAGTGGCCTATCGCGCCCTCGTTGACCGGGATCATGCTCAGACGGCAAAACCTAACAGTCGCAGCCCGGGTACTGAGTCATGGATTGCTCTCGTGGCGCCAGGATCCGACACGTGGAAGCCCTCCTTTACGGGCCGCTGGCGTGAACGCTCAATCGCCGTGCGACGTCGTTCTGCAGCTTTTGAAGCGTCCCTGTGTCACGTTCCCGAAGAAAAGCCCATGGCGACGCCTGCGAGAATATATCGTGTCTCGCTTGGCCCACGAGGCAGGCCGCATTTGCAGAGCTTTAGCCGAGGAACAAGTCAGCTGCTGGGAGCGTTATCTGCAAGGGATGGATAGTATTGTATACTTCGGCTGTAGCTCTCCTGCAGAATTCTTGGGCTGGCGCTGCCCTCATCGGTGTAATCTACACTGTTTGTCGATGCTCGTATGACTTGTGCATGAGTTTGCTTGCCGTAGGTTTTTCCAATCCGCGCTTTGGAGCGGGGCAACTCTTAGCGTACATGTGCATGCTGCTCGAGTCAGAAATGTCGGTGAGCATTCAACGAATGTGAAGAGAGCGAGGTGGGACCGTGGTAGTGGCAGGTTTGGCACGCAGTCGGCCGGAGGGCCTTCCTCGTAGAGCCGAATTGCAGCCTCGCGCGTTTTGATGCCTCAGGCAGCTCATCGAACGGGCATCGGGTGTGGGGCGTTTGCTCTACACAGCACGCTACCAGTCAATATTCTGAAGGTGTCGTGGTGAATATGGGTCCGATTGCGGAGCTTGGACGGGGCGCGAGAACAACTCAGAAGGCCTACTAGAAAAGAAATACCTGGTATGTGGAGATGAGCCACCACTGCTCGGTCAGACTGCTCGGAGGAGGCTTCTTCTAGTCCAATCAGCCCTAGTGTAAGGGTTATTTACTACGCAGATCTTCCACGGTTCTACTCACGTCCCGCAAAGTGAATCGACAGCCTTCGTCTTTTGTAAGGTTTGCCTCAAGCGGCGCTGCGGCAGGCGATCCTTGTGGCGTCACTTGCGATTACCATTTTTTGAAAAGCGAGGCGCGGCGGCCGCGAGCCGATATTCGCCGAGATATCCTACGCTGCGCTAGTCGATTTTGACAGGTTGCATGCAGCCCTGAGATCGCCGGGACGGGCTTTAATGCGGCATGACAAGGTGTCAACTCGCTGGTGCTGCAGGTTGAGCTTCAGGGTCGGTTGGGATGTGAGACCGTGGATCCCTCGGCGAAATAAAGGCCTCGAGCGAAAGAAAGCACGACGCAAGCGTCGTGCCTGACTTGTCTAGGGTGCTTAGCTTCTCTCTGAAGCTTTGTACCATCTCCACTTATTAGCTACACAGTATACAAAAGTCGTACGTTGGGTAGAAGCTTTCGCCTAGCCGTAGCCGCTCCAGACTGGACCTCACGCGACATCGCCTATCTAGTACCAGCTCAAGCCAATGTCTATTGGGAGTCGGAACGTAGGCGGGTTCAGGATACCGGGCGCGCTTGTCTGGCTTCTGGAATTTCTTTTGGAAACATGTTGCGGATCCATGCACGGGACGACCGTCGACGCCGTCTTTCGTATTCTACTCAGAACGAACCGAGATTAACGTCATATACGTGGAATACGACGCAATGATCTACGAAAATGAAACGCCATTGTACGAAGAGCTGTGCGCCCGCATTGGTAGTTCCTTCCTGTCTCACGCATGTTTGTAGAGTACGCAATGACTTTACACAATACATCGATCACCGCGACCAGATTGACATCACTCCCACGAAACTAACACAATCCCACGTGGAGATGCATCTTCCTTCACGGAGTGGCCGGCCAAAATCTTTAGGCAGCTGATCCAACACAAAGGTAAACCCTGTGCGCCATGCATTCCCCTGAATCCTATAGGATCCTGCCAGCCATACTGACGCAGGGGCGCGACATCGCTATCACGATGGAGGCTCCGGATTCCCGGTCGTATTTCCACGTGGCTCGCTCGGAAAGTCTGCTTGAATAGGAAAATGTTGGGTTGCTTTCGGCTGTATGTTACAAAAGTAGACTGTTATGGGTGCAAATGGGGGGTATGCTAAGCGAGATGAGGGAATGGACATCGGAGTTGGTAAAGGGGCGTTTATGTCAGCGGAAGAGTAACACATGGTCTGCTGGTGTCTGGCCTCTGTCAGTGTAACATGAGGCAACTTGCAAATGTTGTATACTGTGAGAATGAGGTGAGCAGTGGCCAGGTGCCGGGTTTTAGTACAGGGCAGTATTGCGATGATTTGGAAAATGAAGGAGAACAGACTTGGGTGATATGACAGCATCATTCTATTGATTCGCAGCCCTCTAGTACCAGTAGAGAAAAGAATCATGCAAGATTTGGTCATACACGGTAGAGCCACGTCTTATAGCCAAGCAATCCCAGAAATATGGGCGCAATCCGGTAATTCCATCATCGAGCTGGGCAGCCAGCAAAGATCTACAAAGGCCCGAATGTTGACGAAACGTTGCAAAAAGCCGTTGATATTCGCTGAAAGACTAGCATTGCCCATGACAGCACACTGGGTGGCGATGCAGAATCCGCTCTTCCCCGTACCCGGGAATTCGGTATTCGGGCCGAGTGTCCTGGGGTATCTTGTCGTAGTTCCATGCGTAGGCGTGCTTTTGGTAAGGGCTGTACACGGTGAAAATACTTCCGAAGTGCTCCGTACCCTTGGCGAGATTACGGCCCAACGGTGCACGTCAAGTTGATATAGTCCATCCGACTCTTACAACAGAAATAAAGGCCTTCCAAAGTACTAGAGCGACGGGGCTGCTAGCATGGGTGTTACCAGCGGTGAGGATTTGGCGGAGGTGTAGCCCAGGAGTGAGGAGTGAAATCAGCGGTGTAAGGAGCCCTGGTGCGGGAGGAGTGGGCATCTCCAGGATGCATTGGGCCGTCCATCGCGACTGTGGATGCGTTAGGATACCTCTGTTGAGGCTGCAGGGAAGCCCAACTATAGCCACAGCCTTAGGTACCTTGGGGGTGAGCCGGAGCGCTGGGCCGTACAAAGGCTACGTAACCATTGCTAGGATGCGGATAGTACGCTGGCACAAACTTCGGCTCTATGCGAGCGAACTGGTGGGTAAGCGGCCGCAGAGTGGGTAGCTGCTGCATATGCAAAGGTACATGACTGGGGTGGAGATTCACACCATTTACCGGGAATTGGAAAACATCCTGTTCGTTTGATTGGGCCCTCAGGGAACCGTCAGGTCGGGAGTACTGCGGATCGTAGTTTCTGATATTGGGCATGAAACTGTGCGCCGCCGTGCTGTAGAACGGAACCTGAAACTGCATAGTTCTTCCATGCGACTGAGAATGGGAGGGATTGCGAATATGCTGCTGGTCTTGAGGGAAATGTTCGCCGATATATTGGCATCCATCAGGTATGCTGGAGGGTACTGGTCTGAAGTACTCTCGCGGTTGCATATTTCTCCGCTGTGCCGAGGCAGCTTCTCCATGTAGCCCCAGAGCATGGTCATGGATGCTGGCCGGACCTTGACAGGCGGTACGCACCATGTCCTTAGGCGATCGGCAGTTGTGGTCTTTACCTCCTGGGTGACTTCTACGAATGATACTTCACGGAGTTCTGGTGACCCATGCTCGAACAGACGCACGGGCTTGCCCTCGATGCCGTCTTGCGCGTTTTCGCTCAGCCTCAAACAGTGTTCTTGACCAATGTCGTATTTCGGCATGCCACGTAAGCCCAACCTAGCATTGTCGGCTTGGAACTTGACACGTAAGAAACGGAAAAGGGGGAAGTCGTTTACTAGGACAATGACCGGGGCTCCAAGTGTGCTCGATCTCGGAGGATTGGTCCTGAATGGAGATAATGTTAGCCTTGATGATAGCCCAAAGATAAGATCTCGAAGATGCACTCGCAGAGCTCTATACGAGGTAACTTACAGCATGACAACTGGACCGGGAGCAACGGCGTGGAAGCTCGCTGGGAGTGGTTTGTAGATGTCTTGACGTTGCGTTAGCCAGGTTTCAGGTTGGAAATGACTAGCAGCTTACATCGATTCTGCTGAGCTTCTAGTTCGCTAATCTTGAAATCTAGCTTCTTGCGGTCTTCACTGTCAACGTTGACATTGACGTTCCATGGCATCTCACTGAGGTGCTCTCATTCGATAGTGAAACGCTGATCAAGATTCAAGTAGGAATTACGAGGCATTTTATCCGAACTCTCAGCTAGCCTTAGAATGTCAGGACCCTCTTCGACTGTCGTCTCCCCAAGTTGTAAGTACATCTTGAGATCTGATATTGCCTTGGGTAGATACGAGGTTATTGCATAAAAGTCCGCAGTCCAGCTCTTTCTATCGTTTACAACGACAAGCGCGGGGTGTTGAAAGAATATACACTCCCTCTTTTGGGAATGTATGATCGACGAGTGCGAACCTGGCTGCGCGTGGGTATGAAGTATACCTTCAGCACCTCGGGTGGTCCTTGAAATTTTCTACCCGAGTTAGAAGGTTTATATGATGATGGAATTGTCGGTAACGCTCCTAGAACCGAGTTCATCTGCATAGACTGAGCGGGTCATGTCGGGGTCGTTGTTGGTAGCGGCTGACGAAAGCTGGAGGACATCGAAGCGACTGAAATATTCTGAAGATATCCCGAACCTTCACCTTTTGTACTGTCATCCTGAAATCTGTCGGAGCGAGGCAATAGTGTTGGGCTTCCGCCCATGTTGTATCCTTCGTGCTCGAAGGCGACCATAGGGTCAAGTAGCCAATGCAGGCGTACCAAAATAGATCCAGACGATGTTTATTATGTGCAAAGAGCAGGAGCGCTTTTGAATGTCCATTGATTTCCCAGCAGGGTGCGTGCTCTTTGGCCTAAGCTGTTTACTCTGTCAAGCGACGGGTGGGATGGTAAACAACCCTTGAGCGTCACAGGGCAATCGCATGCCTAACACGCTCTGTATGAGTATTTTAACACAGAAGAACAGATAGACTGGTGTTGAAGGCATTCGATGCATCGAGTAATCACTCGGATGTTTACTGGAGCAGCAGTGGCAAAGTCTGGTAGAGGCAAGCGCGGCAGACTTGACCACCCAGCTTTCCTTTCCGACGCTCGCACGCTCGTAATGCATTTGTTAGAGACTGTGAAATTCAACTATGTATTGAATGAGGTCCCTCGATCGAAAAGTAGATCTCATTTCTTCATGCGGACGCCTTACTGTGACCAGCATGTTCGATGTTCCGGCCACCAAGACGATTGTTCGCGTCACATCGCTCATCACAACACTTCTTGACATTCTTAGGGTAAGCGGTAGGATCTCATAGAAATTTGAAGAACCCAGTCTGCTACGGAAATCAACGAAGGCTCAGCAGGCATCAACGTCGCGGTGCTCATGTCGCTGCGCCCACGATCACATCTAGCGAACGTCGCATAATCACAGCATCAGCCTAGAAGAGCTGGTCGTATGTTCAATTTATCTGGAATAACTCTGCAAGCGGCCACAAGAACTCAAAAATCAAAGACCATCAAGAATACATGAATGTGTAACCGTCCGTCCAACTGCGCAAGATCCTGGGTCCAGCACTCGGCTTTCCAAGCAACAGTGACCAAAGGCGAATCTTAGCCGCCATTTTGGCACGGCCAAGACTATCTATCTATGTCGAATCAGAAATAAGAGATAGCGCGAGTACTAACCGAGTGCAGTTTCGGAGTGAATGACTTTTTCTGACGCCAAATGCCTCATGCGCTGTTGATCTGGGTGATCTAGGCTTTGCAAGCCAACGGTGCTAGATGTTGTCCGAGATATGGTCAAGAGGCTGCGGTAAGGAATGCATGCCGTCATATTTCGTGATGGTTCGAGTGTTTCAGGCTTCGAGAGCCAACAGTGCCGGATGTTGTTAAAAGATATGGTAAACCTCCTTAAAGGTGCGTCCCGCTTTCTTGGTGATCATCCGGGTGCTTCAGGCTATGATAACCAACGGTGCCAGATATTGTCGACTATCCGGGTTTGCCAAGAACACTGAGATGTGTTGTATCGGTCGAGGAATACCAATTGGCGTTGGTTAGAGAGTCGATAGAAGTTGAGGTTATGGCGAGTGGGGAAGAGAGTCTTCCGATCCGGCGGGAGATGAAAACGTTGGTGAAGAGGTGAAGGCCACTGTGCTTCAGGCTCGAAAGTCAAGGGTGCCTGGCATTATCGGTGACCGACTTACATTCTTGCTTCAGGATACGACTTCAGACCCGGAGCATCGCTCAACGGTTCCAGCCCCCACCATACAGCGAAGGAGTGCTAGATTGGCTTGTCGAAGCCGAACTGTCGTGGGGATTGGCTGAGGCTGCTCAGCGCACTTGCTTGTTTATGATCCGCTTCAGGGATTCTTCGTCGAAAACGATGTTTCTACCGGCAAGTAATGGTTGGATGTTTCCGTACTCGATCCAGAATGTATTTCCCTGCGGGCCGGCCTTATCATAGAAGTTGACGAAGCTCGTCTTGGGAAACCGGTCTGACCAAAGCTCGAGGGTCATGAGTCGGGTGTAGACACCGTTGAGGCCCTGATGGGCTTTAATGTTGTCGGTGTTCTCGATAAGAGCGATATTTTCCTTCGACGCGTCTGACTTTCTCGCGAAGGTCTCGCGATCGCGGAAGGAAGTAATCAGCTGGCACTGCACCATTTCCATATCGGAGACCACCTCTTTCTTGAGGATCACCACTGGGTGTCCCCATGGACTGTCGTCTCGTTTCCACATCCTCTTATAGAAGACTGAGGATTTTGGCACATCCTCTTGGCGAGGCAAGTACATCACCGTGCCTGGGTACAGGTCCTCAAATGCCGTTCTGGCGTTGGAAACAGACGATGGGGATCTGGGGACATATTGTGCCCTCCAGTCGCTGTCCCATGACTTACTAGGCGGGGAGGGGCCGCAAGAGCTTGGCGGTGAGGAGCTTGTCAGAGAAGAGCAGCTCGATTCGCTGGAATCTGATCTTCTTCGCCAGTTTTGCCGCGACCAAGAAGGAGGATTGGAAGCTTGCGGCTGCTGATTTTGCCTCCAGGAAGAGCTCCTGGTCGGATGACTGACCCAAGACATGACGAAGCCTTTCCGTGCCAATTTGGGGGATAGTGATGTATTTCTGCCATTTTTAGTGGCTGTTATATGGAATTTATGCTTTCAAATACCTCTTAAGAGATGTAGAGATGAATGGTAATGTTGGAAAGATATGGACGCGTGTATGAGCCTGATTTCTGGAGGGAACAGTTGGCAGGACGGAGGAAACGCAGGGGAACGAAGAAATGGCGGCTTTATATAGGACAGCATCACCTCGTTGAGGTTGAGGTTGAGGATTCGGGAGTTTTGACGAGGTTCGATCCTACCATACTCACGATTACTAGGAATCAGGAACGGTGGTTACTGGGTGGCACAGGTGGATCTTCTCACCATCGGATCCAGGGTAATCTCGGCCTTGCACGAAGAGCGGGTCAGGACACTCAACAGAGGGAAGTAGATGAAGAGATATGGTTTAGTTGCTAAATAAAATCCTGCGATGATTTTAGGAGAACAAGTGATCAAGATGGGGGCACGATTCTCGTTCACAAATAGCAAGCTGGATAAGTTTCGCCTCTGTGAGGGAAACTTGGAGGGGTCTCCTTTTTAAATGCTTATTACCTAGGAGGAAGAGCGTCAAATACGAACGTCCTCTCAACGTTCTTTGAGAGATGACAGCACAACTGGCTCCACTGGTGTTCCCTACGAATCGAGCATTATCACAGAGGATAAGATTGAACAGCACCGCTGCTGACGTATCTCCATCTTTCAGTCGTCTACTGCAACACCCACAGTGAGAAAATCGAGAGCTTAGAATGGCCATGAAAGCTCGGTCGATGTATTGCACCTAGAACGGACTGCAGCCATTACTGCGAAGGCTAAATTATCTCAGAGTCAAGTCTCTCGGAACACGCGGTCGAAATACTCCCAGCTATCTTCGCGACTAATTCTGTGGCGGTCATTTTTACGTATTACTGTATAGAATGTGCACTGTTGTAGTGTTGAGTACTCTGGTACCGACCGTTTTGTGTCGCTCAACGGGTCGGCTGTGGGTTGGGTTCCAAGGAACCTGTTCAACGGTTATCGTCCCGCCTAAGACCCCCACACGCTTTCTTCCTCATGGGTGGGCCTCGGGCACCCGTGAGCGCCTCGCCGTTGTTATCACCAGGCACCAGGGTCCACGTCAGTCAACGGCTATTATGGACCACGACCGCGTCATCTGCTCCCGGAGCGTACCAAAGCTGAAGTCCGAGCAGAAAATTGTTGTTGAAGGAACCTTCTCGATATAGACGGCGAGTCCAGTATTTTACAAATTTTTGTTCAAGGGGGATTCTGGTCAGTCAGTGAGTCTGGGTTGTTGGCTTTGAGCTCGGAGCGTGATCACACGAGCCAGGTGCCATGCGCCATCCTGACAAGCTGTGTGAGGCAATGGAGGACTATCCTTTACGAGCATTTGGAGTGGAGGAAGAGCACGCAACGCATATTCGATGGACTAATTCGCGATTGGAGCTACACGGAAAGTACGACTTCATTGTGGCAGCGGCCTTGCTATCTTTACCGCTAAAAACATACATAGTCGCAGTCGGGCATTCTTTCCTCCTAAGCGCTGTCGTCGAAAAAACCTCGGCTGTTAAGCCGAGAAGAGCGTTCCAGAAAGAAGAGCAGGGAGTATCAAACATGAGGCGAAGATCATGCGCGTACGAGCACTGCCTTGGTAACTCTCTTTCTGAGCTTTGATTGATTCCGCTGAGCCGCCAATGGATTTTAGAAAGATTGCCGCGCGGATCGTGGAAGGAAGGTACTCTCGCTGCAGCAGTGGCAGTCTCGCTAGTACGCCTTCCGCCAACATCTCAGTGAAAGGGCGACACCTGGGTACAACGGTTTGTTACGCGAGAGTAAGATAGGTTCGCAGTGAGACTGCGCACATGTTCTGCACCAATATCCACACTAAAGCAAGCGCGCAATCCATCTACGTCCCTCAAATTAACCCCACATACATAAACAAGTAAATGTGTCAGAAGCGTTGAGGATGCTCTCAGCGTTGACCTGCAAAGCGTGGAGCAAGTCAACCCCGGGAACAGATTGATGGCGTTGGGAATTGCCGCCAGCCCCGATTCTTTACTTTGCTTGCTTTTATGTACTCGGTGTTCATACAGAGAGCTGGGAAGTCAATCGCCACGATACCAACACCGACAGTGGGTTGCAAAGCTTTTCACCTAGACACAGAGAGCGGAAGATGGATGCTATGGACGCTGTATGTCTTCAATTCTTCTCGGCTAGTCAATTTTTTTTTGGGCCCATCTTCTGCTTTGCGAACCTCGTTACTAACACAAACAGCCTACAGCCCGGACAGTCCGTCTCCGCTGGTGTTTGACAATTTTCGAATTCAAGTGGTGATTTCGGGTGGTACGCTGGTCCATTCCTGCGACTACTGAGAATGTGTGCAGATGCACAACGACTCGTTCTTAATGGAGAGATCTGTAACGAAGATGCGAACCATTTCGTCATGAATCCAGCTAAGGTCGTCTAGTGAAGTGATACGGGAATGGGGCTGCCATGTAGCTTCCGCGTTCGCAGCGCCGTGTTGCACTTCAGAAGAATGAAAGCATAATGGCTGTTGCTGCTCACTGACTTGCGATGGACCAATAACCGCAACCACGTCATCATGACTTCGGGTAGTGCACATAAGTTTTGTTAAGGTGTGTGCACGAGTCGTGCAACTGCTTCTTATTGCCGGACCTAAATCTGCCGACGTCGGTCCCGGGTCTAAGCCCGAATCTGAACTTTGCCGGTGCTTCGGGGGAACATATAGCCCTGTCGACATCTCGCGCAATAGTGACTTGGATGCTATTTTCTTGTATCTTCACCTACTCAAGTGCTCGTACCGTCCGAGAAACCCAATGCCACGACAATGACAGAGGCTCGCGACTTGACCGAACCACCTGATCAAGAGAAAGTGCCAGCAGAATCGAGCCAACAGGCAGGCGTTGTCGCAGATGGTCCCGCACAAGCAATCGTTAGCAGCGAAGCTCCAGACAGAGGATGGGCAGCATGGAGCGTTGTCGTCGGCGGATGGTGCGCCATGTTTGTGAGCGTCGGGTGGAACAATGCGGCCGGTGTTTTCCAAACGATTTACGAGAAGGATTTCCTACAGAGCTATTCGCCTAGTGCAATAGGATGGATTATCTCATTGCAGACATTCTTCATGTTCGTTAGCGCACCCTTTACTGGCAAAGCATTCGACTCGTATGGCCCACGATGGATCATCGCCATTGGAAGCTTTCTACAGGTACTTGGTGTTATGATGATGTCCTTGTCTACGCAGTACTGGCATTTCATCCTTGCCCAGTCAATATGTACTGGCATCGGTGGTGGCGCAATTTTCTTCGCTGCATCGAACTCCATAGCCACTTGGTTCAAGAACAACAGGGCGCTTGCTTTAGGAATAGCTTCAGCTGGTTCGGCTACTGGCGGCGTCATTATTCCGTAAGTCCAAACTCGAACATACATAGAAGTATACTAAACCCTGAAAGCATCATGGTGAATCATATCTACGACGATATCGGCTTTGGCTGGGCGCTACGTGTTGTCGGGTTTGTCTTTCTCGGCCTTCTCACCATTACGAATGTGCTGCTCAAGTCCAGGCTCACACATGTGGTAAAGAAGCCGCATCCGAAGGATTTTATGGAACCTCTTCAAGAACCACCCTTTCTGTTCCTAACAGCAGCTTGCTTCTTCTTCGCCATGGCTGTATATCAACCGGGAACATTTATCGCCCTAAACGCTCAGCGTGAAGGCATACCCGACCATATCTCCAACTATCTACTATCCATTCTCAATGCTTCGAGCGTCATCGGTCGAGTCGTCGTTGGATGGGTAGCAGATCGTGCAGGCCGCTTCAACACCATGATCATCACCACCTTTCTCTCCGCACTCTTCGTACTTGCGGCTTGGATTCCTGCACATTCGACAGCGCCGTTCATTGTGTTTGCTGTACTCGTCGGCTTCACCAATGGAGCTTACGTCGCACTCACAAGCTCGTTGGTCGCTCAAATCTCAGACATCAAGAAGATCGGAACGAGGAATGGAACGAACTGGTTCATGTATGGAATTGGGGCTCTTATTGGCACACCCATCGCTGGCGCTTTGATCCAGAGAGATAGCGGCGGATATCTGTATATGCAGATCTTCGCTGGCTTATCTATGTTTATGAGCGGATGTTTGTTTGTCGGTTCAAGATATGTTCAGATTGGCTTGGCCTGGAAATGGATATAGCCGCTGAGCAGAACGATAGACAATTTTCAGACAAAACATAACTTTTGCTAGACATTGTAGATGCTCGGCCATCACACAGTCGCTATGGCTGTTTACTGCCTCGGTACCTCCACCTCGACCTTATACGTCTTTCCGGCCTGTATTGCCTGGATGACGCCACCCTCCACCGCGTTTCCATCAGCAACCACCTTCACGTCTTTTCCGTCACCCCTCTTGACGTTAACCTCGAATGTTGCTCCTCTGAATAGCCTCGTAACTTTGATTCCATCCCATTCTTTCGGCAACTGTGGTTTCACGCTCAAACCATCCTTCACCCCCTTCAACCCGCACAAACCCTCCACAAGACTCCTATACACCCAGCTCACAGTGCCAGTGTTGAAAAGCTGACTACTACGCCCAGCAGTTCGAGGATACAGCTTGTACCCTCCTCGGTAGTAGTTGGGAATATAAACGGGCAACTGCCCGCGCTGGAGGTAGTCCTCCTCGCTCGGACCGGGAATCATCTGGCGTAGGTAGGTAAACGCGCGATCGGATTGGCCGATACTGTAAAGGGCCCAAACATAGAAGGCACCCGCGTGGTTGTAGACGCTGCCATTCTCGCCCTGGCCGGGATACTTTTGCGTTACGCGCCCGACATCCTCACGCATGGCCGTGAAGGGCGGCGCGAACATGACGACACCATAGGGCGTGCTGAGCTGCTCGTCGACCTGGGTGAGCATCTTCGAGATCTTATCCTGTGATGCGGCACCCCCGAGGATAGACCACGCTTGTGGATTGAGCCAGATGCGACCCTCTTTGTCTTCCTTGATACCAAAGGTTACGTTGTCGTCGGTGATGCCGCGAGCGTACCAGTCGCCGTCCCAGAAGTGCTTGTTGGCGCAGTTGTTTACTTCTTCGGCACCCGTTTTGTATTTCTCTGCGACAGATGCCTGGCCAGCTGCTTCGCAGACTTCCGCCCACAGGTTGAGAGCGTAGGCCGTGGCTACAGTGAGCCATCCCGAAACACCGATGCCCTTGGGTCCAACCATGTTCATGGGATCGCACCAGTCACCCTGGGCGATATAGCTGAGGCCACGTCGGTCTCTGGCTGAGAGCAGCCAGTCCATCGCGCGGCTGAAGCGCTCGAACACCGTGTATGTATCACCGTGCATGCCTGGAACCTCCTCGTCGAGAAGCGCATAGTCACCGGTCTCATTCAAGTAGATTTCCAGCGCGATAGGCAGCCACACGCAATGATCTGTATGCGGGATCTGGTTGATGTACTTGAGTTCCGCGCCCTCGGCCAGCAAGATACCATCGGGCATAGCACCCGTCTTTTCCTGCTGTGAGACTGCCTTAACGATGGCCGCGCGAGCTACTTCGGGCTTGATGAAGCTCATTCCCATGTTGTCTTGCATATAGTTGCGCGTCTGGGGATCGGTAGTAAGACGGTTCACATCTCCATGATAGTAGACTTGTCGTGGTAGCCAATTGTTGACGAAGTTGTCGAGGCCCTTATCCGGCGTCTCAATCTTGAGCGCACCGCTTCCTCTGGCAATGTATTCCTGGTACTCCTTTGCAGTCTTTGCGAACTGCTCTTTTCCCAAGTATTTGTTCTTCATGTCGAGGATCTCTTGGTCATCGTAGGCTGGACCAAACAAAAAACGGTATTCTCGCTGCTCATCGGGCTTCAACGTGACTCTGTATTGTACTACGGCGGTCGGCGTCTCGTAGCGAGAATCGCTGTTGCTCAGTTGTTCCTCTTTGATAGCTTCCGGATTTGACAAACTGCCTTCGCGCTCGAAAGCCCATTGCCTCGACTCCCATGCCACTGGGTGTTCTTGGCAAAGGAAGTATGTCTTGTCTTTGAGATACTTTGTTTTCGGGTAGTCTTCTGCTTTCTGGTAGGGCGTCTTAGAACTTCCCACAATACCGCCGACTTTCTCATTGTACTCCGCCTCCTGGTTCATCCAAGACATATAACCCAGTGGGAAGTAAGGGTAGATGCTGAGCTTACGATTGCGGCCCGAAACATTAGTGACTTTGATGGACCACAGCTCTGCTACATCGTTGGTAGGAATGTGGAATGACATCTCCACCCGAATTCCAAGCGACTTCATCGTCCAGGAAATGTCGCTCTTTCCTGCAGAGAATACAAACTCATCACCCTCTCCTAGCTTGCGGCGCACAGGCTCATACGGTGCTGAGAATATCTCGCTAGTCTCCTCATCCTTGATGTACACGAAACGGCCAGGATGATGCGCATAGTAATTTTGCTCAGGTTGCATAAATGTCTTTGCTTCCAGTGTCGGCGCGTAAGCATATTTTGCAGGCTCCGGCTGCATGTACTGTGAAGTCGCGTAACCTCGACAAGTCACTTGGATCATCATCTTCTGATTCCAGAGAAAACCACCGGCTTTCGGCATTGCCGTTGGACTGGTGAGCTCATATCGGTCGCCATCGGGCGTTGCTTGAAGAAGAGGAGCCATCTTTGATGTGCAAACAGTCTGCACAATGTCTCAGAGGAGCAGTTCTGGAACCAATACGTGGCATTTTATTTGACGGAACGATGCCTAACGCCGTGGTACAGGGAATTGCTTACTAAGTATTTAGTAGTTAAGGTGTAACTTTAAATCACGCAACGTCCGACCCGTACAGACGCAACCTATGAGAAGGATTGCTTGCCTTGTTGGATGACGAAGCACAAGCTGGAGAACACCTGTCTGACAGCGAGAGTGATGTAATTTCGAACCAAAATTGAAAGAGGTCCCAGAACCACACGTAGCTTACACGAGAGGAGAGACACCGCGAATGGAAGAATCGTTCGAGTCACCAGGACGTTCTTATAGAGGCGTTTGTCGGTCAAGACGAACAGCCCGCGTGGGGCTTAGCGAGTGGGGCGAACCCTAGAAAAGTAATTGTCCAAGACGGAGTCGGCATTCCGGACCGTAGCCCCTCTGCTAGTTTGTCAGTATTCGGCGCTGCAAATTGAACCACCGGCAGATCACTCATGTCACCATTACTTCGAAATCTGTGCAGTCAAGCAAGAAAGATCGGCGACGACGCTGCGACGTAGTTATTTACACATGCGTCAAGTTTCGCGTGACTTCAGATACATGAAGTCCGTTTGAGATGGTACGGTAACTGTAGGTGAGCAATGATGTGTTTTGGATGACCACATGTGCACGTATCTTTCGACAGATAGAACGAACGTGCCTTAACGCATGCCTTCCACGTGGCTCGGAGGTTTAATCGCAATATGAGTGGTTCGCGAAACATGCACACCAAGATCAAGCCTTCGTGTAGCAGGGGGCGAAGACCAGGCCAATTCGCGCCGGGGGAAGCGATAACGAACGGTCATGCACGAGTCCAAGCAGGGGCATAAGGGACAGGTACCCTGAGACACAGTGAGTCTGAATGTGCTTGCATGTGGGAGATTTGCACATTTTGATAAACGCAATTCACTGTTGCGGGCTCATTTGCGTCAGCCATTACAAGAAAGTACTTGTATGAGTTTGAAACGAGCGCCAATCCCATCTGTGCCGCCCTCCCATCTCCGCTTGCGCAAAGAGGATGGATAGCTGGAAGAGGTGCCAGAGAGGCTCATGGGTTTGATATAGGGCGCGGCCTTTGTCCAAAAGCCATTCATCGAGCCATAAGGCAGGATGTCAGCCGAAGCCGGCTTGATGGACCCACAGGTGAAGTCCGAAAACGACACCTGCGAAGCGCTCGGGACGCATGATCGGCAACGTTACTAAGTGTTGTCAAGCCGTTGCTGGTTGAGAAGCTGAAACGCCGTATAGCGAGAATGGAGAGTCCAAATCAACCCTTCACGATTTCACTTTTTAAATGATATCAATGGATAGAACATATCCTGCCTGGCGTTTGTATCAATGTTTGTGAATAGAAGAGCTGGGATGGCGTAGAGCTGACAAAGCAATAACGAAAGCCACTATTGTGTGAAGCAGGCGACGCGATTCCCATACTCGCCCAACAATCTCAATACAAGGCCATAAGGTAATACGCTCGTAGATGGAGTCAGCGCTAATGGCAAAGCGATGGCGTAGGAGAAAGAGAGAGGATGTTCGAATGTGAGGAACGAAGGGTCAGCTAGCGCATTAGCGCGAACGCGTCGCACTGGCACGTGCGCGCCGCATTTGTACTAGCGCAATATGACTTCACAAGTGTTCGGTGCTTATACGACTAGTGTAATACAATCCGTTAGTCTAGCGGCGTGGGCACCGCCTGAGCTATTAGGCCCACAGCGAAGCTAGTGGCCAGTACGTAGGGCTCACGGTGCCCAGGACGACTGCTCTCCAACTGCCACTCGGACATCTCAACAGCTTGAGATTAGTGATCATACCGCCTACTTGTAAGCGCATGTCCAGATGGCTTGAAAGAATATTTAGAGAGCCGAGCTACAAGAGGCGTGGAAGTTCTAGCATGTCGAATCAGCGCACCGCCAGACACAAAGCCCACTTCCCAGCAAAGCACGATCTCCGGCCCACACCCATTTCCCTCAATGGCGACGATTCCTGGCTCCTATCCTTTCGTAGCCCAGAATCCGATCACAGAAACTCAGGAAAAGCATACTTCCACATCGTCCATCACCCCTAGCTCAACGGCCCCGAAGTCCAATATTCATCTTGGCCAGCTGGTCTATCTCTCTTTGTCAGCAACTCCCGCCGTCATCAACGGTGTAAGCATTGAGGACCTCGTGCGTAAACCTGAATCATAAGCAGCAGAAGCGGGTTCCATCTCCCATCCTCAGAAAGAGGGAGTCGACGGGCGTGCGCCAATCGACACATTGCTCGTCCATTTCCACTATGGCGACCATCTCCACGGACCCACCCCGTTGACGTCAGCCCCTCGATCCTTCTCTTCACTACTGCAGACGCGGCGCCCATCATCGGGAAGTTGAAGCACCTTGGTCCCATCACTACTCCTCCAGACCTCGACCCAGCATTCACTGGGGACTGGCACGCTGTAGCGCTGTAGATCGTGCATCAGGCCTGCCATCGTACCTTACAGTGTTCCGCATCAGGGTCTACCACGAGCTCGACTTCCTCACCGTACTACTCTGAGACTCTGGACCGGACACGCATGAAGCGGCCTTGTACTCGCCGCATGGCTTACACACCGCCACGCCCGCTCTGCAAGCACTTCTGGACTTGGGGTCGGAAAAACGACTTTTGGTGTGAACACCGGTTTGGAGTTGTATCGAGAGAGTTGGCCGCGATATTTCGTGTCTACGCATAATGATCGGCTAGGGTTTGGTGGGGTCATGTGGAGTGGACCCTGGGATAGGAAAAGAAGGACCACGAGGCGAGTAAGGGTGTCAAGGTTGAGGAGGTGGGGGATGGGTAGTGTTTGTGCTGGAGTAGAATGTGGTAAGCGACTCTCACATGAAAGCAAGAGCTCTGTCTATCGGGTGGATTTGGTTATAATTCTCCGGATGTCTATTAGTTTGCGTGATTCCCGTGTGCACGACAGTCTTGTCAGAGCACCAGCACAACACCGGACTGCGGTGTCCGTGCCTCGCGTTTCCTTGATGCAGTCCTGATCTCGGAAAGCTATCCTCTTCACCCACTTGAACGCGAGCTTGCCAATGCGTTCCACGGTTCCTCTCTGGCTCGTTGTTCAAGCCAAAGACATAAGCTGGTCACTACTTCAGACTCGCTCTGATTTGGAATACAAGAAGATGGACCAGATGCCGGCGGCCTCGACGCGTTGGGTGGTGATGCGCGACCAACGCCGATGTTTGTTGCCGCCTGAGTAGAGTGTGGGCGGTATGCCAGATTCTGGTGCCGTACACGTATTAGCGAGGATGTGGGACGAGGGAGAATGAGGGTCCTTACTTTTATCTCGGTCATAGCGCAAGGAACGGTGTCGTACAGAAGGAAATGCCAAGGTACACAGACGGTGGGCAAGCCGGTAGAGAGTGTATTTGCTGGGTACTACTTGTTTAGTGGGCCGTGTTTGTGTGTGCTATCCGGATTCTGAGGGTTCAAGGTGCAAGATCAATGCTCTTATACTGTCGCTCTACTGCGCCGTCGTTTTGCGCACTGAATTCACCTGAAGCCGCCATGCGCGTCCGCTCACCAGCACTTCACCAGTTGTAGAGACCCCAGGTCTTTCAACAAAGAAATACACTGCCCTGTGAGTTCGCTACCATGAATCGGGTCGCGTGAACATTCGACTAGTGTTTCAGGTGAAGTCCTCTCGATCGACTTAGCGTCCGCCTTTTCGAGAAGCACGTATGCCAGACCGGTCAGTCACCGCCGCCTTGCACGACTTCAGGATCTCTTGGCAGGCGGTTAGAACGAATCGCTGAGGAATTTTGGGACTGCAGGCGTTCTTCCTAATCGTACAATGTGTTTTGATACAAATTCGTGCCATTCAATAGCTCCAAGTCCTTCAAGCATTATCATTACATTCACCACGCTCCAGGCGTGCATCGGGACATGTCATCAATACATTAAAATGATCTCAAAATTGACCAGCGTGATCGTAGGTGTTGTTGAACGCGGCACTAAGCTCATCGTAGTCGAGCGTGACCACGTTGGTTGGCTGAAAAGGGTCTTCAGGAATGGCCCCTAGCCGATTCCAGATCGGCATGTCGGGCATAGGGTCGTAAACGGCGGCAGAAAACGGGCCAGAGTGCTGACTCTGATGATACATCGACTGGTGAGGTAGCTGTAATGGATATTGATCTTTCTTTGGAACGGGCGGCGGCGCCTTGGGAAGCTCTTTCTCCCGAAGGCCAGTTTCGAAGGCCAGTCTTGCGATGGCAGCGGCGTTGTGAGGCTGCGGATAAAACTCGAGAAGATCTTGCAGCTGGGGTTGGGCGTCCGTGTCCGGGTATCCTTCTGCTCGTCCGGTGGTGGATTCCTTCCAAGAGAAGGGGTTTTGGGTGCGTTGCTTTGTTTCCAGCAGATAGCACCATTCTTGGAGTATCTCCGGTCGCTGGAGGAGCGACCATATTACCCTCGAGTGCTTCCAGTCTGCCATCGTATGCCCTTTCCTCTCAAAGTGCTCGCTGATATGGCTGCACCTCTCCTGCCAACTCGTGCTGAAGTGAACGCAGAATCCGCAACCCCAGCCAGTCCGAGCTACACGCTTCTTCCTTGCCATTTCCACATGTCTTTTGGGGATGCATACCTGGCATCTGTGACTCCCTTGATGGTGGTGAATGAAGTCTTTCTCGAGAAAATATACGTTCAAGCACAGCTCGCATTCGAACATTTCTGTGCGCTCCTGATAGGTTTCCTCATGTCGCTTCCAGTCGTACTTTTGCTGGAAACCTTCGCTGCACGCTGTGCATTGGTATTTCGGCTCTTTAGCAGAGCGTCGAGATCTTTTATTTCGCGATACACATGTCAGGAAAGGCTCCCTGTCTTGCGAAGGTTGACGTTCGTGCGCTCGCTTAAAAGGTGTACGTGCTGGTGGTGGCGAAGCAATTGAAGACTGCGCCTCCAAGACGTGTTCTGATGGAGCGGGGTACTGCTCTGAAGTAAAGTCGGAGCAGTGCGACCATGTCGTGTTCGTGGATGCAACAGAGCTGCGAGCTTGAGGTTGCCATGACGAGAAAACGCTACCATTAGAAGACCGATGGACTGAGGAATGGTTGGACTGAGCGGAAGCAGAGTGATGTCGTTGGTGGGAGCGGAATGAGTGGCCCTGAAGGTCCAACGTGGGGTACTCTACTGGGAACTCGAATGGCAATGCTACAGCCGAGTCAGTGTAGTCCTTCGCGGTTAGCCTGAAGGCGGAGAGAACACTCATACTCACAATAAGTGTTTGATTTGTCGTACTGCAGATGGCTCGAAAGATGTTGCGGTTGTACTTCGAAGTACGCACCAGGCGAACTCGTCTCGAAATCCATCTCTTCGCTCGAGGCTTCTCTTCCAAACACAAAAGGTGAAAACGCGCCTGAAGACTGGCGCTCCATAGGATTAAACAGAAATTAAGGCGAGGCAATCAGATGATCAAGGTGGAAGAGAAAGGCAGGGACGGGATGATTTTGTTGCCTCAGGGAGGAGGAAGGCGCACTTGGCTTAACACACATCCGTTCGTGCAAAGGGTGCTTGCGGCTGAGGCCGAAGCCTCGCTCGAGGTAAGGGTAAGCACGCATCTTCACCTGAAACGTTGATCGCACGAACGCGCTTGTTTGGCGGCCGTGTTTCGTTTCAAAACGTAGGCACCGAGCCAGTGGGATGACGTGCTGGCATGCTTGGAATGCACTGACAACGCGGAGCCTCCGTGCGCGCAAGCGTGACAGCGGGCTAGGCTCGCCGTACCATGTGTATTTTTGCTTCTGTGCAACCCTTCTCACAAGGGCCGGACAAGTTCTGAGAAACACAGGGGCATTGTTGGGGCCGTTGGTTGTGGCTAGCTGGTTGGCGAGCAGGCTGTGGGGAAGGCTGAAACGAGAGGCAAAGCCCACGGCGGACGTTCGCCAAGGATCGCTCTACTACCCTGGTAAGTGGATTAGGTCATCCTTACGACCAGACCAAGTTGATACGAGTAAATTCATTTCTATCCTAGATAATTGATTGGCCTGTGCGCAATATATGAACTGCTCTAAAAAGTAAAAAGCAGCGGCAAGACCGAATTTCCCGTGAATATTAACGCTCATTGCAAACACAGGAGGCTGAACCTCGATGCTCTCTTGTTTCCAGCTATGTCGCAGCAAATGGTTCCCTTGTCTCATCCGATAGTATCGTATAGCCGTATAGAGCCGATTTTGTGTGAATGGAACGCTTGAGTAGTCCCCTCTCAAAGATGCAGTTGCACGGGTCCCTTGCCACTGCGTTCTATGAAGCCCAAGCGGCTCAAGCGGTTTTGAATAGTTCGCGACTCCCCATCCAGAATCCTAAGGCGCAATTCAGTCTGCTCTTTTGCGGCAGTGGTAAACTTCTGCAGCTCCTCGGCGAGTTGTGCGCCTTCAAATGGCGCTGAAGCTTGCCATGTAGTGATTTCGTCCTCCTCTCGCTGGATGATGTCTTTTCGCTTCACCCCATTGGCAGCCAACTGCTGCTTGAGGGGCATACAACGGGTAGCGAAGACCTCGGCCTCTGCTAGAATCTTCTTTGGCTTAGAAAGTCTACGGGTGATGGTCGAGAAAGGAGACACCTGTTGGTCCTGGCTCGGTTGCCGGGAGCTTTCTTCCACGCCTTCGTCGATGGTTTCAAGTTTGCTACCATGGGTGCCAGACAGCTCTAATTGAGAAGCCTGGGCCAAGGGAGACATGGCGAAAATGAGTGTCGGCGAGGCATCGGTACGACCGGGGGATACGGCGCTCGTGAACTTGGCTGCAGCGCGAGAGCTTTCACCTAGAGAGTCTTGGCTACCATAGCCGCCCCCACTCTGCGGACTGATTATGGCCTTTGACCTACGTGTGTTCTGAGCAAGCGCCGCAAACGGATCGTTGCCGTATAAAGGAGTGGAGATGTTCGTCTCGTCATCGGCCATCTCCGCTACCTTCTGCTCATACTCCTCTGTGGTCATCAATACACGCTCGTATGACCAAGAGAGGGCCTGCTCGACCGTTGGGGTGGCCTTCATAACGAATGGGTCGTCGTCGAAGAAGCTTCCTGTACGAGACAGGATTCGCGGAACAACGTATTTCGACCGCCTAGCCTGGACTGTTCGCAGAGGTGGCGTGGAGTGTGTTGCGGTCTGGCTTGGGAGAGGGACTTGACGGGTTTGGCGGCGAAGCTCACCTCGACCTTTGGGCAGTATGAACTTTGGCGGCGGACCCACAAGTGCTGGGTTCTGGAACTTGTGTGATGAGGCTTCATGGACGGCTTCTAGATAGTTTCTCCGTATTCCGCTGGGATGCAACACGCCTACGACCGGAATGACAACAGGGGAGTAGTCAAATGTGCCCATGGCCCGTTCTACGCGCCATTTGAGCGTTGTGATTCTAGTGCTGTCGAGGGGTCCAGGCCACCAATTGTCGATGGCGATAGGGCGTGTCCGACCGATGGGCGACCCATTGGGAGCAGCGTGTGGTAGGGCTACGAAATAGTACATTGGGTTAGCTGAGGTGGTACTCTGTGCCTGCTGAGGCTCTGCGTTCCAGAGATCTTTATCGCTGTAGTCTGAGGCCGCGTCGCTCCGACTATCGGTTGTCACGGCGTGGCGCAATTTAGTGCGCACTGCCAGAACGTGGTTGTTTGAGCCGGCATCTGATGGGGCATACTCAATGTGTTGCCGAGACGGCGATTCATCGCAGTGGAAGACGTTACCAACCGATTGTGGCATGTGAGCAGACGAGCTTGCGGCCCCTATCCTAGCTCGATGCTGTACCAGTGGTTCACCAGAAGACTGCTCTACGTCATAAATATCATCGGATAGCAACGTCGTCATGAAAGGTGATGGGACGGTCGGAGGCTTGTGGCCTGAAGGACGTGTTGGCCGCATGATGATCGTGCCACTGGCTGACGAGGGGTGACTTGTTAGGAGGTTGGAGCCGTGGACGACGACTGGAAAGCGCTCGCGGGGGCTCGTAGTGAGTGAGCTTGCGCTTAATGAGGAGGGTTGTGTACTAGAGTCGAGCTGGGTGGGAGAGCGGAGTGAGCGGTTGTGTGTGCTTGTCAGTGTTCTGAACGCCAGAAGGAGTGGCGGGACAGAGTGGAGTTGGGCGGGAGGGCGGAGTGGACAGGTGTGCGGTAGTTTTCAATGCTTAGACCTGCTCTCCGTATGCCCCGCTAGGCCTTTTTCCCTAAGCTTTGGTGAATGCACGCCGCGACCAAGACCGCTGCCGCCACCTAAACCACTCTCACACCCGAATGGCATTACCCAACCTTCCTTTCTTCGCCACTGCTCTCCGCATCGATCAATTAAGCTCCTTCCCAATGCGCTCACGCATATGCGGACATTGCCCTCATGCTTGCACCGCATGGGGTACGTGAGGGAGCATAGTAAAAGGTACGTCACGCCTCTACCAGCACCAGCTCGCCTTGAGGGAGGACCAGAAGTTGGGCTAGTTACTTCGATGCCTCGAAGAGACGTTGCAGAAGCTTAGGCTCGCTGTGATATGCGGCCTCGTTGATGATGTCGACGACCGACAAACTGCTAACTCCGGTGCTGCTCCCAGGAATGTCAAACACTCCGTGGTGGTCAATCCCACCCTCACACACTGATGTCCAGAAGCCCTGCAGGCCACGAATACCATGTGCTCGCGTACAGATGCATGTTCACTGGACTGCTCTCGTCCGTCCGCCTACGTTCAGAGTGCGCAATACCCTCACCGCCGGAAGGAGAAGTTGCGCCGGGCTTCTCCCTCGAGAAGACCACATCCGCGCGCCGCGATTTCGTATGTACCGACTGTACGAGGTCTTTGCTGACGAGAGTGATCTTTCTGAGGCGTATGCTCCTTCGACAGCCTCGCCAGCGAACCTTGCGATGCCCACAGGATGCTCTTGCAACCGCCTTCTCGACGTGCAACAACTCCCAAAACATTATGGCAAGTGCGAATAGCACTCTTGCCGCATGCTCAACACCACAGCGGGTAGTCATCCACCCCTGCAACGCCCGTCGAGCGTTCACATGCCATGCCAATAGTCAGATGCATGGGGCGGGCTACGAACAGCTCCCCCTTGCGGCACGAAGCGCAATTCGACAATCCGCAGGTCCAGAGACGAGGGCCTGGGCAGCCGCTCGAACCCAAGATATGCAGCACACAGCCGTCACCAGGATGGGTATGCTCGAGCGGCCGCACGCGGCTTCGAGGACCACTTCGGAAGCGACCCAGTGCCTTCCATTCACAGGTCCTCCTCGCGCCCGTCCCGCTCAGCGAACGCGAAAGCGTGGCGAACCTTCGTGTGGCTTCGAGCAACTAATGGTGCGAGGATGGGAGCTGATACGAGCACGCTCAAGCTTTCTACATATGCACAAGCAGTGCTACATGCATGGTTGCCCAGGGCCATTGAGCGAAGACCCCGGTCCTCCGTGTCTTGGGATTGCCTCAAGACATAAGTCATGAGCCTTGGACCAAGGCTGGCATGCACGATGCATTAGTCGAACCTCCAGGCGTTCCCGACTGCATCGTGGCGGTGCAAGTATCCGAGAAGATCATCGAAGAGCAACGGCCAGAAGAGGACTCCGGCAGACACCTGCCTGCATAGCAGAACGGATTCGGAGGCAATGCGGAGATCGATGCAAAACATATCCAGCACTCCTCCTCAGCGCTGAGAAGTCAATAAGATGTTATAGGACCTCGGGAGGGTCCTGGGTTCTTCGTTTTAACCGCATTGTAAGCGCACATAGCCATCTCTCGCCACAAAGAAGGGAAGGGATAGTGCGCCCGAAGAGCCGAACAATGTGAAGCACTCGCATCGATCAGCCCAACAAGAGCGCAAAATGGGATCCGACGGTACGATCTCGAATCTCACAAACCAGGTGTGCGCCTGCGATCTTGCGGTTGCGGTAGTCGCGAAAGCTAGGACGCTCTATCCGAGGAACGAAACAAATGTCTCTAGTCGATGGGGGTTTATCAGTGCACGTCTTGCACGAAGCTTGAAGAGCTCAAGCGTATAGTCGATCGCCAGCGGAACCGTCAAGCAATACGATGTACTCATTGACCGGAAATAGACGACCGACACGCCGTAGAAGGTACACAAGCAGTCACATCTTGATCTCTTGGGCCAGAGATTATCTATACCGCGCGTCGGCAAAAGACTTGACAGCTCCAGGTCTAGCTACTTCCGATTCACATTGTCCGTGGGCGGAGCCTTTGTTTTCTCGCATTGCGCCAGATTGACGAAATGTGCGAAGCTCCATATGAAGAGAACTAGTGTCGGAGCAAAGTAATCTAGCTCCCTGGTTTCAGACTCCTCGCTGGCTCGAGAGCAGTATATACCGCATCGTTTAACCAGTAACACTCATGGGTATACATTGTTGTCTGTCCTACACCGCCTATAAGTACAGAAGATTAATACAGACAAAAATGCGTCCTGGGCAAGTGTCGCGGATGCTGTGGTGGGCACAGCTCCCAAGCGTGCGCCGAACCCTGCTCCCTACATTAAGGAGGGCCATGCATGCTCTCGACTGGGGATATGTTGGAAGCCCTTCCCGGAAGCACGTTGTCCGAGTGTCGGTGGCAAGAAGTTGTCGAAGTCGCGGGTTCCTTGGTCCAGGAGGTCTACACAAGTGCCGCCAGATCCCTCAGCTATCTCTTTCGATCGCTTTCATGGAAGCTTGGTTGGGTCGCTCAGGGTCTCTCAAACTGTGGCACCGGAAGGAGTGTTTCCAAGCGGTCTGCAATGATACCATAATCGGAATGCCACGGCTCGATGCGACTTTGCAAACATTGGGACCAATCCCCGATGTCCTGCAACTTCTGGCCAACCAAGGCCGTCTGAAGTTCATGAAGCATGTCATCAGGAAAACTGCCTCCCTTCGTTTCCAAAGTCTTGATTATACCATGGTGTACGTTGATATCGATCTCTGAGCGAGCTGGGCCTTCAAAGGCGATGTTGAACTGCGGTGTTTGCGACCACATCCAGTCATCGGTCTATACAAGTTAGCACCGCATTTGAACCTATCAATGCGACGCACCTTCAGCTCATTGTAGCCCTTCCTGATCTCGGGGATCTTCAGGTGCTCCTCACCAACAGTCTGAACAGTGGTTGTTGTTCCCTGATGAGCGTACATGCCCGAGAATTCCTCTTGGAGGCGCTTTTGGAACATTTCCACATCCAAGCCAATATTGGCGACCGGCGAGCTGACGCTCTCAACTCCCTTTGCCTGTATGGACTTCCGGGCTGGCGAATGCAAGTACTGCGGTATGACGTGCAGATTCGGAGAGGCAAGAAGCGTAGTCGCATGGTGCAAAGCTCTTCCCCGCGTCAACTTGTATGCCGATCCAGACACTTTCAGCGGCCTCGGGCCTCCTTCATCGACCGTGTACGATGTCCGATGGGTGTCTTGAGGGTCTGATGGGTGCCTCTCGTGACCCTGGTCAAGCACAATGTCATGCCGCTCATTGACTCGCGCGCGCTCAATGCCGATCTTGCGGAGTGCGCGGACGACCATCTCGGCGTGCTTGTCTCTTGTGAACTCGGTGCGCGGGCACGTAATGCTCCAATTGAGATTGCCTTCGTCGTGGAAGACAGCACCGCCGCCAGAGCGCCGCCGCACAAGATGTACATCGCCAATGGCAGGCGGCTCCGTCTCCTTGGCTGTTGTGCCCCTTGATGTTGCTGCTTGCAATATGCCCAGATTGACCTCCGACCACGGATTCTGGTTCCTGCCGATGACGACGCAGGGCCGGTTGGTGTAGAGGAAGAGCACGGTCGAGTCGGGCGGCGAGGCGCGCAGGATGTAGTCCTCAATCGAAAGGTTGACGAAGGGGTCTCTACTGCGCGAAATGTAGCTCTGCACGCGGTTCGCGGGATTCGCAAGCTGCTCGGCGAACGAGGAGTAGGCGCGGCGGGCAAAAGACATTGTCCTCGAGTATGTGCCCGTGTTCGAGATTGCAGGCCGAGGCAGTAGGCGTGCCAGCCCTCGAGATGGAGCCATTGTGGGCGTTTGCGCGCGGCGTGCGTGGTCGTCGATGGAGGATGCCGGCGTTCCAAGCAGAAGATCGGCCGCCATAGCTCCTGGTCATTTCGGGCGTAGCGGGGCGCCATCGCTCCGAACGTCAAGCATCGGCGGCGATGCAGTGCTTGCCACCCTGTGCGCGCCAACCCGTGAAGATTCTCGAGACAGTTGTTGAAATGTTGCAAGGAGCGAGTTGGGCGGGGTATGATCGAGGAGCCCTACCCTGGTGACTCGGCTGGACCCTTCAGAACGGCATACCGCTTGTGGAATGTGTGATGCATATGTTGCCACGGCATCGCCAGCACTGCAAGAGAAGAACGAGACGACACTGAAACCGGCTGTAGAATCTTTGCAACGACCTCGAACGCAGCCCAGAGATTTTGATTGCCTAGGCACGTCCTATCCTCGCATCGAGACCGGGAAGAGCACGCAACGATCATGGAGCACCTCCCTGCTTCCCTGCTACGGTATCCGACATTATAACTGTTAAGAGATGTTTGTCCGAGTACTTGAGGGTGGTCGGTTAGCCGGCCTTTCGTTTTTGCCTCCAGAGCATGGCATTCTGCCGTGAACTATAAATCGATCTCAACATGAGATGCAAGCTCTCAAGCTACCTATGGTAGGGCAGGCGAAACGACACAGGAGTGTTCACAGTACCTCATACTAAGTCGCCGTCTAAAGGCCCACCGGGAAACACTCCCATTCTCGCGGAAACATTTGCTTAGCGTGCAAAGTGCATGTGCCCCGACCACATACTTAGGACAGCAACCTAGGCATAATGAACAGCCGAATATTCGACACGTCCACCAAATACTCGCCTCAACGGACACGGGAAATTCTATGCCCTCTCACATAATGTCACAAAATTCGCTGCGAGAGCCAGCGGATGTGAGCGCGTACCCCATTGAGTCGGTCCCCAAGGCCGCATGCATTATCCTATCCATGGTGCTATCACATTGCTTTGGCCAGATGCCGGCCATAGGACCCTCCAGGAAGGATGTGCAACATAGGATTACCAACGCCGATGACGAACCATCGCATGTCTAGGGGCTTTAGATGCTTCCAAGGATCCTTGTCAGCCGGATCGTTGATGTTGCGATATCTGAGGTACGGAGACGCACGTTCGCCTCGCTGAGCTAGTATGATCGCGAAGATACGGCTGCTTTTGCTGCCCCAGGTGGTTTATAAGGGGTATGAGTAATGGAGCATTGCCTTGACAGGTATGTACTACACTTCTCTTTACGAAGGAAGTTGTTCGAGCCTACCTGCCCGTCATCACCAGGCCTTGGTATTCCTCAAGACGTTGATGCTTCAGCGTTCGCACAACAGCGACGCTCTGCCCTCACCGTTGCCTGGCACCCCAACACCCACAAACGCACTCTCTCTTTCACGTCCGCAGATCAAAAACACCAAAAGGCTGCTGAATACCGGCATCTACAATCCCTTGGGCTATATGGCCCGCTCAAATTGCTACACCCCCATCAAAAACACAGTGTTCAGCGCTGCATAGCTCGATCGGTTGTTGCCGCTCCTCGACTCAAGCATTCACAACTTTCTCACAAACGCTCATGGTTCGAATCTAGGTCTGTCCGACGTTTGGCTTTGGGCCCGTACTAACAGTCTAACGTTCACAGGTGGCAGTCCCACCACTGGATCTGGACCTGGGCCTGGACCTGGACACTGGACACACACACTACATAAGTTTTCATTGCGTCATGCGGACAGTGCTAACTCGTGAACAAAATATAGGGCGCATGAACGATGTAGCGGTGACCTCACCCACAAGGTACGTCAGGTAAGTCATCTAATCGAGAACAGAAGTGGCACGACGGATTGAGCTTTCTTTTTAGCGTTTCCCCTTGACCTTAGATGATAGCATGTAACATTCTGAGACATGCACAAGTCTATTTTGCCATTTTGGAACAGCTATCATGTGCTTCAGGACAGTGGAGTTGACCGAAACCGCCCACAAGCAACAACCAGCATCCCCGAAGATCTCGTTTAGCAGATGCTTCGAGCTTCTACGAGATGGGCAGCGGTACATTGGAAGTGAAGGTTCGCAAGTTCTGCGCTGACTGAGCGTCCCCACGATACCGCGCTCGGGTTGAGTTGAGCCTTTTTAAGCGCTTGGCGACCTGTTTACCAGCTCCTTCCGCGCCTGCCTCACCCCATCTACATACCCCCCACAGTATCTGTCCTGTTACCATCCCTGCGCCCCTTCAGCTTTCTTTCGCCTGCGACCGACCGCCACCCCCTATCATCCTGCGCCGACTATGCTTGGCTACCACGCGTTCCCCGCGCTTTGAGCGCCCCTCTGCGGTCTCCTTGTGCTCCCCGGTGGCCCCCACAGCTCCAGCGTCCGCTCCGCCGTCCTCTCCGCCGTCCTGTCCCCACCCCTCGCGCTCCTCGGGGCCTTGAGCTTTGCTCGCTCATGGCCGCCACCGCTTCTTCAAGTTGACTCGCGGGCTTGCCGTTACAACTTCTGCCCCGCCGGTTTGCGCGCCTTGCCTTCGAGGACTGTTCGGCAGTTGTAATCGCCTACTGATATCGCAGACATTATGGTTCTCGATAGCCGAAGTTTCTATGGAGCCAATCTCGTTGATAGACATGGTGCTGGAATGTCAGAAGGAGAGCGTCTGGGGTAACAGCGCGAGGAATCTTGCGGGACCGCTGGGTCGCTACAAAAGACTGACTCTGGCAACATGAATCTTTGCCTACGACTGAAGGCGATGACCACACCATCCGCTGTATAATCATCCCTGGGATGCAGGTAGCTACCTCAGCAAGTTGAATACAAAAGCAGACCTTTATGAAAGTACTTCGTTGACTACAATCGTGCTACCTCGAAGACATTCAAATAAGCTTTTCGGCCCGCTACAGTGGCACCGGCCAATGTGTCGGGCATGGCTCGGTTCCCCACATGCCGCTGCATGACAGCACCATTTCCGGATGCGAGCAACGCAGCACCATTATTGCGGAAGCACGATCGCGCCAATTAGACATGCTAGTAACTTCGGATACGTGTATGCGGGCCGCTGACTGAATGCAGGGCGAGAAAGCGGACCTGAACTGATTTAAAGGTCTCTGGGTTGCTACAAGACGCCTACACTTGCGTTGAAAGCTTCACGACGAACCAAGCCACGATACAATAAGATGGCGTCAGCAAATGGAAACGCTAGACAGAAAGGCACTTCGCCCTCAGACCTGCCCATTGTTATAGCAGGTGGTGGTTGCGTCGGACTCTTCCTGGCTCTGCTTCTCACACAGTCCAGCATACCAAATCGCATCCTTGTACGCACTTCCCCTTCTCATATGAGTAGAGTTATTAACCCTCTCATCCTACTAGGTAATCGAGCCCGAGCACCCCGACCCTGCCTCCACGCGTGCAATGGCCCACCAGCCCCTCATCTTCCCACTCTTCTCCCGCGCCGGCCTCATGCCCGAACTCTCCCGCGAGGGCAGCTTTTCCTCGGGCATCTGCTTCCGCACGAGCGCCAAAAAAGGATCCAAGCTCATCGCAGGGAAGAAGTTCAAAGAAGGCGACAAATCGCAATTACTCCTCCCGCAGGGCAAATTCCAGGAGATCCTCATGCGCAAGATGGAGGAGACGGGAAAATCCGAAGTGCGCCTGGGGTCGCGCGTCGTCGGGCTCGAGCAGCGAGACAGCAGCGTGGAAGTCCACGTGCAAGACTCAACCGGCAAGGAGGGCACGATAATAGCTGCATACCTCGTTGGCGCAGACGGGTCGAAGTCGACGGTGCGGCGGAAGCTGGGGCTGACTTTCGACGGCGAGACGCTACCCGCCCAGCTCGTCGCGACGGACATAAAATACGACTTCCACGCCCACGGCTTCTACGATGCGAATTTCGTGATTGATCCTGAGAACTACGGGCTCATTGGGCGCATCACGACGGAAGGGCTGTGGCGCGTTAGCTATGGTGTTCCGAATGAGATTGAAGAAGAGGAAGTGCGGCGGGGCGCGGAGGATAAGATCCGCGCGATGCTGCCAGACGGGGGGACGAGCGGGTTCGAGATCAAGAGGGTGGCGCCGTATAAAGCGCAGCAGCTGTGCGTGGAGAGGTTCTGGATGGGGAGAGTTGGGCTGTGTGGGGATGCGGCGCACTGTAAGCCGATCTCCTACCTCGCTATCAACAAAGACGGAAACTGATTTCACGCAGTAACGAACCCCTATGCGGGCCTCGGGCTCGCGTCCGGCATTGCCGACGCGTCGTCCCTCGCTGAAGTCCTCGTTCGCGTCCTCGCACAGCGAGCCTCCGATTCTGATGCACTCTTCTCTTCGTGGTCGAATGCGCGGCGGCAGAAGTTCTTTACGGTGATCGACAAGCCGTCGCGCATGGCGTATGCGAGGGTGAAGCATAGCGTGGATACGGAGGACGAGATTGAGGCGTTGCTAGCGAGGGATCCGATGGTGGGGGCACTGAAGAAGGGGATGCCGGTGATGCCGCCGAGTATTGAGACAAATGGAGAAGAGTTGGTGGGGTGGTGAGTTACTTCTAGGATACCTCAATGCGTGTAGAGACACCGTATTTGTGGCTTCATGGAGCACTGTGCTTCCACACCGGCTTGGTGGAGAGTGGCAGAGGGAGTGTTAGGATGTTGCTAGAGAGGTCAAGATCAGAGAAAAACCTGAGACTTCTTAGCTGGCAGACATCAACCACTGTGTCATGTTCACCAGGGCATCCAAATTGGATTGGTCTATGATTCGACCGAATTGATTATGCTCTCAGATCTCTCAGTGTAGTAGTCACAAATAATTTGTGAGCACTGTGAGCACTGCGATAGCGTGGCGACTGTATATTCGTGATTCATGTTGTATCAAGGAGATGTACCAGTCCTTCTTTGTACCACAATAAGAAACCCCAGTCACAACTCTATGCGGCATGCACGCCGTGCTTTACTCAGCTTTGGAGCTTTGTGCTGTGACGAAACACTCACCATATATATTGTCATCCGATCACCTCTCGGCAAGATCACTGAGCACTTAGCGCAGCAACTGGATTTGGATACTTCATACCTCCAGAGCAGATCATATTGCCGTACGGAACACATCGACGCGCAGGGACCTAGAGCATTTTGTGTACGGTTGCACCCGGGAACCAAGCGAAAAGGCAAAAGAGATATACAATGGTGTATAGCACCTCGCTATAGCAAGGAAAGCCATCACTAACCCCTGTTGCAGATGCGGCGAAAAGATTCGCGGAGCGTTATTCTCTCGAAGGGGAAAGCATCAAACTAATGTGGGACGATCTACCGATCCAAGACAATAAAGCAATTACACCGCCCGAGCGTCATAAATGCTACCCAGACGACAAACAACACGCCTGGCGTTGGGTATTAGCTCTCCCACGTCCATATCCATATGACGATCTTTCGGGGGTAGCGGCTAAGGAACTAAAGAAGGAGATCGAGGAAGCAGATGAAGTCCGGAAGAACATGAAAAAGGCACTTTGGGTGATTTTTAAGCGGCTCGACACTGACAGGAAGGCGGACGGGTTTCTTTTTGAGTCGGGTGGCCGTTGGCATGCCGTGACAAGCCTGAAAAGTGACGAAGTGTATCGTTTGACCCATCTTTTACCATGATACCAAAGAAGTTGCCCTGGAAACCCTGGAAGAAGAACAGGGTCTTTGAAAAGAAGGAGTTCGATAACAGAATGGAGTGTCTGAGCGGAGGCTGGAGTGGAGACAGTGAACGATCGGTGTGCCCTGCCATTTAGCTCTACCTACCTCATGGTATGGAGTCTCAAGTGGACTCAGTAAGTGAAGAGCTCACCGCAGCAGTGGTGATTATGGGTGCACGAAATATGCTGTAAACTAGTTTCTTGGAGTTCCAATAATGCAGCATTAAATATGCTTCTTTCATATGGATCGCGCCGCAGTCTGCTTCACGAGATGAACGCCCTAGATTACTTTCGTGTACCAAACAACACGCCATGAATCCAAGACCCCTTGCAGTGATGATTGCTCTTCCCAAAACGATAATTATCCCCTGTATAACATTGGCTCTTGAATTGTACCAGCCCTTTCGCAACTCTGCAATACTTACATGACCGTCTCATCTGAACCACCCGATTGCCACATCTCCAGCAACAACGACAGCTTCTTAAAGTTGACCGGCTTCATGATATACCGATCGACCCCAGCGGCAAAGGCTTCCTTTTGATCCTTGAGGCTTGAGAGACCAGTCAATGCGACTATAAAACTCCGCGGAGCAGCAGTGTGTGTTCCCTGCTTGGCGTAGTCACTCTCGTTCTTACGGATTCGACGTATGGCTTCAAAGCCATTCATGACGGGCATAGAGAGGTCCATGAGTATGATGTTGGGAGGCGCAGAAGGCGTGGCGTTGAGGAGACGCTCGTACGTCTGTACGGCTAGGAGCCCATTCTCAGCGGAGTGGACGTGGTCGTATCCAAGCTTATTCGTGTATACTTGGAGGAGGCGCAGGTTGATGGCATTGTCTTCTACAAGTAGCATGCGAGGGGATATTTTTGCAGGCTCTGAAATGGTTACCGGTGTCCGCACCGGTTCTTCGGGTGGTCGCTGCATGCTGATGGAGGGGAATAGGGTGACGGTCACAGCTGGCTCGTTGGGAGATAAGGCTGACGGCCCCCCTTCACTAGATACGCAGCCAGACTCGACGTGGACCGCTTCGTGAACAATTTGGGAAGCTCCGAGTGGTAGCGATCTCGGGCGGAGTAGTAGATTTTCGTGATTTTGTGTAGGCTTGAGATCGATTGGTCCGGAAGTGGCGTAGATGGAAACCTTTCCCACGTCGACGTAATCCATCAAAACTCCCTGTTCCGCATTCTTTGGCTCTTTAGTCCCTCTGATGGCACTGCTAGGGAAGGGAGTGCTTGCTTCCTCTGCAGAGGAATTCTCTGTGGCGTTAATTGGCAAGACCCCGTTACCTCTCTCTTGCAAGGCCTCACTCACGCTGCCCTTGTCCAATAACAAGTTGCCCAGGCAATTTCTGAGAACCTGAGACAATCGATTTGGGCCAAATGGGTAATCAAGTACCCAGATATTTTTGGAGTTGAAAGTCTCCTCTTTTATTGGTGCAGGCGTAGCAGTGGTACGGACGACCACGTGTTGGCAATCGGTTGTGAATAACTCTGGGGCCGATTGTTCCAATGCCTCTAAGCCATCAATAGTTGAGAAGACGATGTCATACGAATGTCCCTTTTGCCATGAACAGACCGAAAGTCCAAACCATTTGCTCAGATAGGCCACTAGACTCGCCTGTAATAATCGTAATGCCTTGCTCTGACTCGGTGGAAAATCATCTGCGTGTTGATGCCAGTTCAATGCGGCCGTTCTGCCAGAGACTTGGTCCCTGACAGCGCTGATGCTTGTACTTCTGTTACGCTCGGCGGCATTGTCAAAGTGTTCTGAGTCCGATTTACCCTTCCTGTTCTGCACAGTGCTGGGTTCGCGGACCATAGGAAGCTTGACAGTGACACTTGTCCCTTCACCCACAGCTGAGTCAATACTGATTCTTCCACCCATATTCCGGACGATCGACTTGACGAGCGAAAGGCCGAGACCAGATCCACCAGTCAAATCTGATTCTTGGGAAAAGGGTGTGAAGACTGTGTTCCTGAGGTAGGCTGCTGATATGCCCTGTCCAGTATCGGCAACTGTCAACGTGACAGATCCGAGAGCTGCCGGATCCTTTGAACTGTTACTCTGGAGTTTTACGTGGACAGAACCGTCTTTAGTGAACTTGATCGCATTCTCGACGAGATTCATGACAATCCGACGTAGTGCGCCGGGCTCCAAGAAGTACGTCCAGTTATGGACAGCAATATCAAGGATAAGCTTGACGCTGCTATCCTCAGCACACACATCGCGTTCGATATGCATTTTCTGAGGAGTTGTGGATGATACAGAACCTCTACTTTTCAGACGATCTTCGAAGGCATGTCCAGCAATCACGCTATCAATAACCTCCTCGAGCAATGCAGCGACGTCGACTGTGCGATGTGTGCTGAGACTCGTCTGTAGAGCCTTGAAACGGCTATCTACGGAGAGATCACTCCTGGCCTTTCGGCTGTCTTTTGTCTTTTCGAACCTGTTGATGTTGCTGTAGTCCAGCACCATATTGATTGTGTCGAGGAGCGTGCGTGAGCAACTGGTTGCTGTATCAACCATCGACTTTTGAAATTGCGATAGCTCGGTGTCTTCCAGGAATTCGCATGATGCTAACACACCATGTAAAGGTGATCGGAGTTCGTGCGAAATTGAAGCAATAAAATCGCTTTTCTGCTGATCAGCTTGCAAGCAAGCCAATTTGGTAAGCTCTGCGATGATGGCATTTCCAAAAGTTGCGCAGTAGACAAATTCAGATTTGTAGGACAGGTGTCGAAACTTGGATTTGTGATAGGCAATGCAAACGGCCCAACGAGAGGTTGATGAGTCCCAGATTGGCAGAAATACAATCTGGCGAGCTGTTGGGATACAGCGTCGTAGTTCGTCTGTCTCATGTCGTTTAACGGCTTTGGTGTGAGACTTGGAGCTTTGCGGAGAACTCAAGACCTTTGAGGTTTCGTCTGAGGAGCTGGTCATGGCGTGGCCGTTCAAATTGAAAGTAAACAATTTTCCGTTTGGGAATCGCTTGATGAGTTTCAAAAGATAGTTAGGTGGCAGAACCTCAACCTGTTCCACGGGAGGACACCCAGGACGCGAACTGTTTTTGGGTTGGGTTGCGTGAGCGAGAATCTCAGTGGCGTTGATTTCGAAATCGTCCTTGGCTCGACTTGCACCCTGAATCCCATCTTGCTGTCTATCGCTGGAAGTGGAAGGGTTGATTGGTGCTTGAGCGTCCCCGTCGGATTCTTCCTGACTGCTTGAGGTCGCAGTGGTTTCCTCGACGTTATATCTAGACTTACTACCAACTGGCAGTGTGTCTAGAAACATTACGCCACCACCGCTTTCATCGTAATCGAGTCCTTTAAGAAGCAAGGCGGCTGCACGCCTATATGTACCCAGACGTCCGCCCTCGTCTTCATCGTGGTCCACATCAGTCGCACCCACTTGTGAAGGCGCAAGGAATGCGGGCTTTCTGCGGACGCCGTTCCGGGCACTGGATCGTGTAGACTTGTGCAGTGGATCAATGTATGCCGATATACATGCGCTCATGTTCAGTCCGCGCTCGCAATCTTGTCTATCTTTGAGCATCTCCAGATGCTTCACCACATTATTAGCCACCACACCAAGAAATAGTCGCTCTGTGGTGTTGAGCGCAGGCCTTATTCTGCTGTCAATGACGAAAAGGGAACCAATGTTGATGCCTTTCCGAGTCCGCAATGGCACTCCCGCGTAATTCTTGAAATGCGGTGCCCCGGTCACGAAGTCCAGATTGTTGAAACGATCGTCTTTACCGAGGTCAAGGACCTCGAAGCAAGCTGGCCCGCCGCCTTCCGGAGGTGACGCTGCAATTGTATGTTCACATAGTCGCCCGGCCTTGGAGACTCTGACGCACTACAGGGCGAATAAGTCACATCCTGGCAGCGGGAGTAGCGTTGTGAACTTACACCAGCCCAGATCGCGTCATCAGGGTGATCATGTTCGTTGGCGTTGTCAAGGTGTAGTGTTTTGGTACTCTCCGCGACAAAGTATTGCACATGTTCGTCAATCAGCGTGATCATGGAACGCTCAGCACCGAGCCGCCATGCAACAAGCTGCGCGTGCGCTGTGAGCATAGGATCCGGCAACTCGCCATCATTGGCTGGCGGACGAAAATACTTGTACAACTCACGTGCGCGCAACTCGTCCGTAGTAACTGTTTGAACACCTGGTCCAGGCGAAGCTTCAGGGTAGTCGCTCTTCGGCATTATCACTATTGTCCCGAACAACAGGACACCTGGTGTTTCTTATCAGCCGACGTTGCGTCGCGCAGATTTGACAGATGGCGGTAGTGGCAAAAAGTAGTGGCCGGTGCTGCTATCCGTCCAACGCTACAGGGCCTCGCCCACTAGTAGACCGCGGACGTTGCTCACGCGTGCCATTAGGGCCATATTTACTTCAGACGTCACGAGCCATCCGTAGGAGCCCGCATGCACTTTGCCCTTCTCGCAGTACGGGTACGTTTTCGACGGGACGAAAAGGACGTTCAAGGGTCTTCGACTGGTAGTGGCAAGCAGCGCTGAGAATGCCCTCAAATCTCAGAGGAAGAAAGAATTGCGCATCAGAAAGATTAACCCAGAGAGCCTGAGACTCTGCCAAAGGTAGACACGTCTGATACTGTAGACTTCGGTTGCTGTATACCAGGAACGATGCCTGACATATCATCGTGGAAGTGAATGGTGATCAAATGCTTGGGCCTCTCGTGACGAGGACGCTGCCATTGAGGCTTTGGAGGTCGGAGCGAATAGGAAGATGGAGGTATTCATGCTTGGATATCGTCTCAACATGCAAGTCCGCTACAGGTTCGAGACCGATTCGACGTACAGGTGGGGGCACCTGGGAAGGTAGTCGTATAGCCTGGGTCCACTCGGAGTAGAGTGGCTTCGTAACCATGTAACCTGCTAACGAATGGCCCATGTTCATAACTTGAAGGGTGATGCTTGGGAGCACGTTGCCAGAGAGGTCTTTGATTTCCCGCATGAGTGCATGTGGCTGGTGCCAAGTGGCTTGACTAGCGCCAAAAGTGCCGAACCGTCGTTATGGACACGATGTGCCAAGTCGAAACATTGTCGACGCCGGAGCGCCATTACGCGGCAACATTCTCTCTCCCGATGCACCTGCCCTCGAACCTGCCCTTCCCTTCTTCTTATCGATAGCCGCGCGCCCTCAGCCATGTCTGCCCCCTCGACGTCGGACCCGCTCAAAGAAAGTGGTACGTGAGCTGAACTTCTGGCGTACCAAGGGTTGAAGCGGGAACATTGGCGGAATAAACACTATCTTAGACTGACCAAACTGCAGGCGCCGCCTCCAAGTCGAAGAAGAAGAAGAATAAGAAGAAGGGTGGAGCAAACAATAATAAACCTGAGGAAGTCGCGACTGAGAACGGGGACCACGACAAGCAGGAAGAGCATGAGGACGACCCGGACGAGGAAGACGAACAATCCGTACGGATCCCCTTCGTTATGCTGGGTCCACGGACTCGGTCAGCAAGAACACAACTAACACCATACAGAAGCCAGTTATCCAACCGCATGAGGGCGACGTTGACGATGAACCACCGCTTTCACCTACCACCGCACAAGCAAATGGCGCCGCATCGCACTCCATATCCTCCGCCGTGGCCCTTGGGCTGTCACGGTCACGGTCACAGCAAGGACTGTCACCCTCCCCTCCCCCACCATCCGACACCAGCGCCCGTCTAGATGCGATTGCGAAAGAACGGGACGCGCTGCGGCAGGAGGTGACGGAGCTAAGAAAGAGCTTGGAGAGCATAAAAGAGAAGCACGAGGAGGAAATCGGAACTCTGCAAGGCGAGCTGGAAGAAGCAAATGAGAACAAGGATCACTTCGAGACGCAGTACAAGAATCTGCTGGGGAGGGTGAACACCATCAAGACGTCGCTGGGAGACCGTTTGAAAGCTGATGCGGTAAGTGCTATAGTTTCATCTGCTTTGAGTTAAGTTTCCTCTACTGACAGTGGCCAGGCCCGGATCGAAGAATATCAGACCAATGTCTCGGAGCTTGAAGAGCAGAACCGCGAGCTGCAAGAGAGCAACACTTCATTGACCGAGCAACTTGATAAGCTGCGGAAGGACAACGAGGCTCAAGCAGCGGAAGCTGCTACTTTGCGCAGCCGGTCGAACCTCTCACAGCAGAATTGGATAAAGGAGCGCGATGAACTGATCTCCAGAGAGGCCTTCGCCAGAGAAGAGTTTGAGAACGCAAAACAGGCCATGCAAGACTGGGAGGTCCTTGCTATGAACGAGCGCTCGATACGAGAAAGTCTTGCGGAGAAGGAAGCTGAGCTGAAGGACCAGATAGAATCATTGCGCGAGGCGTATGAGAAAGCGGCGCGAGACCGTGACACAAACAACGAGGCAGTCGAGGGCCTCCAGAAGGCACTGCAGGAGGTGCAGAATCGTGAGTTCACATGCATCGTGTTTGCTTGCCGTACTGACAGGCTGTCGCAGTGCGCAAAACCGAACTTAGGAGGTCTGTAGAGAACTACGAGTCGCAGATCGATGAGCTCCGCAAACAGGTTCAGGCGGCACAAGAGGCTGCCACTACGTCCAAAGCGATGCTTGAATCCACTCAGAAAGAGCTCGAGAGAGCTCTACCTTTCGAAAAAGAGGTCAAAGAGAAGAACCTGCTAATTGGCAAGCTCCGACATGAGGCGGTGACGCTCAATGAACATCTCACCAAGGCCCTACGTATACTGAAGAAGGGCCGACCAGAGGACAACGTGGACAGGCAGATCATCACGAATTATTTCCTCCATTTCCTGGCCATAGACCGATCGGATCCGAAGAAGTTCGAGGCTTTGCAGCTTATCTCTGCACTACTTGGTTGGACCGACGGTGAGACTCAAATGTGCCCTTTGATCATCACATCAGCTAACAGCTCGCAGAACAAAAGGAACAGGCTGGTCTAGCGCGCCCGGGGACCTCCAACAGTAGCTTGAGGATACCTATGTCTCCGTTTAGGCGAACGCCATCCACGCCTTCACTCAACAGCGGCATCAACGACCCCATGCTCATGGCTAGCAGCTCCAGCAACAAGGAGTCTTTAGCGGAGTTGTGGTCCGACTTCCTAGAACGTGAATCCGACTCCCGCAGAGGTAGTGTGCCGACATCCCCACCGCCGAGGAGCGACACAGCTAGCGGATTGGGTATCAGCGAAGGAGAAAAGAGATAAATTAGGCGAATTCTAATTCTTTCAAACGAGCTATTTCTTGTATTTACATAGGATACCCTCTAAGCGCATGTGAGCGAATGCATTGAGCGATTCATCGCATGGCAGGGCAAGCCTTCGTGGAACTGCTGGGTTGGACTCGAGGCGTTCCAGGGTTTCGGTTGCGACATGCATACCAGCATGCTAGATTGCCTAAATGGCTATGATACACTTCCCTACAGATGTCTTCTTTATGGTTACAGATGCTCTGCCGTTCTTCCCACCCATAGCGCCGTATGCCAGATACGCCATGATGTACACTAATGTACAATATTAACGATATTTCGCTTTTCATTTCTTCGCCCACGTCGTGTGCTCCACGATGGGCTTTTCCTCCCTCGGATCGGGCATGACCATGCGGGACCTCATAAGCTCCTCACGCTTCTGGCGCTTCAACTGCTTCTCTTGCTTCCTTGTGGGCATTCTTACCGACCACCAGTGCTGGCCGAAGATGTTGGACTTGATAGCTGCATTGAGTGTTAGAGGGCGCCAACTACTATGGGAGATAAACCCGGAAACCTACCATCCACGCAGTAGGGGCACAGGAAATGAGCCCGTTTGACTCTCCCGCACGCGGAGCATTTGTTCAAATTCGTGAGGTCTTTGAGGCCTTTGCCGGCCATGAAGCGCGTCCGCTTCTTCATGTATGATGTCTTCTTCTTGGGCACTGCCTTCAGAAGGCCATCCCAAATGTCTGACAATGACGGTATCGATGGCAGCGAGAGCGGTATGGCGAGCGCGGCGAAGGGAGTGGGCAGCATGCGGAAGGGCTGCGCGAGGCGCTGCAGCAGCGGCAGGTTCAGGACGGGGCGGGCGGGGCCATTGAGGCCAGGGAGCAGCGCCTGCCACAGCGGCGGCAGCGGGCGGGCGAGGGCCATGGCGATGGAGCGGGGCGAATGCAGATGGCGCGTGCTGTCGTCGCCGCGATAAGTTTTTGGTGTTGAGAATGGCGGACGCACCCCAGTCCCCAGCTACCTCGCCCTAGCCGCGTCGAGTGCTAGCGCGCTTTCGCTTCGTGGCTGCCCCCTTTCCGCGCCAGCAAGAGCGCCAGAAAGTCCTCCGCGACTGCCCTGCATTGTTGATACACACGCCGCCCTCTCAACACTGTCTTCGCCTCTCCCACGCTCCCAGGCTCCCCTCACACCAAGTCGCCGCCCCGAGGCCCCCATCACCCGCAATGGCTACCGCATATGGTGCACCGCAGCCCTCGGTCTACCCTGAGAGCTACGTTGGTTTCGACAGCATCACCAAGCAGATTGAGAAGAAGCTCGTCAAGCGGGGTTTCCAGTTCAATGTCATCTGCGTCGGTAAGCTTCACGCGCACACAGCAGCCCGCGGGAAGGCTGTCGGAGAATTGTTGGGCTAACGGCTGCGCAGGACAGACTGGTCTCGGCAAGTCGACCCTCATCAACACCATCTTCGCCTCGCACCTCATAGACAGCAAGGGTCGCATGCAGCCCGATGAGCCGATCCGCCAGACCACCGAGATCCAAGCTGTCTCCCACACGATCGAGGAGAATGGCGTGCGTCTGCGCCTCAACATCGTCGACACCCCCGGCTACGGTGACCTGATCAACAACGAGCGCTGCTGGGACCCCATTGTCAAGTACATCAAGGACCAGCACAGCGCCTACCTTCGCAAGGAGCTCACCGCCCAGCGTGAGCGCTACCTCCAGGACACGCGCATCCACTGCTGCCTGTTCTTCATCAACCCCTCCGGTCACGGCCTCAAGCCCATTGACATTGTCGTGCTCAAGAAGCTGAGCGAATTCGTCAATGTTGTTCCCGTCATTGCCAAGAGCGATAGCTTGACCCTTGAGGAGCGCGCCGAGTTCAAGGAGAGGATAAAGGAGGAGTTCGCCTTCCACAACCTGCGCATGTACCCGTACGACAACGAGGAGCACGACCAGGAGGAAGTTGCCCTCAACACCTCCATCAAGGCAAGCACCTCTTCCATACTATGGTGCATTTGCTAATTAATGTCCAGAGCATCATCCCCTTCGCTGTTGTCGGCTCCGAGAAGAACATCGTTGTGAACGGCAAGCAGGTCCGAGGTCGCCAAAATCGCTGGGGCTTCATCAATGGTACGGCTAATGCATCTCACTGTTTTTAGACTCTGCTAACGACGTGCAGTCGAGGATGAGAACCACTGCGAATTCGTATACCTTCGCAACTTCCTGACCCGCACCCACTTGCAGGACTTGATCGAGACGACGTCCCAAATCCACTACGAGTCCTTCCGTGCTAAGCAGCTGCTCGCACTCAAGGAGAGCTCCGCTGTCGGTGGCGGTCACAGCTCGCGCCCGATCTCGCCCGCCGCAGACCGCGAACTGAGCAGGAACAGCCAGCGGATGACCATGAACGGGTACTAGGAGTTCCCTGCTCATAGTCGGGTCGACAGCATTGGGGCCAAGACGGCGGGACCTCCTGGGCCAAGGGTCGCCCCCATAATCGACCCGATCAATTGAGGGCACGAAAGCACACGGGCAGCGAAGAGGAAGCGAGAGGTGGTTTGCGGTATGATACCAGTGCAGGTCTTAGCACGTTGACTTAGCCGAGCGGGGCGTTCGTTGTGGGTTGCAAAGCGCTATACATTCTAATAACTTCTTTAGTAAGGCATGGATTATTTTTTTTTCACTTCAATCCGACTACGATTCTTCTCCTTTGTTCAGCGCAGGTGGGGGATGTGGAGGTGGTAGACGGAGGTATGGCTGGTTGTACGGGCCTCACACTTCAGGATAGCGGCGATAATGCTGAGACAAAAACATTACGAGTATCATAGTGACAAGTGTACAACGGTGGCTTCGATATGATGCCTTTTCCTTGCTGTTTGGGTGGTCGGTCGCACTATGCGCAGCGGGGTGGGTCTTTCATAAACAAAGTGATGCACACGACATGTCAGACCACTTTTGAATAGCCTGACGTGGTTTGGTTGGGCAAGGGAAGTCGCGACGTATATCAGTCAGGTTTCAACCTTTTCCTTACCGCAGCATGTTGAGACCCTGACTTTCTTGAGCTTCTCCGCAGTGCTCGCACGGATCAGGCGTTCGGGGTAGTGTGCGTGGAGCTCGAAGTCGGCACCGAGAGTACGGTGGACCGGTCGGAGCGTTTGAGTTGGGGGAGCGTGGGAGCGGTTCAACACCGAGGCGGGAACTAAGGACTACTTTGTATGGACGCGGTGGTGGGGACTAGTATGGGTTCTTGGAAGATTTATTCAAGGGCTAGAGACTAGCTTGCGCAGCGTTTAGGGAGCTTTCGATCGCGGTGGTAGAGCCTGGTTGGTAGGAGCGGTCTGTGAGGGGGCGAAGCAGTAGAGGGTTTGGTCGTGGGTTGGGCATGGTGTGTGCTCAAATCATCAGTCTTTCCATGACTGGTTGAATGAGTCGATCAACAACCCCCGGGTCAGGTCTTTGGCGTCCTTGTTTCCAGCTTTCCGCCACGCCTGCCCCAAAGATCCCAGAGATCTTGCACGGCTGTCGCAGGGTGGCTTATTCTGTCCCTCTTCAACCGCAGCAACCAGAAAGGGAGGGTAAATCCCACGCCAGTGCCGAGCCGCTTGACGAGGCTGAGAGACGACGAGACGTCTTCGGCGGATACCGGTATTTTGGCAAAGGTTTGGCTGTTCAATCCACCCGGCAGCCTTCAGCTCAAGAACCGCGACCCAACAAAGTCCTCCATACTGTCGTCGCCCTTCTTCGTTTTCTGCCCGCTGACACGGATGTTGCCCGCAGCAGCCTCTGCAGAGTCTCGCTCGGGGGATTTCGGGCTCGCCGTCTCGCCAACAATACGCTCGATGATCTTCGCCTTCGCGCCCGCCCGCTTGAATCGGTCGTCAAAGTCCGCGACTGCCTCTTCGGTGTTGAGCGTGCTGAAGGTCAGAGGATCCGTCAACCCGTGCAGCATCTGAATGTGCTTCCTGTGCCTTTCGTTCCCATCCAGGCCCCTCAAAACTTGCGCTTCGCTGTCCTTCTCCTTCTCCACGCTGGGCTCTAGATTGGTCGGAAGGACCGGGGCAGCAGGCAGCCTCGCGCCCCAGACTACAGCTCGCCCGTGCAGTTGGCCCAGGGCGGCAAACTTGTCGAAGCCTTTTTCGAGCCCGAAGATGCGGCCTTCGATGCGGCCGGCGCGGGAGCCGTCGGCGGCGCCTTGGGCGTAGGCGGTGGTGTAGAGGTCGTCTTCGAGGGTGAGGATGGAGTCGAACGGGTCGGGATTGGACGCCATGGTGCGTTGATGTTTGAGGAACTTTGGATCCGAACGAGTGAAATTTGCCGTGAGCTTGTCCAAGAATGCCCAGGGCTTCAAGTGTACACGGATCCAGGTCCCCGAGTTCCAAGCTCCTTTACGGCTCTGGCTCGTCTCGCCGGTGGATCAACAGAGCCCTGTACAGCGTTCGTAGACAGATTTTGACCAAATCCACCGCAGCTTGGACCTCACCAGACTGTGCTTGGGAGTTGGCACCGTCAGCCCACGATCTCAGAAAAGCGTCGCGTGCTGGCGGACATGAGTCAGCAGGGTCTGTGGCGGTGGTGGCGTGGCGGGGTAACTTTGCGTTTTCGAGGTGTAGGCGGGGCAGCGCAGCCGCGCTTGTGTTGGACCGCCCTGCGTCGGGGACTAACATTTTATGATTCACACCCAGCGCTCGCTCACATAGCTGAATCCCGCCCTCGCTCGTCCAGCGCCTTACACACGTCGAGCATACCCCGACCCGCCGTCATGGCTGAACCAGAAAAGAAGATCCTGCCAGTCGACGGCGAGCGCAATGTGCTCATCACCAGCGCGCTCCCCTACGTAAACAACGTCCCGCATCTGGGCAACATCGTGGGCTCGGTGCTCTCCGCCGACGTCTTCGCCCGCTACTCGCGCGCCCGAGGCTACAACACGCTCTACATCTGCGGCACCGACGAGTACGGCACCGCCACCGAGACAAAGGCCATCGAAGAGAAGGTCACGCCCGAGCAGCTCTGCACCAAGTATAACGCGCTGCACGCCGACGTCTACAAGTGGTTCAACATCGGCTTCGACCACTTCGGCCGGACTCCGACCCAGCAGCAGACAGACATTGCCCAGGACATCTTCACCAAGCTGCACAAGAACGGCTACCTCGAGGAGCAGACCACCACGCAGCCGTACTGCGAGACCCACAAGAGCTTCCTCGCAGATCGATTCGTCGAGGGCACCTGCCCGCTGTGCCAGTACGACGATGCCCGCGGTGACCAGTGCGACAAGTGCGGCCACCTGCTCGATCCGCTGGAGCTCATCAACCCGCGCTGCAAGCTGGACGGTGCGACGCCCGTGCCCAAAGAGACAAAGCACGTGTACCTTCTGTTGGACAAGCTGCAGCCATTGGAGGAGGAGTGGTTCGCCAAAGCCAGCAAGGAGGGCAACTGGAGCTCCAACGGTGTTCACATCACGTCCAGCTGGTTGAAGGAGGGCCTGAAGCCGCGAGGCATCACCCGCGACCTCAAGTGGGGCACTGCTGTTCCTCTCGAGGGCTACGAGAACAAGGTCATGTACGTGTGGTTCGACGCGTGCATTGGCTACGTCTCGATAACAGCTACGTACACGGACCAGTGGGAGAAGTGGTGGCGCAATCCTGAGAACGTGAAGCTCTACCAGTTCATGGGCAAGGACAATGTGCCCTTCCACACCGTCGTCTTCCCCTCGTCCCAGATCGGCACTGGAGACAAGTGGACCATGCTCAACACCATCTCCACCACCGAGTACCTCAACTACGAACACGGCAAGTTCTCCAAGTCAAGAGGTATCGGCGTCTTCGGCAACAATGCGAAAGAAACCGGCATCCCCTCGGACGTCTGGCGCTACTACCTTCTCTCCCATCGCCCGGAGACTGGCGACACAGAGTTCGAGTGGAAGGGCTTCATCGACTCGAACAACAACGAGTTGTTGAAGAACCTGGGCAACTTCATAAACCGCGTCATCAAGTTCTTGAACTCCAAGATCTACGACTCCATCGTACCAGACTACACCAAATTCACAAGCGAATACCTCGATGCGCACAAAAAGAAGGTCAACGAAGCACTGAAGCGGTATATCGCGGAGTTGGAGGACGTCAAGATCAGGGCCGCCCTTGCCACAGCGCTCCACGTCTCGAGCTTGGGCAACACCCTCTTGCAGGACAATAAGCTCGACAATGCCTTGGCCACAAACGAGCCGGATAGATGTGCTGCCGTTGTCGGTATGGCCCTGAGCCACATCCACTTGCTCGCTTCCCTCATCCACCCATACATGCCCGACACCACCACCTCCATCCTCGCTCAACTAAACACTAGCTTCCTCACCATCCCCGACGATTGGGAAGCCCGATCGCTCCCTGTGGGCCACAAGATCGGCAAAGCGGCCTACCTTTTCTCTCAGATCAAGCCTGAGCGCGAGCAAGAGTGGAGGGAACAGTTTGGTGGTGAGGAGGCACGGAAAGCCAAGGAGGAGAAGGCCGCCAAGGCTGCTGCCAAGAAGGCAGAGAAGGAGCGCAAGAAGGCGAAGAAAGCTGCGGGTAAAGTTGGGGAGGGCGTAGAGGCGACCGAAAAGGGCGGAAAGGGCGAGATACCCGCCGAGAAGACTGCTGTGGAAGAAGTCGCCGAGGGCGTCAAGCAGACGAGTCTACAGAGCTCCTAGGCAGTGCACGTGCGGTTCTATCTACTCCTCTGGACCACAACCAAGCTTGAGCCGTGGATGGGCTTGAATGACTTTTGGCTGTTGCTGTGTCTATTTCTCTTGTTTGTATTACGTACGTGGAGAAAGCAGCTTGGGGTGACTTGAGCGTGGTTCGAGGAGTTGAAGAGGGCGATCGAGGATGAAGAGGGCGCATAAGCAACTCATGGAGCTGAGCGGAGTTCGTAGACGCATATCCGTCTTTGCGAATTATCACGGTATTTCTGGTTCAACACGAATCTTACCAGTCGCAAACTCCTTTGCATCCGTTCACGTAGCTGACATCGCTTGACTACCTCGTACTTCGTATACCCCTGTTTTTCACTTTCCCAACCCAGTATCGGTGCAGTGTTTCAGCTACCTAAACGCGTTAGACCGTGCAATATATATCCTCCGCGAATCCTCCATCCACAGCCAATACCGCGCCCGTGCATAGCAGCTCTGTTTATCAGGGAACAGTTACAAATTAACACACCTCCAGACACGTTTTCCATACCATTTGCCACTCTCATTCGCACTTAGCATCCTCCAGCGCTCTATCTCACGACCTCAGTCTTCACAAACACTTCCACCACAATCACAGACGGGACTTGGCGCCTCACACCTGCCACTCAAGCTATCCCAGTTCCATCACCCTACGGGTCAATCCAGGCTCCTACTTGCCCCCCCCCCCCCCCCACACGGAAAACACAATGCGCCCCCACCTCGTCCTCCTCCCACCCATCGTCCTCCTCACCCAAGTCGCCGCACAAATCCCCACCGCACCCATCCCCCCACCACCGCCCTCAGACTTCTCAGCCTTCCCTCCCCCACCGACAGGTCTACCTCCACCACCCACGGGGCCTTCCCCTCCCGGCTTCTCCACCGGTCCGCCGCCCTTCCCCTCAGGTTGGCACTCGGAACCGCACTCGTTCCCCTCCCCCCCACCGATGCCCTCGCAAACGGCGCCTACGCTGCCGGGGGAGGTCAGGCCGTCTACGCCGCCGCCGCCGCCGATGGGGTCGTTGTCGCTGGTCACGGCGGATCCGGCGACGCCTGGGCCTGCGACGCTGGTGCCGACGTCTGCGAGTCCGAGTGCGTCGATTTCGGGGAGTGCGGTGCCGGGCGCGGGCGCGAGGAGGGGTATGAGCGTGGGAGAAATGTTGGGGGGGCTCCTTGCCGTCTTGGTGGCGGTGGGGCCTGCGTTGGTCTGATTGCACTGCTGGGCGGGGCTTCCGTGAAGGCTGGATTGGGGTGGCAAAAGAGAGGGAGGGTACGGAACAGCGCAGAGAACAGGGAATTGGGATCTATAGTGTAAGACTGAGCTGAGGATGGGAAGACTGGGACGGTGGAGCCTACCGTGGCAGCACACCGCATCGGTGATAAAGGGGACGGAGTCGGTCGGGCGTCGTTCGAGAGGTGCCCATGATTACTGCATAACTGGACGGAGGCAGACCAGTGGAGGGACGAAGGCGGGGAACCATGTCTGATATCATCGCATCGTCGGCGATTGCGGCTGCACACGAAATTCCCGCTCTAACTCCAGTAGAAGGTCTATGCTTGGGCGACGTTCATTATAATCGTGTTGAGAAAAGTGACGGCAGTGGGTTAGATGCGGAAAATAGCTAGTGCAAACTTCGGGTATACTATCCGATAACTCTACAACAAAGCCAATATCCGCATATCTCTATTTCCAGCCTTGTCCTGGCTTTGAGCCAGGTAGCTAGCTCGTTGCGCCGGCTTATGTCTGCATTCGGGCCCATCCTCGTTCACAACCCCTTCAGAGTCGTACTGTCTTTTGCACTCTCAGCCTGGACAATGTTTAGAACCCTCTCCATCTCTGTATGCTCCTGCTCTTTGTACATGGAGACCAGATCCATCGTACTTCGCCGTACACTTACAATACTCTGCTCGTCCATCCCTGTGAGGTTAGAACAAATGCCAAACACACCGGGTCCAGGTTCTAGCTTACCGCCATCGTTCTCGCCCATATATATGAAACTCGGCCTTCCACTTCCGTGACTTGCGATGCCTAAAGATTGGTACGTGCTCAGAAGATGTCGCGGCACGTGCGCTAAGGATACTTACTGAGATGAGTCATGCGGCTTGCGCTACGAGAATGTTGAGAATAACGGACAGGCATAGTGCGTGAACGCATAGAAGCACGCTTGCTCTCAAGTGAGCGACGAGCTGGTGCGCCGAAGTCGTCGATAGTGAAGTCCAGATTGCTACTAGCATGCGGCAAGGCCGGTAGGCAGTTTTCGTAGTATGCGGACCAGACTCGTGCAGTGTCCTTCGTTCCATCGAGCCCCGCCTGCAACAGATTGCTTGTGGTCGGACGTGAGCTGGTAGCAAGTGGCTGAAGCGTCGTTGCAGAGTCCTCTTCTTTCATCTTCCCTTTTCCTTTCTTGTCGCCCGCAACGTGCTCTTCTTGGGCTGCATGCGTCTCGCCATTGCCGTGGCTCGAATCTCGGCTTGTCTCTTCGATGATTGCGCGCCTCCACACGTCTGGTACGATCTCTAGCTCAGGATACTCCAGCGTGCCACCTGTAGCCATGGAGCTTCGGTGGCCTTGACCGTGTCTGTGAAATTCGATGCTCTGGCTTCTGAAGATCTTGGTGTAGTTCTTGAGAAACGATTTGCCGAACGTCATGGAGTGACTCTTAGCAATGCGAGTGTGGCCAACCTTCTTCTTCCGCTTCTTTTGACCTGGGAGAAGGGGTGGCGTAACCGGACGCGTCGCAGGGTCTATCTCCTCTTCTTCGACATCGTCACCATCTGTATTTTCGTTCATTGCAAACTTGATGGCTGCTTCCAGTGCAAAGTCACGTGTTTCAACTTGGTCTTGATGACCAGCAGAAAAGGTACGATCGGCGCGAGTGTGAGACGGGTAGCGACCCCAAGCACCGACAGTATCGATAGTGTCAGTTTGCTGTGCGAAGAGAAGCTGAGCTTCCTGATGAGGACCGATCGTATTTGGGTCTGATCCTATCAACGCCGTACGTCTTGTAAGCAGCGATGGTGGGGTTTTGAACTCCACGGAACCTGGGGATGGAGGGTCAAGTAGTGGCGCGGAGAACCGCTTTGGGATGCTCACTTTCCTAGCGATCTCGCACTCTTCGCTCACTCTAGGCCGTGAACCGCTTCCACTCCGCTCTCGGAACGGACCTCTGTATATGGCAAGATCTCTATTCTGAGGAAGTAGCATCGCAGCTTTCTCGTCTTGGTAATTCTGCAAGGCTCGATCCCACATACCACTGGCCTTCTTATCCTTGAACAAGGCCTTTTGCTCAGCCTCTAGACTGATCGCAGACTTCGAATTCCGGCGCTCACGTTGCGTAGCTGCGTCTGGTACCTCAAGCGACCCATCCACCTCGGGAATGAAGTCGCCCGTCTTCATGTTGGTTTCGCTCTGACTTCGTAAGCTGCCGCGCTTCGGGGTGAAAAATCGTATGACCGAAGCTGATGGCATCAATTTCTTCTTCGGGGGCGAAGGGCTGAATTCCTCGCGGAACTTTGACTTCCGAGTACTTGCCACACTGTTCCCGCGTGATAATCTTGTCATCTCGTTCGAGCGTCGTGTTAGCGCTGAGTAGCTCGTTACATCCCGAAGATTTGTGAGGCCATGTCTCTGCGGAGGCTTCGGAGTCTCGTCGTTATCAGTTGGGTAGGAGTTGGACCTTCTTGCTCGATCGCGGTCTAGTGACGAGCGCGCAGTCGAAGTGGGATTCTTAGGGGTCTGTGAAAGATCAATAATCGAGCCACCGAAGCTTTCAAGAGGGCTATCGAGAGGGCTTTGCGGTCTGCTCGAGTATATGGACGACTTGTCTTCCCGTAAATCGTTGGTCAACACCCTGCCCCACTTCGGAGGCACTCGTGAACTTGCAAAGCCTGAGCTTGACGTTTGCCGCTCGTGACGGCTGGGCTGACATCGAGAGTGGGATATGCTGCTGAGATTCGAGAAAGAGCGATCGCGAAACGGGCTAGTTGGACTTGGGAGCTCTGATCGGTCTGCTGTAGTATTCCAGGAAAGGAGCGAGCCGGATCGTAAGTGGTGCGAGATTCGCATACTATAAAGGTGCACAGAGCGACGCGGCTGGTCTTCTTCTGTAACGTCTTGCTCCTTTGCCGATTCTTGCACAACAGCTGGCGGAATGCCTCGCGTGATCACTCTTAGGGAACCAGATTGACGAGGTGTAGTCATCGCGGTTGGTTCTTGCACGCGGATTTGCATTACAGTCGAGGGTGTGGGTCGATCTTCCTCCTCTTCAGCTGGGGCCTTCCTTGGAATATCGTTCTCTTGTTTTCCTACCCTTGCCGTTGCGTTTTTGTCACTCGGCATTCTTCTCAATGAAATTTGCGATCGTTTTGGCGAAATGGGCCGCCGGAGAATAGGAAGATACGACAGCCGTAGGCTCTCATTTAATGCAACTGACCAAGGAATGCCATCTGGATCGTGTGACTTTAGACTGGGGAGCCTGAGCGGTGAAAGAGGGGAGTGTTCAGGGAGTCTGATCGAAGTAGCCGAATGAGAACGCCGCAGCTTACGCTCCTGAGCCTTAGAGGTCTCGGCTTGTAGGTTCGGAGAACTAAATACTTGTCCAAGCCTAGCCGTGAACGATACCGAATGAGTTGGCCCGATTTGATATAGTTGCATATCGCGGATACGGCCGGAGCTTTGGAAGCTCTTGGACGAAGAACCTGGCGTCGGTTTGCTAGAGAGTCAGCAAGGTACGTATATGTACAGTGATTCGAACTTTACCTAGCTGTGGACGGTTCCCAATCGATACTGTGGATGCTCGGTCTCTTGTTAGGCGTTTTCTTCCCGATGTTCCTGGCGATGTCGTCAAGCACCTGGGCGTCAGAATCGTAGCCACCTTCATCAGACCGCTTGTCACTCAAGAGATCTTTCCTCAGATCGTCTTTGGTGATCTTGACTTGTACATCGTGACGGCCTTTCTGTTGCTTTACGACCGTACCTTGCCCTGGCGTCTCACCGTCCTTGGCGGTCTTCGACAGAATGTGATCGCCTGAAGGCTTCTTAGCGAGATCTCGAGAGAACTTTCGCCTGATCAGTGACCGCATGCTCTTCATCTTGTGGAGCGAGCGCAAGCTGTATATGGAAGGCTTGTTGAAGCGTGCGCGCCTAGCCGCCTTGGTGGGAGACGCGTGAGTGGGCTCATTGTCTTTTGCATTGTCAAAGATCTGTCGCAGCTCGTGGAGGTCTTCCGTTCGAGCGCTGGTGAAGCGTGAGTTCACAGATCCAGCCGGCTTTGGCGGAAGAGGCAGGAGAGGCAGTCGAGCAGGAGTAGAGGCTTCGTTGACGCGGGTATTAGGTAGTTCTGGAGACTCTGGGCGTCCTTCCTGCTCCGCCGTACAGCATAGCGTGGAAGCCATGTCTCAAGTCTCGTAGTGAATTCGAAAAATTGTTGGGAGCGCGAATGTTCTTGACCAGATCGATGGCACGTGAAGTTTTCGTCTAATCCAGCAGGAAGGAGCGAGCCATGACGATGGGATGAGGCGACCACGTAGAAGACGAAGCAGCGCGTCAAGCCTTAGAGCCAGATGAAGCAGAAGAAGACGCGGTGAGGACAGTAGTTGTCAAGGGAATCGCTTCGTGCTGTGTTGCGATGTGTCACGCCATAACGAGAACCACATGGAAGTAGCAGGCGGCTTGCAGGGAAGGCACCGAGGCCGAACCATCACTGTTTCTCCTCTTCATTCAGAATTCATCCATATACTATATTCTGTTCAATCTCTTACTGCCGCTGAGTCCCACCGAACCGACCCGAGCTCTTTTCGGTAGATGCTTTCCATCTCTTGCCTCACAGCGACGGCTTGATTCTTTTCGCTGAACTCGACATCCTTCCAGCTCAAGGCCTGATCTTTACCTACATCTCTCTTTAGCACGAGTCCATGCGCAAGGCCAATAGGTAGCCCTTCGGTCCGGAGCGAGTCCTCGGCGCGCATCAACTTTCCGTACACCATGAATCCTCCTTCACCATCGAGCTTCTCGCCCTGTTGCAGGTTGCGCTTCGCTGTAGCCACCACATCACCAGCCCAAGTCCGCGTCTGTCCGGTTGGCTCTCCACGCACCATGATCGATGCAACCGAAATACCGAGCTCGAGACCAATGAGATGATATGGTTTGAACTGCGCAGCATACCATCCGCTGTCGTCGGTCTTTATGCCGTACTGTGCGAAGCACTCGCGCTGATACTCGTCTGGTGCTTCTATGACGACAAAAACGCCCCATCGTAGATCGCCAAACACGGCTCGTCCGTCTTTCTCGACGCAGCTCACCACCTCAACCGTACCTTTCTCTTCAAGTTGACCGCCTGCGCTGCGCGGTTTGAGAACTTGTGGTAGGTCATGAGTTCCGCAGGGCGGAAATGCGAGCCCGTCCGAGGGTGGCCTGAGTCCACAGCCGTTTGCGACTGCGGCCATCTCTAATGCAGACTTTGTACCATCGAGGAAGGAGTTGAACATTTGGGGGTTGAAGTCACCACCGGAAAGCTGCGCTTTTGTGAAACCATAGTAGTCCCAAACAGTGTCAGGTGTCGAATAATGGTATTGGGGCAAGTGCTTTGTACCTTTCCCCGCACATACCACATCGAACCCTGCTGTGCGTGCCCAGTCCACCAGCTCGGCAATGAGGGCAGGCTGATCACCGTATGCCATTGAGTATATAATGCCCGCCTCCTTTGCTTTGCGTGCGAGCAAAGGCCCTGCAAGCACGTCGGCCTCCACATTAATCATGACAATATGCTTCTTGTGCTCGCAGCACAATAGCGCGTGGCGGACACCAACAGCAGGGTTTCCGGTAACCTCTAAGATCACATCGATGCCCGGAGTGGCTATCATGGCCTCCGAGTCAGAAGTAATGACGGTCTTGTCGTACTTGAGACCATCGGATAGGGAAATGCAAGTGTTGAATTTAGAAGATGGAAATCCGGTCTTTTGTAGGGACGATACAGCCCTATCAGGGGAGAGATCTGCTATGGCAGCTAGACGCACGCCTTTGGTGCGATGAGCTTGCGAGATACTGAAGTCCGGTAAGTGATGGCATGACACAAAGAAGTTCAAGTACTGCTGCTGCTGCTGGCCAGGCTGTGTCCTCCCTATATTCCTGACCGAGCTCTTCCAGGGACTTTATCGCAGGATACAGGACGTACTACATTGATCCGAATTTCCCAGCACCAATGATGCCAACTTGAATTGGTTTGCCGGCATCTTCAAGAGCAGCGAGCTTTGTCGAAAGGCTGGACATCCTGATTGTTTGTATTTCGTCTCACAGTCACGTCTGTAGATTCTGATACCAATGTGTTGCAGGGTATTTGGATATCTCGACGCTAACTTCATGACGTTCCCGAGACGAGGGTGGTGCCTTACCCCGCAAAGTGATTCAACTTCAACCAAAGCGCAGAGTCGGCAGTCTCTCCGACGTTAGTCTTCATCCTTTCGTCCAGCGTCCAGGACAAAACGCACAAAGCACTCGAGCAGCCTATAGCGTCGACGCTTGTATTCCGTCGTTGAATCCCCCGAACTTAATCAATGTCCTAGTAACACAATGGCCTATTAATAGCCACCAGCTCACGCGCATTCAATTTCCACAAACGCCTCGCTACCAGAAAATGAATGCGCACCGTTGGCCTGACGTGGCCTTGTCGACTGCGGCATGGGTCATCGTAATTTTGCGACCTTCCTAGGACGGCAATTAGGGGCGCAAAGTGTCGATTGCAGTGACAGTTCCACGGTACAAAGGGTCGCGTGTAGAAACGCCACGAGTTGGAGCTTCCATGGGCGAGTGTGCGGACGAGGGTTGTTTTAGGCGTCATGCAGACTAACCCCTGTGGCCAGCGCGCGGGGCGACAACGGCAGATGTACAGGTACAAGAGAGCTTATCCAAGCTGACGTCGTACAGGAAAAATAAGTAGTCTTCTCGGGTGCTTGATGTCCTAGTTATTAGGTGTCGCTTTACTCAGCATATCGGTCGTATGGAAATACTGAGACCTGAACGCCCTGCTGAGCGCAACCTCGTAAGTGCAACATGAGATTTACGGCAGACAGTCGGAAAACTTGTACGCGTGGCATTATTTTTGTTCAGTAGTAGATTTCCGCTTGAACCGCGGTTTACGTTGCGACGGCTTGATCAAGCCGCCTCATTCGTCGGGCCGAGATCCAGATAGTCCGCTTGTAATACACACCAGTGACGACGGCGGGAACCTAAGGAACTGACTCTCACAACAACAAAATATGTATCACCACGACAATATAGGAAGGAAGAGCACATAGAGGAGCGAAGAGGAGATGAACAAAACCATATGGCACTTCGTCAACGAAATCAGGGTTTTCCTAGCAGAGATGTCTTCAGTCTGGAGCAGTTGTCCCTCACTGCGTAGCGAGACACACTGTGTGCCGAGACAAACGAGGGGTACTTATAATTCTACGAAAATAATCTGCTGTAACGTGCTTCACGAGCGAGTGCCGCGTACAAGCGAGTGACGCACCCCACCAACTTTACGTACCTCTTCACGCGTATATCTCAACCACCTTATAAGATAATATATAAATATTGATAGAGTAGATTAAGTAGTATCTAAAGTATCTTTCTTGCACGTACGAGAGTTATACCTAGTCTCTCTACACCTCTTACACCGCGCAAGAGCCTGGCGGCTAACGCCTAATCGCTCTCCTCCTTGACGCTCTTCACGAGCAATCTGCTGATCAGCCTCACGTTGAGCGAGTATATCCTCGCCAGCTCCCTTTATTAAGACCCTACGCTACTATATACGCTTTTTCTTACGCTGTTTGCGCGCTGATGCTGCCTTATTAGCCTTCTCAAGGCTAGCAATCCGATCACGCATCAGCTCAGCTAAGAGCATCATCACCTCTGCGCCCTTCTTAAGCTGGTTAATCGCCTCAATAATTAGGGCTGGTGATAAGCTCTTATGCTGTCGCACGCACTCATATATTAACGTTAATTGAGCCTTAAGCTCACGTACATTGCTTAGCGTACGAGCTTCCTAGAGAGCCTCTAGTAGAGTAGTTGGAGTAGGTGTATGGAGCTGCACGTTAAGCTTTGACAGTACAATATCTAGTTAGGAGGGTACAAGGCCTGTGCCTCAAATGGCTGAGCAGATATTATTCTCCTCACAAAGCTCTTGAAACTCAAGAGAGTGGTGGCTCTCATGGCTATTAAGGATAAGCAGGCGACGCGCACCAATAACACAAGTCTTTATATAAGTGTTAAAGTGTTTTAGCCACTCTACTCCTAGCTCATTATTCGTCTAGCTATTGTCGCTGACTACAATTGCATAGTCGCATGGGATCTCTGCTTCCTCGTACCAGGCAGATAGATGATACTGGCCAGCAAAGATAAGCAACGGCAGGACTGACCAGCTAGCAGCGTTGATTACAGCGATCACTGTGACCCATTCACGGTCACCAGGCTAGATAGCCTTTGGCCTGCCTCTCCGCTCTGATCCTGTTACAACGAGTTGAGTCATAATCTTGCCCATCATAAAGCCAGCCTCATTGAAGTTATAGACGTCGTCATTGCAGATGCCGTACTTGGTCTTTGTCTGCTCTACGAGCTCAATCCAGCTTCTGAGTAATATCGGATCCTCACACAGGGCTCTCTGCCTATCATAGGCTCGATTGAAACGTGTTGTGAGACTATCCGTGCACTTGACAAGGTTGCGCGGCCAGTGGACGCCGACCTGACCAGCGCCGCGCGCAGCCAGTAGCTTATTAGCCATATCACATAGAGCAGCGTACGTAGGCGCTAGGCGCGAATCAACGTGTATCCAAGTCGAGTATATGTCTGACAATCACCTCCTCCCCTCTTTGAGTAAATCTCTTTGAGTTGGGCTGGCAATCGCGTCGGGCAGATATCCCAGCGCGTCGGCGGCGGAGCGTTGCTTCAGCTACATTATAGACTGCCGCAGCAGGGCGATTGCCCTGAATCTGTTTGGCATTGATAGATAATATAGCAAGCTGAATATCTGCTTCATTTGAAAGTAATCGAGTAACATTGCGTGGAGCCATTGTACGTTGTGATAGGAGAAGTGCGCAAAATTAGTGAGGTGCGTCACTCGCTTGTACGCGTCACTCGCTTGTAAAGGATGTTATTAGCTAATTCTGAATGTCTATGAGCCATCCTACCTAAAATTTACATTTGCATCGTCGTCTCCGAGCCTGATTTGTGCAGCGCCTTCTTTCGTGGCATAATAGACTTCCCTCCCAACAGCGCCAACCTCAAGTCCTTCTTGCTCCAAATTTTTGTAGAATAGGCTTACCCTGCCCTCGCAACCTCCCTCTGATACCAGGAAGTCATTATTAGCCCTATGCGCCCTGCGGGGCGCGATTTCATGCAGGGCCGCCCCATCGATTAGTACTTCTAGCAGAAGCGAACCACCGATCCAGGCTAATGCGAGATAATCCCGCATATCTTATCTTATACATACTGGTGGGTATTTTATTATAAGATTATGCGGCTGTGCGAGTTGTCACAAGCGTTCGGATTATCAGTAAATCCGACTTAGGATTGGGAGCAGTAATAAGACATGGCCTGGTGCTTGCTTAGTCAGCCAACGCGCTTGTAGCGGCGAAACCAGCTTCGACACAGCAATCTCACACACCTCAAGATGCAGTCCAACGCACAGTGATACCTACTTTGGGATGTAGAGCCATACTATAGCGCCGCCCCTGAGTGCCGAGATCTCTCGTTGACCCTTCCGCTGACCAATGGAACGACCTGATTGAGCTCACCACGTCCTCATGCTTCTCGAGTCGGCGCGCCGATTCCTAGACCAAGCCGCAGCGAGCTTTTGTCCCAGCTCAATTAAGGGGAATATAATGTAATAGGAAGGATGCAAGCTAAGATAGAGCGTGGTGGGCCTAGAAATCGAAGCCTGCGCTTCGGCATGTGGGTTTAACTGAGCGCTACTAGCAAAACGCCGTCATTGCAAGCGCATACGAAGGCGGAAAAAGGCTTTGCATGCTTAGTGATATAGCTATTATATGGTTAAATGACCAGCGGCTCCTCGCATGAGCGCCACAATGTAAGGGCCGTGGAGATATGCTCTAGTTCCACCACTGGCGGTCGTGAGGAGTTTTGGGTTCATGTTCGCGAGGGACAAGTACTAGCAGAGCTGTGGTGGTGGCCATGCTTGGCAAGATTCTAGAAACACAGATAGTATCTAGAGCTGCATACAGCACTCTTCTCTTCAGCCATATCTACCAACCATCGCCTCCGGCGCAATCCTATGGCGGGTGCAGGTCCACCGCCCTCCCTGTCACCAAGGTGTTCGTCCGCCTCTCAAGATATACGCATATTCAGCCTAGTTGCATGCGAATTCGCCTTCAGCTGCAGCATGACTTCTGCATGTCAGCCTTGCCGCGCCACCCCGTGAGCTGTGCCATCAGCCGCACCCCGCCCCTCAGTAGAACTCACAACACTCGTGTGCTGTCTTTCTCTCTGATGCAGTTTTCGGTATAGCCCAGCGTCCCATGCTCCTGTATGCTTGCTAACCTTAATACCTTAGAGTAATACCTCTTCGGACGGGCGATTTACCGTACTCGTCTCTCCCGTCAGGCTGCCGTGTTTGAACCTGACCGAGTTTCACTCCTACCGCTCGCCACCGTCCAATGCGAAGCAATGCGTCTTTTGCGGCGCAGCGATACTGGAGAGTTCAGTCTTAGTCAGTTTCGCGATGAGGCCATCCCTCCCTATGCGATACTGTCGCATACGTGGGGACCAGATACCGAGGAGGTCACCTTTGAAGACCTGACAAATGGCACTGGCAAGGATAAGCCTAGCTACGAGAAAATCCGGTTCTGCGGAGAGCGAGCTGCACTAGATGACTTGGAATACTTTTGGATCGATACCTGTTGCATCAACAAGGCAAACAAGGCTGAACTGTCGCAGGCTATCAACTCCATGTTTCGTTGGTATGGTAACGCGACTCGATGCTACGTCTATTTATCAGATATCTCGAGCTCTCCCCTTAGCAACACCGAAGAGCCCAAGAGCCCGTGGCCGTGGGAATCGGATTTCCGAAAATGTAGATGGTTCACCCGGGGTTGGACGCTCCAAGAGCTTCTTGCTCCGAGTTCGGTAGAGTTCTTCTCCCAAGAAGGCGAGCGACTTGGTGACCGAAATTCCCTAAGGCGCCTGATTCACGAGATAACGGTTGTTCCTGAATCAGCGCTTGAAGGAGCCCCCTTGTCTCAGTTCAGCGTTAATGAGCGATTGTCATGGATAGAACACCGGCAGACCAAGCTTGAGGAAGATAGAGCGTACTCTTTACTTGGCATTTTTGGGGTGTACGTAGCTGCTATCTACGGCGAAGGGACGGCAAGCGCGTTCCAACGACTTCGAGAGGAGATTGGGAAGCTGGAGCAATGCATGCAAGATTTGCACCTCACCGATCCTCGGGACGACAAGAAGCGCATTGAGGACACCAAGGGTGGACTGCTGGAGGCCTCGTACCGCTGGATCCTCGAAAATTCCGACTTCCAACGATGGCGTGACGACGAGCAGAGTCGACTCCTATGGATCAAAGGCGATCCGGGCAAGGGCAAGACGATGCTGCTCTGCGGCATCATTAACGAGCTAGAAAAGTCGATAGCTAAGACGGATCTTTTATCCTACTTCTTCTGCCAGGCCACGGACTCACGAATCAACAACGCTACAGCCGTGCTGCGAGGTCTGCTGTACCAGCTTGTCAACCAGCAGCCATCGCTCATCTCACACATACGGAAGAAGTACGATCACGCAGGCAAAGCCCTCTTTGAAGATGCCAATGCTTGGGTTGCCCTGTCAGACTTCTTTACGAACATGATACGAGACCCGGACCTAGAATTGGCCTGCCTAGTTGTCGACGCTCTCGATGAATGCGTGGTGGACTTGCCAAAGCTCTTAGACTTAGTTATTCATACCTCAGCATCATCAGCCCGCGTCAAGTGGCTTGTGTCAAGTCGAAACGAGATGCACATTGAACAGAAGCTAAGATGCGTAGACGCTAAGGCGAGGTTGAGTCTAGAGCTAAAGCAAAATGCAGAGCAGGTGTCCCGCGCCATCGACGTGTACATTGTCGACAAGCTATCCCGCCTTGACTCGCTTGAAGACGACAGCCTGAGAGATCGAGTGCGAGATATCCTACGCCGGAAAGCGAACGGGACGTTCCTTTGGGTCGCCCTCGTGGTCCAGGAGCTTGAGGGGCCGGAGAGCTGGGACCCTTTGCAGGTGGTAGAAGAAGCGCCACCAGGCTTACACCAGCTGTACGATCGCATGATGAATCTAATCCAGCAGCTAAAGGAGAGAAACTCGGAGATTTGCCGGCTCTTGCTTTCTACTGCCTGCGTCACATACCGTCCGCTTTACCTAGCTGAAATGGGCAGCTTGTGCGGACTATCAGGCCAAGTTTCCGTACTCGCGAGGAACGTAAGAACAATCGCGGCTATGTGTGGTTCGTTTCTCACCGTTAGGGATGATCAGGTCTACCTCATCCATCAATCAGCCAAGGACTACTTAAGCGACAAGATGCGAGATACAGTCTTCCCATCTCAAGGCAGGATTCACCATAACATGTTTTTTAGGTCGCTCAAGCTCATGTCTAGTGCACTGAAACGTGACATGTACGGCTTGATTGCTCTAGGCTTTCCGATCGATAAGGTTCAAGTACCGGTCCACGATCCGCTAGCGACGATGCGATACTCGTGCGTTCATTGGGTTGACCACCTCTGTGACTGGAATTCCAGCTCTGCAAACCACGGCATTGACTCTCAAGGTAAAGACGCTATCGAGAATTTCATAAGAAAGAAATACCTTTACTGGGTCGAGGCTCTGAGCCTCTGTAGAAGCATGTCGGAGGGTGTGCTTATAATGACGAAACTCGAGGGACTCATCCAGGTGAGCTTTAGGACTAGAGATTTTATCAATGTATGATTACCACTGACATAATTAAGAGGAGGTCAGACGGACTCGCATTACTTGAGCTAGTCCGAGATGCTCGCCGATTTATTATGTATCATAAGCAGGCAATACAGATTAGCCCTCTCCAGACATATGCGTCTGCACTCGTATTCAGTCCAGCTAGTAGCCTAATAAGGCGTTATTTCGAAACGGAAGAGCCAGGATGGATTACAATAAAGCCAAATATAGGAGATAAATGGAGCGCCTGCTTACAGACACTTGAGAGCCATAGCGACACTGTCTACTCGGTGGCCTTCTCACACGAAACGACCATCCTCGCATCAGCGTCGGCCGACAGTACAGTCAGAATCTGGGATACAAGCAGCGGCACCTGCCTGCAGACGCTCGACGGCCACAGCGACTGGGTCAACTCGGTAGCCTTCTCACACGACTCGGCCCGGGTCGCGTCGGCGTCGGCCGACAGTACAGTCAGAATCTGGGATGCAAGCAGCGGCGCCTGCCTGCAGACGCTCGACGGCCACAGCGACTGGGTCAACTCGGTAGCCTTCTCACACGACTCGGCCCGGGTCGCGTCGGCGTCGGCCGACAGTACAGTCAGAATCTGGGATGCAAGCAGCGGTAAGTGCCTGCAGACGCTTGAGGGCCACAGCGATTCCGTCAACTCAGTAGCCTTCTCGCACGACTCGGCCCGGATCGCGTCGGCGTCGACTGACAAGACGGTCAAGATCTGGGATGCAAGCAACGGTAAGTGCCTGCAGACGCTTGAAGGCCACAGCAATTCCTTCAACTCAGTAGCCTTCTCGCACGACTCGGCCCGACTCGTGTCAACGTCGAAATTTACCGTTAGGATCTGGAACGCCAGCAGCGGCGAGTGCTTGCAGACACTTAGGGGCCATATCCGCTCTGTCACTGCGGTCGCCTGGTCACCCGACTCAACCCGGCTCGCGTCGGCGTCGTTCGACACTACGGTCAGGATCTGGGACGCCAGCAGTGGCACGTGCCTGCAGACACTCGAGGGCCATAGCGACACTGTCTACTCGGTGGCCTTCTCACACGACTCGACCATGCTCGCATCAGCATCGGACGACAGTACAATTAGAATCTGGGACGCCAGCAGCGACGCGTGCGTGCGGACGCCCGAGAGTCATAGCGGCATTGTCACCCAGGTCACCTTCTCTCACGACTCGGCCCGGCTCGCGTCGGCGTCGTACGACAAGACAATTAGGATCTGGGACGCCAGCAGCGGCAAGTGTCTGCAGACGCTGGGGGGCCACAGCCAGCTCGTCTTCTCGGTCGCCTTCTCACACGACTCAACCCGGCTTGCATCAGCGTCAGTTGACAGTACGGCGCGGATCTGGGATGCCAGCAGCGGCGCCTGCCTACAGACGCTTAAGGACCATAGCGACTCCGTCCTCTCTGCGACCTTCTCACACGACTCGACCCGGCTCGCGTCGGCGTCGCTCGACAGGACAATCAGGATCTGGGATACTAGCAGTGGCGCCTGCATGCAGACGCTCGACGGCCACAGCGATTCCGTCAACTCAGTAGCGTTCTCGCACGACTCGGCCCGGGTCGCGTCGGCGTCGTCCGACAAGACGGTTAAGATCTGGGATGCAAGCAGTGGCGAGTGCCTGCAGACGCTCGAGGGCCACAGCGATTCCGTCGATTCAGTAGCATTCTCGCACGACTCGGCCCGGGTCGCGTCGGCATCGACTGACAAGACGGTCAAGATCTGGGACGCAAGCAGCGGTAAGTGCCTGCAGACGCTTAATATTGGCAAAGCGCTCCATAATATATCATTCGACGCCACAGCCTCATATCTTCATACTGCTATTGGTACCGTTACCGTCGATGCTCCATCAGATTCAAACATAATATCGGACAAAATAGAAAGTTCAGATCCGCAATACCAAGGTGTGGGTTTAAATTCAAATGGAGATTGGATAACATATAATTCGAAGAATCTTGTATGGTTACCATCTGAGCATCGGCCAAGGTGTTCGGCCGTGTCAGAGAGGACGATCGGCATCGGCATTGGATCTGGAAAGGTATGGGTATGCAAAGTTGAGCTTGACGCATCCTAAGACCATGGTCCATTTATGTGGACATAACTTACTCTGCTATTTTTCATCTCTATTCTATAGTGGAGATCGGGGATCGGCGTGAATGTATAGCTTACTAATTTGTCACTACAAAGCTTCGAGTATCCTCTAGATCAAGTGACAAGATGGCTAACCATAGAATAACATTTGAAGATTCGCAACTTAATCCTCGTCAGAAGCAGACGAACGCCTCAATCACGCTAGCAGGGAGGGCGGCGGACCTGCACCCGCCATAGGGTTGCGCCGGAGGCGATGGTTTGTAGACATGGCTGAAGAGAAGAGTGTTGTATGCAGCTCTGATAGTATAGAATCTTGCCAAGCATGGCCACCACAGCTCTGCTAGTACTTGTCCCTCGCGAACATGAACCCAAAACTCCTCACGACTGTTAGAGGTCGAACTAGAGCATATCTCCACGGCCCTAACAATTGTGGCGCTTATGCGAGGAGCCACTGGTCGTTTAACCATATAATAGCTATATCACCAAGTATGTAGAGCCTTTTTCCGCCTTCGTATGCGCTTACAATAACGGCGTTTTGCCAGTAGCGCTTAGTTGAACTTATTTGCCGAAGCGCAGGCTTCGATTTCTAGGCCCACCACGCTCTATCTAATTTTATATCCTTCCCATCCCATCGCATTCCCCTTTAATGAGCCTGGACTAGAGCTCGTTGTGGCTCGATCTAGAAATCGGCGCTGGTGGACTCGAGAAGCATTGGGACGTGGTGGGCTCGATCAAGTCGTTCCATCGGTCAGTGGAGGGGACAACGGCGGATCTCGGCACTTGGGGGCGACGTGATGTCATGGCTCTACATCACGAAGTAGGTAGCATCTCGAAGTGTGTGGGATCGCTGTGTCGAAGCTGGTTTCGACGCTGGAAGCGTGTTGGCTGACTAAACAAGCACCTGGCCATGTCTTATCACTGCTCCCAATCCTAAGTCGGATTCAACGATAATCCGAACACTTTGTAATTCGCATAGTCACATATCTTACAGAAAAATTTCCATTAGTGCATGAGGTAAGACGTGCGGGGTCATCGCACATTAGCCAGGATCGGGCATTCGCTTCTGCTAGAAGTACCCATCGACGGGGCGTCCCTGCATGAAATCGCGCCCCGCAGCGTGCGTAGGGCTGATAATGACTTCCTAGTATGAGGGGGAGGTTGTGAGGCTAGGATAAGGCTATTCTACAAAAAATGAGAGCGAAAAAGGCTTGAGGTTGGCGTTTTGGGGAGGAAAGCCTGTTATGCCACGACATAATGCGCTGTACAAGTTAGGCGCGGAGGCGACAATGCGAAGGTAATTTTTGGGCAGGAGGGATTATAGACATTTAGAATTAGCTACAGCAGATTATTTTGGTAGAATTATAGCAATATTTGTTGTGCGCATGGGCTTTCCGGTTGCTGAAAGTCAAAGTACCCCTCGTTTGTCTCGGCACACAGTATGTCTCGCTACGCAGTGAGGGACGTTACTCCTGAACCTCGACAATGAGGAAATACCTACAGAAAATACTTGATCGTTTTCACATGGCACAATCGAGGGTACCTCAGGCTACAATACGACTACCAATATCTGTCACAATAGTGAGGCCTGCGTCACCACGACTGACCCTCGCGTGCCTGCTATTGTAGCTAATCGACAATAGCAACCCCACGCATGGCCGCCTGTGATATAATTGCTATATTAACCTTAAACCACAGACTTGCCCTATGAACAAACAATCACGACTTTCTCCAGGTCCTTTTTCCAGAATCTATTCATCTTCAAACGCAAGTCTGCCCAAGCAACGTCATCACCATGCCACCGCGTCACCGCAGAGCCAAGCGAGCCAAGCCGTGCACCATCAAGCCGGTTAAGAAGACGAATTTCGACATCGCCCTCGAGGCCATCCGCGCAGAGTTGAAGCGCGATTACACGTTCTACGAGGAAGCCCTCTTGGGTGTTATACGAGCGAAGGCGGCGGGTGGTGATGCCACACCGTGGCAAGTACTGACTCGGTATGGAGGGTATGCACTAATAGCTTTCTAGGCTGAAACAGATGAGTGACCTGGTGAAGGGCAGGCCGTTTGCGGAGATGAGCCACGAGGGTGTCAAGTTCCTGCTCGAGGAGATGGTTCGGAAGTTCGTGGCTGAGGCATACCGGGTGCCGCAGCCTGCCCTTATGAAGGTGGCTTGACCCGAGCTATCTAAGCTCGGCCTCATAGTCGATGCTTACATGCTAGAGTAGGCTTGAGTTTGCCTTGGCTCTTAGGAGTTTGGTATACCCATGGCAATTTTTGTTTGTTTTTGAGTCTGAAAAATTGCTCAAGGCTGTTGCCTAATTGCTTCCTGTGTTGTGGACAATATCTTTCTTCGGTAATGTGAAGGTTTGCATCGCTAGCGGGGCAATATTCGTTTGGCTCTCAAGTCGGTCGAAACCTTCGCTGGTCACACTCCCAAGCCCCATCACTCTCAGAGAGACCCTTCTTGCATGTCCAATAGTAGGAGGGTGTTCGGACTGACGTACTTTAACACTCTCTTCGTCTGTAGGATTACATGGTCCGTAACTCTTGACCTTGTTTAACATGATGCGTAGACATGGCGACATGAGGGGTAGACAGCCCGCTAGTATCCCCAGAGCAGGCTCCGGCGCATTGAAAAGAATGATACGGCCCGTATGACTAGATTGGCAAGTATGCAGTCAGCGTAAGTCATGGACAGGGATGTATGCAGCGTTGTGTCTATGTCTCCGACATAATCACTTCGTTACCAGAGACGTACTATGTCCAGTCGTTTGCGTTCATGTGACGGTAAAGATACATTCTTACCGCCGACAAAGCAAGGATACTAGAGGATCGTCAGTAAGACAAAGCATTTTCTCAGCCTGAAGTATCCTCACAAGAACCCCAGCCCGAACAGCAGTGTCAATCGGACTTTCTTCTCAAAGTCCACGTTCAGCCGCCAGAGGAGAGGTAGTGGCAGTACTACGTTTGCCAGGTCTATGCACATGGCGCCTGCACTCGCGCCCACCCAGATAGTTCTACTGTTCTCCGCACACTTTTGAGCCATAGCAAGCGCGTTGTCCATCTTCTGCGGACATGAGAAGAACTGCACTGTCATGAAGCTGATATAATATGCCACTGTCAAAGCCAGCAGCGCGCGGCAGACGATGCGAAAACGTGTATACGGAAACAGCGTCGCATAAAGCTGTGTAATCGACAGGTTGCAGAACACATTAGCACTTAAAGCCATGCTGGTAAGTATGTAGCGGCTCTGATACGTTTAGCTTAGTATTTGGACGGAATGCTAGGTGCGCACTTCGGGATGTCTCTTCATTTGCACGATGGCAGCCACCGGCACGTCCTTGATGTGCACGCCATAGTACTGGACGAAGACAAAGACAATCGCATCAATCAGCTCGCCGAGGAGACCAACCTGCGTTCACCAAGTCAGCTCCAGTCAAGATCCTCAATTTGGAGTGGCACTTACATATGCGATTACCATCAGCCAGTCATTGGCCTCCCATTTCTTTCGCGTAAGAGCGCGTGCCCATACGCGACACACTATAGCAAACGTCGCTATCAAGGCCGAAAGGGCGCACACAACGACGACAGGCACTTGTAGCTGCTTCAGCTCCATGAAAACAGTGGGGGAAATTGAGGTTGCACCAACATCGCCGCAATTTGGACTTGGCCCAGTTTTGAGGGGGTCACGTTCTGGATCCGAAGCCACCATCCCTCAGCTTGCGTGTCTCTGCTTGTGCGCAAAGCTGAGACCGTGATCCGCGAGTTGCAATCTGCTCCTTTTCTGCATCGGGATGTGATGGCCATGAGCTGAGCGCAGGTGATTGGTCCATGCGGGATGGCTTGATCCTACGAACCTTTGTGGCGGCGACGTCCCACGTGGGGGTATGTTCCGAACCCAAGTAGTGGGAAAGATAAAAATCTAGTTCTCGCTCATGTCGTGGGATTCCAGGGCTGGGGACCATGACGATGCGCCACAAGGGGGTTTATCGAGAAGAAAGCTCGGCAATTCTCAACATTCAACGTCTTTTTCAGGGCTGATAGGATGGGCACTGGAATAGATCACACAGAGACTCCTCTTATCAACATCAAAAAAAATCTTTTATAGGAAAGGCCTTAGTATAATTCGTCGCAATATAGTCATCAACTGACAAGGGTAGACATCTCGATGAAGAGCTGAGCAAGATGGAAGGTTTCAAACTGCCTTACCTCGACACTTGTCACCTGTTTCAAGTCAGAAATCGCTTGAAAATTACGAGGAAGGAAGTTCCATTGTGTTGCGAGAACGTGCTAGGAGGCAACGTATCGTGTAGAATGCGGACCAAGACAAAGTGAGGAGGCAATAGCCTTACTCTGTCAAACCAAGCACTCAATGACCTCACTCCGCAGTTTCAACTAGGAAGAGAAGCCACAAACGGTTATGAATCAGAAACTACGATATAGTTATCTGTTAACTCGGGTCACCATTTCTGCAAGCGTTTGAGCAACAACATGGCTGAGCCAACGGCAGGAGCGTCCGTCGAGGGTCCAGCGGGCATACGCACCTCATCGCTGGCACCCGTTTACCATCAGCCTTATACATCACATACAACATTTAGTCCGCATTACCTGCACACCCTACCCTGCACTGGTAACGGAACCAACACATTACTCACCTTCGACGCATCATCTAGCATTCGACTAAGCAATGTCCATCGTTTACACCATTTACTTGACAACCAATTATTCGCAGTCTTTTGCGGACCTCAGAAAATGCCTCCTCGGTACAAATCACACGCCCGCCGAACGAGCAGCGCACACTGTCAAGATCATCACTAGACCGCTCAACAACGGGTCTGGTAACTCGTTGTATCCATAGCATAGGTACCAAGAGAAGAATTTGGTGAGCTTGGCGACAGGAAGTGCTGGAGCCGTAGACAATCGCCGCCAAATCCGCGTCGTAATCGATATACCGAGAGGAAGGTTGCAGGGCGCCGAGGGGAAGCAGCAATTCCTGAGACGCACAGCTGAGGCATACTTGAAGCATGGGAAAAGGAAGGCGGACAAGTGCGACGTCGAGATGAGGATCAACGAGTTTGACGAGAGTGAATACATGAAGATTGGAGGCACAAAAGATACAGTCACATTTTGTGAGGATGATGATTTCCATAAGCTAAGAAAAGTTATGACAAATTCGCATAGCTCTCGAGGTTGACTGACATGAGGAGGGTCAACGGAGGAGTGCTCCGAAACTTGAATTCTACACCCTGCGAGTCTATGTTTGGGGCTGATGGGTGCGTTCAATTCGCAGTCCCTTTCCTGATTCGCACAGATTCGGGTGACACTTGCGGGCGGCTATTTTTCGAAGAGCTCAATGGTCGACAAGCTGTGGGCAGGCCACTTCCGGGCACATACGTTCCAGTAAGCATATGTCTGATATTCCAACACCTGCTTGTCAACATACCTCACCTCGACCCCCAGACAACTTTGAGAATTCGAGTTACAAACCGAGGTAACGGTCCAAATCAACCTTGTGGGTCTCTTTCGTGTTGTCATTACTGGAACGCTGCCACTATGAGATGCGCGTAATGTACGATCCCTTGTCTAAGCGCAAATGGACGAGCTGCTTACAATGGTGGCAACGCTGATCCTCGACGATGGCGGTATATTTGTTATCCCGATATTCACGAATGGTGACAACAAATCGTTCGTAAATCCAATGATCCTTTCGCATTCGTCATTGGTGTAAGTCATTGTTTCACTGATATGAGTGCGGCACTCCTGCTCGATGCCTCGGGCGGTGGGCGTCGATTGACACGCGATGTAATCTCCGTACGCTCTCAGAAAATACATGCGCTACTGATGACACATGTAAGTTGCGTTGCCTTCGATTCGTGGTGAGGGTTCATCGGTGCTCTAGTGGTTCTCCTCGTTCAGTGACTTCATGCTTGCAGCGTTGGAACTTTTAGGTGTGACTGGACGGGTCTTGATGTCGCACCCTCGGTGGCGCCAGGAGCTCCATTCGTCACTGTTTCTCATCTTAGAATGCGTGTGAATTTGGTTAACCAGAGCGGGTGGTAACGGTTGTCAAGACGGTTTATGTTGTGTATGAATCGCAAGTGGAAGGTGCGCTAAGGAACCTTCGCGTTGGGAACAAACAAACGCGCTTCCACTCTTACTCTCCGGCTTGCCTTCTTGACCTGGACTCCGACAGAAAGAGAAATTAGTCATGAAATAATTGAGAGATTCACTCTTGCTGACAAAAGCACTGGAATCGTGGTGGAAATCGCGTCACTAGGTTAAGTCCGATACCGCGGACTCACTTGCTTCGCGCCCAGCTTCGCGGAAAACCTTGCTAACTCGTGTACAGAATGGCGAGGCACAACAAATCTAACTTACCGGGGAGACCGATGTATCAGCCAAAAGACGGTAGCCTTGGCCTTTTGGGAACACTTCCAGTTGAGCTTCGGTTGAACATCTTCGAAATCGTCCTTGAGATTCATCGTCCAATCACGGCGCGAAAGTGTTGCGGAATTCTTGGCCACTTAACCAAACCGTGTCGATTACACGCGGCAATCAAGCAGAACTACCGTACGCTCAACCGATATCGATTTGCGTTGCTTTCCATCTCGCGAGGTGTATACAATGACGCTATACGGGTGATGCACAACAAGATGAGGGTCCATGTAGACGTGACCAATCTCATTATGGTTCACAAAGGGGCAATTGGGTACGGAGGGAAGCCTTATCACACTATGTGGCGCCGGATATGTCGATATCGTCTCATCGACCTCATCGTTCCTGTGACTGCTATCAAGTTTGACCAATCAGAAGAATGCGTCACCAGTCTTTTCGACTGCATCGATATGCTCTTGGATAAGTGGAACGCGGAGAACAGCCCCAAATCTGCACAAAAGGTTCGGGAAATCACAATACACCTTGGCAGGATATTCAGCACATACCGCCCGTTTAAAGCCGCCAAGCTAGAAAATCCGAAGATCAAGGAGGAGCAAGCGCGACTGCTGAACGTGTGTTGGGAGAATCTCGAGAACTCAGTAAAATTGATTGCTCTAAGGGGTGGGGAAGCGAATTGGACCTTCACTGTCAACTCCGAGGTTGACGCAAGTAACAGAGTTGGTCAAAGGATGCTGAATATGTTTCGAGAAATTCTAGAGGAAGTTGGTGTTGAGTGCCAGGAGGGAGTGGCCCAAGATGTTTCTGTAATGGAATCGAGGAGCGCGACGGGCGGTACACATCGGCGTTTCGTCGACTGAAGCCTGTCAAGAAAGACATGAATGCCCGTATGTGTTGTGGACATGTAGAAAGCTGCAATGTGATCCTCTGACAGAGTTGGTGAATTGCGCGTGTATACGTCGAAGTAAGGTGTCGCAGGCCTGCAATGATGATGGAGCCGATGTCATCACGTGAATCGTGGATTCTTTCATGAGCTGATGGAAAGAATGAGCATTTGTAGGGACGATGCATCGACGACAACGCGGCGTGGATCTGAGCCGAAGCCAAGGTATAATGTGGGTAAGGCTCGGTCCTCGACGGGTCATTGTCGCGTCCACTACAACGTCGTGCAACAACCAACACCAGCAACCCGCCGCTCATACGCGAACACTCACTACATGGTTGTTTTTGAAGGAACGCCTGACAGAGTGTGCGAACAGAGCTGGGTCCCTGAGTCGACCATAGCCAACGCATCAGACGCGGCACGGAAGTTTCTGCGTACTTCACGACTGGTGCTATGAGCATAATTAATACTAATTGACTACTAATATGACTATTTCCAATATGGCTATAGGCGCCTGAGCCTACCAAGTGGCGGATATCGAAAAATGAAAATGAATACCAACCTGGATGGGACTGGTCTCCCGTCCCTGGACCTGACAAGAAATAGATATCCGGACAATATCAACGCCAGAACTCCGAAAGATTCGTAAAGATAGCCAAACTGTAGATCTGAAGATGGGGAGCCTTGCCAAGTGGTGTTTAGACGAACTCTAGCGTCCGGAAGATTGTCGCAGTCTGCCGGATTATGAGCAGCGCATGAGATATACGGACTACGATGATGGTATACAATCTGAGGGAGTTTGTGGTCCTGTCAAGAGGCCTATCGCTCGAAGCTCAGCTCGTGGCCACAAATTGAACGCCATTGGACCGGCAACAAGCTTCAAGCGTATGTAGCGCAGTAAGGCCTCCGTCTTCCTGGTCATACATAATCTTGCCATCGTTCTCTGCTCCTCCCACATGATACGTGCGAGGAGCCTTTGCGACGACTTTCCACCGAGACAGGCCACCATGACGCCCGACCAGATCTACCAAGCGCTCGAGAATATGGACGACCTCTTCCCCAATCACTTCAAAGTCTGCATTGTAGCCAGACCCCAAGTGTGGCTGGTGGTATGCATTCCACTCGTAAGCCATCTTGGTAGATCGATCGGAGTTGAAGGGTATCACAGCTGTATGAAGATCATGGAGCTGAATTTCGACGGTGCGAGGAGATGTCGGCTTCTCCTTTACAAGATCCCAAGCCTTCATCAAGAAAGCGATAGCTTTGTAGAGGCGATATACACATTCGACCGGATCGTCGATCGATAGCTTAGTCCATGGGAGCTGGAAGCAAAGTTTGCGGAAGTGCCCTGCCGAAAGCCACATGCGTTCGACGCACTCGGCTTCCGGGAGGTTGGGCAGGCGGTAGAACGTACACTGCTTCTTGATAAGATATGCCTGCAGGGCCGTGGTCGAACGGACGATGAGCCTTGCCTGATTATATAGCACCCAGGATGCTTCCTCGTGGACAGAGCGCGCCACGGAGAGGATTGAGAATCGACCATAAATCTTTATCGACCCTTCGTCCTCTTCGTAAAGCGTCAGGCCGTTTCCCCTGCCTATCTTGGTGCAAGTTTCTCCATGCTTCTTGCAGCTAGCTCGTGCTCGGCGAGTAGAGAACGGACCGCAACACTCCTTCAACGAGACAGGTTCATCGATGTCTAGACAGTAGGCATAAACTGCCTGTCGAATCTCTTTGGGGAGGCGATCCAGTTGTCCCGCGCCTTTCACTTCTAGGATCGACACGGCAGCCTTGGTAACGACTGGGCTACGAGGGATTCGAGAGCTTCGAGGGGAACTTGATGCCGCAGGAGCCTTCCTCTTGACAGTCCTAGGAGGAATTCGAGTCACAACGCGCAATTGCTTTGCTGGCCTAGTCTTGGTTAGTATCAGATACCTCTAGCAAACAAGAATACTTACCTAGCAGAGGGATTCGGAGATGTCTCGCGCTTAGCATCACTACGCAGAAAGCGATCGCCAGGTCCATGTTGGGGCCGATTTAATTGCGGCGAAATCTCATTTATTCTGAGGACGCCGGGCGGTGGGGAGGGCGAACGTGACAGCATTGACAATTCAGATGAGTCTGAAAGCGCGGGTGTGGGTTGTCGCCCCGGCGGACTAGACGACGGTGATGGTGATCGCGACAGCATGGTCAGCCATGAGCTGTCTGACATGGCGGGCGATACCTCCCTGCCACGTGAAGCGCAGCGTGTTGCAAGTCGGCAACCATTCATTGCGGCTTGTTGGGCATGTAGTGGGCTGTAGTAGGTTGTAGTGGCGCAGGACATCGAGTCCGACGAATGGGAGCTTGGGAATCTTTATGAGTAGATTCTGGTAGAGTGGAATTCGCCTTCACCTTGGGGCCTGTGTTCAAGGTGCTTGGGCAACCTTCACCTGTACCTTCCCTATCACGCGACAACGGTTCTCTCACTATCCGCTTCGTCAAACCGCATTGAAAGCGAGCTGCATACAGTGAACAGAACGCGGAGTCAATACGGAGAAACCCTACCAGTGCACTCCTGTCCTGGCTTGTGGCTGATTCCCAATGCAGCGAGAGAGTAGGCGGGTCCGTCTATCACGGACGATTTGTTGAATGCCGAGAGCATCGCAGCTCCCGTACAGAATGGACAATCAACTTTACTATTGCACACAGAGCCGCAAACCATCACACCGATTCCCACGCGCAAATCTCATACTTGCCTTCTGCACAAAACTTTGATGTACTGCACCCGATTTATTGTTTCTTTCGAATCCCCTCTGTGGGCCTTTATTATTTTCCATCAGGAGTTATACCTCAGTTCGAGTAGTAGTATCGTGCTTGGACTCGCTAGGTTCTCCTAACGATGGCTCCTCTCAACGCTACGCCTTCAACCAGTCTTGTTCGGTCGAAGCAATCCCCACGTATTGTGATCCCACACATGCCTAAAGATGTACTTCGTGGAGCGTTGGCGACGTTGTAAACGGCACGTGAAAGATAGTGAGCGTATGCACTAGTCCGCACAGGGAAGAGCTGAGCCTCCGTTCTGCAGAGATGTGCATGTACGATTCTTCTTATTCGATGTGTTGTATATCATTAATTGTTGCGCTGCTCAACCTGTAGCAAGAGCTTGAAGATCTCTACGTGCCAAAGGTCAACGTGTGCTCGTTTGATCTACGCCAGACTTAACCTACTTCAGAAGCTAAGGTTGCGGGTTGCATCTGGTTGATTTACTTACCACCGTGGGGGCGGCATCTTCAAAGACGTCTTCTGAAGCGAGTCATGGTACGAAAGATGAAGCGCGGGGTAAGGATGTGGAGTTACCGACTATTCCCGGGCTACCCTGTCCGAACATATCTACGCATTCCCCATTCCCCATTTCTTGCAGCCATCTCGCACGCCAATCAAAACATTACAGAGCATCGTAATCTGGTGTTTTGTACCAGAGATTCATCTACAGAGAGGTTAAAATCGGCGCAGCATTGAGTACGTAAAGCCAGGATGACGGTGGGCTCGTACTGGAACCTTTGTGTGGACCGCCACGACAAGGTGTATGTCCTCACAATGCAAAAGCCGCCCGAGAATCGGATTAATGTTCGGTACGCGCAGGAAATCATCAAAGCCCTGCGGGATATAGAACACGAGCTTGGGCCCGAGTCGGACGGATGTGTCATTATTAGAGGCAACGATGAGAAATTCTGGTGTACTGGTTTGGACCTCGACGAAGTGGAAGCAAACCCATATGCCAACCCCGATGGCTTCTTCCCGGTACGTTGCTCCTAAACTGTATTTGTGATAATTCTTAGATACTTTGACGATGATTAATTAACCGACGCAAAGCTACTCGCAACGCTCCTCGACTACCCTTTCCCTACAATAGCACTCATAACTGGTCACACTTTCGGCGGCGCATGTCCATTCGCTCTATCCCACGACTACCGAATTATGAACTCAAAGCGCGGCTTTTTCTCCATGCCACCCGTCAACCTCGGTCTTCATTTTCCCGGCATCGGCTTCCTTCCGCGACTGAAACTCCGTCCTCAGATCGCTCGGAAGATGCTACTTGAGGCGCACAAGTGGACAGGGCAAGAGGCATTGGCAGACGGGATCGTTGATGAGATTGCAGAGCCAGATAAAATGCTTGACGTCGCGCTGAAGAAGGCCAAGGAAATCCAAGGCAGAGCGAAGATGGGCGTGTATAGTTTGTTGAGAAATGAGCTTTGGGGCGAAGCTTCAGAAGCGTTTAGGAAGATTAGCTATGTGCATGGGAAACTTACCAACACCCCTCCGAAGGCGAAGATCTAGACGTTTGGATTCCGGGCCAGAAGGAGCGGCTGCGTCAGCTTGACCCGGCGAAATGGACCGGTGTATCAAGCTCGGAGAGCTGAAACTGCGAGGTCAAAGATTTGTATATATATCCAATGCCACCTCGTACTTGCATCGCGTTGGAGCTCGAGTCCTCGAGCCCTGGAGTGGGGGGAAGGCACGTGCACGCCTCCTACCTCGACCTCGCTCGCTATCTACTTTGACACCTCTCGGCACCCCTTCCATCAAGTAGTCGAGCCAGAATGCTGGCCCGCAAGCGACAAAGTCAGAGGGAATTGCTAAAGTCAACTCGAAAATGGCGCAATGCGCTGCGAAAGAAGACGTGTGGCACACAATGAGTGGCGGGCACGCCCCCCCGCGCACATCTCCCCGTTGCAACAACGATCACCTTATCTTCATTGTGGACGTCCGGTCCGACTAGCAGACAGAGTGACTACGCTCGGGCGCAGAGTTTATTGCATCGGAACACCGGGAACCTCACTAGCAATTAATCTTCTGCTGACGTTTCAAGGTTAAAGTCGCCAATCTATATATTCTCAGCCCCATCAATCTCGAGGCGTGAGAGGAACGTGGCCGAGCCCAACCACAAACACGCTATTGAGGCCACGTACCGTAGGGTTAGGTTTGTATCGAACCATCGCCTGAGATCTTCATTTGTGGTCCATCGCCTCAATCTGCGCGAACCGCTCAAAACTATTGTTCCTGCCGGCACTCCTGGAACATTTGACTAGCGATGAGAAGCAACTACCTGTAATTCGAAGCAAGTGGTTACAAGCTACCATTTTTTTCTGCCGATAAGTATTCTGTTCGCGTCGCTCTTGATCATCGCCCGGCTTTCGGCTTGCTCTTACTCGGCAAACTGCAATAGCCTCATCTGCAATTCAATGCGACTTAGCGAATCCGGTACCAGCCGAAGAGTAGCACCCCACACCCCACAATTCGCGGTGCCTGTCCCACACCCCTTTTCACATCTCACAGCCGAAGGACGCATGGAATCTACGTCGGTTGCGCTTGGTGATGCGCGTCATGATTGCAATGATTGCAAAGATATGCGATCGCGTAACCAGGACTGGCTCTGACTCTCTATACCCCCCTGTCCCCGTTGACCGTCATACGTACTGTCCCCTTGTGGCTGTAGATTAATTTTCCAGGAATCCATTTCCGCTAGCTTGTATTCAGTGCACGGTCTGGGCGATAAAGGTCGCAAGTACCTTTCCTTCCAATGCTCTTCCTACTGGAGGCTGATTTTCCCAACCCACTATGAAGACTCACACACATTTTGCAAGTTCTCTCGTGCTTGCAAGCTTGGGTGCGTCTAATGACAGGACTTTCGAACGAACACTAAGAAGATATAGCGCTTGGCCAGGCATCAAGGCGATACTGCGACACAGCCAGCTCCATATGTTACTCAGGGTGGACGGGTGGGAACGGAGTGACAATCGGGGTCGCTCTGCCCAACACGACTTCGCCAAATTTTGACACCGTGCTACAGATCGTTTCGCCAATCGCGAACGGATGGGTTGGTTTCTCGTGGGGCGGAACAATGCCTTACGTGCCTCTCACCCTTGGATGGGTCAACAAGGCTGCGAATACTGTGATTTATTCATCAAGAATGGCTTTGTAAGTTCTTCGAGAGCCGGTGGACCCATTGACTGACAGCTGTCAGTGGACTCAGTATGCCGCAAGCGTATGCTGGTGCAGAGTACACATACCTGAAGGGAACCGGCTACAATGATACACACTGGACATTGAATGTGCGATGTCGAGGCTGCTCCCAATGGCAGGATACGGAGGGAAAGACAGTGTCTTTGGACTCTAGCAACGCTGCATCACCTTTCGCGCATGGTCTGACTAACAAAACACCCATTCAGCCGGCGAAGAACACTTCAGTATTCAATGTGCATTCGTCTTTCGGCCACTGGACACTGGATCTTACTCAAGGGAAGAACGTTAACTTCGAGAAACTCGTTGCAGCGAACCTCATACCGGACGCACCGCCAGCGACTACAAGTACTTCAGCGCCCAGCCCACCAACAAGCTCGCGTACGAGTACATTAAGCACGAGTGTGACTTCGTCACCCACACCTGGTCCCGTCCAGACAGGGGTTCCAAGCTCATGCGCTGGGGTTTCGAACTTTCATTCTCCGGTTTTGACCGCCAATGGATGGAAAGCTGTCAAAGTTGCGGGAAATCTCGTGCAACCAAGAGGTCTAATTTTTGACACTGCAGGTCGTCTCCTTTTGATACAGAATGGCTTAGGGATCACCGCGCATACGATTGGTAATGATGGCTGCTTTACTTCCGAAAAGACTGTCATCACCCAGCGGAACCTCAACCACGGTATCGTGCTTAGCCAAGATGGAAAGACCCTTTATGCGAGCTCAGCCACCCAGGTCTACGCTTGGGACTACGATGTCGCAACCAACAGCGTGGGAAACTCGTCGCGCATAATCATCTCCGGCATGGATAGCAAGGGTCATGTGACGCGGACGCTGGCGTTCCCACCAAAACATCCTAACTTACTCATTGTCTCGCACGGTTCCAACGACAATTTCGACTATGACGCAGGTAATATCAAAGTTGGTCGTTCTTGTATTAAAGCTTTCGACGTGACGAAGACTCCCGCGGATGGCTACAACTACGCTAGTGGTGGATATCAGTTGGGATACGGATTGCGCAATGGCGTCGGATTAGCCTTCGATGGCAATGGAGGGTAAGCAGCGCGCCATCTGTCACAGGATACATAAGTACTGATCAGGACCTAGGCTCTGGGAAGTCGAAAACGCGTCCGATGAGATCACCAGAACAATCGATGGTACGAGTGTCGATATCCATGCCGACAACCCAGCTGATGAGATTAACTACATTGGTGATCCTTCCAAAGAGAACACCCAGTGGTACGGGTACCCTACCTGCTACACAGTCTGGGCTCCTGATCTCATTACGGACCACAAATTCACGGTTGGCGACCAATTTGTACTCACACCTAATGCTACATTCGCGGATGCAACATGCAATACCAAAAGTATACCCGCAAAACTTGCCCTACAGGCGCACTCTGCGCCGTTGGACGCCGTCTTCGACAAGAACTACACCAACTTGTACGTGACATACCATGGATCATGGAACCGCGTACCATCAACAGGGTTCAAGGTGGTTGAAGTACCATTCGTGAAAGGGGCAAGTGGGTTCACCCCAAAGACTGCGATTGCGCAAAGCAATGTCACGGGCTACACAGACATCCTGTGGAATCCAGAAGTGGAGCATTGCTCAGCCACGCAGTGCTTCAGACCCGTTTCAATTGCAAAGGACAATTTTGAGCGCATGTATATCACGAGTGACAGCGGGACAGAAGGCGAACTGCTCATGTTGGGCAGAGCGTAGAGCATAATGCGGAAGACGATTTAGAAGAACGTCACCACATCGATCAGCATTAGATTTTACACTAGATTCGCAATATAAGCATCACGATTTGGAGTGAAAGCTCTAGAAACCTGCGTATTACGTATCAGCGCTTGCGTTGCCGCTGCAGGTGTGGCGTAGAATGTCTACATGTGGCGCCGAATAGTCCAAGCACTTACCACAAGAAGCTTTATACTCGCAAGCGGTTTAACATCATGCATGACTTCTTGTTAACGTCAACTGTGAAAATCGTTCGTGTTTGCCTCAAGGTCGAAACACTTCAATAACCATTGATTTAGGCAGCCTGATGGGCTAGATGCAAACCACTGGACTAGAGAGAGCTACGCAAGACATTGTTGCAGAGAGGGGCAGGCTCGTATAGACGCTGTTGTCCTGCTGCTATGTCCGGCAAAGGGAGCGCTTGCTACAGTCGTTGCCGAGGTACGCATTAATGGTGACCTCATTGGACACACAAAGTGTGGGGACCAATCATATCCCGAGAGGTTGTCGTGCCACGCGCGCTCCTCTACCCGCGAGTCCAATCGTACGAGACGGCGACTTGCTCCGCTGCGCGGTAGCATGTACCTAGGTATGTTGGTCCATCTGATGAATTGCCCTTTATGTATCCTGGAAATAAGGAATTAACCTAAAAGCTGAGTGTGGACGTTGCATCGTGTGCGTTGTCCACTGAAAGTCTCGGCTCTCCACAACCTCGATCCTTTGTTGGTACCCCCACAAGCGGGGAAGCCGAACTCTATTTCCACATACAGCACGTTGTGTAGGGTTAGTGCGTCGATATGCCTGTTGCTCTGTTTCCCGTTCTCGCTGATTCCTCATTCACAGTTCCAACAACTCACCCGCCACCATGCACGGAGGACTTCTCATCGATCAACTCGCGGGAGGAAATGCAAACGGAAGTCCAGAAAGCACTACTCACAGCCTTGATTTCGTCATTGTTGGCGCCGGCGTCTCCGGAATCAACGCCGTACGTAGACATGTGCCGCCTACCGGATCCGCCTTGTCACTAACTTCGTACTCGCGCCTCTAGGCCTATCGAGTCCAATCCGCCTTGCCCCATGTGAATTACACCATTCTCGAAGGTCGCCACGAGCTCGGTGGAACATGGTCACTTTTCAAGTATCCCGGCATCCGATCCGACTCAGATCTCCATACTTATGGCTTCTCGTTCAACCCGTGGGAGAAGTCCAATCCGATTGCGACAGGCGAAAGCATTACTGCATACATGAAAGCGACAACACGCAAATTTGGCATCGACAAGAGAATCTCCTTCAACCACAAGGTCGCAGCCGCAGAGTGGCGGTCTGACGAGCAGCGATGGAGATTGGAGGTGAACAATGAGGGCAGACGAAAGATCTATTGGGCAAAGTTTGTGATCATGGGAACGGGGTATTACGACTATGAGAAGCCACTCAAGGCAGATATACCTGGACTGGAGCGCTTTCAAGGAACCAGGGTTCACCCTCAGTTCTGGCCTGAAGATCTTGATTTCAAGGGCAAGAAAATGGTTGTGATTGGTAGTGGTGCGACCGCCGTCACCATACTTCCGGCTGTGGTGGAAAAGGGTGTCGGGTCAGTGACACAGCTTCAGAGAAGCCCAGGCAAGTGTGCTAACCTTGTACTTGACACAACGCTGACATTACTTTGAAGGATACATCGTCAATATGCCACAACCGAAGCCTGAGGACCCTCTTCCATACTACCAACGAATACTTCCGCGATGGATGGTGCTTAGGTGGCTCCGATTCCAATTCGTTCTTGTACCTTACCTTCTCTACCTCTTATGTCAGACATTCCCCAAGCTCATGCGCTGGTTCTTCCGCAGCGAGGCGAGGAAGGCTCTGCCAAAAGACTTTCCAATGGATCCAAATCTGCAGCCAAAATATAATCCCTGGGACCAGCGAGTATGCTTCGTACCCGACAATGACTTCTTCAAGGCCTTCCACACGGGTAGAGCTCGCATAGTCACGGACACGATCAGGACGGTCACGGAAGATGGAATTGAGCTGAACAGCGGCGAGAAACTTGAGGCAGATATCATCGTCACAGCAACAGGCCTTAATCTGCAGGTGTGCGGTGGAATCCCGATCTCCGTTGACGGCAAGCCCGTTCATATTCCGGACTGCTACGTCTGGCGAGCAACAATGCTCAGTGGCGTGCCGAACTTCGCGGTCATCATCGGCTACGTCAATGCGTCGTGGACACTTGGCGCAGACGCCTCGTCTCGCCTTATTGTGCGCCTTTTCAAACATCTAGAGGACAACAAGTATACAAATGCCACTCCCCATATCACTGAAGAGGAGAAGAAGGATCCGGTGCAGATGTTGACTTTGAAGTCGACGTATGTCAGACTGGCGAATGGGAACTTACCGCATGCCGGGAGAACAGGGCCGTGGAAACCGCGCGACAATTACTTCCTTGATAGTTGGACTGCCAGTAGGGCGAGACTGGAAGATGGGTTGGCATTCGGGAGGGTGGCAACGTAAGTGGGGCTGGGATTGGTGTTACCATGTTCAATCCGTTCATCGTAGGGCCTTGCGGAGTATAGTTAGAGTTTTGCTAGTCGTAATTGGTTCGGAGTAAACGTCGTCGCGTCTATCGCTAGAAGAAAGTGTATCAGATGTACTCCGACAACAAGGCGCGATTGTATAGTGGGGCAGATGAGTCCTTACGGAGATAAGAAGCGCGCTTGCTTTATAGCCGATCTACGACTCATCGCAGGCACCTACCAGCCTTCCTCCATCTCCAATGTTCGTTGCGTCGAACCCTTTCTTTTCTTATGCCTCGCCTGTTTGAACAGCAAAATGAAGGAAGCTGCATCTTCAAGCCCAAAGATCGGCAGCGCAGCCGGAGTCACACTCCCAGATAACCCAGCCGTGCTGAATGCTGAAGAGTATGCGTCTACGCCTTCGGCAAAAGGCCGCGCCGGATTCCCAAAGGCAGGCGGGCAATCGCTTTCGTACTGGCTCCAACAAGTTCGATCAGATCCTTTGTTAGATTATCGCACTACCGAGCAGCTGCCTGAGCAAGTGGATACCGTTATTATCGGGTCCGGAATATCTGGAACACTAATCGCGAAGCATCACCTGGAGACATGGCCTGAAAGGTCGGTCATCGTACTGGAAGCTCGAGAATTTTGTTCCGGAGCGACAGGAAGGAACGCTGGCCACTGCAAGCCTGATCAATGGCGCCATTTCGCTAAGTTTGAGAAGGCCTATGGGCACGAACAGGCCGTCCAGATCATGAACAATGAAGCTGCGACTTGGAGAGCTCTAGTCTCATATGTCAAGGAGAACAATGTCGACTGCGATCTTTGGGTTGGTGATACCCACGACGTACCGTTGGATGACGATGTTGCGAAGATCGCAAAGGAGTGCTTCGAGAGGTATAGAGACTTAGGAGGCAAGGTCGACCATATCAAGGTGACGCACAACCCCGTAGAAGCTGCAAAGATATCGAGGATTAAGAACGCAAGGGCTTGCTATTCCTGGAGCGCCTCGACGCTACAGCCGTGGAAGCTGACCGCGCACATTATGCGAGAGAATCTCAAGAGCGGTGTCAATCTCCAGACGTACACTGTGGCAAAGACAATAGCTGCAGGCTCCTCGGGCAACCGGAAATGGATCGTTCATACGGACCGAGGAGATGTCGCTTGCGATACCGTGGTGCACGCGTCAAATGCCTACATCGCAGCTCTTGAGCCCTCACTTAAAGGCGTGATCACACCGAAACCGCACATATGCAACAAGGTCGTACCACCGCGGGCTATGAGCGGCTCTAAGGCCATCCAAAACTCATATGGTGTTCTTCTCCCAGATGGTGGCCTCTTCAGCATCAATCCTCGATGTACCGCCGATGGGGTGGTGATGTTCGGGGGTTCGAATCCAGGACAGAAGCAACTTGACAAATGGGTGGAGGACCACCCGGAGCACTGCATCAACGACGGTCTGGCCAATATCGAGAGTATTACAGTATGTGTACGCGAGTTCGTCGAGAGCAACTTCGAGGGCTGGAAGGATGCAGAGATAGGGCCGGGCGAGGGCTTCGATTACAGTTGGAGTGGCATTATCGGGTTGAGCGCGGATGGAGTGCCGTTCGTGGGAGAGCTACCTGGCAAACCAGGACAGTTCATTTGTGCTGGTCATCATGGACAGTAAGTACCCCTTTCGTGTAGCCTTGATCGTGGCTGACAAGAACAAGTGGCATGGCACGCATCTTCACCGCTGCCCCTGGGGTCGTCAAGGTCATGAACGGCGAGCCTTGGGAAGCGACTGGGTTGCCCGACGTGTACAAGATGACACCAGAGAGACTGCAGCGCTTGCAATCGGCCACGGAGGTGGCCCCCAAAGTTGCGATAGTTTGAATGACTTCCAGGCCATGCCAAGCTGAGGGAGCACGGCATCGCGACGGCGGAGAGGCGGAGAATGTCTCCTATCCTAGATCCATTCGTCAGTGGCGAGGCTCATGAACGTCTTGGCAGAAGCCTGTAGCATGAGCTTGATGAAAGCTTGCGACGACTTTCAAGCGCCAAGCAGTGAAGGAGAAAACATTCTGCCAATCAAACTCATGGCGTTGTCAACGGCCCCAGAAACACCGCAAAAGTGGCATAGCTTGTGAGCTAAACTTAACGCCAACGCGTCTCGGTCCGAGCACTGACCTTGCCGTTGTTTCGACAGCCTCGTGGAACACGCCTCTCGTGATTCCACTTGCAAGATTGCCGTGACGCGTAACAATGGTGAAGGTTCTGATTCGACGTTCGCCAGAATAATGCTCCGGAGTGGGTGTGTTCGGACGATGCTCCACCGCGGCAGTGGCTTGCCTTGCCCGTGCCACGAGTCAAGCAGCACTGCCGGGTGCGTCGAACACCCCGTCGCCAGAGGGGCACCGGCCGCGTAATTCGAGATGACGAGTCTGCAGTACAGATCTTGAGGGTGGAGGCTGGCGTAGGAGGGGTGTAGTCAGCTATAAGACCGCGTTGGCGTTCACTCCGAAATTTCATCACCACGATCACTCCATCGTTCCATTCGCTTTCTCATCGCCTTTGCATTTGCCGTTCGCTTTTGACACTTCATCTTGCATATCTTCATTCGTTTTTGCAATGGTGAACTTCGCTTCCACCGTTAGCAGTGCGCTGGCTGCAACTTCTCTTCTTAGCCTTGCGGCTGCTCATCCTGGCGAGAAGCACGACCATGCTCACATCAAGCGCCAGATTGATGCTCGTCAGCTGCGTGCTGCTGCCGCCAAGCGCTCCCTGGGTGCATGCGAGAGCTCTCTGAAGCACCGTGACTTGATGGCGAGGTCGGTCCAGCGTCGTGCGAACGCTCTCCAGAGCCTTCGCGAGAAGCGCGGCATCTCAGTCAGTAAGTTTAACTCTTCCCACATATGTGGCGCTCCTAACGTTTCTTGAAGACTCCAAGAAGCTACGTCGTGACCTCTCCGATCTCCAGGCCTTCGAGACCGTGAACCACAACATGACGGGCGAGCTCGACTACTCCCTCAACACCGACCCGGCCACCATCTTCTCCGCCAACACCTCGTGCATCCTCGCCCCCGAGAACACTGCCGGGCCATACTATGTCCTCGGCGAGCTCGTCCGCACAAATGTCAAAGAAGACCAAGCTGGTGTCGACCTCTACCTCGACGTCCAGTACATCGACATCAACACCTGCGAGCCCGTTAGCGGCCTCTTCGTCGATGTCTGGAACTGCAACGCCACGGGCGTCTACTCGGGCGTTGAGTCTGGCCAGGGTGGTCTCAACAGCACCTTCCTCCGCGGCATCCAGGAGACCGACGACGACGGCGTTGTGACTTTCGAGACCATCTTCCCGGGCCACTACGAGGGCCGCGCGACTCACACCCATCTGCTGACCAAGTCGAACGTCACGCTGCGTGAGAACGGGACCACCGAGGGCGGCGCCGTCACACACATCGGGCAGCTGTTCTATCCCGAGGACCTCATCACCGAGGTCGAGACCTTCGAGCCGTACAACGCCAACACGGTCGATCGCACCACAAACGACGACGACATGTGGAGCGTCGTCCAGGCGGACGCTTCTTACGACCCGTTCCCAGAGTTCGTGTATCTTGGTGACACCGCGGCGGATGGTCTGCTCGCGTGGATCCAGATCGGCATCAATGCCAGTGCTGATCACTCCGATGACGAGTACTACGCTGTTGCTGCTACTTACTACGAGGACGGCGGTGTTGCGAACGGCGACAGCTCGTTCGGCGGTGGAAGCGGCGGCCCGCCTGGAAACGGTACTGGCAACGGAACTATGCCGTCTGGTGCTCCTCCTTCGGGATCTGGCGCTGCTGCCTCTGGAGCGGCTTCAACCGTTGTTGTTTCCGATGCTGAGGCGACTGTTGTGTCCACGGCTGCTGGCACGACCTTGACTACCGTCTCCAGCGCCGTCTCCTCATCGGCTACTTCGTCTGTCGGCGCTGCTAAACCTTCCGGAGAGCCTCAAAACCAGCAGGGTGGTAAGCAGCAGGGTCAGCAAGGTCAAGGTCAGCAGCAACAAGGGCAAAAACAGCAAGGCCAGAACCAGGCCCACAACCAACAGAAGGCTCAGCAGCAGAACAACCAGCACCAGTAGATGCACTCTCATTCGAAATCGATTTCTCTGCCCGTCCTAGCCTCGTCACAGAACAGAGAGGCTAGGAGCTATCGACCACCGCGCTGTTCTGTATTGCAGCCACTGCCTTCGTAGTCCTGCTCTCGCATCCACACCCTAACCTCGTCACAGAACAGGGAGGCTGGGTATATAGCATTGAAGCGCTGTTCTGTATTGCAGTCACCCTCCGCGGTGCTGCTCTCGCACTGCACTGCAGGAAGTTTCATTTTCACTCGTTTTTTTCGGTTGTGTTGTAGATAATTCAAGCTCTTCTTTGTACATACCCTGTTATGCAATGGCATCAACTGAAATTGCCTACCTGTAATAAATTGAGTAGCAGTGAGCCGGTGACGTGGTAGCAAAGTAGGAAATATACACAGCTGAACGAGATGTCTTCAACGAATCCGGGATCCCCACGAGCGGCATACGTACCGAATAATTTTTGATTTCTGTGCTTGTCCTTAACTCTATTTGATCCCCGAAAGTCGTTGCATTTATCCAGAATAGTGCTGCGCAGACTCCTCGCCTTCTAGCATATCCCCATACGTCTTCGTATCTTGCCACGTGCCCTCGCTATCATAACATCATATCTTTCGTGTACCTGATGCACGTGTGTATGAGGTCAAGCTGTCTCTGTAGCGCTAACAGAGGTAGTCATCCAGATCATCCATAATGGCCTTCCACACATCAGTCTTGGAGACCAGAGACGATAGACGCTAAGGATGGGAGGGGAATTGGCGGCGGGCCACGCTGCCTACTCACCTCAGCCGCCTCAGGAGGTGGCACTAGCGGAGCGCTCTCCTTTACAGCCTCCTCAGGTGACTGATCGCGAGCCTTTTCGATCCATGCGTCTACTCCTTGCATCGCTTTGATAGGGTCGCCTCGGCAGCTCTGAAGGAAGTTTTGGACTTGCGCTGGCGTGAAGGTATTTGGAGGGACCTTGGTGGTGAAGGTCCTCGCAAACTCCTCGATTTCATGTTCTGCGTACCGCTTGCCGGCAATCGCGGCACGACCGATGAGGCGCTTGAAGATATCGTGAATGGCTTTGGGCATCATCTTTCCAAAACACACTTTCAAGTCGATACGGCCGGGGCGGGTGAGAGCCTCGTCTAGAATATTTGGATTGTTCGAGGTCATGATCAACAACCGGCCTTCGGCCGAGGCGTTTCCGTCGATGGCATTGAGAAGACCGGACAGAGTAACCATATGCCGCTTTGCCGACGCAGGGGGATATCCAAGGCGATGCACTCCATCTGACGTGATTGGGAGTTCTGACGGAGCTGTCGCTGATGGCTGTTTCGGTTCGGTTGACGCAGGGCCTTGCTCGCGACCAATACCGCAGCTATCAATATCTTCGATAACCACTATGCATTTGCGAGGCAATGCAAGAAAGAGTCGATGTAGGTGTCCATCGCTGACGTCCCCCGTCGCAAGATTGATGAGATAGAGATCACAACCCAAATGACCAGCAAGAGCGGCGCTGAAGCTAGTCTTGCCCGTACCAGGCGGGCCGTAAAAGAGATAGCCACGACGATAGGGAATACCGCAATCTGCGAAAAACTTCCTCGATTCGTCGCTATAGTAGTATTCGGCATCGGAGACAAGCTCGGCCTTCAATGTAGCGTCCATGTCAATAGTATCGAGTTTGCGCCTTGCTTTGACGACTGTAGACCAGAGATGGCCGCTGTAAGGATCCACTTTGCCGCTAGAGAAATAGATATTTGTGGAACCATCCATATTGATAAGCTTGTACTCATGGCAGTGCTTGATGAAGTCCATGAGTGGGCGTAGGCTCCATCCGGGGGTAAGGAGAACGACTGAATTTTGCGGTGTCCCTTGATAGTCGATCATCGCACCTCCACGCTCTAAAACTTGATCAGCTCTGATATAAAATTGAAAAGTGGGGACTTACGACTCTTCGTACCGGTTACAGACCCAGTGCGAGCGAACAGAAACGGACGAAACCCGACCCTGTGTTCATTTAGCACCGTCTTCCAGACACAGATCCAAGACTCCCACTTGGGCGCAGAGTACTCTTTGACTTGCATATTACAGGTCCACGCGTAGCTTGTGTCGCCAACTTACCAGAAGATCTTCTTCCCTATTGGCGGGATACAGCTCACGTCGTCGGATTGCCGCTTAGGCTGTCTTCGTAGCTCTACACTCTGTCAGCAGCGAAAGCTCTTTCGATGGTGTCGACGTGCGCGCCATACCACCATACACGTCTGGGACCATATACAGGCTCATGTCCCCAGTCATGACTGTAGCGCTAGTACTCAGAAGGCCTTTGTTGACGACTTCTGCCGAAACCCATTGTATGATCTCTTGAGCGACAGGATCATACTCGGAGATCGAGATGCGGCTTGTCAGCGACCGAAGGAAAAGATCCTTCACAAAGCGCCATACCGGCGAAACAACCTTGTAGAGCGCGACCAGCCCAACGAGTTTCTCGATCGTCGCGCCGCTGCCAGGCTGGGCATGGGCCAGAAACCGTTGTATGACTTCGATGATCGGGTTTGCATCCGCGGTGGCTCGCTTCAAGTGAGTGGGGACCAGGCCTGGAGTGGTGAGAGGCTCTCGGTATAGCTCGACCTGCCGCCCATCAGACGCCTCAACAGCTTTGGGGGCCATGGAATGCGCGAGTGCGGCGGACGTCGTATCACCTGTCCTGGAGTGACTGGCTTTGGCCTGGCTGGTCGACGCGTCGCGCGCGATTAGAAGTCGACCGAGAGGCGCAGCAGGCAAGTGTCTTATCGAGCGCGGTGCGGGCGCGCTTCACTGCGCGGCTGCCTTCACCACGTGAGAGATGTGGAGGGAAAGAGCCCGTGTGGCGTACCTGCCATTGTCACGCATGTCAGCCTCTCTGCCCACGGGGCCCATCGGCCGTGCGGCCGGACGCATTGGCCCCAGAGAAGTCTCTAGAACGCTTGCATTCAACGAATGCATTGCATGCTGATCGTGTAACATTCACAAATGGTCTCTTCTCTATTTAGCGCCGTTCCAGCCGCTTTGGGGTTAGCTTTCATGTCGCTTGCGGTACGTCATGCTACAACCATGACAACTGTAATCGAAAATCCGACTTTTCTCTTAGCCATAAGACCTGAACTCCTCAACATCGAAATTCGATTCTAGGACAAGGTCATATACCTCTTCTACTACTCCACAAAACACCCTCAACATGGCCAACACTAGCACCCTGACAGCGGAGAAGCTCTTCTCAGTTAAAGACCATGTTTGCGTGGTTACAGGAGGAGGGTGAGTTGCAAACGTTCATTGCGAAGCACAACTGGCTGACAGCGCTCGCAGATCTGGCATCGGTTTGATGTCTGCTCAAGCATTAGCAGCGAATGGTAAGTTGCCCCCAATACGAGCGTTAGGATGAGGCTGACGAATGACAAAAGGCGCTAAGGTCTATATCACCGGTCGACGTGAGTTTGTCAAGCATCGCAATTCCGTGCAAGCTTCGTGGATCTGACAGACAGTCCAGGCGTGGAAGCTCTTGAGAAAGCTGCCAAGTCGCACGACCCGAATGGGGGAGGCCAAATCATCCCGTACGTATCGTCCCGGCTTGCACCGCATTGCAGCAGTTGATTGTGAGCAGTCTCGGCCCCTGCGATGTGACCAACAAAGATGATCTGGAGAACCTCTACCAGGAGCTCTCAAAACGTGAGAAGTACATCAATCTTCTGATCACTGCTGCGGGTATTTCTGGCGAGAAAGCCGAGCCTGATACCGAGAACGCCACAGATCTCAAGAGCAAGCTCTGGGACAACGAGTCGTTCGAAGGCTGGAACGATACATACAACACCGACGTGACCTCTGTGTATTTCTCCGTTGTTGCTTTGCTTCCGCTCCTCCAAGCCGGCACTGAGTCCCACGGCCACCTGTCCGCTTCAGTCATCGTCATCTCATCAATGTCGGGCATCATGAGACACGCGCAGGGCCACTTCAGCTACAATGCTGCGAAGGGAGCGACTGTTCATTTGACGAAGCTAATGTCAGCCGAGTTCCAAAAGGCGCGGATTAGAGTCAACAGCATCGCACCGGGCTACTTCCCCAGCGAAATGACAACGCAAGAGAGCGATGAGAACCAGAAGAGTGAATTGCCGGATTCGAAGATCCAGGAAAAGGGACATGTACCCATGGGCAGAGCTGGAGCGGATGAGGAGATGGCACAGGCTGTGTTGTTCTTGACAAAGAACGCTTATGTCAACGGAGAAATCATTGCGGTTGACGGTGGTGTCCTCAATGTCATTGCCGGAAGGTAGGACGATGTCACTGTAGCAGACTCAATTACAATATAAATCACATAGATAATGAACAGAGATCACGCCTCGTCGAGCTCAGAGACAGCATGGAAACGTGTTAGGCTAAGTCAATGATTAGGGAATTGTACCCTCACGTTTTCCATGTCCCTCGCGCTGATTGTCTTACCTATCTGTGTTCCTGGGGCGTTTTGGAAGGAAGGCAAATGCGCGTGACGAATAGTAAGTCCGACGCGCTGTAAGACGCACAGAGCCAATCTCGGCAGCCCCACCCCTCCTGCAACTCGTCTCTCACGCATCAACAACCTCGCGAAGATGCGCCGCAACTCAGCTTAAGTGCTTTTCTACTTCTCACCATCACTTCTACGCTTCTGTATCGCGAGCTGTTTCGATGTCGCGGCCATTTATCAACAGTCCTCTGCATATCCGGCCGCTTACCCGCTGCGCCCTCATGCAGCAACCCTTGCCGCCCCAGAGTTGCGCCACAACGATACTCGCAGGATGATCGTCCATTGCCCGAATCCTCAAATGCCCACATGTCCGCCAGATGATTCATCGATGGTTCTGTGATCGAGCCTCCATGACACACCGTTCGGCTAAGACATCTTGCTGAACGAAGGCCAGTCCTCGTTCGAGAATGTTCGACGCATCCTCTGATGGGCATCGGAGCTCGTTCGTGCATCACCATATGAAAATTCTCCAGTCAAATCAGCAAGGAGACAACTATAATGCGCGAGAGCCGCACGAGTGATATGTGCAGCGACTGAGCCTCTTCGTGCAGTCCACCCAAACCCTTGTCCCGAAGATGCATCGGACAATGAGTTGGACATGGGTGGGTGGCGTTGCGGACCGCACCGATGCACGCGTTACTGGTATCAAATCAGCCCTGCGGCTCGGCCATTCGTTCTACCTAGTCAGCGAATAGGTGGTCTGATGTAACATAAGGGCCGAAACTACACGACCGCAACCCCACGTGCACCTTGGGCGTATCTCGAGTTCTCGGTGTTTCTGAACCCGCGTTTCAGTCGCCCTTTTTGGGCACGAGAAATTGATTCCGGTCTTCGTTCCTGACCTACGAGAGTCGACGAAGAGCTTGATGGTCAATCTAGAACATTTGGCAAGTCTCGGGTACCGAATCTTGCCACTTCGGGGCACAGCCTCTGCGTCGCCTGCGCGGGTCTTGACCAATGGATCCTAAGAGAAGCCTCTCAGCCGATTCCGTGGGCCTTGTCTCAGAACGTGTACGCTGGAGGCGAATCCAATCACTCTTTACCGATCAATCCCCGCTTCGATTAGCCCTACGAGATCAACGTTCGCAGTCCAGGAGTGAATCGCTGAGCTACTAAGTCCCTAATCAAGATCTTGCAAAATACGCAGACATGCTGATCAAATTTTCAAACGAATGAAAGAGCCTATGCAGTATCGATTCTTGCGGTTGTAGACACACGCGCCGCCTGGGCCTCAGTGCCACTTGAGCCCACCTCATCCTACGCCGCGACCCTGCTGATCTTCTTTATACGAGCGGAAGGATCCGGGACACAGGCACTCAAGAGGCGTCCTATATGACCTGCAAACCTCTTCAAGTCTGAGCTTTGCTTTTGAGTGGAGTATATCCTTATACATTTGCCGGGATGTCTTCATAGGCATCCCAAACTTGTCTTGCAACGAGCGACGATCCGCAGCGGCGTGATGAACACCACGTCTCCATGGGACTTTGACACCACTGCGGGGCAGGCTAGCCAGCCATTGTTGAACGTCTGCATCATTTTTGCGATTCTGGAAACGCTGTTTGTTATCGCATTCATCTTCTCATGGCACTACAACAAAAGCAACAACAGTAATAATACCAAGAGAGTGTACGTTCTGATCCTACTCGGCTACCTTTTCTGCTTTGGCGGCGTCATCATGGGTATATGTAAGTGCCCCATAAAGATAAAGCACCAAGACACAGGTCTGAGCACAACGAATACATGTATCGTCTACCGTGGGACAACACACTGTACCTGGACTCTTGACCTGGCGCTGTATTATTGAGATTCTTCTAACATTACGCAGTAAAGCTTACTATTGGCGGAGCCGGCAGGCATGTCTACACTGTGCGGCCTCGAACGATCCAACGGATGCTCAAACTCATCAAAGCACACGAGTTCATCTACGTGCTATCGGTTCCGTTTCCGAAGCTTGCAATTCTTTGTCTATACTTCCGACTGTTCAACGAGAAAGCTGCTAGATACGCGTTGTACGCCACCGGGCTGGCTATCATAGGGACGTCAGTCTTTGGGGTCATATCGCTCTTCGCCAATTGCCGTCCTTTTGCTTCGTTCTGGGCCGCAACACATGCAGCTCAATGTGCCATGGACCCTGCCACTGCCATGCGTTTCTACAGTATTCCAAACATCGCCACTGACGCAGCTCTGATGTTGATACCGCTACCAGCACTTTTCAAGCTCCATGGCGGGAGGTGGGAAAGGCTCGGCGTCGGTCTGACGTTCATCGTCAGTACCTTGTAAGGCTATATGCTCCCCTCAAGACACAAGTTGACCTTTTTATAGGGGCATTGTCACCGCGGTACTACGCTTCGTGGTCTTCCTTCGCACCGATCTATTTCAAGATGTCACGTACCACTCAGTCATCACAACCAATTGGTCGATAATCGAGCCTGGTGTCCATCTCATGGGGGCTACCGTGCCGACACTGAGACCAATGATCCGGCGTTTCTTCAGCCAAATGCCGAGAACGATATCTACGCCAAAGTCGGCGACGCAGCCCTTTTCTAGGAGCAGTCCTTCGAGGCCAAAGACTACCATGATCGAGCGACCAGCGCTGATCAAGAAGTCTTCGGCGAGAGACATGGTGCCAACGATTGGGCGAGCGCCAAGCAGGAACATGCGCATGGACGACTACCACTTTATGCAGTGGGGGTCCGGTGTATACAGCGTCCGATCAGACGACGAAGCAAGCATGGTGTGTGCAGATGCAGTGGTGCATGAGACGATGGGAAAGCAAGGAAGGAATCCCGACGGCACACTGCAGATGTGGTCGCTCCAGCCTGTGCAGTACAGCCCGCTACGGACGTCGTTCTTCTTCGAGGGAGATTCGGCACGATGAGAGGATGCTAGAGCTTGCCGAAGTAATGATATTCCTTGACGAGTGTGATTGGCCGCGTGGGCTCTTCCTGGGTGTGTACCTGCGCCATGCCTTGCCGTGCTGGTGGATGCATTCCGATCTCCACATCCCCCGCATTACATGCCTCGTACCTGTCGCAACCGCGTCTTTGCTAGTGACCTATAGGGATTTCTCCGAGGCGGCCTGGACAAGCACCAGGAGCCAGGAAGCGGACAGGAGTGGATGCACATGCATGCAGCCTCCCCGCGTTGGACCCACACGTGATGGCGTGCCTCCCGCCCGCCCGCGAACGTGCTCACTTGGGCAGGCGGCAGCAAATGTCGCCTCGGACGCGTAGGGACGGACGCAGAGCGGCTGCGAGTGCGCATGCGTGCCATGGCCAGGATGGCAACGCATGGATGCGTCAATTGGGCGGCGCCCGTGATGTGGTGGCGCGTCAGTGGTAGAGCTCGCACCCTGCCAAGCGAGTGTTGTCGAGCCCGCGAACATGCGTGAAGCCTCGAGTCTGGTGCCGACACTTGTAGCCGGACGACTTGCTCCACGGGTGCGCCTGCGGTCTCTCGTCGTCACGGAGCAACGCAGCGACAGCCCGCACGGTCAGGCGCAGGCTCCGCCGACGTGACGTGCGCTGGCCCCTCGCAACGCCGCAGAGTAGCGGTGGGGAGTCAACTGGCGGGTCTGGCAGCCAGGATCCCCACGACGCAACGCCTGCAACGGCCGCCGAGCACACGAGGAGCTCCCCGCAAACGCCCCGGGACGTGCGAGCAGCCGCAAACACCAACCGCCCGCGCCGCTGCGCACCACCAGAGGGCCGCCGACGCTCGATGCCGCAGACCCAGGCCCGCTGCCCACGACCCGAGACCCGCCGCCCGACGCGCGCGTGCGAGTAGAACCAGAAGCGCCCAGAGCACGGCGACGCAGCCGGAGCGCCTGGGGACCGACGGACGCGACCATGGTCTCCCACCCCGGCAGCAGGGCGGCACACGCACACTCGGGCTCGCGCTCGTCGCAGCACAGCGCGCACGGCTCGGCCGGCCACCACAAGAAGGCCTCGTCGTCGTCCCACGGCCGCGCCCCGAGCCGAGACGGCAAGGCCAGCAGGGAGGGCACCGCGCAGCGCGCCGCCCAGGATGTCGCGGGGCTCAAGGACTACCAGCTGGGCGAGCTGCTGGGCAAGGGCGCCCACGGCAGCGTCTTCCGCGCCCTCAACTGGGGCACCGGCGAGACGGTCGCCATCAAGCAGGTCAAGCTCGAGACGCTGGGCCAGGCCGACCTCAAGACCATCATGCTCGAGATCGACCTGCTCAAGAGCCTGACCCACCCCAACATCGTCAAGTACAAGGGGTCCGTCAAGAGCGCCGAGAGCCTGTACATCATCCTCGAGTTCTGCGAGAACGGCTCGCTGCACAGCGTCTGCAAGAAGTTCGGCAAGTTCCCGGAGCCGCTCGTCGGCCTCTTCATGTCCCAGGTCCTGCAGGGCCTGCAGTATCTGCACGAGCAGGGTGTCATCCACCGCGACATCAAGGGCGCCAACATCCTGACTACCAAGGAGGGCCTCGTCAAACTGGCAGACTTTGGCGTGGCAACCAAGCAGTCCGGCCTTGACGACCCGAGCGTCGTGGGCACCCCCTACTGGATGGCGCCCGAGGTCATCGAGATGTCTGGAGCAACCACGGCCGCTGATATCTGGAGCGTGGGCTGCACCATCATCGAACTCATCGACGGGAAGCCACCCTACCATCACTTGCAGCCTATGCAGGCCCTGTTCCGCATCGTCAACGACGACCATCCCCCGATTCCGGGCAGCGTGTCCAATGCCTTGCGCGACTTTCTCATGGAGTGCTTCCAGAAGAATGCCAACCTGCGCATCGATGCCAGACGCCTACTTCAGCACAAGTGGATCTTGAGCACAAAGCGCACTGCACCTGACGTCGCTTCCAAAAGCCCCGAGTTCAACCAGGCCGTGAACCAGATCCAGCAGTACAACGAGAGGCTCGATTCGGAACCTGCCCTGCGTCGGACGTCGGCTGCCGCCCCACTGCCGCGCAGAGTCCCCGTGAATGTCAATCTGAACATCCCAAGGCAGAGACCTATCGCAGAGTCCTTTCGTTCACCAGAAATCGACAAGGACGACAACTGGGACGATGATTTCGCCGAGAGCATCTCGCCCCGTGCCTTCTACCAGCCGCTCTTGAAGCCCCAGGATAACTTCGGTGGTCTCTTTTCAAGCGACAAGCTCAAAGCGATTGCCAGTGTAATGGAAGAGCCATTACACATGGACGGCGATGCCACGGTGAAGAGCCCGCTTAATCTGCACCATCTGAGAGGCCTGCCGAGCGTATTCGCCCAGGGCGACGTTGGGCGGACCCCGTCAGCAAGAGCCAGATCATCGACTTCACGGTCGACATCCACGTCGACTATCACGGAAGAACCGCCTGAGCGTCACGAAGGCCAGCCTAAAACAGCGTTTCTCCGCGGTGTACCCAAGTTGATGCAACCACCGCGAACGCAGGCGTCCGTCTTCGCACGCCCTTCGCAAATGTTCCGGGAGAATTCAGTCGAAGACTACTCCGATTTAACAGTCGCCGACGAGAGTGCGTTCGAGCTGAAGCTAAAGGCCATGCAGATTGCCAATCCGCCTTCTGTGTTTCCCAGGGATTCCTTGAGAGTGCCTTCGCCGGCAGATACGTTTTCACCTAAGCTATTCCATCCTAATGACCTGAAAACAGCACCCAAATCCACAAGGGATGCCAGAGCCAACGGCGCACGACAACGTTCCGTCTCATCGACCTCATCGCGGAAGATGCAGCGGTCACAGTCTGAGATTGAGATGCTGAGATATGCGGAAGACGATCGCGACGACTTCTCCGACGTTTTTGGCGACATCAAGCCAAGCAGGGCGGAGAGCGATAGTGGCTCAGAGCACAGCAGCATGGCCATGATCACCTCCAAGATGTCCTCATCATTTGTACGTTCCCTCACGCATGTTCAACCACGTGTTATCGTTAATGGAAATAGATGCTTGCCGATGACGACGACCTGGATCCGTTCGCCAACATGGACGAGGGCCTAGAGAACATCAACATGGAGAACAATGTTGCACGCGACCGTGACGATCGACTGACGAAGCAAACAGAGATGCTTGTGGGCGACCTAAAAATTAACCAGCCTGACGTCGATTTGCTCAAGATTGCCAATCAGCTCCTGGAAGTGCTGTACGAATCGCCCGAGAAACGCCAGATTGTCCTTCGATCCCACGGCATGCTACCGATACTAGAAATCCTTAGGGAAATACCGCCTAACGAACTGGTGTTGCCATTGCTGAAGATCATCAACTTAATCATTCACGAGGATGCCGAATCGCAAGAATCGCTGTCCATGCTTGGTGGGATCCCTACTATTTGTACATTTGCATCGAAGAGATACCCTAGCGAAATTCGGAAAGAGGCTGCAGCTTTTGTGCGACAGATGTACCAGACCAGTACGCTTACACTGCAGATTTTCGTTGGCTGCGGTGGTATCAACGTATTGGTAGACTTCTTGGAGGAGGATATAGACGAAGAAAGAGACTTGGTACTCATCGGTGTCAACGGCGTATGGAATGTATTTGAGCTGCAGGGCTCCGCGCCGAAGAACGACTTCTGCCGGCTGTTGTCGCGGAACTCTGTTCTCTACCCACTCTCGCTGGTGTTGAACAGGGTTATCAACGAGCGGGATGAGGTTGCGCAGCTAATTCAAGGTCGCATCGTCAGCATCTTCCTGATTTTCTCGCAAGCGGAAAGCTTCGTGAAGGAGTTGGTGGCGGATCGAATGATCCTAAAGCGTAAGTAGCCTGTTCGCTCCCTCTTTCCTCTTCAAAATCGAAACGTTTGCCAAGCACGGATCACTGACAAGCCGCAGGAGTGTTGAAAGATCTACCTAAAATGCTTCCCGTACACCAAGTGACTATGCTCAAATTCATCAAGAACCTCAGCATGTTGTCTTCAACCCACGAGGCACTGCAAAACTCGAACGCGATCGACACACTCATCGAGCTGTTTAGGAACACGCAACATCAATTGAACCATCGCGAGATCTCAAATCAAGTTTTGAATACCATGTACAACCTCTGCCGCCATAACAAGAGCAGACAGGAAGAAGCGGCGTTATCGGACATTATTCCTTTGCTCAAGGAAGTTGTGAACGGCGGTGGTCCGCTGAAAGAGTTTGCTTTGCCTATACTATGTGAGCTGGCACATAGCGGGAAGGTCGCACGCAAGATGCTCTGGGACGCGAAGGGGTTGCAGTTCTACATCAGCATGCTCTCTGATCGCAATTGGCAGGTCACAGCGCTGGATGCGATCTTTGTTTGGTACGTTCACCGTACGACCCGATCATAGCATGAACTGACAAACCATTAGGCTCCAGGAGGAAACCGCTCGTGTAGAGCAGTATCTACTTTCGTCCAACTTCAGCACAGCCATCATAAGCTCTTACACCTCACCCGAGCTCTCGCAATCCAACTTCGAGAACATGCTCGAGCCCCTTCAGAAGCTCGTCCGCCTGTCACCACCGATTGCAGCATCGCTAGCCGTGCCGGACATCTTCACTCGCACAGTGCAGAAGCTCGGCCACAAAGATGCTGTCACCCGTCTGAACCTCCTCCGTATCCTCCGGGACATTTGCGATTCCACCGAAGACGAATGCACACTCATTCGTCAGTTCGGCGTCTACGACACCATCGTTCATCTCTCCGAACACGACCACGCCGTCCTAGTCCGGCAGATGGCCGGTGAGCTCGTCCGAGCCTGCGACTCTGTCTCCAAGCGCAGCACCTCCCGCGCATCCGGCTTCCGCCGCCCAGCTTCTAGCTCAGGCACCCGCGCAGGATCAGGCTCAAGCACCGGATCCACGCTCGGGTCAGGCATGACACCTCCCACCCCAAACAGCCTCAAATCTGCATTCGCAGTTCCACCCGTGCCGCCCATGCCGCCCACACCCACTCTCCTTGGTAGCGGCCGCGAGCGCATCACAAGAAGCCATTCCACGGCCGGCATCTGGGATCTGCAAGAAGAACCCTCCCCGAAGCCGCCATCCCTCGTCCGCGCCTCGACCACCGTCAACGTCCTTTCCCCAGCTATGGCGTCCTCTCCTATCACGCTAAGCGCGCGCACCCCGCACTCCAGCCGCCCGCCCTCCCGCGACACCACGTCCCTCGCCCGCGTCGCCTCTCACGAGAAAGACAGCCCCATCACGCCGGGGAAATCGCGCCTGCCCAAGGCGCGTCAGGGCCGCCTCTCGGAGGCGGTGAGTCGTCGGCGGCAGAGCCAGGCTAGCCAGGGCGGCGGGACGGGCGAGGAAAACGTTACCCCCAGCCACGGTTCAGGTAGTGGGAATGGAAGTGGGAGTGGCAGTGCGGCTGCGACGCCGCTGCCACGCCTGCAGATTGTGAGACGCAGGAGGGAGACGAGTGGGGGGGAGATGAGCACGTTTGGACCTGATGGCGTGGGGCCGGTTAGGCCGGGGAGTAGTCGACGCGCACCAGGGGCGGGGGCGGGACAGGAGTAGGACTCCGGATCCGTAGGTTTGAGGAATGTGGATATGAGGAGGCGGAGGGGCGCGGGGAGGGAGTGGGCGGGGAAGTACGATGTTAGGTGGTGGGGGACGCGGCGGAGGAGGGGGTGGACTGACCTCGAATCCCTGAGGGAGTGAGTGGCCTTCTAGCGCACTGACTTTGGTTTTCTTATCTTTGTCTTGTTTTGTTTGGGTGGAGTCATTGGGAGGTGGTCTGGTCTGCGCGAAACGGCATGGCATGGCATCTTTAGGGGTATTGCATAGCCCGGCGTTTCTCGGCGGCTAAGTTACTACTTTTCTTTTGTTATGTTGAAGGCTTGGGACGGGCGAGGCTCGCACAGGGGGTTAAATTCAGACGGTTCAATAGAATACTATTGGCGTGATAGGATTGCTGTTTTCTGTAAGTGTGTGTGTGAGTCGTGGGAGGCATGACGATGCGTTCTGGTACTGCACATCATGGTCGCCAGTGTGCGACAGACCTGGAAGGGGGATATGGCAACCACGGCCCTGACGAACGCCAAGTTGCACAGGGAGGTGGTGGAATTGGTCAACATTCTGCGCAACTGTACACTGCGACTCTTTCCATCCGACCGAGGGTCAAATCCAGATGCCATGTAATTCTGAGTCTGCTTCGCAGTTTGCATGGCTGGATGGTAGCCGAATCGCCGGCGTGCCAGCTGCGTTCCTACAACACACTTATGTCCTGACTTTGCCGAGTGTCTAGACATGGCTGATGCGCAGAAGACATTGCGGCTTACTCGTCGAACCGCAACGGTTCGACTGTGTGGTACGATGACGTTCCGAGGCATCGGGATGCTTGGCTGCAAATGGCTGGCTCACGGCGCGATGGTAGCTCTTATCTCCAGTTTCCAGTCAGCAATCGAACTGGGTGTGCCCAGTGTGATATCGTCTGGACGCTGGCACAGTGTCTCCTGGTTTATGCTGTGTTGGCCAGGTTGACAGGGTCTCGAAAAGCACTACCAAAGTCTTTTCGGCGTTTGCTCTCCGCTCCTTAGGTGTTTTACCGGCTTGCCATCTCACTTCCCTCCATCATTGCTATCGCACATAGGCTGATCTCCTAGCGTAGACACTGTTTCGAGGCATCGGGGAAACCTGCATGTACCTTTGATACGTTGGGAAATTTGTGGGCCTTCGATTTGGTGTTGGATAGGTGCAATAGCCGGTGATCTATCAGGCCCGACGGCCTTGCTACATAGGCTGAAAACCATAGCCAAGAGTCAGGCTTCCCAGTTGTGGCTCCAAGAAACGGTCGGCTGGGTTCTGTATTCGAGAATAGAAGGTAATGTTTTACGTACTGATATGCTGCAACTGGTCGTAGATACATTAGCAGTGGGTCGCCGGCCCCCATTTCAAACGCTGTGTCTGCTGGCCTGGGATTTTTACTGCCTACTAAGGAAAGAGGAAGTGGCTGTATCGCAAGCACGTGCACGTCGTAGCTGAGCGAGCCAACCAGCATCGACTAACGAAAGATGCGCGTTGAGGCTGACTACTATGCTCAATGTACTTCAGTCGGACCGTTTACAAATTCCCTGGCTATTGGACGGAAAGATAACCATTGTGTAAGCTGATGCCATTGCACGTGCCTCAGCCCCCAATATAGCATCCCAAGGCTGGACTACGTTGTCGCTAGCCGCGCCGAGCTTTTAGGCGTGCAGAATATTCTCCGGCTTCTCCAGGTTCGCCCCCAACGCGGTAAGGCGCGCAGGGGACGCGCTGCGAGGGCGTTACCCCATCAAGATATACATTTGCAGGTTCGGGCTTGGGACATCGTATTCATCTACCATGATCCACTTTGCTTGTTTATTGTAGAAACATCCGTAGAGCTGGTGTGGTGATCAGGAGAGAGCATGTCGGACAACAGCACCATGGCACCTCGGACAGTCTGGCTGGGCAGAGGCTCTGTTGCGTAGCAAGATCCTTCGATGGAGCGAGGGGGGGCTCAAGGAGACATAAGTAGCAGCGTGGATGCTGCGGTGGAAGTAGCATCATCAGCTTCCATCGCTTCTCTCCGCATCTCAGCAATTACTTGTGCTCTTCCACCTACCACATCGTCCATTCGCAAATCCCAACTTCTGCACCAAGCCAACCAAAGCACCAAAATGAAGTTCACCCCCATCCTCCTCTTTGCCGCCTCCCTGGCCTCCGTCTCTTCAACCGCCATCCCCGACCCCCAAACCCTCGAGTGCGGGGAGCTCGGCCGCATGAGTAAGTTGTGGGTTACGCATCGCAGCGCGTATGGCTAACTGGTCTCAGACATCAAGCCCGGCGACCTCCCACCCAACGTGCACATCAGCGACGTGCGCACCTGCCGCGACCACCCCGAGACGACGTCCGTCAACAAGCGCAAGCACGACGGCACGCCCGCCATCTTCAAGCGCGAGTGCAACTCCTCGGGCAAGAGCAAGGGCTGCTCCAAGAACGGGTACTGCTGGAAGGAGTGTGGCGGGGGGCACCAGTGGTGCTGGGTTGCGCTGGCGGAGGGTTGGGGACCTTGGAAGACGTGCTCGAATGACGGGCAGTGCAAGAGCAGTGATTCGTGTGCGAAGGGGGATTGCAAGGACTGCGGGTGCTCGTGCTGAGTACGGAGAATGGAGTAGTGTAGTAGTGAGACGGTGAAGATGGTATATCCTTGATTTGTCGGTGAAACTTGCATGTATATAGATTTTCTCATGCGTTGAGAAACAGCTACTGTCGTTACTGAAATTCATGCCTTCTCAACACAGGAAATTTCCCACTTTTTGAATTTGACCTGGTGGTAGCATTCACATACGATAAGTGCATAGTGTTCCACACAAGAGATCCGACTCTTGTCGACCGTTCATGACATCTACCTACAATATGTCAGCCCGAAAACACCATGAGCCGCCAGTCTCACCGTCGGGACCGTCTTCATCGTAACTTTCTAGGATCCCCTTGCCGTATGTCGAGCTAGCTCACTCCTAACCTTCCTCTCTACTTCCTGTTGAGTTTGCTCAGATCAAAAGTCACCAGTGGTGCATCATCGCACGTCGTCCTTTTCGTCAGTAGTGCAAAGCATACAATGGCGTCTTGTTTCATGGCAGGGGCAAGTCTTCGAAACGATTTTGCTGGTTTGAGACGAAGCAGTCTATGTTGATTCCGCTCAGACCTACGTCTCGCGGATCAAAGCTGACGAGGTTGTACTTCAAGGGGAAAGTCTTGTCATTGTGTGTGTTTTGGCGAAGCCGAGGAGGAAGTTAACGCCAGATCCATCAGGTCCACAGGGATTAATCAGCATACTCACCCGAATCAGGATCGTGGCGTACATGCCTGATAAATTCTATGTGAGTGGTTCCCGCAGCTGGTTCGGCGTAGCCCAGTGGTACCTCAAGCTCCGCACAGCTTGACGAGGTAAGTGATGCCAATGCGAAATAGGTTGATAGATACACTTACAGAAGCCATGAAGCGTACGGCTACGATAGCAAGGCCGCCATTCCCACATTGGCGTAATAGGTATCTACTGTCGTATTAGCATGCAAAGAGCATTCAATAAGTTTCCGGGGGACAATATCTGAATGTGACATGACTTCGATCGCGTTATCAGTGCGCTTTTCACGTCGAGAGCTGTGGCGAGCGCTGTCGCGATGTCTCACTGCGCTAATGTGAGAATGTCGATAGCAACAGCTTGTAAGCTACGCGTTTCAGAGGTTTATTTAGCTTTGTTCTGAATTAATACATGAAGCAGTCAGGCCTTCTTTCGCAGCGCTGCTCGTGATCTTTGGCGAATCTGCATTGTTGGTATCGAGAGAAGCGTCGACGGCGACATGTTGTCTGCGTCCAGATGTCCATTCCAAGTGTGCCTTCAGTGTCGCACTAACACAAGTGTACATAGTCGTTCTTGCCAGTGTGATATGACCGCCAATCACCTTGGCTCTGGTGTGTTGTTCGCTTGAGCTAGACAGTAACCCAGTCATCACTGCGAAAAGTAAAGTAATTTTGACGAAGTCGACGAGCGCCAATCGAAACAGCGATGTCAATGTTAATTAACAAAAACTCGTCGAAATCCGGCAAAGCAGAAGGTGATTGTTGAAGCATGTGGGCTCATCCGAGCTAGGGGTGCTTAGGTCACGTTGGGCAGGGCTGGTGCGATGACAGCCGTCAAGCGTCCCATATGGATTGCGAAAGGACCGCGAAAAGATATGGGAGAAGAACGTCGAGCGTACTTGATTGCTGTAGGACTTGGGCCTATTTAAGAGGGAAAATATATACAAGAATTGGAGGTGAGGCACAGTTGACTTCGAAAGGGAACTTTCGGAAGTGCTTGCGATGCTTGTCTTCGATATACCATCCGCTATGAAGCTCGTCTAGTACGAGCCATAGACAGGAACGGCCGGAGCCGCGGATGAAGCGACTGGGTTGGCACCAGTAGCCTCGGGTGCAGGCTTGGTTCGTGTCAGGAAACCGCTAGGGGCATGGAAACTGGGTCGACCACCAAAACCGCCCGTAGGACGAGGCCGACCACTGAAGCCGCCGCTAGGGTACGGGAACCACCCGCTAGGAAATGTTCCAGTGGGGTGTGGTCGGTGGTGGTGACGACCTGTATGAGACACGGTAGGGTACGGAGGGCTGCCAGAAGATGGGGCTTCAGAGGCAGGCGCGGTGGGTTCAGCCGGCTGGGCAGCAGAGGACGGCGTCACGGTCTGGAGACGTTAATTTTTCTCATTGCACATGGAAGCATGATTGACTCACAACAGTGACAACTTCCTCCTGAGTAACTGTCGTAGCGGATACGGGCGCGCAAACGTCGAAGCTCGAGCTTATGGTCGGTGCTGGGGCAGCAGAGTCGATGACTGAAGCCGGAAGTGAGACCGTAGCGACGGAAGATGTAGGCTGGCCCGAAGCTGTGCTCGACTGGATGAGAATTGAGCTCTGGAAAGCGGCATTGTCCGTGGTAGTGGGCACGGGAGCAATGCCAGTCGCGCTGACAGAGGCAGTAGAAACACGAGCGCTTTCGAAAATGAGGGATGGCAGCGCACTCTCGGTATCGTCTGCGGCAGCGGTAGAGGATGCGACTGGGGCAGCAGCAGAAGTCTCGGTGATAGGGGCAGCGGTCGAGATAGCCACCTCATCTACATCCGTGGCCGCGTCCGAAGCAGAAGCTTTGGCCGAAGACTGAGCAGCCGACGTGGCGGGACCCTTGCTGGAGGCAGCAACAGCGGTTGATGTAGCAGCAGCAGCCGACGAGGCGATAGTGGAAGTGGAGCTGCCAGAGTCAGAGCTAGACCCGCCGTTGCTCATGCAGGCAAAGCTGATCTTGGAGACGCTAGCCGCCCGGCTGCCAGCATTAAGGCTCCAGTCCATGTCGACATAAGGCCAGCAGATGCTACCATCGCTCATCGTAACCATGTCACCCGCAACATAGACGTTGGTGCTCTTGACGGCCTCGCCAACCTTCTCGCCATTGTTGACGAGCTGGAAATAGGAACCAGTGAAAGTGCCCTCGCAGCCGAAGGCAACAAGCGGGCAGTTGGGCTCAGCAATCTCCTCCCAAGTAACGAGAGCATTGCTCTTGTCAAATACAGCGACGTGAGCGTTTGAGTGATCAGCAGTGCCAGTGGTGATCCAGTTCACCTGGTCATCGCCTGAGCCACCGAGCTCCTGGGTAGCTTGCTCGCCGATGAGGGTTTTCTTGTCTGAGAAGCGGGCGATAGCGACGTTGCGGTTGGCGGTACGGTTTATTGAGTGGGTGTAGGGGGCGCCGAGCCAGTCGTTTGTGGTCAGGTCTTTCGCACCTTTGGAGACCCAAGTGAAGATGTACTCGTCGCTATCAACGAAGCGTGCAAGGCTGCTGTACGAACCACTCATGCCACCCATAGCCTCGTTGGACGCACCGTTTGTAACGTTCTCGTTACTGATCCTGACTCCAGCCATGTATTGAGTCTCAGTGTTCAACCAGATGTTGCCCTGGTCTTCGGCACAGATACTTGCGAACGGAGCCTCGTCGGCGGCCTCGAACGCGATTCCAGTGTTGTGGGAGCACCCAAAGCCGTTGCTGGTAGCACCGGCAATATTCTTGAGAGTACCATCATCGGAAACATACTGGATAGTGTCACCAAAATGGCCACTAGCAGATCCGTCATAAGCCGTGACGACAAAGTAGGCACCGTATGTCTTCGCGGTCTCGGAGTATGCGAGGTCGCCATTTAGGTCAGGCGATGCAGTGTGACCGCTGCTGTTCTCGACATCCGGCCCACCAAGGTAGGTCTTCCAGGACTGCTTGCCGGAAGTATAGCGGTAGAGAACAGCGACCGGGTCTGTTACACCCGTCACCGCCTCGTTCGTAAGAAGAGCGAAGCCATCGTTGTGGGCTACAAGTCCACCGGCTTCTTTACCAGTGCTCACAGAGATGACGTCGCCGACAGCAGCGAAAGTTGATGGGTCGACCTGCTGGATGTGAACACCGGTCTCGCTGGAGTCTAGGTACGCTAGGTAAGCGGATTTGCCATCCGGTGATACAGAAAAAGGCGTGCGGCGATGGTGGGGGTAGCCAGTCCAGTAAGCATCCTTAATCGGGTTGAAGCTAGACGAGAGCGACAGAGACCCAACGTGTGTTTTGAGGCTGCTCGCAGAAAGTGCCGATGCTACGGCCGTGAAGAGAGAGAGAGCGAAAGTCGAGTGCAACATGGTGCAGTCGGGTCAGATATGCAAAAGAATGACAAGAAACGAACGACCAGCGGGAAAAGAGTGACAGAAATGGAAAAACCCCAAAAGCTCGTGAGGAGAAGAAGATAGAAAGGCTTCGCACAACATCTATATCAATGGCTACTCCGTATTGCGTATTCGTATTGCGCCATGCGATCCAGACTCCAGGATTCTGGTCTGACCACTGACGCTATGGCGGGCACAGCGCCGTCTGTTTATTGAACGGGCGGATCTGGAGGTTCCTATTTCCACATTGCGGGAAGAAATATCGATGTTCAATGGTGGAAAGTTCTGGAGGATGATTGCATTTGTTTCATGATGTTTCGCTAGGTGGAGATCACACGTGACGTGCTATAGCTGGCGGTCAATTGCAGGGACCGTGCCTGGTCTTGTTTCAAGTGGCGCTTTGTCCAACTCTTTCATGTAATTTGCACCTCATCCTCCTTTGCACGCTGCAAGACGTCGCTCTCAGCCGCGAATGTGCCTAAACGATTCCAGCAATTCAACGTTTGACGGACAAGCCCAAGAACGAGACCTGATATCCATGTGTCATGTCGAGCGACGCACAAGCAAATCACAGGCGCCTTAAAAGCCTTAGGGACGTCCCCGCATTGCGCCCTTCGGATGTATTGTGCCGTGCGACTGGAGGAAACCCCTATAACGTCTTCCACGAGTAAACAATCGTTTTGGATAGTGATCGCACTGGTACCCTTCAGGAGCAAGACATATTCCCAGAGACCTTCTCTTTGCGTAGAGAGCAGTGTTGCATGCATGATGGGGCCGCGTACCCGAATTGATGCATCCGACAAGGCACCTAGCGGATTGAGACCAGTGACTGAAAGAGACGAAGCGACCAGGATGATCGTTGACACAACGAAATGACGCTCCTCTTGGTCTGAAGATGCGAAGGCAACAGGGACATCTAAGCTGGCCCATGAGAAAGACGGGGCTCGATATTTGTCCGGTGAGAAATAATGCGCATCGGCGGTCGAAGTCGTTGACCACAAGAGGTCCAATACCAAGTTTGCTTCCCACAATCCAGCAATATACCTTGACGATGTTGCTTTCTGTATCTTACAAGCAATTCCCGATATCGCTGGCAACTTGTCATTCAGATGTGTCAGGGTCCTCCGAGAGTACTGCTCCACGACGCGGTGCCACGCGTCCCAGACCGCTTCAGGTTGCTTGTTCGATTTCGCCATCGCCGTCGGGATCAGTGCGGGCGTAGTAGGCTGTGATTTTCGCGATGGTGAACATTCGCAGCGGAAGGAAGTTCTGCACTCAAATAGCAATTCTGTTTTTGAATAGTGAAGGATTCTTGTACTGAGAACATGCTCCTGCAATGCCCAAGCTCTCGTAGTCAGTGGTCCAACGAGATTAGCAGGCTCTTCTTTATTTCTCGGATGATGGTCTTCCGCCCTTCTCGCGCGGATATCCACTTCGTCACCTGCCATGTTCTCGAAGTTGAGTTTCACGGGCTTCTCTCGATCATTCAAGGCGCGGGAAGCTCCGTCGGGCGAAGCAGTTGCAGCTATCGTGAATAAAGCATTTTCATATATACTCCCCATCTTGAAAGACTCAGTCTCCCAGTCGCGAGCTGAGTCTTGAATAATGCAGAGTGAATCGATCCAGATGTAGCGCAACCCCATCTGTCGTGTGATAATGACAGCATCTTGGAACAATGGGGGTAGGGAGTCGAAAGAGATATCGTAGGACAACTTCCTCCAGTTTGATTTGGTGGTTTTCAGAGGGGAGCCGGTGCCCCAGCAGTGAGAAAGGGCCGCGTACTCCAAAGCCTTCCCTTGAGTGTCAATCAGACGGATGGGTGCGGTCGCACGTCCGACGTCAAGCAGTCGCTTTGGTGTAGATGCAGACGACTTCCGAGGCAGACTGCATGCTTTATGCTTAGTATTGGTAAGGCAATCCTGAATGCATCTTCGCGCGAAGTCAAATGTATCGTCCGAGCCGGAGTTCAGAGGAATACGACGAGCGACCCCTAAAGTTGGCCAACTCCGAGAAGCTAAAGTCAGTCAGTCGCATGCACAACAGCAGCTACAGCTCTGATTTCAATATGGAAAGCTGGCTCAGGATGGGCAGGGTGCGCTTGTTGAGAGAGTACACTTACGTTTGGTAGTATAGATACTTACAACTTCACTTCTCCATGCTTCCTGATCAAGGCCTATTTCTATGGTGCCTTTCTCTAGAATCTCGATGTTGACTCTTTGCCTACTTCCTCTCCAACCTCCAAAGAATGCGTCTAGAGCTTGACACAACACATTGCAGAAGCGACATCCACCTTCTTTTGGCAATCTAAGCTTCGACAGTTCGAACGCATCTATAACAAGAGACAGACTTGCAAGAGGCCCTTCTGTACGTTCTGTGAGGTACACAGAGCTAGCATGGTCGCGTGGATCCAGATTATGGCATATTTTACAGATGGTGCGGCGTGGTCGGACAACTGCTCTTCGGAGTGACTTCTTGGGTGGCATCACAATGATAAAACAAGCTAATAAGGACCGGCCGACGAGAGCATCTTTATCTTAGCGGCTCGAACGATTTAAAGAGGCTGCAATGACTAGGCTGTTGGCTTAAAGGACGACGTCGTCTACAATGGTTTAGGTACGAAGGAGTGCGGTGTGCGACGATCCGCGTCGAGCACTATCGCTTGAATAAGCTTAGCGTATCCACTAATGTCAGACAACATGGCTGGCAGACTGCACTTATTCTCAGCGGTCGACAAAGTATCCTGATAATGAACAAAATGCGCCTTCAACGAGTCTTTGCTAGCCAGAAGCACATGGATGAGCGGCTCTGTTGAGCATCCGACGTTAGTTCCCGGTTCGCCTACAAGGTCACTACCCAGGTGCCATACAGGAACCTCAACAGTCCGCGATCATTTTGCCTGTAGCGAACTGAATGCACGACACCAAAAATAAATGGGAGCGTCACGCCTACCAGGACCCGCAATCCTGCCATAAACAATGCACTCCCAGAGCCTCATCCTGGCTGTTGTGGCCTTCTCTAATCTGATTGGTCGCCATCTCAGCTGGTGGGCCAGGCGCTTCGCACCGGCCAGGAAAGGAAGCAAACCACGGCACTTACTGCGGCTTGTGCATACCGCTCTCGTGGTCTCAGAGGCCGAATGCGCGTTAAGTGCTAGGCACAGCGGTTGCGTGGTCGACAATTAGACGCGACTTGCTTTCGGCGGATCCTCATAGCGGACTTGAGCGTCACTGGTTGGTTGATAGTTTGAGGCTGAAGTTTCGAGCTTCATGCTGTTCTTCAAGTCATGCCAGGCAACACTCGCAGATGGCGTACAAAAGGTCCTCAGTATCTCCGGGTGGAGTTTCTGTCTGACCAAAAGCTATTCAATTTTCCTACTCACGTTAATTTCTTTTCTGAATATCTTCTTCCTTTATCCCCTTTGACCAAGTCATTCAATCAGCGATTTCCTCGTCTCCTTTGCAATGTATACCAATTTCTTCTCCCTCGCTCTCATTCTGCCGGCAGTCCTCGGAGCCGAATTCTCCCATATCATCACCCACGACTTCAGCGCCATGCTTCGCCGGAGCGACGCCCTCACCAAACGTCAAGGCTACTACCCATCATCCCAACCCTGCGGCTCCGGAACCAACTGCGCAGAAGCCTGCGGTGCAGGACAAGTCGAATGCCCCGCCGACGCCGGTCGCGGCGTCTGTTTCGACCCCTCACAATCCCAATGCTGTCCCGACGGGTCTGGCTACTCTTGTGACAGCGGGTACTTCTGCTCCTCGGACGGCCAAAAGAACACATACTGCTGCCCCAACGGCATGGACCTGGGTGCCTGCGCGCAAGCGTATTCACTTACTGTCTCGCTCATCAGCCAAACGGGGACCGTTGATTTCTCCTCTCAAACTGAGAGCGCGAGCGCTATAACGACTTCCCCAACGCCGGTATACATCACCAGCATAGCGCCCCAATCTTCTTCTCTGGTGGACCAAGCTAGCGTTCCCACCACGACTGTATTATCTGTTCCTGCTGGAAACAGCACATACGCGACAGGTTCGCCGCCTGTTGAATTTCCTGGCGTTGCTACGAAAACGGAATTAGCTGGTATGGTGGTCTTCGCTGGTCTTGCGGTGTTTGTGGGCGTGCTTGTGAGTTAGATGTCGCACCACGGGGAAATGGTCGTGGGGTATTTGGCGGCGCATGTTGATGTGCTCCTATCATACGTAAAAGCAAAAAAAATGGACAGAATCTGAAGCACCTCTGTACGAAACAACCCACCGTTTCTGGCACATGAATTCACGCCAACGTGTTGCGACGAAGCGATTGTAGGCAAGGGATTTTACACGAGCTGTAGAGCTACAATCAATTATCATTACATTATCATATCCATGCATCACTCGTAAAGGTAGCCTCTGTGTGCAGCATCTATAACATCGCATAGCCCACACCAGCCAAGCCTATGAGTAATGCCTTACTCCACCCTGTCCTCCCCGCCGCACCAGGGAAATCTCCAGCACCAGTCTCAGACGGACCCGCCCCTGTAGATCTCGATTCTCCATTACTCGACGGATCCAACGTGACCGGTACAGTGGAAGTCTGTCCATCGGCGACTACGACAACGCCAGTCGAATCAACGGAGTACACGGTCCCGTCGATGGTGACTGCAGGGTCGCCAGGGGCAAGAGTAGTACCCGGACCAAACACCACGCTGCCGCCCGTGATAGTGAAGACCTCACCACCAACAGTGACAACAGTCGGGGCCGCGTTACCAGTGGGGAGAGCTATCGTCGAAGTGCCCTCAGGTCCAACGACCACCACGCCAGATGATCCCATGCTCAGCGTCGTGCCGTCGATGACAACTGGGGCGCCGCCTGGCGTCAGAGTCGTTCCACCCAAGACGACGGAGCTGGCGGACGGATCGATAACGACGGGTGCGCCGCTGGGGCCGATGGGCACGGTGATGGGCTCGTTGCCAAGCGGGATCTCAGTGCTGGTTTCCGGGGAGATGATGGTAAGGCCGCCGGTGCCGATTGAGAAGGTGGATGAGCCGATGATGACGGGAGCGCCGCCGCTGGTTAGAGTCGTGCCGGGGTTGACGATGAGACCACCACTTGGGTTCACGGGAACGACGGTGGGGCCGACGGTGATACCTGGTCGAGTGGGGTTGGCTGCCGGGTTAGTTCCTGGGTTTGGGCCAGTGCCGGGGTCTTGCGGATTGTTCGGCGAGGGGGCTTGAGTGTTCCCGGGAGCGGGGTCTGCAGGGTCATTGGGTGAAGGGTTTTGAGGGTTCGCAGGAGAAGGATCTTGAGGGTTGTTTGGGGATGGATCCTGCGGAGTACTTGGATCAGACACCTGCGGCTCTGAGGGAACTCGCGTCCTAGTAGGATCCTGAGGTCGTGGAGAAGACGCCGGATCCTGCGGATTACTTGCGCTCCGTGTCGGCTGTGGTGCTGAGGTGTTCGGAGGGATATCGCCATTACTCGATTGCCCAGGAGTGGCAGAGACAATAGATCCAGCCGAAGTTGGCGTGGGGTCTGCAGGTGCGGATGAAGAAGTCAAGAAGTTGGGGACACCTTTCAATGCGATCGGTGGATCGAACAAAGCATACTTGTCGTAACTACAGCTGGCCCAATTGGGATCGAGCTGTCGAATCTGGCCAGGCATCAAGATTGCGGGCTGGTAACTACATTTTCGTTAGGCTTTATTTCCACACGCGATGAGGCAGCGCTCGTGGGGTTGGAACATACTGTCCAGGAATGACCTCCGTACAGGCAACATGGTTGTTCCAGCAGTACGATTGACCCATGTACGCACTCCACGGTACAGGCTCATTGAAATCCTCGTATCTTATGGAATACGCGATCATGTTATGCGGATAAGCGATAACACTGTAAACATCCGAAGAGGCCATGGTGACGATCTTGGGTCCCTGGCTTTTCGGCAAAATTCTGTTTCTGCAGTTGTCGTACACGTACGGATCCTTCATGGACATGTATACATTTCCCTCGTACATCGTAACACCGTTGACGACAGTGGAAGGACCAGTTGTGATCTCCGTATATGCTAGGCAAGTCAATACACTTCATGCCAGAATCAAGATAACGTCCAACTTACTGGTGTCCGGGTCTCCCGTCTTGGTCACTGAATTCTCATAACCACCAAACGGCGTGTTGACACACATGTTGCGGGATACATTGGTCGTCACAGGATAGAAGTAGAAGTCCATAGCATCGTAGGCGAATGTGCATGCTGTCGGTACGCAGCAGTCCGGGCTTTGGGGAGACGATATCGCCGTAGTGTCGCTCTGGAACTCATCTAAAGCAGACGAATAGCTTGTGATTAGAGCGGCACAATCGCTGTTTGCGACGGTGCAGGTTGGCTCGGGCGGAGCAGATACCGTATAGATATTAGTCACCCCGGTTCGGCTGATACGACTTGTTGTGTTGAGCAATGTAGCTGAACCACAATATGAGATTGCACCGGGAGAGCTTCCACATGAGCTTGTGCAACTGTAAGAAAGCCTCGAATCTATGTAGTCGTATTCGGTGGTTGTCGTGATCTGCTCATAGTTTGCAGTATCACGATAATAAGAGCTCAGAGCACTTTCATAGTCACTCGACGACTGAATGCACGCTAGAGCGGGGTTGGTTGCCGCTGTATTGATTAGCACTTGTTTGCCTTCGCCATTTGCGTGCACATAGACGAACCTGAGGTTGTCGCATTCAATCCGGCGCTCCCCGATGGCGTAATCGCATTGCTGGCGAGAGTAGAGCCCAAAGAACTCGTAGGCGGTACTGTCGAGTTTTGCAAGGCTGCCAAAGTCAGTGCGGACTCTGAGCTCATCCGATGCTATAACGTACCGGTCCGGCTTGCGAGACTCAGAAATATCGTCTTCACTACAGACGACATGCTTAACCACAACGTGCACTCGTGAAGAACCTGGGAAAGGGAGCACACACTAGATGTCGTGCAGAGCCATCACTCATAAGAGGCTGGAACCTCTGATCCCTGCGTTGCTGCCCACGTACCACACCACCAATATTGCCTAGAAATATCTTGAGTAAATGGGCGACCTAGCTCGAAGTATCTCTAGCACCGGAGGCCTAACTGCGAAGGCGGTGGCGCTTCGGCGAGCACCCCAGGAATCGCAGGGCTGAGTGCAGCAGAAATGCATTCGATTTGCTAATCACGCGGCCGGTACAGTAGCGTCCGTCCGCACGAGCGCAGACAACGGCTGCTGGGAGTCCGTGCAGTAAGATCGTCTTTGGGGTCCAAAGCTGTTCCGAGCCAGTCATCTCACAGGGCGTAATTAAACTCAACCCTTTGGGAAGTAAGACTGCACATAAGTGCATGTACGAAGGCAATGCCCGTGTCTTAGCGCTTGGCTGAAAGCTGAGAGGTGAGAAACATGTGCCGGTCGCAATTGTGTCCTATTAAATTGGTGTCGAATACTCGCGAAGTAGCCCTGTGAGTTAACGCCACAGGCATTGGATTGGTCCTTGGAGGAGGCAGCTTGTGGGGCTGCGCCGGCTGGCCGATCAGGGAACCGCAGGCCGTTTTCCCGGCTGGACCTGAGTCTTGAAGGGCAGGGGTGGACTTGCGTACAGAGTAACAATTCAATCTAGAATCTGATTTTGCTGGCAACGCTACACCCAGCAGATGCACATGCGGGCGGAACGGTTGTTGGAAACACGCCTCGCTAATTTTGTACGGTTTTTGGCCATCAGTCACGGTGCGTATACAGCTTTATAGTCCGCCCAGATTCTTGGGTGGGATTGCGCGAACACCAAGCCAGCTTCGGCTGCGCACATGTCGGCGAGGTGTGCCCTGGATGAGATCGGCAAATCACGAGCCGATCTCTCCCAGGGCCTCAGGTAAGAACCTCTTCACGAGCAGATTGTTTTCCCTCTTTGGCTACGCGCGTGCCAGGGTTGAAATCGTCGCGGTGAGGGCCATCGCAGCGACTTTACCACTCGGTTTGTCCAGGTCTTCAAGAAACTCACTCTGATGCAGCTGTCACCTCTGTTGCTGATCCTCGCAATCATGGCAACAAAGTCGCAAAGATGGGCCCACGGCGAAGGTCTTCCGTCCTAGGCCGGGTATACCAGTCAACTCGTGTATTGTCGAGCTCGTTTGATGATCATCCTGTCTCCATCTGATGGGAATCAGGTCGTTGTACTTGGCTGGTATCAGAGAGGTCGAAGGTTGGCATTAGAAATCTAGTCGGAAGCACTAGCGGCCCGCGAGCTAGCTGCGCACGTGATGCAAAATGACCGAACGTTCTGGCATCCCCGCGAACCTTTGAGTAATATCTAGTAATCGAACCACCACGAACATCGCAGAGCCGCCTCCACGCTTCGAGCATGCTCCATGGCCCGTACGAATCCAGCGATTTCTCATCCTCGCCCACGCAAGCTGCTGCTGCCTCGAGTCGTCACCATGTCTATAAAAGCGAGCTCTATGCTCCCCAGATCGAGCATCATCAGATTCTCAGATCAACACTTCAGATCTACAACATCTCGCGCCTCTCTTGAGCCTCTTTGAGTTCACCCCGGAAACGATTTCGTCGATCATCTTCATCGCAACTTCCCCTAAGAAATCTCCATCAATGGCTTTCTTCCTCACCCCACAGTTCGCACCCGCGTACACGGCGCCGCAATGCAACCCATGGGCCTGCGCTCCCCGACCACAACAGTCCTATCGCCGAGTCGTGCGCCCCTCCTTCCCTTCGTTCGCACCATTCCTCAGCGAGGTCGACGAGATTATTACCGCACTCGATCAAGAGGCTCGACGCGAAGCAGCCCGTCGCGAAGCACACCGCCAGCGCCAGCAGCGCAAGCGCATCGTACGCGCGCACTTCAACGTGCATGAGCACCAGGGAGGATACCAAGTCGACGCCGAGATTCCCGGGTTCGAGCAGGAGCACATCGAAATCGAAGTGACGGACGACAACACCCTGAGGCTTTCGGGCAATACCGAGAGGAAGGCCGAGCCCCAGCCACAGTCACAGTCCACCGAGACTGCGACCGAGACACTCGCGATCGAGACTGAGCCTCACAATGAGGTTATGGATGGCGTAACCCTCAACGAACCTGAGCAAGCCACTGCATCTGGTGCCGCTACTCCCACCCATTCCGACACCGAGTCGCATAAGTCCTACCAAGCTACCGTGGAAGACGATTTCGAAGATCTTGGCGCGGAAACTTCATCTACTATCTCTGCCCACACCGACTCCGAAGCACCCAAGGAGTCCAAGGGCAAGGAGAAGGCTGTCGAGGAACCCGCAACCGCCAACACCGAGACCGCTGTCCAGCAGCAGCCTCAGCCCGAAGAACCAGCAGAAAAACAACAGCGAGAAGAATGGCAGTTTCACGGCTCCTTCGAGCGAACCTTCCGCTTCCCGGAGAGGATTGATGCTGCCAATGTGACAGCCAGCCTTAGGAACGGGCTTCTCAGCATCAACGTTCCCAAGGCGAAGGCTCCTGAGGTCAGGAGAATATTGATCCAGTAGTTGAACGAGTATCCGTTGATGAAGATGGAGGATGGAATGCTTGCAGCAGTAATGGTCAGATCGAATGGATGAACTTGTACGATACTTAGATATCGGTGATGAATCATGACTTTAAATACAATCTCAAACCCTGCCTCCGAGTCTACGTGATGTTTCTTTCCCTCGTGTGAGCTTTTAATTTCAAACATGTTGGCAGCCTAAACTCATACGACGTGACTAGTAAGTCCTTCTACTTTACCTACCATACGTACACTTCGGAAGGGAGCATTGGTGCGTATTCATTGTTTGTGGCATCGCCAGACAAAGTTGGAAGTTCCGGTATGCTGGAGATACATCAAATGATGTGTTGTGACGGTGGTCATGCCGTGGAGGCTAAAGTAGCGTAATAAGCGTTGTTCGAACAATCACACGCACTAACTTAGTCCGGGTCTTGAGAATACTGTATAATCGCGTCACAATCATCGGCGAAAACCTCGAATTTCAGGTCAAGGATCGGGCGGGGGCCGAGTTCATGCGCCGATAGCCCTGGTCCAATCTCCCGCCTCTTCCTTCCAGGCTGCCGGCTTCCTCATGCAGTAACGGCCTTTTGACTTCGCCCCTAGCCTTCGTATTTTGTGAGCCTCCGGATACCCTCTGCAGGGGTCTTTAAGGCACATTCATTCCCTCCATTACACAGCCGTGCCCATGCAAGAATCCTTGTTTGCCTTGGTGCCTGCCGGCGGTGCGATTGGTCGCTTCTCGCTGTAGTACTGAAAACTATATTAATTCTTGACCTCCTACTCGTGGAGAGATACATAGCAATTCCAATCCCCACCATACTCTCCATACTTCGTTGCTCCCCTTGGACCCGTTCTGGTCGATAATTTCTCTGCCACTGCGACATCCACGATGAAGTTCCTCGTCGCCCTGGCTCTCGCCGTTTCCCCGCTGCTCAGTGCAGCGTACACCGTTGATCCCCCAACCACCGCCGCCCCAGACACAATCGAAGACTGCACCCTCTGGGCCGTGGCCACCTCCACCTCCACCTGCGCCGACCTAATTGAGCAGGGCTACGCCCTCACCCTCGACCAGTTCAACGCCTACGTAAGTCACTTCCTACCTTCTCTCCAAGCTTGCCCTTTGAATGCTCCACTCACACGCTCAACTTTCCCGCACACAGCACTAACCAACTTAGAACCCCTCCCAAGCCGCAGCCTGCAACCTCACCGTCGGCCAGTCCTACTGCATCGAGAAGAACTGGAGCATCCCGGACCCGCTCCCAACGTCCACGAGTTCCGCGGCGCCGGGGCCGACGGGGCCTGTCACGGATCCGGCGACGCTGCTAGCGGTTTGTCGGGCGCAGGGCTCGTACGTAGAGTACTGCGAGAGGTGCTTGTATCACTGCCAGTACGAGACGACGTACATTGAAATGTGTTTTGATAGTATCTTTGGGCTGATTAATAGGTATGATAGCGACTGCTGGCAGCATGGGGGACGGGACTGCGCGAATCAGGCGGCAGATAGGGTCTGTCCGAAGCAGTAGAGAGTCATATATAGAGAAGTAGTCATACGGATCGCGAATAGATGCGTGTTGTGTTTGCTGCACTTGGTCATGTAAAGTTCATTTTGTACAGTAGTGAGCTCTTTTAATGCCCACGCGCAAGCTATCGCAGGAACAGAACAGTAGGAAACCCAAAAACGACCGCGCCCTCACTTCCTGTACCACATCCGTGTGATCTTGGTGTGCCTCATCTTCTTCTGCAGCTGGAACACGCCGTACATGAGGGCTTCTGCCGTGGGCGGGCATCCAGGGACGTAGATATCCACGGGCACGATCCTGTCGCACCCTCGTGTGACCGAGTAGCTGTAGTGATAGTAGCCGCCTCCGTTGGCGCAGCTGCCCATGGAGATGACCCAGCGCGGCTCGGGCATCTGGTCGTAGACCTGGCGCAGGGCGGGGGCCATCTTGTTGGTGAGGGTGCCGGCGACAATCATGACATCGGACTGGCGGGGGGAGGCGCGGAAAATGATACCGAGACGGTCCTGGTCGTAGCGGGGTGCGGACAGATGCATCATCTCGACGGCGCAGCAGGCGAGACCAAACGTCATGGGCCAGAGCGAGCTCTGTCGTGCCCAGTTGGCAATCTGGTCGAGTGTGGTGCTGTCTGCTGTCAGTTGTGCTCCCCAATGCGCCCGAACCCGCCACGCCTCCACGGCGCGTGCGGTTCCAGCGGGGTTGCCTCCACATACAGCGCGTATTGCATAGCGCCCTTCTTCCCTTCCTGGCTCGGCAGCGGCACTTCGGCGCGCGCCTGCTTCATCGGGGGCGGTGTTCCGGGATTACCAGACACGAGCCCGGGCTTCATGGTGGTCGCATTGTTCGCGGACGTGTTGGAGAGGAAGGCGACGCTCCCGGCGCGGAAGGGCAGCAGCGCACTCGCGGGTTTGGCTGTCGGCGGGTTAGCTCCTAGCGGGCGGCGGGCTGTGGGTGTGGCGGCACGCACCTCGTAGAGCCATTGAGGCGGCAGACCTCGTAGACGACAACATGGCGGCTGTCGAAACAAAGGAAAGGGCCCGGGGAAGGAGTGGAGAGCGTTGGGTCGAGGTGGCGATGGCCGAGGGACGTCTGTAGTGGTGACGGAAATCCACGAGCTTGAGCGCCAAGCCCTGCCGATTACGAAGTAGCTTGCCGAATCAGGCGGACGCTGGTTGGTCGCTGGCCGTGCGAACCACTACACCTTCGCCGTCACCCTTTCGGACACTGTCCGCGACACCATCTCTCTCATTCGTTGGAGCGGCCAGAGCCACCTGAACAATTGACAGCGCTTGGGCTGAAGCACAGGACGCAGCAGTTGCCATCTATCCCTCTGGGCAATCAACATGTCAAGTCGGGTCCCTTCAATAGCGTGCATCGGGGTCATCGGGCGACACGTGAGCAAACATGATTATCTACGAAAGGTCCCTGCAAGCCAGTCCTAACGTACTGCAGAACAACCCTCTTCACATCTCGCTGTTTCCAGCCGAGGAGCGGGCACCTTTGGAGTACCAGTTCCTCCTCTCATCATGTCTGGACATCTTTGAGGCTCGCCTACCCCACAAGACCGTGGACCAAGACTTTGGACTTCTCCAGGCCGTCGACGAGCGGCTGGCCATGTATGGCTGGTTGACTAACACTGGCGTGAAGTTCGTCGTTGTGGTCGACATGGAGGGACGACCAGCAAATCCTCTGGATGCCAAATCATCGGCAGCAGTCGGGCTTCGAGATGCAGACCTTAAGCCAGTACGAGCAAAGTCACGCTAGGATCATGTCGATAGCTAACAGTACTAGGCTTTTAGGGCGTTGCAGACAGCATACATCATGCTCTTGCGCAACCCGTTTTACAACCCCGATGAGCATTCACCGATCACAGCAAACGGCGAACAAAGATATGGCTCGACTCAAATCACCAGCAAGAAGTTCATTCAGGAGATCAAGCGGATAGGTGACGCATGGGCCCCAGGAGTCAACGTTATATGACCTGCCGAGTCATTTTTGCATCGCAAAGATCTGTTGCATTTCCAGGCGTTTGGCGGTCGATACCTGTTCAAAAATAATCACATATTCTATTCCACATCACCAAGGTCCCCCACGACTCTCATCTTTGCCGGATGCTCTGTTCTCTCCTAACCCGGCCGATCCTCGGATCTAGTGTTGAAACAAATGTAGCTTAGCGCCGATCTCACAACACCCTGACCACCCTCGGTCTTTCATTCATACATCCCATCTCTAACCTCAAGCTCCAAATGCCACCCAGAGCTTCAAGCCTCACGATAACCAATCCCTTGGTCTTGTACAGAAGTCTTATAGCTACCAATCGCATCCAGCCAGACCCAGCACAGCATCGCCTCGGTACAGTACATGACATCAACACCTAAAGTGCCAAGACCTTACCTAACATGTCCATGCAGCCCTCCATCTCCAAAAGGTTTATGAGAATCTCATAGACTATGAACCCAGCATCGAATATTCAGACCGCTTAAAGCAATTGACCCGTGCTGTTAGTGCCAGTCACCCGGACCGCGCGCCAATTGGCACAAGAGGAATATGGACATCCCTCCTCGCGCAGAAGCAAAAAAACGATACTCTGGCTCTAACGCGCACACTCACTAGCCATGAAGCTGCCATGGCGCTCCAGAGTCCGAAAGGGTTGATGCTGCACGGCGAAGTTGGAACCGGGAAATCCATGCTCATCGACCTGTTTGCCGACTGTCTGCCCAACCGCAAGAAAAGGAGATGGCACTTCAACACATTCATGCTGGAGACGTTCTCGCGGCTTGAGCAGCTTCGCCTTTCGAGGGCCACGTCACCACTGGACGGCGTTGCCCGAGACGAGTATAGCTTGTTGTGGCTGGCTCGCGACCTCATCGAGAAATCACCCATTCTCTTTCTTGATGAGTTCCAGTTGCCTGACCGCGCAGCAGCTAAGATACTGTCCAATCTGATGACAACTTTCTTTCAGCTGGGTGGGGTGCTCATCGCGTCAAGCAATCGCATGCCAGAAGAGTTGGCCAAGGCTGCGGGAATGGAGTTTGCGAGACCAGTTTCAAGATTGAGTCGGTTGGGTTGGCGGTTAGGCATGCCGGGTGTGACTGGAAGAGACGATGGACCAGGGCAGAAGGGCGAGTTTGCGCAGTTCTTGGAGGTCTTGCGGACGAGATGTGAGGTCTGGGAGATGGAGGGCAAGAAAGACTATCGGCGGGTGGCGGGCATGGAAGGGTCTTCTGTTCGATCTACAGCGACTGCCCCCGACATCTCGACACAGAGCGATGCGCAAGGACCGAGTCAAGGAAACGCCATCACCGATACAGACAAGGTCTCTGCAACGACGGAATCGGAGGTTACGATGCCGAAAAATTATCTTCTCACGCCCTCTCCCACCGCCACAGAAGAGGAGGTCGCCTCATACCGCCAATCCCTAACTACAATCGCCCACACCGCAACATCCACACCTGCCTCCCACCTAATACCATGGACATCGTTCGCCCTGCGAGTCTACGGCCGCCCCCTTGTCATCCCCCTCCAATACAACGGCGTTGCCCTATTCACCTTCTCCCAAATTTGCGGCGCCTCCCTCGGCCCCGCCGACTTCATCACCCTCGCCTCCACCTACCCCACCATCATCATAACCTCAGTCCCGGTCCTTACTCTCCTCCAGAAAAACGAAGCCCGTCGCTTCATCACCCTCCTCGACGCCATGTACGAGGCGCGCTGCCGCCTCGTGCTCACCGCCGCCGCAGCCCCGGACGACATCTTCTTCCCCACGTCCGCGTCCACCTCGAAACAGGAAACAGTCGACGACGCAGTCCATCCAGAGACGTACTCGGAGATCCACCAGGACCTGACCAGCCCGTTCCGGCCCAACGTCTCATCGTACAATCCATCCAGCTCGTTGCCAATGGACAGCTTGGAAGACGACCCGCCGAACCGGTTCCGCCGCCCGGGATCGTCGTACACGGACGAGCGCCGCACCAGCAGTGGCAGTGCGTCCCCCGACTTCGCCAATCTCGGCGGGCTGACGGGCGAGGACGAGCGTTTCGCGGTCAAGCGTGCGGAGAGCCGCATCTGGGAGATGTGCTCTGGGGCGTGGTGGGAGCGGGAAGAGCTGTGGCGGCCGCTGCCGAGGGAGGTGAGGCATTGGGAGATGGGCAGGGCGGATGCGGCGTCTATCGCTGCTGAGGGGAAGGCTGTGAGGGAGGGGGATGGCGCGCCAAGGGAGTTGTTTCCCCATGGCGCGAGCCCGTTTCGCACGAGCGAGGATGTGCCGCCGAAGATTGGCTGGACGCATGCTTGGGGGATGGTGACGTGGGGCAAGAAAGCTGGGGCGTGGGGGAAGGGGGTCGAGGGGCTGGCGGAGCGGAAGAGGGATGGCGAGGGAGAGGGAGAGGGAGAGGGTAAGCGTTGAGCCGGAGTGTATTCTGGGCGGTATGTGCTTCTGTAAATCTGTTGGTGTCGTATGTAAGCATACCAGAACCATTTCCACCATTTCGACCATAAAACCACCATGCCAGGTGGGAACAGTGCATTTCCTGCTCGAGCACGCAGCAAACGAACGTATCAACGTCCCTTTTTGACCTCAAAAGCATGAGACTACGCTTTACCGGCGTTGCGCAAAAAATGTGTATCGCGCAGTGGGTTCACTGGCCTCCCATATATATATATAACATCTTGACCAACCACCAACCTTACGAACCCAGCAACACGAAACCAAACAGCCCATGTCCAGCCCTACCAGCTCTCACCTCTCCACTCGAATACCAAAAAAAAAAAGAAGGGTTAAAAAAAAATTGAGTCGATAACTCTCTCACATCGTCTGTCAAAAAGTAGCAAAACTAAAAGCCATTTCACCTGTCACGGCCCCGGCTCAAAGAAACTAACGTTTTTTGTTCTGATTCGGCCTCGAACCGGTGCACTGTCAACAAGGTGGAGGCCACTTTGGGTGTTTTATGACCACTGGGCCAGCCTCTCTATGTGTCGGACGAAGGATGCTCAACTCTTGACGGAGAACAACTATATAGTAGTCGGATAGGGGATGTGTTGCGGGAGGGTACAGAGAGGGGAGATTGAGCGAGAGGATGTAGTGAGTGGTATGGTAGGGGCGAAGTGAAGCGCTCAGGTGAAGGCAGGCGCGTAAACAATGGGCGGCGGAACGGCAGGCGCGGGCGAGAGCGTGGCGGGTCGACTGGAGCATTGGGAAGTAAACGAGCTAGATATTTCTTCGCTTGGGCTGGTACGGCAAGGTGATGGGGAGGTTGTCTGCGTGTACTTGCGCGAGCTGTGGCAGGCATACGTCGAGACAGCCACCCGGCAGACATGCATGTGCAGCTCAGTAGTACGCAGCGACTGACTGCAACTTCCAAGATGGACATGCTGTGCGAGGACGAGTCAAATCTCATTCACTTGACCGTGGAGGAAAGATACAACTTCTGTGCAACGCCGGACAATGCGCTCTACCACGAGGACGTTTTGATTCGATTCTACCACGCACTTCACTGTATCTTCCCCTTGTTCACGACAAACGACTCCAGCACCGAGACAGCACTCCACAGCCTGTTCTCCGCCTCCCTAAACACGACGGAGCGCGGGCCGTAGAAGACCTCGTCACTGACCTCCTCGGGATGCCGGGGCAGGCAGTGCATGAACGACCAGCTGTCCTTGGCGCCGCCCCGCTGCGCAAGCTCCGAGGTGATCTGGAAGCCCTCGAAGGCCTTGAGTCGCTTCGCCGTCTCCTCCTCCTGGCCCATCGACACCCACGTGTCGGTAACGAGAATGTCCGCACCCTTGATAGCCTCTTCTGGGACCGTCGTCTCGGTCAGCTTTCCTGCCTTGCCCTGGGGTGCGGTGGAAGCGGCGTGCTCAATGACGCTGCGCATTGCGGCGGGGATCTCGTAGCCCTTGGGGGTCGCGACGGCGATGTCGACACCGAGCTTCACGGCGCCGATGGCGAGGTCGAAGAGCACGTTGTTTGCGTCGCCGATCCAAGCGATCTTCATGCCCTCGAGGCCAAGCGAGGTGGTTGAGGACGAGGGGTTGATCTCGGTGATGGTCAGGAAGTCGGCGATGATCTGCATGGGGTGGTAGAGGTCGGAGAGGGCGTTGATGACGGGGACGGAGGAGTGCTTTGCGAGGTCTGCGACGTCGGAGTGGGGGCCTACGCGGGCCACGATGGCGGCAGTCATGCTGGAGAGGACGAGCGAGGTGTCGTAGAGGGATTCGTTGACCTGGGTAGCATCAGCGGTTGCGCCTTGCTGCGGCGGGAGAGGAAATCGCATACCCCCAACTGAATGTCGTCCTTGCCCAGGAACATGGGGGTTCCTCCGAATGCTGCAATGGCACCCTCGGTGGAGACCCTGGTGCGCGTACTCCGCTTGCTGAAGGTCATGGCCACGGTCTTGCCGGCGAGCGCACTGGAGAGGTGGGGCCAGCCATTGCCAGACTTGATGTCGGTCTTGTGCTTTCCAGCATTTCGGACGAGCGTGGTGAGTTCGGCCGGCGTAAGATCAGCTATGGAGAGGAGATGTCGGGGCGCGAAGGGCGATGTCAGTGGAGCAGCTGGGGAGCTTGAGCTGGCGTAGGAGCGGCGCTGCGTCCTGGACAAGCTCCGAAGCGCGCTTGTCGCTGGGCGGAAGGACGGCATGTTGGCTCTGTGAATGGTCTCGGGACTGGCGAGCCCAATTGGAGTTTTGTAGAGGACGGGGAGCCAATGCTGAGTCACGCGCCCTGTGGGTGTACGATTTTTGAGACGCAGCTAGCATGCGTCACGCGAATCTGGGGTCGTTATCGCCCGCTTGCACCTTCCCCTGCTAGCGCGTCTCGGCGCGGCCCTCGCAGTCCACAGCCCTGGTGGTGATGACGCCTCAACACACACCCGCAGCCCTCCACGCCTGATCCACCCCGGAGCCGCCGCGCCTCTCTTTCTCCCAAACCCACATGAGTTGCCTCACCTAGCAGCAGGCTTCTGCGCATCGCAACCACCCCTCTCGCCACCATGGACACGCCCGACTACGGCACCGCCTGGGGCGACTCCACCCGCGCCAGCTCGCGCCCGGCCTCCCAGAAGTCCGCCCGCTCGTCGCGCACAGCTCGCTCGCAAACAGACAGGGATCCAGACGAAGTCTCGCCGTTGTTAGCACGGCCAGAAGCGAATGAGGCCGAACACGAAGAGGACGACGGGGAACACGCAACCGCCACCACGTCGCTCCTGCGGACGCTGAGCAGCGGCTCGGCAAGCGCGAAGGACGACAAGAAGCCATTCTGGAAGAAGAGATGGCCCAGCATCGTGGCGCTCGTCGTACTGTTCCTTGCCGTGGCTCTCATCATGCTCGGCTTCCTGGCGACCGAAGGCATCGAAGAGTATGCTATGCAGGCTGCCGACTTCAAGCCTACCAAGCTGTCGCTGGACTCGCTCACGGACACGGGCGTGCGCATACAAGTGGAGGGCGACTTCACCATGGATGCGTCCAGAGTGGAGAAGAAGAGCGTACGCGACCTCGGCCGCTTTGGCACCTGGATCGCCAGAGAGGTCGAGACGGGTGCGACTGAGGTCGATGTCTTCCTGCCCGAGTACGACATGGTTCGCGTCGGCACCGCCAAGATCCCTGGCATCAAGGTGAACATTCGCAATGGCCACACGACGCACGTGTCCTTCTTCGCCCATCTCGAGCCGGGCAGGTTTGACAATCTTCGCAATGTTGCCAACGACTGGATGGACGGGCGGCTGGGCCAGATCCGCCTCAAGGGCAAGGCAGACGTTCCTCTGAGATCCGGTCTCATCCGCCTAGGCTCACAGACCATCTCAGAGTCCTTTACCTTCCAAGGTACGTACGCCCACTGGGGACGTGGCGTAGCTGATGCAAACGTGTGCTAATAGTTCCCCGTCTACAGGAGACAAGCTTCCTTCGGTCCCTCGGTACAATATCACAAAGCTCAATCTTCGAGAACAGCGACCAGGCCGCAAAGGCATGGGTGCCGACGTTTCCATTATGGTGACCAACGACTTCCCTGTGCAGCTTACCATTCCCCCCGTTGCTGTGGATGTGCTCGTCGACGGCTGCCTTGAATCGGATGACCACATCATGGTTGGCACCGCCGAGACTGCACAGCTTCAAGTCGAACCGAAGCATGATGTTGAGGTCAACGTCACTGGTCGTGTGGACACACTATCACAGGCTCTTACCGAAACCTGCCCAGGCTCGTCCAAATCGCCGCTTGATGCCCTCCTTGGAGACTATATGCATGGTCAAGATGCCAAACTCTACGTCAGCTGCTGCAACTTCCCCGATCCAGAGACCCCTGCATGGGCACATGATCTTCTCAAAGATATAACCGTTCCTGTTCCTCTGCCTAGCCACGAGATGGGAAAATTGATCAAAAACTTCTCCCTAGCCGATGTGCACTTCCACCTTCCGGATCCCTTCGCTGAGCCAGGCACTCCTGAGGCCGCCCCTAAGATCTCTGCCGTAGTGAAGGTCGACATCAATATTCCCAACGAGATGAACTTTCCCTTGGACGTGAACCGTGTCAAGGCCGATGCAGATATCTTCTACCACGGCAAACTTCTCGGAACACTTGATCTGAAGAAATGGCAAGACGCCAACTCCACCCGGATCGATGCCCACGGAAGCGATGGTCCATCTCTGTTGGTACAATCCGACATCCAGAAAGCACCCATCAATATCAAGGACGACAATCTGTTCAGCGAAGTCGTCCAAGAGCTCATCTTCGGCAGCAAGGGCATCATGATGAAGGTCAAGGCAGCAGTCAGCGTCAAGGTGGACACCCCCATTGGCGGATTTGCAGTGCGGGAGATCCCCGCGGAAGGGGTCGTCCCGGTCAAACGTTCGTGACCCACCCAGTTCGTGCTCCAAGTCAACCTCCCCGCCGGGGCAAACGCTAACACCCCTGACCAGCGATTGGACGCGGAAGCGGCAACGGCAGCGGAGGAGCGCACAATATCAGCTCCCTGGCTCTCAAGATCGGGAATCTCTCCATCATCGACACCTCACGATCATCCATCACTCTCACAGCCAATGTTAACATCACGAACCCGACGAACTACTCGGCCACCGTGCCGTACTTCAACATTAACCTCCTAGTCAACAAAACGGTGGTGGGCCAGGTTACAGCAAAAAACATCGAAGTTCACCCTGGGAACAACACGAACCTCCTTGTAACAGCCATCTGGGACCCCTACTCGCACAGCGGCGCGAAAGGCAAGGAAATTGGAAGACAGCTCCTCTCGCAGTACATCTCCGGTACGTCTTCCCCGCTCCCGTTCCCCCAACCACAAAGCTAACTCAACAAGGCTACAACGTCTCCCTCACCCTACAAGCCCACAACGGCTCCATCCCCTCGCAGCCCGCCCTCGGCGCCGTCCTCTCCCAATTCCCCATCACCCTCCCCGCCCCGCACCTCTCTACCCCCAAAGATCCAGATGCAATGCCGCCGGACGAAGGCGATCCCCCCGACGACGGCAAAACCCACTTCATCCGCTCCGCGACCATGCACCTCCTCACCTCCACCGCGCTCTTCACCCTCGCCTCGCCCTTCTCCTCCACCACCATGTACATCACCACGCTCAACGCGACCGCATTCTACGAAGGCCACCCCTCAGGCAAGATCCTGTACGAGCTGCCATTTGCGGTGCCTCCGGGGCTCAGCGAATCGCCGCGGCTGCCGGTGGACTGGAGCATCGGGAGCGTCGGGTACGATGCGATTCGCAAGGCGTTGGGGGGCACGCTGAGGTTGAGTGCGTTTGCGGAGGTGGGGATTCGGATTGGGGCGTGGAAGGAGAATGTGTGGTACAAGGGGGGGAGTATTGGGGCGAGCGTGAGGTTATAAGGTGTTTTGTGGTGAGCGGAAGGGGGCGCGGAGCTGTTTGTATACGTGTACGAAATGTGTTTCGTTTTCTTGGGGATGGCGACAGGGAAGGGGAAGAGGTGTCGATGAGTACATCGGCATCGGCTCCGTTATTATCACGCATATCTGTATAGATGTTTTCTTCTCTTGGGCTGCATCAACGGGTACGCATCTTCTGTGCGGACATTTCAACGCTGTTTGTGTATACTTGATTACATCGAGTGGAGCCTGGTCTGGCCCATGCTGCTGTGTCCTCTTCCTGCCTGCCGCCCACCCCCTCTCCCTCCTCTACCCACCATCCTTATCTTGTTAGCACGAAGCCAAAGTGTGCTATTCTGCCTGCAGCCGACAACGATTAACCGAAGCGCTGGTCCAGGGGGCACGCTGGTGTGGCGGATGGCGTGGCCTTTCAGAGGCAACCAACACGGAACAAACGAACAAAGGATACAGATTCATCCCCACTGGAAGGCAATCTGACGCATCGCGATGGCTCGCCGACTCCAGGCCGGTCTCAGACAGCGGTTGCATTGCTCTTGGTCGCGTGCTGTAGACCAATGGTCAGTCTGCGTGGGCGGGTGCATCTTGCATGGCCTTGGGACTTGGTGTCCTTGGGTGCAGCGTGGGCTACACAGCGCGGGTCGGACATGCGTATTCTCCATCGGACACTGTCGCTCGCCTGGGGGTGTAGACCTCTCGTTGCCTGTCCAGGACCGCGACGCACCATACTTCACCCGGTCGTGCGTGGGGCAACGGGAAAGGCTCGAGGTAGACGACGCGGCCAGGAGAGGACTACGCTGGAGATGAGTGCTCCAGAGAGGCATATCGCGGTGTGCAGTCGAGCTCTGCTGCAAGACCCGCCGACTGATCTGGCAACTGCAATCCGTACCTGGAGACGTGTCATAGGTCGGTCGTCCAAACGGCAATTTACCACGGAGCCGTCTGGCAGGTGACACCTGCAGCACACTAGTCTGTCAGGCAACGGTGCATGTAGACTGTTATCTGACCTGCACGTGAAATGCTAGCGATTGGAGATGTTCCTTGGGGGAGATATTGTTGGACAGGGCGGCCGCCTGCCACCTTCCTCTCCCACGCCAACGTTATGCACGGACGATAATAAGCGCGAGCCGCGTCTGTCATGTAAGGCCAAGGCGGCAGGGACAAGCGTTTTTGCGGTCAAGTTGGATTCGTGTATGATTCAGCTTCATGGACGATGTTGGTTGGGCTCGGACGTGCTGTTGACACGCGTCGCTTTGTGTGTATGGATTCCAGGACCTAGTGCAAGAGCTGTGTTCTTCGGTAATCGGATGTCTGCCTTGAGTGCGGGGGGCAGTAGCTCGTAGGAAACGAAACGCGATCGTCGTTGCCTCTTTCCACCCCGGAGTGGACTAGCTTGAATGAACGTGGTCAAAGCATCCACCAGTTGTCCCGTGTACGTGCTCGTGTCTCTGCTCTCACTATAGCTTGCCGGCATGCTGATGCTGACCGCAGCGCGGCGAACGGGAGGAATTAGCGTTCGGCCGCGTAAGGCGTTCACAACGGACATGATGCGCGCTGTGTTGCACAACAGGAAGCGGATCGGCTCGTACGCAGGCCTAATCCATACGAACAGCATGATCTGTTGTTCGTTTCGCGTCCGTCAGATTCGGGACATCAGATCGGAGGAAGAAATTCCTGACGTCCTCGTTCCTTCGCTTACGGCCGGATTTGGAGAGCGGTTTGATCCTTCGATCGACCATGCGAGAATCTGGTTCGCACTGCTTGAACTGCCGTATTTTCGGCTGCAATTGCCATCCAAGACCTGTTAGCATCCGTGTTTAGTATGTCTTGATCAGAGCTCTGTGCAGACAAAGCACTGGCGGTGTGCATTGTCCCTTTTCCCTTTCCCCCTTTCCCGCGCTACTGCTTCGGCTTTCACCCTCACAGGAAGTATGGGTGCGTAGTGCGTCTTGTCTTCCTCTTGTGAAATGCCACATTGAGGTCCGGCCACCCCAACCACGCGCTACGTACCCGGTACGGCTACCATACAGACAATGCACGAGCGGACAGGGAGATAACATTCAGCGCTAACGACACTGATGACACTACACATTGGCACGCAAAACCTGCTCCGAGGAGCCGTTGTTGGCCACCTCAGACATTACTACGCCGAAAGAATTCCACCAACTCGAAGCTCGGAAAGTGTCAAAGGTGGGGCCTCATGCTGTGGAAAGGAAAGGACTAGTGTATCGACAACGGTGAACGACGCTGCGCAGGCTCCAATCAGTAATTGACGTTAGCCGAGGCGAAACTGCCTGGCCCACGTGGCTATACACACCAGAGTTTTTCAAGTTCTCAAGCAACAGAACTGGTGGAGACTGTGCGTGGTTTACCAGAGACGAGAAGAGCAACGGACCAGATGGCGTGCGAACTTGAAGTCAATCGGGAAGTAAGCAATCGATGAGTACGAAAGTTGGCATCCGCGGAGCGATGAAGTGAGAAACGCTAGTTGTCGTGTACCTTGTACGGCAAGGACGCACGAGTGCCTGGCATGAACTTTGACGCGAAAGTAATTTCACTATTTCAATGTAGCTGCTCGATCTGGCAGCCTTGTGGTGGCTTAGTCGCTCCATTGGGCAGCTAGGAAATGCGCGGATGGCCGGAAGCTACATATCCCTTTGCCGGGCAACATCAACCAAGGATCATCGATAGACTCAGTAGTACTTCCAAGGTTCCGAGCCGACGAGGCAGACTGCCGCTGGGTCGCACATGTGCATAGTGTAACCGGTCAGGGTCCACGCCTTGTGACAACTTCTCGAGGCGTTTTGGTCACGTGCCAACTTGACGTCCACGGGTGACCACTCATTGTACCAGATCGCGTTGCACAGAACCCTGTGTACATTGCGGATCTAGATGGGTGCATGTCAAGACTCTAGCATGCTGAGCATGCACTTTGGGATTAGAATCTTGCTCCACATTTATAGATTCTGCCTTGCGTTGACTGGCGACGCCACGACTGGTCCAGGAGGACGACGGATCTCAGAAACGGTCGCCTTCTTGACCTCGTCAATTCGGCTCTTGGACAGACTGATACCAGGCACAATCCACTCGTTGCAGCTGCATTGCATACCTTGCCAGGCGTATTTCCCTACGTTTGCATGGCACTTGGGACACTCGAGGCGCCCATCTAGTTTGCCTTGCTCGAGCTCCGGTCGCATCCATGAAAGTGGATCCAAGAAGTAGTGAGCGCAATTGCGAGATGTTGCTGCGATTGATGAGATCGGGCCCTGGTCAATGGTACTCTTGGATGTGTCGTGAGCAACTAGGTATTGTGATGTTGCGAGTGGCCGCCTGCATCTGTGTAAGCGCTGTATTAAAGTGGGCGGCAACGTCGACGACTATCCATACGCCTCGATCAAAGAGGTTTCACTGACCTGCATTTACGACATCTCAGCTCGAAACTCGCAGCCTGGTCGGTGACATGCTCGTCTTCGAAACGAATCTTCTCTGCTTCAGGGGCTTGACCGACCGCTCTACTCAGCTCGATCTCGCGCTGGTATACCCAGCGTTGATAGGCAGGCGTATCTTCCACACTGTCCGGCGTTTGCATTTGGCCGTACAGCTCCAATTGCTTCATGAACCCCTCGTTTGGCTCAACAATTGGTCGGGCTTGTTGCACTTGCGAGAGCGCTTCGAAGACGCTGATGTGGTGCTTTTGCATCAAATAAGCGATGACACATGTAGCCGATCGTGATTTGCCCATGGCACTAGAAGGATGAAAATGGTTGGCATGTTAAAATCGTGTGCCCAGTGGCTAAAGCAAGTGTGGCGAAGAGCAACGCGCGTTGAATCTAACAAGTTGAAGTGCGAAGCAAGGAACATGACAAGACTGGGTGCATGACGCGCGTGCAGATGTGCAATATTGATAGATGGGAGGCAAATGCGTGATGATGCAACTCGCCCTTTTGATGATGTTGATGTGGTTTGTATACCAAGACGGGATTCGTTGTGGATGGTCGAACATGCAGGTCTCAGCTGCACCGGGATCTAAACTTACCAGTGTACAAGCACCGCGCCACCGCCATCGAGACCGTCCTGGATGAAACGATTGGTGGCGGGGAAGTGCTCGAGCAGGTTCTCGTCCTCGACGTCGTCAACCTGGACTACGTGGTGTGTGTAGGGGCTGAAGAGGTCGTCGTCGACGGGCATGCGCAGCACGGACAGCACGTGCGTGATGTTAGCCTCGCGCAGAGCGTCACGCCGGCGCAGGGTGAAGATGCTGTCGATTCGTCAGCCTCTCAGACTCGCGAAACGCGCAGCGGAGGAAGATGACCGGGGCCCCGTACCCGCCGATGTAGAGCTTCAACCCGCCCGGGACTTTGTCGAGCAGGGCCATGGCGTCGGGTTGGCAAGCGGATGATGGTCGGGAGGCGGGCACAGGTTGATATTGAGTAATGGTACAATTGGACTCCGGACGGTGCGTTCGTGGGCGTGGGAGTCGACTGCTGCCGGTCGACGGTCCGAAATTTCACACCGAGGCTCACCGACTGTGCGTACCCGCCTCGGTTGACCACTGAGGTTGGCAGGCGCGACGGTGGAGATGCCTGCTTGGGACCAGCGCGACACACGACGAAACGGTGCAAATGTTGCTGAGTACCACGTCGGCGAGGTACGGGCAATGGACGGCGTTTAGATGACGCTGGCGCGCTCTTAACGTGCGGCACGGCGTGCAAATGTGCGGAGCGCCACGCTCAGCCCTACGCGCTTGATGCTCCGGCGGCGGTAGCCTCCCCCAGGCGAGGTAGTCGCTCACCAGCCGGCGAAGCGAACGACACGGAGCGCCAGACAGCACGCGGCATGGCATGTGTTTGATGAAACAGGGCGGCGCGTGCGGCAGGTGCATGTCACGGGGTATCAGGGCGGTGGGGGTCTGGGACCCGGGCAAGAGGCGGGCGCCACGGTACAGAGGGAATGGTGTCTGTTGGTGCTACGACGAACAGACGCAGCGACGAGCCCGCCCTTCGCTGGCCGCGGCGGAAAGTGACCGTCATGGTCGATGGCACTCGTCGCCCAACATGCACGAGAGGCAGCGTGTCACCCGCCGTGGGTGGGCATGGAGAGCATCCGATGCGGATCGCCGGTCAGATCAGCGGCCGGGAGAGGACTGCGGGTGCACAGGTGCTGGATGGTCGCGGAGGTCAGCAACAGCGACGGTCAGCGACGCAGCAAATTGGCCCGCCGTTGCGCTCGGCTGCAGCGTCGCCAGCCCTACTGCTGTTGACTTTGCTTGTTTCGTCAGTAGGCGAGCTCGGACCCCTCCCGTTAAGCTACCCGCAGTGTGCTTGGCCGCCGCCGCCATTCGAGGCAGAGACGGTGCACGCTGCTCCTCGCTCTGGACACTGGATGCAGGCCACGCCGTTGTCTTCTCGAGTCTCTCTCCGCCGGGCTGCATGCTGTGCTCCGCCCCGCCGCCGTACCCAGGCCATGTCTCGTTGCGCAGTGACGCTGCCGACGGGCTCAGGAGCAGAAGCGCTCCCAGTGTCCTCTGCCCGGCAGGAGAGCGGGTGAGCGGGCGTCCACGCTGAAGATAGATTGACTGCTTTGGCCCGGGCGCCGATGGGTCGACTGAGCTTTCGTCCCACGCTGCCGGGCAGCACCTGCGTGCGGTTGCCACTCGATGGAACCCTCCACGGCAGGGCCGCTCTCAAGGCTCAGACTTGCGAGGTGCAGCCGGACTCGACAAAATGGGCAGAAGCCTCAGGCTCCGTCTGACGGCCCGGCTCGCTTGCTGCGTGCTGCGTGCTGCGTGCTGCGTGCTGCTTGCTGGAAACCGACGGCGTGGTACTTTGAGCAGGGCGTGCAGACATCTCTCCATCCACATACCATGCGCCCACCCCCTGCAGCTCCACCAAGCCTACCCAGTCCGCTGAACCATCCGTGCCAGAATGGCTGGTCCGCCGCCAATCGCCTGGCCCGGCTACTTAGCAACCGTAGGCAGGGCCATGCCTTTATGCTGCGAGGCCCCCGTGGGATGCCACTGCGACCTCTTGCTCTCGGTCGTTTTCCACTCTGCAGCCTCTGATCAGAGTCTTCGTCCCTGCCAATCCTCCCCTGAGCCCGCGCCCTGCTGGACTGGAACCCGGATGCTAGCGTTGCTGTAGCGGCCTGCTGTTGCTAGCTCCCTGCGCTCTCGCTGCGGCCCTCTTGCTCTGGAGCATTCCTGCTGGGAGCCCGCGTCTGCGAATGGCACTGGCCGCCGCCTAGTCGCAGTGAACTGCTGAGAACAGCACCACCAAGCAGGCCTCAGCCCACCACGCCCTACCGTGGGTGCATTGTGCACTGTGAAAGCAGCCACCCCGACGACCCCAGAGCCGCACGCTGCTGCGTACACACGAGAGGGTCTGCATCCATCCGCAAGGCTCTACCTAGCGCTATTAGCCCTTAGCCTACCCCCGTAGGGCTGCCGCTGCCGCCTCGTCTCGACCGGATTGGACTGCATCGTTGGAGCGTGGCCCACCCGCCTCGTCCCCCAGGACTGGCCAGTGTCCACCCTGTGCAGCGCGTCGTCGCTCGCCGCGACCAGCCTACGTGCGTCGCCGACGTCTCTGCCCCTCGGTCGGCCTTCCCGCGTAGGTAGGTGTCGCAAGCACGCGCTCGACTCTACTTATAGGCCCGGCCTGTGCACCCTCCCACCTTCCCTAGGGCTGCTCGAGCAGTTCACCCTCAGCGCTCGCCACACTTGCGGCATTCCTGTGGCGACGCGCGCACGCTTCAGCTGCCCAGTGTCGACGGGTGCGTGTGCCCCTGCCTCCCCCGAGGCGACGTCAGACCTCACCGCCATCATGACCATGTCGCCCTCGACCCCGAGCATACGTATTTCTGGCTCCTCGCTGCACCACTACCCGTTGCCGCACCACCACCGCCCCTCCTATTCGAGCCCGTCCGGAGCCATGGCCATTCCTCGCGCGCGGCAAGAAGTCCCGCCTCCGCTGCCGCCGCCGCGCTACATTGGCGAGGAGCTGCGTGAGAGCGGTGTGGATCCGGGTTGGACTTGGGGCAACAGCACAAACTACTCGACGGATACGGGCTTCAAGGGAAATCGATACGCCGCCATCAAACCGGGCTCGAGTCTGCTGAGTGGAGCAGCCGGCCCTCAGCCCTCGCACGAGCACTCGGCAGAACACCCTTTTGGTTCTGCAAGGGAGTCGCCTAGCGACAGGTCTTTTGACGACGCAGACAGCCTGGAGCAGAGCGACGAAGACTACGGCGGGAAACCTCGGCAGAGACCCTCGAACCACAGGTACGTATCCAAATTTGCCTCGTCGCTTCACTTGCCCTTCGGCCTTGCCCGACCCTCCTGCGTCTGCCTCATGCCACTATGACCCAGGCCAAGACGCAGAGTGCGCCCATCGCTGTGCCGTACGTTGCAACAGGTCTTCCAGAAGTGTACGCGCAGGTCGTGTCTGGCGTCCACCCGCATCCATGGTACAATGGCTAACACACGTCCGCGCAGGTTCACTAGCGAGCGACAACTGGGACAAGGACTTCTTGAGACGTCGTCTCACGCGTACGACAAGCAGCTCCTCTCAAAGATTGGCGGTCCCAATACACCCACGAGGACGGCCGCGCCACCGCTCCCAGCCACCTCTCAAGATTCCGTGCCAAGCACGCACACATCCTTCAACAAGCTCAACGGGCAATTGAAGCCTCTCTCAGTGCCCGATCGCCTACAACAGCCTTCGCTCGACTCGCCCGTGTCCCGGTGGCTGCCCTCTGGTGCTGTATCGCCTGGCTTTTCCGGTTTCCGCAGTCCCGTGTTCGATGCTGGCTCCGCGGACGCACATCAGCGGAGATTCGGCAGCATATCCACACCTGGGCTAGATGACAACAGCTCAGTCCATCGCGGCAGCTACGACCACAGCATGTTCACGGATTCCGAATTCGGCGTGGAGGAGAGCGGCATGCGGGATCTGAATATCAACGACCGCAGCCCCGCAGGGTCCGACGAATACCACCAGGGACCAAAAGGCGGTCTAAAGCGACGTGCTTCGTCCCCTCCCTCGGAAGCTGCGCGTGAGGATCGGCCTACGGCTGGTGGCAACACCGACCTGTATCACCGCCGTTCTGCGCAGATGCTCGTCAGCCGCAATGCGCCGCCGCCCACGAATACGGCACGTTATCCGACTCTCCACGGGTCACAAAATCAAGGGTCGCTGTCCTCTGTGTCAAGTCTCAGTCAACGCACGGCGTCTTTCGCTTCTTCCTTTGGGTTCTCTGCAGCCAGTAGTTTGACCAGTTATAGCGGGGATCAACGTCTCTCGCCTAGCGCGCTGTCCCCCTCGGCGGATGTGGACTTAGGCCCCGTCTCGCCATATGCAGCTAACAGGTCACTAAACCCTAGCCCGCGTGGTTCGTTATCGAGACCGCACCACCAGCGAGGTCTCTCCGAAAACGAACATCCCCAGATACACAGCGTGCGGAAGATGTCCACGGACAGCATTCTTCAGTCGCGACAAAACTCAATTGTTGGCCGTCTCGGGTCGTATATTTGCGAATGCTGCCCGAAAAAGCCGAAGAAGTTTGAAAGCGAAGAGGAGCTCCGGTAAGAAATACCCGGCACTTGCCCACCGCCATTTCATCAAAACATGCTGACAGAAATCCCAGCGTCCACGAGCTCGAGAAGCAGTACACGTGCCAGTTCTGCCCCAATCGCTTCAAGAACAAAAACGAGGCCGAGCGACACCAGAATTCGCTCCACTTGCGACGTCATTCATGGTCGTGCGCAGCGCTTGCAGGCGTTCAAGCAGCTTTCCACCCGTCTCCGACTCATTCTGGCGTCGCCGATGTCTGTGGGTATTGCGGTGAAGAATTCCCGTTGCCACCAAATTGGGACGCCCGCACAGAGCACCTGAATCACGTGCACAAGTTCGGAGAATGCAACCAGGCCAAGAAATTTTTCCGGGCCGATCACTTTCGACAACACCTGAAGCATAGCCATGCTGGGACAAGTGGGAAATGGACCAACATGCTGGAGAACGCGTGCATGAAGGACGAGCCCCCGCCAAAAGAGCGTGTTGGCTCCATTGGCTCCATTGTGGGGCCGTCTTCTACCCCACTCGCAACCAAACCAGGCACTATTAACGAAGTACACGAAGAATCATAAGGCGTTGGACGGCTCGGCTTGATTTGCGTTCAGCGTAGCATCTAAGCATACGGGGTCGAGGGCTGCATTTGCTGCATTGTGTCAGCTATTTTCCAATGCGCTACCGAGGAGCGTTACTTTCTTCATCACGGCTTGCCGACGACAACCCACCCCTTCCGCATTAGCGATCCGTAACCCCCTCGACCAAAATATCCGGCGTCTTCTACATGACCTGTAATGTCAGTTCAGCATTCTTACTTTTCGGTATTATCACGATCTCACGACCATTCCTATATTTGCGTTTTGCTTTTGGCCGCCAAGTAGTCGCTCGCGACTCTACGAAGTTTGCTTGGTGCATTGGAAGGAGTTTCGGTAGTGCGGAGGTCCTGGCCGGTGTGTTTTGGCGCTCATAGATAGTTTCCACACCGATCATTTGGGTATGTTGGAGGGCATGGCGAGTTCAGGATTCGGCGCGGCCGGCAGCATCATCATCATCATCATCATCACCATCATCACTGCTGCCATCATCATCATTCATCATCACATCACGTAATGGACATGCCAGGATACCATCTCCTTGATTTCGAGCGGCGCGGTCAGGCACATGAGGATGCCATGGCAAGGCAGATAGTTCATACGTTGAGAGACTCGAGGACCGATAGATCAAAACATTCAGTATTATTACACTGCTTTTGCGGTACTCTGAATGCTCGCCCACGACCCAGCCTTCTCCAAAGCCAAAAGCACAGACTTTACCCCTTCCAAGTCATACCACAAGTCACACATCCACACCCTCCCCACCGGGCCATCACTGCCTGCTCCCCGCGGCCTCGTCCATGCGCAAGGGCGCGCGACCGGCTTACTCTACAGTCTGTACGGCGCGCCAAGCCCCATGTCTCGGGGAGGCAGACCGATGGCCGGTCGCAGACGCAGATTCTGTGCGACGAGTTGGCCAGCCGTGGGGGCGCTTGCTCACGCGTCCTTCCAGTGAAGGACAACGACGAAACAGCTACGGTACATGGCATGGGCAGCTGTCTACAGAGCAGAGCAGGCGCCAGACGCAAGGCCCCCCGCCCGTTCGCCTGTCCAGCCCCGTTGAACCACGTCCACCCAGGCGTCAGTGGTCCCCGTCCCGCGTGTGCGCGCCCGCCTGCGCTCCATCGGACAAGCAGACATACACGGACTGTACCGCATGCCGCGCGGCTACCCGGAAGAGCTAGTCCGGCGTGTGCGATGTGGCACGACGCGATGAGGGACGGGAGCTTTGCGTTGCGAGGGTGCTAGCGCTTATGTCAGAGGGTGCGTGTGTTGTTGTGTGGTGGACTGTGGACTTGCAATCGATTGCCTCGAGCTGTGGTACCTGCTGGACTTGCAGGATGTGCTATGGAGCGAATACGGGTTTGAAACAGCATATGGGCAGTGTGTAGGCGGAGAGGCGTGTGTTAGTGGTAGTCAAGATACTGGGGATGGACGAGATGGGCGACAGTGACTCGGTCGTCCACGCAACGCACATGTGATTCACCCCGCTGCTGCTTCGGGGTCGGGCTGCCGAGCATCGGTGAGTAGTAAGCGTGTCGATGGGGCGTAGGGCATCGCTGTGCGTGATCGATATAACGGATCGGTGTAGGCCATGTTCTGTGTGACACGTCCTCGTTTATCGTGTAAGAGGGCATCGCCAAGCTGCGTTGACATGTATTGAGGCTATGTGTGGATCTCTCAATCTGGTAGTCGCCATAAGCAAATGCTGTTGCGGGATATTGCCGTGTAGCCATGGGTATGGCGGAAGCATCCGCGCTTATGCTGCCAGTGCTGGACGCCTTTGCTGGCTGTGCGTTACCGCGAACTGAGGTCGACTATCCCCACATTATGCAGACAGGCAGTTGGTGATCAGGGTTGGAGAACGAAATGCGACCCGAACTAGATGCCAGAGTCTATGCTGCCTACTTTGTTCTACTTTACGCGAGTATCCTGACTTTCCGTTTGTGTAAGGCTGAGCTGTCTCTTGGCGAACACGTTTAGCTTGCCTCTCGATCGTAACGTATCTTCTAGTGTTCGAGCACTCAGACACTCTACCAGCAAGTAGCGTGCAGATCGCAGACGGCGTCGCGGAGCGCGCCGTTGTACATGAATAGTGGCCCGTCCACGTCAAGAGCGGAGAGGCGAATATTCTATCGGGCCTTTACCCAGCGGTGTGCGAATTTCTTCGGCGGAAGGGGTTCTGATGCAACGGTGAAGGTACATCGTGCTCGTTGCGTCTCGGGATGGCCCGAGCGAGTCAATGATCGCCAGGCCTTCGAAGCCGAAATACGTACCGTATGGTTCCTGAGTGACGATCCGGACGCCCTGGCAGAGCAGATCCGCTGGATCATCGTCATCGGATCGTGCACAATTGGCCGCGGCCATAGTGGCAGGGAAATATCCATGCAGGCCGTTCCGGACTTGCCATGCTTTGCTTGCATGCTGCACCTTTGCCTTCACGAAGCCCACGAGTGGATACGAAGAAACCATCCCGCACTATCTCGTATTCGAAACAAGTCTGCATACAACGTCTTGGCCGCATCAGCCCTAGGATAACGTTTATGGGGCCGCTGTTATTGTCGGACGCTCCGAGAAGGATGGGTTCTTATGCTTGTAGTGTACTAGTGAAGGCCACGGCGGCCCTGATCACCGTGCTTGAACGGTACGTGGCGATGTGATGTCCATAGCACGTACCGTCTCGTAGGGCTGACGGACCGTTTCTGCTTTTCTCGCTTAGTGGAATGCTGACGGCGGGCCGAAGTGCTGCTTTTGCAGGTTGTGGACAGAGTGATTTATAGATTAAGGTATTTTTTGGCGTAAGCGGGGTGCGTAGTCAGAGCAGGCGCAGGCGAGACTCGGACACTTCTTCAGCATCGTCTGTAGAAGAGGTAGCCGAGTGTCGGGACGTGTGCATGGCTGATCAGCAGCAAAATACTCCACGAGTATGAAGCGCAAGCTAATGAATAATGAAAAATAAAGCAGATCGGGGTTCATGCTAATGCTTGCCATATGCAAGTCAATGGTCGGGCGTATTCTCCACAATTGCACAATACTGATGTTGGGTTAATCGATCCTGCAGCGGACAAGCGCTGAATGTGGACAGTTCTGGAGGCTCGCGATGGAGCGGGAGAACGACCATCTCTTGCAGCAAATACGTAATTTCAAGGGAGATCCATGCTGCAATTCCTTGAAGTGTTCTCGAACTAGGACTAGACAGAAAACCCTTGATTTTATTGCCTGCTCGAATTGTGTCTGTCTTCCAATACCCGGCGGGAAAAGTGGTGTTGACTTGCGAATTGGGGAAACAAACGATCCAGCGCTCGAAGCGGGTAGAGGGTACAGGGATGCTCCAAGCCGTCCCTCGGACTACACATCTTCTATCTCGTCAAAGCGGGAGGCAGCTGGTGTGGACGGCTGCATGACTCCGAGAAGGTCCGTCTACACAATCAACATGCAGGTATGCTCGAAACCGGAAAAAGGTGCCTATGCGGGCCGGGAATCTCGTTAAGCTGGCAGCTTTACGCGAGATCTAGCCCTATGAGGGAGAGCACGTCTTCGGCTTCCAAGCTTTCGCTTGGTCTCCTACGCGCAAGGCTTAGCGTTGGAGGCCTGAGCGGGATGCAACTCAGTCTGCTGCCAAGTCAAACACTCTTTATGATTGGACAGCATGTCCGATCAAGCAATCTCTGCCTATAAACTGGTGTCAAGCGGTGAGCGTAAGTAATGTGCTGGCATTTGAACGGACCGCCAACATTGCGAGTGATATCGCTGCTTATCTTGTGTAAAAGCAGGTTCTGCATGCGGTGATGTGTGTTACCTCGACAAGTAAAAAGGTTACATATGTCCGAGCTGACCATTCCAGATGTACGTTTGGTCCAATGAGGCGTGTTATTTGCACAAGCGTTCCGCGAATACACCACCAGTCCATAGAACATGACACAAGCTCAGACTTGCGAATATCAGAACACTGTGGCGTCTATGCCGCTGCCGAAGTCGGATGTTAGACAATCGCCTGCCAAGACCACTCTTCGCGAGTACGTACGTGCGAATAACGCGGAGAAACTACATTGTTCAGATCTCTCATGAACACCAGAAGCGTGTGAAAGTGGAGAGATCCAGTATTGGCTTTGCTGCCAGTATCAGCCTAGAAATAACAGCGTAAGCAGAAGCGTGGAGAACGGACACTGTAAGCTGCAGTCTTTCTTCGATGTGCTCATCTCGAAATGCTGTACAGGTCTGTATTTGGTAGTCATATCATAATCGGCGCCCCCCTTTCTCTCATGGTGTCTGTTATCCACGTTCTCAGCAGTGAATCAAAGCTCAAGTGCTGTAAAACAAAAGCTACATGCTGACGGCAGTAAAGAAACGCGAAAGACCCTGGCACTTGTTGCAAGCGAGTATTGGCTGGCTTGTAAATGATGAGCTCACGAGTGCCAAGAATATTGCCAGCTCATCTTGTATTGTTCGAAGAAGCTCCTGAAAGGAGCCTCCACAGCAATGAACCAAAAGAGCGTTGCGGGAGCGTGTGCGGAGCAGAGGCAGGCGCCGTGGACGGGGACGCGGACAGGCTGGCTTGGGCAGCAGCGCTGTCAGACGGCGACGAGGCGGGCGCTCCTGAGGCCGGTGGTCAAGGGAAACCGCTGGGTGGCGAAGGAAGATTTGCGGGATTGCTCAACCTTTCACGGTTACGTTTTGCAGCCTCTGCGTTACGTATCCTGTCGATGCGCATTTGGTAAAAGTTTCTGCGGGTATCAGCCGGGGCTAGTCTGAAAGACGGGACGGAAACTAGCTGTACTTGTTCAGAGTGAATATGCGGGGCCCCAGATCGACCTGAGCTTGGTCTTTTGACTTTGAGAGCTCTTTGATCTGCAGCTATGGTCAACGATATGGTCTTGGGTTTACATGCAGTAACAATTCAAACCTTGTCATCCTTCGTTTTCTCGTCGCTTTTGTCCTCCTCTTCGTCGGTCTTATTAGCATCCTTTTCCTTTTCCTTGTCTTTCTCCTTCGCTTTGTCTTTGCGTTTCTCGCGCTTTATCCGCTGTTTCTCCTCGTACTCTTTCTTCACTTTCTCGATCTCAAGGTCAAGCTCCTCTTTCTTTTTACGAGCCGCAGCTGCTGCGGCTTCATCTGCGTCAGGCTGGCAGAAGCCACGGTCTGATAGATGCCCAATGCAAACATAAAAGAAATCCTACGACTGTGAGTGTAGTCCAGTCTATTACGCGTGGAGTCATCACCTTGTTGTCCGGCGTGATCAAGACGCTAGTCGAGGGCTTGTAGCAGATCCAGCAGGCTTTGGCCGAGCCATCAGCGACCTTGCGATGGTGCCACAAGTTCTTGATTGACATTTTGATGGGTAGTATGCGGATGCAACAATGAGACTGCCCCACCGTGAGTGGGCAGCCGGTTCAGATGTTACGGGACCTGTCCACCCCTTTGTGTGCAATCACTACCGATCCGTGTTGATAGGATCTCAAGAGTAGTTAATCGAGCGGATCGGCGAGGTTGCGAAGATGGTCGAGAGGGAACTGTGTCACGCAAGAGTGACTTGTCGTTAGGGTTGTGTGGCGTTGTGAGGCTAAACTCATTCCCAATGTGGTCTAGTGTCACAATCGCTCGATCCTCAGGCCGGCCTTTTGTGATTCATCCCCTTCGCGCCAATACACATGTCTCTGGGCCCAGCATCAAGGTTCATTCAGAAAATTACATCGCGAAGCCCGTCTTGTGTGACTTCTCAGGTCCGACTCGTAGGCAGCGTCGATCGGTTCCAGCCCCGGCTCCTCGGTACGCCACCTTAAGGGAAATTTCAAATCCTCGTCACGTGTATTAACCCGCACATAGTTCCGCTACCTCACAAGAATAGAAGAATACAGAGCACCCTGACCATGGGCAGTAAATCACAGTTTAAGTACATTGATGTTGGTCCGCTGAGCCCTGGTCTGCCCTGCGACTCTTCGCTGACCAGTCAAGATTGGCATCAACCTCACAGATCCTATATTCCGTGGTGTACATCATGGGACTCAAAGGCATGAGGACGACTTCGAAGATGTAATCCAGCGCGGTCTCGATGCAGGCTGCAAGAAGTTCATGGTTACAGGCTCAGATCTGAAAGAGTCGGAACACGCAATCGACATAGCCAAGGCCCACCGTGAGTTGACCCGCTCAGTGCTGCGCACGAAGATTTCGTTCACCCCTTCCACACACAACCAGATACACGACTTGAAGAAACGCGACATGCCCTTTCACTCTTTTCCATCCCAGTCTTTGATGCATACTTGTATCTAGTATGCAACCAGGCTTGTTCCCTCTTATTCCATGTTCACCCGTTTCATCGCAGAAATCATGATACTCGGATGCTAACGTCAGTCAGCTGGACTCTGCTACGCAACTGTAGGCGTCCACCCATGCTCCGCAAAGCACTTCGACTCTCATCCAGGTGGACCCGAGGCCCTCCTCGCGTCCCTCAAAGAGCTGGCTCTTTCGGGCAAAGAGGCCGGCCATGCCGTCGCTTTCGGCGAAATTGGCCTCGACTACGACCGCCTCTTCCTCACGCCGAAGGAACAGCAGCTCAAGCATTTTGAAGCGCAACTTCAGATTGCCGTCGAAGTCCAGCTCCCATTATTTCTGCACTCCCGTGCGGCAGCCGAGGATTTCGAGCGCTTACTGGGTGCTCGGCTGAGTGAGCTGCCGAAGAGAGGCCTCGTGCATTCCTTCACGGGCACAGTGGAGGAGATGCAGAGGATTGTGGGCATGGGATTCGATGTTGGGGTGAATGGATGCAGCATGAAGAGCAAGTTTGAAGACCTGATATGCGACGGTACATGCTGACAAAAATATCTAGCGGAGGAGAACATCGAAGTGGTTCGCGCCGTCCCACTGTCCCACCTACAGATCGAGACGGACGGACCCTGGTGCGAGATGCGGCCCTCTCATGCTTCAGCTAAATTCCTGAAAGACGCACCTCCGCTCCCGAAGGCTGTCAAGAAGGAGAAGTTTGTCAAAGGTGCTATGGTCAAAGGGAGGAACGAGCCTGCGACAATCCCGCATGTAGCATATGCGATCGCAAAGATTAAGGATGTCAGCGTGGAAGAGGTCTGCGAAGCGTGAGTGTTCAATCAAGATTGAATGACAATGACAGTAGCTAATCAATTTTCAGGGCCTGGTGTAACTCCATCAAGATGTTTGGTCTGGGAGAGCAACTGGAGTAAAAGCTTGAGCACAATAGCTAAACCCCTTCGCTGGCTGGGAACAATATAGTATAGCGCCGAACCAGGTAATTGATACATGGTCAAAAAGTTCCGGTCTGGGTTCGGGGTTACTCCGTAAAGGCTTCTATGGAGCTCGATGAACAGAAAACGTGGACGTCTCCTTTCTATTACTTCGAACAGCGCTAGTAATTGGCCTACTAATTTATAGAAGCACACGGTACGCAGACTTGTGTCCTGATCCTATACCTATTCAAATACAATTTCCTGACCCGATCAGCGCGAGGACACGACGCCAGATCACAAGAACCAGGCTACGACACCAACCACTACGCCGAGAATCCCGGTGACAGAACCAGCGTTCAACGAGTCTGCAGCACCGGTGTTCGAAGCAGATGCACCTGACTTCGTCGCCGAAGCGCTGGAAGATCCCGACGGCGCCTCAGACCCGGAAGCTGTTGGGGTAGCACTCGAGGAGCTAGAACTGCGATAATACTGTCAGCATGGGACCATACCCCTCGAATTTAGGCTGGTACTTACCCTCCACTCTGCGTTGCCGATGGGCTGCTGCCAGTCAAGCTAGCGATTTGCTCGTCTTCCAATAATTCGCCGCCCTTCAAGCTTTGTGGAGCTGAAGATTTCCCGGCATTCTTCGCTGCGTCGGCGTACGCGCTGATGGTGTTGCCGCTGGATGGCGCATTCCAAGCTCCTACCATACCACTCTGGCAGTGCTGTGGGACGGCGCAGTAGTACCACACCTGTATCAAACTATTAGCTTCGGATCTTCCGGTGTGTGTTCGACGCTGCATATACATACCGGGTCCTCGCTTGTGACGTTGACTACGTACTTCTTCTTGCCATTGTCTGTCTGGCTGAACGGGCCGCTGAACCAGCTGTTGTCGTTGAATTCGCAAGGCTTATCGAAAGACCCTGAGACGACGTTATGGCTCGGATAAAGGTGGAAGATTACGGTATCGCCTTTCTTGGGATTAAGGGTCTGAGGCTCAAAATTGAGACCGTCTTCACCGACATCGACTGTATGGACCTCGGAGTTTGCAACTGTGGCTACTGCCGCAGCAAGTAAGGCACGGTTGATAAGCATATCGAGTTTGCTTTCTTCTCCGTTCTGGGACAACTTTAATTGGATTGGGATGAATAGAAGACTAAAGCGTGAGCGCAATTGAGCAATTTCTAGGGATGGACGTCTTTATAAAGGTTGCAGACCCCTCCTGCTGAAACAATAGACTCCAAGATTGGACTTCTGACTTGCGTGTGTGCAAGCCGTCTGTGTGGCGCGACGTTACACGAGCTGCGGGGGTTCGTTGTCCTATTGACGATCACCACAGCATTCCAACATTCCAAATGCGGAATGATGAAGAGAAGGCGAAGCTAGGCATTGAGGCTGTGCAAGCCTCTTGCGATGTTTAAGGAAATCAGTCTTGTGCACACTCCGGAGAAGCACCGTACCTTGTAGTGCCGAAGAGTAGCCCCTTCATTTCCCCTAGGGCTGTGTTGTCAATTCTATAGTCTCGCGGCTTACAGTCTTAAATGAGGGAGTGATGAGAGCAACAGAAAGAGTTGGCCTTTGCCTTCAAGAGGCGAGCTGAGTTACCATGCAACAATTGATACGAGGTCTGGCTGCGACGCTAAGCCTGTTCGCACTCTAGCTCGCCTGATTCGTGAACCTCGACGCCATTTTCGTTTACACTTGCCCAAGCTGCCAGTTTGCTTGTATGCATGTAAGCTATTTGAAATCCAAGAGCAAGCTTCTTTGCTAGAACCTTAGCGGATCTTAATTCTGAGAATTACACAAATGCACGAGCGGAGGATGACCGCACGTGTACATGTATGTAGTTATTGTTTTCCAGATGCGGAAGTCAGTGTGGTCGTATCTCGGCGGCTTTATGTGGTTGTAAAGCAAGATACCATAGCAGAGCTTTCCCCGATAATCTCGCTAACGATCAAGAATATAGCGCGAGCCGAGAGCATCCGAGCGATGTGGAAACAATTCCTCCGCCAGTGATTGGGATAAAGACTTCTGCTATGCTGTGTGGGAGATGACCAATTATGGAAGTCACTCTTCCTCGCGGACGTATGCGCACCGACACGTACCGCCTCATTCCGTCACAATGAAAGTTCGCGATTGCCATCCCCCGCAGTTTCCTCCTGTACGCAGAACGTCACCCTGTGCCAGAAAGACCAACGACATGTTATTTGTTACGATTGAAGGGCATATCGAAGACAAAGGCCAACATGGACGCTATTGGGAGCGCACCTTGGTGGACGGCGCAGCACGATGCCGGTGAACCAAGGTCATATGAGACGCTTCGTCGTTATAGTCCCCGTCGACTTTGTGTATAAGGCTTCCAAAAACGTCATCGACATGCTTCACCATACTCCCGTGGGTGTCTCCCTCATACTCATTCAGTACCGCCCCCGGGACCTTCCTAGCCATTGCTCGAATCCATTCGATTGGTGCATTTGTATCCTTTGAACCATGCCAAATGGTGACCGTATTTTCAATCTCTTCGAGCCGGAAGCCCCAAGGCTGCGAAACGAGTGCAGCTTCCTGGACTACGCCCTCTGAGCCCTGATGAAATGGTTCAAAAATTGCCTTGAGCAAGCGTTCTCTGCTTGCCGTAGCAGTCCAATTCTCATCTGCCTCTTGCTGTTTTAAAGTACCAAGCGCATCCCTCTCCCATGCGTTCTTAGACTGCTTCGCCTGCCCCACGAACCGGTCCAGCCTCTTCTGAACCCAACTCCATTTCACAACCCTCTGTAACCCAGCCACAAACGCATCGGTGACCACACGTAGGGTACGAGGTATATTCCTCGCTAGCCATCCAGTCACTCTGCTCGGCATTGGCACGAGTCCAATGTCAGTCTCCTCATATGTTCCCATTCCAGAAAGGATCCCTACACCACTCAGAAGCTCTTTCGGTAGCGCTCTGGCACAAGCCAACGCATAGGGTGCCCCACCCGACACACCGAGAATCCCAAATCGTCGAAGATCGAGATGCTGGGATAGAACCCTCACATCTTCGGCATGGTCCAGGATGGCACGGTTGGCGACGAAAGATGAACGACCTATGCCAGGACGATCAAGCGCGATTATTCTGATGTTTGCGCGGGAGGCTGGTACGTCGAATGCCATGCCTTCGAGTCGGCACATTGGGAAGCCATGCAGATAGATAACGGGCCGACCATTTGGTTTGCCATATTCGGCGAAGGCGAGCCTGTGGCCTGAGGGTAGTACCACGGACTGGAGTTCTTTCTGTAGCGTATATGCGGTCATCGCGATGTGTAGGTGTATGTGGTCTGCAGGTAGTGGCTGCCTGGACGGATAGCCAGCGTCTTAAGTACGGACAGAATCATATTGGCATTATAGTCATTCAACCGCACGATTGGTCTGTTCGTTCTGTCGTTGTCAAAAGAGTATGAGGGAAGAACAATATTCCGCGTGAGCGCCGAAAGAGCGCGAGAAGTGCGAGGTAAGCTAGGCCAGATGGGGTTTGGCCAATGCAGGGGGGTATCGCGAAGATACGGAGCAGACGCCGCAGCGGCAGCACTCAGCGCCGACTGTCCTCACCGGACGTACTCTAGACGCTTGAGAGCCGCGTACTGCCTCATGAACAGCATTTCATTTTCCTTGATGGTCTAACATGATTTCAACCATCAGATATTATGCTTGCATCATCCGAATCGGGAGCATGCGTTGTGTGAGATTGAAGTCGTCTGAATGCTTCTCAATGAGAGGCATTACGCACACCGATTGTTGTTGTTCTGGACGGCTAAGATGAAATCGAAGCTATATACCAGGTCAATGATGTTTATGACCTTATCTTGGTGATTTTGGCATAACGCTTAGGTTTGGTTGGCAGAAAGAGAATGGATAAAAGAAGTGCGACCGTTTCTCATGGACTCTAGAATTTCAACTTAATTCAGCACCGACCCCGGGGCGCGGGTGTGGAATATATAAATTTGACCAAAGAACTTTCAATATTCCTGTCGTGCTCCTGCCAATCAGCCCTCAACAGACTGCCCACTGCATTTTTGACCTCTCGAATCGGAACTCTCTCCAAGCAAAAGTCAAGAAAGCATCGAACAAGATGCGAATACGAGCTTTTCTCCTTGCCACACAGTTCTGGTGCTATTCAGTCACCGCACTCTCCTTTGGAAACGATTTCAACGGCACTATCCCCTCGATTCTCGGCATCACGAACTTTTCCTATCCTGCCGCTTCTAGCAACATTGGTTTCGGCTACGCAGACGGCGTGGTGAACACTGACTACCACCAGCCCTGGCCCCTCGTCAAAATGTACAAATCAAGCGTGCACCTAATCCGCTACTGCTACGCCGACCAAGCTTCCAAAGACGCGCTCCATTGTTCCTGGCCCGCGGCAGAAAACCTTTGGCAAGATGCCCTCGGCGGCAAGCCGAGTAAAGAGACGGGCTACAATCTCCACTTCGTGCAAGCTTGGGCCGCTGGAGAAACCCAATTCTGTTATGCGGAAGGCACTTACGACCCGAAGACAGCTCAGGGCACGTGGAATTGGAAGCTGCACAATCGGCAGGATGCGCTTGTAGTGGCATATCGGCCTGTCGATGAGAAGGGCAACAAGCCTGCGACCTCAGCAAGTTTGGGATATACGCCTGAAAGCGCCTTGTTTCCGTGGCAGAGTCGCCAGGCGAGGCATTACATTCAGATTAGCGACAAGGACGACGAGGTCAGGATCGCGCATGAGCTGGGCCATGGTGAGCAGTATACCCTGCTCGAAGACACCTTGCTAACGATATTTCAGTCTTGGGACTTTTGCACGAACACCAACGCTCTGATCGAGACACGGTAATCGAATACCGCCCCGAGAACATCGCTGGTTACACCGAAGCCCTTGCCGCCGCCATCAAAGACAAAGTCCCCGAAGCCGAAGCCCGCCAAAAGCTCCGCGACGACGTCCCATGTAAGATGATTCCTCCGCACGAAGTACCTATGTCTAAGACATAGGTACGTAGCCAGCCCCACTGTTCTGACTTGACTTGACTGACTTCGTACCTGCGCTTGTAGTCTGCCAGAAATACAATTTCCGCGGCTCCGCATACGTGAAAAACGCAGACCAGCCCGGCCCCATCATCGGCGACCACGCCCAGGGGCCTCTAGATTTTGACTTCGACTCCATCATGATCTACCCGTCCGACGCGCAGACCGACACCGCCGCCTGCCGCGCCGACCTTGCTCACTGTCCCATTGTACGCCGTGCGGGAACGAGCAGCGACGGAAAGTCGAAGTTTGAGTATATTGCTGCGAAGGGAAAGCCGAGTGCGAAGGATGTCGAGTTTGTGCGGAAGCATTATGCATGGCGGGAGGAGGAGGTGAGCCAGCGGAGGAAGAGGAGCTCGAGGGAGGTTGGGGAGGTGAAAGTGAGTTTGATCTAGATTTGTCACGTTCCCAAGGTACAAATCAAGATTAGACGATCGAATTCGGAGGTACAGCGCGGAATGGGTGGCTAGATGGAGCCCATCTACAGAGTCAGCACCATGTATATGGATGAACTATGGCACTGCGCGATTAGATTATCGGCAAGTAGGTTCCAGGTAAAGAGTTGATTATGTATGCCGTGCGCGACTTCACTGTCACACACGGGCAATGCCGTATCTACATGTACACGATGCGGAGCGATATGACTACAATATGGTACACTTGCAGACGCTGAAGACACAAGAATCCACCAATGCGCTAATATGCAACGCCAGAACGCCTCCAACTCAATGCCAAACACAAGCGGAGTGCGCAACAAGCATCAAAGAGCCCTACTTCTTCGACACACTGACGAACCTGAATCCGGGCCTAGACCCAGGCTCAATCAACGGCTTGAGATTCAGCCCGCCCTTCCCATTAACGCCCTCCTTGGGCTTTATCAGCGGCGCAAACTCCGGCGGCGCCCACCTCCGCTTCTCCTTCTCCTCCTTAGCCTGGGCCTCCATTTCTTTTCTTTGCTCCCGCCGGACCCTGGCCTTCTCCAGCTCGTGCAGCACCCGTCGCTGGTCGTGCACCCTTGCCAGATCCTGCAACAACTTTGAGTCCAGCCGCTCTTCTTCGTCAAAATGCTCCATCACCTCGCCAACCTTGCGCACGTGCTGCGCCCTCGCATACCCTCTGAGCATGACCTCGTATGTGAATTGATCAGGCTCGATGCCCCGGCTGCGCATGATTTCGTAGACGCGCTCAGCGGCTTGCATCTGCTGGTTTTTGAAGAAGCCCTGCATGAGGATGTTCCAGGTGTATACGTTGGGTTGCGCGCCGGAAATGGGCATATCGCGGATGACCTGGGAGGCGTGTTCAAAGTGATGGATGCGGCAGAAGGAGAGGAGAAAGGTGTTCCATATGATGGGGTTCTTGGCGAGCTTGCTGAGTATGGGGTCGCGGTTGGTTATAACCAGCTCAAGGAATTTCTCGTAGAGTGCCCAAACCTGCTCTTTGTCGGTGGAAGAAGCCTTGAGTATCTCGAGTTGGAGCATAATGTAAAGAGCCATGGGCGGTGGGTCCATGAATGTGGATTCGGTGAGGACGCCATCGGAACGAGCGCGGGAGGATCCTGCATGTACAGCCCAAAAAGGCTCCAGCGGGCGTGGAGAGAAGAACTGGAGATAACTCTGCAGAAGCTGTTGCGTTCGTCCTAGTGACGTCTCCGTGTTACGCGATTCGCGGTGGAGACGAACATACTGGTAGTACAGGTAGTCCGCTGCAAGCCAAGGATCCTTCATCTCTTTCGCAGTCTCAGCGCAGTAATCCGCGAAATCGTTAAATGCGACGGGTTCGGTTGTCATAGTGCATCCGTGGAGCAAGGTGGAGAAGGTGAACTTGTCAGGCTTGAGGCCGTTCTCGTCGAGCGTATTGTAGACTTTGAATGCAGTGTCGACGTCGCCCGCCTCCATTGCGTTGCGCATTATAACGTTGTAGAGAAGGATGTCGAGTTTGACGCCGAAACCCACAAGAGTCGCCACAATGCCAGTCGTCTCGTGATAAGCGTCCTTGTTCATCATGCTTCTATGGAGAGTCAAAGCGCACGACCAACGGAATTTCTGCTCGTTCGCTAACTGGACCCGGGCCTCGTCGTTCGGTGCTCCTTTCACGATGATCTCCAGGCATGAAAGGGCCTGCTCGAAATCACCAGCCTTGGCGAATGTATTGGTGTAATGGAGGAGCACATCGTGGCCAAGGTGTGTACCCGACTTCTTCATGAGCTCAAATATACGCCGGAAGTCTTCTAAACTGGCGAGTTTCGCAACACAGAATAGCAAGTCTTGTGAGCAGATGCGTTGGTGTGGCGCCAGATGCTCGCGGAAGATGTGGTAAAAGGTCGGAATGAACTGATCTTTGCTCTCCTGTAAGTTTTCTCTAGCGACTGATTTCCAAGACCTGTTCACGTAGCCTCGCGCCAAATTCTCGAAAGCATCTGCGACAATGCAGAGATCCAAGCTTTCGACGGAAGGACGGTGAGTTAAAGCTTGCAGAAAGTATTGTGCCCGATGGGGAAACTTGTCAAGAAGGTATATGAGCAGATGGGGCCAGTAACACTCCCTTATTTCATCGTCAAAGGTGTTCCAGTGTCTCCACACCTGATCAGGCTCGGTCGCAGCTCCACTACTAAACAAGCTGGCGGTCCAGGACGCACAATCTGGCAGATGTTGGAGGAAAATTGGTTGGGCGCGTCGATTCAATCTCGCATAGACCTTCCGGTCCAATGCAGCAAAGGCCATGGTAATGTGTTTCCTTCGCAAAGTATTGAACGGCTCGTAAAGGGTTAGGGTTCGTACTTTTGGTGCCGAAAGAGCGAGTATACGACGTTGCAGTGACCTGTACCGACCATCCATGATCTTTGGTTCTTTCTGGATCTGGGGTAATTCGCGACGCTGGTAAGCATGTAAGCTTTTGTGAATCACTTTCAACTGTCTCTGACGCCGCCCATCGGATATGGGAACAGTTTTCCGTCGTGCCGGTCGTTTCGATTGGCCTCCGAGTCCTGGTTGCGAATGGGCACTGAAGCGTTGGAACCCTTGACTTCTCCATGGAACAACTTTCCCCCATACTGAGACCACTTTGCGGATTGTCCGACGGGGAATTGCTCTCACTGCAGCCACCTTGCGGATTGTCCGACGGGGAATTACACTCATTCCCTCTTTCTCAGCCTGCTCCATCTTGAGTTTTCCATCCCTTTGAGATGGACGGAAAGATATGCGTCCTCCGGTCCGAGGAAGTGCGCCGTTCGAGCCTTCTGTGCTGTAGCTTCGCAGTTGCTGCCTCGCAAAGCTGAAGATGTCGGAGTATCGCGCACCGAGCGCTGCCCGCTCCTTCCCATTACATGCTAATACATTGCCTCCGCCACTCCGGCTCTTCGTCTCTTGTTCTTTCTGTGACCTCCTGTCATCTTGCCGGGTGTGGCGCTGGGCTTCGGCGAAGGCACGAGGGGCAAGGAACGGAAGGAGAGGCGAGGTGGCGCTGGTGGTCGGCCTGGCATTTCGAAGACAGGCGGAGCGCATGGGCGGAGGAGGGAGATGTGGCCTTCATCGAGCCATGACGCGCGGGACGGGATAGATGCTGGACGGAGGCGGTCGCGAGAAAAAGTTTAGGAGCGCGCACGGACGCGAGGTTCGAAGCTACCGAACGCGACTTCGACAACCGCTGCGTGACCACGACACCAAACGAGAGTTCTCAGAACCCAAGACAGGGAGTTTTCAGATAATCGCGCGATCTTGGGGATCATTTCAGAGGAAATAGTACCAAGCCAACCTCTTCGCGCCTTCCACGAACTTTGGCGCAACTGCCTCTGCGCTCGCAACCGTAATTCCGACGATACATTGGGACAACCCACTCCCGCTCTCCATATCGAGACGCGCCTCTTCCACACACACAAACCTTCGAGAACCACCCATCATGTCCTCCCACGAGAAGCTCTCGGCGGCAGCCAACGACCGCAAAGCCCGCCTCGCGCAACTCAAGTCCCTCAAGCGCAAACAAGCCCCCACCGACGAGTCCTCCGAAGACACTTCTACAGCCCTCACCACCACCTCCTCCACAGATCCTACGTCAACCGCCCTCACCGCCACCGAAGAGCCCTCCGCAACCGCCACCTACCTCTCCGGCCGCAACTACGACGTCACCACGCGCAACGTCAAGCTCGGCTTCGACGCGCTCCCCATCGCCGACCCGACCGCCACGCTAGAGTACAAAGCGGAGCAGCTTGCGCTCGAGGTCAAGACTGCGCAGGAGAAAGAGCGGGAGGAGGATAAAGGGCTGGATCTGTTCAAGCTGCAGCCGAAGAAGCCGAATTGGGATCTGAAAAGGGATCTTGGGGAGAAGATGAGGGGACTGGAGGTGCAGACTGAGAATGCGATTGCGAGGATGGTGAGGGAGCGGGTGGAGGGCCAGAAGAAGGCGCAGAATGGGGAGGGGAGCGAGGGGGAGAAGGTTGGCATGGAGGGAAGTGAATTGGTTGAGGTTATGCATTTGAAGGAAAGAGAGGAGGAGGAGGAGAGGCGGAGGGAAAAGGAGGACGAGGATGTGAGCTGAGCGGACACAAGACATGCATGGAAGACTAGTCTTTGAATTATGCGAGAGGGAGAGCGACGTGTCCGGCTCTACTCACGAAGAGTAGACAGGGACACTGGCGTTTGATTTTGTGACGCACAAAACTGCTCCCGGGGGATGCGGGAAGTAACCACGCGCAATGCCATGTCCGACCATTTCGTAGTATCGAGGGTATGCGGCTACTACAGAAGACCAAGAGAGTCAAATCCACAAACTGTTGGCTGCGAGCCAGCTAATCTACACGAAGCGCCAATAATGCCTGTTCCCGAACGTGCTAATGCTACCGTCTCCCACCACTACCCTTATGCTTCTCAACGAAACCCTGCCGCTCCTCCTGACATGGAAAGATGATATGCTACAAAATATCTTCAAGCGTGTGACTAGACCTTTCAGCGTCTCCCCTGCATTTGCTGGGTTAGGGCAACGCGCTTGCTGTAGGGACTCAAGCTACGCTCCCGCGGCGGAGCCGGCTGTGGTGGTGGTGCTCTCACAGGCTCGGGGTGACGGACCTCGGTGTCGAATCTGTGGCGTCCACTACGAGCGCTCCTGCCATCCATACCACCATTACGGCTCTTGTAAGGGCTCGGAGATCTCGACATGGGCCGCTTTGAGTACGGACTCCGGCTTCGTCTACGGTACGGTGACCTTGATCTGGATCGGGAATTCCGGACTGGGCGACCTATTGGAGAACGCCCGTTCTGAGGGTGAGGGCGGTCATCGGAGGTGTCCATACGATCCAAGCGGTTGGGGCTTCGAGATGGCGATCTGGACAGTGACCGACGTGATGACGGCTTCACAGGTGTCCTTTTGCTCCTGCTACGAGATCGACGGCCTCCTCTTCCCCTGGTATAGCTGCCACCTGGTGAGTGGTGCGTGCGTGGTGCCTGCCTTCGCAACCCCTCGTCGTGCGAGATGTCCATGGGGCTTGAGCGCGATCGCGACCTTCTGCGGCCTCGTTGTTCCGGACTCATAGAGCTCAGCCTCCGCCGTGTGTTGCGTTCTGTCCTGTCCAGCGAATGGTTTGACCCAGATGAGACAGACCTGCGACCTCTTTTGCGCAGCGTGTCCCCACCACGCAGCGATGCACTCCCATCCTTGATGCGCTTCGGCGACGGCGAGCGCGAGCGGTTCGTGGATATCGTAGAGACGGAATCGGAGTCAGACACGGAGGACGCCGAGCGCGAGCGCGAGCGCCTTCCCGAGGTCTTGCGGCGCTGCTCCTCTTTCTCAGCCAGTATCGTGTCGGCTAGACCCTTCTTGCTGCGCAGCAAGTCGCTAGGAACCTCCTCGGTCAACTTTGGCTTGAGCGATGGATTCAACAGCTGCTGGGTGCGCGAAGGCCGTGGTTTGTATGGGCGCTCCTGCGCGGAGACGGTGCATTCGTATGAGTAGTGGCCTTTTTGCAGGCACTTCTGGCAGGTGGTGGTTGGCGTCGCCTTGGAGCGGCCTCCATAGCCACCGCGGCGGCTGAACATGGCTTCCAGGCGGAGTTCTTGGTGCGTTCACGAGGGACAGTCCTGCGTTAGAGGCGGAGAAGATGTATTGCGGATCCTGACGTGACGCGGCGGAGGACGAGTCCCCAAGCTTTCTGCCTGGTTGCGGTCGTACGGTGCGGCGCAAAGTTGGCGCCCGTGGTTCAGGATCCGTCCGGCTCCCAGGTGGAGGGAAGTGGGCCAAACGGGTTCGAGGTGAGAGAGAGAGAGAGTACCAAGCAACTGGTAGGGTCGTGTCGGAGAGCGAGGCGACGCCTGGTGCCAGCGCAAGCAAGCCGCAACAGTTGCTGGCCGCGCGGAAGTGAGCAAAGTCGCTGCACGTGCATCGCGCCTGCCTGCCAAGCGCGCCCGCACGGATCTCTGGCGACGACTGACGAGCTGTATGATTCTGGCTCCACACTCTCACCCCGCCCTGCCAGCCCTGCGACTTGCGACCCCCGCTGCGACGCTTCTCTCTGCCACCGCGCTCCTCACTGCAGTCCCAGGCTCTGTGCGCTGCCTGCTGCTCACCACCCGCCGACTACCCCACACTGGCTCGAATGTCGCCTGTCCACCATGTGCAGCTTTCTGGCCATTGCAGCGACTTTCCTTGAGCAGCCTATTTCCTGAGACTTTTTACGAAAACTTCGAACACGTTCCTTTCGGTCTCCCCGACCACCTTGCGGCTTTCCGGCGTTGGCTTTGGTAGAATTCCGTGGGCCTTCGCAACTTTTCCTCGCACCCTCTGGCCTGCCACGCCGAAGCAGAGTCTCCCGGGCCTTTCCAATCATGACTTCCACCGTGCCACACGCCTCGGCTAGGCCCTCATTTGCAAAAGTGAGTGCACATGTAAATATGCTTGCTGTTCTGTTTCAGGCGTGTTCACTAATTTGCTCAGGTCGCCGCGCAAACCTACAAGCCGCAAATCCTCAAAGAGCAGGCGCCTAGCGTCAAGCCTCCGGTCGCAAGCCCGCAGCCCGCGATCCCTACCAACGTAACCAAGCCGCCGAATGTTGGCAGCGCACCGCCCACTGAGCCAAAAGTGGAGCTGAGTGAAGCGGCCGAAGATGCTGGTAACACAGCTCCCCGCTCTGCAGATTCGGCCAGTGCGAGCGGAGACCAAGCGGTCATCTTGCCAGCGCTCAAAGAGGAAGAAGCAGCAAGGCTGCACCCAAACATTGCTCTGGTGAAATTTTCGACTGCCGAGGACAGCAACACGCAGTTGTCGTCGTCTGATGGCTCCGCAAAGCCTCCGAGCCTTGACGGGAAAAGCGTTGCATCTGGCACCACCTTCGCGTTGGATGAGAAAGAGTCGCTTCGCCCAGACGACAGTGCCAGCTTGAGAGCCGTGGAAGAGGAAGACGTGACGTCACCGCCTGAGTCCAACGCTGCCGGCTCTCGTGTGGGGTCTGATAGCGAGGCTCGCGCTTTCCGTGCCCAGTTGCATGAGATTGCTGTGATGGGTCCGCAGCCGCAGAGAGGAGTGCCACCCGGTCGCTTCCCGGTTTCCAATCCTAATGGCCCCACACTTTACGACCCGAATCAACCCCCGAACGGCATCGGACGTTCACTTTCTCAGCCTATCGTCAATGGGATCTCTCAGGGGCCTGGGCCTCAGAGCCTACCCGCCATACCAGACGAGAAGTTGATCGAGGCTTTACAGTCGCCTAGAGACCGGCTGTTCGTTGTGAAGATTGAACAAGATTTCATTGACTTCATCAAAGACTCACGGTAAGGAAATGTGGCGTATCCTTTACGTAGCATGCAATTACTTACTGGTCCAGGGAAAACGAGTACTGCCTTCCCAACTGCAATACTTTCTATCGGATGCTTGCGCACCGACTTGCGGACTACTACTTACTCGGTCATGTGGTTGACAACACCATGACGGGAGTGAGGATCACCAGGACGCCTTATTGCCGAATACCACCACCACTTTCGCAGATGGTCGATGCTACTAAGAGTACCAACACTCCCCCTGTTGACCTTCCCGCCCGTAAAATCATGCGCCGTGGCGATGACACAAGATCAGGCACTAACACAGGAGCCAATTCCGAGAACCCGTCCAAGGCTACATCCGAGGTAGACGGCAGTGACGGAGACAAGGACGGCAATAAAAAAGACAAGTCAGCATTGACTCGAGAGGAGCGCGAAGCGAGGTACCGAGAGGCACGACAGCGGATATTTGGAAGTGCAGAGAGTGAAGAAGCGGATCTATCGGACGCTGTTGTAGCGCCTGAAGAGAATGATGCGTCCAGATCAAGTTCCGCGTCTGGGAAGAAGAAAAACAAAAAACTGCGCAACCAAGACGATGACGATGGTTTCGAAGCGCGATCTCGGTACAATGCCTACTACCCTGGCCAATATGCCGTTCCTGGCTATGGCGGAGAAGGCACCGTCTACTACAGCGGCTATCCGACGCCAATGACCAACCCTCAATATTCACCCATGGCTCCCAACACGTCTCCCCCCTCGAACTACGGCAGTCCATATCCAGGCATCCCCCAGGATCCACAGGCTCAATACTGGCCCAGCCAACAATACCCACCAGCTAACGGGCCTATGATGTATCCAAACTATGGCCAGATGCCAAATGGGTACGACTTGTCCAATGATTTCCAACGAGGAATGCAATCGTTCCAAAATGCCGGAATGCCCAACCAGGTGACCCCTAAGATGGCGAACGCTTCGATGGCCGGTTACGCTGAACCTTACGCCCAACCGCCCCCGAACGGGGCGATGAGTCAAGGCTGGTCACCCATGGGCCAGCAACCCTCCTATCCAACGTCGCAACCATATGCTTCAAATGGTCCGAACAATCGACCCATGTCTGCCCCTATGCAAGGCCCGGCTCAAGGGACTTATCCTTACGGTCAATTCCCCAATTCTACTTTCAACGGAAAGCCAAATCGAAACCAGCACCCGATTCCTGGCAGTTACCAGCGCCCGCAATTCAATCCTCAGAGTCAAGCCTTCATTCCTGGTGGGCGCAACATGCCTTACCAGATGAGTATGCACAATGGCCCTCAGATGATGAATGGTTACGGCAACTATCAAATGCCCCCCGCACAGATGGTGCAGATGTCCAGACCTAGCCCGCCCACCGCTAATAGCGCGACATTCGGCCACACGTTCGGCATGGTCCATTCTGGGTCAAGCAATGTAAACTCCTCTCCGCCCAATCAGTCTCACTTCTCATCCCAGACTGTCGTACAGATCCGCGGTGGTGAGGGGCAGGACTCTGGAATGCCCAGTCAGAGTAGCATCGCAAAGTACGGTACGCCTTCGAACCTCCCAGCTAGACCCCCTCCGACTCAACAACAACCGCCAAAGTTCACTCTCCCCGGGCACAATTTTCCACCAGGATCTCGCGTGCCTAACAACCCAACGCCTCCTTTTGGGGGCAATGCTTCTTAGTTGGTATCCTACGGTGGAAGACCTCTTTGGTTCCGTATGTCTTAACATTGCGATGGTGCTCTGATTCGGCTCTCCTTTTACAGGCTCTGGTCGGTTGCGATCCTATGCTAGGCTGTTGGCGTTTCTGAATTCATGGGCATACCTCTAGCGCTTGCATCTCATAGGTACGGTGGAGTCGTCAATGCGCTTTCAAATTGGAAGGATTCTTCGTCTATCAGTGGAGTCCATGTAGCTTTTTCATATCATAGAGAAATATGAGGTTCCTGCACGATTGATCCCACTACACATTTCAACGAGTGAAGCACGAATTTTTTTTTGGAGTGCATGGAACTTGGGCAATTGACATGCGTTTACTCGGGATCCTTTCTATACTGAGGGGTTTTGTGTACAAAAAGGTCCATGCAGTTTGGTGCAGCAATGACAAGAGGGCCGGGCCGACTCAACGAAAGCTTAGCGTCAACCTCAATAGTAACGTCTCAGGTCCGTGAATTCATGCTTAGAAAACGTCGAGACCAAGACACGGCTAGGTGTGAACATCGATGAGGCAAGTAGAACCATTCCATCTATTATACTATGTACGATAACGAAACTACTTTTATCAAGTCGACCTTCCAGCAGCACCTTATCAAGCGCTCTTGCGGACGTACTCAACGGGTCCTGCATACGTATGGCGGCCACGGATGAAATAGTACGCGGAAGAGAAGATGATGACGATGCCGTAGCCCAAGATAGCCCAGTTCATGGTCTCGACGGTCGGGTTGGGTGACGTCGGCCAGAAGGCGAAGATCCACAGGACGACCAGGAAGATCAGGGCGACGATGTTGATGGCCAGGCCAGCCTTGCCCAGGTCAAACTTGGACGGGAGGAGGGGCTCGCCACGGATGCGCTTTAGGGCTATGCAAGAGATGGAGATCATGTATGTGGTGATCATGGAAGCGGCGCCGAGAGACACGATCTGCATGTATGCGACACTGGAGCCGAGCTGGACGAGCGAGAGGATGGTGACGAAGGCGACGGTGACGTAGACGGCGTTGATGGGGATCTCAAAACGAGGAGAGATGGTGCCGAGGACGTTAGAGAAGGGAAGACCCTTGTCACGGGCGAAAGAGAAGAGCTGGCGCGAGTTGGTGGCCATGACGGCAACGCAGGCGAAGACACCGATGGTGAGCATCATGACGGTCAGGACGGTAGCGCCGGTGGTGGATCCAGTGGTGTTGAGGAAGACTTGCATGAAGCCGACGCCGAGGGGGGTAGTGAGGACGGACATGGTGTCGGTCACGCAGAAGCAGAACGTGATCGCCATGATCCACCCGAACAGGCCGTTGCCGAGCCAGGTCCACATCATAGCGCGGGGAATAACCTGGGAAGCATTGCGGACTTCCTCGGACATGTGCGCACCAGATTCGACACCAACGAAGCAACTGGCCGCACCGACCAGACCGATGAAGGTAGAAAGGGGAACGTTGTTCCATCCCATGTTGTCAACGAAGAGCGTGAAGTTGTCCGTGGCCGAGCTGCGGTCAGCCATCACCCAAAGAGGAATGATAACAGCGAAGAACCCAGCAACGTGGAGAACGACGATGACACCTTCGACGAGCGGGAGTTTCTTCGAGAAGAATGTGTTGAAGAGGTAGCAGACTGCCAGGATAGCCCACATGACCATCATGCCATGCCATGCCTTGGGGATGTAGGTAGGGTTGTGCATGATGATGAGACCGATGATCTGGTTGCTGGAAAGGTAGATGGTGATGGCGGCGGCCGATTGCCAGCCCAACACTCCGAGCCATCCAACAATGTAACTGATGAACCTCTGGCAGCTGCGAGGTGCGAACTCGGAAACCCAGTGGTACTGTCCGCCAGAGGTAGGAGCCCTATCTCTATCGTTAGACGCTTCTAGTGCTTAGCTCATTTGAGACTTACATGGAAGCCATCTCAGCCAGAGAAGCGGTAACAAAACCAAAACCGATGAAGATGATGAAGTAACCCCAGATCAGACCAGCAGAACCTCCGTTGCCCAGAGCAAAGACAGAGGTAGCCAGAATGGCTTCCCAAGACGACAAAACAACCATCGTGAAACCAAGAATGGTAATCTGTCGGAAGTTTCGGCGCGTCTCTTGTCTCTTCCCCATACGGGCCATGTCGTGCACATCAGCGCTGGTTCCAGCTTTCTCAGAAACCACGTGGTTAGGCTCACCCCCCTCCGAAAGGGAGGGGTCGCTCTCGACGTTCGTCATGGGAGCCTTGTGTTCCTCCACACTTGCCATTATTGCGGTGAGGGTGGTGTAGGAGGGGAGAAGAAGCGCAACAAAGAGAAGTGCCTACTACCAATGTTTTGCCAGGCACGAACCACACCTTTATAACGGATTACGAGTCAAACGCGGATGTCTAGACGCCTGCCGACTTATGCGCTCGCCCCTCCGGTGCAAGGGACGCATCCTCATAAATATGCCGGTACAGAACGAGCTGCGCGGCCACTCTCATTACGAGACCAAAGTGCCGACATGGGGACTAGCGCGATAGGAGCATGTCGACGTGGGTTTTGGGAAGGGCTAGGCCGCTCCCTTCGCGTTTCGTTGCCGCAGGATCACACCTCTAACCGAGGGTCTGCTCATTGGCTACTCCGTATCTGAGACACGCCACTCGCAACCATGTCCAGTGTACCCACAAGTTACAACATGGTGCTCCTCCAGTTCGCAGTGAACATCATGAATCCTTTTAGCCGCCAGCCAGGCGAGCCGTTCGGCGCAACCGTGCAAAGTGGAGCAGAAGTATTGTCAACTGCGCCGCAACGCACGTTATATGTACGAGCGTGCCTGCAGGGCTACAATTTGGGCGCGTCAATATTGTGGGAAAAAATCCTCATCCATGGCCTCCCTAGCGCAAGCGGATGAATTCTCGTATGGCATGGTACCAATTCGAGGCAACTCCGACCCTTGTTCACGTAGCGGCGCTCTCCCCGATGATTAACGGGTCTCCAGGGTCCACGATTGGTGCATCGTAGACGCATCGCTACCAGCAGGGCGGTACGGGAACGCCTTAGAAGCAGCCCTGGACGGCCACAACATGGCGCCGTGGTGGTATGACGGCGTGGACGGCTGGAGACTGCGTGCTCTACGGCCCGGAATTGCAAGCCACGGTGTAGTCTCTCCATAGTGGGGTACACCAACATGCTATGGTGGCTAGGAGCGGCCAACCAGATGGGAGCCCTCTCCCGTACACGGCTTGAGGCTTCCTTCGAAACCAATTCATTTCGTCTGGAACGATAGGTGGCAGGAGCTACTGCGGGCAGTCGGTCGGTGCGCTGGAATGCACTAGAGCCCAGAGGAGCGAACAGGCTGAAGAACATGGCTCCTATATCAGGGTTGTCAAACACGAAAGGGGAATTTATGCCGGCGACAAGGTCCTCATTCGATATCATACCCTTGGAGAGGAAGGATGCGACGTTTGTGCCGAGTCCCAGCGGCCAGCCCCAGGCGTGAAGCGTATCTAGTACGGGCGGAAGGTCACTCGTGTTGCTCGAACCTTATGCACCAGCAGTTCCGGCGACGAGGAAGCGAATCCGGCTGTGCTTAGGAAGAGGACGGGTGCAGGTGCAGGATTCCAGGCTGAGTCCGCCCGTAGAAACGGGAAAGTATTGAACTGCTCGTTAGCAGGCCAAGTCTCTACACAGGAACGTCCCACTTGATATAAGGAGTCAGGGCAGACCTTCTTACCGTTGATCACTTCTGGAAGTGGTTGACTTTGTGAAGATGTCGGACCCCTCAGCAGCTGGACCCACGATCGACCCCATGGACACGTCGGCGGGGAACCGATTTGCTCCCTACAGCCCCGAAAATCACAGTGCACCACTATGGATTGTTTCGATTCTCGGCTTGATCTATACGATCGGTGTCTTGTCAATCAGATTGTTCATCAAGAGAAGAGTCTTTGGCTGGGATGACTCCCTGATTGTTGCTGGTACAGTAAGTACTGAGTTTGAGTGTATCCAACGCTGGCCATTTCATTGACGGTTCCTACAGTTGACTGGACTCGTACAAGCCATTGTGTTCTTCAAAGCTCTCAAGAGTGGCTTGGGACAAGTGCCAGAGCATGTACCCAATCTCAGCACAACAGCGAGCGTAAGTTGGTCACTGACTATGAAGGTCTTCGCTGACGACTAGCAGTTAGCATTCACAGCGCAGATACTGCTGTTGATTGCGCTGTATCTTGCGAAATGCTCTGGCATCCTCCTGCTACGACGCCTCTTCGTGCGAGACCAACAGAACACTGGCAGGCTGTGCGATGTTGTGCTGGGATTCACCGTTGTTTGCGGGATTGCGACAGTGGTAATGAGCAGTGCCGGGTGCCCGTCCACCGGCTCCTTCACAACGCACTGCAGCAGCACGGTATGTTGCGCATAACTTAGGCTGTCGAAAATCACAGGCTCACTCAGAAGTAGAACACTCGATGGAGTGTAGTCACAGCACTGGACATTGCGACTGAAGTCATCCTGCTATTGCTACCAGCCTATCTAGTGTGGCAGCTGCAGATGAAAACAAGCTACAAGCTGCGCGTCATTGCAGCTTTCTGCTTCAGGATTTTGTACATCATCCCCAGGATCCCAAGTGGTTGGGTAGAAGCTGACTCGTCACAGGGTGATCATCTTCTCGATCTTCCATCTGATCGCGCGGATCAAGTACGCAGACACCCAACCGTCCCCCTTCAACATTGTGACAACCCTCGTCTGGCACCAAACTCTACTCGCATGGGGTTTGATCTCGGCAACGATACCCAACCTCAAGGCTTTCCTACAATCACTGTCCGCAAGCTGGGGAGGAGCGGACTGGGGCTACACTGTCAAGGCCTATGGCAACGGCACATTCGAAATGAAGAGCATGGGCACACAATCGAGAAGCCATGCGATGGCTTCAACAACGGGCACCGAGAACGCTACCGACATGGATCAAAAATACGAAACACAGATTCAGACGCGCCAGGTTGGGGAGCGAAGCTCACTCGGCAGTGGTGGGAGCCAGGATATGATTATTCGCAAGGAAACCGTTTGGACGGTGGTTCGATCATAAGCGCCAGACGGAGGCAAGTCCTATGGCATCGACCAATCGCGGCACGTTCTATATGGACCGGCATCCTTCCCCCCGCCCCGGGACACGCTTACGCAAAGCGATCTCCATGGGGCAGGTCGGTGGCTTGATGCGATACGCAGCGCGGGACAGGTCAGTCCTGGAAAAAGCACTGTTGCATTCGACACGGTAATTTACTGAGCCTACAATTCAACGTTTTCACATGCAATTTACGTACAGTGTCGCATCCTTGGGCGTCGTTGCTCGAGCATTTCATCTATTTAACCGCCGGCCAGGATATAATACGACTCTAGTAACGACATTTGTACTAAGCGCCACCACGACTGGTTCATCCCACGCCATCGGGCCGGTAGACGGAACGTGCCTTGCGCGCCGAGGTGGCACATTCGGTCTCGCTCCCTGCTATGCCAGATCGAATAATAGTTTTCCATCTTGGGTCCCACTTCTGAAGTCCCTAGTTGCACGAGTCAGGCCGGTACATCTCCCGTCCCGATTCCGCCGTTGCTAAACTCAATCGAACATCCTCGGTAGCGCCCGCCCCCCGAGCCTTCCTCAACACAGCAGTAGTGTATGTGTAGGATTCAGCCTCTTTGCGACCTGTGAAGAACTTTTCGTTATCACCTGAAGCGAATATACCGACGATCTCGAGATAGCTTAGCGAGCGCAACGACGCGGCAATTCTAGAACCGCGGAGCGCTCGTCCGCTCGCCTGAATCCCCTTGCATCGAACGACCAGGCCCCCTACGTGATCCTAAAGTCGGCTTCGGAATCGCATTCGTCTAAAGCCCCACGAACAGAAGTTCGTGCCATCTGCAGGCGATCGTCACTGCAACGCTTCTTACACCTATTGTTCGACATATACTACCTGCCCAAAAGCCGCCAACCCTCCCGCCCAGCCCCATGGCCTCAGACACTGCGAAACCGGGCTCCCCCCGTAATGTGCAGGTTCGCACGGCCCAGCTCTCAGATCTACCCGCCATGGCTCGTGTCTGGCACGCCGCCTTCTTCGACGACGAGATCATCGGCAAGCTGATGCACCCGCATCGCAAGGAGCACCCTGAGGACGTCTATTGGTTCCTGCTTCGCGGCTTGCGTGAAAGATTTTGGGACTGGCATCATCAATTCGTCGTCGTCACGGTGGAGGAGGATGGAAAAGAAAGAGTTGCTGGGGCCGCTGATTGGCGGAGGCTAGGCGAGGGCGGACGGAGGAGAGAGCTGGCGAGAGTGGATCCCCGTGAGTACTATTACTGTTTGTCATTGCATTGCGCACGTACACCTGACGGTGTCCATGCTCAACATGCTGTTCTCCACATCCCGAACGCCAGTGCGCCCTGCTAAGTATCACCACGATCAGGCAACCTCATCAGCCCGGCTTTACACTACTACCACGCTGTCTCCCTGCGCCTGTTCCCCAATCGCGCAGCAGACCCAAAGAACGCGGAATGGCTTGACGAAGCCGTGTCCAATTCAGAGAAGCATTGGACTGGGGATCGCGCTGAATGCTGGGACTTGCATGTGTGCGGTGTACACCCTGACTTCCAAGGTAAGGGCGTAGGAAAGCTGCTTGTGCAATGGGGTGTAAAGCAAGCCGAGTCTGAGGGCGACAACGTGGTGGCAAGTGTGCTCTGCGGTGAGAAGAATCGCGGGTTCTACGGAAAGGGTGGCTTGACTGTACAGGTAAGCAAGAGCGAGCATGGGATCGCGTTGTTCACTAGGTAGTCGAGCCGTGTCTAAAAATGTATATATCGATGCCGATCTCTGTAATGATGCCTACTTGTATAGCTTTGCCAATAGCACCATCCGGACGACCTAAAAAAAAAGATGTCGTTGGACTCCAAGGATGTAATGGTGGATCGGTGTCACATAGCGACCAATATGCCTCCGAGTGCCCCTTGATACGCACCCCAACTGTCAGCAAGACCTATCTCCGAAGCCGCGAGACCAAATCCAACCACAGTCTAACCAGGTTCTTCGCAAACTCGTACCAACCCCTTCGTATAATCTCCCTCCCAGCAACGCACCGTGCACTCCCTCAGTATCGAACCGCTTTCCCCTTGTGTCGCCTCCCAATCCTACAAATTTCTTCGCTCCATCCACACACGTGGAGCTAGTTGATCAGCAATCCTGCACGATCCCTTGAGAACAGAGACTCTCAAGCGAGACTGTCGGAAGAAGGAAATGATCGTCGTCCTCCTGCATTCACGATATTGATATCGTATCCGACATTATCGTGTCTAGTGGTGCTTATCGACGGAGGTTTGCGGGTCGCTTGCGTAGGCTGGAAGCATATGCGCGCGGGAAACGGCTCGGAGCGTTTGTTGCCGAGAGGGAGGCCAACGAGGTTGGGGGGTTGAGGGTGGCGTTGTCTGCGGGGGTTGATTGGGTGTTTGCGCGGCAGTGAGTATCGGGCGAGATCGGAGGTTTAAATTACGGGGCGGAGGTTAGATAGGAGGTTTGATTTGTAGTAGACCTTCGGAATGGTTTCCATAGGTTCGTCCGTCAGTGGAGATGGACGCGATGTTAGGAGGCGATGTTTTGTCGAAGTTCGAGACATACACTATCCTGCCTCGCAGCCTTCCGGATTGCGCACCCGCGTGAATTCCCGTTTTGCTCGTCATGGCCAGCATGTAGGCCTGGGCAATATGAACGGTTTGATGCTTCTTTCTGGCGGCCTTTACAAGCGCTTTGTAATTGGCGGTTTCGGTGGTTTCTGTGATCTCGCAGGACTTGGAACCTGTCGCTGCCGTGCTGACCTGCATGCGCTTGTAGATCTTTTTGCCGTTGCCATTGCCTTTGCTTTTATGTTTTGTGGCCTTTTTGCCCCTCTTCTCTCCCAACCTGTGGTGTTTGAACACATCATTTGACCCTACGTGTGAGGTCCTCGTTCTCCCACTATGCACTGCATCGAGAGTGTATCGTGAGTATAACCTCACTGTTACTTGTAATCATTTACCTACCGCTTCGTCCTTTTTCCAAAGTTCATAGCTCCTTTCTTTTGGTAAAATAGCTTTCTAGAAATTTATAGCTAATCTTATAATTTTAATGTTATTAGAGGCTAAACACGTTGAATCACCATAAATCCAATGGACTCGGCGAGCCAGGCAGTATCCGGGACAGCAACTCCGTCTCCAATGTAAGCTTCAACCCCAGACCCAGTCTTTGAAATGGGAGTATAACCCACCTAGAGGGCTAACAAGCCAAGAAGAATAACAGAAAACTGAGTAGCACGCATGGTGGACGGACGGAAACAAACAAATGTAAGACTAGAACGAAGTCAAAGTTCGAAATCGAATGGTAACCAGCGAGAAGGTATCTTGGAGCCGTAAGGACTGAAACCAAAAGGAGTGTATCAATAAATAGGCGCGCTCTCATATGGCAACAATGAGGGACTCGCTGGTATGGCGACGTTTCCGCCGGTGTGGGAGCTCCGGTATGGCGCACTGGTAGGCACTCGCACAACAGCAATGCCTTTCTCCTGAACATTGAGAACAAACACAAACCTGCTTCAGGCTTCAATGTAATTACTGGCACAATCTTGCCTCTCGTGGACGCGTGGGACAGCTTGCAGCTCCGATATGGTGGGCCGGTGTGGTGGTGGTTCCGCCGGAATGGCAGCAGCCTCACACTGGAGAATCGCCATACCGACGCGCCCACACTGATGAACCCCTCACGCTGGCGCTGTCATACCGGCGGTGCCAAGCCCTGACACCGGCAGCCCGCACAGTGTCTTGCAATGTCTAGACCAAGTCGACTGCCTTGTATCACCCCACAATAGCTTCAAAACCTTTCTACATCCAGATCCTGCTACGAACGGCCGTCATAGACTTGATCAGGTCGCTGCATTGGCAGCTCCCAGCCGGCAGTGCTGCTTGCTGAGCTCGGCGCACCCCTCCTGTTCTGTTGAAGCATGACCAAGCGGACCTCGTCATCAGATGCGCGCTGGGCTTCCACGGTCATATCCACAGTCTTAACGATAGACATCTCGAACATGCTAACACGTGTTTGAAACTTTTTCCTTCCACTCCGCCCATATGCGTTGGGCGTACCAGCTTCGCCGCACAAGCGCGAGTCGCGATGAGTCGTGCTGAAGAAGTGTGGTGCCAGCTGGCTTACGAAACGCGGGAATGAAGGCATGCAAATGCATATGATACCCACATTGATCTCTAAGACGGACCATACTCCAGAGAGGACGTTGTTGTACACTACATGTAGTCAGAACGCGTATGTGTATGAGCAGTTCAACGACTCACTTGGATTGACCTCTGTCTCATACGTCGCAAGAGCGCCGAGTCGAATACATGAGATCACAACAGTACTTTAGCATTGTCAGGCTGCGTCATTCCAAGGGACTCGCATCGACTCACACTGCCCCAACACTGAAAATGGCGACCAGAAAGATTTTCTTCCTGCGGCTGAGCTTCAGTTTCAACAGTTCCGGTATAGGTATCAGCACGATTAGTATGTCAAGCGCGATATTGCAGCCAGCCGCCGCGTAATAGAACGCTTTTTGATTAATACAGTATGACGGGGTATTCTCCTTGGTCCAGGATGTCCAAACAGCTGATATAGGCTTACAGGCAAAGACCATGGTGATCATGAAGACGACGATGTAGATGATGGTGGCCCAAACAAGTGCTCGTATCGCTCCCTGGATCCGTTTGCCAGGAAATATGCGTATGAAGAAGAGCAGGAAGCAAAGCTTAGTCAAGCCAGATGCCGGGAAATACGATATTTGACTGGCGTAGACGAGCTTCCACCGTCAGCGATATACCCAACGAATACCGATTTGCCTCAAGAACATACCCTCAGTGTCAAGAAGATGTCTGCCACTGGCGAAGCCCACGTATCCTTGCCAAAGCCGTGAACTGATGTTACACAGCAAACGACTGTCACAGGAATGGAAGCAGCGTATGCGGAAAGACAGGCGATATCATCCCAGCCGAAGCTACCTTGTCGGAACGCAACAGACATCCGCATACAAACGGCGACCAATGCACTTGCGCCAATAACGATGGAAATGATGAGCAAGACCTTCGAACGATCGCGTATTGGAGCGTTGCACTGTATGTTCTGCAACCTGGTGGCGACTACAACTGGATCAACACAGTACCCAGCGATACCCAAGGTGCAGGTACAAAGTCAGTGCGAGTCAAGACAGAGTAAGTTATGTCTCAGCTAAGTAAGAAATAAGGCTTTCTCGCTCAGCTGTTCCTGTCTAGACTCATCCTGAACTTTTGTCCGCACCCGAGGATACCAATTTGTGGGACGAAGACCTACGTAAACTATCTCTGACTGTACAAGTGCTTTTAAGACATGCATTGAAAACCGCACTGATCGCCTCGTTATAGCAGATGCATGCTGTATCGCTCACTGAGCAGTCATTATGTTTTGGAAGTGCTGTCTGCACACATGTTACCTACAACCAGTGTAAGTTCCCACACTAAACCTCAGCCATATTTACTTACTGCACATTGCGGCAGGCCAGTCTCCGCGATCACCACAACTGCTACACAGCTCAATATAACCAGCCCGATACCCAGGATCCTGCCGTACCGCATACTGGGAGGACGGAAGTCTTGAATACGGTAGTGGGTGCTGTCGTAACATGTACGGACGACCTATGACGTCCCACAAAGTATCGAAAAGAAGATGCTACACCTCAAAAGCAGGTTCTGGATAGGATATACCCGAAAAATTAGGAACCGAATATTGCGGCATGCCATGACAATTTCTCCGAACATCATCTCATTGGTCATGCCTACGGGCTCCGGCTTCAGCGTGACCAGAGATCTGGGTAAAGACGGACAATCGCAGCTGTTGTGCCTGTATCAGACCCTGGGCCCTCTGTGGCTCGTTGATCCTACTCCATTGTTGAAGGAGCACCAAGCTTGTCCAACGCCGGAAATCTAACAGTTGCCCTGAGCCGTCAGCACGGTTGATACATTGTATGCGGATCCCAACCCAATGAATCGCGAGATCGATTCTGCAGTCTTCCACGTTCGTGCGAGTGGCTGGATTCTAGCAGTAAGAGAAGGAGCCGAAGCCATAACTGTATCTGCAGCCGCTTGGAGCTGATACATAAGAACAACTTTCCGTGGCACAGATGCCACGCGCCGCTATGGCGATCTGGTAGATACACAGTAGTTCGAGAAGAGGACATCGGGACAACTTCCGATAGTGCACATCTGAATTCACTCGGGATCTGTCTGAGCATCAGTGCAGTTCAACCTGGTTGCTGCGGCGTCGCCCTAACTCGGGGACTACTGTTCACATTCCCTAAACCAACATTAGATTAGCAACAAAGTCTATTTCCTAGTTTCTGTCAAGCCCATGTTTGCAGCTCATCGCAACGCTCTCATTTGCAGTACGCATCCCGAGCGTGCACAGCATTGCTCTCTGATTCCAAGTCAACGGAGACGAGAAATCACGAACAGCGTGTGAATCGCCGAACATAAGAACAAGATCATGGCTCCATCGCTTAATTTGGCAGTTGGCTTTCTTGGGATACGATTTCTGACATGAGGCTGAGTATGCGAGGTCAGAAAATCCGCGACCTAGCAGACAGCTAGTCTGCTTCACCAGTCTTGTCTAGCATATCTCGACATTTTTCTAACTAGGAGATAGTCGGTTGGATTGCTCTACTTGATCCCCGTCGTACCGTCCATCCATTGTATCGCTTGAGGGCTCGCTTTGGTCGCCTTCCCTGTGGCGCCGCGGAACCTATTCCTAACGAAGACCTCCAACAGTAGTCTCGATGAGCAATTAAGACATTAATTTCCATAAATAAAAAGAGGACATCTGCGGCACTCGCGATGAATTGAGCCAACTGTCGGTAAACCCCAAATCACCAACCCCGAGCCTCGTCGAGATACCGACCAATACGAGACGGTCCCCGACGCATCCGCCTTCCAGTCAGGTTTCTGACATACACCAACAAGTGCTTATTGCAACCAATCCTGTCAATGCAGCTGGAGAATTCCCACGTGGCTAACGCCCCCTGCATTCGATATAGTTCGTACTTATTCGAATATGTACGAGGCTTTAGTTTTTAGGGCCAATGATATACCTTATATTGGCGAATCGACAAGTAAAACAACGCCGTGGCTTCCACCAAACATCACACCATCACGTATGACAGAGCTCACAGTCCGTAGTCCGACTACAACTTGCATTCGGGATGTCGCACGCGAGGTATATCCGGCCCTTGGTAACCGCTTCTTCGAGCCATCGACATTTGCTTGCTCTTTGACCTTGCTCTGACCAGAGTGAGCAATGGCCTTCCTACAAGACCTTCTTTTGGGCGCCGGCATAAGGACATGGATCTCAACCTACCTTCCCGTGGCGTTCGTGGTGTATTGGGCAGCCTGGATAGTCTATGCGCGAACTATCCACCCTCTAGCTAAGATTCCCGGTCCCTTCTGGCCTTCCGTCTCCCGGACATGGATCATGTATCGCATGTACACCGGAAACATTCAGAAATACCAGCGGTACTATCACGAGAAGTATGGCCCGATCATCCGCATTGCGCCGAACGAAGTCGCCGTCGCCGATCCTACAGCTGTGTCAAAGATCTACCCGCTTCAGAAGCCAAACCAAAAGACTGATTGGTAAGAACTGCCATTGTAAACAGTGGGCATAGTTGCTGTTGTTTGAACTTTTCAGACTTTCTTTCGAAGTCTAGGATCTCGAACTTGAATAGCTGAGACACCCGTTCAAACCCAATCAATACATATGTAGAGCAACACACTGACCTTCACTCCCTATTGTAGGTATACTGCATGGCGGCCCTCAACTTTGGACTCGCGAACCGACTTGTTCACCGAACTCGATGAGAAAACGCACACACAGTACAGGCGAATCGTAGGAAGCGCCTATGGTTTGACTAGCGTATTAAAGAACGAGCAGTCCATCGACGATGTGCTGACTCTCTTTCTGAAAAGAGTTGGCGAGTTTGCAGACCGGAAGGAGGCTTTCGATTTCGGCAAATGGCTGGAGATGTTCGGTAAGCCAAACCGTCTGCTCGATAAATAGCGTGCATTCTACTCACCATGTGTTTCTAGCGTTCGAAAATGTCGGGACCTGCATTTTTGGCAAGCAGTTCGGCTTCTTGGAGCACAGGCACGATCACGGCGGCTACATCAATGCTGTGCATACTGCCACGCCCTTTCTAGGTATCATCACGGTCACTCCTACTTACATGAGACCGCTGGTCGGCCTTGCTGCGCCTCTCATACCAAAACTGTTGAAGGCAATCATGGCTTTTGATGGTATCCGTGTGACAGCTCTGAAAGAGTTGGATGATGCCGTCAAGAGAACCGAGGAGGATAACTCCAAACGAAACGACTTCATGTCACAATTCCTTTCCATCGTCCGCGATCGAGGCGAGAAAGTAAATTTTACGATCAAGGAGGTCAGCTCGGAGGCTTGGGTTGCAGTGTAAGTTCCGAAAAACCTCGTATTACTATCGTCGTCTGATGCAGATCAGCACCGCTGGCGCAGACTCAACCTCTATCCTCCTCCGCACAGTGTTCTACAAACTCATGCAGAACCCTCGCGTCCTCGAAAAACTCCGCGCCGAGATCGATGCCGCGTTCGAAAGTGGCGCGCTCTCGCACCCCGTCCAGTACGGTGCCCTTGACAAACTGGAATATATGTCGGCCGTCATCAAAGAGTGTACTCGCATCTTCCCCAGCTTTCAAGTCACTATGCCCCGCCATGCTCCTGCTGAAGGTTTCGATCTGTGCGGCTATCACATCCCAGCTGGGTATCGCGCTGGAATGAATCCCGCTGTAGTACTTTTCAACAAAGAGATCTTCGGTGAGGATGCGAGGGAATTTCGACCTGAGCGATGGATGGAGAGCGAGGCGAGAAACCATGCCATGGACAAGGCAATGATCAACTTTGGTGCTGGCACCAGGACGTGCATAGGTCGTAATGTAGGTTGAGGAAGTCGTACGCATGCTTAAGCGCGTCGCTAACTTCGATATAGCTGGCTCTTGCACAAGCATACAAGGTCTCTGCTACTATTATCCGCGAGTTTACGTTTGAGATGGCACACGACCGACCTTGGCAGACTTACAACGCTGGGTTCCGCGGCCAGTACGATGTCATTTGCAACCTAAGGCGGAGACAGTTGGCATAGATCATAATGCCAGAGCTATAAAGCAACTTGCTGTAGTGGAAGATTGGCAGTGCTTCCCGTGGGAAAGGGGTGTAATGGCGTTTGGTTTTCATCATTTGGACCACGCTCAGAACGGTACCTGTTGGTGGACGTGGACCCTTGTAATGCGATACTGAGAGAATTTCGATTCCGAACAGCCTTTACCAAACCTGCTGATAACTTGGGGAATTCTGCTTTGTCACTAAATACGTGGGCTCGTGAATGACTCGTAGTTAGGTCGAAGGTCGGGTGGAGTCGTAGCACGTGACCGCTACTTAGCCCTGAAGCCTTGGAATTCCGGAGCATCGTCTTCAGTCTTCCACCTACACATGAATTGGGACCATCTATTCAAGGTCCAAGATTAAAATTGGCTGACGGGGACGGTGCATTGCAGCTTCGCCCTATCTAAACCCACGTCCATGTTTCTTTTGGTGCAATCTGCTTAAGCGGTTCCACGGTTGGTGTCTTTGCATTATTAGCGCATACCTCAACGCTCACCCACGCATAATTTCACAGACTTCTTCACAGAAACACACCTTATCAACGATGCCGTTCCAGCTACAGATCATCTCAGATCTGCATCTCGAGACCCCGCTCAGCTCACCAGCATACACAACATTCCAGCTCGAAGTGCAAGCCAGCAATCTCCTTTTGCTGGGAGATATTGGCCTAGTGAAGGACGAAGGGCTTTTCGAGTTCCTGCGAACTACTCTGGAGCAGTGTATGGGATGCCGTATCTTCTACGTGACCGGCAACCACGAAGCTTACCAACTACCGTACGTGACGGCCATCCAAAGAATGCGCGACTTCGAGGCGGAGGCGAAAGACAATTATGGTGGTCGTTTCATATTTCTCGATCGAGATCGCTATGATCTCGATGGCTCCACCACTATCCTTGGATGCACGCTGTGGAGCGCGATCTCTGCTCAGCAGGCTAGTGAAGCGCAGCTACGACTCACCGACTTCAACAAGGAGCGGGGGATTTATGGGTGGACGATGGAGGATCACATTCGGCGGCATCAACAAGATCTTGAGTGGCTCAATGCGCAGTTGCAGGAGCTGGAGCAGAAAGAACCACATCGACAGGTCGCGGTCGTCACGCACCACAGCCCCACTATGGATCCAAGGGCTATTAATCCTCAGCACCAAGGGAGTCGGCTATCAAGCTGCTTTGCGACTGATTTATCTGAAGAGCTGTGTTGGAATTCATCTATGGTGAAGCTCTGGGCATTCGGACACACGCACTACAACTGCGCGTTCCGCGATGAGAGTACTGGAAAGTTGGTATCAGCAAACCAGAAGGGGTACGAGCGGTTGGGCGCGCGCGGCTCAAGAAGGCTCAAGAGTTTGCTGATTGACACTGATGGTGCAGAATGGAAGATCGTCCAAGTCGCAAAAGAGAAGAGAGTGGAAGATGGCACAGATTGTGGAGAGGGACAGAATGTAAGCGACGGAGCAGGCGAGGCACAGAGCGACGGGAGTGTTGCTAGGGAGTTGAAGCTGAGGCGGACGCTGCTCCAGAGAGCAAGGGATGGGATCAAGACTTTGAAGAGAAGAGAATAGATGTTCGAATGTTATTCGGTAGGACACATGTCTTCGTCCAGATCAAACTGCAGGGTAAGTTCCATCCCCATCAACACCCACTTCCCCCTTGACACTCCCTCCCATCTCCTGGCCCATATGCCACTCCACCATCTCCGCAACACTCGCCTCCATCTACCCACGAGGCCCAGCTTCCCCAGGGACACACCAAGAACATTTGAGACCGAGGCCTGCACTGCAAGCACTTATCAGACGCGTAAGACTTCGTCCCAATCTGGCTCCTTCTCAGAGAGCTCTTTATCAAGAGGCGGCAACAATCTCTGGTTTGTGGTCGCCGGTTTTTCGAATTTAGAGATATCCGTCTCCTCTGGCCTCATAGGGCTACTCCGTTTGAAAGCACGCAGCTACATGTTCCTTCTCAAAGCCCACGCTTCGTTGTAGGTACGTCATCTATGGTCCATTTCGTCTTTTTCTCCCATGTTCCTGCGCAGAGTACCGTTGATGATGATGTGATCATTGTATCTCGGATTTGCAAGCGTTGGAAGGTTTTTGCGAAAATAAGTAGACGTATGCATGGAAGATCGCTGGTAAGATAGAGGGCAAGAATAACAGAGTCACGTAGTAATACCTCTTCTTGCAATATTGTCCCAAGTAGAGGAGATCGGATGCATCAAGCGCGCACTAAAGGCCCTCGGTTGCATTTGGCCCTGTTATGGCTTGCAGCCGGAACCCCGCATTAGCCTTCGTCTCCACCTACCCGGTCCACGCGCTCATGCATCCCCTAGATTCACCACATTGGTACCATCAAAACACCTCAGAGTGAGTCAGTCCATCTTACTCATGAGCTGCAATGTCCTGAGGATAGGACCCGTCTCCTTCCGGTATGCCGGTCACCAAAGATGGGCGCGTTCGCCGGACATTGAAGGCTTGCGTCATCTGCCACAAGAAGAAGGTGCGCTGTGATATTGACGATATTCCTGGCGATGTATGTACGCCATGCGCAAGAGATGGATACGAGTGTGTTCCGAGAGAGAGAAAGCGGAAACGCTTTACCTTCTCGCCATCGCCGCCTGACCAGCGTCGCCCCAAATCGAAGAGTCTGGATGCTACGAAATCGGACGATACGAACGGTGCAGCTCCTCCGAAAATGCTTAACGAAGGGTCATTCTCTAGTATGAGCAATGACTTTGTAAGGGTCGCGAGATCCGAAGATGGTGTCGAACGTTCTGGTGGCACCAGCTTTACAGGCGGTTCTCCGCTGGTCGCACAGCATAAGGAACCCAGTTACCTAACACCAATTCAAAACAGCCACAAAGATATACAAGATCCAAAACACGGGGTATCCTCTAATAATGTTAGCTACCTTGGCCGTCTGGAGTACTTGCGCAATGATGTGCCTGTGAACGACGATGCGGGATTGCCCAACAAAATGCCCCGCAAGATGTCTGATACCGACCTCACCATCCTGAAAATCCAACGTATCGAGGAACTACCACCAGAAGCAATACGCGACTCCTTGATGGAGGCCTTCTGGACTCGCTGCTATCCTTGGACACCGGTAGTGGAACGCGAATGGGTAAGCAACAGTCGAAGCTCACTACTGTTGCAACATGCCATCCTACTCGCAGGCAGTCGAGTCAGTCCATCGCACAAAAATTATCCGCCCAACGAGTTCTACAAGAAGGCAAAGGTGCTTTTCTGGATGGGGGCTGAACAGGATCCTATCATCACCATTGCAGCCACGCTGCTTTTGCACTGGTGGAATCCCGAAGGCCCAGAAAGCGTATCAATCGATACTAGCTCCTTCTGGTTACGTATCTGTACCGGCCTGGCTTATCAGGTCGGGTTGCATCGAGAACCCACAGGCAAACCGAACGCCGGTCTCCGAAAGAGGATATGGTGGTCGCTGGTTGTGCGAGACTGTCTGATCAACGCGGGACATGGTAGGCCGAGGGCGATCGATCTGAAGCTCGCAGACGTATCGCCCATCTCTACCTTGGACTTTGATGGTTCGCTTTCGCAGAGTAGCCTTTTCTCTTCATATGTCGGCATATCATGCATACTGGGTAAGCTATCTGGATATTCACTTGTCAAGTTCTAGATCTAATGAATGTAGGCGACTTAACGCAGAGCTACCTCCGCAAGCACGGCCTGCAGGAACACAAGAAATCCCTCGAGGACCGCCTCTTCAGATGGCTCAAAACACTCCCAGACCATCTGCAGCTCTGCCACTCCACAGAGGGCCGGCCACTCCGAGACTACAACCCCGAAGCATGGCAGCTCCACATCCAGTACTTCACTGTCGTCGTAATCCTCAACCGCTCGCCCGACGGCAACCCCTCCATCGCCTCCCTCCTCGCCTCCTCCTTCATCGCCGGCATCTTCGCCGACCTCATAGCCCGCGATCAACTCCAGTACCTCGGGCCCATATTCACCTTCTACTGCCTTACTGCGGGGATGGCCCAGCTCTCCTGCTACCGCTACACATCCCTCCTCCGCATCGCCGAGGACAACCTCGCCATCCTGACGCGCGCCCTCGAAGACCTTGGCAAGCGATGGCCTACCGCCGTCGGCAGCCTAAAGCACCTCATGGACGTGCGCGAGAAGGTGATGCAGCGCCCGTCGCTCGGCGCGTCTCCGGATGTCAACCTCCCCGCTACGACCGCGCAATTCTTCTCGGACTTTGGGCCAGAGTTGTGCAGCATGTGGGCACCGGTGCATCAGCGGCTGCCTCAGAACACGAATATCGCGCCGAGGGAGCTCGAGACGGCAGGAATACTGCAGGGACTACGCACACCGACTGCGCAGAGCATCGACTTGGATATTGCGATGCAGCAACAGATGCTGCATAGCCAGACTGCGACGGGGGCGACGCTGGAACCGACTATGTTGCAACCGCAAGAGTGGTTTGGGCCGTATGGGGGGATGGCGAATTGGTTGATGGTGGATTGGGATCAGGGACTTGGGTGGTGAAGAGACAGATGAACTACCTTGCCATCTCATAACCCATGTGTTGGAGAATAGCATTACCAGAAGGTACATGAACATTCCGACTACATTTCAGTTCATCGCCCCTAAGCCCAAATACTCGGTTTACCCCAAGAACACGACAACACCCTGGATCACAGACAATACCGTGAACACACATGTACCCACGCCCAACCCCAACTTTTCATTGTGGCGAGTAAGACCCACAGTCATGCCGATGCACAAAGACAGCACTGTCGCAACGAAGAGCCATAAGGCTGCTACGACTTTGTCGAGAACGTAGCACAAGCACCAGAAGCGGAGATGTCCATCCAGACGCTGTTGGGGCTCGTTGATTAGAAAGTTTTTGCCCAGCAGGTGGAAGCGGGCCCAACGGGTCGTCCAGCAGTCCCGTCAGAGGTCCATTTTCTTCGAAATGGTAGATGCGCTGGGCTGGCACTGTCTGCGCTTCAACCAGGAGCAGCTGTAGCGTTATTTAGTCGCTGCTTGCGGCGACGTATCGTGGGCGCTCACCCCGAGTACTTGAGCTTCTCCCATGGCTCGTCTACGCATGCGCAAAATACTATCCGTGTCCGCTTCACTCGCAACAAGTCTTCGCACCGTGAAGGCTTTGTCGCCATGGGCTAGCAAGAAGGAAACGCTGGCTTGTGTTAGGACTGCGTTTTCGCGGGTTGACATGTTGGCCAGAGAGGTGAGACGGATAATGTAATGTTTGCACACAAGGTCGTGTCACAGCGCGTCTGACATGCTTGAGTACTCTACACTTTTTGTGCGTGTAAATCTATATCGGAGAGTCCAACCGAGACGCATCGGGGATGCTGCACAGGGTGTGGAAAAGGCGGCGTTCTCTTCTTCTAGAGCTCCAGCCTGTAGCGATGGACCTCACCCAGAAGTTGTGTGATCGTAATGTCTGCCTTTGCCCTGGGTGACTGTGAGCGCCTCTCCTAGCGTTCAACAGCCTTAGCGCGTGCATCAATGAGGTTATGCTGCTGCTGGAGCCCACAGATTGTGCGCGCACAGAACCAACTGCGGTCCCTGTAAGTGGTATTCGACTCGACTTGTACCTTTTCCGTGAGATCTGACAAACGTATAGACCAGGGGGATTTCAGAACACGTGCGATACGCTTGATCGAACGACAGGGTATCGATTGACTGACAGTAGCTGTAATTTTGCTAGCTACGATTCAGCCGTACGACCGGAACACCAAGCGTACGCCGCGTCGATAGCACCGGTTCTACGACTGGCAAACGTCATAGTGGATACTACGAGAACATTCCGCAGCCACGAACAGGTCTCGATGATGCGCAAATGCAGGATGTGCTGGATGTGATACCCCGCTTACACCCTAGTGTCCAGGAGAAATACATGAACCGGATTCTAGCAAGTTTGGGTATGCCCATTATTTGAGACGGAGGATGTGGTGGACAAGGGAGCCGTAAAAGTTTTTAGACCAGGGGCTCTCCAGGTCGTTGGGAAGGGAATGGCGCAATCTGGAGGAATAGAAATACTAGGGCTGCTCAGTCAGCCGTCGTGTTACTTCAATATATGATTAAATTCCGTATCATAGCTACCTATCCTTCCTTGCAACCTGCAGCCTCACCAACCGATCCATATTTCCCAACCACTTCTCTGCGAACCCGCGATCCGTGAACCTTTCCGCAGACTTCCTCGCGCGCTTTCGCATCGCCAGCGTCTCCTCTCTACTCAACGAGAGCGCCTTGCGGAACCCCTCGGCATATTCCTCGGCTGTAGACGCATGAAACCCTACCTCAACGTCAGTACCCATATCTTCACGGCCTAGAAACAAAGGACAGAGCAACTTACCAGTAGGCTTCCCATCAACCCGAACGACGATGTCCAACTTCGGGCCTCCCGAGTTGTTCACCACGGATATAAGACCGGCAGCTTGGTACTCGACGACGCCAATGCCAAAGTGCTCGTTCCACATGCAGTTTACGCCGACGCTGGCTTTGCGCATCCACTCCAGCATTTGCGGCCAGGGCGCATCGCAGACGAACTCGACGTCGTCTTTGACGCCCAGCTCGTGCGCTAGTAATCTCAGCTTGTACACGCGAGTCGCGTCGTCTGAGTCGCGCACGGAGCCTATAAGCACCAGCTTCGGGCGCTGCCCGGGGTAGGATGGCAATTTAGGGTTCGAGCTGGCGAATTGGGCAAAAGCTTGGAGGATGAGGGTGTGGTTCTTTTCAGGGCGGAACTGCGCGATGTAGAGCAGGTAGGGTCCACGCTGGGTTTCGCTTTCGTCTGAGACGGTGACCTCGGTTTCGAGTTCTTCGACTGCGACGGGCGGAAACACGACGTCGATGTCGTGGTCGGTGGTCTTGTTTCTGCGATGGCGGTACGGGCCCCAGAGGGATTTGATGTGGGTTTGGGTCCAGGTGGAGTTTGTCATAACAACGTCGATGAGGCTGCCGACCTTGCTGTACAGCGCGGCGAAGAGGGTCCAGTACTGGCGCTTTGCCAGGCCGCGGTAGCCTTGTCCTGCTCCTGCGTTCACGCCTTGGCCTCCTTCGTTGAGCGAGTCGAGCATGTCGGTGGAGATGGTGGGGTAGTGGACGTATGCGCCGGTGGGCACGGAAGGGAAGAGGAGGCTCGAGAAGGCGAGCGAGAAGGCATATCCCATGGTGTCGATGAAGATGTCGGGGACCAGCAGCGAGAAGGCGTCGTATGCGAGTATGATGGAGCCTATCGACTGACCCAGCAGTGTGAAGCGCGGCCAGGTGCTGGCGAGGACATAGTGGCGCGTGGTCAGGTAGAGGAAGTGTACGGTCGGCGGATGGAGGTGGATGTTGAAGCGGTCCTTGACGCGCTTGAGAATCGCAGCCTTGTCGACGTCGTGGTCGCCCGTGTAGACTACGCAGACAGCTTCCGGCCAGCGCTTCTGGGTTGCGCGGATGGCGGCCCAGAGGACGCGCTCGCCGCCGCCTCCTGCATTGCTGTGCACCAGTGTGTGAGCTGCCGTGGTCTTCCAATCTCGCGCACCAACGCCTACCAGAACGGGTGGAAGAAGCCCACAATGCCACTCCAGTCCTTGTCCGCCTTTCCGCCGTTCACCGCGCTCCCCACCATGGAAGTCTCCACCTCCTCCCACTCGTCATCCTCCCTGCTCTTCTCGTTCTTGTGCTTCGCGTCGTGGTCGCGCTGTTCCTTTGCTACGCGAGCGAGCAGGAGTTCTCGTCTGGTGAGGGATGATCGGCGCAGGTAGCTGCCCAGCACCTGGCCGACATTGCGCAGGACAGAGGGGAAGAAGTAGATAGCAGCCGCGAGACAAAGCAGGGTGAAAAGGAAAGACGGTAGGAGGGCCATCACAGTCCACGCACGGGGTATCACAGAGGTAGGAAGAGCAGAGCGACAAGAAAAAGAGACATGTGACGCGTTTCAAGGTACAGCTGGAGGTGGGATGGAGCCCTGCCTGTGCTTGCGTAGTGCCGACCCGACAGCCTGGATCCGCGCCCAAGCTTCCGAGACGCCCTCCGCGAAGCCGGCGTGAACAATTCCCAACACGCCCAGCACGCCATGCTGTCCGCACGACTATTGCGGCCGCCAGGGCGCCAATTGCTCTCCAGAGCCCCAATACTACCATCACAGCCCCGCTCCATCTCCCGAACCCGCGCCTTCCACGCGACAGCCCCCCGCAAAGATGGCGCCCTCGATACCCTCCTCTACCTCCCGCACGAAATGGTCTCCCTCATCCACAACTACGTCCCCTGGTACGCCGCGCTGCCGCTCACCGCCTTCCTCGTCCGCGGCCTGCTCGTCACGACCGCGGGGTCCTACGCCCGCGCCCTGACCGCGCGCTACATCGGCACGCACCCCGTGCGCCAGGCCCTCGCCTACCAGAAGCGCAACGAGCTCATGCAGCGCGGCGGCTATACCAACCCCAAGGAAGCCCGCACGGAGATTGCCAAAGCCGTCAAGGCGGAGACAGCTGCCCTCGACCAGCGCTGGAACTGCACGCTCCGCGCGTCGGTGGCCTGGACGCTTGCGCAGATCCCCATCTTCTTCACCATGGCGGAGGTCATTCGGCAGATGACGGGGACGCGCGACGGGCTGCTGGGCATCGTCATGGGGACGCTGGGTCTAAAAGAAAAATCAGATGCGGTGCACGGCATCGATCTCGTTGGGAATCAGTGGTTCCAGCCGTCGCTCGCAGACGAGGGTATGCTGTGGTTCCCAAACCTCCTCACCCCGGACCCGATCCTGCCCTTTGTCGTCTCCGCGCTCATGTTCACAAACGTGTACTTCACCAAGAACGGCGCGAGCGCAAACCCGGACTCGCTACCTACCTTTTCGCGCGCGGTGCGGCTGTCGCTGATGGGCGCGAGTCTGGCGATCGGGCCCTTGTGTCAGGATCTGCCTGCCGCGCTGATGCTGTATTGGGCGGGGAGTACGTCGAGTGTCATGCTGTGGAACCTCTGGCTCGATAGGAAATACCCATCACCGCGGGGCTTCACGGCCTGCAAGCGGCCGCTGCAGTTGCTGGCTGCGCCGAAGCCAGATGCGAGGATAAGACCTGGTCTGGGGCTGCCGATGGCGAAGGCGAAGACAGTGCTGCCGCAGATGCAAGGAAAGAGGCGGCCGCGCCGGTCAGCTCCGCATGCGTAAAGATACCCTTGTGTTGTATATATATATGTATGGTATTCTAGTTAGAGCATACTGCTGAACCTGGAAGTCCTCTGAGGTAATCTGCCCAGGCACAGCAGCCAAAGCGGGTATCCGAAGGTGTAAACATTGGATCTGGGTTAAGGTCGTGTATGCTAATTCCAACGCTGGGATAGAACCTGGTCAAGAGTTTCTCGCTCATGTCCATGATGCTCGCACTTGATCACTCATTATCCGTCAAGGCACACGAGCAACAGCAGCTTTGCCAGAGAAACAAACTCCATATTCACACTAGGTATAATATAGCCAAAGAAAAGCAGGATGGCGCTTCACCTCCCTGCCCTCAGATATGAACAACCATCTTCATCTTCTATCCCACATATCTCACAACTTCAATCCCGACCACACCCCAAGTTTCAACACCGCGTATCTACAACGCCGCAGCGAAGATACCAAGCCCAGCAAGCAACGCCGCGGTGCTGACCTCCAGCGCGCCCGCAGCACCAGTGTTCTCAGCCGGCGCGCCAGTTGCCGTGCCGGAGGACGAGTTCTCGGTGGTGCCCGAGCCGGACTGGGACGCGGAGCCGGTGCTCTGCGCGGAGCCGCTGCTCTTGCTGCTCGAGCCGGTGCCAGTGGGGGCTGCTGTTCCGGACGACGCGGTGGTGGGAAGCTTGGTCGCTACACTTGATTAGCCGTCTTCCCACACTTCAGTACGGACGGGTGGATCGGGCAGACGTACAAACTTTCACGCCGGCATCGTTGCAGATGTCGGCTAGCGCATTGAGCGCGTCCTGCGCCTTGTCGCCGCAGTTCTGGGAGATCTGGCTGGTGATGTCCTTGGCGGAGCACACGGCCTTGATGTCCGAGGGTGTGTCGTACGAGTTTACGGCGCCGAGGAGGCAGCCCGGAGGCGACGCGGCGCTGGCGACAGACGCAACGGCCGCAAAGGCGATGGCGAAGAGGGTCTTGGAGAACATTGTTTGTTTCTTTTTATGGAGTGTCGGGCGAGTCGCGGCGTGGGGGTAAGAGAGCGTGTGGAGGTTGGAAGATAGGTAGCTGGGTATTAGCAGACCGCGTAAAGAGTGACGGCTGGGGAGAAGGTAATGTGCAAGAATGAGTGAGCGTGGGTGGGTGGACGACGGCGTGCGGTGAGGACGAAGACGTTGAAGTGCGGCGCGAGGCGGCCAGGGGGCGCCAATGGGGCACGGCCTGCGGGCTAATTTGGGCGTGGGGATGGAACACGCTAGCGCTAGCCAGGAACCGCGTTTCTACTGTGCCGTCATGGGATGGGAAACCAAATGCCTGTATAATGAATAACAACCTGCTAAGAAGGAATCGTGCCGGACTGTTCTTGTAAAGGAGTTGGTCTCTTTCGATGACTCATCTGTTGTCTCGAGATCAGAGTGCTGCTTCACGGTCAGTCCCTGAGACGCATACATGTGCCGATGAGGCGCCTTGCAAAGTCCGTGAAAACACTCCGATCCGATAGGGTAGAGCCTTGGTCGTAAGCAATTTGCGCGACATGGAGAGTCAGCACGTTTAACATCACAAACTCAACTGCAGAAAGGGAGAACGTCTTCGATCGAAATTGCAAGAGGCTCTCTTCTCAATCCCTAGCCTCTTCCTCCGCGAACCAGGCTTCATAGGGCCCGGCTACTCGGACAAAGTCACTAAAATTTACAGGAAGCTCTCACAGCGTTTTTCGCCGCAGCCGTGCGAGGAATACGGACAAGCGAGTCGAACAGAAGACAACGCAAAGCAGCCAAGACAAACTCCCGTGCGCATCAGAATGAGGTGCCAGCACTGCCCCTGAGCAACGTGGTGGGGTATCCAAAGCAAAACAGAACAAGACATAAAGTGGCCAAAAGCCGGAAACCAAACACGAATGCAGGCAATCGGGATGCACAAAACCAAGACGTCTTTAGCTTCAGACGTAGCAATTGATTTCAAACAGCAACCGATCGCCTGAGTTATCGTCCAAGTAGACTCCATGGCACCGTCGCTGATGATAGTGTACAAGAGTCGGAAAGAAAGATGAGAGGCGTAGTGAGTGGGTATTAGATACGTTCGTGCGGTCGTAGCGGAAGGGAGAATCATGAGGGAGGGGTTATCGGGTGTTTGACGCCGTTGGGACCCAGCATCGAAGGTATGGGTTTCCGTCGGGCTTTCGCCATGGGTATGCGCGGGACACCTTGAATGACGCGCGGTTCTTTCATAAGAGAGGGATCTAGCTTGGCGGGAACTGCATGATCTTTAGATTATGACGATCGACTGCGTGGGGATGCAGCTTACTGCGAGTAATGACTTCACGGTAGTCTCCCGGAAATCGTGAGTTGGGTGGGGTAGCGGCGGCCGTGCGCCAGAGATGATCGCTATTGTCGGAGAGGAAATCAACTTTTGACTTGTGAAAAAATGACGACTTTCCGCGGTTCCGTTTGGACAAGATGACTTCGTCAAAGAGTTTGATGGAAGGGTCGTCTGAGCGCGTGCTCTCACGTTCATGGATGAACTCGTTGAAGCCTGGGGGAGATTAGAATTCGGCATGTAACGTCGGTTTACAAAACGTACCTTGAGTTTGCTGGAGCATCTGAATGTACTGCACATTCTCATGTGGCAGGCTCTTGACAAACTCCTCCATCTTGAAATGATAGAGCAAACCAGACTTCTTTTGGTCACTGCTGGCCGGTCCCATGTACCTCCGGTATGTATACAGAAGGCTCGCAAAACATCTTACAAAAGACGCTCGAACTTGATCGGGACGGAAAGCGGAGGGGCATACTACGCTTATCGTGTCTGCACATCGCGCGTGTGAGTACGTACTGCAGCCTTCGAGTATATTAGCATGGTCCATAGTGCGATACACGAGCAACTCACCAGAACAGCGATATAGACCTTCGTCCGACTTTTCATCACAAACAGAGCAGGTTGCTTTCTGTTCCATTGACCGCCATTGCAAGCAGTGCCCTTCTTGCCACCGGGTCGTATCGGTGTTTCTCACTGGCTGCATCGACAAGCCAGGCATGATGGTAGATGCTGCCAACGTCGATTGAGCGTATACAGATGGGGCGTACGAGGATGGGGCACGAAGCTCGTGGCTCAAAGATGATGTTGAGGCGCTAGATGCATGCCCAAGGAAGGTCTGGCTAGGTCTTCTCAAATTTGGAGGTACCCGCTCGAAGCCAAATGATGAGCTTCGACGAGACGCAGTTTCGAAATGACCTGACCGTTTCTCGCGTAGATCTCTCAAGTTGGCCTGCAGAGCATAGCCAGAGTCACTGCGTGAGATGGGCGTGCTGGGCAGAGGAGGGAAGGTCGTCGATACCGGGGATATTCTTGGTGATGGAGGCGAATGCCCACTAGTCTTTACTGTACTTGCTGTAGATGGTCTGTCGTTTCCTCGGCTTGAAACGCTCGATTGCAAGAATGCGTTGTAGATCAGGGGCCGTGGGTTAGATGGCAGCGGACCGGATCCAAATGAAGTTGAGTTCATTCCAATGTATTGGTGCACGGATAGCGAATAGGCCCGATGCGAGAAAATACCCGGATTCTCAGAGCAAAAGGTATCGTATGGGAAGGACTCGATGGCGTAGGCCGGAGGCCCTGTTGGCACCCCGTATCTTGTGTGGTGTGGCGCAGAGTGCTGCAGTAAAGATGTGAGTTTGCGCCGCTGCTGTCGTGGAAGCGGGGGAGCTTGCCCCCCATTGCTGCCAATCATGTCGTTGTCCAAATCGACTAATACATAGTCGTCTTCGGGGTAATCAGCAGGCTCATATCTTCGCTCTATGCCAACAATATATGGACAAGGTGCTTCGATGGTTTGAACTAGACGCGCGGGTAGGACGGGGATGAATACACCGGCCCATTTAAAAGGATAGATCAGATTGGCTATCGCCATACTTGCCAGGTGGAGCATGGCGGTATGTGAGGAGAGCAGTATGATCTTGGATTCGGCCAGAACATACTCAAACAGGGAAACGATGTTGGGAATGGACAAGCATCTGAAGAGAGCGTAGATGTCAATGTTCCGGGATCCAGGAATCTCGTTGACGGCCTCTTTCCGGGCATAGAGGCGAAGCTCGCGGATCGCAATTTCGACTTGGGTGATAGAGTTGATCGGACTGAGGGCCTCTGCGCACAAATTGACGACGTAGCGCTCAAGGGGCTGCCACATGCCAATTCGTGGTGAACTAGGGGGCACACGCTGTACGACGCCATTCGTCATGGGTACGACGACAGCCTTGAGCCATTCCTTCCAGAACGGTGTCAGACTTGCATCTCGGCCCATGACTCCGTACGCTCGCGGAATCCAAAGCCCAGTTTCGCCGTCTGTGAGACCCTCAATTTTGGAAGCTGCGCCATGCCTTACGGGCCGCAGTAAATCTGTCATCAAGCCAATCTTTTCTTCCACTGCACTGATTTCATCTTCGAGGGCTTCGCGGTCTTCAGATTCGGATGCCACTGTGGGCAGCTTCGCTAAGAGTCTCGAAAGTTTTGCTCGTTCCAGTGCCAGTCGCTCTCCTAGACTGCTAGCTAGTTCGCGCTCTTCTTGGTTCATGTGCAGCCGTCGCCATTCTTCGCATTGTCGCTCCAGCCCTTCGGCCGCATCAGCGTTCAGCGGCTGCCACACTATCATGCAGATGCCGTATAGTTTTGAACCGTCTGAATTCGTCATAGCAAACCCATGCCAGCCGGTTTTTGGCCGTTCGTCTGCTGAAACGACCGTAACATCGTTGGGGAAAGCAAACATGGGCACGTAATCCGGGAAGGGATTCCGACGCTTCAGTTCCTCGACCATGTTCTTGGGCGGGTAGCGATCCAGTAATACGGGCTCGTAACGACGTAGCAGGGGATGCATGTTCGGCTCCGGGTTGAAGGGCTGTGGGGCTGGGATGACTGAATTGTAGCCAGACATTCGTTTCGAGGTGCGTACCGATGCTGGACCCATGTCAGTCATGTTTCGATCTCAAAAGCAATATAACGCCCGATTCCAGTCGCCCGGAACGGCGCATCGCGCACGACCCTTGGGCTTACCTTGGCGTGTTGCCACAGACGAGGTTCTCTTGAGGCTGCTCTGCATGGTGGAAATGCGCCGCCGAATGCTGCCCACACCAGATCTGAGATTTCCAACACCATCTTCCTGCTGTTGTTGTATGCGCTGGGGCCGTGGTCGCGCTGGTTTGGATGGAGTAGCCCTGTTTTGTTGTGCAATTCCTGCCGAGAACTGTATTTCCTCGAGAAAAGTGTCGCGTTCCGAGGCGAACTTCCTCAGGGCATTCTCGAAATCTTGGTCGCTAAGCCCTGATACTCCCAGCGGCATGCCCTTGATTGTCACGCTGCTTCGGTTGCTGGCGGTGGGTTTGGGTTCTGACCCAACGATAGTGCCGGTAGACTTGCGATGCTCGGAACTCAGGCGCCCGGACGACCGCCTGGATGAGTCGCCATTGATGAGGGAGAGGCCGTCTTGGGACTTTGGGCGGATCGAGTCGGTCTCTAGAGCGCGGTCTTCTTCAATGGTCTCGTCTACATCGAGCGGCGGAGGCGACGACAGCCCCGGCGAGGGAATGGTGCTGAGGCTGCTTGGCTTCGGTTGCGAGCGTTCGTCATATACTTGCGAGGACTCGATCCCGGATATGAAAAAATAGTCGGCGAGCGGCGGGGTGACATCTGAGTGAGCGGGAGCGGGAGCCATTGTAAATGCTATGACATGTGATATCCAAGAAGAGGCCTGGCGGGCTGAAAGGTCTGCGCAGCAAGCACTTGGTGGTGGTTGGAGTCGCGGCCAGGCGATCAAGGCATCGGGAATTGGACGCTCGTTCCAACGGTTTGTGTGGGCTTGGTTGCAGGTCTACTATGCGCGGCAACGCTTGAGACTGTACGACGGTGACAAGCTTGGTCGCAGCCGTTGTCGCGTAACACGGGCGTGGGCAGAGGCTGCTGGGCAAAAGGCGCGCGTGCGGCTTGGTGTGCGGGCACAGGCTCAGCGACTCGTGCAGGAACGGAGGAGGATTGGATGCGGAGGAGTTCAGTGCAGGAGAGCGCTGGGGTTGGCCGCGAGATTTTGGACCAGCGAGGACGGTCCTGGCCCAAGCCCGCGGGCGGTTAGGGCAGACTGGTACAGATTAGCTGCTTATCGCGTCGACTGTGCACAGGGCGGGTCGTCTGGAAGCGGTAGCCAAGATTTGGAAAGGCACGACGCGGTGGGATGGCGCGTCGTTAGCTGCGTGCGGAACCAGTTGCCAGCACGTCTGGACGACCGCCACGCGCCGCTTTGTTTGTCGTGCGCGCGACAAAGCATCGCCCAGCGCCGACAGAGCCTGCGCGACACTCGCAGCGTCTCCAGGCTGGCGAGGAGCCCACCGACGGCAGCGGCAGGCGCGACCCTGGGCCATGAGAGTCCGCGACTGCCCCGATCCGGACGCGCTCCCTGAGTGCCTGCCCGAATGAGGACGGCGCGGCAGGGGCCATCCGAACCCCATCAAAGAAGCCCGCACCCCGCCGCCACCGGCTGCCAATATATTATCATATATAGTAGCATGTATCAGATGAATGGACGAGCTCCGGCGCAGACGCATATCTGCCAGGGCACGAAAAGGGCCCGAATAGGGGTGTGCAACCTCCACAGCGGTCTGTCAACTGTCACCCGCCCGTCGCCGCCACACGCCCGTCACACGCGTCGTCCCCTGCTGCACTGCGCCTATTAACCACTCCGCCGCACGAGACCTGGGTAGTGCGCAGGTATCAGGGGCCCGGCGTGCAATTGTGGGCTGCCGAATATCGATTCCATCCGCCATGCTGCTCACGGCCTGAGACAGCAGTGTCCACAACCACTACGCCGTCCCAAGCATCATCACCGCGGCGATCCTGTCCATCGCAATCCTCACCTCGCCGAGCGCGCCACCGGGAACAAAGAATTTCCGCGCTGATTTGATGGCAATCATTGCCCGCCTCATTTCCTCTCCCAAGACCCTCAGCCAGTTCGTGGCTCGCATCTCGGCATCGGGGGCTGGCTACGACGGTCCCACTGGTGCACGGTTCGGCTTTCACCGCGCTCAGTCCGGGGATATCCTGGTCCTCGCGATTTGCACTAGGCTCGCCTGCTCCTCCAATGGATTGTCGCCGTGTCTGTTCAAATTGCCCCACTGGGCTCCTCCCGGTGGCTGTGTTTCAAACCTCGTCGCTCCCTCATGCGCACCGGAGAATGCTACGTTGGCTCTCAAAAATAGCCAAAAACACCGATGCCATGTCTGTCTCTTCGTTTGCGTTGCAGCTTTCGGCTGACAGCGTTTAATCTATTCCAAGATTGCGCAATTAATCTTCCGTATGCATCTGCGTGCTCGTACATACGCCGCATGCTAGCACGCGGGCCGAACCATTCAGCGGTATCCCTGGTCGCCAGAAAACCCATTGCTGTGACTATCCCCTGGAAGGCTTCCAGAAGCATTCCGAGAGCCATGCTTCATCTCGTGGCCACCGTCGGAGCCGCTTCCGCAACGAGTGGTGAAACATTGGTTGCGGCCCGGGTAGGCGGTCCAGAGCCCGTGGTCTTGATGCAGGTACAAATTGCATGTTTTTATTTGGAGGCGTAGCTTCTGCAGTCATCCTACATCGACCGTAGACAAACTTTATTGTGACGGGTGTAACCTAGCGCTGCGTGGTATCGTGAGCATGGCTTGATCCCGATCTGCTAAAACCAGCCTAGGGCAACTCGGCTTGCAATGCCGATTGCACCATACAAGTCTTGCAGTAACCAACCTCAAGCGTCGTCGTCGTGGAGGTATACTACTGGGTTATCTGAGCAAGTCAGCTGCTTGGACCACCTACAACATGCTAACAACACCTATTCATTAAACAAGGTATAGTCGGGCCTACATGTCAAAATACTTCCACGCTAAAAGGGTAATCCCTGGTGCCAGCTCGATCGCAAATGAATAGAGTCATGTTCATACCGACCACCTGTTCTACGGGTGATCGCTCCTTAGGACAGGTTACCGGAAGCCGACACTGACTCGGCATGAAACAATGAAGACGGTGGAGCGAGAAGTGACCACTTTTTCTATCTGCCCCCATTTCACTCTTCGTCTGTAGATCGAACTAGACACAGCCATTAGATCTCTCCGAAGACCATCACGGCTTATCAAGAATCGAGTTTTTTTTTTGCCCGGATGGCTTGCAATTCACACTTTATTCAGTATCGGGGAACCTCCCTCCAGAGGACGACAGCAACATTCGATAGTCTTGAGATGGACATACCACGACGCTGAGCTGGTGGCCACTGACTAAGTTTACGGCTGTACGCATGACGTCTAACACGGACGATGGAGGGCAGAGCAGGTCGCGCGAGCCGAAGCGGATTCCTTGCAGACAGCAGCAACGTCTAGGTTCGACTCTCCAAATCGAAGAAGCTAAATAACGTCTCATGGTTGTCCAGCATTGGAAGCTAGATAGAACCTTGGAGCAAGTCAGCCAGCAAGCGACGACTCCATCACGGGGTCTTCACCTACGACACAGCCCCAATCATTAGATCACTACGCGATTTCGATGACCTTTGATTTGGGAAAGTAGCTTCGTCTGGGTCATGCTGGGTTCATGTCCGTACCGTGGCAGATTCATCGAGACATCTCCCCCATTAGGATCGAAATCAGTAGCACTGCAACCATTGTAAATATGAAATCACTCAGACGTTAACTGCGCAGACAAGATCAGACACGTCACTACAGTTCCCAGGAACAACCACATGGCACCATGCGTTAAGCGGACAAGGCTGTCATGAATCGTCTCGGTGGATGGGAATGACGCAAACAAAGTAGCAAAATATGACAAAATTCAATCTTGCTGTCATTGACTATATTTCATTCATCTACGTAATTTTCCATCTAGCTCTGAGGCTGCTTTTCGATGTTGGTGCCGCAGCGGGCGCAAGGATGCCCCTAACGCTTTTTGATGCGTCGTTGTAGAGTCACCCTAGTCCACCCTGCATTTATTATGGCAGGGCCTGTGAACCCTCGTTGACAGTTCCGAATCGCTGACGACGAGCCCCCGTCGCCGAGTCCAAGAGCGTACTCGATTCCTGATTCTACTGAGCATCTTTTTTCCTGGACGCCAGGGCTCTCCTGTAGTCATCCTCCCAGTACTCATCCTGGTGAGCCTAATAATATCGTCCAAACTCCTCTTGTTATACGAACATGCAAGCACCCATCATCGCCTCGCAGTCAACCACCCCGTACTCAGCGTCCCCCTATCCCCCAACGCCGTCCTCCATTTAATCTCCAACTGCCCCAACACCCTCCTGTTATCCCCCAACTGATCCCTCCTCCCCTCCGCAACCCCCTCCCTCTCCCCCTTCTCCTCCAGCAAAAACGCAACCTGAATAACCTCCCTCGCCATCAACACGGGCTTCACCTTGTCCTTCCCCTGCCCCTCCCCATCAAGATCCCAATTCAGACTCGTGCCCTTGTACAGCTCGTTAGGGTTCACGCTTACATCCTCCAGCGACACGGCGCCCTCGCCCATATTCTCGAGCTGCGCCTCAAGCAGGTGGCGCCCAGGCGCGACCTCGCCGGCCTTGGTCCGCACGGAGAGCAGCTGCTGCGCAACGAACTGGTACAGCTTGCGGAACGTGCGGACCTTGCCGCCGGTCGGGGCCGGGCGGCCCTCGCCAGCGAGCGCCGTCTCCGTGTACGTCACCGTCACCGCGAGGACGTGGTTGCCCTCCTCTTTGAGCTCGAAGCGGAGGATCTTCTGCAGACTCGCGCCGGGGCTGATGTCCCCATCGCTGCCCTTCGGATCCTCGCCTTCCTCGCTTCTCTCGTGCCCAAAGAGCTCGAGCGACGTACCCCCGGGCACCGAGGGCGTCTGCATGTCGGCCTGGATGCGCACCCCGCTGATGGCTTTGCTCGCGTTGCCGGGCTCGATTTCGTTGTTTGCGCAGAGCGTGCAGGAGAAGTTCTCGCCGACGTAGGCGCTGCCAAAGGCTTCGGGGAGGTTGAGGACGGGGGAGAGGATGAATTTGTCGGCGGTGCGGGAGGAGGGGTAGGCGAGGGAGGCGGTGGGCGCGATGCCGAGGGCTTGCGAGGCGGGGAGTGGGTATTGTGTTGCGAGGGAGGGGCGCGAGAGGCTACCTGTGTTAGAAAGTGTGGAATGGCATCGCTAGGGGGTAGGAAGCACACCGTAGGACTTTCAGGCTCACTGAGTGCGGCGCTTTGAGCGCATCTGCGGCGGAGGCATGGCGTTGGTGTGCCATCGTGTGCTACAAGACGGGCGCACTGTGAATGGGGTCTCAGCGCATAGCGCCCATGTATATATACTCTAGGAGTCTAGAGTTCGTATGCCGTGTCGCGTTGTCCTGGAGCTGGCTAAATGTGAGGTCATCGCAAGCTCTCCAACCCCTGCTGCAGGCGGTGCTGTGGATCCCTAGTCCGCTCCCCGCCACTAAGCCCTGCCGCCGCCTCTCAGCCTTGTTCGAAAATCACGATTTCCTCGGAACAACACTCCTGCCAGTAAACCGTACCAAACAACTTAAAGTTCCCACTTGTCAGCTTGCCAACACAATATGCATCTGGAATCCACGCGCATCCCGCTCGAGCGCTGTCCAGACCTCGTCATCCTCACAGACACGCCAAAAGGTTTCTAGGTTGCCTTGCTCGATTAGTGCATAAACGGACACGGGTGCTGAGGTTTTCGACAGGAAGAGGCGTTTTTGCTACCAAATTGATCACCGCCAAGACCGTGCTAGATACATGTCCCGTCTTGATCTTGGGCATCGAAGAGAACAAGAGGCATATCGAGCATACGTCGTTATACCACTACACGTAGTAAGTTCAGCAGAGTTGAATGACAATATATATAACCGACTTTCAAGCAACTGGCCCATAACGGACAAGGAGGGGAAGAAACAGAAAGCACAGGCGGTCATATTCGGTCTTGGGTCCATGTTCAATCATTCCTCACACGACCAAAATGTGGTATGGGATCGCGACCTTCTGCGCCAGATGATAACGTATCGCGCATTAAGAGACATTCAGCCTGGGGAAGAGCTCTGTGAGACCAATCAAGCCAGTTGTCAACACTCGTGTTACTGACATCCTCCAGGCATATCATACGGCGACCACCTGACTTTCAAGGATGCAGATGCTCCACCTCTGCCCCGACCAGAGGACGAGATAGAGCAACTCAATCGAATACAGCTAGACTAGACGACGTAACAGCTATAGATACAAAGGATCAGATAAGACCGTCTACCAACAGACAGCCACCCAGCGAGAACCCAAAAGAATGCAACGTGAATCATTACAGCCCCCAGGTAGCCTTCACACCGTAGAAATGCAGTGGTAGAGACGGTGCGATGCAAAGATCAGCAGCCTCCAACAGTACCTAAAGGCGCAAAAGTAATCCAGAAGTGGACAAAAAGAAGCCGCATCGCCTCTCACATACGCAAAGCTCACAGTACGTGCAGGGTGAACTCGGACACCGTTACGACAGTCGTTGCCCCAACGCTTACGAATGTTTTCTACCTTTGCTGTGGGTGTGCGCCTGCAGATGGCGTTGTTCATGCAGCGGTGAGGCCTTCAGGACCGCTTTCGCTCGCTGGGGTTTGCTCTCCGGCCGAGCTGCTGCTCTCTTCTGCATCGTTGCGTAGTTCGTAGGCAAGTTCAAAGCACTCCGCAAGGAGTTGCGTTACGCTTCCTTGCCCGTCAGGAATATCATCGCCAATTACGAATTTTCCATCGACACGCATGTTATCGATAGAGTTTAGCTAGGTGAGATTAGCAGGATTCACTTCGCGGAATAAGTGGCTCACCTTCATGCTGTAAGGGTACAGCTCCCGGGGTGAAGAAACACCTCCAAGCTTCTTAACCTCCAAAAGACACTTCCGGAGCGTCGTGAGCTGGTTGTAGATGGGCAAGAGCGCTTCTGAAACAGGCTCCGATGACACTATCAGCTGGAAGATCAACGCATAGCTCTTGCGCAACAGGTAGAGCAACGTCCTCTGCTCGTACAACTCCGCCGGGCGACCCAACGCATCCATGAAGTTGCCATCAATCCGTGCCTCGTCAATTCTGTCAAGCTGTCGTTGGAAGTTCCATAGATCTGTCTCACGAAGAGACCATGCCTGAGTCAGGGAGAGTTTTTCCAGCTTGTTACGAATGCCCAAAAGCTTATCGTATATTTCCTGGAATGCAGGTGCAATTCTACCCTTCTTCTCTTTCATCAGATTGGTCCACAGGAAGTTTCGTCGCAACAAAGTCTCAATGAGGTCTTTTGCTGCCGGCGCAGGTTCTGGGTGCTCAAGAGTAAAGCTCAACTTCTCAATCATCTCTGTAAGCTTCTCCTCCTTCGTCTCGCGTTCCTCCGAGAAGGCGTGGATTCCGTACGGCCGAAGCTCCGTCTGGATGTCTTTCAGCTGTACTAGGAACTCATCGACCTCAGCTTCTGGGAATGTCGATCTGATGTTGCAGGCGCACAGTGACCTGAGGATGGAAACAAGCTTCTCGTACTTCGGCTCTAGTTCCGGCGTAAGATGTGAATGGGCCAGTTCCAGTCTAGCTATCGATTCCTCACAGACTTGGATTCGTGCTTCAAGGAGCGTCAATAACGAAGGCGTGTAAGTGTCTTTCCCCCGGTCCATGTAACGCCGAGCATTCTTCAGCATCTGGCCGATCGCCTCCAAATCTTTTGCGGAGTAGAAGTGCGCTTCCTCAAGGTGGTCAAGTAAACGCTATAGGCCGTCAGCAGGCCGTCAGGTGGTCGTACAGGGCTAGGCCAGATGATCGACATCCCAAGAGAACGCGGACCAATCAGGCAACGAGGAAGTTGAGAAGAGCATCTCTCATTGGCAGCGATATAAAGATGCGATTGGAGTTGGGTCCGGAACATAAAGGGTGCACGGGTAGCTTACCTTGACTGTGGATATGATTGAGTACCTATCGGAAAGTGAGCACGTGATCAAGGAAGGGGAGGTATAGAACACCGTTGGCAGTACATACACTGCAGGAGCTTCATGGTTCTTGCCTATTGTCATGTAGGCCAGCGAGACGAGCTGGAAGCAGTCATCCAAGACGGTATCGACTACGGTGATTGATAAGCATATCGCCTCAACAGTACCGGGAGCTGAAGACCAACCTCTGTTTTGCTCGAGCCGTTTTGTCGTTCGTATGTGATTCAGAATCTCTACCTGCTCAATAACTTGGTCATACAGGCTGATAACATCCTGGCTCTTGACATAGGTCGAGCGGTCTTGCTTCAGCAGTTCAAGGTTCGTCCGGACTGCGAGCAGCTTGTCGAGGATGGGCTGCTCTTTCGGGTCCAGCGGGATGCGCGGCGCAGGTGAGTCCGTCATGCTGGCTGCAGGTGCTGTGTGGGGAGGATCTGCAGTGGTTTCGTAGAGCTAGAGTCAAGCAAAAAATATGAAGCGGCCGTTGGGTATCACAGTGGACTGTTCGGGAAAGTTGCATGCAGCTGGGGGGAGGGGAGTGACGTCCTGATCGCCCCGCTACATCACGTGCGGCGCCTCGTCGGCGAAAAATAAGCGAGACGCCGAGCCCACGACCGAACCTCCACAAAGCCGACTTAATTCTACCAGCACTCAACATCGTTCCGGCACATCACCACACTCGACACAATCGACCACAGTCGCCATGTCTAACGCCGAGCTCGCCTCTTCCTACGCCGCCCTCATCCTCGCGGATGACGGTGTCGACATCACTGTACGGGCTGCCGCGCAATCGCAGCCGAGTTCCAGATGCTAATATGCGCAGGCCGACAAGCTCCAGTCCCTCATCAAGGCCGCCAAGATCGAAGATGTCGAGCCCATCTGGACGTCGCTGTTCGCCAAGGTGCGCACACCCGTAAAATAGTAGAAGGAATGGTCTCTGATGTGGTACAGGCTCTCGAGGGCAAGGACGTCAAGGACCTGCTTCTGAACGTCGGCTCAGGTGGCGGTGCTGCCCCTGCCGCCGCCGGTGGTGCCGCCGCCGCTGGCGGTGACGCACCAGCGGAGGAGAAGGCTGCCGAGAAGGAGGAGGGTATGTTGCACCACTCCCGAAACCATGTGCGACGGACGCTAACAAGTCACAGAGAAGGAGGAGTCCGACGAGGACATGGGTTTCGGTCTCTTCGACTAAGCGCCTTCCCTTCACGTTTCCTTCGCCATTTGCCTTCGTCGGGGTTTTCAAAACGGGTCAGCGGATGTATTCACGCATATTCCCAACCTTGGGGCAGAGAAGCATCGGCTCTCTGTTATACTGGCATATCACCTGGGAGAATATATGACGGCGTCATGAGATATGTTAAGGTGGTAGGGTTTCAATGAACAACTTCGAAAGTGCAAACTATGCGGCCGTGGCAGAGTGATGTGGGACCGGCTAAAATATCGATTAGCTATACTAACCAAGGCTGCCGACCCTCGACTCCCTCGCCTCAGTCTATTTCCACATCATTCTACCATTGCGAAAGCGGCACCACGTTGTTCGCCTACTATTTGCAAAAGCGATACCTTTTGGCGGGAACGAACTGCAGAGCGCTTTGGGCCCGAATTTAGACTGCGACTTCCAATTTGCGCCCGTAGATTATTATTGAAGCTACCTATTAGCTACACCACTCTACAAAGCCGGTGTATCTGCATATGTAGAAGGCATCATGAACTCGGCGTATCTTGTGCCCCCAATCTCCGCAGCGTCTATCACCTTGCGCAGTTCATCCACTTCCTCTTTGCTCAATTTGACCTCCAATGAACCCACATTCTCCTTTAATCTGTCAAGCCTCTGCGTACCTGGAATAGGGAAGATGTCTTCACCTTGCGCAAGCAGCCAAGCGAGCACCAGCTGCCCAGTCGCAATACCCTTCTTCTTCGCAAGCGCAGTAAATTGGTCCACGATCTTCAAGTTCTTCGGGAAGTTCTCCTTGGAGAAGCGCGGAGCATGCTTTCGGAAGTCACCTTCCTCAAAATCATCAGGTGATTTGTATGCGCCTGTAAACATGCCACGGCTAAGAGGGGAGTATGCTACCACGGCAACACCAAGCTCGCGCGCCGTGCGCAGCAGATCGATCTGCTCTGACTCAATTTCCAATGCCATGGGGTGGTATTCGACCTGCACAGCCGTGATAGGGTGAACAGCATGTGCCCGGCGCAGGGACTCAGAGCTGCATTCGCTAAGTCCAAGATATTTTATCTTGCCCTCATTCTTCAGCTCCACCAAAGCCTGGACCGTCTTCTCAATAGGCGTCTTTCGATCCAGACGGTGCACATAGTACAGATCCACGCTCGGCAGACCCAGCCTCTCTAGACTCTTGTTGCAAGCTTTCTTGGCGTATTCTGGCGTTGAATCGGTCTGGTAGGTGCCATCGTCCATCTTCCTGTTCGCGAACTTTGTAGCGAGGAAGATGTGCTCGCGCTTTTCGGGGTTGGCCTTGAACCATTTCCCTAGCAGGTCCTCAGAGTCGCCGTACATATCTGCGCTGTCCCAGAACCGCTCGCCCATTTCGTACGCAGCGTCGAGGAGGGCGAGACGCTCAGGGTCGGGCTTTGGCTTGCCGTAGAAAATGGAGAGACCCATGAGGCCGAAACCCAGGCGGTTGACCTGGGGTCCATTCTTGCCCAGGGGCGCTGTTGGGAGAGACATTTCTAACGTATGATTTGGTATGTAGGAGTTTTGAGTCTTGAAGATAGAGCTATTGGAGAGTATGGCCACTGAGAGGATATGACCGTGGTGCTGGACCTTTATATATTCGACACCATTATGCGGCGCGTTTCGGTACATTGTTATTGTCCAGTTACCCCGCCGTAAACGTCCGGGCCAGTAGCCATTGTATGTCCGGCGTGTTCCCGGGACTTCCTAGCTTCATACTTCTGGGATACTCCACAATTGCAACAAGTTGAAAACGCAACATGCTAACCACTGAACGTTAGACTCGAAAACGATCACGGATGTTCCGGATCATTTTACACATCGCGAGGACTTAGAGCTAGTGTTGAGTTTGTAGAGAATATGAATATCTTTGGAACTTGCTCCACCACCGGCTTGGCGTATCATGTGTATTTTTGTTTGGCACTGTGGACGGAGGGGCGTAGCTGTCTCGCGGAGTATGACCCTCCGAGGCTCATGGTATGCTTCGATTTTGTGCGCGGCGGAAATACTGTTATTTCCGGTGCGATCTCGACGTTCGGATATTGAAGGAGTTAACGGTCCAGCCTGCACCTGGTGAACGTTTGTACGCGATGCGCTTTGAAATTGTATGATTCACCGGAGCTTCCGACGTATCTCCCTTGTCCCAAGAGACCATCAATACAATCCCATCAAGTCCTCCAATCCTTTGGACGAGACGACGCAGCTCGCTGGAGGGCTGCTTGAGGCAAAAATGAGATCTAGAGTTCACAGCTTCACTGCTATCTTTGTAAAAAAGGTATCCAAGATCGAGTGCTCGTTAGCTTCCGTTCATCCTCAGTCTATCCTCAATGACCTCCACAATCTCCCTCCAGTCCTTCATAGCTCCTCCTCCTACGTCTCCACAGGCGAGCTGTTTCTCCATGGGCAGAAGCACCTCGAACCAACCCCCGTTCTTCACACCCCACTCCTCGTCTAATATATCGACCTGCTTCTTTGTGATCGGCTGCTTCCACATAGCGGTGTTCATCGATGGAGCCACTAATATCCTCTTCTTCCGTCGTGTTTCATCTATATGTCCGTTGACGCCTCCAAGATTGCGTATGGGGTCCAACTCCCCAGTCGTGTCCCAAGCGCGTACAACAGACAACAACAAGTTGTCTGACCAGCCCTGTGTGATCTTCGCGAGTGAATCTGCACTGAGAGGTGCAATGACCATGATATCGGCCCAGCGTCGCAATTCGATGTGTAGAATCTTGTTGCCGCGCACCCATGGCTCGCTCCACTCATCTTCATCGAAATACACGGCATCGACATTCGGCAATGCTTTTATTTCCTCTATAGACGGCTGTTCTGCGCTCTGCCCACGAAGGAAGTTCTTGGCGGCTTCCGTGAAGATGAGACGAATCGAGAGATTGGTGTATCTCGACAATGCCTGCACCATGTTTGGGATTTTGATTGTGGCTACCGAACCGGTAGCGCATAATAGAAGATGTATTTTCGAATCCTCAAGTGGTAGTGCATATGGATCCATATTGACAACCGCTGATTCTGGGCTGCGCACCGGTTTCAGATGCAGTGGTTTGAGGTTCTCTATGATAGCGGCCATGCTGTAGTTGTGTGGCGTTGGTGCTTCCGGACAACTCAAGAGGGCGAATTGTGGTGTTGGATTTGTAAACGGCAAGGCCAAAAGTGACTCACGTGGCGGTTACGTAACCAAGTTTAGCTTTGTCTGCCATCCACAACCACACCTCCTCCAGGCCCTCGGCCCTAGTACTGCCAAGATAAAATAGCGCGAGGAACTGCCATAACTGATGGCTGAATTCAAACCAAACGCAAAGCAATCTGTTGGGTATTGATATAGCTTGGGAACGAAATACTTTCTTAGGACGGCTCACGGCCTATCGACTCGATCCGAACTACTTCAGGAGCGCATCGAGGAATCCCTGGATCAAATCACAGACTTTTTCTTGTGCCTCCGGCTTTGAAATCTCGTGGTCTGCCTCAGGGACAAGACCCGACAGCTCGCTCACAGTACCCTCAGGACAAGCCTGGACCCAGCGGTCCAACAATTCTTTTTTGTTCACGGAAGGTGGAACAAGTTCGTCTTCTTCCCCAGGAAGCAAAATTATAGACCTGTCAACTCGACCAAATTTGGCGTTAATGGTAGCCTCGTCTAGGTCCACCGAGAAATAGTCGTCATCGCCACCCTTGGCTGCGAGCGAGTTCCATCGATATGCCGTAATTGGAGATGTGAAGATGAATGGAAGCAGGGCACTCGGCATAGCATCGTTCTCCTTACCCTCTGCGATCATCTCCTGGGCGTGTTGGTTGCTTTTTCCCAACTCTTCTGGGGACATCAGAAGACCTGCAGTCTGTCTATCCGAGACCGGGCTCAGAAGGATGTAGCCGTCTACAGGAGCGCTCTTATACTTTTTGTGATCTGTGTACTCTAAGCAATCTTGGCACCCTACATACTGTAAATCACTCTAGCCATATGTGAACGTGTGGGGATGGCTACAGACCTGTAGACGCTCCGCAAAGGACAATCCTCTCCTTGCCAAGTGTACGGAGGTATGCGACCAGAGCAGATATATCTTGAACATCGTTGGAGAGACTGGAATATCCGAACCCAGTGTAGGAGCTTCGCATACGCAGCTCCCAAACACTGAATGTAGAACCTTTCAGCTTGCATACAATCGCATCGAGCGCGCGATTGGTATGGGGGCCTTCTGTAAGGCCTCCAATGAATACTAGTGCATTCTTCTGCGTCTGGATTGCCCTCTCGTAGGCGAGAAGATTCGGCGTCTCTGAGGGAACGCGATGTACCACGGCAGGGAAAGAAGCAGCGGAAGCCATCCTTACCGCACCCGCCTACCGTCTATGGCCTGCTTTTATGTGGATAGGAAAGAAAACACACCACATTGACCGGCCGGAAACAGAGATGCCGGTGGTAGCTGTGTGTTTCCACTTACGTATCGAATCAGAACCTGAACCGCTGGGCAGTGGCGGTGCAAACCCCATTCGAGTCCCAAACGTGGGAGTGAAGACTTGACTGGCGGAATCTCGCCAAGCTCTTGGAAGACTCAAAATAGGTGTCGCGCGAAGCTTTCGCCCAAACAATATGCCCGCTTGCCTCTCATGGCTAGTACCGCGATCCGCCAAGGTTCTTTTGCTTAGCTTCATGGTCAGTCTTGGACATACTTCGTAGTTTCCGCCTTGAAGTTAGGCATCAGCTGGTCTCGTGTCTCATGAAAAGTACCGCCATGATTAAGGTCGCTCTACTTACAGAAAATCCCATCCTGAACAATCACAAGGGAGTTACATCTATGGGTAGAAGCAATTTACATCAATGGCCAAAAGGCCTTCGACGTTGAAATTGCGGGGTGGGCAGTCTGGAACCCACCGCCAGTGGGATCAATCTCTTCTATGGCATGGCAAGCGCCTCTGCTAGTCATTTGGCCCTCGGGCCCCACGGGCCCCAGACTGGTCCGACACCTTTTCGCTGAATCACAGAGGAATCGCAACCTCGAGAACAATATCAACCAGAAAGAGGACGTCAATATCTACCTTCTCGATTCCGTGGTGACCTGATAAAAAGGAACTGCTACAGCTGCTGCTAAAGGAGCAAATATGTTGCCAGCCTTTACGGAAACGATTGTAGTCAGCAACCTATCGCACGACAAACCACACGCTTGGACCTTCTATCGCGCGTTGGCGTAATACGGCGCGTTTTTTCCCATGCGCAGTTGTTCCACTCAGCCTTCTACACATGAGGCTCATTTGTCGCTTACTAGTGAGTTGCATCCTGTTCGCACGGTTTGGGGCCAGGTACAGCCGCTTTTACGCCTGCCAAGACGGTGCACGGCTGCGAGCTGGAGGTAAGATGCATTCATCTTTTGGTTATATAGGAAGAGGGATCCCTTGGATGAGGTTGTGCAGTAGTGTACCGCTATTTCCGCATCATCGGTCACAGTACCGCGGCTGATTCTTCAATTTGTCTCCTTCCGTCGTTCGTTCTGACGATAGTTTCGACCTTAAACGATAGCGTTCACCTTTTCTCTTTCTTAGTTTCCATCAGCATCATGTGGGGAAGAGGCCTTCTTCTGGCCTCCACGGCCGTTGTTGGTGTACGTAGCAACCCCGGAGCGAACAACGTCGAACCATGCGCATACATTGCAACTCTACAGTCCGAAGGCGCGTCATCTTTCCCTGCTGGATCCGCATTCGACTGTCTCAACTCAGTACCAGTGGACGTGGAAGGCGACAAGAAGCTTATCGACGAACTCAAAATCGCATGGCAGTGGCACTCAGATATCTCGTGGCTCAAAAACCCGCCAGCAGACTGGGAAGATGGGTCACTAGATCTGATTGCTGAGCTGGACAAGATCAAGAGTAACCTGGAACAGTTCGAGAGCGAGTATCAGGTCCAGATTGCTATTCAGAAGATCACAGTGCGCTCCGGCAATTTCCACCTCAACTACATACCAGACATTCTGCAGGTGTTTGGTTGGCAGAGGGACGTAAGCCTCGTGGCGCTGTCAGACGATGGCGTCAAAGTGCCAAAGCTTTACGTGACCTTCGATGCGCTGAAGGTCGCCGATGGCAACATCACCGAGGAGAAGATATCGGACATCACCAAGATCAACGGCGCGGACGCCTGGCCATATCTGGAGAACCTCGCGCAATGGGAACAGTACCGCGACACCGATGGCAGACTGAACAGCCTGTGGGCCAAGGGTGATACTCTCACTCCTGGTGCTTTCATGATGCAGTCTCGATTCGATGGTGCTGAGACCAACATTACCTTCGCCAACGGGACAGAGATTGAGTACATCAACACTGCCTGGACGAACGAAGCCTTTAAGGACGTAAAGGATGGCAAGTCATTCTACGAAAAATTCTGCAAGGGAAGTATCTCCGGTGTGGATGCTGCCGATAACGAGCTCATCTGGAAGCCTGAGTTCAAGAGCAAGCGTGGACCGACAGCTGTGCCTCCGAACGGCGAACACCACAGCAGCCTTCTACACAGGCGAGAGACCCCCGCCGTCTATCAACGCTTCCCTGAACCTGTTGTTTCTGCGGATAGCGGTGGTGTCGCTGGATACTTCCTTGACGGCGAGGGCTACGACGACATCGCCGTCCTCAAGATTATGAGCTTCGCCCCCGAAAAGGACCCATATGGTCTGGAGTTCCAAACCGTGGTTGATCAGTTCCTTGTCTCGTCCAAGAATGCGAACAAGAACCGGCTCATCATCGATTTGCGTGAGAACGACGGTGGCTCCATGCAGTTGTTGCTCGACACGTTCGAGCAGTTGTTTCCTCACCGGGCTCCATGGCAAGGCGCAAGGTATCGGGCCAACCCCCACTTCAAGCTCATTGGCGATGCTGTCAGCGAGATCTACAACAACGACACGATCCAAGACTACTACAAGGAGACGTGGAATGGCACTTTCAAGGAGCACTACAGGCACTGGGCTTACTCGCACTTCTTGGACGCGCAGAACAAGGGTTTTGAGAGCTGGGCACAATTCAAGGGTCCAGAGCTCTTCAACGGCGATCAATACACGAAGACAATGAGATACAATGTAAGCATTCGTCGACACACCATACTGAAGACATTGACTTACTGATCAACACAGTTGTCCAACGAAGACGATATCTCAGTCCGCTTGGGAGGCTTCAAGTTCACGGACGAGACCAATCGCACGACAGTCTTCAACCACACCGATATTGTCATGTTCACCGACGCCCTCTGCGGCTCCGCCTGCGCCGCCATCCACGAAGAGTTCAAGAACAACGCCGGCATCCGCTCCGTCACCGTCGGCGGACGCGCCATCGAAGGCCCCATCCAAGCCGTCTCGGGCAACAAAGGCGGCGAAGTCGTCCCGCTGATCCGCGGCATCCAGCAAGCCGACCGCATGCGCAACATCTCGCGCACCTTCTCGCTCGAATCCTACCCCGCGGACGAAGCCACCCTCGACGAGATCATCGACACGCCGGAGCTGCAGAGGCGCGCCGGCGACGACATGACGCGCGTCCAGGCGCAGCTCATGATGCGCAAGGGCGACAAGTCGTCCAAGCCGCTGCAGTACACGTACGAGGCCGCCGACTGCAGGATCTTCTACACGCACGAGAGCTTCGCGGATCCGGTGACCGCGTGGAAGCAGGTGTGGGGTGCGTTCTTGGATCCGGAGAGCAAGTGCGTCAAGAACTCGACGGGGCACAAGAGTAGTCTTAGTGGAGGCTTCGTGCCGTATGGACCTTGGACGTTGAAGGATGAGGACTTGCCCAAGCCCGAGAGCACGGAGACGAGTGAAGAGGCTGCGAAAGGATCGCCAGAGGGGACCGATTTTGAAGGCGTGGGGAGCAGAGAGGGTGCGTCGGTGATTGCGTTATTCGCGACGGTCGCTATTATGTTGATGCAGTTGTAAGGCCTGGCTGATCGCTCGTTGCCTGTAGATAGATACGCCTAGTTCTTGCATATGCGTAATTTGATACCCTGGTTACAATCCGTTGCTACTACTGCTGCATATGCGCGCTTCCTAATGCCCGGGTGGGGGCGTCAAAGCTACATCCACTTCCAGGAGCAGACCAGATACAGATACCAGCTCAGGCTGTCGATGCGCCGACGGTTGTGTCATACATCACGCATAGCAATGGCAGGGGAGATTGGGTTCGCTGTCGAATGTTCGTTGCGGAAGCGTAAGGCGTTGGATATAGCGATAGCAATTACAATTCTCGCAGTCAGTGATGGCAATTTGAGAGCCGCTCGCGAGTCGCTCGTGAGCCACGCGGGAGCCGCTCATGGCTGCGTTCGATAGCTTCGTTGCCTGCCCGAACAGGAAGTTTAAGCGCCCCGAACGAACCCGCTCCGTATCAGCACAGACGTCTGACCTCACTGCACGCTGGACCTGTCGCGAAATCGGCCCTCGTTGCGTGCAACCGCGCCTCTACCCTATCCCGCCGTGCTTTTGCTGCTATCCGCCCCCCAATATCATCGCGTGACGTCTCCTCGCCCATTGGCCTCGCGCGCAGAACCCGGGCGTCGCTACACGCTCGCCGTCGAAGAAGCTACCGACACACCCTCACACCCTCACACGTCCGCCATGGGCTTCACAACCGGCTTCGTATGTGCTCTCATACATTTAGGCACGGCGAGTGTTACTGACGCATTGCACAGCTCGGAGGCTTCACCCTCACCGCGTCAGTCCTCTACCTCACCATATCGCTCCACACGCGAAACCGCATCACACAAGCCGCACTCCTGCGCCAACAACAAACCGTCCTCAAGAGCGTAATCGAGCCAGCGCCGCCCGCTGGCGAGCCGGTTGCACGTGTGGAGCCTGCTGGACTGGCGGAGATGGCAAAGGACAAGTGGAACAGAGCGCTGGAGACGAGCTTGAAGGGTGTGTATGAGACGGACTGGAGGAGAGTAAGGGAGGAAGCGGAGGACAGAGTGACGACGGCTATCCAGAGGATCAGGGAGCAGAAATAGACGTGGCAATGGGCGTAGGCAGAGGCGGTCGTGTGAATACAGCGAGAACTCGGAGGCGGCGATACCCTTCCTGGCGGTTGCTGAGGGACGAGGCTAGGCGAATGACTGGCAAGAGCATAGTTGTCTGACTACATGACGAGATTGTCATGTTTCCTGCTTAACACTTTCAACCTTGTACGTGCTCTTGGGTTTCACGTGCCACTGCGTTTGTCTGCCACCTTCACTTCCTTTCTCCGCGCCTTCTCGACACGGTTCCTATTGTCGCTCGTCGCAACAAGCTTGTTTACTCGGGCCTCCCAGTCCGTCGGACTGTCATAATCGTGTTGCCCCGCGACCCCATACACCGGCTCCAACACATACCCCTCTCTGCTGTCACAACTCTTCAGCTTCTCTCTCTCTCTCTCTCTCTCTCTCTCTCTCTCTCTTCTCTACGATGGCGTCACACGGCAAGGTATGTGACCTGTTCGACGACCGCTATCTCAACCTGCAGGATGTATATGGCCACGTCGAACCGTTTCCCTCGCTTGTGCCGTACGAGCAGTACCAGGAAACCATACTTGTCTACCGGATCGACACCAATCATGAGGTCTACATGGCCCTGCTTCAGGAGTTCACCGACCGCTTTGCACGGAGCGAACAACCGGAGCGCAGAGAGGCTTGGACTTGGTGTGTGCAATGGGAGGTGGAAAAGCCCACCGACGACGCGCCGCACACACCCGCGGCCAAGAAACAGCGACTGGACGCTCACTCCGATGTGGCGCAAAACAACGGGTTTGCGCAGCGGAAGCCCGTGTACACCAAAATCGAGCGCCGTTTACTTCATCCAGAACTGTTCCAGGAGGAAGACATGCTGCGCATCCTCATCGACATCGTGCAGGTTGACAGCAAGCTTGTACCTAACTACATCGAGTTCCTCTATCAGTGGGTCGACTACTACGAAGGTGGTGGAAGAGCGCTGAAAGCTGCGCTGCGCATGGAGATTCCGAGCTTGTGGCTATTCGAGTATCATCCGCTTCCGCTGTACGACAGTTCTGGCAAGGACAAAGACAGAGAGTCGGACTCTAGCGTAGACGGCGAGGAGATCATTGAAAGCGTTGACGACTTCAGAAAGACTACTAGAGAGATGGGCGAGAGACTCAAAAGACCCAAGAAGCCACTTGCCTTGGAAGAAATGGAACGAATGACTGAACAGAGCGAACGCCTCGAGTATCGCGAGGTCAAGTTCGGGATACAGCGACCGATTGATCCGGACGAGGAGCCCCTTCCTCCGCTCATCAATGTGCCTCACGATGCGAATAAGCGCAAGAAGTATTACGCGGCCTGCTTCAAGAATCGACAGCGTGCGTTCTGGCTGTTGCAGGAGGCGGGCATCACGACGAGACAAATCGCGAATTACAAAAGGCTGCAGGAAATGGGCGCAATGGACACCCCAGAAGACATCAACGGAGACGGTTGGCTCAATTACTACAAAGAGGAGCCGTACGCCCATGCGGAGTTCCTGGACATGCAGCGCACGAAAGAGTTGCAGGAGAAGCAACGCGAAATCACCATGAGTAACCGGCTGGCAGAGGAGGCAAGGCTTGCTGCAACGACCAATGCAGAAAATCCGTGCTCTCTCCTTCCACCAGCTCTCATACCCCCAACGCCAGGTCTGCCGCCACCCTTGACGACCGGTCGCCCCGATAGGGTAGCTGAGTGGCTGAGCAAGGTGAAGAGCATGTCCAGGGACCGTGATCCTCCCGTCAAATCTGTCCCTGCGCCACTGTTTGGCAGAATGAAGTCTGAGATCTTCAAGCACGCTGTTGCAGCTGGCCCGCCGCCACCATGCATTCGTTGGAATGGTGATGTTGATACGTCTGATGACGACGACAGCGATGACGAAGAGTATAGCAACCCGGACGATATCGATCCAGACGAGCGCGAGGATGCTCCAGATGCAGACCCTGCGGGCCTACCACGACCACCTCCAGGGTATCCCACCCTAATTGCTTACTTGCTGACTCTCACTCCCGTCGAGTTGGCTAATTTCATGCCACACTTCAGCGTAGAAGCGCAAGCACAAGTTCGTGAGCACTATCCGGGACTGTTCAGACAGAATCCAGTACCTCAAGGATCCACAGTGGCTAGTGGTATGCAGGCAGTAGTTGCTGGGCCTGTCAATGCAGCGACCCAAGGGATCGTCTCAATATCATTGAATCACACAAACGGCAGTCCGGTTCCTCCCCCTCAGACCTCACTGCCACCGCAACAGTTCCAGACGCAGGTGCAACCAACTCAACCTTCTTTGCCTCTGCATGGTAACCCTACTCCACCACCGATAAACCACCATGTACCCGGGCACAGTCGGCCTCCTTCACCACCTCCAATGGAAGCTGCACGCGCTGCTGCTGCCCAGATGCAGGCACATGGAACTCCTTACACTGGGTCCTGGTTTCCGAACCTGATTAATCAGGGTACGGGAATCCCGCAGTCGCAACCGCAGCATATCGGTTCAGCACACTTACACTACGTCCAGCAACCCGTTCTGCAGAGACAGCTTACGCAAGCTGGTACCACGGGCCTTGTAGGAAATCCTGTCGCTCAGAATCTGCAACCGGGGGGCGCACCATACTATAGCCTGCCGCAGAGCCCTGCAATGTTTGGCATAAACACCACCCCAGCGATTACCGTAACCCAGCCGGCGCCTCAAAGTTCGATCGAGGGCCACGACGTTCTCCGAGGAGTGACACCCGCGTTGCAAGCGCTTCTCCAATCTAGCCGGAACAGTGCTCCAACGACCATTGCTGCACAAGGTCAGGGTCTATCAGACGAGGGCCAAAAGATTCAGAGTCAAGAACAGTCAGATTCGACTGCGAATGGGTACTCCTACTCCTCCTCCGCGCAGATGCTACAAGCCTCAAACCGCGCCGCTCCACCTCCAAGTCTACACCTTCGGCCAACGCACCCCAACAACCTTTACCTTGGCCCCCTCAACCGCAACGCCGACTTACCTTCCCTCATGACGCCTCTCGCCAACCTCGCCAACAACCTTAGCCTCAACCTCCCCTCCTCCCTCCCAGGACCTTTCCAGCCCCAACCCCAACCCCAACCCGGCGGCCAAATCGATCCCGTCGCCGCCACGCGCCGCGAAGAACTCTCCCCCCACGGCCTCCCCATCCAAATTTATCTCCCGCGTGTCGTCATCCCTTACGCCGCCAATCTCGCCGGCGCCACCGACTGCCTGGTGCTGGGCTACACATGCGTCGGCACGGGCGTGCTCACGCTCTCCAAGGCGATTTTCTTCCCCACGTCGATACGCACGAACCTGCAGCGCCGCCTGCAGCGCCAGCACGCCGTCGTGCTGGAGAGCTACCAACCGCCGGCGAACCATCCACGGTTTAGCGCTGGGAAGGGCGTGCTGAGGAATCCGGATGAGGTAAAGGGCCCGCATAGGTTCGTGCACGACAAGTTGATGCAGGTTTTTGGGATGATGACGGGCTGTGGGAATAGAGAAGAGGAGCTGACGAAGCGGTGGCGGAGCACGCCGGGGCCGATGACGGCGAGGTGCAGGGGCAGCGTGTGGGAGGGCTGGGCGGTGGGTGTGGATAAGCCGGTCGAGATGGGGTACGAGGAGCGGCATGGCGAGGGCGTTGTGGTCAGCAAGAGTCTGGACGGGAGGAGGGGGTTTGGACTTAGTGAGCAGGAGTGGGCGTATAGGGAGAGGCGGAGGAGGGAGGTGGAGGAGATGATCAGGGAGGATGAGGAGAATGTCAGTGACGAAGAAGGCGACCAGATGCAGCTTTAAGTCAGTGAGAGTGATTAAGGAGCATGAAGACAGGGTGGAGCGGTATCGGAAACTACGAGCCATGGTTTCGAGAGCGTTGAGCAGAGGGAGATGAGAATGAGTTGGGCAGTGTGCTCGCGGTTTGTGGCGAAATGGCATTTGAGGGCTCTCCGTAAAGGGACCTGTATACATGCAAAATACGCCTCTGCCTGTCTCTCCCGTAGCCCAGATGCTGAAGGTACCTTCTCCGTCGCGTCCTGCATCTCTATCGTCCTAGCCGTCACCATCGCCATGGCCGGCATCGCGCGCGAGGCACCTCGCGTCGATGATGTCCTTTTTCGCTGGGGAGCTGGGGTCGGCGAGTCTGCCGGCGAGGAAGGTTGCGTTTGGGATTGCGCGCGTGATTACAACCCACGTTTGGTGCAAGTATGTTTATCTAAGGGTCTGTGGGCTTCCACCTGTTTTGGTGCTCTGGCCGTCTAGGGGAAGGTGGTGGGAAAGTAAGACGAGAGGTGTATTGACGGTGCTGAATTTCGGATTTCTTCTGTTGGGTGCGGCGGTCTGCGTTATGGGGATGTAGTCGTCGGGATACGAGCTGTCGCAGATCCAGCCTGGGGAGGAGTTTTTCTGCAAGAATCATTGGAGGCCGGTGGTGGACACGGGAAAGCAAAGAAGGTTGGAAATATGGCCTGCTTTTCTTCCGCCTAGTTGTAGAGTTCACTAGCAATAAATGCTTGCAAAAGTATGCGAGATAGTTTCACAGTTGGTCAGTGGTGTACGAGCATCATGTCCGACGAGTCATGTCTCGAATGCTTAAGGTCAGTACCTCGCTTGCTTATGGTCAGGTCCGTGTTCAATGGCCGTCAGGAACTGCCCGAACAGGAAGTTTGCATGGTGCATTCCAGTCATGCCGTGCTGGACTGATCAGCCAATCGTTCCGAGGTCGGTGATTTTGTTGTCCTGGTTAGTGAATGCGGCATCTTCGGAGCGTTCCTCCCTGAGCAGCGCAATTGAGCAAACGCTGCGAAGGCAGCTCAAAGGGGGGTGTCACAGCATCCCAAAGCGCCATTGCAGCACTGCAGGTCCGGCAGCGAGAGCGAGCGTTCAGACGGTCACAACTGAGATGCGAGGATTGGCGAGGAAATGGACGCGACATGCTGGACGCGGGACGGAAGCGGTTGGTCAGCGGCGCTACTTGGTTCCGTCGTAGCCAAACCGCCGGGATGCGCAGTTCACTCTCACGTCGACTCCGGATGTCTCCTCAATCCAATCAGGATGCATCGCGCGTCCACAAGTGCTCGCGCAGCTGAAGCAAACCCGGCAGAGCAATCTGCCTAATGTCGATATGGAATGGATGTCTGCCAAGGCGCGAGGCTGTCCCCGTTCCCTCCCACCGCAGCCCAGCAGAGACGTGCTCCGCTTCGACGCGCTTGCTCCGTTCTGCTGATACATCAGAGCCCCTTCTGTCGCAGCTGTCCGCGCTTGTCCCCTTGTGCGCCGGGTAGATCGTTCGGGGTGTGACCGCCGTAGAGTAAGCGCCAGGCCCGCGTGCAGCCTCCAGGCCCTGATACCAACCACCTCCGCGCTGTTGACCGTCTCCCCGTTCTGCACATTGTCGACGCGTGTATCCCGTCGCAACCCCGTTTCTGACCACCTACAAGCTACGCGACGCCCTCGCGCTCCCGCAATGTCGACGCGTGAGCTCCGCAAGCGCAAGACGCCCCCTCCCGCGCCCGTCAAGCCGGCGAAGGCGCAGAAGAATGCGCCCAAGTCCAAGGTAGAGAAGGTCAAGGAAGCCATCAAGGAGAAGGTCGAGGCCGTGAAGGATCTCTCGGCCAAGTCCAACGGCGAGTCCGTGGTCCCCGCAACGGGCGCAATCGCGCCCAAGGCTGGCGATACCATCCCGCTCACGAGCTTCGGCGGCGAGGTCGAGACGCACGAGGGCACCAAGACGACGCTCGCGAAGCTGGTCGAGCAGAGCAAGAGCGGCGTCGTGCTCTTCACGTACCCCAAGGCTTCGACGCCTGGATGTAAGTGCGCCTCGGAGCGCGTTGAGTGCGCGTCGCGCTGACACATATCACACAGGCACCAAGCAAGCATGCCTTTTCCGCGACTCTTACGAGCCCCTGACCGTCAGCGGCCTCTCCATCTACGGGCTCTCCACCGACAGCCCCAAGTCCAACACCACCTTCAAGACCAAGCAGAACCTGCCCTACCCGCTGATCTGCGATCCCTCGCAATCCCTCATCTCTGCCATTGGCTTGAAGGGGCCGAAGAGCGCTAAGCGCGGTGTATTCGTGGTCGACAAGACCGGCAAGGTTCTGGCCGCCGAGCCAGGCAGCCCTGACGGGACCGTTGCTGTGGTCAAGAAGATTGTGGACGGGAGCACCACTGCTGGTGGGCCAAACGCGCCTTCCGTCGCAGATGCCAAGGCTGAAGACGCCGAGGCCGCAAAGACCGCCAGCGAGGTCGCAGACACTGCTGCGAAGGTCGATGCTTGAGCCTCGCCTGGCTCATGATCCGTCGGTTTTGTTCTGAATACGGTATTGATGGCGTTGGATATGTGACGTAATAGTCTTGTTCTAGGGGCGAGACACGCTTCGTAGGCTGCATGCGTGCACTCAATTGAAGATATTCATCATCATCAATCACTCTTGAATGGCCGGTTGTCCGCGAACCGCTGACGAGCATCTCGAAACAGTGGAGCAGATCCTCACTATATACACAGCACCCTCAACGCGCTTTAATATTCTTCACGCTCACGCATGTCTCCTCTGGACTAGAATCTTCACTCCTTCAAAGCCATGCGAACCAAAATTCATATCCAAATACTCTATACGTCCAGCTTCCGCGCTTCTCCCGATTGACCACAGAAACCTGCGGCTCGCGTCATGTGTTCCGTCGGGTCCAACATTCCTCTCCAGAACAGTGAATGTTGTTCTGCCATCGCGGTCTCCAAAGAATGTCCTCATGGAGTAATTGCTTTGTGGCCGCGCGACGTCTGTCTATCAAAGCTCCGGTTCTGATGTGTGACGTCCGCTGTCCGCTGTCCGCTGGTTACAAATCAAAGACGTATCAAAACCGGACGTGTCACGCTCATGAGGACCAAAACTCCTGGGTCGAAGAATTCATGCCTCCGGCGTGCAGGATCAAAATAGTGTAGATTGTGACCCTATGCTCTGGAGGCTCTGGAGACCTTCAAAATGCGCCCATGAGAGATCATGCTCACGCGTGCTCGTCCAAATCCAGCTACGCATGGCGGCATGTGCGCTGTGCCCGAGCATTTGTATTGACCTACATGGAGTCTACTGTCATGGCTCTCTCCTTCCCACAGTCCTCACACAGTTCTTCACTAAAACTAAAACACGAGTTCTCCGTGTGACTAAAATGAGGAGGTTTCCCCCATATGCGTGTGTGAGGTGCCAATTGCTTTCTGTCTCTCTGCGAACACGTCCAGACCTGTAGCTCCCTGGGACTGAGGTGGGACCCGGCTTGGATGTCTATATAAACATCGATCTTTCGGTGGTTTTATTGATCGGCAAAGTTCCAAGGCATTGATTAGAAGGCAAAAAACGAAGAGGATTCGGCCCATGGGTTTTAAAAGCGGCGAGCAGTGGGACTATGGATGCTTTTTGGGGACTATTGGAAAATGTTAAAACCTCCTGGCTCCTCGCTGGATGGGTACTTCTTCCGAACTCTACTCCGAAGTGAACGATGGTCTCGTCTGTCTCTCCGCAAACATCTCCACAGCTATAGCTCCCTGAGACCGACGTAAAATTTAGCTCAGATGTCTGTATAAACATCGTCCTTCCGGCGGCTTCTTTGCTTCTCTGCACACTTTGGAAGGTAGTAAATGGTCAAAAACAACAAGACCTCGGGCACATGAGTACTGAAAGCTGGGAAACCTTCACCCTATGGCGCCTATCTTTTTGGCGGATAGGACAAACTAAAAGGACAATGCGCCAAGCATATGAGGTGGGAAGGCCAGCAACTACCTACAAAAAAAATGATGTCATCTGTCTCAGTGAGCGGGCACTACGAACCCTAGACTCTTGCTCAGGTTATACTCTCCTCTGTGCACCTCCCAGAGCCCTACCGACCCAAAAAGATCCTTCCACTATCTCATAGAGACCACCAAAATTCTACGAAGTCCCATTCTGCTGTTTTCTGATTCGTGTGCTAACTCCAAAAGATACAGTCCCCGGACAAATGGTGAGCGCGTTAAAAATCCAAGAATGCAGGTACTAGTGCGCTCCTCATCGAAAATCCAGAAATTCCTTCGCTTTTGTAGATGAAAACACTGTCACGCCAGAATTTCTCGAAGCTGGTGTATGATACTCTCATGGAATGCTGTATATTAAGCCCTCCACTATCCTACTAGCTATCCCTTCCCACACATCACCCAAACAGCCTCTAAAAAAGGTAGGACACTGGACACATGCTTGTGAGAGCGCCAAAAACGCTTATGCATCCCCGTGATGCTCTCTTCCTGACTTGGTGGCCTTGAAACTCTCACAACTTTGGTTCAACAGTCTCAAAGACGTGAGCTCCACAGAAACACGACCCAGGCACGTCATGTGAATCTGTGCAGCTCCAAAACCGAACGGTTGTTTTTGAATTTGTCAAAAAAATACTTATACTACTGCACCGGGTCATCTGTCTCCCTGTGGAGGTCCTACAAAAAGCCTTCACCAAGAAGCATGTACCTTCACGCTTTTGGCTTCTCCCTCATCTTCTGGCGTCAGAATCGTCTCGGCAACCAGTTCATGATCCGCATATGTTAAGCGTATCCAAACATCACTGAAGCTGGGCCTATGTCCTGCCGTGGAGGTCGAAAAAAGCTCTCCTCGAGTCTACGCATGTGTCTTCTTGCTTCCATCCCCTCCAAACAAGTCCCTGGTATCAAAATCGTCTTGACACCAACCGAATGCCCACCATACAGCTCTGCCAAGATTGTAATGCCTTTCTCGGTCACCTAACGGACAGCAAAATTCGCCGCCACTGAAATCTCCATGTCGAAAGTGTATATGTTTCGCCGAATTCTTGCTCCTCAAAACAAGAGGTGACCAAGCTATGCTCTGGCTGAAAGTGCGTCGCACTTTTCACATGGCAGGGGCAGCGAGCAATCAAAACTTCCAACGGTACTCGCCATGTGTTGCTGGTTGGTGCGATAGTACAATGTATCCAGAGGCTAGCTCCTCGCTGTGCATGGCAAAGGTTGAAGATGGTACTTCCCATCATTATTAATTGATGAAGCACCTTCATAGGGGACGCGTATTTCGACGCGAATCGCGTAATACAAGAACAAGACGTGCAAGAAGCGATGTGAGTAGAGGTAACATTTTCAATTCATGATCGACTAGCCGAGACATCACAATCTCGATCTGCCCAAACATATAGCCACAAAGTCCGCTCTAATTACGGACGTCATCCACCCAAATTCATGCACTATTTTTCGATGGTTATCCTCCAATGCTCCATACGCCGGACCGTGCATCGTAACGAGGATGCTGAGGAGTATGGAGATATTGCTGTTCAACAGAAGTCTATCCAAGCCATAGGCGGCTCTTGGTTCATTGTGATCTCCAGTCCACCATGGGCGGTATCTGGCCGCCAGGTATTCCCACGGGGATGGTTGCCCCGGGAGTAGGTGATTTCCTTTCCACCGTCAACGGGATCAACCTGCAGATGACGGGCGTCAATAGGTCGAGGTATCAACGCTTTCGTGTCGTACTATGCACCGCCAGCAACGCCGCGGATGGAGAAGCCGCCTTGTTGCGACGCGGTACCCCGGATGTTGATGCCTTCCAAATCCTCGTCGTCTCGAGTGATGCGACTGGCCAAGCCTCTTCGTGGCGCGGGTTCCGAGAAGTCAACGTATGCCGGAGCGCTGTCATCGCCCTTGAGTCGTCCGTATGATGAGTCGTCGTCGGTATCGCGGGTGATCCGGCTGGCTAGAGAACGGCCTTGTGGAGCCAGTGGCTGGCCGTCTTTGGTCATACGTGACAAAAGAGATCCTCCGCTCCTGTTAGCACTTTCATCGAAAGCATCTGATCGGCGGTGCTTGCTCTCACTCGACAAGACATCGCCATATCGCGACTAGTCACACCAGTTAGTGATAGGTCTTTCGGGAAGGAGCTTGAGATTATCTGCGACATACCGTGGACGCGTCCTTTGTCCAGCGTGCCGGTGGGCCCTGCTCACGATCGTAATTTGCCCGGTCGTGAGTCCATCGCTCAACGCTAGGTTCCTTCCGCCGACGGTTGTTGCGGCTACGGCTCCGACTCCTGTATTGGCGGCGCGTAGATGTGCCAGTTTCTGTGAAGCCGTATCGACCGTCGCCCTCGCCGCCTGAGACTGGCGAAGCACTGCGGCCTCGTAGGCGTCCGAATCGTGACTCGCGCGGGCTGTCGGCTGTCAGTGAGCGTCCGCACCTGAATCGGCACCTTGAATCGTACCCCTGGGAGCCGGGGCGGTATGAGTCTACATCTGCGGCTTTCAATCGACCATCATCGCGCAAGCGATTGCCGTTACGTCGGTTCCTTCGATTCTCATAGTCGGAGCCGTCGCGCATTTGCTCGTCACCGCTGCGGCTACGATACGTCAGCGCATGTCTGGCAGCCACCATAACTACCACTGTACCTTCTCCGGTTGTTCCTTGCAGGCTCATCTTCTCCATAGTCCAGGAAGTCCCTGCGCGGGGGTTGGCGGCGTCGTGGCTCCTGCTCACGGCCACGAGCTGGGCGGCGATCTCCGCCTCGCACATCAGGGTTCTTCTCATAGTACTTGCTATACGTCGCCGCGCCTCGTACTTTCTGATCACTAGTGTTTGCCTGCCGTACAGTAAGGTTCAGGCCTTTGTATGGCTTCGCTTTGCGGGAAACCTCCGCGGGAATGGTTGTAGGGTCTCCGGCTTCCGGGTCGGTCAGCTGGTGCAATGCCGCCGCGGCATCTTCGGCGTTATGGAACTGGAGGTTCAGGGACGAGTCGTGCACCCAGCGCGTCTGTTTGAATCTTGGGCCCACGCCTGATTCGATGAGGTAGTAAGCGGCGTCACTGGGATCGAAACCGTCTACGCCCTGCAGATTGAGGGTCTCGGGCCATTGCTCGACTTGCCGACCTGGGCGCTCGTCGAGGTTCTCGTAGTATGCGGCGGGCAAAGGCGCATCGCTGACGGTGGTGTCGTTGTTCTGCTGCGCGCATGCGATTAGGTTCTCGAATCAGCCCAGGCGTGCGGGGGAATAGGTACCTCGGTGGTTTCCGTCGCAGGCAGCGCGCTCGCATCAAAGTCTATGTCCATGTCAATATCCATCTTGAAGGGAGTGCCGCGACGTTCGGGGTGCGAGTGTGTGTAATGGAGGTGTCTGCGAGTGGGGCGAGGCGCGCGCTCTTGTCTTCTGGCGTGGAGCTTGCTGCTGGAGCTCGGACCACGACTCAAGGTTGAAGACGACCGCGCCCGCGTTGCAAGCAAACAACGCTCGGTCCGATTTGAAAGCAATCCATTCTGCCTTTTTCGAATACAGAAGCTACATCCCGTATGTATGCATTGCATCGTCCATACGGTAGATAACAGTTGTTTCTGCAGACTAACGACAGGATTGGCCTTGTCCGAATCACATTTGGGACAATGAACGTCACATCCGCAGTCAAGGTAGCCTATTTCACTTCCTTGGCTACAGTGTAGATATCGATTAACGAGTCTATACATTGGAACAGTGGCAATGCATGGCTTCGCTAGACAGGTATCGAACAAAAGCACATTGCAAGCATAATGCTGCAGCTGTTTTAACTAGATACAGCGCCCTCCATCCACTTCAAGGTTGACTCCAGTGATAAACTTGGCATCAGAGCTTGCCAGGAAAACGGCCGTTGATGTAACGTCGTCGATCTCGCCGATGCGACCCATGGGAACATTGGAGATGAAGTTTTTTCGGTTCTCGGGCGTATCTGGAACGCCGGTAAAGTGCGAAAAGAGTCCCGTGCTAGTGACCAGTGGGCAGATTGACACTACCCTGATCTGGTGCGGTCCGTACTCTGCTGCAAGACCTTTCGTGGCCTGGATGTAAAGTCAGCCTGAGGTCACTTTGTATACTCTTGAGAACATACATTTGCAACAGCACCTTTGGATGCATTGTACCACACCAGTCCTGGCCGCGGTCGAGAGGCTCCAACGCTTGCTATATTGATAATGACACCTCCTTCCTTCTTCTCGATTGCCTGCGAGACCCATGCGTTGCAACCGAGGAAGATGCCCTTCACATTAACATCGAAGACCCTTTGGAACTCCTCTTCCGTGACGTCGATCGTGGGCTTGTTTCTGTAGCTTGTTCCGGCATTGTTGACCAGCACATCGCATTTACCAAACTTCTGGATTGCTGCATCGATAGCAGACTTCCAATCTGCCGCTTTGGTCACGTCCATCTTGTGGAAGGCCATGGCTGAGGCGTTGGACTGAACCGTCGCATTCCCACCGTCTTCATTGACATCACAGACAAGTACCTTGGCGCCTTCTGCAGCAAATGCCTGAGATATACCCGCCCCGAATCCAGATCCACCGCCTATCGTAGATCAGTATTGTGTTAAATTTTCAGTCAGGACACTTTACCAGTGACGAGAGCAACTTTGCCGTCGAGTCGACCCATGATTGACTCGCAGTGTTAGGACGTGCTATTGATCGATCGGGGTTTACTGGGCTACTGAAAGCGTGTTTACGAAGAGATCTGGTCAGAGATGGAGGAGGTGCAGAGTCACGCTAGTCATCCAGAGAAGGCGCGGTCGTCTCCCCGCCTTTCTATCCCCACCATATGCTCGTCAGGTGGCTCTTACCGAGGCCGTGGCTACGTTGGGGTTCCTCAGTGAGGGGAATCACTGACGTCGTTGGAGTAAGCCTGCCCGCCAAGAACAATACAACGAGTACCAACAGCATCCAAATAGCCAGTTAGAATGTTACCCATACAACCATATAGCCTTTCAGAGCGCATGTGAATCCTAGCTCCTCTTCGGATCGCCGGCTTGGGTTCGATAGAAGTGGTGCTGACGAATAATAATGATCGCTCGGGTGCGGACAAGGTGGGGTTAATGGATGTCGTAGCTGCACCTCCGAACAGCAGCATAGCGCCTTCCGATAAATGGACGGTCGAGCCCCTCAAATAAAAATATCAGGTTACTTAACTGGCTCGTCGGCTCTCAGGCTGCACCCCAATAGACCTGCAAGACATCGAGAGCACAATTCGCCCGCAGTCTCATAGATTTCTGAACGCTCTGGTCCCGGGAATAGCCGCGACCATCAATATGGGTTCAGCACAGAAATATGAGCTGCCTTTTAAGGTATGCGAGTAAGTCTGGAAAGACAGGTCTTCGCTCACGAAGCAGCTCAACAACCCCGATCTCCTACACAGCCTCTCCTTCGTACATGGAGAATGGAAGAAGTCGAAGTCAGGAAAGACTTTCGAAGTAGTGGGTGAGTTACACGATTCACAACGCCGATTTTATGTTTACAGTGAGAAGATCCTGGCACTGGAAAGGCATGGACGGAATGCCCGACCAACGACGCCTCGGACGTAGACGAAGCTGTGCAAAGCTCACAGAGATGTTTCGAAGAGTACAAAAAGATCAGCCCCCGGGCACGAGCGCAGATGCTCTTCAAGTGGGACTCGCTCATTCGCGAAAACAAGGAAGATATCGCCACGATCCTTGTGTATGAAACGGGCAAGCCGCGCGCTGAAGCTTACGGAGAAATCGACTATTCAACAGGCTTTACCTGGTGGTTCGCTGGAGAGGCAGAGCGGATTCAAGGATCTGTCTTCACGCCAGCCTTGCCAGATCGACGTGTTTTCACCATTAAACAACCGCTCGGCGTCGCTGCCGCATTGGTTCCCTGGAACTTTCCTATTGCCATGATCTTGAGAAAGGCCGGAGCTGCACTTGCGGCTGGATGCACTATGATTGTGAAGCCCAGTCCTGAAACGCCCATCACTATTCTCACGCTAGCGTACCTTGCAGATAAAGCCGGTTTCCCAAAAGGCGCCTTGAACGTTTTGACCACAAATCTGGACAAGACGCCAGAGCTCAGCGAGGCTCTCTGCCGACATGATGTGAGTAGCTATATCAGAATGAGGTTCCCCATCGCTAACACCTGTTAGCTGGTCAAGAAGGTCTCATTCACAGGAAGTACCCGTGTTGGAAAGCTGGTCGCAAAGATCTGCTCCGACAACTTGAAGAAAGTCACTCTCGAATTGGGTGGCAATTGTCCAGTTCTCATCTTCGACGACGCCAACGTCGACCAGGCCATGGGTCAAATCTTCGCGCTGAAATACCGTCACGCTGGTCAGGCTTGCATCACCGCTAACCGTATCTATGTACAATCCGGCATCTTCGATAATTTCCTCGAGCGGTGGAATGCCGAGAGTCAGAAGATCGTCGTCGGTCATGGTGCAGATAAAGAGACCACCATGGGTCCTGTTACAACACCCCGAGGAATTGAAAAAGCACTGGCTCTGGTGAACGATGCCAAGTCAAAAGGAGCGCAAATCCACACAGGCGGGAATAAGATATCTAAGAACGGGGGCTACTTCTTCGAGCCTACTGTAATCACCGGTGTCACTCCAGACATGGACATTGCCAGCGAAGAGATCTTCGCGCCAGGTGGGCGACTCCATGCCTGCTCAGAATAGTAGACTGACCACCGCGTAGTGTGCACCTTCCTCAAGTTCGATACGGAAGAAGAAGCGGTCAAAGCTGCCAACAACACTAGCATGGGCCTGGCATCTTACTGCTTCACTAAGAACGTCGATCGTTTGTGGAGGCTGTTCGAGAACCTTGAAGCTGGAATGATTGGTCTTAACACTGGTGGGTGATACACCAGATTCGTATCAAAATTACTGCTTACGGATCATCAGGCAACTCTTCAGCCGCTGAATCACCTTTTGGTGGCATCAAGCAGTCTGGATATGGGAAAGAGTCGGGCAAGGACGTCGCAGTCGCCGAATACCTGATTACCAAGACGGGTACTTTCACACTGGAAGGGCAGTCCTAAACTGCTGCAGCGAGATGGACGCTATATCAATAACGAAGGTAGGTGAATGTTGATCACGCGCTTGCGTGGGCGGGTTTCATAACCTTTCGCTCTCGTTGCATAATATTCGAGCTTCTCTTTTCCCAGGCGGTATCGAAGTTGGCAGAATCCGAGGCAAATGCTCTGCTTGTATTGTGTCTCTAAATTTCTCCCAAGTCGAATTTGGGTCAGTTTCCTACTGTAGCTTCACTTGCAAACGCTGCCCGTAGCCAATGCCGCTTTTGCATGGTCGCTCCTTCCTCGTCTTCACTCACCCTAGCAACTGGCCCCACCGGACCTCTGGCAGCCAGCCTGCGCTTCGTGCCCCACATCTCAACGACGTGTATTCTTCTGATTCCGTTTCCTAACCTCAGCTCTCCGCCAGTAGGCGTACTTCTCTCTGCGACATTTCTCTCGATCGGCCGGTGAGTGCACGACATAGTGACGCCCAAGCGTATCTGCTCATTGACAGCAGTGGCGATGCCCGGCGTCAAGAACGAAGTAAACGTTTCGCTCCTGCTGGACCAGGATGCAGTCATTGACGACGGCGATGACACGATGACAATTACGCTATTAAGCCCTGTTGAGGACTCAGTGCGCCGCGTAACGGAGGTTTAAGTCTCAAGCAGCGTGTGCCTGAAGAGCCCATACCTCAGGACCATGAGCAATGTCTCTAAGGTAAGTTCTGTCGGCCAGTCCATGCTTCAGTATAAGGGTGAAAGGCTGAGTACAGCGTGTTGCTCGGGGTTGGCAGTACGTTGGACTGTATGAACCGATCCAAGCCTAAGCGCAAGGACCTGGATGATGAGTATTGGAGGATCAACGCAAGCGTTAAGAGCCGGTGGGACTCACATTGTCGCGTGCCACATAAGCAGGCAACGTGGTACGTGTCATGGCCTCGGTCGTGACGATATCAGGCAGAAGCTGCTGAGGGGATCCAACGTCGACGAGGAGGAAGAGGAGTGAATTCTTGTGGAATTACACCACGGACCTCCGGGTATGGCTTGAGCCAAGGGATCCAATGCCGGGACATGAAATTTGAAACGACGCATTCCGCGTATGGTGCCTTGGGATGGACATTTTGGAGGAGTAGGTTCGATGAAAGATACATAGCGCTGCCCAAGCACAGCAATCATAGTAGCTATAGGAGTCATGGCCTACTTTAAGGGTCGTTCATTTCAGCTCGGGTGATCACAAGCGGCAACCTGCTACATGGGACAGATGAAGCCTGGCGGGATGTTTTTCCGAGGTCAGGTTGCATTGAAACTAGATAGGCCTATAGTTTTCGACATCTAGGAAGGTAGAACAGCGGATCAGACTGGTCGAGCATTGGACATCGGAGGGTCTCAACAGATTCTGCTACCAAAGGCCTTGTTCTCTCGTTAGATCTGCCTTCCCTCCCAAGACCGCAGTTCCCGGAACATCACCAGCAAGAAAAAGATGACATCACACATCACAAGTAGACGATCAATGCATGTTATTTCGATATCATGGAATGCATTCGCTCGCTATCATCAACTCGTTCGTAGGGTATCATCAAACAGTATCGTACAACCAGACCATTCGGGTCTCGACAAAGGAAACATTATACAAGACGCATCAGAGCGTATCTAGGTCTGATCCTAGTAGACACGACGGGCGTTGCGGCCGTCGGTACCGTGCATACGGCGAGTGCCAGCAGCCTGAGATGGTTAGCCAACTGTATCATTGCTTTGTAGAACATTGTGAAAGCTTACCTTGAGGCCGGGACGGCGCGTCAAAGAACCGCGGAGCTTCATCAGGGCACCAGAGACCTTGTCACCCATGGTGGCGTGGCGCTTGTGGTGGTGGGTGGTGGTTGCCCCGTGGTGGCCAGCACCGTGAGTGGTGCGAGTGGTCTTTGTCGTCGTGGTAGTCGTGGTCGTGGCCGGAGCGCGACGAGCGCTGGTGCGAGTGCCGGTGCGAGGGGCTCCCATGAGCCTCGTCTTGAGGCTGGGCTTTGTGCGGGTAGTCCGCGTGGTGCGGGGAGCGGTAGTGTGGTGGGTGCGGCGGGTGCTTGTGAGAGGCATGGTGGCTGATTGGTAGTCTTGTTTGTGGATGGAATAAGTATGCTTGAGTTGTGGCGAGTTGAGCGGTACTTGTGTAGTAGAACAGATTGATAGATGTGCAGTGTAATGAAGATAAGCAAGCAGAGGATACAGGTGCAATCTTTATACAACTTCGTCCCCATCAGCATCCTTTGACGAAAACAAGATCCCATGCCTCACGCTCCCTACGCGGAAGCGATCACCAGTCCCCGCTGCCCTGCGTCATTGCCATGGCGCAACCATGGCGCATGACGAAAGCAGCCGCTTCGCGAGTAATGGCTGGTTCCTTGCTGCAGGCAATCTTCCCCAGGACTTCCTGATGCGGCGCCAAAAGCCAACATCTTGTAATATGATTGATGGACATGCGCTGGGTATTTGCGACCGGGAGCGCATCCTTTGTTCTGGACCCGTCATAGCGTCGAGGTTCGTTGCTGGACCCTGATTTCGCGCGAAGGTGTTATCGATAGGGCTGAGTATGACGTAGCGCCCACCCGAACATCGTCATCGCGGGTTGGTGAAAGGCTGGAGATTGTTGCAAAGGGATATGAGGTGATTGCGAAGAAGCCGCATACCCGGTGGATGGTTGCGCAAATCACTATCAATAGAACACATGGTTGATGGTCTGTAGCTCGCGATGTGACTTGGTGCAGGGTCGCGCGTACTCACCTGGCAGTCTCTACCTCTCTACCCCTCAACACCTACTTTCCGTTGCAGCGAGGCATGGTGTTGAAAGCACTTGTATTTGTATTTCCTTTCGGTCTGTGCGATGTAGTTGGGTTCTTTAAGGATGCTCTGCTTTAGTGCATGGCTTGAGAAACGATTTCACCCTCGTCTACATCCCTCAAGCAGATTGCACCTTTACGTGCGTTAACAATAATGGGAAGTCGCGATAGGAAAGCAACCCCCAAGAGGAGCAACGCCGTTGGCACTTTTCAATTGCACCGGGGCCCACACTTTGTAATGTGAGAAATGGATGAGCAGTACGCAGTCACTACGTCAACGAAAATTCACATTCGAATAAAAGTTTGTACCACACTCAATCATTGAACTCTTCACGCCGCTTCATACAACCGTATATTGATACCCAATCTCAATTACTAAACTCCAGAACTACATCAGCATACCATGTCTTCTAGCAAGGGCCAGTTCGAGTCAGGTAAGGAAACGCAATACAACCCTATAGCACCATCAGAAGCTAACAAAAGCAGGCTTCCAGCCTGAAGTCCAACACCAGCCCGTCCCGGGCCTGGAGAGCAAAATGGACCCGCAGCCCCTCTATGAGCATCTCCCGACCCCGGATGGCGGCAAGCAGCTCTACAAAGCGGCCGGCAAGCTCGAGGGCAAGAAGGCCATCATCACCGGCGGAGACTCCGGCATCGGCCGGTCCACTGCCATCCTCTACGCCATGGAGGGCGCGGACGTCTTCATCGCGTACTTGAAGCAGGAGCAGGAAGATGCCGAGCAGACCAAGAAGATGGTTGAGTCGAAAGGCCGCAAGTGCTACCTGCACCCCACGGACCTGACCTCGCAGTCGAACTGCCAGAAGCTCGTCTCAGACGCGCTCAAGCAGCTCGGCGGCATCGACATCCTCGTGAACAATGCGGCGTATCGGATGGTCTGTGACGACATCAAGGACCTCAAGGAGGAGCAGTGGCTGTACACCTTCGACATCAACATTCACCCGTACTTCTACCTCGCAAAGTACTGCCTCCCCCACATGAAGGCCGGGTCCACCATCATCAACAACGCCTCCATCAACGCGTACATCGGCCGGCCCGATCTGCTCGACTACACCACCACGAAGGGTGCCATCGTGTCTTTCACCCGCGCGCTGTCGAACCAGTACGTTGGCAAGGGCATCCGTGTGAATGCGGTTGCGCCGGGCCCTGTGTGGACGCCGTTGATCCCTGCGACCATGGGCGACGACCAGATCAAACAATTCACCGCACCTATCGGCAGGCCGTCGCAGCCTACCGAGATCGCGACTGTATTTGTATTCCTGGCGAGCGCGGACAGCAGTTCGATCAGCGGGCAGACTATCCACGCCAACGGCGGTACCGTCGTTAACGGTTGAGCTGCTCATCTGTGATGGGCGGGGGATGACATGGTAATACGTATTTAATGAACGAACCTTTATACTTTCAAATCACTGAGCATGCTTGATCCACGCTGAAAGTCGTCAAGGCCCTTGATAAAATGGTAGTAATAGCCCTCGTTGCGCTAACCTAATTTGGAGGATTATGGATAGCTTCTTGTGTATTGCGCGTCGACACATGATCCGCAGCAGGATGGTACCGCAGTGAGCATGTCGCGATGCGGAGCGCCGGAGTAGTTAGTCAGACCTGCAAAGTGGAAAGATGAGCGTCTAGGGCTACGGCAAGGGGTCTCAGGTGTTGGAGACGCTGCAGCAGACGCCGCAGCGCGAAGACACTCACTTGACGCCGCGCCCCCGGAAGCTCTGGGCCAATACAATCCCGGAAATACACCAGCATTGCCGTGACGGGTGAAAGGAAGGCGCAGCTTGGATGTGTGGTTGGCTTGCTTGTATTCGTGGAGATGCGATGGATCCCGAGCCCACGAGCTTTGAATGACGTGTAGAGTTCAAGATTTGCAGATGGATGTATCAGGGCGAAGAGCATGGAGAAGGGTATGAAGGCCGATGTGAGGCTGATCGTGTGGCATGAAAGACTGGCGAGAACTGGGTCACTTCAGTCCTGTGGCTGAGCATGGCGCGTTATGGATAGGGAGGTGCTTCTAAGCATGCACCACTCTGTGCGCTGCAGATTGGCGTTTGCAGCGGGTCTGGAAAGAAGCCGTGGGCATGGGCAGGCCTCGACAAAGGAATCGTGTCGCAGACGAGATGTGCAGTGCATTGTCACCACAGGCAAATACAGCTCTCAATCTCCACGAAGCATCACACCACCAAGGGAGCCGCAGATTGGACAGTAATAAGGCCTTGTTGGACTGCACACAGCCACAGCGCCGAACATCGTCGACGTTGACAAAGCTCGCGCGGGCCGTAGTAATACGGAGATGAGGCGTCGGACTCGGGCTGGGCGTACGCGGAGGACGCCTAAGTATCTGCATACACTTCGTCCTCGTTGCGTCACGACCATGCTTCAGGTTGAGTGGAGTGGTAGTTTGCGCCGGAAGTTGTGGTGTTGCAGTGCGGTGTGACTGTGCATAAGCTTCGCGGTTGTGTGGGGAGAACGAGCGTGCTAGGCAGCGACGATCATCTGCGCGACGAAAAAGAATGAGACATTTATTCTTTCGCTTGGCTAGACTAGGAGTGAGGGTATGCGATGGGCTGTAAGCAGCCGTACTGTGTATGATGCGGATACTCTTACTCTAAACTTTGTAGGTCAGTCTGCATGAATGTGGAACTGAGCATGCTTGCCCACACGACCAATGAAGGGGCAGGACATAGCAGGTAGAGTCGTCTAGTTGCAAGCCGCACCCGGTTCCGTCCTCCGGCGTGAATTGAACTGGTCGCTCAAAGTTGTTGAGCGTCCACCGGAAGATGCCTGCGCCAACAAGCCTAGTGGGTGTGCACGCAGGACTCCACGCTGGTGCAAGAAGACTGCAGAATCTTCTTCTCGGCAGCTGTTTCCGGGTAGCGCAATCCTGGGGTTGACACAGGCAGGCCTGGAAGCGAGGTAGGACAGAAGGTCGCCTGCCAGAAGCCACTTCATTGAGCGTCAAGTCGGATGAGATGTAGAGGTAGTCCTCTCGTTTGCTGGGTCGATACACATTCCAAATAGGGAAATTGGCACATGGATACATCTGGTACAGTGCGAACCGGACGCATAGGCGGCAGCCGAGGAATGTGAGTTGTCATCATGGACCACGGCGCATACCTGAGGACCGGGGACAGAAGCGCTACAAGGCGCCGTCAGGAAGATCAAAGAGTCTCGAACATGGACATTTATGCCGCAGTGGGTTTCTAGCGGGCGCGATGGGCATCTGCCGATGGGCAGAAGGGCACTTTGTCACGCATCCGAAGATGGCGCGGGCGTGACGACATTCACCCAGCAAAGCGGGCCAACGTCGAGCGGTAGCGGGCTCCCGTCAGTCCCACCGATCTACATTCCGCAGCGTCTAGCCACGAGGCGCGGGCATCTGGCAAAGCGTGGTACGAGGGGTCCCGTGGAAATACAGCCGCCGAACGTGGTTGTGGGAGCGTCCCACTGGTAGGGCCGCAGTCCCGTGGCGAGCGGCGGGTACACGTGCAAAGCCGAAGTGCCCGTAGACCCTGCGCGGCAAAAAGGGAGAAGAGATTTCACCTTGGTGACAACGGCGTGTGCAGGCCAGCGGTGTGGGATGGTGGAGGTCCAGAGGGAGGTGGAGCGCAGTCGCTATCGATAAGTGGATAAGAGTTTTTATCGCGGCGCTGGAGGGCTGCAGCGCGACGGGTTCCTACTGGGCGCTGCAGCGGGCGGCCCGCAATTCATCTCGAGGGCAGGTCGGGCGCTCTGGGAGCGATGACGGTGGGCAGCTCTGCAGCGAGTGGTACGGCGCAACGTCAGACGGGGCCAGCTGGGCCGGCGCTGTTGGGCGCAGGAGCAGAGACATGGTGGAGCGCAAGGCCGGGGCACACGCAAACTTGTTTCTGGCGGGTGCTCGCACACGCCAGGTCGCATCACACGTGTCCCGGGGCGTCCCATGAGAGCGTCGGAGCCAGTTCGCCAGTTGCGCTGCGACGGTTGCGCCTGGACTGCTGGTGGCGACTCGCGGCGCGGCTGGCTTCTGTGCCTGCGCCCCCGTCTCGCTCTGCCCCTGGCGACTCCGGCCGCTAGCACGCTGTGCCTGGCGATCTCGTGGGACCTGCGTGCTGAGTGGCTGCGTCCCTGTCGGGCGGGCAGCGCCTAGCTGCAATTGGCGCACTGAAACTCGTCAGCACACGCAGATTGCGCTCCAACCCCAAATTAGCTGCACCGAGCGCCGCGAGACACCACATGCGCCCAGCACCGCAGTGGAGGATCGCCCGCTACGTGCGGTTGCGACAGCGCAGCGCAGCGCGCGAGAAGAGACGGCGATGGCGCACGGCAGCGGCAGCAGAGGCTGTTGAGTCGCCTTCGCTGCACGCCGCGCACCGCAGCTGGGCCGCCGCGGAAAAAGACCGACGACAGGGGCCCCGGACGGCGCAAGCCAATTGCCGGCCGCGCTGCCTCGCGGCTGTTCGTGGCTGGCGACCGTGCAGCCCCTGCCCGTTGGCGCTGAAAGACACCGTCTGTGTCCACGTCCGCTGTGCCCTAGCCTTTGTCCGGTCTCTTTGTTTCCCCCATCTCACTCACCTTCCCCGTCAATCTTTAAAAGACACTCGCTGCCCTCCTCCTGTCCACTCTCTACAGGCTTGAGGTCTTGCATTTGTCCACTTCGTTCTTTCCCCACTCACGTTCCTTGTGAATCCCTGAGATCCAGTATCTCTTCCAGTCTCTATCACTCAGTCTTCGACGCCAGTCACAGACTACCACACCGCAGAACCACCTGCACAGGACAAACACACGTTTTCACCACACACTTTTGGATTGCTAGCCGATCCTCACACTCTCTGGACATCTTATCCAACCACATCGCTACCCAGCACAAGCACAAACGAAACACCAACTACTCAAAATGAAGTCCTCCATCGTCGCTTCCGCCCTCTTCGCTTCCTTGGCCCTCGCTGCGCCTCTGAACAAGCGTGCCTATGCCACCAAGACCAACACTGTCGTCGAGACGGTCGTTGTCTACACCACTGTCTGGGGCAACCAGCCGCCCGCTACCTCGGCTCCCGCCGCTGCCACCTCTTCCCCGGCCCTCTTCTTCGAGAAGCCCAGCTCCGCTGCTGCCGTGACTTCTTCCGAGGTCGCCCCTAAGGTCCCCAGCTCTACTCCCGAGCCCGTTGTCCCTTCGTTCACTCCTGCTCCCGAGCCTGTCTCTTCTGAGGCTCCGTCAAGCTCCGCAGTGCCCGTTGTCGAATCGACTCCCTCTCCCTCTCCCGAGCCCACCCCTACCCCCCAGGTCACTCCCGAGGCTGCTCCTTCGTCCACCACCCCCGTTGTTGAGGCCACTCCCTCTGCCGAGCCCTCCACCGGCGGTGGCAGCAGCGGCGGCCAGGAGTACACTGGATCCCTCACCATGAACTACTACTCCGGCGGCCTCGGTGCCTGCGGTGAGGCCATCCAGGACACCGAGATGGTTGCTGCCCTCGCCGTCGCTGGCTTCGGTGACTCCACCTACGACTCCGCCACCGGCAACCCCACCAACAAGTGGTGCAACCAGAAGATCCGCGTCACCTACAACGGCAAGAGCGCCGATGCCGTCATCAAGGACCGCTGCCCGGGCTGCACCGGCCAGGGCGGCCTCGACGCCACCCCTGCCCTCTGGGAGGCCCTCACCGGCGGCCAGGGCGGCGCCTCGGGTGACCGCCTTGAGTCCGGCATGTCCTTCACCCTCCTCAACTAGAGTACTACCGTCTCTTCCCTGACCAAGCGGACTCCACAATAAGTCCTGCCTTGCCCACCATGCACGACCACCGTCAACATCCTTTTCCGCGCAGCTTCTCAATTGTATACCCCTTTCTGGCGCAGGCAGGATCAGCGCTTTTCACGAGACTATGAACGAACTACATAAGCGGACCGACAATATCTGGGAGTCTGAACTGAAAGATATATATACGCCTTCGTATTGTGTCTACTCTTTCGGGCTGAAGAAACATCACATGTACTACTCTTCTTGTGTTGCAATTGACGTTCTCGTCGCTCTCACTTCTCGCGCGCGGGGAATTCTTTTTTGGACTTCACTTCTTTGTATACCACTTTAGGGATCGGGCTTGGGATCAATCACTGGTTTTAGATGGGACTCTGTATGGGTTACATAACCGAAAATTCTACTGTGCTTTGCACTACTACCAGAAAATATCCATTCTTGCGTGTATGTGAAGCTATTTCTGACATGGGCGATAGACCTCAGGTTCACGGGGTACTAGCTTGCCTTGTCAATGCGTTCAACGACTGCCTTCACGCCCGCAATTGATGTTCCAGCGTGCGAACGTCCACGCACGGCCGTGAGTGCTCCATCCAGCGCCAGGTACAAAGACACGCGCTCTCAAAGCAGCTTTCACACCATTGACTCAAACGGCCGCGATGCCACTCTTCGTGCGAAACCCACGGTTCCTCACTCCTCTCCTTTCTTTATCCCCAGCCTTTCTTTGACAACCACACACGCCGTCACCCACGGAACCCACCTCCCACAACGCCATCCCAAACGCACCGTTCCTTCTTTCTCCCCGCATTGTCCTCGCCCTGCATATGCATACGCCGCAAACCAAACAAACCCACCAACACACACACACACACACACACACACACACACACACACACACACACACACACACACACACAAAAAACAGCATCCTCCCTCACACCGTCATCACACCGTTGCCACACCAACGCCACCCACCCACGGTGCGAATGAAACAACGAACGCTCCCAGCGCAAGTCATGGCTGGGCGTTTCCGTTTCGCGTGGAGTGGGTCTGTGTTTGACCCTGCCCGCGAACGTTCGCGCTAGCTGGCGCGACTGTTTCGGAAGGTTGCGTGCGGCGGAGAGCACGACCGCTCTGTCCTTCGAGGACGGGCGGTTGTTTCGCGGGGTGCAGGGAGGGGGATGCGTTTAGATGCCACTAGGATAGGATAGGATGGGAGAGGTGGGTGCGACGGTGATGGTACGCACCATGTAGTAGGTGCTGCATTGTCGTGCTGCTTTCACGCATGTGACGGATGGCATTTCATACGACTGCGATTGTTTACCAGATAGGCTCTTTTTCTGATGATGCTTCTTCTTGCAAGATCCATACTCGCCGCCAGTATGCCTTGGCTGGGAGCCTATCCAACATTGACTCCGCCATGCGACGGTCGTGTCTTTGCCGGGATCCAAGGGCGCTTTCTGCCTCCAGGCTGTTCAGCCGTCGACGTGCACCGTCCAGGAGCCCAGCACCGACTCTGCTTCTCCGCGAGCGACGTCACGTTAAGCTGTGCCACCAGATACTCGTATCGAAGGTGCGTGATCTAAGCCCAGTGTCCCTCATGCTGGCTTTCGCCCCCTTTCCTTCTCTCCGCCCTCATCTCCTCCACCTCAGGTCTCTCCTTTATCCTCGCCTTCGTCCAATCCCACGTCTTGGTCCTCTCCAAATCAACCTGCTCACCCTTCTGCCACTCGTAGAACTTCTCGTGCCCATAGCACATCCTCCACGCATCAAAATCCGGCCACGGCTTGCTCTGCCCTTGCACGTATTCCCACACCACCATGTTGAGACTCGGCTGGCACGTCAGGGCGTCCAGCAAGACGCCCACGCAGTGCGTCCGGTGCGCTGCGACCATCTTTGGGAGATTGGTCTCGGGGCCGTACTTCGGCGCGTAGTAGTAGTCGTAAAAGGCATATTTGCGGAGCTCGTTGAGGCAGTGGATGAGGTGCTGGCCGTCGTTCACGGCAAAGTATTTTCCAGGGCCGTGGCCTGTATGGACTTAGCGTACATCGCAGTGGAAGACGCAGGGAGCATGCAGTCTCACCGAATTCTTCGGGTATGCCTACGACGTAGTCGGGATCTTTGCCCATGGTCACGACGTCTTCCCGAGAGATGGCGAGGACGGGCGTGTCGGCGATTTCTTCCCACGCTGCGTCCACGCTGGGCGAGGGATCGTCTTTGTAGATGCTGTAGGGGGTGTTGAAGAGGCTTGCGTTGTTCTTGGTCTTGACGAACGAGATGTCGAAGCGGTCGAGGAGTGGTGTGTAGGTGTTTGTCTTTTTGAGGAGGTAGTTTGGGGAGCTGATATGGCGAGCTGTCCAGACGAGGGATGAGAGGAACATGAAGTTTGCGATGAGAAAGAGGGAGTTGAGATGAGACAGAAGAGTCGTCCGTGCACGGGGTGGGGGAGTTGCTTGTGAGAGCTCGTCGGTAGAGTCTGCCGCGGCGACCTTCCCATAGCGTGGGTTTCGACTGAGCCATCCCATGTTGATACTGATGCGGTGGTGAAGAAGATTGGGACAATCAACATGTGTTTCAAGATGTTCTCAGAAGCCAGCCCACTCACGCGCCTGTTTTCGCCCCTCCACGATCTAAGCCGGCTATTTGCACCTTTAATACCGAGATATTTATTCCTCTATGACTTGGCATCCTGTGACTAGTGGGGTACGGAGAAGCTTTCTGCACAAGGCAAGGCAAGCTGCCGTTGTTTTGTCTTCTATGGTCGTATCTTACGCCGGCGCGAACCCGCGTGGTCTATACGAGGCGATTTGTATCACTCATGGGGTCCAGAATCCGTAAGATACTAGTTCGGGAAGGTGACAAGACTTACATTGCGTGGATATTGGTCAATGGAGTAGAATGGTGTGGGGCAGAACCTTTTGCGATTAAGCCCGATTTGGTATATGAGAGGTAAGATGCAATAGCTTGATCCTATCCAGCCATTTACGGCCGTGTAGAGTGACAGATGAAACAATATGAAGAAAATCCAGGAAAGGTGCGCGTTGGAAACATTGCGTATGGAGTAAGAAACTCCTCGGTGAAGTAATGCGGAACCTCAGTCAACTCCTTTCGTACCGCAAACCTGGATCACTACGAGAAGCATGCGCACAGTGTGCCATGCTTACGGTACACTGCCACGAGGTCAAGAAGACTAGCTCCAATCCTTTGCAGGGAGTCTCTCTCCTTCGAGCCACTGAGGGCTATGTGAACCCTGACGTGTAAGATGCCGAATGATCTGATCGAGCGTACAGATAAGAGACGCATTTACCGGGATAGTTCCCCGGTCGGAGGGCTTCGAAAATAGTTACAGATGCTGTCAACTCAGTCAAGAAAGGAAGGTAGAGGAACGCACGCGGCGCAGAGTATCGTATTCAACGGATGGATTGATCAACGGAATGCTGACTGAAGTGGCAGTCGACAGCCGACTGTAAGCGGTAGATGGGAACTGAGAATCTACGAAAACATTCTATAAAGGCTGGCCAATATGAGTATTTGAAGAACAACTCTTCACTGAGTCACTTGTTCCAAGACAAACGTCCAGCCACGATGAAGGTCTCCGCTCTTGCTCTGCTGTCTTTCGCCACTCTGGCGATGGCTGCCCCTACCAGTAAATTCCCACATTCACGGCACTACGTAGAAGATGGTTCTGATCTTACTAGACGACAAAAACACAGAGGTTGACATTCAAGCATACGCTCGCGCAGACGGTGCGCCTCTGGGCTTCAAGATCAACAAGAAGGATGTTGAAGCTTCGGCGTACGCCCGCGCCGATGGCGCACCCTTGGGTTTCAAGATCAACAAGCGGGATGAAGCCCAGGCATACGTCCGCGAGGATGGTTCGCCGCTAGGTTTCAAGATCAACAAAAAGGACACTGTTCAGGCGTACGCCCGTGAGGGTGGCCTGGCGCTGGGCTTTGAGATTAACAAGCGTCATGCTGAGGCTCAGTATGCGCGTGGGGATGGCTCACCGCTGGGATTCAAGATCAACAGGCGCGAGGAGTAGGCGGAGGGCCAAACCATCTTGGAGGAGTTGGTGTACATTGTGGGAGCAAGTTTGATTGTTATGAATACCGTGATAAAAGGAACGAGTGCATATGAAAATTTACGGGAGCTGACTTGAAGACTCGATATAGGAATGAAAGACTTCATGACCTACATTTTCTGTGATACCGTACCGCGATGCAGTGAACTGTGTATACTTAAAGCCAGCGATTCGAATGCCGTGCTCTTGGCAGTGCACTGCCTTCTTCTGCTCTGCTCCTCGATACTGCTGTCTGTGAGTGTACTCCAGAGTCCCCAAACAAACACGTGACTTGCATTCTCCCCCTCCCATCAGCCTACACGTCAGACGAGCAAAGACTCTCCCCCAATCCCCCCATCGGTCCGCATTCCCAACCCAGAACCCAGCCCATCCATCCATGCTCCCTACCCCAACTCCCTCCCCACTTCTCCCCACAAAAAACGAGCCAGAACACCCTCTCGAACACCGCTATCCTCCCATACGACCTGCCTCAGGGAATCATCTGCACACGCCCCTCCACGCCGAACCGTTCCTGCAACGTCGCCGACCCGCTTACCACCGCGCTGGAGGCTCAAGCGCCGGAGCTCAGCGATCTTATGCTAGCGGAGTACCTTCGGCGGCGGAACTACTCGCGTAAGCGAGTGTAGTCGGCGGGCACGCGATCGGCCGATTAGGAAGGTCCGGCGGCGAAAAGGCGCTGATAAGAGGTCATTCCTGTGACTGTATGGGTAGCGGTGGTGCCCGAACCATCTCCGCGCTAGAACTCGCGGGGAGCGTGTTGGGCGTATGCGTGGAGCGCGATGGTGCGATTTATCCATTTTAAACGCTGAGTGCGCCGAAAAGCCGTACGCGAGATCATGCATGTCGGCGGCAGACTGTAGTGTTGTAAGAAGTTTCTGCGGTACTATAGTCCCGCAAGTTCATTTGTAAAGCTGCTTGTGTTGATGTATTGCGGATGCACTGGTTTGTTCTGGCAACCTCGGTCTAGAGAGAGCGTGTGGAGCGCGTGTAACGTCATCGTTCATTGGACACAACTAAATCATTGATGGGAGAAGTTCGGAGTAGTTCAAGATGCAAATTGTACTGTGAATGTTTTCATTGGTATCTAGTATGTTAGAGACTTGTCCCGTGCTTCCGTTCCAGGTCCTCGCCAGGACGCTGTGTGCAGTGCTGCCCTCCGCAAACCAATCTACAGGGTATAAGACGCCATGGTGCGCTCAATCTACCTCCCCCTTCCAAATGTAGCCCATATCTCGTTACCGTTGCGGGAATGACCCCTCAATCCCAATCATGTCTCAAGCATGATGCTGTGTTGTGTAGAAAATTTTCTCTCCGTTGCGTCCCGGCGCAGCGGATATCGTCGGCTCGTCGCAGGGTCGCTCATGCGTGGAGGCTGGCACCGCCGGACTCAATGGCCTCGATCTCGGCTTGAGTCCATGCCATCCGCTGGAAGCGCTGGGGAAGCTCAGAGCGGTCGAAGAAGGTGCCCTTTCCAGCCTCAACAGGCCCGAGGGAGGATCCGGGAGAAGCGCCGATGTGGCTGGTCGAGAACTGGGACTTCTGGTTCAGAGGACCGTGCTGCTGGGCTTTCTGGCGATAGCTTGCGAAGGACTCGGGAAGAGATTGGGAGGGCGATGCCGGGTGGACCTGAGGAGTGTGGTCGACCTCTGTTATCGCATGTCAGCTAGACGCGCCGATGAAGTCTATACAGGTGCCAACTCACTGCTGGGAGTGGAGCGTTTGCCCAGAAAGCGGATCATGGGCTGGCGGCCCTGCTGGAGAATCTTGGTGGCATTCATTGTGATGGCGTGATGGAGCGGTTCGGAGCCGAGGCAGAGTCTGATATCGGAAATGTGATGGGTGTGAGGAGACGAGAAGCTGGAGAAGGGTCGTAGGAAGATGAGCTGGAGCAGAATAAAAAAGAGAGGATGGTGTTGAGGGTGGGTTGGAGGAAGGAACCGTGGTTATCGTGGAGGGGAGTCGCGAGCTACACCAAGGAAGCGGCCGATAAATAATTCACGTTATGCAAGCAGCCACGCTAGCACCGAGGCCCGTCCGCCGCCCCCATGTGCTTGACCTTCCCGCGGGTACTACCACAACAAAGCGATGATCCGGGGCTCCTACGGACGAATCATGTAACCATCGAGTTCATGTACGAAGGAATGCGTGACCATGATTGGTAAAAGTCTCCCTGTTTTACTTCTTTCGTTGATGTCGCCATCTTTCAGGCTTACGGACAACCCGCGGGTGCTGTCGAGGATTTGTGATACGTGTCTGCGGGGTCGACTGATAGTCGAATGAGTAATGCGTGCGCAGACACGTCGCGAGACACATTTTGCCTCCCCCGAACTCCGCATGCGGAGGAGCTCCTCTTGTTGTTCGTTGCGAGTCTGACCCACACCGCAGAGTAATCGGAGACGCCCGCCAGAGCGGAATTGCACGCACAGCGATGTCAATATGGACAGGGCAGAACTCACGGCAATAATGCGAAGCGTACACCGTTTGCTGATATGAGAATGTGTGCATTCCGCTTCTGAGATATGCGTTCTGCGAGGCATTGTTTACTGAGGGCGCTGCGCTCGGAGCTTTTTACCGTGTGCCAGCCGTGATCGGCCCCAGAGCTTCCACGCCTGTTCCCCGCCAATCACGCACCTTTCAACCCCACGAACGCCCACCAAACACCGGACCGTCGGCTTTGTGATTGCCATTCTGGGGCAACTCAAGAGCACCCAGTTCCATGCACGAGCTGCTCCTGTACGGGCAGCTTCCGCCCCCTCGCCATGAGCAAGTCCTAAAGATCCTCGCCGGGCATGCTGCTATGCAGCCCCGCCGCGTCCTCGAGAGACACATCATATACAAGCCTACGCGTGAGCCTGAAGAGCCAGGGGCGCATCTCGGCCGTGGCGGCGGATCGCAGACTGTTGGAGGCAAACCGGTTAAGCAGGGCACCGTGAAGAATCTCTTCTACACCAAGCTTGTGCAGAAGCTGGACCAAGGAGACTTTGGACGCGCAGACGACAAACCGGCCGATAGCAGAAAGTGTCTGTCAGCCAACGTCAACTCCGGGGAAGAGCCAAAGTGGTCTTTCGAATTCCAGGACTTGCCAGACACCGGGGATAGAGGAGTTTGCGCTCGTCTCACATCGTCGACCGACCTTCTCTCGGGCGATCCGCACGCGTGGATGCTTGCAACAGGTCCTCACCAGTAAACAACGTGCCCCTTCTTGTACGGGCGCGTAGCTAATCAACTCTAGGTTTGTCTCCGAATACTACGTAGAAGGACACCGATTTGTCCACGGAAACGTCGTCATCTTCCTGCATCGCATTCTCCACGAGCCCGGGGTTCGGTCTTTGGAGACCGCACCGAAGGTGGACCCGCCGGCTTTCGATGCCCTCAAGCCTTTCGACCCGAGCGGCGCATACATTCTGGAAGCCAAGGTTCGCGTCCAGGACTATAATAACCAGGCTGTGCTGGAAGATGGGGTGAACGAGCTGAAAGGATTTCAGAAGCAGATGAAGGGCTGCGTGGAGTTGGACATTCCTGACAGGCTCTCGCTCGACACGCGGGTTAGGTACCGCCCTCCGCATCTACGGGTTGCTCAAAGGCCTCGATGAGCCGGCAGGTTACGTGTCGACGGCAGGATGTGCAAGGAACTGCCGAAGCGCGCCCTACTTCGGCTACCTTCCCCAGCAAACCACCAATATCGTGACCGAAAGCAGGGTGTTTGGCAGCAAACGCACTTCATACGAGGACACTGAAGCTTGGTCTACGCTGGAAGAGGCTAGAAAGCAGACGATGAACTAGGGAAGAAGGACTGATCCAAATGATCATCAAGTTGCCGGCCTAGCTTGAATGCCTCGAAGGCAAAGCAGTGCGACAAAATTTGATTGTGTTTCGATGATACCCCTACATAGCAAACTAGTATCGATCTCCGTAACGATTGCTTCTCCATGTGTCAATGCTATGACGATTGACCGAAACCTAAAATCATCGCAAGGTATCCTTCTGCAAATCGTCACGAGCTATGCCTCAGAATTTCAACCCTACACTGTGAAACGGTATCGCAAAATCACTCAGCATGTTGCCCAATCAGTCTAACAACGAGTAGCGGAAGTTCCCTAAGTAAAGGGTTAGCCTTGTACAATTGATTCTGTTTCTCAAAGCTCGACCAATGACGAAACACTGTTTCACCAGACTAAAGTTGAGCAAGGGTATTTCGGCCATATAAAAAACTCTGTCTGAAAGAGAGAACCTCACTATCGATTTATCGTCGGAGTGAGCCCCGCTGCAGCTTTGTCACACGCAGTCACACTGAAGGTTTGTGCACGTGCCCAGGCGAGGACGCGTTCGCGGGCGGTCGCGACTCGGCTCACGTCCCGGCAAAGCCTCACGCTCAACAAACGTCTTCAGCCTCACTCAACGTTTCACCCATCGCCGTCATGCGCTAGAACCAACGAACTTCTGAGTATGCCTGAGCGACCGGGTTTAGGGAAGCGGCCAAGCTCCACCAACAGAGGTGTTTCTCCGCCGCCAGCCAAGCGAAAGCAGCAGTCCACGACTACAAGTGAGCAATATCACACTCAGTAGTATAGCGCATGGGTTAAACAAGCCTAGACAAAGCCGTCGCGAACTTCTTCACGCCACTCTCGAAGAAGGAGCCGGATCAGATGACATGGCGTGTTGTCAATGATAGCCTGCTCATCGGGCGTTATAGGGCTGCAGCGAATTCGCCCAAGACTACCAACGCAAAGCAAAAAATAGCCGCGTTTGATTTTGTAAGTTCAGAATTTGAAGTTGTGCCAGGGAAAATCCATGTTTGCTAAATATAATGTAGGACTCCACATTGATCACAACTGCGTCGGGGAAGAAGTTTGGTCGCGATGCGACAGATTGGAAATGGTGGCACCACAGCGTCCCGCAAAAGTTACGACAGCTTCATGAAGATGGGTAGGAGCTGCTGCATTTCCTGCGTCTATTGAGCCATGTGCTAACCTCGATTCTGCCGTTCAACAGATATGTCGTCGCAGTGTTGAGCAACCAAGCAGGGATCAACCTCAAGCCAGACCCCAAGACGATCAAAAGTGACCAGAAGCGACTGGCAGATTTCAAAGCGAAGGTCTCGGCGGTGTTCACACAGCTCGAACTACCAATCTCGGTGTATGCGGCCACCAGTCACGACCGGTACCGCAAGCCCCGAGTAGGCATGTGGGAAGAACTGCGTGAAGACAACGACCTGGAGAACGCCGCAGCCGTGGATCTAGACAACTCGTTCTTCGTTGGTGACGCGGCTGGTCGTGAGGCATCCGGGAGGAGAACGAAGGATTTCTCCTGCGGTGACAGGTTGGTTAAGCCCTCGGTCTCTATTTCGGCTCCAGTGAAGGTGCTAACATTTGAGTAGAAACTTTGCCGCTAATGTGGGAATCGATTTCCACACGCCTGAAGAGTACTTCCTGGGGGAGAACCCTAGCCCGTTCACTAGAGAATTCGACCCAACCGCTGTTCTCCAAACGGCAGCTGTGGAATCTACAGACGCGCGTGAGTCAAGGATTATACGCCACATCAACTCTGGTGTACCGGTCATAAGCTAAAGTCTAGGCTCGCAGTTACTGCATTTCGAAAAGCCGGTCCACTCGAGATTGTGCTCTTCTGTGGCAGTCCAGGTGCAGGCAAGTCGTCGTTCTACTGGAGGCATTTGCAGCCACTGGGTTACGCTCGTGTTAATCAAGATATTCTCAAGACCGTAAGTTACTACACATGATTTCCAGCATGGTTCGGGTCTCCGCAAACCCCACAGTCTGAGTAACCTCGTCTACAGCGAGAGAAATGCATGAAAGCTGCCGAGGAGCTGATTGGAGAGGGTACGAGTGTAGCCATCGGTAAGAGAATGCGCGACCCACACTTAGTAGTAGTGCGCGTGCACGACCTGACCGTGGTACACAGATAACACAAATGCCGACCGCGAAACGAGGGCATATTGGACTGCCCTGGCCAAGCGGTCGGAGCTTCCCATCCGCTGCGTAGTCTTCACAGCCTCAAGCGAGCTCTGCGAGCACAACAACTCGGTCCGCGCACTGAATGCTGGTCCTGACGTGAGTACTCAACAGTAACAAGCGTTCGCGCATCGTTCCCTACAAGGTCTTGGGAGTAGGCGGTGATCTGCACCGACTGGTATGGGTACTTGCCCGGATAAGCGAGTACGGGACGAGTACATGACCGCGCTCAACAGACGGCACGGCAGAAGTTCCTCCGAGACCATTCTTGCTAACTCGATCGTGCGTAGACAAATCCCGAACAGCGGCTACTCCTGCCTAAAATGGCCTTCGCGACCTTCAAGAAAAGGTACCAAGAGCCCACGATGTCGGAAGGGTTTCAGGACATCGTCAGAGTTGACTTTCGAGTACGTCTTCCGAGAGGCTGTGTTGAACCCTGGATCTATACTATGGTACGGTTCGGCACTGACATCTTTACCCACTAGTTTGAGGGATCCGAAACGCAGAAGAAACTATGGAGCATGTTCTGGCTCTGAGTAGGCTGGCGATGGCGCCGGAACCACACGTTACCACCAGCGCCGGCGCAGCGCGGAACCGTGGTTGTATTCAGCGGGACGGGATGGAAAGATGGGAGCGAAGCTCCCTGCATGCTGCAGAATGATTGCATGCAGCATCATTCTACTGAGATTCTTGTTGCGCTCAGCTTTCGGACCGCGTCCGATGACATGTGCCTTGGGTGCGACGGCATGCGACGCGGTCGGCTCGACATGCCGGAGCAACGGCCGCCGTGGGTTGCAGGGAACACAGACCAATCGTTGGCTAGCAGCACGCGAGTACGCCATATGGAGACGCGCGCTCGTTCTCTCAACATTAAGCAATTCAATAATGTACGGCAGAAGTTGACATTATTCCCGCTGATTTGACACCGTCTGCGCTGCTCTTCCTGCTTTACCGCGCCCCACCACTATCGCAGCCTTCCACGTGTGGTTGGCGAGATAGATGAAGGTTTTGAGAGCTTGCTTGCAGCAGTGCATCCTAGCATTGCGGAGCCGGAGTAGTTGCTGTAGAGTAATGAGATTAGGCATACTCGTCTGAGACTGCGCAGCTACCCTTTTCCCATGCACCCAATCGAGAGAAGATCCGCACTGCCCAAAACAGACGTACTTGACGTCGACGGCTGATTTCGATTGGATGCTAGATTAGCGTCCTCGCTGCGGGCTGGCGAAGCGCACCATGGCATCTAGAAGCCTTACTATCTTTGCCCATCTCTCCGAGCCACGGTATGTGGGGTCTTGAGCGCCGCGTGGTAGGCTACTGGATGAATTGTGAAAAATGGGCATTGCCACGTTCTCGACCGTCTGGGTGGGTACCGCAGCGGGACTGCTACTGACACGCAAGTCTGGCTGGTTTGGATGGCACTGACACATGGTGTTGTGTAGTGTTGTGTTGTATCTGACAAATGCACACGACAGCGCTGGCAATGTGCTGTAGGTTGAATGTTGGCTGAGACCATGCCACGCTGACAGTTTCATGTGGGTAGCCTGCTGGTGAGAGGGGAAAATGGTACCTGGCAGATGTATTGTTATTTGCGGCGTGCGAGCGGTCTGCGAGGCCCTCATCAGCAATGCTCACCGGCTGCTCAACGTGCAGCGCAATCAATGCAGGTGAGCGATGCCAGCCGTTTATGGTTTGATAGCCCGGGCGTTGGCAACGTCGTTGTGCCGTCCCGCGCGCGGCCTGCGAGGCGAGAGAGATGCGTCTTCCCGTGGGCTACTTAAGACTTTCTGGCTAGTCGCTCGTGGTAGGGCGAAAGCTGAGTTTCGCCCTGCCGTGCGCGCCTTACCGTAAAGCGCGTCGCTGTTCCGCGCCGGCGCGCCGATGTGTCGTCATAATCTGAACGGCCTCAAACGACGAGCGCATCCTGGTTCCCAGCAAGAAGCACCGGGCTCGGTTCCGGATCGCAGGGATGCCGATCGCATGCCCTTCAGCGCGGCACAGTCCTGGACGCCCACGAATCGGGGATTCTTGGTAAAAAAGACCGCTGGCTGCTGGTAGGTAGCGTGACGACGTGGACGGCAGCAGGCGTGCAAGAAGCTGCTGGCACTGCCGCAGATAGCAGGTCTTTCATTGCGACGTCTGGTTGGCGAAGTCGATGCGCTGGCTGTGCCGGTGCTGCGTGGGCGACTCAGGTGCTGCTGTGCCTGGCAGTGCGTCGAATCAAATCGACATTGAGGAGTGACAGCAAGGCTCTCATGGTGCCTCTGGCAGGGAGGGCGACAGGAACAGGGAATTAGGCGCACAGTAACGAAGGCGGGCCGGTGCTGCATTGCCAATCAGCGCGGGCGCGACCGCAAGTTTTGCGACCTGGGGTGCTCCGATTCGCCGCGCGGCTGAAGGCTTTTTTCATCGTCTATTCCTCCCAGCCACCTCTTTTTGGACGAGAAGCGCACGTAGCGTCCGCTCGTGTCAACGTCCGCTGTCCGTCCACGCTGTTCGGCGTGTCACGAGCTGAGCGCACTGGGAGGCACGGACAGGCAGAGTCGCTGTGATGGGTGTGTGGGTACTGAATTGGCGAAACAAAGAGTGTTTGTTTGTTTGTTTGGAAACATCCTGCTGCCCGCGACCCATCCTGGAGGATGTCGTCTGGTCGATTCAACGTCAGACCATCCACGAGTCGCCCGTGAACTTGGCAGATACGAGACAACTGTCGGACCAAGCTCCAGGTCTCCTCTGTGCCGTGCCCAACGAAGGCTCCCAGCTGGCCAGTAGTGATCGCCAGGCGCTGCATCCTCCAGACCAACTCTCTGGGTCTGCCGTCTCATCACCACGAGAGGCCTCGGCCCAGTGTCTGGCAATCGCCCGAGGGCCTGCCGTGTGAAGTGCTCGCTGTTCCTGCATGGCTTACTCAGGCCGTCCTGGCGCTCAGCAGGGTGGGCCGGGGTGGTGGAGCCCACCAACACATGCTGAATCCGCCGTGAAAGAAGAAAACAAGCAGAGGCAGGTCAGCAGCTCAGCGTCGCCGTCGCCGTCGCCGTCGCAGTACATGGCGCGCGTGGACGGCGTGCGCATCTGTGACCGTGTCGGCGGTGTCAAGTGCAGCGCGGGCGTCGTCATCTGGACGCTGCCGTTGTACACGACGGCGCTGGCTGGCACCCTCTGGCACTCGCTGCAGTGTGCGACGGCCGCGGCCCGCTGAGTCGCTGGGACGTCGGACGCGACCCGGGGAGACTGTCGACTCTGCCGCCCAAGGCTATACTCCGTTGCGGCATAGCGCACGCTCGACTCGGTTTTTCTTAGCTTCGGCGACATCCTGGCCGCCGCCAAGCCCCAGGGCTGCCGCACCCTTGCAACTCGCAAAGCCCTTGCAACCCCAACGCCAGCACCGCACCACGCCCACACAAATGCGCCGCCCACCCCGAGCTTGCTCGACAACCCTCTCTTGCGCGCCCACGCTCCTTGTTGACCTTGCGCTGTCCAACTAGCATCTCCGCTCTCTCTGCGCCCGTTGCTACAGTTGCGCCTGGCCGGTGAGCTTGTGCGCTTTCCTGCATTGCATTGATCCTGCTCTGCTCCACTTGCCGCTCTCGCCTCACGTGCCTTGCCCAAAACAGCCCAACAGCCGACGCCTGGGCGCTGACACTCTCGCGAGGATAAACACCCAGCGGTACCTACGTGTTTTCGACTCTCTGTCGTGGCACCCCTCTGAGACCTCCCGGACCGCCACGCCTCCCCCAGGACCAATTCACACCAGTGCAGTCACTGACCGCCCGCTCCCTCCCCCCCGGTCATGGCCTGAGCGCCAACGTCGCCAACAAAAAAAGACGTCCCGTTCCTGGCACCCTTCAAAATGCGCGACATGAAACCTCTGATTCTCCCCAAGCTGGTGGCCCAGCGAAAGTCCTCCAAGAGCTCTCTCGACATGTCTCACGACCCCGCCTCCTCCGTACATTCGAGTACCGACTCTGGCTTCTACTCTGCCTCCGAATGCTCCACCCCGCCCACCCCAAGCTTCTACCGCGGCCATCTCCGCTTCCCCAGCTCTACCTCGTCGTTGTCCTCAAGTCCACCGTCATATGAACTCGCCGACAGCCTTGGTCCCAACGCCTCGGGCAAGCTGCCCCAGCTCACCGAGGACGTCGAGCGCGAGGAGGACTACGTGACCATCTCCCCACGTCACTGTAAGTTGCAGCGTCTGTCTTGATGCACCCACCATTGACTGATATCAGATGACTCAGACCTCTATGAAGACCCTGCTGTGGCAGATGCTTACGACTTTGCTGGTACTGGCTACGAGTCGCCCAACTCGAAGCGAAGGCGGTCCACTGAAGCGTCTGCGCAAAGTGTCACGCACAAGCTTGAGCGCAGCTTCCCTTCCTTCTCACGCAAGATTCGAGAGCGCAAGAGAGCATCGACCCTCAATGGCAAATCCAGGAGTGCTACTCCCTCCAGAGCGCCGTCGACGCGGGCATCGTCAATGACCAGCTCCATCCACCAGAACCAAAGTTATGACCCAATGGAGCTTTTTCCGCCCAAGTCAACGTCAGCTGCGACCAGCCGTGAGCAGCTCGTGGAGTCCATGGCTTCCTCTCCCATCGACATCGCAAAGGCCAACGCATTCGACGCTGATGTCGACGAAATCGACTCAGAGCGCTATGCAACCACTCCTCTTTTGCCACCTCTACTGGTCAAGACTCGCTTCGACGACGCGCCTGCCCACTCGCCCCTTCAGTCTCCTACCATTGCCACGGTCGACCCCATGCAGTCTCTAGTCTCTACTCCCGTGGATACGCCTGCGGCTCGCGCTTATCCTACTCCGCCACTGTCGACAAAGGCCTCCATCGCCTCTTTCAAGACATCTCGCATCAGTCCCCTAGTACCCTCGAACGAGATACCAAGTCTTGCATTAGCCGATCCTGATGACAAATGGGCCTTGGTTCTCGGGCACAACAACTTTACCATCCACCCAGAACCCTACATCCCTGAAGTTTGCGACGCGGCTGCCCTCCGGCAATTGTTTGCTGATTGGGAACAAGCGCGCTGCAACTTTACCAAGCACCAGGTCCGCATGGCTGAGCACAATGGTCCTACGTCAAAAGCCTACCTGCTATGCGAAAAGAAGTGGATGGAAATCGACGCCCTGTGGAAGAGGAACAATGACGTTGCTAATTCCCGTGCGACCGAGCTGGGCGAGGACCCTGAACCGTCGTCTCCAATGGAGCCGGCCCCACTTAGCAAGATGCCCACGCTTAATGACCCAAAAGGCCAGGGTAAATTCCCAAAGCTCGGGGACGAAGACATTGTCGGTCCCATGGTTCAGTTCGCCGCCTCACCACTTCTCCAGCGCACGCCACCGCGCAAGCGCGCTTTCTTCAAGTTCCTCAGCGATCTCAAATTCCCTGGTGCGCTCCTCGGCAGGTCGTCCACCGGTATGCGCGGCCACTGATTACCTTGTTTATATTTGTGTTCGACTAAGCTTCTGTTCGATTTTTGTAACAATACCCTTTTCGCCAACGGCACACGAGGTACGACTTGTATGACCCGTCCTTGGTAGCTCATCGAGCCACGACCGCTCCTTATCACGAATCTCCTTTGTTCACATTCCCACGGCTTTAGAGTGATTTTCTTCGCGGACTCATCCGATTATGGATCACCTCCCTCGCTGGGAGCAGTCTGGCGTTTTTCACGGGACCGCATGGTCGGCGGATCGGGCGTACTGGTCACGATTACAGCATGTTCACGCAGCGACGGCACGAAGGCTCATCAGCCAAAAATTTCTTTCGAAAGCGTTATGTATGCTGTTTAGTCTTTAATCTCTTTTGTCTACTTTGCGCAAGCAGAGCGAAGTGCAAGGGATTTCCTTTAGTTTTGGCGGCTATACCACTCGTCCTTGTCTGGGACTGAGAGGCAAGCGCAGCCTGGGTCTAGGAGGTGGTCGGACCCAATCGAGAAAAGCAATAGTTTCTATGGCTTCCTGTATGACTATCTTGCGATGGGTACATAGATCTGGACGACGTTGTCAGGCCTGATGCGTCAGGTGGGACGACGATCCGTGCAGCCTGCGGCCCGGCAGGTCGTATCCAGGTTATGGAAGCATTAGGGAGAAACAAGAAATTCCAGAGCATCACACTCACGCACCCGTTCCTGACTGCTTGTTCCGTGATGTTTCGATAGCGTTGTCATCCGCTCGCTGGACTGGCACGCCCACACAGCGACGTGGCAGTGCCCATGTGACTGCGCACCTGGCGCCTCAACAAGCGGGCGCAGCAACTTCTCGTACTGTGCTGTACGTACGCTCACGTCTATCTATCGCAGCTGCGCACTGCCAGACTCCACACACACTTTCGGTAGCAAAACCACTGCACTCCACTTTACTCCACATGTCCTGTCATGCCATGCCCTGCTGTGTCTAACAGTAGTCATTCTATCCCCCGTGTTTCGTGTCGACCGCTGCAACGGGATGCGCTCCTACATCCAGCGCATGCCGCGTGAGGCCGTGTCTTAGAGTACTGCAATATCGACGTTACGTACGCGACGCCGCGGGGAGAGATGTCTCAGCCGGACCGGTGACCTGGATGCGTGCGTTGCTGGGGTGGTTGTTTGGGCGGATGGTGCTGGAGAGGGCTTGTGTGACGGTGATTGCGTAGTTGTGCATGGTGGGCGAGGGCTGGACTTTGCGATCGGCGGTGCGAGGGGGCTGCATAGCTGGGAGGGGAGGGGGAGGTGGTGGTGGACACGGGGATTTTATTTGCAGAGACGGCTGTGAGTGTTATCGTTGTGCGTGGGTGTATGGTATGCGACCGAGGACGTATACCATACTCTGGTAGGGACAAGAGCGCTGACAGGTATTGCACGTACAGTACGTCTGCAACACGCACTACTTCTCGGTCCCCAGCGCAGCGCGGGGACGTGGCACTCTCTCAAACAGCACCTCCAGCACCTCAGGACATACAACCACAGACGACACTTCAAGACACCATCGCACCCCAGCACCCGCACGCATAACCGAACGCAGCCCAGCCTCGCACCACATCCCTCGCCTACACCCGCCTCCCTCCCGCCCGGTACGCGTCCGCCTGCTGCCCTCTGCCTAGCCCACTCCGTCCACAAGCATCCGCACCTCATGCGGTGCCCCCGTGGCTGAAACGCGAAGCTCCAAGCGAAGCGGGGAGCGCAGCTGTAAGTGCAGCTGTAACTGTTGAGAGGCAGGGCCGCATCCCCTCTCCTCTCGTGCCCATGGGGAAAGGCAAGGGTAGAGATGCGTCTAGAAAACAGTGCGCAGTTGCGGGAGGGGAGGGCAGGGGGTGGGAAGGTGCCGATCACGATCGGGTGTCGGCCTGTAAGGCGGTGTCAGGCGCTCGGGAGTTACGGCTTTGCACGAGCGCGGGCTGGAGGTGGCGTGATTGGTTTGACTTGGTTTGGTTTGAGGGGTGGTGTTGGTGGTGGTGGTGGTGTATTGGGTCGGGAGGGGATGAGATAGGAATAGAACGGGGTGCATGGATGGGGAAGCGAGGTCTGTGACTTGTGACTTGTGGTGATGGGGCTGGTAGGTTCAGGATGGCTGCGGTCGCTGGGTGTTGGGAGAGTTGAAGGGGGGCGCAGTAATACCTGGAAGTTAGGTCGTTGTAGGTGAGTTCCTGTGCTGAATGTGAACCTTTTGCTGCACAGAAGTCCGGTTCCTAACCTATGCTTCGTTTTCATTTTTTCCTCTTCGGGATATCAGAATGATATTCAGCGCACTATGATTGAGAAGCGCACATAGAACCGGTCTAGGTCCAGCACACACCATGACTTCTTTCTTCAAAACGAGTACGTGATGCTTCTCTATATGCCGATTATGCTGCCTACGTGCCTTCCTTCTCTCACATAGAGCCTCGATACCATCATCTGTCTTCTACGCATCCAAATTCTGCCTCCGAATCTCCTGATCCATACACGTAGTCTTATGCCCATATCCCTCTTGGCACAGTAAGCAGACATATCCTTTTCGCACGACTACACACCTCAACGTGCATTTTCAGACACACAATCCGATGACCAGCATAAGTCCAGTCAACAGCGAAGAGTCCTTCTTTCCCATGTCGCCGAAAACTTGTCATAACACCGCACCGTAGCAAAGAGAAGTGATGTCTCACGTGCATGGCAAAACACCTCCCTCTGCACATGATTCGCACGACGATGCTGCCCGTAGACCCGGCAGATAAACGTCGCATCTTCAATGCAAAAACTCACCTCGTCACGCGTGCTTTACCTCGACTCCATCTCGAAGTTTCCACGCCATGCAGGCGTCACCTTCCACCAGTGTTCCAACTCGCAACCCCAACGCCTGTTCCCCCCAGCAACGCCTTCCACTTGCATTGCCGCAAGCTTTCCGTGGCCCTGTTCATCTGGTCCTCATAGAGAGCGAAGCCATTACTACAGTCCCATGAATCCAGCCCCGAGACTCACCACGGCTGCAGTTAGCACTGCATCATCGACACTGGAGTGCTCTGCTGACACTGTCAAACCGAACAACAACATTGTTTTTGGAGCCACGTCCCTGCTGCTCCATCCTTCCGCGTTGCGTTGCGTTGTTTGCTGCTCTTTCTGGAGTAGAGTCGAATGCATCTCTGGTTTGAGGAACAGAGGGTGGGCGTGGCGAGAAGTAGAGTAAGCAGCGGTGGAGCCTTGGCTCGGGCTGGAAACACACCTGGGGATGTTAGGATGCGTGAGATGGCTTGGGTCGTGGATGTTGACGCTCTGCATACGTGGTGGTGGTATCCTGCACAGGTGCCAAGGCAGGGTTCTCGAGAGCTGCGAGGTACCTGAGGAAGTTCTATATATGTTGCACCCACATTCCCGATTACGACACCACCTCACCCCGTCAAGTCCATCCAGCCAGTGCGTCCACTGAACAAGCTACATCACACTCAGCACATATGCAGTAGTGCTGTGACAGGATGTTGTAGTTATCGAAATGGCAGGGCAAACTGACTGCCACAGTACATACAACATATATACTCCCCGTTCGTGGGTTTCTCAGCATCCTATATAACCGAAACCCGCCGTAGCTAGCGAAACGCAGCGTTGCAACACGATGCGAGTAGATCCCATTTCGAGCGCCTCTGCGCATTCAAAAACAAAGCGCCAAACGCCGACCCCTTTTCCTATAGATAGCTGCGCAAAATCGTACAGAGTGCCGCACGTCAAGTACAGCGCATTGTTCCTTCACTTTTCCACCTCTTGCTTCGATTCGAGCTTGCGCCTGCATCACCACCCCCTCGTGCAGCGAGTGTCATCGATCCAGATTCCCGTCCCCACTCCACCAACTCGCATCAAACGCCTGCCCACCACCCTGCTGCACCTCGCTCACATGCCCGACCATGTGTCCCGTGCCATTGAACTGCGCGACCTCTGCGCTCGCATATCCGTCGCTCTCCCCGCTGACCTGTGGGTATCCAGCTTCCCCGCTTCCGCCGTACGCATTCGCCTGGTCGTGGTTCCACGTCTCGCTCATCTTGAACCCATCCCGGCTGAAGCGGTCCCACTCGTTGTTGTTCCCCAGCACGTTGTCGAGATCCATGGGGCCGACGGGGTAACTGTTGCGCGGGAGGATGGGCGCGCCGAGGGCGGTGGGGAGCGGGTTCCAGAAGAGGGTTTCGGCGGAGCCGGTAGAGGGGTGGGTCGTGGGGATGTCGGGTTGGGGGGTGGCGTTGGAGGCGGAGTAAGGGAGAATATGTGGGAGGGAGCCGCGGTGTTGGGTCTGGCTGCGGAGCAAATTGCCGCCCTGGGTTGAGGCGGGGTGTGAGGGCAGCTGGAGGTTCTTGCGGTCAGAGCGGGTGAACATGCTGAGGCTTTCGCGCCTTGTGGGATGCGCGGCGGGTGCAGAGACGGGGCTTTCGACTGTGCCGACGCGAGCGCGGTTGGCGGTGTTGGTGTTCACTCGTGGGAGGACGATTGAGGACTCTAATACGCCGTCGAGATTGCCAGCCTTTGGGATGAGCTTGCTGTTCTTCAATTCTTCTGGGAATCCTAGATCCCAGGCCTTGGAGGTTTCGTAGATGATCCTCCAGGCGCGGGCTCCAAACCAATGGCACACGCTCAAGTCCTCCAACGCTTGGAGGCCTTCGACCAGATAGCGGTACGAGCTTGACGAGAATTGGGCGTCTTTCGAGAACGTAAGGTGCACGATACAAGTAGTCAGAAGGATGTGTGTCAGTACCAATTGGCAAGTACGCATGGGATAGTATGAACGGTACTGGCGGAGGAGTTCGGACACGGCGTTTGCGGCTTCTATACACGCGTCGCGGGGCTTCAACCTAAAGTTGATGAGATCGATCTTGAGCATAGGACGGAACAACTGGCCGATGGCCGTATGGTACAACATGCTGTTCCCTGTTAGTAGAAGCTTTAATCTTGATTCGTCGAAGTAGACGTACTGGAGTACAATGATATGGGGTTGCGGTTGCCCTCCACTATCCAATCTGAGCGGCGGCGGCAAGTTTTTGAACCATTCCAGATATTTGTTATGGCAGGCTATGAGTTTGACATCTGTCAAACGCGCACTGGGGGCGTAGAACATGTAGTTGTTATCATTGATCAACTCAGAGAGCGTGCTGAACTCCTGGAGAAACATGCGGCTGGTAACAGTGCTGGGTGACACGTGCGAAGAGCCTGGGTATGCCTCCTGATTGAGACCACTGGGCGGCTCGTCTAGTATGGGTTTGTCGAGCGTGATGGCGACCCTTGGCAGTTGGGTTATGCGGCCTATGCAGATGGACCAGACAGTGTCCACGGTAAAGCAGCCCCAGAAGGTGACCTTGCGCACTTCGTGCTCAGACGGTGTAAGGCCCATGGCGGGCGATGCCGAGTTCTTCAGATGCAGCCCCATCTCGATGGCCATGCGCATGGCTCTCCCTATGTAGGCAAAGCCAGACGAGTCGCGTCCCGCCGACGGCTCGCGCATGGCCATGACGCAGAGGGCCTGGACCGTGGTGAGCGAGGAGGCCTCGTTCTCGTAGAGCAGGCGGCGGGCCTCCTCGAAGAAGTGGTCGCCTGCGGTGCGGAAGTTGTCCGGGTCGGTCCTGCCCGCGGGGTCGTCGGTGAAGTGGCAGCCGTAGGCCAGCATGGCGTTGACCAGCAGGGCGCTGCAGTACTTCTGGCGGCCGCTGCGGAAGTCCATGTAGAAGCATTCACGCGAGAAGATGACGTAGAACGAGTGCGACCAGCGGAAGTACAGGTCCAGCAGGCGCTCCACGAAGGCGAGGTCGCTGGTGACGGAGGTCCACGTGGGCGACTTGCGCTCGGCGGCGGGCGCGCGGGCGCGCGTGTAGCTCTCGTCCTCGGGCACCAGCGACATGTTGCTGGTGTGGCCAAAGTAGCGGCTCTCGCCCGTCCGCGTCATGGCGGGCTTCCCCAGCAGCATCGACAGCTCGCTCTCGAGCGACTGCGGCTCGCCGACGGGCGTGCTCGCGGGCAGGACGGCCGTCTTGCGCCAGGCGTCGGCCACGGCAGCGACATCGATGCTGCGGTCCTTGCGGATGTGCTGGACCAGCTCGTGCACCTCGGCCTCGGGCAGCGTGCGGATCGTGTTGAGCAGGAAGTGCGCGCTGTCGTGGGCGGGCGCGCTCGTCGTCGCCTGCGCTGCCGTCGCGGCCTCGCGCTTCGAGCCCGTCTTGGTGCGGCGGCTCTCGCTGTCGGCGTCGTAGTGGCACGGCGTCTTGTACACGGCGGTGCACGTCGCGCACACGGGCGTGCCTCCATCGCACTGTCGCGGCGTGTCAGCTTGTCGCGCCTGGTACAGAGTCTCCTCGTGGTGTCTGGCGTCGTCCAAGAGCGCGGCAGCTGACGCAGGATGCAGCGCGCGTCCGCGGAACTATGCACCAACAGCGCTCCGTGGATTGCCTACCTTAGACTTCCGCTTTCTGCAGGGCACGCAGGCCGATTGCACGCACCGCCGTTTGCTGGCCCTGGGCTCTCCCGCGGACCCGTTGTCATCCTCCTCCTTGATTGCTGTGCCGCGGGCCATGGTGTTGCGCGGAGGCAGAGGGCTCGTGAAGCGTTCCCGGGCGCATCACCTCATGCCTACATAGAGTCGGGAGAAGGGCCGCGTTGGCCACTGGACAGCGGGAAGCGTATTTGTGACGTCCAGCGTAGCTAAGGGCAAAATGTGAACTGCCACCCCTCTAGGCCAGACCACGCCGAGCGCAGCGCGAACGAAGGTATCCAAGGCCCAGCCATTCGCCGTTCAGCCCAAGGGCACAAAACGCAGCCAATGCCATTCGCCCAAACTCCCCAGGGGCGGGCCTGACGACGAGCGTTGCCGAGGACCTGTGCCTTTGTAGTAACTCGTATCGAGAAATCCCATGCCACTGCTTATTAATACATGCGAATTGGGGCAATTGCCATCCCAGTACATTCCTGCGTGCGACAGGCACCCTGTTCATGCACGACCTTTGTCTTCAGCTCCCCCGTCTCCTATTTCACACCACTGCTTGCGCTGTAACCTCGCCGCAACCTCTCACATTTTCACTTCACGTGACGGCGCATTGTCACAGATTCGCTTCCAACGCTCGCCGTGACGGCGAGGCTCCACTAGCTCGGCGAGTTGCAACAAAGCTGCTTCCAATCGGCCTTCGCCAATCGGCATCAAGAACGGCAAGTGGTGGACAATGCGGATGTGGGTGCGGGACCTCGATCGGTCAAGGCAGTGACCGGAGATAAAAAGTCGTAGACATATCCGACCCCCTGGTATGTGGGAACGACTAACGCTCCGAGTCTTCGTCGTGGGGATGCATAGTGACATTCCGTGGATGCTTCTTTAGACTTTAGCCCGTCATTCATCCTATCGGGTTCCATTTTAAACTTGCAAGCAGATGATCATTTTGTACATTTATCCAACGAAACTCTATCTCGACTAAACTCCGTTTCGCGTTTCCGCCACGGGTACGACACCCTTCAGCGGCGGCAGCAGACTTCTCGCCGCTGCCCTCGACTGCTGCGCCAGCACTGCATCCATGATCACCAATGCCGCCATAGACTCCACGATGGGCACTGCACGGGGCACCACACACGGATCGTGACGACCCTTTGCCTCCAACACGCCCTCATCAGTGTCGTAGGTTGCGGTCTGCTGCGCCTGGCCGATGGTTGCCGGGGGCTTGAAAGCGACCGTGAAGTAGATAGGCGCACCGTTGGAGATACCTCCCTGGACACCACCAGAATTGTTTGTCTTCGTCGTCAGGCGTGGGCGCTGTACAGATGGGTGACCGGTCCCTGCTGGGACGGCAGGAGCCTTGATGAAGGGGTCATTGTGGATTGAACCAGGTACCTGGCACCCTCCAAACCCGCTGCCAATCTCGAAGCCCTTGGTAGCAGGTATGCTGAGCATGGCGTGTGCCAGCGTCGCCTCCAGTTTGTCGAAGCACGGCTCACCTAGTCCGCTGGGGCAATTTCTGATCACACACGTCACGGTGCCGCCAATACTGTCCTCCTTCTCCTTGTAGTCTGCAACGAGCTTCTCCATGCGCCTGTTGACCTCATCGTTGGGACATCGCACAGGCAGGAACTGGTCGACTTGCTCGCGGGTAATCACGTCGATGGCCTTGAGGTACTCGGGGTTTGTGGCGCATGTGGGATGCTCGGGTGTGGGTGGGAAGAGGAACTCGTTGCCTATCGAGTTTGTGAAGGCGACAATCTCGACGCCATAGGCCTCGCGGAGGTATTTCTCTGCTATTGCGCCCGCAGCAACTCGTCCTGCACTCCTTCAGCATGTTGCTCCTTGTCAATCTGCGGTGCACTACGGGGTACGTACCAATTGTCTCCCTCGCACTGCTCCTTCCGCCGCCACTGCTCGCTTTGACTCCGTACTTCTCCAAGTACGTCCAATCCGCATGGCTCGGTCTCGGGTAAACATCCATTGTCTGATTGCCATAGTCCTGCTTCCTCTGGTTCTCATTCATGACTTTCATGCCAATCGGGGTGCCCAGCGTAATGCCAAACTCGGTTCCAGACTGAATCTCCACCTTGTCCTTCTCGTTGCGCGGCGTCGTGATGGCGCTCTGTCCCGGCCGTCGTCGCGTCATCTGCGGCTGGATATCTGCCTCGGTGAGGGCCATGCCCGGCGGGCAGCCGTCGACAATGCATCCCACCGACAGGCAGTGGGACTCGCCGTAGCTGTGCGTGATGTCAGTCAATGGCGCGGTGTGAAAGGCTGGAGTACAATGGCGCACGTTGTGACTTTGAAATGGTTGCCAAAGGTCGACATAGCTGTGGTTTGACGTTTGGTGCGGGTCGAGGAGTCACTGACTAGTCGATTATTTTATTTATGAGGGCAGGGTTATCGCAGCGTCACTGGCTGCGTGGGCTGACTGGGGCGCATTCTTCGGCGCCGAACTCGGTGACAAGGATTGCCGCAGGGTCCATGGCGGGGTCGATGCCATCACCAAGCGAAAATGTAGAGCTTTCCGTCTCCTCCAATACACAATGCAGCCTTTTGATACAAAATGGCACTTCCAGTAATTGTGTCGTTGGAGTCTATGCCACATTTACGGGAGGGTTCAGGGCCGGAAGTTCAATTTTGTGCCCCTACCACTGTAATTCCTCTGGAGCATGACGTAGGATATGTATGAATATGTATTTTACAAAAGAGACATTAAAGATGTATTGTGCCTATCTTTGGGTATCTGTAATTGAAGGAAGGGAATAGAATTAGCTTGAGTGCTTCCGCCCAGCCTCCACCAACACGCTCGCTGTCCCAGCTCTCTCCTCATACAACCGCCGTAGGTCGTCCACAGAGGTCTTCTTCATGTTCAGCCTGCGAGGAACATCAGGCGGTGCGAGGCTTTGCTCTTTCTTGGAAGTCTCGAAAGATGGCATTCGTTGCAACAACGACGGCGACGGAGTCCTTGGCTTCGGAGCAGGTACTGGAAGCGATGTCGATTTGGATGGGGGGCGGTTAGGGGTGGGGTTCGTTGGAAAGACCGGACGTGCCAGCGTGTTAATTTGTGGGGTGCGATTTGCGCTGGCTGGTAGACTAGGTCGACGAAAGTCATTGAAGGGAGCGGGGAATGCTGTTGAAGGCGCCACGGTGGATGTGGCATTTGTTGGTGATGATCCTTGTGATGTAGTGTACGCGCCAGAGACTGCTTTACGTTTTACAGGTGGTGCTGGTCCTGCCGCTCCGGATTTTGCGATGGAAAGATTAGCCAGACCTGGCAAAGGCATAGCAGACCCCTTTAGCTCGGACGGTCTCAGAGCTCTGGTCTGTACCTCCATCTCTTCTGATGCTTTTCGTGCATGCACTTGCGCAATCGCAGTGTCAGCGTTATCAATCTGCTCTGCTGTCAGGGATTTCCTCTTGGGAAGCTTGAGTTGAGGAGCATAAGAATCGCCAGAACTCGTACCGGATTTCTTCTCGTCGGGGAAGTGTGCACTGGGGTTGGGTTCGTCTCGTCGCGGTGCGAATCCGTCCGTAGTCGCTCCGTATGACACAGGAGAAGCGTCTATGGGACTGTCGGTAACGAGTGTAGAATATCGAGGTGGAACTTCAAGGGGAGGGGCGGGTTTGCGTTTTGTGGCGTTATCGTTTGGAGCCCGTCCCGATGCTATGCCGACACGTGGTGGCAAGGCAGGTGGTATCTCTGCTGGCTTTTCGTTGTCTTGAAGGACGATTCCCGTGGAATGATTCTCGTCCCACGCCCTCCCTTCTTCTGCCCCCTTCACCCGCTCAAGAGGATCTTCCCAGTCACTCTGAGACCGCGGCAACTCCAACGATTCTCTGAAAGCGGCCTCATTCTCACCACAAGCTTCCCGCAACCCATGCGACCATAATTCAATTGCTTCTGTGAATATTCTCCTCACAATAGAGGACATCTTGGCATCTTCAAGTTGATCCGGGCCATGTAACAGAGCGGGAGCGATGCAGACCGCCAAGTTTTCGGCCGTCATCTTGTTCTGTTCTTCCCGGGCTGCGACTGCGTTTAAAGTGGGCAGTAAATGTTTGGTCAAGATCTCACGCGAGATAGCAGGAAGAAATGACCACTCCGAGACGGGTGAGAAGAGCTCCTTGAGTCGCTCTAGGTCAGGGATATCATCAGGGTTGCCGTAGAGCCGTTTCAGCTCACCGTAACACGATTGTGGAAAGATAGGCTGACGGAGGTCTGCATACCAGGCCTTAATGAGTGCGGCAGCCATGAACGCCGAATAGGCATCCCTGGCATCTATTTCGGCGATTATTTCGTCTTGAAGTTCAGCATGCGGGTATGGAGGAAGCTGCAAAAGGGCACCATTGTCCTTCCAGACAATGTATTTCTGGCCCCTGTCGTACGCCTCTTTGAGCACATCTCGGAGCTTGGAGTGTGGTGGTACTCGGAATAGTCCTTCAGCCCCGATGTTTTGCTCTGCCAGAACGAAAGCTGTTGTTTCTCGTAACACTCGCGGTAACCGTGGTGTGCCTTGGCTGCTGATGGGCAGAGGCTGGCGGGCACCAAAAGCTCGGCGGCCGCTTGCGTACGGAGCATAAATGGTTTCGGAAACCCTTCGGTCATAAAGGTAGGTAGAGGGAGGTATCAACAAGTCTTCGATAGGAATGTGAAGCGCAAGGTTGGTCAGGTCAGATGCTGCATGTCGTTAGTGGCAAGCACTTTGGGAGGCTTAGAAACACACCATGTATGATCTTCCTTCTGAACTTTGGGCTGACGATGGTGGAGAAGACTTCGGTGAGGATCCTAACCCACGCCTTCTCGTGCACAATGTATAGCTTTTGTAGTCGCTTGCGCATGGCCCTCGACAAGACATGGTATGCCTGCAAGAACCAGCCCCAGCCAGGCCTATTCTTCTTTGAGGTGGTGGAGCCGTCCGAGTCACCAGCAAAGAATACGACCTCATATTCGAAACCCCTCACCAGCTCGTCCTCCTCGGGGAGCCGCGCTAGCACGTACGGCAGGAGGGAATCGAAATTCTCTTCTTTCGTGTCAGGGAGAGCGGCGGCATTGAGAATATACACAGGTCTATTTTCCTGTGAAGGAATGGGCGACCGAAAGAGTATGGAGGCGGCATACTTGGCGAGCTCTGGAGAGTAGTCCGGCGATTCTTGTCGGGGAGGGACGGCGGAGAGCGACTGCGATGAGCTGCGCAGGCGGCCAGCGATATGGGCGCGTAGACCGCTCATACCTGTATATTAGTACTGGGTTCAAAAGGACGAGGTGTTGCAACGCTCGCGAGCGTTATCAAGACACGTGCGTTTCTTGGAGGGCAGCTGAGGTGGCGGTGCGGAGAGCTTTCATAAGAAGCAGGCGCGACAAGGATGCAGACGAGTAGCACAAGACTGACGTATCAGGGCCAGGGATGTTCGCGTGCGCACGGTCCGTATGCCGCTGGTGTTCATGGCAGGAGCTGAGATTTACCAAACCTTCTCCCATATGACTGCATTGGTTTATCGATTTTCTCCGTTTGGCGTCCAGGTGCACAATGCATTGCGTGTACTCGACTTAGACCTAGGCTACTGTCGCTCAACGTACCCCAGCTCCATCGGCACTGATTCGCTAACAGTTGGGCAGCAGCCACAACAATGGCTTGCAGAGTAAACCTAAAGTACTCTGCAACCAGACAATATACAGGTGTCCAGAATTTCACGTCGTCTACCTTGTGGTAGATTTTGCCACCACAGACTTGATCGAGCACTGCAATCACCCCAATAAACAAAGATTTTAGAAAGCGCCCTTGCAAAGCGAAAAGATATGTGTGATTCGCAGCGTATATCGTACCCATCAGCCGGCGCACCTACGCCAGCTGCCATGCTATTATGCCTGCCAGCCGAAGAATCCAAATTGATATCATGAAGCCATACAAAGATGACATCCAACCCCAAGTCATGTACCAAAGAAAGGCCCACAACGCCGAATAACCAAAGTTCAACAAATCCGAAAACTACGACAAGCGGAACAACAGAAGCATGAAAGTGAAATAGCAAGAACATGCACAACGGAAGACGGGCGTATAGCGAGCAGCAGACGCCTTCCAACGGGTTTGATCACCCTAGGGTAGCAAAACGTACTCTGCATCACTCAGATGCGCTGCCAGCAGAAGCCTCCGACTCAGAGCTGGACGTGATGTCGACGCCTTCGGCACCAAGCCTTTCCAGCTCTTCTGCGATCTCCTCATACCATTTGCCGTGCGCCTTCCGGTCAACTTCACTGACCTTGCCCAGCTGCTCACAGATATCGCCAACGTGCGACACAAATTCTGGAAGCCCAGTGGTAGCGAGGCCTTCGGTAGCTGTGCTTGCGGCTTTGACGCGTTCGCTAGAGCTACTAGCTGACACGCGGTTGAAGATGTGTGTCTTCAAACGCTGGAATAGAACCTTCGTGACAGGATCAGAGACCCGGCCTGCATCGGCTTGCGTAAGGAGGCGTGTGATAGTCGAGGCAAGCTGGGCGCGAGTAGAAGGTGGCATAGCGTGTGACGACTCAAGTAGCGATGAGATCTTGGAAGGCGTAGCGGGATCCTTCAGATAGCCATCTTTGAGCGTTTCCCACATACGATTTGCTTCGTTCTTCCACTGAGAACGAACGTCACGCTTAAGAAGGTTCTTCGCCGTTAGCAAGATGCCACCAATCGTCGTGATGCGAAGAGCCTCTGCGCGGATGCGGGCAATGCGGGCTCGATCCAGCTCCAGCGTTTCGGGTAGTTCGGAATCTCTCAGTGGAGCGGTAGCTATAGCGAGGTCGATCAAGCCACGAGCGTAGATCTTCTGAGGTGTAGGTCGGTTCATGGGTAGCGATTCGCTCCATGGGTCCCGTCTGTCAGCTTCTGTGTGCATGTTGACAGCGGCACTTCTCCACCAACGTCGGGTCCTTTTTAGCGTGATTTTGCCCTGCTCTAAATCTTCAGCGAATTCCCGCTGTTCGTACGATGGAGCTTCCTTGATCAAAACTGGAGCTGATTGCATAAGCAGGAAGTTGGAGTAGTCCAAAGAAAGGAGATCGATGATATGAAGAAGCTCAAAAAGTTTCTCGATCATCTCAGGCAAGGTCCCTTCTTCTTGCAATTTGTCTGCTAATGCCTTGACCTCAGCATCACGAAAAGGAGCGCAGAGTTTGGGGAGAATATTCGCCATGAAAGTGAAGAACTTTGCGTAGGAGAACATTCCTTGACTAGACTGTTGGCTGATGAGGTCGGCATCCAAGGTTTCGGAGATCAAGGTGTGCATGGTGTTGCCCGGCTTGAGGAGACGCAAAAGCTTTGCGCGTATATTTTCCGCCATGGCCGCTGTCCAAACCGTTCCTTCTCCATGTTCGATGCCCTGGCGCATGGCATCGCAGAGTTCGCGGTTCAGGGCGTCGCGGAGGTCAGCAGTTGGCGATGCGTCGATGCGGTATTCCTTGTCGATGGACAGCTCATGGACGAGGATCCTGTTCGTGGGAATCGAGGTGAAGAGTTTGGAAAGAGATTGAGCCTGGTGGCCCTCGGAGGCCTGGGTAGCATCCGACTCCGCCAGCTGGGATGCCGCTTGCGCCTGTACCGCTGCCTGCTCCTCAGAGATGGGAGACGCTGGCGTGGGTGAAGCCACACGTGGACGTGCAACTTCACCGCTGGGACCTTTCTTAGGTCGCGCCCGCCGGGACTCACGGATAGCTTTCCTGATCAGTTGCAAGGCACGATCAGGGCCTGCGAGACGCTTTATTTTGCTCAGCAAGATTGCCTGGTTGTCGCGTATGCCACTCTTGTATTCCTCAGCCACAACTTCTACCGTCTGGTCCTTCACACTTTGCCAGATCGCATCAAGGCTTACGAAAGATGCTACCATGGTCTCGATGAGCGCAGATGAGTCGCGTGCCTTCCACTGGTTGAAAGCAGTCATGAATGCGCCGTGCGCAAGTGCAACGGTCTCGAGACGTGTGGGTGAAGGAGTGTAGTAGTTGAACGTTGTCAATTTGCTGAGCGCAGCTTCGAAGGCCATGATGAGCTCTTTGGCTTTTTGGATAAGATCCTGTTCCTGGTCACCGTCGCGACTGAGGACTTGGGCAGGGTGTCCAAGGATCAAGAAGGCGGCCAGGAAGGTTCGCACGGACGATTTGCGGGAAGCCGCATCTTCTCCAAACAGTAGGCCGAACAGATTCATTATCTGTTCCGTGGCTGCCAGGACCTTCTGCTCGTTCAGCAAAGCTGTGACCTCCTCAAATCCATGAGCGTGGACCTTGTCGATGGAAAGACCAAATGCTAGCCATGCATCAACAATGTTCTTCCTAGCTCTGGCTCTCCAGGCTGACTGAATACGCTTCGCAGCCTCTTCAGGACTGACCGCACGAGGCATTATAGGCTTTTTCGCATCGGCCGGGGGCGAGCTGGCGGTCCTTGGCCTGCGGGTGTTGCGTTTATACTCCAATCTTCTCTTCTCGGCTTCAGCAAGCCTGTCTTCCATTTCCTGGCGTGTTCTCCGTTCTTCAGCGGCTTTGCGCTCCTTCATGTCTTCTGCGACTTTCTTTGCGCGGCGCACTTCTTCGGCGCATGCTGCAGCCACCTGTGCCAAATGGCGTTCGCGAGCTTGTTGGGCTGCCAACGCCTTCTCTTCAATGTTAGAGTTGCGAGGCGCGGCCTTTGCCAGCGCAGCTCTCAATCGGACCTGCTCAGCGTGGGCTGCTCGATCTGCCAGTCTAGCCTTGCGGGTCTCAAGGATGGAGGCACGTCGCAGATGCTGGGCTATGTGGTGGCTCTGGCAAGCGTTGCGGAAGGAGCGAGTGGATGTGTGAGACTGTGTGGAGGATATTGAGTTGCGACGAGACGAGGTCGCTGACGACTTCCGGCGGGTGGTCGACGGGCGATAGAAGCGGGCAGCAATGCGCGGGGGTGGAGAGAATGGCAGGCTGCTTTCGGCTCCATCTGAGAGGATCATCTCGGCCTCTTCTGGTATGTCGTCGTTGGGAGGCATCTGCACATCGCTCAGGTCGAGCTCGGGGTCGGAGAAGGAGGCGTCCATAGCGCGCATGTGGATGTAGCCTCGTGGTGCTCAGCGGGCAGGCGGTCGAGTGTCGCGAGCGTGTCGGGTGGCTGCTGGCGCAGCAGTTCCGTGGATAATCTGGGCGTGAAACAAAGCACGGCCGCGGCACGTCACGGAGGGTTGTCTGCGTCCGCAAGCGGTCGCGAAAGTGAGAGGCGTGAAACGACGGCAGCGGAAGAATACGAAAGCGAGGGGCAGGATCGAGAAGACTCGTTGCGCTGCATCAGGTAGCAGGAAGAAGAGGGCGAGGGCGGCTGTTGTTGGTGGCTGGGCGAGGGGTCGGCCGGTCATGCCTTCCCAGCGCTCGCGCTGACTGAAGTTGGGCTCGAGCTAGTGTTATGGATGACATGCAGCGAGAACCGCGTCGAAGGGGATCGACAACGCTCCCGCGCAAGCCTCAGCCTTACGCACACGGCCTGTGACGACGCCGCCTGCCTCCGCCCCACGAGTCTCTGCGCAGAAAATGCTTCTCTCCAGGGCCATGCTGTCGCCTCCAGGTCTCGTGGTAGCTCCGTCACAAGATCTCAGCATTCCTGACGCCACGTACAATAAGCATTGCATCACTCATGCAGGGCATTGTACTCGGCCATCCGTCCGCATCCTACCTTGTCGTTTAGAGACGGGACCGCAAAGTCTCTCTGCTTCGCTAGAGCTACTGCCTCCTAGCAGCACCTCACTAGACGACCTGTAATAGATTGAAGGACGCAGGCGAGAGTCGATAAGGCATCCGTGCACCCATGATTCGCTCACGTCACGTGAATCCCAGCCAACAATGGACCCGTGCACCCACCCACGGACTTTCAAATGGAATCAGTATCCGGCCCCAATCCTGTACACGCATTATAGGTCGAGTTACTCGAGGGTACATCGTCTTCCTCTCGGCTTCCAATGCCCGCAAAATCTATGTTGACACGACGGGCCCTGTCCGTATCCCAATTAGACGAACCCCCCTGTGCTGGCAAGATAAATACAGCGTAGCAATGCCATTCACGCGAGCAGCTTCGTACCCCCAGCCTCCCGCTCCTATATGTTCCATCCGGTATCACGGAACACAAAAGAGATAGTATGTCTAGTTCGGTAAAGAGGAATAATCTCGGCCACAACTAAAGGTAATTACCCAAATGCTATGGTCCTGGTATAGATTACTATTGCGAACGGCCCTAGATGCACCAGATCTCACGCTCTGGAGTAGAACCTAGGTCCGCGGGTACTGCGATATCTCGTAACTGACGATAGGAACTGATACAACCTTAGTCATCCAGTCTAATGGCGCATGCAGGCACATCAAGATGAACCAACTGAATCGCAGCTGGCTTTCCAATGTTCAGTAAATGCGCTCGTTTGCAGTGTTTGCCATGCCATGCCATGCCCCAGGCTTCTGGCGTTGCGTGTTCACCTCATTACCACTGATAGTCTATCATACTACAAAGCAACCTGCTTCACTGATCTTGGATAACAAACGCTCTAGCGGGGTCTTGCCAACAAAGACTCCAAATTCCCTCGGTCCCCGTTACTTCCCCACAAAATCGCACCCTCGCTTGCCGCAATGATCCCCCAGCTTGCCAATTCGGGCCGTTCGGTCTTCATTGCTACTTCAATTCTGGTCGCTGCCACGACGACCGCTTTTGGACTTCGCGTTTGGGCTAGACTGCTAATCAAAGCCTGGGGCAACGACGATTGGCTTATGCTAGTTGGTCGGTAAGTAATCTCACAACACGCGTTACACTTCCGAGAATCAAGGCTTCTCTTCTTAGCGCAACCAATCGTCACTCCATTCACGCGTATCGGCAGCTACTACTCCCACGACCTGGCGGAAGAAGGTAGTAGCCTTACAATTGCAGAATACGAGAATAGTCTCAGATGGCACTTCTTCGTCGGCCTGCTATATACAGTGAATACCACCATTGTGAAGTTCTCGATCTGCTGCAAGTTTCTAGTGTTCCTCAAATTATATAAACTTGCTAAAGAGAGCCGCAGCGCGTCCATTGCTACGATTGCTCGAGTACCATTTCTCTACAGGTATCAAGACCCCGATGACTTACTCGCCAAGCTCCCCCCTATCGCCGTTTTATCAAACCTCAAGATCATGCTGGGTATCTTAGCCGCATGCATAGCGACTATGCAAACATTACTACGATACTTCCCTTGTCTGGGTGCTGAAATAGTATCGTATGGAAGCGAAGGAACCCCACACAAGGTCTACAAGATACGTGACCTGGGTACGGAAAGCGGCATACAAGGGTATCAGGATGATTTAGACAGACTTGATAGTCGAGCCTTCATGCTGCCTCAGCGTCCACCTGGTGCCCAGGTCAGACGAGCCAGCCGAGTACTTCTATGTATGCAGACAGGATGGAATAGTAGCGGATAGATAGCTTGGTGCTTGCTACTCCGCTCTTGGGACTGTACTAACGTCTTTCCGTAGGTTGGACGCATCTTCGAGGTTGGATGATCGATATCGGAATTGGATTTGAAGCAGCGCCGTCCTGCAAGACAATCCGTAGCAGAAGGCTGCAAACTATATGCATAGCCGCATAATAATAGTATAAGCAGTACAGAACGCTGTCTTTCTCTCACGTCGCTCGTGATCATCGTTCGTAAAAATTCATGGCGAAATTGACAGACAGCGTCTCGCCAGTACTAATTATCAGGTAGGCTATCAGAACAACACGCACACATGTCCGTTGCAAGCCGGTGCCATAGTACGCAATTGGTGACAACGAAGTCATGAGTCCGCATACGCCAATTCTTGACAATCTCAGAACGAATCTGCTGCTCATCTGCATCGTCCCCATATCTCACCGAAGCAAAAAGAAAACAGACACCACTCCACATTCTACTTGTTCTCCAACGTACCACATCACCACTGGTGAAAGAAGAAAAGAATTCAAAGACAAAAAGATCAAATCACTCCCCCGCGTGGGCTCGAACCACGAACCTCCTGATCGCCGAACCGAATTGGTTTAACAGTCAGACGCGCTAGCCAATTGCGCCACGGAGGATGTTGCTGCTGTTGCAGCTGTGGCAATTTGACTGATTGATGGTATTGCCAGCAAAAAGGAATACTATATACCCAACAAAATTTCCTGTGTGAAGGTGACGATGGGGACAGGGAACGGATTTGATGGGTGGGTGAGAAATTTGTGAGCGGGTGCAGGGATGATGCGGGGATGGTGTGGGAAGGATCCATGATTGGCGGCGGTAGCGAGGGGGTTGGTGCTTCGTACACCAGACAACGATGGCCTCTAGGGCGTCATCTCGTACACCTTTCTGGCACAAAGATCCAAAAATTGTAATTGAAAAGTCAACTCTGAAAATGGTATGTTCGTGACCACGGTGAATGCGGTCTGCATGCTGCTGCCGTGGATCCCGACGAGTTTGCTCGTTTAGCTTGCGCAGCAGTAATTATTCGCCGGGCACCAATCAGATTTGTACAGAGGAAAGTGAGAACGGAGACGGCACGTTTGCTGTGATTCGGCGTGACACTGCATCGCACGCTGTTCACCGCGGCCTGTGCAAAGGAGGCCGGCTTCGCGATCTATTTGTCGTGCAGTATCTAGGCCAGAGCAGTCACGCGAGAACCTACGGTCCTGACTCGCAGAGATCGCGATGCTGCTGTGGGGTCAGGGCGATCATAAGGCACATCAAACTCAAGCGCGGAGTTGCTTGCGGGTACTCTACAGCCTCCCAGCTACCGATCACTGGCAAAGAGTAAGCATCTTGGTAGGTACATGAGATGAGATATGCACAACTAGCATTAAAGTAAAGAGCACCTTTCGAAAAACGTGATATGGCGTCAATTCTTGCCAGAATGTCCGAATCAAGCCCGTAAATTAGATACCCACCTCTGTCTGCATGAAGACGCCATTCTGAAAGTCCACAACGACTGCCTTATCGATAATCGGCCCTGCTGCTTTTTTGAAAGCATCGTGTGCAGGGTCCTGGTTGACGTAGTAGTCGCGGTCTTCGTTGGAAAAGAATTGCACAACGAAAGCGTGACTCAAGCCGTCCTACATTGTACAGTTATCAGCTTGTGGTATTCTTCTAAATCGGAACATATCATAGTACCTGGAGGCCCTCGGGTGAGTTATCCTTTCCACCAGTTATGGACTTGATATACGGTGCTCCAGTGGTAGGGTGGATGCATGACTTTTGGAGGCTGAGCATTTGCAGGGTGACCTGTGCACGGAGTCAACGATGCGGCGTTGCTTCAGATGCAAGGTCTTTTTACATCTTTCAGATCCGCGGGTGCTACACCGTCTTTGAATTTGAAGAGGACGATATGCGTCGTTAGCTGTGTGAGCGCGGCCTGCGGACTCTTCTTGAGCGACGACGTAGCTAGGATAGAGGCGAAGGACCCTTCATGCGCCTGTGCGAGCAGAAAGATGATGAGGACAAGCAGGCACAATGCAGCGCCCATCAGGGAGCGGTTCCTGAAAATCATGGCTGCGGGCAACTGTACGATTCCTCCATCTGAGATGCGATATGTCCTACAACAGCTTCGCGCGTGAACGGCCTGCTTCACATTAGCCAAAGTCCTTCCAGCGTGCTTCCGCCTCTCTATCGGAATCTGGCTCAAACAACACACGTGCGAGCCTAACCCGAAGCGGCACGCCATACCTCGGTTGACGAGACGAGCTCCAGGGAGCTTGGGCCGCATCCTTCCACGAAAAACAGGAATGACGTCGCTCGAAAGACCGGCCTCGTCAGTGCCATGCAATTTCATCATGGACATTAGTCTACGGACTCGCGCAGCGGTACGCACAGATGCACCTAAGCCGCATCGGTGACGCTGTTGCGGGCTGCAAACCTGGCTGCCATTGGAAGCGCGTTGTTATGGGCTTGGCACCACCAATGCCATAGTTATGACGTAACGATCCAATGGGGTCAGGTGAAGGGCCGTCGCGCTTGGGGGGTACAAAAGCTGGGCGTGTTCCTTGTCCCTCGACCTCTCTACTCCATACTCCATCACCAATACCAACCTTTCCGAATACTCATCACATCCCAACCCATCACAATGGCCACTCTTCACTGTAAGCTGCTCTCTGTCCTTTCCGCAATGCTTGCCCGCCCGTAAATCAAGCATCGCGAGCGCCCTCCATCGCCGATCGCGCGAGCGTTGCCACGAATGCAGCCCCAACACGCATCACCAACAGCCTCAGAACCATGTCTAACGCTTCTTCCATCAGACCTCCCCCCAGTTAAGCCCTCGGCCATCGCCCTCGGCACCGCCTTCAACCACGCCATCTCGCTCGCCGTCCTCGGCCCCGTCTTCGGTGACTCGTACCGTCGCGCCCAGGCTGCCAACTCCAAGGAGGAGTTCTTCCACTCCAAGGAGGCTGCCACCGCCGCCGCCTCGTGGGGATCTTCCCTCGCTGGCTCCGCCATCCAGGCCTACGGTGTTGGTGCTCTGATCAACGCTACCGGCACCCTCACCTACAAGGGCGCTGCTTACCTCGGTTCCCTCATCTTCTTCGCTTCCGCTGCTCCCTCGGTATGTTCTCACCCTTCACGATGGCAGACAGAGGAACCTTTGCTAAAGATAACCAGGTCGTCTCCCAGGTCCTCACCGAGAAGCGTCCCCTTGATACCATTGCCGTCGGTGCCCTGGCCCGCGTCTTCGAGACCGTCGGTCTCTCCCTCTTCCTCACCTACTGGGGAACCAGGACCAACCCCTTCGACTAAGCGTCTTCTCCCTTAATAGCGGTGCGGATTAGTTTCCTTCCATAGGCATAGGTTGAAATGCCTGTTTGTACTGCGGCTACGATGAGATTATGAAGAGCCTTATGAGGCCTGTCCAAGCATGATTGTAACAATATCACTCAAATGAAATGCATAATCCAACGCCCTCTTGCTACGTGTGATGTTGATTGCATGTGCTTTTTCAGTCCCCAAATACCATCGCATCGTGTTCCCCCCGAACAGTATTAGCGGCTATTGATGGTTGTTGTTGTGTCTCGGAACACGATAGCCTATGTAGTCCGGGATGAATGGCGCAATTGTGCATTTCTACTGTAATGAAAGAGTCAGGTTCCTGATTTTATCTTCAAATTGGTCATAAGAAATCTGATGGTGCCTGGTGATCTTCTACTTGCTTATGACTCAGGTATAGGTCCTCGAGATGGCGGCACTTAGAACGTGGTTCATGTCCGGTTCGAGAATACATTCTCGACCTAAAGGTGTCAGAATGCCATGTGAAACATTTGTGCAAGTATGTACCAAGGTGTCAACCTGTTCAGAATACACGAAACATATGCAGAGTGTATGGGAGGTTGGGAATCGAATGGTAGTCAATGACTCCTTGTGTCTTTCCAGCCCGCCCATCATGCAGTAGAACATACCGTCGCACTTTGGGCCTGTTGTGGGTCTGGCAGAATACGTGCCGGAGTGCTCGACAGAAGTCTTGGAACTTCAGCAAGGCGTTCTCCATATTTTCAACAAAGACCTCGTGCGCCTTTAGCCAGAAAGTGTAGTGCTCGCGAAAACACAAGTCGACTGTTTTGATCAATCTCATCACCTGTAGGATACCAACGGCCCCATCATATTGGCTTCTTGAATGTAATGCCCGGAAAGATGTCGTTATAGGCCTTGGAAAAGAGAGTGTTATCTTGGGTGTCCAGGAAAGGTTCGTCCGGGTAAGATGGGCCAGGGCTTCGACACTTGCTGCAACATCGTATCGCTGAAGAATAGCTCTGGTGTACTCTATCGTGCGCTTGAGGGGACAGGAGTTGTGCTTGGAGTGCTTTGCTAAGAGAAATTTGTCGGGCTTCGGTATGCTAAACAAGTTGAAATGCGCGGGCTGAGCCACATCCCTCTGCACATTGGACGTCCTATATGAGTTGTGAAGCGCCTTCGCATCCTCATCCAGACGTAGCTCCGCCACAATATTATGCAAGACCTCAACATTCAGTCCGAGCAGCAGTGATGGGCGGCATTCATCTTCACCAGGTGCTATGCGGCCGCTGGTCTTCGTCACCATCGTTGCGTCGTCAACTGCAGAGGCTGTGCCCGTGGTTGGAGTGAGGTTGGAATCGTGAGACAGCTGCGTGCCGTCACCATCGTGGCAGCGTAAATGGCGAGTGTCGCGGTGGGGAGAGAGTGAGGCGAGAGAGAAAAAGTTGAGAGAATATTGAGCTTGACAGCGCCTTCCATCTTCGTGGGCCGTCACGTCATGGCACCCCAAATGGCAACGACTGCCATCCCAAGGCAGGAGCTCAGGCTCAGGAAATTCAACAACCTAGTCTAGGCGACCTCATCATGTCATTTTGTACACAAGAATATTCGTTGTGTATAGGAGCAGTGATGGAAAGCTGTTCGGCGGTCTAGACGAGCTCATGGCAGCGATTCCACGATTGGCCTGTCAATGAATCGAGACTGTAAAGCGACGTTTGGCCCGATAGTTGAGGGAATTTAAATGTTCATTCTATCAGTGAATCCGAGAATTAAAGACATAAGAAACTTAGCACCTTCACGACGCCAGTTTCTCTTCGAAAAGAAACAAACACATGCAGCCAACCACAACCCAGACTCTTGGAGTCCTCTCACATAACCTATTGAAACCATCCAAACTTCCGACCTCAAACACCCCACCCGACCATCCCTTCCTCCAAACTAAATCATCCCCCGTCCCCCCCTCCAACCCCAAACCAAACCGGGATCCTCCCTTACCCTATGCCCCCACCCCTCCCTCACCGCGTTCAACCCCTCACTCAACTCCCTCACCCCATGCACCACCCACCTCAGCTCCCTGCCCTCCACAGTCGCCGGCGGCGTCCTGCTCTTCACCGCCTCCAGCAGCGGAACCAGCCTCGATAGGTTTGGCGGGAGGTTGTAGCGCCACGAGGCTTCGACCCAGGTGGTGACTGCAGCGCGGTCGGTCAGGAAGGTGCTGAGGGAGGTGAGCCAGGGGTATTGTTGTGAGGATGATGATGGTGATGATTGCAATTGCTGGGAAGAGGAGTTCAAGGGAGGTGTGAGGGCGCGAGTGAGGTGAATGGGCCAGCAGAGGGAGGCGTAGCGGAGAAAGGGGAGCGCGGCGTCCCATTGGGGTTGGCATGGTGGGCGTGCCGAGGAGGCGGGTACGTTCGATGGTCCTGGGGCTGCGTGGCGGTGTTCTGATATTGAGGGGGCGGATGATATGGACTTGTATCCGCTGTCGCCGGAATTGATGGTCCGCATGCTTGTGGCACTGCTCTGTGCCTGGGATGACAGCAGAAGCTGAGATACATGTGGGTTATTGGGTCCGAGCGGTCGTTTTGGGATGTCGAAAGCGAGAAACGAGATGCAGACAGCTGCTAGATGTGCGTGTGCGAGGTTCTCGTCCTGGAGGCTGAATGAACTCGTATCAGGGCTGACAGCCTGGAGATACTCTCTGACAGAATTATGTGCAAAGGTGACATTGCAAGGTGTGACTTCGACCAAGTCGCAGGTTAAAAGTGGAATAGCTTCGTTGGTGGTGAAGCTGGGTCCAAATTCGATAGTACGCTGGCCCGGACTAACGTTGATAGCTTTCTGGAAACCCGGCATACACGGCCGGTGGATCCCTAGCGCAAGCAGTCGGAAAACGCCGACCACAAAGCGCCTCTCTCCCTCTGGTCTGAATTCGAGTAAAGCCAAGATATGGGCGTAGATTGCCTCTAGTCCGTCTAGCTCATGAGGCTTCTCAAGCTTCGCGCGGCGTTCGTCGGGAGATAGGACTGGCGATCGTAGGTATTTGAGAAGGCAACTGGCCCAGAGGAAATTGCCTTTGCATGTTTGTGCAATAGCTGTGATCAACGATCTGTCCATGGATATGCCAAAATAGCCTTGGTCGGCAAGCTCGTGAAGGTTTTCGATAATGTAGGCTTCCACGTCGTGCTTGTTGCTGCCACTACCAAGTGATATTACATGAGGTGCATCCGATGCCCATTTGTGGTACTCATTGGGAATCCTGACGTGTGGCCGACCGAAAAGAACCACACGCGTATCGGACTTTCGGCAAAGCGTGGGAATGTATCGGAGCAACAGTTCAACATCACTGCACTCGTCGATGCCGTCAATGACAAGAAAGGTTGGATGTTGGCGAAGAAGCAGCGCAAGGGTTGAAAGAACGTCGTCAGGAGTTGCTTTTTCGTGAGTGGGCGTTTTGCGTACGAGCAAGGATACGGCATCTAGAGTAGAACGATCATGACGATGTGTATAGATAAGCTGGTCTGTAAGCGCTCTCAATGCGTCGTCAGGGTGAATACAGTAAGAGTGAGCTGCGCTGAAATGATAGAAGGCAGTGGAAGGTGATTCGGTCTCGTCATCGATGCTCAAATTGCCTGCTTCGCTGCTGAGGTCGTCAACAACAATACCAGAGAGGTAGCTTTTTCCGAAGCCTGATTCAGCTGATCATTTGTCAGCTCTTCATTCAATTCGACTATTGGGTCTTTTTGCAGCCCAGTGGTAATGCTCTTTGCTGGGCAGTAGATTGTAGCACAGAGGCCGAAGAACAAACTCGAGTTTTTTCTGCAGCGACCACTACCATTCAAGCTTTTTAGCGAAGAAGGGCCAGGAAGTGCCATGTAAGATTTTATTTCCATAGGCAATTTGCTCTATTACGAGTGCTTAAAGTCGGGGTCTGGCACTTTATGGCTCTCTATGAAGAAGAGTACCTGTCACCAAGGAGTTTGAGTTGTATCTTCGGCCACTATGTGTTCTGAGATTAAAATGTGGGGGTTAAACATTACCTTGTACGAATAAGACTCTATGTTGCCAATGATTTTCAAGGCGATCCGTGTCATTCGCAGACTCGTCGTCAAAAGGAATGTTTCTCCACCGACAGTACTTTTCGTTGTCGAGGAACCATGCGCAAGTGTTGGGATGTCGTTGCCTGAGCCGGTGTTCGTAGATATCTCGGTAGGAGCAATTGCTATCCAGCCACGTCTTGATTCGGTCGATTCTTCTCACTGCACAGCATCAGTACCAATGCCTTGTACACGCACGCCAACAACAAACTTCGTTTCGCCATCCTCTGCAAACCAAGTTCCTCACCCTCCTGCGCCTGACTTTGCTTGTCAAGAAACTCCCTGCACTCGGCGCGGTACTTTTCTGTTATCGCGTACTCTGTCTCCGTACCTCCAAGTTCTTTTTCCAGCCATTCTTTGTTCCTCACAAGTCTTGCCTCAAGCTGCGCGAAACGGGAGTCGAGCGGCCGCCACAGGTATGTAGGCGAAAACAAGCGATTATGGCGTAATGGGTCCCCTGCAAACTGTTACTTGAGAAATTACATTCCTGCCTGACTGCTGGGTCGACGCAAAAACTTGCCAGCAAGTCGCAATAAATTGTGCGACTTTTGCAATGTGAAACCCTTGTTCACGTGGGCCAATTATTGGTCGTCCATTTTGCGTCCACGCCGCTGAAAGCATGCCCGATAGGGCTAATGCACACCGGATTATTTTGGGATGGGAATTACGAAGGGCATGCCGAGGAGAAATTTGTACGTAAACATCACATACCGTGGGAGGTTCTGGTGAGCATCTCCTGGAGTTCTCGAAGAAATTGCGCCACATCTGTAACCACATGCAATACCGGCTCGAAATATGTCTCGCTCCCACGCCGCTCCTCAAGATCTAGCGGTCTTGTGCGAGCTGCAAGCAGCTGTTTGTAGTCGGGCATCAGATGCGTTACGCTCTCAAGCAGTTCTGTGACCTTTTCAAACACTATAACGTAGGTGCCCGCCGCCTAATGCAAGTCAGTTTTTGAATGGGTCAAGTCGCGGAATGGAGAACCTTGAAGACCGCACATATCAAACCCCAAAAGTTGCAATGCCAAGCTGAGCTGCTTGGGATAGCAGCCGCGATGAGGTCAAAGAAGATGTCCATTCTACGAGCAAAAGCGAGGTACTTCTCTTCACATATTGTCAGAGTACCTCTATGATTCTTGCTCCTTCTGCTTGCTGCACTCAGGTCCTCTGCTAATAAGGCAAGGCTGGCACAAGGCAGGGTGTATGGAGCGTTCGTAGACAGAGTCATCTCGAGTGTTCCAAGAGTTCTGGTCAGGTGTGTATGGTCGATTCTGATCCGTAGGTCAGCCTGACCTAGTTCGATGCGAAGAGCTACTGACGTTTGATCTTCCATTGTCATATCCATGGCTGCAATCTCAGCCTGCCTCGACACCGCCTGGATGTAACTTGACCTTGTGTTTTCGAACCAGATCGTATTCGATTTAGAGGATGCATTGACACGCATTCAGTAATGAGCCCAGAATCGAAGTCCATGGGATGACGGAAAGGTCACAAGCATAATATTGTGGGACGGAGAGCTTCACAATCAGAGCTGAAAAGAGCCATGTCGTGATTTTGGCGGGTTGCATGCAACCACACCAACCGCACAGACGGATACCGAAGAGCAATTTGACGTGGGGCGAGTGGAAGCGGGAGGTGAACGGGACGATAAGCGGGGGATGTACCTGCAGGCTGGCGAAGAAAGCTGAGTGAGTTGATGTAAAACGGCTTAGCAACCACAAGAAAGCAGCATGGGGGCGCCAAGCCATTCCCGCAGAAGCGTGGGTGTGAACAGGGTATGGGCCGAATCGGAGAGCCTCATTACGCGGATTGACACGCTCTGAACCGGCCCGGCGGAACACCTGTCGAACGCAAAAGCAAGCGTGCACTGGGCGACGGCGCCGTGTCAAGTTTTCGAGCAGGGCCGCGGACGCGCACGAGCAATGATGAAAGGTATCTTGGGTATCTTCTTCTCTCCAACCTGCGGCAGCTCCGCTTTAGCCAACGTTGCCGCTCTATAATACAATAGATATTAAAATACCGCGTGTACAGAAGACTGCAAGCCATGCAGCGGAAAGTCCTTCGTCTCGATCTCTTCAGATTGTCTGCGGCTGACCCAACCGCAGGGCAAGCAATGCGCGAACGTCGGTGACATACTGCAGGCCTTCCAGGAGCGGGATCAAATGCAGGAGGCCATGATCTGTAGGGTCATTGATCCAGCCTTCAATGGGAATGGCATTGTCTATTGTCGATCGTTAGCCCACATTGCTCGGAGTGTCCGCGTGAAGCGCCTCACCTTCGTGGAAGACGTAGCACATGGGGCTGTTATCAACGATCATGACCCTGCTGAGGTCAGGCTCAACTTGGGCCAGATCCTTGATGTAAGCCCCATTCCGAAAGGTGCAATGCTGCCGGTAGTACCTTCCCGCAAAGTACTTGCGCTCCGTCTCCAACCAGTCGATAACTGGGTCGGCGTACTCCTGCACAGACGCCGTGAAGATTACTAAGTTGTACCATTTACACACCTGTGACGAGCTGAGTTAGCGGGCGTCGCCTACCTCAAAGTTGTATATTACCTTTTTCAGAAATTCATCGCAATGTGGTCGTTTATGGACATAATACAAGATAGGGACCTGCGGGCCTATGATTTGGCCGCCCGCTCCTACTGGCTGTTGGAGCTTCACCTCGACCATGTGGCCCGTTGTATAGCGCCCGCCCTTGGCCATGCTGTGGATCAGTGTTTCATCGAGATCTAGAATCAACGTTTTCTGGTGCGGGCCGACCGAAGCCGTATTCGCGGCAGAATACGACGGCTGGCGCCGCGGGACCAGGGGTCGCGGGGGTTGTGGCGCTCGAGGAAACTTTGTCAGTTGTTTGGAGGTTATGGGACCAGTTGGGGACTTGAGGGCGTTGGCAGCTTCGGTCGACACCTGGGTCAACCCACCCTTCGCGCTCGTCTTCTTCGCTGCCTTGCGCTGTCGCAGCGCCTCATCATTGTGTAGCTTGATACGTATCTGCCTCTTCGCGGGTGCAATCTCTTCGCCGGCGGAGGAGGCAGTCGATTTCGATCGCGTGTGGCGGGAGGGCGCATCATAGTCACCGTCTCTCGAGAATGGTCGCTCGCTCTCCATCTCTGAATCAGATGAGATTGCTGTCGACGTCGAGATGACCGAAGGCGAACGCTTGGGGGGCTTCTTGACCTTCTGCGTCGCGGTGAGGCTTGGTCTTCTGCTCTTGCGCTTCCCCTTCTCCTGCGTGTCAGACGAGTCGGATGCATGCATGGTCGCGGCGGTCCGCTTCTTCCGCCGGGATCTTGTGAAAGGACGGCTAAGGTGGTATAAAGGGGCGATGAGCGAGAAGCGTCCGTCTTCGTAGTGGAAACATGCGACGAGATAATGCCCGGTCACAACAATGGGCGTGAGGAGTAGCTTGACGCCACCGACAAATACGTCGGCTACCCTTTGAGGTATCAGCCACCTGTTCGATGTGTGCTTCACAGGATAGGGCTCCTGTGCGTCGTGGATGAGCGGCGTCTTCTCGTCGAAGTCGGGCGTCGTCGCGTCGGTCTGGGTATAACCACCCCCGTCGGCCCGTCTGGCTACCATGTTGTCCGATACGTCTGTCGATGCTATGGGTCCTGCGCCCGCATCATTCGCTTGAACCAGTGCGCGGAGCCGAGGTTGTGCGGTGAAGATGTTGCTCTGGGAAGGCGCGCGTGAACGTGGAGGGCTCGCTGGCGGGGTGCTGCCGATGTGTGCAAGAACGTTCATGCTCCGCTCGCAGCCATCAACAAAGGCTGATGCCCGGCGCGCTCTGGCTGTTCAGGTTCCAGCGCACGCGGCACGTAGGAGCACCGTGTTGCAGGGGCCGGAGGCGTTCTCCCAGCTAGCTCGCTGAGCAGGCAGCCGGCAGTGCGCTCCGAGGGAGCTGCTGGCAGAGCGACGGCCGGGGCCGCGAAGAAGAGCGCGGGACGAGGAGCAAACGACCCGGGGGCCTGTACAAGAGCGGGCGCGATGGCGTTGGGGGGACAGAGGGATGCCGGACGACCCCAAGCAATGACGATGGCAGACGCACCTGCGGTTTTCCGAAAATGGAAACATCGGAATCGGCCACTTGCCCACCCGCCCGACTTTCCAAAGACTCATACGGCTACTTTTGCGCCCACAGCACCGCAACCCGCTCTGCGCTCCTGCGTGCCCGCCCCGCGTGCAGCAAGAATTCCCCGCGAAACAAAGGGTCCTGCGGCCAGCGTGCGCCTGCCTTTGAACCCTGCGCGCCCTCGAATAGCCGCCAATTGCGCCCCGCCTGTAGTGCACCCGCACACGCACAGCGCCTGCCCGCCGCCCACCGTCGAAGCAGCACACGCGCCTGTTCCTGCCCGCGCACTCGGCAAGCATGGCCCAAGGCCCAGTGCAGCTGGCCCCGGGGCTCATATCCTTCCTCAAGTCGCTCAAGACCACCCCCGCCGACCCCTCGGTCGAGCATCTCATATCGTCAGTCACAGCCACAGCGCGCCTCCCCAGCCCAGCAAGCAGCTAACGGCACGCAGCCTCCTCAAGCGACGCCAGATCCGCAATTCGAGGCCATGCGCCATTGCCACGACGGCGCTCATGCTGCGGGTGGTCGGCGAGTTCAAAGGGCGCGACGCCGCGAAGCTCGTGGAGCGCATACGCCAGGTTGGCCGACGGCTGACGGCAGCTCAGCCGCGGGAGGTGGTTGTGGGGAACATCGTACGGCGTGTGCTGGGTCTGGTGCGCGAAGTGCTCGACGACAACACAGGCGGCGACAGCCATACCGGGAGCGATGCCGGCCACCACACTCCCGTGCACCACGACTCCATGACCCGGCCGACCCTCTCTTCGAGCATCTCCACCTTTAGTCCTCTCAGACATGCAGCCGCAGAGCCCATGGACGCGAGCATGGCGTCCGACATGTCCGACTCCTCGGAGCTCAACCGAAGACCACCGCTTCTCACCTCGCATACCTCATACGCTCCCGCTACTTCCGCGCCTCTGGTCAACTCGCTTTTTGGCCTCTTCTCGCAACCGGATGACTCGAACGCCAGCACGCCAACGGGAGCAGCATCCCCGGACGGAAAGAGTGCACACAGCCTGAACCTGGAAAGATTGGCAGACCTCAGCAGGAGTACGAACATCGACCTCAAAAGCGAAGTCATGGACGGCATTCGGGAGCTTCAGGATGAGTTGGAGCAGTCTGACGAGCAGATTGCTGGCGTCGCGCTGGAACATATCCATTCGAACGAGATTATACTCACGCATACTGCGTCAACAACCGTGCAAAAGTTCCTTCTTAGTGCCGCGAAGAAGCGCAAGTTTACCGTAGTCCATGCCGAGACCTACCCGCACGACAACACCGCAACTCACGGTATCCTGCTCACCGGCCGGAAACGAGAAACGCGGCTGGACGAAGATGACGATCCGTGGAAGCCTCTTACTGCTGCTGGCATACCCGTTTACGTTATTCCAGACTCCCATGTCTTCGCCATCATGTCCCGTGTCAACAAAGTCATTTTAGCTACGCACACTGTTTTGGCCAATGGCGGTCTGGTCGCAGCTGCAGGGGCCCACATGATTGCAAAGGCTGCCAAGGAGCATCAAACGCCTGTGGTGGTCCTAAGCGGCGTCTACAAGCTGAGTCCGGTATATCCCTTTGATATCGACGAGCTCATCGAGTATGGAGATGCTGGAAGAGTCGTCCCATACGAGGATGGCGAGTTCGTAGACAAGGTCGACGTAGAGCACCCGCTGTACGACTACGTCCCAGCGGACCTTGTCGACCTCTACATCACCAACCTGTAAGTCTAACCTGTAGCTGGTACCTCGTTCAACCCATGCTGACTATCACAGTGGTGGACACGCACCCTCGTACCTTTACCGGATCGTCGCCGACCATTACCGTACGGAGGATATCACTCTATGAGCGCACGCTCGTTTGTGGGTCGTCTTCACAACAGACGATAGGCTTCAATTCCGGTTTCGTTGTAAGCCTGAGTAGCTGTAGAAAGATCCTTTGAAATCAATGTATACCCATTCTGATGTAGTCCATGCATACACCTTCCGCAACATGGAGCATGCACTCCTGAGTACCCAATTTATTTTCTAGCATACATCAGCGTGCAGTAAAGATGCAAGGCAGCTACAGGTGCCCAGATCAGCAATGAACAATCAGCGTCAGTTACGGTCGGCTGCTGCGATCCGACATTCATGCTTAGTCCCTCAGCCCATCGTACAGGCTCGCGGCTGCACATGCCGACAGAACACGAGAGCCGACTGGGAAACGGACCGACCACTACACCACACCACACCACACTACACTACACTACACCCTACCCTGGCAGCGCAGCCAGCCCCAACTTTCTCGACCCTTGCCCTTCGCCCTCAATACCGCCCCCATGCCCTCCCCGACCCCCGACACCCATCCCTCTTCGCCCTAACCCGCAGGCCCCCAACCTACTGCATCCGGCAACCCGCCACCGGAGATGCAAAACCCGTCGAAAACGGCGGGCTTGTCGCCCTTCTGCTAGCTTCTGCACCAACCAATCATATGACGCGAGCTAGGCTGGTTAGGGATGGTGGGGCGGAGGCAGCGAATCAGAGGCGGAAGGTGAGAAATGGGCATTAGTTGTGTGTGGGCGAGGGCGACGGGCGGAGTGACAGAGGGATATGTGTAGGTAGGGCGACGGGCGACGTGGGTAAAGTATGTAGGAGGCGTGGGAAGGGTCGAACCGGGTGGGCGAATCCCGGGCGGACTTGTCTTGACGATGTGCATGCATTTCGGTACGGGGTCAATTCCAACAGTGCGTACATGCCATACTCCAAATGCTGATGCCCTTCGAAAATGCAAGCCCGTGTGTATGTACATGGTAGGTTACATGATGCGCCATGCCAATGCCTGAATCCCATCATCGCAACGTTCTCATCTGGATCTCATTATCATTATCGTACTCCGGCCTCTCCTCGCCCTCGTCCATCAACCCCCTCTCTTCCTCCCCGCTCCCCCGCTCGTCTTTCTTTGACGCCCCCTTGTGCGTAGCGACATATATTGCGCTGCCCAGAATCAGGCTCGACCCCACGATGCTCAGCGCGCTCGGCGTCGTCCCGAACACCAGCTTGTCAAACGACAGCGCAAACAGCATTTGCACATACACCATGTTGGTCGCGCGGGACGACTTTTCGTACTGCAGACCCGCCGCGAGGAGGAACTGCATGATGAAGCCGCACACGCCGAGGAAGATGAGGTATGCGAAGTCGATCCAGGACTGCGGGAGGAGGAAGCCGACGTCCGGGAGGACAGTCATCATGACGATGCTGACGAGCGTGCACCACGTTGCGAAGTAGTTTACGGAGATGAGGGGATGCGCGCGGCGTCCGATCCAGCGGATCGTGGTGTAGGCACCTGCAGCGCCTATGACGCCGAGCATGGCGATGCCCACTGCGGATGCGCGTTGCGCGGGTGTGACGTTGTCGTAGGAGGAGCCGAAGCCGCGAGTGGGTTCGGTGCCGTTTGTAGGGATGAACTCGACGTCGGAGTCGCCGCTGGCGGGGGGTACGGGATCGTTGTTGCGGGAGAGGGAGGTGAAGAGGGTGACAGGGCGGGCAATGAGGACGACGCCGAAGAGCGAGACGTAGGCTGCAATTTGCTCCATGCGGGTGAAGGGCTCGTTGATGAGGAAGGAGCATGCCCAGCAGGCCAGAGAGGGGGCGAGGAAGGTAATGACGGTGGCATCTGCCAGTGGGAGGTAGAGCAGCGAATCTACGATAGGTCAGTAATAAGTCAATGGAAAGAGTCGATGGCAAGCAAGTAGGCTTTCACATGTACCTGCTCACGAATCGAAGCGTAACGTCGTAAGATGCCGCAGAATATGGAGCCTTTTCAAGTGGTCCACAAAGGGTGCGCAGCGGGAACACAGTATAAACTTACAGTACATGCCAAAGACACCGAAAAAGCCAAAAAGCCCTCTCGCGACTAGCAACCATCTCACTTCTCTGATGCCGAGAGGGAAATCCTTGGTTTGGGCCCACCACATGTACCAACTCGAGCACACGACCGTGATGCCCATTCTCGCGAACAAGATCTGAAATGGATGGTAGCCTTTGCCGTCATTGCCCTCGATCTCTAGCATCCTAGTCGTTACGTTCATGAGAGTGCCAAAGAGCTGAGCAACCAAGACCAGTATTAGTCCAAGATTCCCGACCCAGAACACTTTCAGCTTCTCTTTCAACGTCTTCGCGCGCCGAAATGGGGATCTCGAAGAGCGTCTACGACCATAGCTGACATCCTCTCTACGTCCCAGACGGCCGACGTCTTCGACCAGCAATGACGACGGGTTTGGCGAAGGCGCGCGAATCCCTCCAGTAAAAGTGACAGACAAGGCCTCAGCCGGCTTCGTGCCGGGCTTAACGGAAACTTCGTTCTCGGGCTTGGTGGCCGAGTCTACAAGCTTAGCGGTGCTATTGTTGTCGTTCGCATTGTCGACCGGAGCCTTGGGTGGCGGAACGCTCATGGCGATGCATCGAAATGGCGGTAGCAGCAGGGTTGAAGTGTGAAGTCACAGGCATCAGCAGTATTTGTGGAGCCTACCTGGGGGAGGGGCACAGTACCCACCTGGGGCCAGATGATGACTCAATTGCACCATGTGGATTTTGGGTGCTGGCGGCGTCGGGAAGCGACGAGTAGGCGCGTAAAGCTCCAACTTCGCCCCGAGACTTCCGGGGTGGCGTAGCCTCAAAGAGGCAGGCGGCGGCACGACAGTTCGCAGATCTTTAATACCCATAAGCCGTATGTTTCAGGTGCTTTGAAGGATCAAGTGTTTCGTTGTTCATCTTTGTCGTGGCTCCATAGGTTGTTGTGTGACGTCGATATCTGGTGGGGTACTTCGGATGATGCGCGAACACAGCCGCTACCGAACGACATCCGGTGAGGAGAGTACGATGACAGCCAACAGATGTAGGTTCTCACAAGCCCAACGATCAGGCTTATTGCGATATCAAAGCAAGTCGAATTCAGGCACGCTTTGGCGCCTACGCACGCGGCGATGTTCATCAGCAAGACGATCACAAGGCGCATCATTGGTGCGTTTCAACACCAAGCTGGTGCCCTCAGCGAGTGGTCCATATCGCAGCCTGGAAGCGTAGAAAGCTGTCCTAATGCTCAAATTACCTGCCCAGAACGACGATAATGTCTAGGACGTCAGTAGCTCGGATTTCAGATTCTCGCCTACCCTAGGAAGACGATACGAGGTGAAGGTGGCGGAGCTCCAGGTGATTTAGCATGCTTCTTATCGCGCAGCAAGGCTGAAAGAACAGACCCCACTTTTTCTCACTGACACATACTAGAGATGCTTCTCTAGTATATGGCACTATTTACGTTCAGGTCGAACACGCTCGCTCAATGAATCTAAAACTCTGCGGGCGCATCCTAGGGCTTCAACACTTCAGCAAGACCAAGATCGCTCGAATCGATTCATCTTAGACAACGCTTACCATACTACTGCCTGGAACACGTGCGAACAAGACGGCCTTTGAGGACAAAGTCCATGATTCAGCACAAGAAGAAAGAATGAAGCGAGGATCGACGGAGCCACACCCGCACCCTGGGTCGATTCCGGCCAAGGTCTGCTCTGCATGTCTAAGTGCTCTAGAGTCTGGCTTAGAGGACGTCCTGGAAAAGACTTTTTACCGGGTGTGTGCCCATCACGAGACGATTGCGGCCTTTCAGGACGCAGTTGCCCAGAATTGTTTTATCTGCACGAAGCTTTGGCTATCCATACGTAAGGAAGTGCTTGCGAACTGGGAGGATGGAACGAACTGGGTTCCCATGGAATGCTCGCTTCAACGTCGCCCGTGGGCCCCAGAGTGGTACGGCGCCGTCTACTGGCATATCGTGTATCTGGAGTTCGCGTTTCCGCAATTAGACCTCTGGGATATGAACTATCGAGGGAACGTGTTCTGCTTATTCAAGAATGCGGACGGTATGTGAAAATTGGCATTTCTTGTAGACGTCCTACAGATTCGCTCGCTCATACAACATGTGGACAGGGGAAAAATCCAGATCAGAGAAAGCCCATGAGCGCAGCACATCTTCTGCTGCAGTACATGAAATAGCCTGTACGTGGTACAATGTGTGTCGCGAGTCCCATGAAAAATGCAAAAAGTTTGGCCCCGGCAAGAGATACACACCGACCAGGCTCATTGACGTTGGCATGGAACGGGACCAAACGTGGAAGCTCTGTCTGCATCCGCAGGATATTGAAGACGCTCCAGACTATCTGACCTTGAGCTACCGATGGGCGCAAGATCCTACAGTGCTTCTCCAGAGCTGCACCATAGAGGCCTTCCGGCAAGGCGCTCCTATAGCTGGCCTGCCCAAGACTTTCAGAGATGCCATTACTGTGGCACGAAGATTCTCTATCAGGTACCTCTGGATTGACTCTTTGTGCATCATACAAGACTCGTCTGAAGACTGGGCTCGAGAATCGGTACTGATGCACGACGTTTATGCGAACTCAGCCTGCAACATATCTGCATCTGCATCGGAAAGCCCGGAGGGCGGTTTGTTTCGCGACCGCAAGGCCGAAGAAGTAGGCTTAGGTTACATCAGTGTAGATCTGCCAAATCTAGGTACCAAGAATTTCGAGATATGGGATCAGTTTTATATGGACCGACTGACGCATGGTCCACTCTCCGATCGCGGTTGGGTCTTCCAGGAGCGAGTGCTTTCGCCGAGAGTACTCCACTTCTCACGGAGTCAAATTGTCTGGGAGTGCTTCGAGATGAATAAGTGCGAGTCGTTTCCGAATTGGTCGCCATTCCCTACCGAAGCTGACTACTCTCGTGGCGTCAAAACAGTCTATGACTTTTTCAAATCTGACTCCGGTTCCGATCTCTCGCCAACTAGAAAGGGAGATGATGGAAAACTCATGAGTGTTGGCGTCTATAACCAGTGGATGCACCTGGTGAAGACGTACTCGCGGTCTGCGTTCACCTGTCCGGTAGATCGACTCATTGCCATGTCAGGAATAGCCAGTAAGTTTAAGAAACATACTGGCGACGAGTACCTAGCTGGGTTGTGGAGATCAAGGCTAGTCGAAGGGTTGAACTGGATTGTCGTCAATCCTGTCGCTCGACCACTTGAGCGTTTTCGTGCACCGTCATGGTCGTGGGCTGCCGTCGACTCTGCTGTCTTCCCACAGAAAGTAAACTTGTCCCGAAACGATGATCTGATCGAAGTCATTAGCGCAGTAGTCGACGATCCTGTCACACCAGCTGGATGGGGAGAGGTGCTCGGTCGTATCAAGCTGCGAGGTTGTGTGACCGAAGCAACGATCCTGGAGGGATATATGGATATGCGTCCGAAGGAACACTTATCCGCAACTCCCATTAAACTCCTACATTTTCCGTCGAAGTTCTTTGTGTTGCCGGATACCACCAGTGTAACCTTCGCGACAGGAGAACAGCTGTACCTCCTTCCGCTGAGATCAACGTTAAGAAGAGCTGTGGGTGATGGTGATGAGGAAGCTGGCAGCTCGTTTGGCACCATCACCATCATTGTGGAAGGCATGATCTTGGAGCCTGTCGCTGGCGAAACCGATGTCTACAGGCGCACTGCACGATTCGTTGTCGATGAGCTTGATCATGTAAATTTTCTCGGTTTACGTGCGTTCCTGCGATGGGAAGGAGCGACTGCATTCACCGTGGTCATCGACGAAGCATGCGCTTCTGTTGTCACACTCGTATGACTATCTGAACGTCAGCATCGCGATATGGCAAATTTGTCTTGGGTAGGAGTGAACGCCCGCGACACATTATGAAATTTCATTTTAGGTGTCGCATTGTGATTCAAGTCCATTTGGTACATCTCCATCGATTACAATGCTCATACGCAGTGAGGTTTAGCAGGCTGAGAAGACTCCACAGGAGGAATGAGCTTATCCAAGAGAGCCTTACTCACCAACAAGTTCGCGTAACCCTCCACGCACCGTGACACGAGCCCCAGCCTGCCCCACCTTCAACCTTGGCCACCCACCCACGTAACTGCTCTGCTTCGCAGCCTGATCCTCTTCGATCCCGGCGTCTTCTATCCTTTGAGGGTTCTTACAACGGCCATCTGCAATGATGAGGCTAATCAACTGCTCGACCAAGAGATTTGAAGAATTCTTCGATGAAGAGGTACCTGAATACGCTATTCTCTCACACACCTGGGAAGGGCATGAGATCTCGTACAGCGAGTACAATAACGACCTCTGGGATCAAACTCGAAAAATGTACCCCGAGGCAACAGAAAAGATAACTGCCACGATAGCAAAGGCATCTGAGTACGGCATAAATCATGTATGGATAGGTAGGCTATCAACAGGCATAGGGAGTTTGCGAATTTGGTAAAAGCTAACGTCGTTCCAGACAGTTGCTGCATAGACAAGAGCAGTTCAGCCGAGCTGAGCGAAGCCATAAACAGCATGTATTTGTGGTACAAGAAGGCAGAAGTCTGTTTCGTTTACCTGAGCGACTTCTACTGTTTTTCGCAATACGCACGACCGAGATCTCAAGGTTCTTGGTCTGAGCCGCTTTTTGAGGCAGTGGCACTCCGTCGTTGCCGATGGTTCACCAGAGGATGGACATTGCAAGAGCTGCTTGCACCCAGCAACGTCCACTTCTTCGATCGCCAATGGATGTGCTTTGGCACAAAGCGGAGTATTTCGCTGGAACTGTCCGCTATCACTGAGATACCAGGACCTGCTCTAGAAGGAAAAGTAGCCGAGCACACGTACTCGGTCGCAGCCCGGATGTCCTGGGCAGCTCACCGTGTCACAACTCGGGGTGAGGATATCGCGTACTGCTTGTTCGGACTTTTTGGTGTCAACCTTCCTTTACTCTACGGCGAAGGGGCAACACGAGCGTTCCTGCGACTTCAAGAGGCCATTATACAAAGGACTAATGATCTCACCATATTTGCATGGCAGCACGCTGAAGCAACGGTGCCTGAGTTGTCTCGAGAAGCCTGCAGTATCCTAGCGCAGTCACCACGCAACTTCGAAGATTCTGGTGACATTGTCTGCAACGATCTTACAGATAATCCGGAATACTCTGTTACGAATAAAGGCATAAAGTTCAACAACTGGAACTTTGAACGGGATGGGGATGACCCAGATACTTTTGAAGTCCCCTTGAGTTGCCGCAGGAAGTGGTACACGGAAACAGGGTCACTACACATTACGTTGGAGCGTTTGAAAGACAGCGTATGGTATCGAAGCAAAAATGAAACCTTCCAATCACACAAACTCTTTCTCAAACCTCTCCATCGCCGAGGAAGTACCGCGGCCCTATGGTACTTCTACATCATGACTTGAGCTTACGGAGCAACGGGGCGAATTCCACTGGTTTGCGAGCAATTGTCAGAAACATTTTTCATTGCCAGGTCTACATGTGCAGGGCTCACGGAGCCAACTCTCTTAGACACTAGAACGGCTGTCTGAAAACGTAGTACATCGCGCGCAAGGTATACAGTCCCAACCATGATCCAGCACTACCCCAATCACGCCTGCGTCCCTGCCGGCTTCTCAAACCTCCTCCACCTCGCCGGCACCTCACCCAGCTCCCCCCCACGCCCACAAGCCTCCTCAAACCACTCCCCAAACTCCCGATACTCCCCCTTCGTTGCGCCGCTCCCCGGCCCCAGATCGAAAACCTTCCCTCCCGCGGAAAACGTATCTGGCACCTGGTCTGCAATGCACTCGTCGTTTAGAATTTTGACACCAGAGCGTATCATGGCGTTCATGGTCTCGGAGTAGCGCTTTACATAGTCTGCGGGGGACTCATTTTCGTGCCGGGGGATGCGCGTGGAAAGTTCGCTTTGGAGGATGATGGAAGCGGGGTCGGCGCCCTCAGCGATGTGTTGGGAGCGCGACTGGCGCGCTGAGCTTGCGTAGTCCCGGGGTGTGATGTAGACCATGGGATCGGAGTCGGAGTCGTGGGGGGCTGAGGAGTTTTGGGGGCCTTGGGTTTGGGAGGGGGAGGCTTGTTCGGACATTGTGTGCTGAATTTGCTGAGTGTAGTTCTGTGTGGGGAAGAAGGGTGGAAGGTGAGTGTGAAATGAATACTGTTGTGGATGATGGTAGCTGAAGAGTCTTATATAGTTGGATTGACTCGGGCTACACTTTCCGCACGTACTGTAGGCAGCGCTCTTAGAGATCCCGTGAGGCGATGGGAAGTTGATTGACTGGAGTGACTGGTCTATTGAACGATTGTCCCCCGCACCATGACGTACATTTAGGCAGCAGTATCTCTGCAGCTACTATACCAAGACTCACCTCTGAACAGTCTTTTATATCGGCGCTACCCTGACAGGATTAGAAGTAGTATCTGGTACTCTTGGTGCACGAAGTCTTATGAGAATCTTGAGACTGCTGTGCTAGCTATTGTGTTGAACGATAGCTCTTGTCATGGCGCTTGTAGATAATGAATTTTGTTAACAACGCAGTGCGTTCAAACCTAAGATGTTTGATATCCATGGCTGATGCTGCTCTGAGGGAGATTGCTCGCAGAAGTCACCGTCTTTACCTTGGATAGCATCAGCACGCAAACGGATGGGAACCACAAAGTGAGTAGAGTCCATCCTCGCTCGATTTCTCCGCTACATTCAAGTTTCGCGTAGCAGGCGCCCAGGTGTACTTATAGACCTTTGGCAGATTTGAGCGCAGGAAAGCACCATAGGGAGTTCAGCTGGACTTTCGGAATAGCTCATCAATGTACGGAGCGTTGTTCGCTGAAGCCAAGTCTTCGGCGTTCGAAGTTTGCCGCTCATTGTCGGATAAACTGCACCCATCGGCCGCACTTGCCGACAGCGCAGTCCCCGCCACGCCACGGACCGCAATTGGCTGCACCCTCTGCTAACGGTGCAGATCGCATTGCAAATGCACGAGAGTTTGTAATGGAATCATGACTGTCCCCGGGAATAACACGCTTTTCCGCTTGCGCGTCGTACAACACCAGTCTTTAAAAGTAGATGCCTTGGCCCGCCTTGCACTTTTCCTGGGGTAGTGCACGACTTGTGTGGCCGAGAAAAAGATGGCATACACTGGCGCGGAGGACCGCGATGCGGAGAAGTACGCAACGGGTGCTGGGAACGTCATTGATGAGGATGCAGAGCGCGGGTTAAGAGCTTGGCCCAGCACGCGCGACGACGAGATACACGAGGCCGTAGAGGCGCAAGAGGAGCATGTTGAACCGCGGGAGAAAGCACCGGAGCATTCAAGTGGTATCGCGAAGGTATTTTCACGGAGATCGGCAGCGTCGAGTTGGAGAGATCCTGGGCCTGCGCCAGACGGTGGCACGACAGCTTGGATCCAAGTCTTCTGCACGCACATCACGATCTTCAACACATTTGGATTCTTCACGTCTTTCGGTGTCTTCCAGACGTACTATCAGACGACGTTGGGCATCGCGCCATCCACAATCTCCTGGATCGGCTCCTTGCAAGTTTTCCTCCTCTTCGCCATCGGAACCTTCACCGGAAGAGCCACAGATGCGGGTTACTTCCGCCACTCGTACATCGCAGGTGCTGTGTTCCAAATCGTGGGCGTCTTCACCATGGCTGAAAGCACGAAGCTTTGGCACCTCTTCCTCTCGCAAGCCATATGTCTCGGCATCTCCAACGGCTTGCAATTCTGCCCAGCCATGGCCCTAGTTTCAACCTACTTCGTCAAGCGCCGGGCTTTCGCAATGGGCATAACAGCACTAGGATCCTGCACAGGAGGCGTCATCATGCCCGTCATCGTCCAGCAGTGTCTCCCTCGGCTCGGCTTCCCCTGGACAATCCGCATCATCGGCTTCATCATGGCAGCCCTCAACATTGTCGCCATCGCGCTCTTCCGCACACGCCTTCCACCCCGCAAGGGCGGCGAAATCGTCGACTGGGCCTCCTTCCGGGACCTCCCCTACTCGCTCTTCTGCGCCGCCATGTTCTTCAACTTCTGGGGGCTATACTTCGCCTTCTTCTACGTCGGCGCCTACGGCCGCAACGTCCTTGGCATGCCGTACGAGTCGTCGATCAATTTGCTGCTCGTCACCGTCTGCATGGGCTTCATCTTCCGCCTGCTGCCTACCTACTACGCCGACAAGATCGGCTCGCTCAACGTGCTCATCCCGTTCTCGTTCCTCTGCAGCATCATGATGTACTCGTGGATAGGGATCCACACCATCGGCGGCCTGTACGCGTTTGCCGCGGTGTACGGCTCCGGCTCTGCAGTCATCCAGGCGCTGTGGCCTGCCATCATCGGCAAGTGCAGTAAAGTGCAGGATTTGAAGAAGGCGGGCGTGAGAATGGGTATGGCGTTTACAATCGTGAGCTTCGCAAGCTTGACCGGACCGCCGCTTGCCGGCGCCCTGATTCAGACTGCGGGCGGAACTTATACTTACGCCAATATTTGGGCGGGGACGAGTTTCTTGGTGGGAGGGGTGTTGTTGCTCGCGACGAGGTGGGCGCTTGTAGGTATGGACTGGAAGGCTAATATTTAATGGTCTACATGTAAAGTATTGACCAAAATATGTTGCAATCAAACCCGTGCTCAGCCTCCACCAAGTCAGATAGGGACGCTGGTTTCTCCATGCAGCCAAGACGTGAACGCGATAATGCAAGGAACGACGAGCATGACACCATTTGAATGCTATAAAGCATTTCGCTGCTTGTCTACACCAGCTAACTTGACGTAAAATACAGAACCTGCTAGCTATGTCTGACTAGAAGACAGCATGCGGCCGAAAAGATGATGCTAAGATTTGACAGATGAAGCAGACGTCTAGTGGTCGAAGACCGATGCCTCGAACTTGGCTTCGTTGTAGTATTGCGCGCGAATGCTGCGGCCCCGGAACTGGTAGCCTTCGTGGAAACGATTTACAGCCTGCATCTGTCAGAGATATATCTATCGCACATATATCAGTCATGCTTACATTCAAAGCACTCAGCTCGGACGCGAACTTGATGTACACTGGCTGAGACTCGCTGCTCAAATTCACGTAGACTCGTTCCACTCTACCGAACTGTACGTTGTCAGTGATAGTTAGATTGGGGCGAACGGGGTACTGACCTTGTCATCAAAAGTCTGTCCCATCTCCTGCCGTACACCACCGTCATCGCGATCAGCATCGGTGCTCCAGTCAATGCCATCCACGCATCCCCAGGCAACAATGACCTTTGATTCTTGTCCGAACTTATCCGGCTCCTTCTGCTTGATCGTGTGACCACCCATGATGTCAAACACCTGCTGACTTTTAATGACCTTGCCGTTTTCGTCGTACTCATCGGACACATCGGCGACTCTCTTATCCGCCTTGCGCGCCTTGACTTCCAAGTGCGTGGTGATTCCATCGCTGTTCTTGCCCAATCCTTCTCCCTTCTTGTATCCCATCTTCGCCATCATGGCCTCTGCTTTGCTGAGCTTCGCGCGCTTCGCTGGGCGTTCTTGTGGCTGCTCATCCGTCTGCTCCGGTATGTCATAGCGAACGGGCGGCGCAGAGATAGTAGCGTGTTCGTAACGCACTGGAGGCGCAGAGATAGTGGGATTGTAGCGGACAGGAGGTGCGGATATAGTTGGATTATACGGTGTGGAAGCCTGCGGTGGGGGCGGTGGGATGTTTGCAGGGGTTTCGGCTGGTGGAGGAGGCGGGGGTGGAACAGCTGCGTAGGGAGCGGGTACGGGCGCTGCTGGAGACGGAGACTGCGCGTCAGCTGTAGAAGCCTGCGAAAGTCGCATTCGCCGGGCATATGGGTCTTCCTCAGTCTCTGCATTCGATGCCCCAGGCGAATCTACTGTCCTATCTTGATCGTAGCTGGCGGGTGGTGCAAAGTGAGGCTTGGACGCAGTCGGCACGGGATCAGGGTTTGCTGAGGATGCTGAGAGACCATCGGGAGACGCTTCGCCGCTAGGTTTGCGCGACCGGACCGGGCTGGCTTGCGCCTGTACGAAGTCGGCGAAACTATCCATCTTGAAGCGATAGGCTCCACTCGCCCTGTATGCGCGCAAATTAGACGGCCGGTCTGCTTTGTATGGCGCTTCGCCCTTCCACCAGCCGAACTGCTTTGCAAACTTCTTCTCCTGCTTCTTCTTCTCCCTCTGCTGCCGGTCCATCTCTCTCTTGTAATCGAGAGCGGCGGCATCGTCATCCGCCGTGCTGCGCCAATAGTCGAGGCCAGGCTGTTGGGCTGTGGAAGCTGTGGCTGCCGGCGCAGGGTCTGAAGAGGCGGTGGTAGACATGATGTGAGGTCTGACTATAGCAGGTTTCTTGACGGTGGCTCCCTTGGCCTGGGGGCGTCTGATGTGGTGCGGGTTGTGGAAGGCTGTGGTATGGCATAAGTCCTCCATGATCATGTACAGAGCGTGTTTTCTAAGTAGATACCAGGTGTTTTCTTCTGCTCGGCCTTTGCCTGCTCTTCTGAGAACTTGACAGGCGCAGACTCGGCGACCGTGGCGGCCGCGTAGGGATTGGGAAGGCCCTTTGCGCCTGGTCCATATGGATTGGGTAGCTGCGATGCCATGTTAGCGATATCCCCCTCTTTCTCGCGCCGCGGTTGCAGTATAAATAGACGTTGAGGGTGGAAGCCTCCCGTGTGGTGTTGACCATGGAGTGATTGCGCCCGCGTCGGCGAGCTGCGACCGCGGAGCCGCGCCAAGCCTGTCTGGGGTAGGCCCGGAGTCACGTGCAATGACGACTCCCGCGGGTCGGCAACTATCGCAAAAACGAGTGACTGTCGGTACTAAACCTGTCATTATCTATAGCGCATTCGAGCTGGCTCGCGTGTATCCTCCCATATCCTCCTGTGATCTGGCATTTGTAGACTATAGTGAGTGCCATTGCACCCATTGCGCCTCCCTCGCGTTATCGACTGACCGCCGACGTAGGACCTTCCCTTATCGCTGTACACTAATAGACGCAATGGCTCCTACAACTCTCGAGCACGCCTTTTCCAAGGACTCCACTAATATCGCGGTCATCGTCCCTGGCAAGCCTGCCCTGAGCGTCTCCTACCAGAAGCTTTCTTCTGATGTGAAGGCCTTCCAGCAGAAGCTCGCCGATGTGGGCATCTCCGCGGAAGCAGCAGTGTCCATTGCTTTGCCCAACACCTACGAGTTCATCGTATCCTTCATCGCCGCCTCATGGCAACGTGCCATCGCCGCGCCTTTGAACCCCGCGTACAAGCAGTCCGAGTTCGAGTTCTACATCGATGACTTGAGCTCCGCCATTGCGCTTGTACCGAAGGGCGCATTCGCTCAGGATGCGGCGGCGGTACGAGCTGCACGCAAATACAACGCGGCCATTGCTGAGTGCTACTACAACGGCCACGAGGTGGTTTTGGATGTCAAGGAGGCGGGCAAGCTCGCTGGGAAGCGCGCTTCGATCCAGACGGCCCAACCCGATGATGTAGCCCTCGTGCTGCACACCTCTGGCACCACGGGTCGTCCTAAGGCGGTGCCTTTGACTCACCGAAACTTGTTGCGCACCATGAAGAACATCCAGGCGACCTACCAGCTTACGCAGGAGGACCGCACCATGTTGGTCATGCCGCTGTTCCACGTCCACGGCTTGCTCGCTGGTTTTCTCGCGCCACTGGCATCAGGTGGATCAGTTGTTGTGCCTGTGAAGTTCTCTGCTTCTGAATTCTGGAAAGATTTCGTCGAGCACCAGGCTAACTGGTACACCGCTGTGCCTACAATCCACCAGATCCTGCTCAGGAACCAGGCACCCAGCCCGATGCCAAAGATCAGATTCATCCGCTCATGCTCATCGCCGCTATCGCCCAAGACTTTCCATGAGCTCGAGAAAACATTTGGCGCCCCGGTGCTTGAAGCGTACGCCATGACCGAGGCGGCCCATCAGATGACAAGCAACCCGCTGCCGCCCGGCAAGCGCCAACCTGGTAGCGTGGGTTTAGGTCAAGGCGTGGAGATCAAGATCCTGGATGAAGCTGGAAACGAGGTGGCCCAAGGCAAGGAGGCTGAGATCTGCATCCGGGGCGAGAACGTGACCAAAGGCTACCTTAACAACCCCGCGGCCAACGCATCTTCCTTTACCAAGAGTGGTTTCTTCCGCACCGGCGACCAAGGCAAGCAAGATCCTGATGGCTACGTAATCATCACCGGCCGCATCAAGGAGCTCATTAACAAGGGTGGCGAAAAGATCAGTCCGATTGAGCTTGACAATGTTGTCGCTCAGAATCCAGCTGTATCTGAGGCTGTCAGTTTCGCTTTGGAAGACGAGATGTACGGGCAAGACGTTGGCCTGGCCGTCGTCATCAAGGAAGGTCAGAAGCTGAGCGCTGGCGAGCTGAAAGCCTGGATGGCTGAACGTGTCGCCAAATTCAAGCTGCCGAAGAAGGTACAGTTGAGCCACCCAATATGATGCAAATCCAAAGCTAATTGCGACAGATCTTCTTCACCGATATTATGCCTAAGACCGCCACTGGCAAGGTAAGAGCTACATGCCAACGCCTATTCCGAACTAACTATTGGCAGATCCAACGCCGACTTGTTGTAGAGGCTATGCTCAAGAAAGAGAAGCCCAGTGCGAAGCTCTAAGTTACTCTGCTTGCATTTGGCTCATCCCGCATGTATCATTAAGTAGAACTCGATTTGGATGTATTTTCAAGCACCACAACACGTATACAGCGCACTGAATAGACCGTTAGACTACGCGATTAATTCACCCGTTGCTTTCCCTTTCTTAAGTTTCCTAGTGGCACGATGGCGCAATAGGCGACAACTACACGCTAAACTTGGCTACAACACAACATCATGACATGGCGCAATGGATAGTGCTTTGACGATTCGTGCGCTCCACTGGCCTCCGGTGAGCCTGAAGCAAAGTGCTGAAGACGAATACGAATGACCCCTCACGGGAGACGAATCGGCCCCTGGCCTACGTCGGCGTGGCTTCGCGTACGCGCCCACTGGCAGCCAAGCTGAACGCCCAATGGGGCTATACCCTCAGCCTGTACTTTCATGCTCGTATTTTGAAGATGTCTTTCCGGGTCACTGCCTCCATTACTTCTTTGTGGTCTCCACGCTTGCTTCCCAACGAATTTCAAGTGATTACACTTGCTTGACGGCACTTATGCACTCGCAAGATCTGACCGATTCTAATTGCTCACCTTTGTAGTCGCATCACACAACAGTGCCCATTGAAACAAATCGCTGGTGGTGCCGCCCCCGGTGCTTTCGGCGTTTCACATCGGCCCGCAACCGACAGCTCATCCGTGAGAGAAGATCTCTGCTGCCTCCACCTGGGCGCATCACAAGAACAAGAGGACCCCTCGTCGATTTCTTGGGGGTGTAAATCGTCACCAAAGCTTCCCACCGAGGTCGAGGCTCTCCTATTTCCGGATATAGAAAGCGTGTTTCAACCAGCATAACCCCCGTCCAGCCCACTCACCACGTTTCAAACAACAAGTGTAATTTACGTCGGCCATTATGCGCCAATCCTCGCCGAATAGCATATCATCCCTTGGATCCGCAAGCAGTGACAACGCGTCTGCTCGCCCAACCACCAATTCCTTGTCTATAACTCCTGCGTCAACAGCACCGCAGTCAAGCAGCTCCTCGGTCAGATCAGGCTTCCAGATATCGAGCGACAATGAAAATAGGTCATCGTTGAAGTCAATCTTAAAGACCTCCAAGTCCACTGGTTCTCTTCCGCGAGTACGCTTCTCTGTCCCCGAACATCTGCCTGCTCTGCCTTACAGCGCGGCCTCGATCTCAACCCAGCGAACAACTCTCTCTTTCCGGAAGTTTGAGGTCACGGGTCACAACAAAAGTTCATGCAACATGCCTGGACTCGAGCTGAATGCACCTATTCCACCGCCTATTCCACCTTTTGATCACATCTCCATTTCTCCCGGATGTCAGACTTCTTCCCGGACATCGTTAGACCTACCAGTCAGACCGCCAGCCAGAATTAGAAGCCACAAGCGCCTCTCCGCTCCAGCACCCATATCCCGCAGAGAAAGCCGGGCATTCAACGCACCACCTCCACCACCTTCAACCCACGAAACCCGGAGCTACTCCCGCTCCGTCCGCCGCTACACCCCACGTGTAACCTCCTTCCAGTCCGTTGCCTCCGCCGCCTCTGCCCCAGCAGCCCTGCAATCCCCACCAACACCCTCGGATCCGCCCTCCCAGTATAACCCCCTCCAGCACTACGTCCCCTGTCTCGCCCCTAATTGCACCAATCACTACACCGCACACCTCCTTGGCCCAACCTACTACTGCCCCCAGGCCCCCTACCAGCTCATCCGCAAGCGCGGCCTCTGCCCCCTGCACGCCCACCAGGACCTCAAGCTCGCCAACCAACGCGTGAAAAGCACGTATGAGGCCATGCGGCAGAACTGCGGGCGCAAGACGCTCGGCACGATTGCAGCTGAGTTTGAGGCTTTTGTGGAGCAGGTGCGCGAGGAGCGGGCGGAGGAGAGCAAGAGGATGGAGAGGTGGCAGCGGCAGCGGGTGCTTCCTTCTGCGGGTGTGAAGGGTAAAGATGGCAAAGAAGGGAAAGAGAAAGAGAACGGGAAGGGGCAGGTCTGGGAGGAAGAGTGGGACTGGCGGTACTCGCCGAGGCCGTGCACAAGGAAGGGGTGTGACGAGGTGTGGTACTCGCCGTTCGATAACCGGCTCTTCCTTTTCTACACCACGGCGCGCCCCTCGGGATTCGTACCGCTGAGCACGCTGTGCCCTGGCTGTGCGAAATTCGATGTCGAAAGTGCCGAGGAGCGGATTGAGGGGAGGAGGAGGGATGTAGGTGGTGTCGTCGGGCCAGAATTTGAGGAGTGGTATGTGCAGATGGGGAAAGACCGGGAGTTGGAAGTCGAATACTGGGAGGCTGCGCAGGAGAGGATTGTTAGGGAGGAGATGGGGAAGTGGAGTGTGAGGAGCGTGCAGCCGAAGACGACGAAGCAGAGCAAGAGCAAGAGGCTAACGAAGTTGGATGTTTGTGTTGTAATGTAGCACGCCGGGGTGTCTTTCTTGACTTGGATTCACTTGAGTCTGAAGCCTATGGCGCGGCGTACGGCACATGGGACGGGGTTCATGAAAAGACTGTGATGGTAATGAATGACTACTTAGCTAAGGCATGTACATTCCTCGACCTTCTCAAAGGTTCCCCCGAGCAGGCTCAAACTCGATGGCTCTGTTCTCCCTCACCCACTCCAGTTCCGCGTCACTCCCCGGCATCGGCGGCACCAGGCCCTGGACCTTCCATAGGTCTCTGAAGGATGAGACACAACGTCAGTGAAATGATCAAAAATCCAGGTCATTGGGTTGAAGCGGGTGTTTCGGCTTCAGCTTGTGACTAAAGCAGAAACTGCCACTGTACACGGAATGAGTTGCTTACCTTCTTGTCTCCTCAAGACTGTACTCCCAGTCATATCCCTTATCCGCGACGAACGGCTTCAGCGTGGTATCCAACGTCTTCAGAAATCTATCGCGGACTTCATCGTTGGGACTTCAATACATTAGCATCTCCTCAATACTGCTCTGTAGGATGGATGGGTGGATGAATTACAAGGGTGGGTGAATGAAATGCAGGGTGGGGTAGCTTACAGCGTACGCGCAATGTGCTGAATGGTGAATCTGATAAAGGGGACGCTGGACTCTGGACCGGGATGGTTGGCGGACGTGTGTGGTGATGGGCGTGCCACACCCCCGACGTAGATAGAGGTTGCTGGCAGGGGCACGAAGAGAACGTTGACGTAGAAGGCCGGGAGGGGGACGGCGGTGTAGACTGTATGAGGTTGGTTAGGAATGTTTGACGTAGAGTATAGGGAAGTCTTGCTTTTGGTGACTTCCTTTGCTAACGCGGCTTTCTCCTCTTCGGAGGTGAAGGTTGAGGAGGGGTGGTAGATTATCCAGAGAGGCATTGTGTAGGATGAATTGAGGTGGTTGTTGAACGATTTAGTGCACAGAGAAGAACTGGAACTTCCAAACTTATATGTGTTCTTGTTTATGTAGTCGCGATTCTGCTAGTGCATGCTGATGCGGTGTGGTGGACCAGCGCCATCCAGTGGAACGTTTCCGGTGTGGTGTATCCGCTCTAAAGTGTCGCATAACTAATCATCAGCAGTTCACTAATCTTGAAAGCTAGAGTGACCTGATATCCAACAAAACTTGAAGTCATACACAATTGATCATCTACCGAGTCAGGACACGTGTCCCGTGTGCGATAATAAACACGCTGTGAATGCCTAGGCAGCACAGATGTGTTCGCTAATCCACGATGCCGCAAGCGCCCGAGACCCGCAGCTCAATCGCTGAATAGTACACAGCTTCCGCTCTAACCATCCTGCCAGCTTCTACTGTTTTGCCAGCACGTTCCTCACCGTTTCTTCAAGCTCTTCTTCTTCCAGCCCTAGCAACTCATTCGCAACCCTCCCCTCCCAATCACTCGCCACAAGCCCCCAAATCCCCACCGTCTCCTCCGTAGCATGGAAATCGCCCTCCAACATCTTCGGCCGTAGCTCCCTCAACCTCTCCTCACTCTTCTGGTTCACGATCTCAAACTTCTCCCCTGTAACCTTTTCCAGCACGGCCAGCACCTCGTTCTGCGTCACGCGGAAGCTCTGGATATACAGCAGCTGATTCGCCGTCTCCTCTGGCCTCTCCAGCACCTTGACAACAGCCTTTGCAATGAAGGGTAAGTTCGATGCGCTGAACGGAATGTCCCCTCCATCCTGGATATACGCCTTACGCGCCGCAACGTCGAAGCAGAGCAGGCTGTTGCCGAGCCCCCAGTCGAAGAAATGTGCGGGGACGAGACCGGTCCAGCTCAGCTTTCCTTGGCCGTCACTGCGCTCCTGGTCCTGCAGCGAGATGAGGTAGTCGCGCGCTTCCTTCTTACAGTCTGCGATAGGATACACTTCCCGCGTTTTGGCATCGGCGGAATCGACGCTGCCAAATTCCGCTGGGATGATGCGCTTGACGCCCGAATTGAAGGCGGCTTCGATGAGGCGCTTGTTTTGGGCTACTTGGGCAGGCTTGATGGCCAGAATGAGGGCGTCGATGTTGTTTTCTTTCAGAGCTTTCGTAACGTCCGGGACGTTGAGGTCGTCCGGTACGGTGATAACATTGGTTCCGGAGTAAGTTGATTTGGAGCCTGCGCGGTTGATGACGCTGATGTTGAAGGTGGAGTTTTTGAGGGCTTCGAGGATGGGCTCGCCGATGGTGCCGGTGCCGCCGACGAGGCCGACATTTTTGATCGACATTGTAAGGCGTCGAAAGGATTCCCGAGAGATATAGGGCGCAGGAATGTTGAATTGGTTCAAAACTGACCCAAGTGCTGTGCTCTGGCTATTGATGCTGTTGTTGAGTCTGTCCGTGGGGTACCCCGCAATGTACTCCGTGTAGACTCACGAGGTAGTTTCTTTGAGCAACGATTCTTGCTGGTATGACTTGTATCTTTGGCAGATATGCTTATGAGCTAAAATGAATCCAAGAGAAATTGTAACTCTGTTAAAATACTCGGCGAACTCTGGTGATACTCATACAACATTAATGCACACATGGTATATGTGCTATCGGTAGCCTCCAACGGACTGGTCGGACCGATCGCGCACACACCAAACATTCCACTCCGACAACCCCTACCGCCCCACAACCCTCTCTCGTAGCTTACACAACATCTTCCAAGGCCATGCCAATACAAAAACAATGACAAACCACACTTTCCTTAGCTTTCCATCAGGCGGCCGCTTCCTCGGCACCGGGATATCCATCTCGAACTCAGTTTGAGGCACGCCAAAATCCGACTGCAGGATCGGAGAGAGACCAGAGTATTCCGAGCCGACTACACTGCCTCCATCCGAGTAGGCGGTGGGAGAGTACAGCGACGGCGCGCGGGGACTGTACGGGCTGTAGTCTTGGCCTCTGAGGTTCGCGGTCTGGTCGTATCCGTATCGTACGGGTGTTTCTGGGATGTGCAGCGGCGGACCCGACGTCATTGAACGCCCTGGATGGCGGTATGTTGGCCTTTCAGGAACCTCGCAAGGAGCTTGGTGTGAGTAATGGACCTGGTGTTGAATCTCAGGCTCGTAGTTCGTAAGGACCTTGGTCTTGGCCAGCATCTTGTCGCAAGATTCCCGGTCAAAGCAGAATGATTGCACATGCGGCGTGTCAGGGTTTGCGTACGGTCTTAGTAACGTCCAGTCTATTTTGTAGACGTGTCGGATGTTGACGTACGAGTCCCAGCGCAGGGTCGCGCGATGTTGCAGATCCAGCGTGGGGAATCGCTTTTGCATCTTCTTGGATGTTGCGTCTGGGTGAGGTGGAGATGGCGATATGGGAAGATACCAGGAGCGCCGTGACGCGTGGAATTCATTGTTCTTGGAGTAAATCTCATGTAGGCGTTTGCCTTGGAAGGATGTGACCTGAGCTTTGGTAAGAAACAGATTCCCTAAAGTAGCGTGTGGTTAAACTTACTATATGGAAGTGCACCACTTGCGGCTCTTCTGCTGGCCGGGATACAACAACTATTGGGTGATTGTATATACCCTCTTCCACAGCGCCTTTCCCATGTGCCCGCCTTACTGCTCTTGGAGGTAGTTCTTCCTGGGGCGGGAGCCAGAAGACACGTCCAATAACTACGTCTGGTTCATCGACTCCTCTAGTTGGTACTTTCTGTGATGATGATATTCTTCTCGAGGCAGGTACCCTCGCATGTGTCCGTGTGGGAGACGTATTCCCATATTCGGCATGAGGATGTGTATAAGCCGCGTAGGCATCGTACGAATGAGAGTAGTAATAGTTATAGTTAGCCATGGTCACCGTTTTCTGGGCCGAATCTTGAGGCCAGCTTCCTGTACCGAGCTTCCATTTTGCGGCTCAAGAACTCATATATACTGGCCACCGACGCCGCATAACTACTCATCCACCCACGCGAGCTGAGTAGCATTGGGGGCAGAGTCATGTTTGTGGAGAGAGGCACACGTACATCCGGTTCGGTCGGCGCCGTATGCACCCTACTCGCATTCAAGCCTTACCAGAGTACAGTGGCTACACTCGCCCTCGTTGCCTCTTTCTGTTCTGGTCTCAGCACACGGTAACACAGTATGCAAGGATAGTCTAGTCCGGCTGATCGCCTAAGCCGAGGGCCACCATCCAATAGATCCTTCATGCGCCACAAATTTGCACTCCATGGATGCTGTGGCTGCGGCGCACAGGCGTGTCATCCCTGCACAGAGGCATATGCAGCCCCATCGCTAGACAATCTGGACCAAGGTAGTAGCTGAGCAATATGCAGAGCCTCACTAGGCACGCACAGCGGCAGAAAATACCGCGGAAATTGCGCGTGAGCAAGCCAAAGGTACGACTTCACAGTGGGAATTTGCGGTGCTGGGAGATGAATCTACGAGGCTGATTCACCCACGATTAGACGATCCGCAACGGCACCGTCACATCTGTTCGGTCATAGCGCTACGGACTTCGTGCAAGTAACGCTCCATAGCGGCTTATGTGAACACCTTTTTCAATTTGTGTTGCTATGATTCGCTCACATAATCTATATTCCTGTACGGATGGAGGAATCACGGTGCTGTTTTTTTCGCCGTGTGGCTGTGAGTGGTGAGCGAAATTGTAGGTGTGCGCTGGAGGGTAACCTCTCTCCAGTGCACATACCACCGCTCGAAAACGCCCGTACGCTGTCCCCGTGCACCAGGCCCCCGATAAAAAGGGAGCGCCGATGCTTGGATCCAAGTACCTGGTAAGCATCTGCGATGACGAACGCGCCGTTGGAAGATCTTCATATTCTCAAGCCACAACTGCTGCATTAGGTCGTTAAGTGGGGTGTAAGTAGCCCCATCCCGTCGAGACACCAATAGTCATGAGCATTACCTACCGCTTCGAGCGTTACTTCTTCCTGCAAGGCCGCCATTGTGGTCATATAATGCGGCCGCTCCGACCTTGCTTCCTCGGCTTCTCATCTCGGTCCATCCTCCCTCCTGCTCGCCCACAGTAGTCTCCTTCCTCCTTTCTCCTGTTATCGACTACGACTTATCGATACTGGTTTATCGACCCCACAATCCGCTGACCTTTTCGCCAAAGCCCGACGCCATGGTGCTGAACCTCCTACTCCCGCTACGCTCCCGAGCCGCGGCCTTACCCATCCTCGGCTCCACACCTCGTAGCTCGAGCTTATACATGTCGGCTTTCGCACCTATGCTTGTCGCCTGCCGTAAAGGATGTGCGACATGTCTGTCCCATAGATCATTGCTGACTTCCTGCCCGTTGTGGCCGTAGCTCCTCTGTAAAGGATGCTTGAATCTATCAGCATCGGTGTGATTGTTCCATTGGAAGATCATCACGAGTGTCTCGTCTTCCATGTTCCGTCGTTCCTCGTCCTCGGCATAGAATAGTGACATATTCTTTTCGTCGGAGTTGATGCTCACAAGAGTTGGTCTGCTATCGAAACTCTCGTATCCGCTTCCGATCGAACTAGAAGGAGAGGTCGGAGCGCCTGGGTGGAGCTCAGCCCAAGCCCAGAAGTCATGGATAAGGTCTCCTGGTTTGCTGAACGCGGCCGGTCCAAAGGCACCCAATTGGGCTGACAATGAAGACCGTTTCGGATCCCAACCAAAATGCTTTCCAATCGCACTTGCCACGCCAGGATTCGGTGCTTGCAGCACAACTACATCGCACGGTATCCTCTCATCGGGTGATGACGCAGCAAGTGAGACGATGGAATAGTCCAGATATACATGGTGGACGCTCGGAGGTGCCGACAAGTGCTTGAGTACGGTCGCAAATACTACTGATGTGCTGTCCCTGCAAGTCTCACTTGCCGTAGTGAAGATTGCGACTGTACTCGGGCTAGACAGGCATGGCGACCATGTGGTAAAGGTTGTCGGATGTGATGTGGTCTCCGGTGCATCGGTGATACTGTTCAACAGTATATTGAGGGCCGCATATGGTGCCGCGATGGTGGGAACGATTGGGGCCTTGAACTTTAAGACGACGAGGACAACTTCAAGTGGCGGCCTTGTGCTTGAGGAGTCGTGGACTGCATGTTGTCGATGGTCGCACGTCCCACAGCAAGTCGACATCGTGAGATTTATCGAGCGTGTCAAAAGTGATAGTGGGCTTTTGTGAGCGAGCGAAGACTTGGAGTATTAGGGTGTTGGTGAACAAGACGGTCAACCCGAATTTTGAATACTAGGTTGAGATGCAGCGAGGAGTATGTCGGAGCTACCGCTGTTCCGCCCCGCAAGTGACGGTGATGGGTCTGAGCGGTATAGCAGGATGAGGCTGTGAAAACTGCAATTTGCCTTGAGATGTAGCAATTGAACAAGCAAGAGAAGGGGACTGCTCGAGGCACCGAAACGAATGAGGCTGGACGTCGACAGAAGTGTACAGCAGCTGAAAGCGCGGGGTCGGTATAAACGTGTGTTCAATTACTGAAGGCAGCCTAGCTCGCAAGGCGCGAAGTTGCCTTCAGCACAGCCCACAGGACGCGATCTTGCCTCTGTATCCACGACAATCAACGGGGCCCGGGTATATTTAGTACGCGATAAGGCTGGAATGCGCAGTTGCGCTCGTGCGTTTCAGAGTCGTCCCCATAAAAGAGGACGAGGGCCAGTTCGAGCTTACCTGTGAGGACAAACACGTATGCGTTTGAGATGCTGACCTCGCAGCAGTTGACGAGCCAATCCGGATAGCGGGGCCTCTAGTTGTGAGGTCATCAAACAGACATGTTGATGTCAAACCGCGTCGAGGGTGGGAGGAAGCTTGCGAGGAGTGTGGCGGAGCTCAATATAGGGATGTCGGCACGATCCCTTTTAGGCAATGACGCTAGTCGTATACGTCAAGGCGCGGTTTTCCGAGAGATGTCCCCACCACACTGACCTTACGCACAGTAGGTGCAGCGTGAACTTGAACTACTTTAGATATCCATTTCCATGCGCATCAAGGCTTCTTATCCTCCCTATGAGTCTCCGAACATGAAAGCCGTGCCGGGTATATGTTTTGCAGAGCCGTATACTGACTGCTTCGTTGCAGAACCCCAACCGCCAGGGCAGCACTGACGACTCCGAGGGTACCATGCAGGCTCACTAAGCCTCTCGTACACTCATAACGACTCGGACACGACGCGAGTCGGTAGAGTATACTTGACTTGCCGGTATCTTATACTCGACCAAAACCTCCACCATATCAATTATATAGAGCAGACTCCTTGCCCTATCCCTTTGCTAACCTAACCAACATCAACCATCTCTAACCCTGAACCTAGCTCCTGACCCTCAATTCCATCTTAGTGTATTCTAAATGAGGGTGAAGTCAAGTATAGTATACCTGCAAGTCGAGTATGATTTACCGACTCACGGACAGACAAAGCATAGTGGCGTTTCTAACTTCGTCGCCTGGTCTGGAATATGACTGTTGGCTACATGGTTGAAGGGCCTCTACTGAAACGCGGGGCTACCAGAATACCTTGTTAAGGAATATCCAGTACAGTCAATGCATGAATGGGCAATATTGTGCAACTACTATGCTACCGTGAAGATGAGGCTGGCGCCCTTCCATGCTGAACATCGAGACTGGAACGGCTTAGATCGAGCCATTCTTCGCTAACACCTTCCTTGTTGCCGTGACTCTAGTAGATCTCTACAGCTGCACAACATGACCTGAAAGTCCCGGTGATGCTCAAGCATTATGGACCTTGGTTGACACTTAAGGCTCGAACTGTAAGCAACGAAAGGACAGCCTGACAATGACAGCCGTCGGACGCAATAAACCGAGGATAAGTAGTCACTTGACGGTTCCATATGCGTTGTATGTGAAGGCAACAGTACAAACCAGGCATTCAACGCCGCAATGTAACAGACATCGCAACCAACCAGCAAATATGGTGGCTCACCGAAGTTTCGTAGGAACCAGTATTCTTATTCTTCGCGCCTTATGGGTATGTGTTACATGACAATCACACCTGCTCAGCTTCCTTTGCACCCGGCACAACATCTTTCCAGTTAGGATTGTAAAGCGACTCAAACAAGCGCAAATCCTGTCCTGCAGCAGCTCGCTTCATGAACATTCTCGCAGGCGCAGCAGAATTGGTACAAGTTCCTACCGGATAACAAACTCCCTTGTTACAGTACTGTCATGGGATTGTTTTCGAACATGGTGCCAACGATCCGAGTGTCGCAAACTTCCGGATTGTTCCACGCGATCTTGGAACATGTTGGACTTACTTGGTACTAGTCGCGGTCGCCGTGGAGGTCGTTTGAATCGTAGTTTTAGTGATGGACAGCACGCTGGTACAGTATTTGCTAGCTCCCGGTGCGATTTTGAAATTTGTTCTCCTTCTGGAACTCTACGATACGGTACATATATATTTGAGACTCTCGGAAACTGACACCTGTATCGTACATTCATGGATACATTAGCAACGTCTGCTGTAATGGTCGCCGAGTCTACCCTGGGCCCACTGAACCCGTGATTTAACGAGCTGCACGCAAGATGCATCGGTTGTAACGCGGGTCCCTTAACTAAGTGAATACACACATACCCGTTTTTCAACGAGCGGTCTCAAATTCAATCGTCCACCGTAAATGCAATTTCAAAACCAAATCGCTATGCAACACAAACAGCAAAACAATATCACGCTAGAAATTCAGCTCCCGCGGAGTCTGTGAGGTACACTATCTTTGTTCAGTAAGACTCGCCTCGCAAGCTTCTTGCCGTACATTGCCCTACAAATCATAGCAGCAACGCCACAATGACTGCAATAGCAAGAGCTAGACAAGTGGGTGAAGGCATCTTAAGCACCACACCCAAGCTGGCTGCTTTGCCGCAACACTTGCGGTCATACGTAACATTGTTGGCACGTGCGGCAACCTCGAAGACCGAGCCGTTCATGGGAGAGCCGTGATTGTAGTAGTCAACAAGAAGGAAGTTTGGCGGGCGGTCCCACATGGCTACACCTGTGTCAGCGTCGACGAACGAGTTTCTCAGCAACGGCTACTTACCCGTGCAATTTTCCGTCATTTCACCTAGGCTGTTTGGCCCATTGACACCGTTCGTTATGTTCAGCTCCGCTGTATTCGGTATTAACAGATTCAGTCCCGCGATGCTGACTTGTACATTCAGATTATGGTTGGCCATGTACATCATCTCCCTCGACTTGTTTTCAGAAAGACCATCTGGACGTTGAATCTCGCACGTGAAGTCTTCGCTCGTAGGGCTGAACGGCGTCTCCCAGATATTGTAGAACTCCCAGAGGAGATACGGCACTGCGTCGGTGTCGAAGTTGTAGTCGATAAACGTAATAACGCGTTTACCCTGGATGATAAGCTCTCCGAGTGTTGGCCAGTCTGCGAGATCCATGGCTGTCTTAGGCGGCTGGTAGACATACTGCATGAGGCCTGATGCTTCGATGGGCTCCGCAAATTGTTTAGAGGTGACTGTGCGGTTTCCGTTCTCGTCTGTATCTTGCCAGTTGTAATTACCGAAGATAATGGTAATGACATCGAAAGGGTGGGCTGCGACCCATTCCGTAACGGTGCGAAGATAATCTTCCACAGTGCCTGCATTAAGAAGGTCGCAACTTGTGTGGCAATAATAAAGAGTACCATTTACATAATGCGCCTGTCCTTGCAGTACTCGGATTCCATCATTCAATTGCTGAGTGACGGTCAATTCCTGGTTCGACGCCGCATTATTTGCTCTCACAAAAGGACTGTTGTGTGCGCAGACCTCGGTGATGTTACTGTACTTGCGCTCACAGAGCTCGGGATAATTGTTGCAGGGCTGTGTGTTCACGGGGGCGGCAGCTGTTGACGTGGTACTTGTTGCGCTCAAGACGGTCGATGTTGCTGATCTCGTTCCGCCCACGAGTCGCGTGTATGTAGCTTCTATTGATGCTCCGGACGATCCCGCGGATGCTGTAGCATTTGTCGCGCCGGTACTTCCTGAGACGTCTGCGGTTAAACTGACTGTTGCTATTGTGCTCCCGTCGAAATCTGAAGGTACTGTGGCGGCTGGTGCCTCTCCGCTCGATATAGCACTGCTTCCGGTGATTGTGATAATCTCGACAGAAGTGCTCTCCAACTGCGCTGTGACCAGGCTCGCAAACCATAGAAGGAGGTACAGCGGCCCCATGTTAATTTTCTCGGGCTCACAACGTAGCCTTTCTGTTTTCAGGAGGATCGGAAAAGGTGTCTTTTTCTAAATTCTGGCGACGAGCTTCTTGAAGGTTGCTGGCGTTTTGCCAAGCGGTCCGTCGTGTTTTTGCTTCGTGACCGCAAGCTCGCGTGAATGCTATACAAAAAAAAAAAAAAAAAAAGAAGAAATGGGTATCACGGCGAAACGCAGACGTTGTACGAAAATATGCCAGAGTAAAGTTATAGAGAAATTGAAAGAATCTGGTGCGCAATTGTTGTCCTTGAAAGCTATAACAAGGGCCATTGCAGATTTGCGCTTGGGAGAATATGACGTCGATCGTGCAGGCGGCGCCCCACAACATCAGGGGTCAAGCTTTCAGCCTATAGAGGTTCAGCCAAGATTTCGCATAGCCGCGCTGCCGATTAGATACTGGCCTGTCTTGGATTCGCATGAGGTGGCATTCCAAGAGCATTCCGCGTGATTCTTATCGATATTGACATTATCATATAATATATACAGAGGTAGTAGTCCTCAGCCTCTCCAAGCCGCATCCTACACATTGGGTCTGCCTTCTAATCGCATCTTCCAACAGGGTGCTGCATTATGAACTGAATATCTGTCCAGATGTGTTCTTTCCCTCGAGCTGCTGGATCTCTTGCTTCATGACATCGATGCGATAGTTTTTAAAAGCTTTCTCTATCCGCTCCTTAGCCTGGGGGTCCTGGGCAATAGATCGCGACGCCGATGCGGTGCCGCTGAAGAACCCCAGTTCACCACCGAGGAAGAGACCTCCAAGGGAGAAGAAGAAGTATGTGGCCGCATCACTCCATTTCGACGGCGAAAGCTTGTCCGTAATATCGGGAATGGGTTCTGTAGGATCGTTAGTCACGAACCCTTGTGTACTGGATCATTAGACCATACGGGTTCGGCCGTCCGCAAACTTGACTTCGACAGGCTTCTCCATCGCCCTAAAAGCGTTGAAATACGCCAGGCGCATCGATCGTAGCCTGAATGCGGTATATACGCCTAATCCGATACCCAAGAGTGATCCAACCTGGGCATGGGTTGAAACTTTGCTAGCTGCACTCTTAATTATGTCGCGGTCGGATTGGTTCAAACTACAAATTGTCAGCTCTGTTCGACTTACAATTGCAATTGTATGCATACTCGTGCTGCAAATGTTCTTCTGCAAGCTTTCGGAGCTGTCGGGACCTTCCGTCTCTAAATGCGGCTAGCGAATTGTCCATAATTATGGTGGGAAGAAGGGTATGTAGGCCGAATGAGGAACTGGTATATCGGACAGGAGCTGTTGACAGTGGGAGAAAGTATCTTTTATTTAGACCTTGAGCTGGACTGGAGCTTGAAGCTCTGACATGTGAGGACGTAACCGGCACGTCACGTCATATGATGCTAAAATCGACAGCGCTAAACCCTAAATAGTTGATTTGCCAGTGCTCCTCCGCCGCTTCCCGTTGGTCACTTCAGCACTACGACATTCTTAAAATAATGCAGTGGAGCATTGTTTCTGGCATATCTCTCAGAATCTCGAAATTCTAACGCAACCTGACGAGCATAACGCTCCGCACCACCATCTACTCCAACAAGCCGAACAGTGATCATCCAAATCGCGTACTCGACAAGGACCCAAGAGGCCCATCACCCTTCTTTGTGACCCAGCGATCACAACGCAGATGAGAAGTATTGTAGCACCTGGAGAAATTGTCACTTCAATGCCTGTTCTCGATAAACCCCATCTATCAACCCCTCAACGTCTTCACCTTCCTATACACCGCCGCATCAATTTTCTCACAACCCGCCATGCACCTCTTCGTCCACTCCGTCATCGGATCCAACGGCTCAACCTCGGTGCCCACCTTATTTCCCTCCCCAAACTGATGAAATGCAACGAAATCCAACCCCCCTGGCTTCCCCTTACCTGAATTTCTCGTCTGGAACAGCGGCTTGTACCTCGTCGTCCGTTTATACCCCGGCTCTTTCGACATTTGCTCATTGTGTTCCTCCCTGTACCATGCATCTAGATCCTTTTCACCACCAGGTGCAGGCTGCATGGCGGCGTAGATGATGGTGGTCACGTCATCTGTGGGTGTTTAGCCTACTCCGATCCTACTCAATGTCCACTCCCATCAACCCGCAAGTTGAGCCGGGACAGGACAGTAGATCACACTTACCAGCCGTACTCCCTTCCTCCCCATACACCTCAACCCGCTCCAAAATCCTACTCTCAAAATCCACAAACTCATCCACCGCCCCACCGCCCGGAAATATCTCGCTCGTCCGCGGAATCTCGTGCAAGCCGCCTCCCACGTGCTTCCTATTCCCATACCTAGAGTTCGCGCCACACGTCAACTACAGTTCCATTTCGAAGGGACCATCCTCTCGCCCCCCACTCTCAACCTAGGACAGATCCGAACCAATCCGCAAATACCGGTCGGTACCCGCAGAGGTTCAAGCTTCCAGATCTGTAGCTATGAAGAAAAGTTACTTACTGCACCATCTCTAGATCTCCCACCTCCATCACAATCATCCACTGTCTTTCGTAGCCCGGACTCGCCGCTTTCCACGCTGTGATGTTCTGCACGATGCCCGTCTGCAGCACGGCCGGGAGGTAGACCTCGTAGAACCACTTCTCGAGGGTGTCCTGATCGAGCTTGGAATCTGGAACGAGGGTGACCAAGGCTTGCATTATGCCGGGGCCGGTCCATGTTGCGGACATTGTGGAAGAAGGTAGCCAGAGAGAGCTTGGAGAGAGAGAGAGAGAGGGGGGGTGGCGGAATGGATTTGTAGAATGCAATGGGGCCGATGAAGTATTGTGTATATTCTGTGCAGTGCCGCTGGATGGATAAATGCTCGCCGAGAGGCTGGTTCACTGTTTATAAACCGCAGGGCTGTGGTGCGGTGCGGTGCGAAGTAGTGCGCCCCCTGTACTACTCCGCACCTCTTGCTTGCGGATTAGCTTACCCGAACGCTCCCCATCGCTGCCACTTCCAGCATAGCGCCCCTCCATCTGTACTCTTTGAGACCCCGATTCTTCGTCAAACTACTGCCCAATTGAACGACACGACACGAGAAGTGCGACCCATGGAAGGTGAGTAGTGGAGACTACGTTGATTCATATTCCTATCCTAAGCTAACCTGGCCAGCCCATCAGGAGCGCCCTGCTCGACCCAACCGATCGAGTCCTAAGCTAATGTTGAACCGTAACGCGCCGCTATGCATATGCAATCGAAAATGCCGTGTGCCAGGGTTATACCCTGGGGGAAATAACTGGGTATAGTACAAAAGAAAAGAACGTATCAAGGCAGCCTCGTGTGATCTGAGACACTGCTCTCATAGCCCGACCCCGGATCCGGCGCGTCACCTGTCTTCATTACACTGACTACCTGTACATCGTGCTCAGATGTCGGTGGGGGACAAATTGGCGCAGGTGGTGGCGGTGACGCGGATTGTGGTATTGTGGATGTCGTGATCGCTGGTTGCGGCGGCGGCGGCGGCGGCATTGGTAGGTACGTAACGAAGCCTGATGCGTCGTCTTGCACGTATGTGATGGGTGCCCAGATGCGCCAGTGCAAAAGAACAATATGTGAAATACGCCTGGCAAGGTCGCAGAGTCTATCTTGAGGTGTGTTGTTGTAGAAGGAAAACGTATCGACAGTGGGTGGTGCTGGAATAAAAGGAGGCGTAGAGGTCGGTGGTGGCAAGGTTACCAGGCTGTTGTAGAGCTCAGTAGGTGAGGAGTTGCTGTGCTTGTGGATAGAGCTGAGAACCTGCGGGAGGAGGGTGGCCTCCATTGTCGAGGCGTGAGACGTGAAGGTGTTATAGAATAACGAGCGAAGGTACTCGTTTGTGGCTTGCAGGCTGTGATGACCAAAGATAGGAGATCGTCCTGCCATGACTTGCGCTTGTCGGTAGATTTCGAGCGAGAGCGACTCAGAGTTGTATATCCAAGCTTGTGAACCGTGGCCGATAGACTCTCCCATAATCGCGGTTAGTGAGGAGCGAAGGCGGTGTCTGGCAGCGTTCGACAATGCTACATCATGTCCTAAGTCCTTCCGCAACTTAATGAACATGCTGAAGCATATCTCGAAATGCACCAAATCCTCAATTTCCGACTTCAGTGCTCGCAATCTATCGTAGTCCAGATAAAACGTGTCGGGAAGCTCTTGCCGGGTGTCGCGCGAGAATGCGTTGGAAACGACTGCTTGTGCGAACATGTCCAAACCCGTTCGGTTCACTGGCTTAGTTGCGGGAGCGTGATGGACTTGGAGGCGTTCAACAACGTTGGCCCACCACCTCTGAGCTGCTTCAAAGTTGACTTTCGAGCGTTTCTTGACTATCCGGTCTAAGTGATAGTGCTTTTCATAGCTGATGGTGTCTTCGATGAGCAACGGCTTGAGATTTCTTATTTGATGGTTTGCGACGTCCTGTCCCGATTAGCGATTGAAGGTGGAGTAGGAAAGTGCACTCACAAGCTTCATAGTTTCAAGCATCCCTATCAGTCCTTTGAGACTCTCAACAATGATTTTCATGTTCAAAGTCGTCCCAGTTGCACCCTTCCGCATCAGCCCCACCATCTTGTCGACCCATTCGTCTCGCATAGGAGCGCAATGCTCCTTCAGCAGCCGTGCGGTCCACTCTACCAAGGCGACCATATCACATACACCCTTCTCGATCTCCTGCATCAGCATTCGTACATCGAGATGCTCGTCCACTCTTTGATGGTCTCTATCGGGGACTAGGCTCTTCAAAACATCATGTATCGTTTCGAACACCTTTGGTACCCGCTTCTGTGCGCGCTGGAAGTACACAGACGGGTCTGCGTGCCCTGATGATCGTAGCGGTGGGGTGCCTTGGAAAAGTCTTGTGTACAGATGCAGCTCAGCTTCCAACGCAAGCCAATACATTCTTGAGTGGCGCTCCTTTTGTTGCCCTTTCGACCCCTCGTTATTTGGTCTGAAGCTCAAGTCTTTGTCGAAATTAACGTCGTGACGTAATTTGATGTTGCTGATAATGTTTTGGATGTCGAGTTCGCTCAAAGATTGCTTCGTAATCGGAGGTAGCCTTGCAGCATGCCTGTAAGCATCCGCCAACTCCTCAATTTGCGCTTCGTTCTGGTACTCGGGCATGTCTTTGACGTGACTCTTAAGATATTCCACAAGGTCCTCTGCGATATCTCTTTCAGCCATGGAAAGGCTCCGGGGTCGCTGATACTTGTGGGATGATATCCTTGTCGCCGGGTGGTGGCGGCTTTCATCGCGTGTAACACCCTCTGAAGAGACAATGGTGCTGTCCCACGTCGCCCCATTAGCTGGTATGCCAACTGAAGCGCCTTCCACTTCTGACGTAGGTAGCGGTAAGAAGGCGTCAGCAGCCCTGCTGCCGGGCGGAGTCTGCGCATTCATGGTCTGGCGACGACGGAAGCCGTTACAGCTCTTCCTAGGTGGTCGTGTCTTCATGAGCTTGCAATGGCCGGTGAGGGACCGACAACCGGTCTGCAGGGGAGGGAGGGAGGGAGGAGGTTTGGTGTGCTTGGGGAAGCGACCGGTAATGTAGAGTAAAGCAAAGTGCAAGCGTTGCACCTCCACTGCAACTCTGTCAGCCACCAAACGGTATAGAAAGGCACGCGGTTTGCGAGGACACAATCGAGACGTGTTCGCGGATTGTTGACTGAGTGACGGGTAGCCGCATGAACGTGCCAGGCGATCCGAGTCAGACAGACAAGCTGCGATACGCGGCAGAGTGTCTGTTTCACGCTTGTGGAAAGTTATACCTTTCGCATGTGCTCAGGCCTGTGAGGTCTGGGGCGCAATATCAGGGTGTGTGCGCTGTTAACATGGTCGAGGCAAGCGTTGAGATGGCGATGTGCTCAAAGGAAGATATACAACAACGTTTGCGGAAGGGAGACACGACGTTTGCGGAACGAAGTTCTGCGTGAGAACTTCTAGACGAAAAGGCTTTGCCGCGGAAAGCAAAGCGAGAGAAAACAGAAAAGGCAGACAGGAATACTAGACGTCTTATTCTAGCTGGCACGCTTCACTAGAATGAGACGCTGCAAGGTGTGTTGCGGAATTCAAACCGGGCGCTGACTCGTTCGTTCCTGTGATCGTTGACTGGTGCGATGTGTCGGTGAGAGACGGACGGCGCGGGTGGTCACATCAAGGCAGCGAAGGACGGGGCCCTTGCGTCCTGTTTAAAGGGCATGTTACGATACGGCCGTGCTTTCGATAATGCAGCGCGGAGGCGGATCGCCACTTGGGGGGACGGCCTGGGGCTCTCGTGGCCGTTGCGCGACGTCGGCCCAGTGTCTGCTAAGGGCATTCGTGAAGCGTGCAGGCAGGCCTTCCCAGAGCCCACACAGCTACCCATTCGCCGCTCCAGTGGCTACTGGGCCCACAGCGGCAGCTGTCACACGCAGCGAGGGAATCGTGAGAGGCTTCGACGAGAGTGAATTCCGGGCCCGGTTTGGGCTAGGCGGGCGGCCAGGAAAGCGAGATTGGCTGGCTGTTCACTGCAGCCGCAGCCGCATCCGCCAACAGCCTCACTTTTTTGACACCCGGGAACGGCGCGCAAAACAGGGCGGTGGTGAAGGCCGGATGGCAAAAGAAAAGCAGCCAGCACCTGCCGTGCGCATGTTGCCCGTGGTCTTCGATTCGGCGGCTGCGACTGCTCATCCCGCTGCTCATCCCGTATATATACGCGTCGCCCTGCTATTGCACCCACCCAGGTACTGCGACTGCCGCGTCAGACGGATTCCGTCTTGAACAAAACGCCGCCGTGCCAGACGATCTACATGTACCGCCTCAAAGCTTGCTCGCCTCGAGGTTGCGGCAAGGGAGTCGTCCGTCCGACGTGTGGCCGATGGCCGGCAGCCGAGAGGCTCCAGACCTGGGAGCGGTGCGGCCGGAGAGGGTACGAACAGCTTCATTCGAAAATGTACGATGTGTTGGCCATGTACGAGGGCGTGAATAACATGCCATTGTCAAACATGTTCCGTATGCGGCCCCATAAGCCGTGCTGCTGTATACGTCGTGCGTTATATGTATGCAGCCTGCAGCGCCTTGTCTTTGTTGCCTCGCAAAGGCTGGCAGAGCGCCTGGCCAATGCCCCTCTGATGACTCGCAGATGCTGTGGTCAAAAGGCAGCATTACTCACTGCCAGAATGGTCCGAAGTCACTTCCCTGCGTTGCGAAACGTGAGGTACAGGGCGACGACTCACAATGAGCCCGGTGAGACGCTGTTTTCCTGGCGTTGTAGCCTGCGTAAGGATCATGCCTGGGGCAGCCGGGCCTTTGTACGTTCGCCGCACAGAGGTTGTGAATCTTACCCGATCAAAGTATAGTAGACAGCGGCGAATAAGTAAATCGTGCGAACAAGCGGAATAGGTGTACCAGAGTGGTGGAGAGGTGCCCCATATTTGTAGTATATGTAGGGCTGAGCATCGCATCTGCCGTCTCAGGCAACGACCCCTAGCCCGACGGAGCTAGAAGCCTCACAAATTCATCACCAGAGAAGGAGGCAATCTTTTCGAAAATCGTGCTCACTTTATGTCATCTGCTGTCAGTGAAGACTATGTACAGGGTCCGCAAGACAGCGAAGGTTCATGGTTTTCGGAACGAAGCTCTTAGCTAGCACGGTGCACTCCTTTGGGTGCCCTAACAGTACTCAAAAATATGCTTACAAAGCAGACAAAAGCATTTTGATATCAGATAAATTCTAAACAAATAACATCCAACCATTGAGGACTACCACCCAGGAAGCTGGAGAGGCTGACGCGCCCCTCATGCCAGTATGGCCTGCTGCTAAAAGACCACTTCAGGACTTCGTGGGCCCAGACGCGCGAGTCTCTTGGATCTCCTGAGTGACTGCAAGAGAAGAGTTTCCATCCTCAGACATCAACACCCCCTGCAATGCATCATCACGGTCCTGATTCATCTCTCGTCCCATCTTCTTCAACGTCCGTCTAAGTCATAGTGATGTCTCCACCCACACTTAAAACCCCTAAAAGCTCCTTCCCATATGCAATGTAGCCCCCATCTCCTTCGACCCCTCACCCACCTCTTTTTCTCTACCGCCACCACCCCCTCCTCCTGGCCTCAATCCTCTCCCTCATCACCTCGCCCCTCTCCACCTCCCTACACCACGCACAAGGTCTCGTCTGTGTGAGATTCAGCGCTATCCTTAGCGGGCAAGCGACACCACGAGGCCTGTCTTTGTCTTTGGCTGCGCGCCCTCTGTCACAAATCGCGATGTACGGCGGATAGGGTGCGGGAGGACAGCTGCAGGCCGACTGCATGAAGAGGACGCGGCACATAGTTCCCAGGTGTGTGCTGGTATGACGTGCGAGTTGTAGTAACGAAGTAGTGGCAATGTACAGAAGCGTATCTGGTTGTAGATGGAGATTGTACCGCACGCTGAAGGCGATGATCCTGTGTGGATTTGAGTTTTGCGAGCGGTCGACAGGTGGCAGTGTACTGTAGTATCCTGCTTGCGGCGCTGGAGACACGCGGTCTGCTCGACAGTGGAAGCTGTTGTCGGAACAGTTCGTCCGATTAGCTCTGATCGATTTCTCGTTGCTTTCTTAAGCTAACCGACGACAATGAGGATGATAGCAATCCCTCATGCTGCTTGTTGTCTGGATTGCAACGCGCGTTGCTCATTGCGGTGGGAGGGAAACGACATATAAAGGACGCTGCAGTCAGTCAAACCATCACAGCCCGTCTTACCAGCCTGCGATCCGATCCGTTCCTCGTCTGAGCAATCGTTCGTCTTGATTGCGATTGCGGTCGCACTCACCAACAACCTCGCCACTCCCCCCCTCACCGGTTGGCTGCATCTGTTTCTTCACATGTTCAACCCAAAAGATACGATCAAGCGTGTATATGTGCATGTATTAAGTCAACACCGCTCCGGCTCCGATCCGCGGCAGTGTGTGTATCTGCAACTCATCTCATCTTATCGCTCGCACACCAAGCACAAGTAGGAAACACTACACTCCCCGCTCAGTCTATCGTAGGCAGTAGGAAACCGTTGATTACAAAGTATAAGGCGCAGTAGGGCGAAGTCGATGGGATTGCCGAGCCGAACGCGATGTGCAACCGCTTCGCCCCAGATGCCAGCGCAGCTGAAATTTCCTGGCCTAGGCCGCAGGGCAGGACACGTATGGAATGACGTAGGTCGGAGGGAATACGAAAAGCAGTGTTCTCCAAATGAGGTCGAAGTTGCGTCTTTTCACTGCCGGGCAGCGTCAACAGTTAGAGCTCAAACTCGCTAATTTGTGGCAGGAAGCAGCGTTCGCCGGCCCGACGGAGCCTATTGACGACATGACTTTTATACGTCGGGGAAGTTTAGGATGGAACATCACTTATTACAACCGCGCGTCCATTTCTGAAGATTGTTTGCCAGCCCGACCACGTGGCGTTTCCTTCGTGCTTGCTTCATGCTCGTCTGGGCTGTCTTCATCCGAAGGGCTCGGTGGGCGGCTGTCGTTGAGGTTGCGGCGACTGCGTGCCATCTGTCATATATCAGCCCCCGTCTGACGACATAAAGTGAAGTACTTACCCAAGACCTCACACCACCGATCAAGCCAAGATTGTACCCTGCAGCGAATTCTGATGAGCCTCGCTCGGATGCGCGGCCAGGAATCTCCAGATGGCTGAGATGCGACAAGGCGGATGGAGAAGTCGCGCTTGCTGCCAGCTCGCGCTCGGTGCGCTCACGGGTGGGAGTCCTGGCAGGACTCGCAGGCCTGCTAGATTGCCAGAATTGGCGGAAGTCTTTGGTAAGCTCCTGGCCGGTTGTAGCCCAGTTGTTCTTGATGCTGTCGCGCAGTTCGACCATGTTGCGCTTGAATTCAAGCTCGTTCTTCTTCAACCACGAGACATTGAGCTCTTTACGCGAAGTACCGCGCTTGAGCTGGCGGTCGATGTACTGGTCATAATCGCGAACAATCCTACGCGGAGATTAGCATGGCTACCCTTGGAAAATTGTGGGCGAGATTACTTTGTGATGATGCCAGTGGTGCTCAGACCCTCGGTTCGCTGGGTTACCAGGAACATCCCCTTCTCTTTGATGGGCTTGTAAATGTCGTCTCCCTCGTCTGCGCCGTAAGGGAGATCGTCGTGAGCGACGTAGTCGATTCCATGCTGCTCGAGGAACTCTGCAGTCACGATCCAGGGGCAGTCCTCGATGACTTCGTCTACCCACTTGCAGTGGCGCACACTCTCGGCGCGTTCTGCAGCCGAAAGCACAGTAAGTCCCTTCCTGCGGTGTGTCTCCTCGTTGCCAGTAACGCCCACAATGAGATGTGTCTCGGGGAACGCCGTCTTGGCTTGCTGAAGCGCGCGCGCATGGCCCAGATGGAAGAGATCGAACACACCATCTGCATACACTCTGACGGGGCGCCCTTCCGGCGGCGGGTTCGTTTTGTAGCCGACTGGATCCACCAGACCGGCCTTTGGCGGAGGTGCCATCCGCATGGTGCCAGCCTCGCCGTTCACGCCGTGGTCACCCTCATCCCCAGAGTTGCTCGTCTTGCTTTTCTTGCTTGCGCGGTCCGGCTGGCCGTCAACGTCTCCGTTCTCGCCGTCGGCATTCTTTTCGGTACGCGTTCGCTTCGCGGAGACATGTGAATCGGCCTGTCGCTCCTTCTTGGAGGTGACCTGCTGGAGGACAGAGTCTTCGGCGCCCTCGTCGGAGGCGTCGCGTGACGATGGCTGTGCGACGTCCATGGCTGCGTTCTTAACGGAGGAGACGGTGTTGGTCCTCTTGCGTTTCGGCGGCATTGATTGCGGGGCGGGTGGGCGGGTGCAGCGGCTGAGATAGGTGTGGGCGCGAGCGATTACGTCGGCGCGTGGATGTGGTTCCAAGTTTCGCCCGAAAGGCGTTGTGCAAGCTTGCAATGCAGCTTCGTGGGGGACAGCTGTCGCTGGTGCCAAAGCGTTGAGGTCGGAACAGAAACCGGCGCGTGCCGATGACGTGAGTGGAGAAGCTCTGAAGCGTCAATGGAGCCGGAGCTTGTGGAGCTGCGACACAGCAGCAGGTGATCGGATGCAGGACGATAAGGAGGAGAGATGATGGATATGTCGCGATCTCCCAAGGACGCGCGAGTCCACAATCAGTCCATAAATTTCACGGGCCCCCATTCCCTGATTCGATCATTCCTTGGCAGTGACGGCGGCCGCAAGCTGGCCCAGCGTCATCCGCGCCCCCGGCTGAGCAGTTGAAACTCCTTCCCTCGAGCACGTGCAGCTACATCATCTCTGATTTATCCCTTTTGAATGCCATCATCGGAAAGTCCATCTTGCGGGTCATGGCTGGCGTGCGTTGTGTTGACATGGATGTTTGATAGGGGTATGGATGACGGCACAATACGTACACTTATGCAAAGACCCTGGCAACCGACACGCGACTTGCTGCTCCCTTCTGGTAACTCAAGCGACGCACAAGAGCCGCATGCATAACCTGTATATTCCAGTGAAGCTACACCCTCAAGTAGATTGAACGCGGCAGAAAGTGTGGTTCTGTCAACTTGCAGATATCCGATTCAGGCTATCGTCACTATCGAATGGTGTGGATATATACATCTGTCTCTGTCTTGATGCCACTCGCGGTTCCTTGGAAACCTACGTTGAGACTTTCCAACCCTCAACGTACGTAGACAGCGACCTCTTTATATTGTATCGTATTCAACCTCACATCATACCTGCGGCGCAGCACCCTCCTCCTCCTTCTCCCCCTTCTCTCCCTGCTCCTCCAACACCCAAACCCTCACCTCGCCATCATCCCCCGTGCTCAAAATCACCTCCTCGCCCTCCCTCTTCCCCTTGTCCGCCCGCTCCGCCCAAACAACATGATTAATCTCAAAGACATCGTGCGCAGAGAACAGCTCCGCAACAACAACCCACTCCGTAAGCGGCGCATCAGCATCCGGAACCACGGTGTCGCCGTTTGCCTCCGTCTGCGACCCTGAAGCTACCTTCCACCTCTCCTTGTACACTATGATCTTCCCGTCGCTGCCCGCAGACACAATCATGCCTGTCCGCCGAGACCACGATACGGAGTACACGGCGCGCTCGTGTGCTTGCGGGAGCACAGCGTCCTCGTACCAGTCCTCGTCGACGGCGGCGCTGCGGATGATACTCGGCATGCCACCGTTGGCGCTGTGTCCTCCCTCCCTCGCTTTCCGCCTCCATATCCTGATGGAAATGTCATCCGAGCACGTCGCCAACCTCGGCCCCGACTTCTCCAGCTCCTCAACGAATCGATCCTGCTCCTGCTGAGCGCTCGCGAGTCTCTTCGCGCGGAAATCCCTCTTCGCCATGCCACTCCCCTCAAACTCGGCCCACCACACCGTCTTCGTGTGCCCCGTGATGCACGCGACTTGCACCCAGTCGTCGGCGTCCTCGCGATACAGCCGCACGGTATCGTCGTAGCTCGCGCTGACCAGCAGATCCTCCTCGGGGTGCCACGCCACGCACTTGACATCCCCATCGTGCTCCTGCAGCACAGCCACCGTCTCGAAGTTGTCCTCCTCGAGCTCCTCCCATATCCACACGCTCTTGTCCCGACTGCACGTCGCGAGGTACTGCCCGCTGGGGCTCCAGCTCAGGCTCTTGATCTCGCTCTCGTGCCCGTCCAGGATGCACGCGAACTGGTACTCATCATCGTCGTCCTCGTCGTCGTCCTCCACGCCCGTGCTCGACGTGATCTCGCGCTCGAGCCGGTGCTGCGCGTGCCGCCAGATGCCAGCCGACGCGTCGAACGAGCCCGTCGCAAGCACGTCCTGCCCACGCACGTGCGGCTTCCATGAGACACTGCGTACGCTGCGCTTGTGTCCGCCGGTGACGCTGTGCAGGAGCGTGAACGAGGTGAGGCTGTAGATGCGCACGCTGCGGTCCGAACAGGCTGTCGCGACGATGGGCTGCGAGGGGTGCGGCGCCGTTTGCCAGGTGCGTGAGTTCGAGGGCGGCGTCAGCGTGGCGAGCGCGCGGAGCGTGTGCGTGGGTGCGTGTCTCGGAGCAGGCGCGGGAGGTGGGGGGGCCATTGCGCGCTGCGGTTTGCGCGGCTGGCGTCGTCAGGTCGTAGGCGGGCGAGGTAAACCGGCGCGAGGAAGCCTCATGTATGTGCGGTACGGAAGGCGTGCTGTTGCAGGCTTGGGGTGCGATTGAGAGCTGCTCGTATCCGAAGAGTGACGCTGCTGTCTGTACGTGGGGCAAAGAACAAAGCTTCGGCCTCGCTAGACTTGCCCCTCCATTGCATCCCACGAATGACCGGCAATCGCGTACGACGTCTATAGATTGAATTCATTGACAATTATTCTCAGTATTGTACATTTTTCGCAAAGACTTGTATCCAGTCTGCTCGAATCCACAGCGTCAAGCTCATCATATCCGCGCCTCAACACCGCCCGAATCAAAAACTGAGGCGCATGTGCCTGGCCGATCATTTACCCTCGTCACTATAGCAGGTGACATACATAAGAAACTAGACTGCCTCGCAGAGTATCGGGTATCGGAGACCAGACCAAAGACGCCAAAAGACTCAAGGAAACATTGCCCCAGGGCAGTTGCGGAGCTGAAGCCTACCGCCGAACAGTGTGGTCTTTTGCCAGCATCCTGGCATGAGGGTCTCGGAAAGACGTCGTGATGGAAAGAAGGCGGTCCGCCATGGTGAGCTGCTCGCTGTCGCCCACGCCAGCTTGTGACCGCACTCCCATCTCCTGTAGCTCGATCTGTGACACGCCTGCGTCCTGGCTGATGACAACCTCTTGGCTGACCATGATGCCTCCAAACCCTGTGTTACTTGGGGCATTCAAAGCCGTCTCCGAGATGTGAACGAGGCCTTTCTCCGAGCTATTGTCAGTGGGAACTGTGACCTCGGACATGGCCCTGCCTTTGCTATGGAAGAAACTGGTCCACTTTGCGCCGCTGTTTGATGCTGGCATCGCTGGCTCGCCCGCAACGGCAAAGAGTGAGCCAAACTCCTTGTGGTTCTGTTGCGCCAGTATAGCATGGTCTGGACAGCCAGGATAACTTCTCAGATTCGTCTTGAAGAACGAAAGCGGGATGTATTGCAGCTTCTCGCTCTGGAGAGATTGGCTATACACTTCTTTAATTCCGCAAAATGCAAATAGTGTGGCTGTTAATGCCTCATTTTGTCCTCGGACGCCATGCGCAATGTCGAGTTGGTGAGATGAGAAGGTAGCATGGCGAAGGGCCGGCTCGGGTACTTGCGCGACCAGCTCTTGAATGTGATTACGGAACTTTTCCATGAAGATCTCATCTTCGCTGACTGATCCGGAGCGAGAATTGATGCGAGCTAGACATTCGTCTAGAGTAAGACCGTTGAAAGTAGACAACAGTCTTAGTTGCCTCGGGGTCGGGTCATTCGGCATGAACTTCACCATGGGAAGTCGGTCGGGAGATGTCTTCGACACAATGACATCGATCCCTTTCATTACAGGAGATGGCTGCAGCAGGAACGAGGCAAGGTAGGTCCCAGATTTGGGAATGGTCAACCGTTTCTCGCAGTAAGTCTGTAAGCGAACAATGAGTCCGTTGAGATCCTGGCGCGATATCTGCATGCTTCGAGCGAGGTGGTCCCCGATCTGATTGGTGCTGGCGAAACGATAACCGATGTTCTGAAGTCGGTCCGCTTCTTCTTTGTCGACCTTGCGTGTCAGGACAAGAAGCTGTCCTCGGCCGAACAAGACGGGGTTCAGACCAGCTTCTACATCTTTCTGCGGCGCAACGACGTCGCTCGCAATGATGGGCCGCCCTTGACTATCCTTGAAAATGGTTCTTGAGAGCAAAGTACCCGTGGTGAGGACATCCTCGTAGAGTTGACCAAGGTCTTGTAGTCTCGTCTCCATGCTCCTTGCAATATCCTGGGCTGTGACGCAAAACATTTGGCGGAAGACGGCAGAGTAGGTAGAGTCACCTTCTTCAGTCCCCATAGAGTCTCGGCTATGGTTGCCTAAAGGGGTGCTGACCTGCAAGTACCCGGTGTGTTGAAGGTGGTCGCGCATCGCAGGGATGAGGTCTACGATACCTCCCCAGTGTCGAGACACCCGGAAAAGCCACTGGAAGACAGGGTGTCGTGTGTTGAACTCTTCGTCGAACGTCTGAGACTGGTCAGTGAAGTCCAATTCGCAATGTTAAAGGAGTGCCTACCCTCTGGTGAAATTGCCTGGTGATGGTCTGGCAAGGCAATAAACCTCCAGGCGTAACAAGAAGTCTGCCTTCGGTGTCGAAGGTGGCGACCGCAAGCACAACCTGTTTGGCGCGATCACGCTGTTTCTTCTCTTGTCGCTGTTTGATGAAGCCCATTGCGAAGCATAGTCCACAAGCAGCCAAACACTGGCATCGTTAGCATTGTCAATCCTAGGGGACTGGAACTCCACTTACTAAGCACACGGCAATGATAACGTTTGTGTTGCGCGCACTCCCAGATCCCTGGTGATATCCACGAAGCTCATAATGTGTGCCTGCTGCAGCCGTCCAATGCATGCCGCAGACCGCGACGGCCAAGAAGCAAGCAACAATGATTCGGCGCCAGATGTTGTTCATCCAATGTCCGCTCCAGTGGAAGAACAAGCCGAAAGCGATCAGACAAGCACCAATTGCTATAGCAGCAGCTCCAACAATGTATTCTGGAAGAGGCTTCAGTCGATAGTTGGTTGTTCCTTGGTTGCCCAGGTAATGCATCTCTGTCACAGCGGCTCCGCACATGATGCCGCATATCAGTAACGATACATAGCGTGTTGTCGCGTTCCTGTTGTTCTTGTGGAATCGATCAGCAGCTAAAAGGCCCAGGAAAATCACAACGATCGGTAGAATCGCCGAGACGGTTGTGTATGTCGCGTTGTAGTAGAGCTGGATCTCGCTCTCACCTCCTCCGAGAATTATTGCACGATTACCCACAAAGTGCATGCACCAGATTGCCACCAGTCCGAAGGATACTGAACAAGCACCTAGCTGTAGCCTGGAACGGGGCAAGTCAATACCAGGGTTTCGTAAATGTGTTATACGAATTGCACTCACCAGCCGCGCCATCCTGATCCAGAGACTCGTCGATGAAGAAGCTCAACCGTCGTGAACGCTCCGATCAAGCTCACAATATACGAAATGAATATTAGGTAGGGAATATAATGTAGACTCGGCTTGGACCCAATCGGGTAGTGCTCCTCTATCGTGGAGAGCATGTTTTGAGTTGATTTCAATCAACTGCTTCTGCCATGATTAGCAAGCGTGCAATTGCGGTAGTATCTGGATGACATACATGTAGATGCTTTGGCGAACCTTCTCTCGCTAAACGTACGAGGTCACTTCCCTAATCCCGCTGTGCTCCGAGTGGCTTGGAAGTGTCGTAACGCAACGATATCGAGCGTAGTGATCAGGCAGAACCCATACTCGGCCAGCGCACGATTGTAATTGCAGATACGGTGTACCTCAGGTGCCCAGAGGTTGAGAAATGATGAGCGATCCTGGGCGTCGATGAGACCTTTCCGAAGGCGTGAAGGAGGCGCCGAGGTGCGCAAGCCTCTATCGTCACACGTCCGGTAATTGGCAGCAATGTGCGAATGATGCAGGTTGGGCGCCGCTTTCTTGTATACACGGGAACACAATGGGCCAAGATGACCTTAACAACACGGCTCAAATCCACTCTGCATGTCGCAGTTAGCCTATTACCGCCGCTTCATGCCTTCCACCTCCTACGCTACCTATCCCGTACTTTAGACCTCATGTCAGCGACAGAGCTAGGCAAGCGGCGTTTCGAACGCCACACCAATCTATCCCCGTCGATGATGGGTCTCCGCTTGGTACGCCAGGCGACAGGCACATATTCGATACTGGAGCGCAACTTAGCCAGTGGAAAGTTTCGACGGAAGCCCTAGCGGAGCATATAAGGAAGAGCGGCCGCCTCACGGCTGTAGCAGCTGTGCGCCATTTTGTGGCTGACCCGCTTCTGGATCGAGCTGAAAGTTCGTCATTCCGGACTTATGCTAGAATGCTCCGGGTCACTATGATAACCATCTGCCTAGTACATTTTGCTCAAAGTTTATCTCTCGAGCCAACCACGTCCGCGGACGTGACCGAGGTCTTGTTACTGACACGGAGTAACTGTGCGCGACGAGTTATTCATTGGGTTGCTCATGCTGCCGTCAAGCAAATAGAGTCTGTACAGAGATTAGGCGTGTAGTCCAGACGTGGTAACAGTGCAAGCCATCAAGCACTGTGGTGTCCCGAGTCCTTGGAAGGGAAAGAGATCTGACGGTTACCCCGCGGCTAATATTTTCCTAGCCCAAACGTTGGTCCGGAATGACTGCTTTTAGAGGTATAGCTCCTGAAAGTACGCACGCCCTCGCTACCATGAACGCTCAACAGCTCGGGTAGCCAATGCGATGACATGAAAGCAATTGCACCAGTCTCTAGTCCGCAAATCTAGGCTTCCATCGCGCTTCTGCGGATTCATCGTTGCAACGCGTCTACAAACCCCTGAATGTGTGGCTTGTTACGCTGCAAATGCTGCTTCAAGTTCTTTCGTATCATTAAAAAACCAGTATAGAACGTGTAGGTGGAGGGTAAGTGTGCGCCTGGGAGACTTCGAGCAGAAGTTCTTACAGCATTCGGAACGATCGGTCCAAAACAATACGTTATTCGCGCTTGTCTCAGCTGCGAGGTCGTTGGCGCTTGTGATCTGTTGGCCTGTGCAATTTACGAAGGGCTGATCTCTTTCGCCAATCGCTCCATGCGCGATCTGCCGTGTTAGTGCCAACAAACCAGGGTCCCTGCCGTCGATCGAGGTCCAGGAACGCGTCCGATATCACCTCGTATTCTTTTGCTTCCATGCCGAAATTACAACCTCATGCAGGTGTCTATTGCTACATCTGACAGGTCAAAGTAAGGTTCTCTTCTGATGTGCATCAAAGTGAATTGCTGGGCGGAGCTGGACCCTGAAACAGCAAATTCGCTGCCGGCACACTAGTAAGAATACATGCTGTCACAAGTCATGACTAAGCCCTGTTGATATGGTTGAAGTCTAGCAGACGTTCATTTCTTTGCGACAAAAATGCTCGCCGAACAGACTGCGGTGGCTGATGGTGGGATCCAATCGCTTGGACGACACTAACGATAACGAAAAACGAGGCATCCCGGAAATAGGCTGAACCCCACGTGAAGAACGTCGACGATCCCCCGGCGCGCACGTTGAAGTGGGTGTTGTGGGCACGGGATCGTCGTGACTCATGGAGGAGACCCTTCTGTCCGCCGCCTGTAGCTCGTAGACTGCTGGGGACATCGGAGCTCCGTCCGGCGAAAGCCAGAGACATGTGATACTGACAACCAACAGATCGTGATGGAAGGCTCTAGAGCGTTGAAGAGCCACCTAGGACGGCCGTAACGTGAAGTCTGTGCGGCCCTTACGATAGTGTGTCTCGACGCGAACCACTAAAATAGATATCTCAAATAGAGCTACCATGCTGCGGAATGTTTACTTGCTTGTTTGTAGAGCTCCTTACGTGTTCACACCTCGGCATCGCAGGACTAGTTAAGATGAATTCGATCGCGTCTAATTTATCCCCTTTCAATGTTCTTATTAAGAGTAGTTGAGTCACTTGATCGCAAGGTTTGTACGTGCCCTTTTTCCTGAGGCGTTTCCACAAAGTAATGCAAATCATCCCAAAGTCCTCGGCGGTGGCGACCCGCTCAGAAATTGAAAAGTATTTGCTCAACGTCTGTGCACGGGCTAATCAGTGTGTTCGACCGCTGAACCTCCAGGGTGTTGTCTCGAGAAGCTCGAATATTGTTGAGTAAATTTTGCTTGACTGACCCATCACGCCCGGTCTCTATTTCTCCCTCCCCAGGTACCTTTTCGTTCAAGATCTGACTGGTAGACGTGGTAGAATCCTTGTTGATCGAGTTGGACGTTAGACAAACAGTGCTGCCAATTTGAATATTCGTCGTGCTGGGTTCGATGTTGTGCAGCTGTTCGCCGGTCCCGTACTGAATGATGGTGCTAATGTCTCTGTATTCCTCCAGAATTTCTTCGCCTGTTTCGGCAGAGTTGGCCTGAAATCCGGGGTCGCACAAGGTTTTGATCGAACTAAACGCTGTTTTCACTGATTGCGTTTTCAGGACGTGGCACCATAACCGATCAGCGATAGTCGACGCCGCATCACGGCCTAAGCTAGGGTTCACCCCGGTAGGCATTTTCTTAAGTTCTGCGATTTTGCCTTTCAGGCTCTCAGATATTGCTGATGAACCGAGACGGTCGAGTGAGCGAGCAAGGGTTGGAGCAGTGTACGTCACATGCGCGCATGCCTGCTTTGGATCAGCTACCAGACAATTGCACCTAACCCTCACCAAAGCCGGATGCGACGTACAGATGTATAGTTGACACGCCATAAAGCTGGAGCGACGTTTGTCAAACCATGGATGAATGTATTGGCCTTTACCTTGAGGTTAGTCAAGGATCCCTTCAGGTGGAGACAGATCGAAAAACGTAGCCCGGCTTCAGCCAGGGCTGCGATGCATGCCGGATCAGACAACATATCGTCAGTGATATCAACAACCACATTATTAGGCTCTGAGCTAATGTCATATACCTTCCTTTTGCCACGATTTGGGGAGGCGAGTTTCAGATCAAAGTTTGGATTGCTTGGTGTCTTGCATAAGCGCGCTTGGACATGGATGCTTTCACCTTGATCCATGGCCTTGCTCTGACATGCCGAATTCAGTAGTGGATCGGATCTGCTTGATGGATCTGCATTTCGGATCGTATCAGCAAAGAAGGCTTCGGCATCGCAGGGCTCAAGTGCCGACTTTGCCGCTTCCCGCTTTGGACGCTTGCGTGCTGGTGCACGGGTTCTGGTCTCGCAAAATGCCATGACAAACTCGATTGAGTTCAAATTAAATATCGGTATTGCATTTGGAGGCCAAAGGTCTACACTGAGTGAGCTCTCATAGCTACCTTCGGCGTTGGTAGGTGACTGTGCATCTTCACGCCAGCGGTCAATGTTGAGGTGCAACTTTCCGTGCGTCGGCTCATAGTTGACAGGCAACGAGATGCGAAAGCCAAGTTGCTTCCACGCCTGATTGATCAGTACGTGAGATGCTGTAGGTCACGATCACTCACTGGAGCATTGACGATGCAGTCTCCAAGCTGCTGAAGACCGTGACTGTCCAGGGGTTGCCCAAGCTTTGTGCAGTTGAAGGACATGTGCATGTCGTTGCCACGTTTGACCCAAACATTTCCGGATGACATATAGTCCAGAAGTGTGTCGATTTCGAGGTTATCAGCGTCGAAGCTGATGTTCTGTGCTGCAGGGTTATTTAAGTCTGGTGAGAGAGTGATCAATGTTGTGAGCCACAGCTCAATGTTGGCAGCCTGCATTGCAATCACTGCGCGGCCTAATTCGATAGTCCGGGACATCTTCACAATGCCGTGAAACCTGCAAGCGCAGCTACTTGGGCAGTGAAGTGAAGGTGTTCGGATGGGCGACCCGCAATGATCCCAGAGGGAAGGCCAAGACGCGAACAGACGGCAAGTGTACCCGACGTCATGCCTGCTCCAGCAGCTCCACAGCCCCTCCACCCACCACCATGGCTCACTTGTCCAGGATAACACTGCGCCGCGTGAGCAGGGCCGCCGAGTGCAATTGTGCGCGTTCGTTCCTGGCGCGACCTGCCACAGTTCCAGCGACGCATCGCGCCTTCCGCACCACGTCTCCCAGCCGAACCGATGGCGTATTTCGCGAGCTCACGGCGCAGCGCCTGCAGACGCCATGGGTCGAAGCATTGCGCAAACAACAGGAGGAAAGCAAGAGCGGCGCCAAAAAGCCCCTTGCGCCTCAGGTCCCCAAAGAACGCGATTTGACCCCAAAGCGCATGGATGACAGCTACCACAAAGTCGTGCTTCCTCTTGCGCAAGACCCATGGCTGCTCGACACGTACCTCAACTCCTCCGGTCACATACGGTTGGGGACGATATTCATGGATCTCGATGCGCTTTCTGGAGTTATCGCGTACAAGCACACTGGCGACGACGTAACCACCGTGACCGCCAGCTGCGATCGCATCGTGATCAACCATCCCCTGACCGAGATCTGCGATTTGGAACTGTCTGGGAAAGTCACATATGCGACTGGCAGGAGCAGTATGGAGATCACTATGCAGGTCGCGAAAGCACCGCAAGAGGGCCAAACCATCAAGAACGAGGACGTGCTCATACACTGTACAATGACAATGGTTGCTCTAGATCCAGCTACAAAGAAGTACAGCGCTCCTCCAGTTGATTTCCGTAGAGCATGACAGCTGATGCAGTCTCCAGACCAGTCAACGTTAACCCGCTCATCGTCTCCTCACCCGAAGAAAAGCGTCTCTACGACCTTGGCGAACGCAACTCAAAAGTCCGCAAACAACGCAAAGAGACAGCTCTCACCAAACACACGCCCAACGACCTCGAATCAGACCTCATACACGCCTTCTGGCAGAAGCAACTTCAGTACCATGACCCCTATGACGAGCTCCGCAAACCCGACAACGCGCACTTCATGGACACCACCATACTCCGCAACGCCACCATCATGCAGCCCCAGAACAGAAACAGGCATCAATTCATGATCTTTGGTGGCTTCCTGCTGAAGCAGACATTCGAGTTGGCATTCACGACCGCCGCTGCCTTTGCGCACGCGCGCCCCACGTTCGTCTCGCTCGATCCGTCAACCTTTCAGAACCCTGTACCCGTCGGCTCGATCCTATACATGACGGCAACGGTCGTATACACAGACCCCCCACTCATCGGTGCCCCAGACGAGCAGTTCGACCCTCAGAGCGAATACACAAGGGTGCAGGTGCGCGTGGACAGTAAAGTGCGTGATGTCGAGCACGGCCGTTCCAAGCCCACGGGAACATTCAACTACACATTCACCGTGAAGAAGAACATCAGAGTGGTACCGAGGACGTATCAGGAATTCATGCTGTATCTTGACGCGAGGAGACGAGCGGAGCAGGTGAAGGAGACTCTGCAGCATGAGGGCGTAGGACTCAGCGCGCAGACCGCGGAGGAGAGTGTGACTGAGTAGCGCGGTCTCTGGCGACCCTGTAATCATTGTACATCAGACCGAAGTTAGATCGCGCGAGGGGACTTGTGCGGGCATGCGCGTAGCACAGTCTAGGAATGCTATGTAGAGCGAGTTGACCCACGCAACATTGACACGAGAAAGTACTCAATTGGGATCCAAACGGAAATCATCTAAGCAGAAGCCTCTGTCACAAAACTAAGCATACTGCGCTCTATGGTATATCAACAGGACAAGATTCAGTCCAGCACCCAATCCAAATCCACGTAACGCCTGTACCGTGCCAAATCCCGAGCAACCGCGACGCTAAACACTCGCGCCCAAAATGCTCGCTCGATGCGGGAGAACAATGAAAGAATCAGAAAAGACATGGTATCCAACAGAAAAGCCAACCGCAAATGCAAGCCCATCCCTCGCGTATACTCGCGTGGGTGTTTCCAGCCGTACCGCCTGCACACCCCTGTATAGCGAAAGGCGGTGAGTCTAGCGGTGTGAACCCCCCATCCCTCAGCTCAGCATTGGGGTCCAAGTGCAACAGCCCCAGCGCAACCGTCTCGGTCCCGATGCGCCCATCTTATATCTCGTCCAGCTCAAACTCGAGCGCGACGTCCTCGCTACACTCGTGGCAGTAGTAGTTGCTGAACCCGCCGCACTCGACCGTCATGTTCTTGCACATGTCTATGCTCCACGCGTCGTACGAGTAGCCTGAGAGGAGCCGGTTGTGGCAGATTTCGATCGAGTTGGCCCTGCCGATAGGTAAGCGGTTGTGATGGGATTGGGAAATGGGAGGAGGGAGACGGAAGGGAGACGGACCAGATGTAGTAGTCGTGGTTGCAGTAGTACCAGGAGTAGGTGTAGGAGCACATCGTGGGGGGTTTTATTGGTGGGTTGGTTGGTAGGGTGGGGTCGGTGTGCGATTGGGTGTGCGGTCTGGTGTGTCGCGTGGTCGGTCAGCGAGCTGGTACGCTGGGAGGAGGAATGTGGTCTGATTGAGATGCTGGAACTGGAGTCAGACAAGAGTCTTCTTCATCGGTGTTGCTCTGCGGTCGATGCGCTGATTGCATGAGGCTTTGCGCCTAGCTCGAGTTTTGGCCAGCGCAACAAGGCTGGGCAGAAATGGATGCTGAGCACTCACCTTGACGCTTGGGATCAATGCGAAGAGGACGTGAATGTAATACTAGCCGAAAGACACCTGGGGACAATGCTGCGTGTTGCAATCCGTTCGAATGTTCTTTACTCTGAAGCAACCGTAGTATGTATGCCCTTATCTTCCTTCAAATCTTCTATCTCCGCACTTCTAAGACGCTCAGTAATCCGACACTGTTAATAGCTAGCAGCAGGAAGCATTTGGGCGTCCCCACGAGGGCGCAAAGGCGGCTTTATACGTGCGCCTTTGACTCCTCGAGCGCTCGGACCGCAGCCCACGCCGACGGCAGGGTGCTCCCCGGATTAGCTGCACTGTGATAAGTTTGATAAACGTGAAGCGGGCCAGCCGAGATGCTCGGGCCCACGTCTAGGGTCGCCCGGGGAATACATGCAGCCCTCGCATGAGCTGTAGTTCTAGGCGGTGGACGTGGCCATCCGCGTCTGGGGCCGCTGTGCACAGTATGCACGGTCATATGAAGGCGAGCGGTATGCCTTCTCCATACACGCACTATATCGAAGGGTTTGAGCAGAACTTTCAGCGCCGAAGCGCTCGCGTGGCTTCTTGCAGTGGTGGTAAGCCCCGGGTCGTGTGCCTGTCTCCGAATACCGGCAAAAAGTGGACTGGACCCTGCGTCGGACCCTGCATCTCGTTTGACTCTTTGGGCAGGCCAACCAGCGTCGAGTGTCATGCTCAGGGCCCGTGAAACACAGCTGCGCGGCTCAAAGAGGAATGTAAGAGGCCTAGAGCGGCCGGCTAGTGCGTTGTTCGCTCGCGTGGACCGACGAAAGACTTCCGTTGTGCAGCCCGTCGATAAGAACGTACTACAGTCTGGGTTGGAGTTGCTTAGGTGGGTGCTCTCACCAGAGATACCAACATTCTATAGTCCATGGACTGCATTGGAAGGTGACTTTGAACCCCGGCCACCTGTCCACTCCACGATGCCGCGTATCGCCAGCCCATGTTCTGAGCCGATGCTCCCGTCGAGAGTGACAATCAATTGATCCCTCCCGAGGAATCCCCTCCAATGAGCTTATCGATTACACAGCGCTATCAATGCCTCGCTGGAGTTTCCCCCTGCACAAGCTGACATTCGTCCTCACCGCCTAGCGCCCAGATGACCCAGCGAGCGTGGCCAATCGAACCCCAGAATCGCGCCGATGGTGGGAGAGCATTACCGTCTACAGCGAAGCCATGAGGAGGCAAACCGAGAAAGTGAAGTGTGAAGCGCGCATGCTGCTTAGCTAAGAAATGCCGCCATGCCGATCGCTTCCGAGCAGCCTCATCCCTTCCTCTTCGGGTCATTTCGGGTCGGCCCAAAACACTCATGACCTGGAGGGAGAAGGACGGGCATGCATTGAAAATCCATATGGGCCATTCCAAGTACATGTTGATGATGCTGGTGAAGTGCTTCTGACTCTGTTGAGCAACCTGAGTCAAGAGTGTCGTAGCTCACTGCCCAATGAAGAAGTTGAGACGAGGTTGTGCTCGGCCGAGCTCCGAATTAGCCTAGCCATTTTGTAGAAATTGGTAGCCATATAGAATTTATGCCTATACAAATTCTGAAGCATAGGAACTGGTTGGGGCACAGTCATTGGTTTTGGTATCAGAACCAGTAGTGACACGCGACAGTGTTGTCTCGAACCATTGTCAGGCGAATAGTCGCATCTCGAACAGTGTGATTTCGTCTAAACTACTGAGAAAGTGTATCCAACTTTTCGTAAGACATTGCAAGTTCATATACCACATATACCGATATGGCTCTAGTGATAGGACAGTCCTTGAAATGTGAACAAAGCATCCAACATGATGACCGTTGATGACCAAAAGAAACTCGACCGTGATATGAAACGCCATGCTGTGGGAACCTTTTTGGAAAAGAAAATGCTGCTCATCCGGAAAACCTACGTATCTCAAATAAACGAGCTAATTCTCGCTCAGCCAGTCGAGGAACTCGGGCGTGAAGTAGCTCACGACTATAGAGGCACCCGCTCGCAGAATGCCCTGGGTTGCCTCTTCAGCCATTGCCCTGAGGTCGAACACGCCGGCCTTCGCTGCTGCGTGGATCATGGCGTATTCGCCCGACACCTGGTATGCAGCTACAGGCATATCCTTACCAAGCTCTTTCGCATCGCTAATGATATCAAGGTACTGGCTAGCGGGCTTCACCATGATTATATCGGCGCCCTCATTAATGTCACGGACAATGGCTCGTCGGGCGAGACCACGACCGCCGGGGGGAAGCTGGTAGCATCTACGGTCGCCGAACGACGGGCATGAGCCAGCAGCATCGCGGAACGGGCCGTATAGAACGCCAGAGAACTTGGCCGAGTATGACATCAGCACGACCTGGTGCGCAATCCCAGCCTCGATCAACTTAAGCTTGATGGCTCGAATACGGCCGTCGTTCATATCGGAAGGAGCGACGCAGTGTGCACCTGCTTCGGCGTATGCCATGGCGACGTCGCTGATCCTGTCCACCGACAAGGCATTGTTAAGACTGCCATCATCCCGCAAGATACCACAGTGGCCGTGTGAGGTGTATTCGCAAAGGCAGACGTCGGCGACGATGAATAGATCGGGGAACGAACGTCGAAGCAATCGAATAGCCTTGATTACGGGACCTTTGGGGTCGTCGGCGCTGGTTCCTAACGCATCCTTCGCCCCCGGCGCAAGAGGCACGCCGAACAGGATGACGGATCTCAGACCCTTCTCCACGAGCGGTTTCAAATATGGGACGAGCTTGTTCAGGCCGCGGCGGTGTTGGTTGGGTAGGGCGGGAATAACGGTCTCCTCGTCGGGCTGGTCGGATATGAAGAGAGGGAAGATAAGCATCGACTGTAGCAGTGTCAGCTCCTGCATGCGTTGGATTGCGGATATTCGAAAACGCTGACCTTTGTCAATTGCCGCTCTGCCTGCCATGAGCGGGCCAGAGGGTGGCTGTATCCTCCATGCAGCTGACTCTTGATGTCTCCGGTGATACTGACGCTCGTCGCTGCCGTGCTGGCGTACGAACGGCCGCTTGAGAGCCCTGGCCGGCTGTCTCCGGTCATAGAACGACCGCTCGAAACCTGTGGTCGTCGGTCGTCCCTGTCGTCACTGCGGTCCGCGTCTTTGCGGAATGCAATATCTGAGACGAGCGAGGAGAAAGACATAGTGTGCGTGCGATTACTAGCGCAGATTTGCCCTTTGCGAGGTCGAAGAACGGATGCAGCGGGTATCAATGGGCGAGTTTTGGGCTGTAGGGCGGAGTGGAGGGTCTTGGAAGTGTCGCAATAAATGCGATGGACGAGGTGGCGGATTTAGAGCCGTTGCAAGGATGCCGCGAGCCGAGGCGGGTCCTGTGATGGTTTACTCCGAGAAGCTTGTGAGCAACCTCGACTCAACACTGGCGCGGAATGAAGAAAGAGGGGCTGAGGAGGAGCTTGCAGGAGCCTTGTAATTGTGCACCGTCTGACCTTTGTACGCGAAGCTGAACGCTGAGAAGAAATCTGCGGCTGCCCAGCGCTGAAAGCACCTCCGAGCCTTCTCCGCCATAGTATAAGCAGCCGCTGATTGGCCGCCTTTGGGAGTGTGTGCATATTGAAAGCTTCCAACTTCTCACAGCTCAAGGCGCACCTAGCCATCAACGTGCATGTCAACGACAGGAACGATCGGCCCGGCGTACTGCGTTTATCTACCAGATGGGGACCTTATCGTGGTGATGCTTTTCCGATCTTGACCCCGCCGGCTGCTATCTGGTTCACCACCAGGGTCTAGATGGATACCATCCCGCCGGACTGGCCGTCGTTCCATGCACCCCTCCAGACGGCGCGGCCTCTCCACGGAATGCCAACCTCATTCACGCGGGCGCCCGCAACTGACGCGCAGCAATGTCGTTACACTAAACCACAATGACTCTAAGGGCTTACTTGGAGCTTCGAGTTCTCGTCTCTGGGCCAGGAACGCTCTCCGTGGCGTAACTGCTTCCATGGTACACAGCGGAAGCGTGCAGCTCCACGTAGAAAATTCTGCTCAATGGCTTTCTCGACACGGCACTTACAGAGCGAGCTTGTATATAACAAAGGAAGTAAATCTGCTATCTCAAGAACAAGGAAAATATGACTCTGGAAATCGCTACCCCTGCACCGCTGTCTCGCGTTGGCTCGTTGCGTCGTCACGGGTCGTTGCGTCGAAATGGTTCATTACGCCGCCACGATTCGGGGCGAGAGAATTCAGAAAGCATCTACACGTCGATTATGATCAGATGTGAGACGGACGCGGCCCTGATAGCAAACGTACAGTCAATTCGCAAGTTCGCTGCTGTAAGTCTTGTTCATCTTATCTTCTGATTGGGCACCCTCCTTCACTGCGATATCAATTGCATCACCCGCCGTTATAATCACATCTCATTTCGCCTGCATCCGTACAGGCAATGGCGTAATGTCCAAGTCGAGTCTGTCGTTTCCTTTACTTCTTGCCCTTGCGGCAAACTACCCCTCCACGCGGCCTTTGTCTTTACTCGACTTCACACCCATTCTACGCCGTCAGCACGCCGCACGCCACATCCCAAAGTTACTACTCGCGCAAGCACCTAAGAGCCATTGTCTCCCGGTGATACCTTGGACTTGTCTTGTTAATCTGCTTGTCGTTTGCGGTTTCCCCAAGCTGCTATATCAATCCGCCACCATGCCCGTACCTCAACACCGGAAGTCCCACTACCTTCTTCCGCTCAACAGCATGATATTCAAGTCGAAGTCGTCCTCCAACTTACCATCGACCGAACAGCGCAACATCCACACGAAGTCGACGACCACCCTCCATCGCCTATCTATGATCGAACAGCCAGATGAGGAACTCACTGCCCTGCCGCTCGCCCCGCCGAACAAGCCCATCCGTCGCACGCCGAAGAATCACGACCCAGCAATCTCCTCACTTCGATCACGCGCCTCAACCGAGCACCTAGAGACCGTTCCACATCCGGCGCTTAGACCTTCTAGGAGCATGGGAGATCTGAGGGATGGCGACTTGAAGGATGACAAGAAATTGGAGTCGATCTGGCGACGCTTCATCCTGGCACTCAAGAAGCCTTTCCGCAAGGGAAAGGAACCGGTCGCAGAACCAAGGGAGATGGTCATCGGCGGACCCACCGACTTCAAGCACCTGCAGACCGGAACTGCTTGCCTACCTGGCAACCCCACATTGCCCGCACCTGACAATAACGACCCTGAAGATCAGACTTCCTCCGGCGATTGGGAGACGGTTCGCCAGTCCGAGTCTACCTTCCGCCGGGAGGAGTCTTTCCAACGTCAACTCTAGTGTCTGGTTGTACGTATCGCTCCAGTCATGACACGGGTTGCCTGGCTAACATTGTCCAAGCTTCCTTCGATTCTCCTTCTAAACTTCAACCTCCTGTTCCACTGTAGGACAGACGAGACATTGCTGAAAGTCTAAATGTGGGAGTTGCGGCTTATTGGTCTTTTTGGCGTTGACTCAGCGTTCTTGCTTATCCATATCTTCCAATTCCGAAGTTGTTTACCATTCTCACGACTGCTTAGGCGGTCCCATTATCTAATTTTTGCTGACACCAGCGTCTTGTATTGTGTTACCCCAAGATTTTGTCTTTCACGCCAAAGATGGCGTCTGCATGATTCTAAAACCAGCTTTTCATGTATCACGCTGATGGCCAGCGTCTTGTACCATTCTGGAATCAAATTTTCATGCATTCAGCAAGTAGCAATACAGAACTCTAGCTATCTCTCAGGGGTCCTCGTCCTCGCTTCCCGCTCAACGCCAAAACTATGCTCCACATACACAAGTCCCATATCCTCCGCACTATCCGCCTTCCCTTGCCCCCTCCGCTCGTTCATCTCCCACCACCTCGCGAACCCCCTACTCGCCCGACTCGGCCGCCTCTCCCCCTCCCGACTATATATCTCCTCCGGTTGCCCCGGCGCGACTCTCACCTCCCCAATATCATCCCCCTTGCTGACAACAGAAATCTTCCTCGCCAGACTTTTGATCGGTGAACTGGGCTGCGAGTGAGATGTGCCGCTCTCAAGGTCGACGGCACCGAGAGGGATCGGGGTGCGGGATCTAGAGCGCGTGGACCAGGATGGGAAGGAGGGCGTGGGGGGCGTGATGCGCGAGGCGAATTTGCCGAGGGAGGAAGTGAGTTTGGGGAAGACGAGGAGGGCGACGATTTTAATTGAGGGGGCGCAGGCCACGAGGATGGCAATGTGGTTTTCGGTTACTGAGAAGAGCATCGTGGTTGCAAAGCGAACTGTGTGGGCGTTGGTCAGACGACATCTCCACAAGGTGCTGAGGAAGCCGCGAAGTGGATACTCACACGTGAAATCAGGCTTCACGGCGCCAATGTAGATGGCCCATACGCGTGCGGCGCTGGCTGCTAGGACGCTGTATCCTCGTCAGTTTTTGTTGTATCGCCGAACAGGCATAGGAAGCACGTACAGCCCACCCAACGCAAACAAGCAATTTAGTCCCACCTTCTGCGCCCTCCTCAACATAAGATTCCTAGTAAACACCACCGGCATCGCATACAGCACGACATCCGTCGCAAGCATCATGCTCGAATTGTACAAATAAAACGCATCCATATTGAAACAATACCCTTCGATGTCAGGATAGAACGCTTTCTTGAAGGGACGGCACCGCAGCAGGTCGACGAGCACGCTGGAAAGCCCGAAGCTGAAGGCGACGCCGTGCATGGCGTAGATTGCTATGCGGTGGGTGCGCTCGCGGGTGATTTCGGAGTAGAAGAGGAGGAGGGCGTGTTTGATGGCCCAGTTGCAGAGGAAATAGAAGACGTTGGAGGTTAGTAGGAGCTATGGGTGTTAGTTGGGTGATGATGTGTTTGGGAAGGGCTTAAATTGTACTTTTCTCAACTCGGGCATGTTTGCTGGGTCGACGTCGGCTTGGTGGAGGCCTAGTCCGAGCCCTGTGCTGACCATCTGGAAACTGGAGAATACGGTAGCAGATACCTAGAGATCGTCAATAACATGTTTCTTAAGGATAGGAAGACCGAATGCGTACGGCAGCGAGTACAATGAGGCCATCGTGCATGCCAAAGTTCCCGACAACGAATATTTTACGTCCTGCTCTGGAGACGACCGCACACAAAGTAAATGTAATAAGGACGGCATTGACCCAGAGAATGATCAGTCGTTGGTCTCCCATGGTCAAACAAGAAACGAAGACACTAAAGATACAATACAGAACGATAGCGAAGAAGGTCACTGCGAAACACGGAGGAGCGTACCATCGAACACGGGCGTCCCACAGTCCTCAGCTCGAGGCCACACGGTGCTTAATACTAGAACCACCGTCGTATATCACATGGAGAGATGTATAAGACGGCCGAGCCCAGCCAAGTGAGTAACTTACTCCCCGAACTGCCGCGCAACAGCGAGCGCTTACGGTTGCACGACACCTGCATGTTTCGAGCGCGGCTACCATTGGCTGAGAACGTGCAGATGTTTCGATCAGCGGCTGTCAAGGCATATTAACGTCAGCCCTGCCCTGGTCACAATATCAACAGTTCGACGATCGCTTACGCTCACGCTCTGGTAGACGCGAGGGGATGGTGGGCGCCGGGTAGCACTGTGCACCACGACCTGTAGTAGAATAAAGTATGCTACGGAAACTACGGGTGACCATGTTGAGCAACAATGCGTTGTGCTCCGCACAGTGAAGGTTTGCGTGGATGAACGCCTGTTTGACCGTTAGATGCACCCTTCGTACGCCCCGCCAGCGGTGTACCAATGAGGTACAGGCAACACTTTGACTTCAGCCCATCAGCATTAGCAACGGCTTCCTCCCGCCGCGCCGCTCCGACTCCACAATTCATATTTATCCTTACACCTGAAATAAACCGCCAACGCATGGCCTCAGCATCCTTCTGATCGCTGCTGCACTCAGCATGCCGATGTTGTCCACGATGAGAAAGGCGAGATACAAAAGGCACTGTGGGGCTTCCATAGGGCTGGCGCTCAGCGCGCTTCGTGCCCGCCCGAACATGGATGTTGATTGATGCCAATGGGTGCGGTTCCGTCCTCCCGGCGCCATAGCTCGCGTGGCTATGGACTGGGGTGCAGGCGGCCGCCCAACGGATGTGGGTTGTTCTCCGACCTTTTCTAAAGACGTGAGTTGATGGGTCGGAATATTTTATGCTGAAAATAGAAGTGGGCTCGTGGTGAGCGAACGGTGGTTCGCTGATAATGCTGCTCGCCGTCGCTGACTGTCTGCAACGAGCCTAGGTGATAAGGAGTGAGGATGAACACTGCAGATCGAAGAGACTGCTCTCGATGGGCAATCGACATGTTGCGATTCGTGGTCTAATTTTGGTGGAGGATCAAGAGCTGGAAGCCAACCTTTGGTGACATGTGAAGAATCGCGCGACCATGAAGTTATCCAATAATTACGCAGAAAAGCGGCCTCCAGTTTTAGAGTCAGCATGCTAGTCTCATGCAAGCAAGCTTAGGAGACCGGCTCTGCAGAATCATCCTCATTCCTGGTGTTGAGATTGGAATATTATCTTTGACATGCTTCGGCATCAATTGAATTACATGGTAAGTTCACCCACTGAAGGCGATACTTCCACTTCATTGTTAGATTATCGACCACCTGCACCCGCGTTTCTCTCGACCCAGGCCGGTAGTAGGAGACGTCTTCGCTGTCTCCGTAGGGTACTAATAAACGACCTTGGAATCTCCTGCACAATGACACTCTCCACTGATGTCTAACATCAATTCCATGGGTGCGCCTGCGCACGTCTAACAGGTGGCAACGTTCAGAGTAGTTTCATTGGAACGCGCTCGCGAGAAAGATGGAGGGCCACATATTGGCGATTGATTAATGCGTAGAGACTCTCGACTCGGTTCGTATTGAATTATTTTTAGGAAGAGATATTACCAGGTATGCTTCGTTTTTACCACGTAAAGACGCATGTAGAGAACAGTGTCGCCGTACTCACTAATGGAGGTGCGAGTATGGGACCCTCGGCTGAACCGATTCCGCTAGCCGCATATGGTCACGCTAGTCGTATTTGGCTTCGGTGAAGGGTTTCTTAGAAGTGGAAGTCGAGGCCGACCACCAATCAAGCCTTCCTACTTCTCAGGCAACATTCCGTACGCTTCAGAATCGCTACCCCAAACGCCATGCTCGTCTTGTCCTCTACTGCTTCACGCATCCATCGAAAGAGCTACCCGCCCTCGGTTGAGTAATTCCGCGACAATCAGCCAACCACGATTCAGTGAGAGATGGCCCCTAGCAAATCATCCACAAATGCACGTGGTGGCTTGCACATGGAGGGCCCGCCTCACAAGCGCCGGAAGACATCACAAGTAATGACAGCTGGAGCCGGCTTCTCTTGCTTCACGCTCGATGGCAATGACGTGAGTCTCCATCGCCGCTCGACGTTTTCTCCAACCCGAAAAGCAGAAGTAAAGGGAATAAGAAGAAAAGGTGCTTGTTTACGATGCCGGATTCTCAAACGAGCTGTAAGTCTACATACGTTTGATGGTGGTAACCGCTGATGGCGAAAGTGTTCGGGCGACGACCCGTGCAAGACCTGTATCACTGCTGCGCGAGCCGCTGCCAACTCGAAGGCGCTCCAGTGGATGGAATGTATCAGGCCATCTTTTCAAGCAATCAACATATTCAGTGAGGGTACGCTATAATTCCCCAACCTCGTAATCGCTCACGACTAAGACCCGCAGGTGTTACCACGCTACCCCAGCATCGCATCGATAGCATCATAGACCATCTTTCAATTGACGACGTGTATCTGGACTTTCACATACCTTTTGCCCTGAACGTGGACGCGGCCTCATCTCACCTTGCTCGATGGCTCGCGGAGGACGATGCCTCCCCTTCCCTCAGCGTCATTGGGGTCTTCTCTTGCAGCTCGAACACGAATCTGCTGCATAATGCCCTTGACCCTAATCTAGCCAGATATTTACGCCTCTTCGTCCATCTGACCACACGCCTCTACACTACCGGAATGCAAGGCGGCTATGAACATTGTACGGACGAAGAGATACGCTCTGTGCGGGACTGTGTAGGCGACAGATTGTTGCGGGCGCTGGACCCTCTGGTTCGCCCAAATGAGATCGAAGCATCCGAAGATAAGCTCGTGAAGCTGCGGTCCTTATTCCTCCTGCTTCTTGGTACTGTTGTAGGTATGAGGTACACCTGCTCAGACGTAAGCAAATGATCCTCCAAGCGAGTCGCTTTTGGGCACTGACCAATCACACAGGTATTCGATCAGACAGCCACTCGATGGAGCGAGCATGAGGCCAAGCAAGAAGCGTTGCTACGTCTCTTATGCCACTACTTGATATACATTGGGAAGGCAACAGCCCTACTAGAAACCTCAAGCGAAGAGAAGACCCTGCTTGACCGGTGGAGAACACAGTGGAACAAACCTGCAGCTTTCACCTGGAATTGTGATCAAGGCCTGGAGATACACTATAGGATCAAGCCTCCAGCCGACTGGATAGTGTCATCGTCCGAAGACCAGTCACTCAGCAGCATTGATGTTGACCTTTCAGAGTTCAATGATGTCACTGCGTTCACCGAAGACGGAGACCTTCTCAAGTGCGCATCATGCGGCACACTATGGTCCGACCTGGACCAGGCCGGACTGTGTCTGATCTGCCAGAAACCCGAGTACCAAGACGAAGGTTTCACGCAACTTATATCCTTCGAAAGCGACTTCGATCTCCAAACAGAACAATTGATTGGTTTTGGACAGCAGCCAGTCCTTGAGATGACTCCTTGGAGCTTCCAGAACTCATTGGCCGAAAACAGCGCTATCCAAGAAGAAACTCTGGGAATGGACCCTGAAGACGGCATTGACTTCTTCCCCTTCGATGTTGACGGTAATCTGGTAGAAGCAGAAGAGCCGTTTACAACGACTAGCACGGCATCCTTCCTCGAAGATGTCGGGTGATCGCGAGCACGACTTCTATTTTACCAATACCGGGTTCGGATGCTTTCCGATCTCGTCCGCAGCTACTGGTGTCGCTTCTCAGGCGTGCACCTCACTACCCGCAGTTTCCATACCATCTATTATTGTACTAGAGAAATTCATGCATGAAAGAAAGCTCATATCCCGGCCCATTCTCACGAGTCACTTGTCGATCGCAAATTCGAATTGAAGATGTAAGCGTAAGCACTCAGTCGCCGTCACATACGTTACACAAAGGTACATCTCACAACGCTCGCCAAACGCGTTAACTGTCGCCATTTACCTTTTTCCGGGGGCGTCATTCGGTGGAAACGTTGGTTTTGGCTGCTTTGGAATGGGCTTGTGTTGGCTTATACTTGTCGATTTCTTGTCGCTATTCTGGGGACAACCGAAGAACAAGATCCAACAGGACGTAGAAATCCTATCTTTTTGATAGCCTATATGTTCAGCTGACTAATGCATAACTTCAACTTGTCCTGTGACATATGAGCCAAAAGTCTTACTTCTCACTCAGGCACTGTTGAGTTTGCATAGAAAACCACAAACCTGCTGATGACATTCGCACTGGCAGCAACTTACATTGTGTACCAATAGAGGACCAAGAATGGGTGGGAAGGATGCGTATGAGGATTCTTTGGGACTGCCTCCCTTCATTTCATCAGCTGGAGACAGCCGTCCCGAAACTGCTCGGTCTCCAAAGTCTCAAAGCCACCACATAGAAGTGAATGATTGGAGGTAGCTCCGCGAGCCTAACTCGAAGCGTCTATTCTCTGGCCGAGACCCCCGTCGAGCTCTATATGAAACTCTGTACCGCTAGTACTTTCCATGGGCACAACCTCAAAGATCAAATCAATCATCTCATCAATCTCCAGGCTGTTCTTTAAATAGATTTTCCGGTTTCTAAAGGCTTCGAGTCTGTTCTTCACGTGTGCCTCTCCTGTTGATCATGATGTCGAGACATCATGTAAACAGTATTTCCCTTCTTCTCACTTCCTTCATTACTACGCCTGTCTTCACCTCTTCTATGGATCTTATATCTGGTCAACTGCTCTTCGCTTAATCTTTCGGCGTGCCTATAGTCAACGCGCGTATGAATATGTGATTGTAGGCGGCGGCACTGCAGGTGAGTGAAGTCCTTAGCACATCACGATTGCCTCCTTTCACGACAGTGTATCAGGTGTAATGGAGACTTCATAGAAATTTAGTGGCTCACCATTCCTTCACAGGTCAGCTTCTCGCCAATCGCCTCACTGCATCTCTTACCAACACCGTCGCCGTCATCGCAGCGGGTTCCTTCTACGAGTTCTCTAATGGCAAGCTCAGTGCAATACCCCGTTAAGTCTCGAGCAGCACGGGCATGACGCTTGATGATGTATATTTCCTTCCAAATAATCCAGCTTACTACTCTACCACCCTGTTCGCCCTTTTCAGCTACTTTCCACGGAGCACAGGGTTGCACACACTCGCATTTACCTCAATTTTGATCAACGATAGCTGAGCGTAATGCAGGTGAACGCCCTCGTAGATTGGATGTTTACGACTGAGCCAGAAATCAGGGTTGGTAACAAATCTAGCCACCACGCTCGAGGCCATGCGCTGGGCGGATGCACAGCAAGGAACCACAATGGCTAAAAGTATTATCTGTAGAATGGTCGAGGAGGGTGAGCTGAATGCGGTGGTGGATTCTCAGAGCCGGTTGTTTGGTTTTGAGAGGCTGAGAGTGCTCGATTTGAGTGCAGTGCCGTTTCTGACGCCGGGACATTCGATGTTGACGGTTTATGCGCTCGCAGAGAAGCAGGCGGCTGACATACTGGCAGGCAACTAGACTTTTTTTAACATGGCTTACGTGTCTTCTGTTAACTATTGAGATATTAGTGTAGATTTTATGCTCAGCAATGAAAGGTTGTACGACGCGACACAGTACCGAAGTGGCGGAGGAATCATGGTATCTCAGATTTGGAGTATCTGGTCTTCAAGTCTACAGCATCATCCCGACGTCGGTCCATACTGAGACTGATAACCACCTGGCAACGCATCAAGCCCTAGTCCACATTGTCAGCCACACACTCTACGAGGAAATTTCATTTTCCAACTTACAGCCGTCTATATCCTCTTCAAGAACCGGCTTCTGCGCACACTTATTCATATCCTCCACTGACTGCAGCTTGTGTCCATACTCGGAGCAGTTTGTGTAAAAGTAGCATGGCGAATCCAGCACTTTCTGCAGCGAATTGTCTTTCCACCCAAAGACGTAATCCGCATGGTTGGCATATCCGGTGCTATACATTGTCAAACAGAACGAGGCCATATCAGGGAGGAAGTCTCACGCGTCTCCAAAAGACCACACGAACGGGTTTCTCCCGTCCTCTGGCCACTCCAGGTCATTGAACTGCTTTGTGTCCCAGAGAACCTCGAACATCACCTGAGCAGTGCGAACGGGATGTGTGGCAGGACACGGGCCGCCGCTCTCGAAGGTGCCGGTTTCGGGGTAGCTGCAATGCGGTCAGCTATGCGCGGTATCGTGTGATGGGGGAAAGGCAGGCTTCACCTCATGTGCGACATGTGGTCGGGGCTGTCGAGATTCTTCCTATGCGAAGTCAACGTGTGCAATAAGTTTCTGCTGATCCGTGGACATTTACCCATCCCAGCATGTGGGAAAGCGCAGCGTCGTCATGATGCCCTCTTTGCACTTGCGCTGCGGGAATGCAATAGTCTCTGGCGAGCGCTGCGTCCAGGTGTCCAAGCACGTGTAGGTCAGGTACCTGTACCGCGAGGCTTCTGCAAGAGTCCTAGCGTGTACGTCTCCGATGAACATTCGGAAGCCCTGTTGCTGTTACTTCCCGCACTGAATGAAGTCGTGCCTGACTAGACGACGCACCGGCTTGAAGGCTGTCACGTTCGATTTCTGGTTCTCGTCGTAGATGGCATCTTGCATGTAGTAGATTGTCAGGCCCCCGTTCGCTTTCTCAAACTGGTTGTTCCCGATGTTGGGCACCCTTTTATACGTGCCGTTTTTGGCACGGAAATACATGACAGCAGTCCAGTAGTTTGCTGCGGCGGTCGTACACTCCATCAGCGCGGGGAGCTTTTCTGCTGATGTCTAGAGTCCACTCACAAAAGTCATCGGCAAACGTGCACGTCGTACAAGTGCTCTCGCCAGGCATATCTTTCCCAGGTTCCATCGTCGCGTTGAACGAGTTCTGGCGTGCCCATTAGATCTGCACGACAAGGAGCATCTTGGTAACAACTTACGCCGCCAACGATCTGATGTACATGCGCGGACGGATTCGCGCCCGGTTCCACCAGAGGATCTAATCGCTCTCGAACGAGCTGCGAGCAGTGAAAACGAACGATCGCTCGGCCAGGCACGGCGAGCGCCAGCACCAAAAGACTTTTCCAGTACATCTTGGATTTTCTGTGTTACACGATTCGTGTTGCTAGAAGCCTTGAAGTTGGCCTTGGTGGGCGTAGCAGACACCGATTTGGTGTTGCACACCCTAATCTACATCCATGCCCGAATAAACACCACGCATATATGGGGCCCAACGGGTGTATATTGTGGGGCATACAACACAATGCCGAGGTGGGGCAGCCCTTTCGGAGGCGTCGTAACTTGAGGTTTGACTCTTCCGACTGGGGACAACAATTGCTCTCACTGACACATCTCCATCGTTAACCTCTACCAGGTACATGACCATGTACTCCTTCTTCGCTGTCGTAACTCTCTTCATCCTCGTCGCTACAGCAGCCGCTCAAGACCTCTGTCCGAAAGACGAATACGCCTGCCTCGACATCATCAACTCCAGCCAATGTCTCGCGCAGCTCGTTATTCAGAAGATGTCTCCTCTGACCAAGGAAAACATGGCGAAGTGCGTCGAAACAGAGGGAGTCGCTAGCAGCTTGCCAGGAGCACAAAAGGTACACCGACCATATTTCATGGAAGGAACAGTACATTTCAAGGGATCCAGAGGCTGACGTGTCTTATATAGTTATGTCGGTGCCCCGGATGCCATACAGAACCCATAAACGCCGCGATCAGAGAGCTGTTTCCGCCGCCGTGCGTGTAGATTTAGGGAATGGAAGCTAGAGCGTTGCGCAAGGCTGATAGGTGGAAGCTTATGTTAAGCTATCGCGTGGAATCTGAGTGTTTTCTGCAGAGCGTTGTCATAGAAACAGTGGCTGGTGTTCGTTCGAAGATATAATCGGATATCGCGGCATTGAAGGCCATTTCTGAGCGATTGCTTTTCTAGTAACCACTTTATGTAAGGGATTCTAGGTATGAGTCCCGACAGTTGATGTTCCCTCGTCTCCTCAGCTCTACTCAGCTCTACTCGTCATCGTCGTATTCATCCGAGCTTTGATCGTCTATGAAATCGTCGCCACCCATTTCGCCGTCCTCCACACCGGATTCACTGTAGTAGTCGATAGCATCTGTGCTGTCACAGTCTGAAGAGTCGGTCTTTTCATACGGCCCTTGGAACGCGTCTCTCTCAACGTTGGATCCGGTATTCGACCTCTCGCAATAGGAAGACCCATTCTCGTCTGCCGATTTCCGAGGATATCGTTGGTCATCGCAGTATGCGTTGATGGAACCCTCATAGTAGCAAGCATTCTTATGGTCATCCGATCCCCCAGAGTAATCTTGATCATCGTCATATGTGTTGCCAGGGCTATTGTGACAACGCCGTTGAGCCCGCCTGTGCCCTCGGTACCCCGGGCTACCATCTTGTTCATTGATCACGTACTTGTGGTTGCCAGAATGTCTGATGAAAGTATTACGGTCTTCGTCGCTGATTACCGCATCGGTCTCTCGGTGCCTGCCGTAATCATGCGTGCAGTCAGAACCGTGCTCCTGATCAGACGCATATTGAACTGCCGCCTGCGCGTCAAGTCTTCGATATCCATCGAGAATGTCTCTCGATTCATCAAAAGCATCTAGTTCGTCGAAACCGATACCGTGACATCCCAAGAAGCGCTCCTTGTTGTCCCGACCGCCTTCCTTGATCATTTGATAGTCTGACTTATCCCGAAAGGAGGCACGCTCGGCCTCGTGAGATCCTGTGGCACCGTACGTGTTGTAAGTCTGCGTCGAGTACGAGGTCTGATGTCGCTCTCCCTTGGCAGGAGGGGATATATAGTCTGAGCGGGATCGGCTGGATGGGGACGCGGACGGAGGATAGATGCAATCGTGGCCTGGCGGATACGAACTCACCTCATGGGATCTTGACGTACTACGGTTGTTGTGACTATTGCGTAAGTAGGAACTGTCGTAACGGTCGCCACTTGGAACGCGAAAAATACAGTCCGACCGAGTCCGACTGGAAGATGATGCTGCAGGGCGAGAGATGTAATCTGAGCTTCGGGAATAGGATTTTTCCTCATGGCCGAACCGAATGCAAGCGGTTTGCGCTACCTTGTCCTGTCTAGAGGATGAGTAGTAATGCCGAAGGTCAAGAAAGACGTGCGGCTCTGAGTAGATGTTCGCTGAAGCAGCAATTCCGCTTGATCGGTGATCAAATTCGTCGCTATTGCTGTAATCGTTGTCGAATCCATTGTTACGGTCCGTGTGGAATTCATAGCTCTGGGAGGCCATGTTGCATAAGCTTGTCGGTTGGTCTGCAATATGACTGTTAATTTGTCGTAAAAGTTCGAAGAAGATAAAATTACAGTAGGTGTGTTGCATACTCTTGCGTTTTCTTTCCTGGGCTAAGACCCTGCTCGTCACTATTGGGAAGGAAGATACCCACTATGGCTGCACCGCCACGTGTTCCGCCTACGGACCTTCTCTAGCCGGTCCCTGTACCCAACCAAGCCATATTTGTCCGCAATACAGTTTCCCGTTTCCAGATATTGGATGGTGGCATCTCAAGAGTACGCTTAGTCCGCTCCAAAGACAAAGAGCTCTCTCACTTCAGTCTTCGTGTGCAAGCGTGTCTCTCATAATGTACTGCAGCTGATCTATCTCTTTACTTGATGGCCACTTTCTATCCATAATGGAAAGCTGATCCACTGAAAAGCGGACAAGGGTGCCTTCTGGTCCTAACTTCTTTAGCCAGATAGCCAGATGCTTAGTCGGTGCCATGTGACTATAGCGACAACCGAGGGACATTAAAAACCCGGCGTCATTCCCCGGCAGATTGTGACCTGTGGAACTGAGGAGCGGCCTTTCAATGCGGAGGCCACGGTTGGTGACCGCAAACTGCGCAGAAGGCGGGTTCGACAAGATCGACTTCGCGTGTGCGAATTCTCGCACAGAGTGAGCAAAGATGCCGCGAAAGGCGGTCCCCGGGGCCTCTGCCCGCCACGCAAAGATGGATAGGTCTGCGCTAGCTTTTAAAATCTCTTCTTGGAGTCGCATGAACGCTCGTGGACCCTCGCCATAGAGGAGTGGTAGGTTGACACCGAAGATGCCGAAAAGGCAGTAAGCAAGATCTTCTTCGCGTGTGGTCTCGCGATGTGCGGCCCAAGACATACGTTCAGCGATGGAATGGCTGCGCGATATGAAATGCCCGCTTATCACGCTGAGTGCGATACCTGTGATGCGTGATATTTCCGGGGCAAGGTTGAGCCGTCGTCCGTAGTAGCGCCACCTTGAGTCATAGAACCGGACTTGGCGGGGTGCGATCAGTTCTTGTAGTGTCCTAGGAAAGCACGTTAGATTCGCAGTGTTCGATGAGGTTGTCATGGTATAAGTTGGGCCCTTACCATCCTCGTGTGAACCATCGACAACGAGCAAAGTCAGCAGACGGGTCGCGTACATCAAAATCGCTCAGATATACAATACAATCCGCCGCCCGGCTGTACCATTTGAACATAGAATTGATAGCTTCTGTGAGCTCCGCACTGCTGCTTTTGTCGATGCAGCAAGTGTCGATCCCTGGGCGATTCAGCATCTCGCGACTCGCAGTCTACGACGGCAGAGCGAGAGGTTTACTCACAAAAATATTCGTATCCCTTCTCCTTCGCAATATCACAAGTCTTGAGGATTTTCTCCACATGTAGCCCGGATTCCTGCCTCAGATCATCGATATTGCAGTAGTCTTTGTAGGATATCTCATACGTCTCCCACGTATGGCTCAGGATCAGATAGGGAGGTACCTGCTTCCCGATGAACTCCTCGAAGCCCAGGGTTGCGCAGTTAATAAGCCTCATGGTGTCGTTGGGCTGCTCCGTTAAATGTGTACGCCAAGATATCTATCCTATGCGTGAACGTGGTGACAGAAAACACTTCGGTGGCAAGCCGATGACAAGGGATGATGCCAGAAAGCTCAAAGTATATAGGCCGAAAGCATAGTCCTCAAGGTGCTCGCTTCCATCGTCGCTGCCTGTGTGAGATATGTCAGGCCAAGGATAGACGAATCGAGAATCCTTCGGCTAGCTCGAACGGGTCAGACAGGCTGCGGCTGTTAGCGTGACCAATCAACCGTAACCAGTATCCTTCCATACCAGCAAAGCTCACGTAGCAACTCCTGAATATGCAATCTGCTCTTTGGAACTTGTTCGTTAAGAACTGTACAGACGCGCAATTTAGCCTATCAACCATCGGCTGTGCCTTCCAGATACGATGACCGCACCTGCTCAGAACACTCACCCAACGCCTGCTCGCCATGAACACACAGCACACCCCATTCAGAACCCACAAAACCTTCCACTCACCCAACAAGCACCACGAATGACGAAAGCTAAAAGCTCCACTCTTACATTCCGTTGTAGTGGTACATAATCTACAGACTTGCTCCCTCCCCGCTATGCAAACATGCATCTTATGCATCCCAGAACGCCTTCTCATGGTATAGAATGGTATGGTATGATACAGTCCGTATATGTACAACATCCGCCTCGCCTATGCAGGAGTAGTAGCTGCCTCCGCCGTCTCCGCCGCCACAGCGGGCGAAATGTCGGCGAGCTTCATGGGTCCCGCGGGCCACGGCTTGCCCATCGCATCCTGGACCTTGATGATCTGGTTCTTGGGTCCAGGGACGCAGCCTATGTTTGGTCAGTATCATGTACTGAGGGTTGGGTTGGAGGGAAAGACGCCCGCATACCATTCACAACCACAATCCCATTCGCCTCATCCACCTGCAGTACCTTCAAGTTCTTCACCGTCACGCTTTCATTGCCCATGTTTCCCGCCATGCGCTTTCCCGGCAAAACTCTTGAACCGGAGCCCTGAGAACCACCAGCAGAGCCCATACCACGATGCATCAGGGACTGACCGTGCGACGCCGGCTGACCACTGAACCCGTGCCTCTTCATGCCTCCCTCGAACCCCATACCCCTGCTTATCCCCTTCACATCCACCCACTGCCCCACGCTAAACCAGCTCGCGCCCACATGTTCGCCAACACCGACGCCCAACCCCTCCTTCCCCTTGACCTTGAACTCCATCACCCACCGCTTCGGCTCGACGCCCGCGACGGCGAAGTGGCCCAGCATGGGCTTTGTGGTGTTGTCGATGGACTTGTGGCCCGCGCCGACTTGCACTGCCCAATACCCGTTCTTATCCCGCGTCTTGTGCGCGACGACTTCGTTGCGGTCGAGCTGCAGCACGGTGCAAGCGGTGCGGCGGCCCGTCTCGGGGTCGAAGACGGCCGTCATGCCGCGCTTCTGTGCGAGGAGGCCGGTGCGGAGCGGCGTCGTTGGTGCTTTCCGCGCGAGGGCTGCGCGCGATGTGCTGTTGAGGGCGGGCTTCTTGGGGTGGTGGGCGAAGCGGTCGGGACGGGGCGTGTTGACTGATTTGATGGTGCGGACGGTCGTGTGGGAGGGCGCTGCGGAGAGCGGGATGAGGGGGAGCAGCGAGCGGGTTGACGACGGCAGGAGGAACGATGGGGGCAGGAGGCCCCAATTGAGAGGCGCCATTGGTGGCATTGTGGTGGTGGTAGGGGGTTGATGGGCTGCTGTCGCGATGGACCATTGTTGGAGATTTTTGGGGATGCCCAAGCGTTACGCGCTAACGCCGGATCCTGGGACTTCGAAGGTCACGTGCATCAGTATTCACCGACACGCGTTCTCCTGCAGCCAATTCTGAATGTATGCATGGCGACATCAATGATTTCGCATCGAAAAGTTCAGAGACAAACCGAGCAAAGTTATTTGGTATCCAAACGTGCCAAAGCATCCTAAGCGTCCCAGCGTCCCATCATCCAGTTCGTAGCCTTGCCATTTCTATCATATCCTACACAGGGCTTCCTCTCTTCAAGTCATGTACCAGTGCCTGGCCCTCTAGAAAGTAAATACAGTAAAACAGGGTATCCGCCAAAAATACAAAAACATCACTACCTCTCAGGATCTCCATGGGTCACTGAGGCATGTGTGCGAGGAGTAATATAGTAATCAAACATAGTCAGCGGGAGGCCCGCGTGCATGACGTTCAGCCGGAATATCCTAATCATGTTAGCTTTCGCCTTGGAAGTGATAAGGCGTCACACTTACTCGGACAACCACCGATCCGGGGTGAACTGTGGCGTTGTCGCCGATGCTGACACCAGCAAGAAGGAGGCAGTTCGTGCCGATCCACACATTCCTACCAATGTGTACTTTTGCGGCCGTCGAGGTGCGCTGCGGACCACAGCCCCTAGCGAATCGAGGATCTGTCGGCGTCTTCACAGTGTCGATGGTCACGTTGGCACAAATGGTTGTGTTGTCGCCGATCGTGATGTCGCCAGAGTCTAGAAACTTGCAGTCCATTCCAATGGCTACATTGCTGCCAATGTGGATGTTATAGCCGTAGTCGCAATAGAAAGGAGTCTCGACAATGACGGGTTTACCCAGATGCCCTGTAGGTGCGTTACCACCAAAAGTCTGGGTCCAGCTCGCTAGTAGAATCGCACGGAAGTTCCGCTCGACCTCATCGGGAGATATCTTCAGATGAGGGTTATTCGTATTATTGAAACGATAGATGGCATTCTTGCACTTCTCGCGCTCCGCAACGAGTTCTCTGTCGAAAGGATGGAAAGGTTCCTCATTCAGCATCTTTGTCTTTTCGCTCTTCTCATGCCTAGGTGGGGGTGGGGCATAGTGCGATGGCGCCGGCGGCGGCCCAGCAGAAGTAGCGTGGGAAACCATCATTGCCTGTTGTGATGGGTGCAAGTCGTTGGCCGCAGGAGTGCCTTTATGATTGAGGTGCTTTGCCATCGACTCTTGAGTATGATGGTAATTTCGAGCCGTGTGCTGCCGGACAGGAGGTGCACTAGTTGATAAAGGTGCGTGTTCGCTCGAAGGAGGCCTTCCATAACTTGACTGTGGAGGCGCAGGCGCAGGCGTGTAATCTGGATGAGGCTGCTGTTCTTGCGAATACGCTGGGCGAGGTGCATCACCCCATCCGTTCGTCCAGCCACTTCTTGTAGATGGGTGATCTTGCTCTTCCACAACGATTGGGCGAGCGCGACCACCATCAGTCCCATTTGGAGAAGTGGAATCGGTATAGCCTTCTCGAGGGGCACCATGGCTTATGCTGTCAGCTCAGTGATAGTCGCAGGAGACTCGGGGCGCTCACCTGTGATAGAGCTGCTGTGTTGGGTCGGGCGGAAACCGATCCTTGGCTACCAGGGGGGCAGCTGGTCTCGGTGTTCCGTTCTTGGGCCATGGCACCTTATTGGCATAGCCTTCGCAGATGAAGCCACCACGCTGGCAATTGTTGCCTTGGCTGTAGTTAGCATCTATTCAGGGCAGTGACAGTGATAGACACACATTCAGGCTTTGACTCGTCGCATTTCTTCTTGCGCCGTCGGCAGGTTCCGCAGCCAGTTTTGGTCCGATTGGCGAATTGCTATTCCAATTAGAATTATCGCGGCATTGACTAATGGGCTTCGCTTACCCTCTTCCGCTTCTTGTGGTCGACTTGAACACCAGCTTTCGTGATCTCAGTCGTGCTAGACCGTTCAGGACCATTTTGCGCATCTCCTGCACTCATTTGGGATTGGCCTGCGGAACTTTGATGCAAGTCGGAGTTTGTAGAACGTAGTAAATCGTGACGCTGGGGCTGAGGCTCGTGGTAACCATTATAGGGTGCCCACGACCTGTCGGTATCGATCCTGTCTACAGGGGGCAGTGTGCGGGGATGCTGATGATCCATGACCAGTTGTTGAACTTGGGCAATGGTATTTGGCGAGTCGCCTCTTCCCGCGGGAGCATGGGGGTCTAAGCGGCGATGCGGTCCTACGGCATCGTCCGGGGGTGACTGTGAGCCGCCCTCAGTTGAGGGTGATCTTTTCCTCTTGCTAGGACTTAGGGGCGGACTGCCATGATTGGAGAGAGTGGGAGATGTTGAGCTATTCCCGTTCTGATGGCCGTTTGAGTGACCGTTGGAGTGACCGTTGGAGTGGCCGTTCTGGTGGCCGTTCTGATAAGCGTTTTGCTGAAGCGCTCCGGCGGCAGGTCGTGGAGGGCTCCAGTTGTCCCTGGCAGACATGCGGGGCTTCGACTCCTCGGGACTATGCCGAGAGACAGGTCGCGGTTGGGTGATTGTGGTCATGCCGTTGGAAGCATTTAATCTGGGCGGTGGTGAAGGCGGAGAATTCCTTCCATTCACTGCAGTGAAGGCAGAAGCCAGGTGCTCCCCAGTCTTGTCTTTGAAAAAGCCAGTGTTGATCAACGGTGCATGCACCATAGACGGCATGGTAGGCAGACGGAAAGCAGGAACAACAGAGAGGGCAATCTTGACGACCGCGTTCGTTGGGTGATGACGTCTATACTCAGTGCTGGATTGCAGTGACCCTCGTCGCCAGGTCTGGGCTGTCTCTCAGAAGAGGGAATGTGTCTCTAAGGTCAGGAAAGTAACACACCAGCGGGGTGTCTCCTTGTCCTACTTTGGTGAGGCGGCTTTCGCGCTTACAGCCGGATTGAGATGACCACCAAGAGGACGCTTCAGTGCTCCTGGAGTCGTGGATTGTCCTGTGCCCAGCTCTTTTCCGCGCTGCCGTGCAAACAGGGGCCCGCCAGGCAGGCAGCAAGACGTGGGCGCGCTGTCCGGACGAAGGAATGCTGGTGAGGGTGCTGGAATTTGAGATCGGGTGGAAAAGCCGGAGCAAGCACTAGTGGTGGAGAAGCAACTTGAACTGCAACTTGAACTGCAACTTCAACGGCGACGGCGGACAGCTTCACGCATGCACGCACGCCGATGGCGAGAGCGGTGTATAAGGGCGGCAGCAGGCTCGAGTACCGCTCGGGCAAGAGGGGCGGCCACACCAGGCGGAGATCTACTCGAGGCTCCCTGCGATGCGAGAGAAGCCCTGCACGCCCTCATGCAGTGGGGCTGCACACGGCGCGCGATTGGGCGGCTGGCGCAGGGGTGTTTTAGCGTGGCGCTTATCCGCGCTCTTGCGGGCGCGGCTCTGGCGCGTCAATTGCGCTTAGGGGCGTGTGGAGAGCCGAAAAAAAAGGGCCCGCACGGACCTGCATCTGTAAGACATTCGACCACGTTTTTTCAGCGTAAAACGCACGTTTGAGCCCTACAGAAGGGAATCTTCTGTGGAGGAGGGTTGATGTCGGTGGGCCGCGCAGGGGTGCAAAGGGCGCTAGCAGCTGCACGCACAGACCGCACGGCCCGGTGTGGTGGCAGGAGCGACCGAGAGGCGAGGAAGGAACAGCCCAGCGCGCGCATCTGCGGCAGCCGAGCCCGGATTGGCCAGCCTAGACGGCTCCGTCGCGGTGAGACAGGCCCTATTTTTGAGCAACCGCGACGCGCGCCTATCTCACCCTCCATCTCGCTGCACCTCGGACGACACCTGAGCCCTCCACCGCGCACCAACAGCGCCGCTGCGACGCCCGTCAGCCCCCTGTGTGCCTGCGCCTGCGCCTGTGCCTGCGCCGGTTCCGCAGACGGCCAGTCTGCGCGGCCGCCCGTTATCGCCCGCCGCCTCTGCCTGCGGGCGCCAACGCCAATGCCACCGGCAGGCGCGTCGGCGGCAGTCTTGGTGTTGGGTGCCCACCTGGCCACCACCGTCATCAACGCACGCTGCTAACCGCCCATGTTTCATCGTCTCCGCACACGTTGGGCGCAAAAAAGGGCCCTTCCGCCCGTTCGCTCAGCAGGGGCCCGCTGTCCTAGCGCTGCGTAGCGTATGGGGTCGCGCCGGCCTGCCCTCCTCGAGCCGTGGGCTGCCTCGTCGTTACGCGCGCATCCACATCACAGCAATGTTGCCGTGTGCCGCGCTGCTTCCCCTGCAGCAGCAGAGCAGTCGCCCCGCCAGCCTCGAAGCATTCTCACGCCGCCCCAGGCCCTGCGCCTTCCCCGTCTTGTCGTCGCCCGGTGCCTTGCGCGAACAGTCTGCCGCGCGGCGCAGACCTTCCAATATGCATCTCCTCCGCTGGCTGCCTTGTCTCGGTCTGGACGCCTGCGTGCCACGCCGCGTCTATGGGTGCCGAGTCTGTAAGTACTTGCTGCTGCTCGCCACCGTCGACGGCCGGCCGGTACGAGCGCCGGCGTATGTGCTCGTTGCAGCCATGCAACCCTCACACACACCGCACACGCTCACAGTTCACCATCACGAATCCATGGACGCACCGTTCACGCAGCTGGCCAAGTGCTCGGCTAAACACTCGGTCACAACTTAACCGGGGGGCTATACGCTCTGCGTGCACTTGCGCTGATTCATTGAAGCGCACACCCTGGCGCTGGTCCTGCGTCGAAGACGACTCTTCCAGTCCCGTGCAGATTGCTTTCGGAGCCAATGGCCGTGTGTCTCAATATACCCATTTGGCACATGCACTGTGGGCCAGGGTACTTTTGCAGCAGTTTGCGGCGCAGCTTCATCGCCTCTGCTGCCTGCTTCGGCTTGTACTCACTTTCCCACCCTTTCTTTTATGCGTCCTGCGTCCTGCGCATTGGGCCCGAGCCGTTCCGCTCCCGAGCGAGTCGAGTCTTTGGGATTGTGGCAGTACAGCTCACCAGGCCCGTACTTCCGCGATACGCCAGATGTCATCTAGACCGACCGGTCATGAAATGGTGGCCGTCCTCGAGGCTCCTTCCCGCGCTCAATACCGAGTCCGTACTAGGATGTGTCCCTCTCTACCGCTACTGTCGTCATCCGCCGTTCGCTAGACGAAGGATCAGTCAGCAGGGAGCTCGAAGGATCCTGCGCTTATGTACATACTCGCGCCTGATCTGCCTACCGAGCTGTCTGCCCGTTGACTCTAACTTGAATCGCGCTTAATTGTCGCTTCCCAGATCGATGGTTTCGTCGCCCACGGAGCCAAGTATTGCCACCACTCTCTTCACTCTGCATCTCATCATTCCATTTTCACTGAAGCTTGTCGTCTATTCCATCAACTCGGATCTCGTCAAATTATCTGTGCCGCAAAGCTATCGGAATTGTTCCCTTGCCGCGATCCAGGGCCCTGGCAGCGAGTAAGTCTCCGTACCTGTCATGTTGGTCGTCCTGGGCCGATGACTGGTCAACGCAGCGCTTGGCGTAAATCGATATTTCTAACGCCCCAGACTTACAGGGGAGGCTGAAGCTCTTGTGACCACGTTTCTAGGGCTGTGTTAAGATTAAGGACTACACGGCTTCTCGAACGCACCGAGACGGCAGGGCATTCGCCAGTTGGCAGAGGAAGCCCAGTGCCTCGGTTGAACCCAATCGTCAACTCCTCGAATCAGAATGGGGTCCGGCGGCCCAGGCACCCAATTCTGATCAACTCTACTTGGTGCAATCCGCAAGCGTTCGAGCAGATAAGCAACGCCCGTGGCTGAACTGTGCCCCTCCAACGCAGACAGTCGGCTGTCAAGTGCAGTGTTGCGAACAATGAAGTATTACTTTCGCCAAAGGCGAGCGAACAAAGGTGAGAGTTGCGCTGCGGGATCGCGACTGTCTGCGAAGCGCGTAGCATGTCTACCAGACCCTTGAAAGCTGCGTCCCATGCGTGTCCGGTATTGAACCGACGCTGCGGGGCCTCATACAAATGATGTCGGCTACAACGAGCTGACCGCTATTTGTCTCCCCAGCATTTGCGCTAGGGTTAAACGCTTAAATCTGGCGCTCGAACGCGGCTAAGCAGCTGCCACCTGTGTATTCCAGCATAAGCGCGCATAACTCTTCCCTGTGTCGGTGAAGGGACTGCATCACAGAACGTGGCTCGCTCTTGAAGGTGAGACCGATTTTGAGTAACTTCCGCGACCTGATTTCGACCTCTCTTGGGTTCGGGTACATTGGCCAATACCTTCTCTAGCCCTCTCGTTCCCACGAGATGCTCCATTCACAAAACTGCAAGTGCAAGAAATCTGACTGAGCCGGTGTTGATCAGTTCAGCTGTGACGGGGTCTGACGCATCTGCGCTCTGCACTCAGACATCTAATTCTGTCAAGACACACCCGATCGCCGTCCCCGAAGGCCGCGATGCTGCCTAGCTGGTAGTACAAGCTGCACACCGCGACAAATCGCTGTTATCACGGATACCTCGAGGGTTATATCACATTATTCTTCCTGAGAGCACATTGCATATCACGCCCGTAATCAACATAAATATCCGATTCAATACTGCGTACAGCATCGCGGAAGACTGTGCCGCTAGAGCATCGTCACGAAACAATACCACGATTCACGATACTCGCCATCGACGTCTAGATTCGAGCTTAGCGTACAAGCAAGCTTATCCCGCCGCATCTTGACAGTGATCAGATGCGCACTACAGGAAAAACCGGAATTCATGACCAGGTAGGTCAGCAGCCGAATGCCAGGATCAAGGTCTCACAGGTCTTGGGGCCTGTTGTTCGCGACTGTGCCGCATCTCGGATGTGAGTACGAGACAACGCATTCGGCGTGGCTGTGAGGCTGGCTGGCCCCAGGCATCTGCATCTGCACCAATATACGCTGCCGAACCATCGCTGGTTCTGGTGCCGCGGCTCCATGGAATGCTGCATTATGGAAGTGGGCAGCTGCAGCATCGACTGCTCACCGCGTTCCCCGTATTCCCCGCATCTCCCTTGCCACCTGGACTGCGCTCACTGCATGCTCGATCTTGTTTGGAAATGTTTGCGTGGCGGGCATCGTCCGAATCGGGCTGTGTTGTGGGTGTCGTTGAGGTTGGCGCGGGGTTCGTACATCGAGATTGAGGCCACAAAGAGTATATGTGCTTCGACCAATCGTCGCCCTTCAATTGGCGGACTCACTGCCCACAAACCATAGCCAATCAATCCGCTCCCCCTTGTCCGTCTGCGGCAGATGTTGCTCTGGATTAGCGTAGGTTCTAAGTCGGCGTTCAGTATGATCCATTCTCCAGATGTTCTTTGTTCGAGGGTTTGACCAGCTGCACGAGTACGCTGAAAGATTGATTCTATGATTAACTTTGTTTTAGTAATGGAACATCATCCAGGCATGATAACACAACTCCAGGTTCCTTCACCAACTTTTTCGCGGGTTGCTACAAAGCGCGAAGAGTCATAGTAGACGTGTAATGGGCGAAAGTTTTCATGGCCGACGCAATTCGACGCTTACTGTGACCAACAAGTTGATGTTCCTACTCTTCAACGAGAAACTCAGCGTCGTACCGACGGCGCTTGCAAGCGCAGTACGTAGCATCCTCGTCGTGATAATGGTAGATGCTCAATTTGATCGGCGGCATATCCCTTCCCTCGGTGATCATCATCATCGTCAAGAAGTCATAAGCCACCGGCGCCGGTACATGAATTCTTTGGTCGCGCAAACCATCGTAGACCTCAGCCGGCCTCTTCTTCTCGACGACGTCGATGCAGATTCGTCGGAGACGCTGCAGGTTACTTCTCTCATCTTGTATTCCTTTTGGGATTCCAAAGCTGTTCCAGGAACGCGGTGTAGGGCGTGACGATGGCGGGGACTTGGGAAGTGTGGAAGATGTGGGACATGGCGGAGTCGCGGAGCCGAGTGCAGTCGAGATAGTAGCCCAGGCTGAAGAGGTCGACTGCTGTGTTGAAGACTTGGTGCTTCTTTGGCGGGGTGGAGTCGTCGCAGAAGGTGCCTAAAGTGTAAGTTTAAACAGTATGAATAGATGACTAGAATTTTCACAGTGGAGATACTCGGTGGTTTACTTACATTCATGTGCAACACAAGTAACCTCTCGCCCTGCCAACCAGTGGCTAAGCGCTGGGAATGCGCGAGCGGGCGATTGCAGGCCGTCCAGCTTGTGAGGGCCGTTGCGGCAGTTGTATCTATGACGGTGAGGAACTTTCTCTCTCCAAGTGTCGCAGTATTTGTCGAGCAGTGCTCCGTCGTATTCGAAATGCTCGCCCTCAGCGTGGAAGGTGACACTGCGTCTCGCGACCTTGTCAGTGTCGTGGCGTCAGGCTTGTTAGCAAGGTACTACCGACACAATCGGGGCTTAGCGAGAGTTTAAGAACACCGGGTTACCCCATGAGGGGCGCTTCGGTGCTCGCGTCAACGGCCCGGCACTGCGTTACTGGAAGGGAAGACTCCCAACATGCGAAACCTTCGCTTTGGGGTGGCTTCATCATCCCTAACTACTCTGTCCACAGTTGCGACATGTACGTGGATAACCGGCACTTGAGAGCTAGGTACAATTCTTTGACGGACCATGGTTGGTGGGCTGCAGATAATTCTTCAAGGGCGTGAAATGCAGGTGGAGAGGACGGAGCTGGATTGAAGTGCGACAGGAGCCCGTATTTAGACCCTGTATTTATGTCGCTAACGGATGCCGGCATCGCTTGGGATCGTGGATGAGCTGCGATGCTGCGATGTCCATGGTTGCGTTCGCTTTGATTGAGCGGTACGCACTAGCGTTCACTCGCCCAACAGCTTGGTATCAGGCTACCCCTGAATTTCGGACAAGACAGTCAATAGCTAGACCGTGACACTCTTGCTCCAGAATTCAAACGTTGCGTAAGTATACAGAATCAAGCGGCTCTGAATGTGTCGAGTCGATCAAGATGGACAAAGCCGAATGTGAAGTTTGTGCACCCCATCGATGAGTGAAGCCGGTTTGCTTCTTCCTGGGGCGCACCATGCCTCGTCAATCTCCATGATATAGTGGTCCCGCCTCACTGTGCATGTGGTACAAAGTGGGGTGAAATAAATCTTCAACAGCATACTGATGATTGTAACCAATGGACTTGTTGTCTATGTTATTGAAGCAGGTGTGCCATATTTCCGAGCATCTGTCAAGCAAAGCTTCGTTATGTGTTGGCCGAATTGTTGTAGAATTCAGGCCTTATTTATGGATTTGATTTCTTCCGAGCCATTAGTGAAGATAAGACAAGCAAGGCGAGACTTCCGTGCTGCGGTGGAGAAAGGTCGCTAGTGAGTTGTTTGACCGCTTAGCGCGCAAGTGAATGAAATGCTCCATGTGGGAGGTAATATGTTCCTATGGGCAATGGATCTGAACAGAATGAAGACGCAACAATAAGCCGAAAAACGCGATAGTGACTTGTGTGTGCATGAGCGGGAAGGAGCTATGGATGTATCCTGGGTGACCGCCAGCACCATGATTCTCTCCGAAACACTTTAGCGACCGCAACCTCATCAATAATTTAGTGGGATATTTCAAAGAATCAAACTACTGGGAAGATATATCCATCCTGTGAAGGCTCATACAGTGCCGCAGAGAAACAGTCATCTTTCAGCGAATGACCCATGTATTGCCAGTGTCTCCGCTCCTTGTCGGACAGAAACTCCTCTGATCCATCACAGTGGTAGTCCGAAAGTCTAAGCACCAAGATTTCCTCCTTTTGATGTCCAGCGAATGGCTTGTTGCGTTTCGCGTTCAGTTCCATAATGTCGAACAGGAATCCAGGTTGTAATTGTCTGCCGACTCCATGCTCTCCTCGTCACACCACTTATAGTAGATGTCGACGAAGGACTGTTGTAGCGGATACAGATCGGACGTCTCACCTTTGAGGTACAGCAGGCGCAACAGGTGTGTCCGCGGAAGCGAGCGGATGCTCTTGCAGTGGTCGAATATAAACTTTAACATCTCGACCGCCAGCTTTCATAGCTTGCAATCCCAAACGTTGCGATACAGATGATGCTATCTATCGAAGCTGTACAGCATTGACCTTTGTTCTCAAGCCCAGACATGAATGTTGAAGAATATCTTCTAAGGGATGTGATGATATCTTGAATGGGCCCAGAATACAGAAAAGAATCCTGGTAATGAGCTGATTATCCTGCGAATGTTCCGACTCCTTATGCTGCAATGCCAGGACAAATTACAATGTGTCACCTAAGAGTAGACAAAACGCGAACCGTATATACTCCGACCTTCGTCTTAGCATTGTGCTCACACTCTCGGAGACTGACACCAACCAATCAGATGCCTATGGTGCGCTGATCAATAAGACGAATAAGACCAGCAAGGTCAATGTGCCGGGTACCAATGAAATTGTCCTAGGACTGTCAGCACCACTGAAAGCTGCGACGCGTGAACGTACTCACATGCTGTTCTTAGTCCATTTTGATGGCCAAAGAAGTAGTTATGTCGAAGTCCGCTGAGCAGATCCGACAACGCATTGTTCACTTGATGAGGAACTCATCGCCTTCAGATTTTTTTTGCACAAACAATCGTTATCATTTTCAAGATGACAGTGGTAGCTGTTCAATTTCAACCGGTCCTGTAAGCCCCTCAAAGTGTCGATGTTGAATTGGGCAACGCAGAAGTCCTGCAAAACGATCGCGGCAGGTCCCCAGCAAGCACGTCCGATACTTCTTCGAAAATTGGGCGCCAAAGATGCTTCCTTTTGACGCAGACATCCGTGAAGAGCGAGCAAAGATACTCGACGTCAGACTTCTGTTTCCAATGGGCGAAGACCTGATTCAACCGCTGACAGTTGGGGACAATCTGACTGCTCTCATATGCGCGGAAGACGTGAGTGACAGCCTTATTCTGGAGATGGTCATGCTCCAGCTTCCGACGAATGTGATAGAGCCCAGCAGCCATGCTGCACACCAGCGGTTCGCTTTCAACATAGCCTCTTTAGGTAGCTCGTTGTTGTAGATCCAGTGAACAAAGCCGCGGAAGCCCCAAGCCGGAATTCCACGCAATTCGTGTCCGCTCCAGGGGCCGCGCGGAAGGCGTAACAGACTTTCGGGTTCCCAAGAGGACGAGGCCTGCTTGATGAGATCTTCGTGGACCGTGAAATTTTGCCCATCGACGTAGAACTCGAGGGCCTGCTGCTTCATAGCACTGATGTGTGTCCGCTACAATGATATGCAGTACGCGTCCAATAGTTCTTACAACATGTTGCGCGTGGGATGTGTCTCCGTGTTGACTGACCGCTCCACTGCTGGCACCATCAAGATCCAAGCTGCTCGACAGAGAGGCGAACGTTGTTGTGGAAGTTTGGTCGCAGTCGAGTGCGAAAACATCGACTTATAAAGAGGGGTCTGTGCACCCTGCAAACAGACGACTGAGGCAACCACGATGGGCCCACTAAAGCAAATCTGCAGTGAACCACGAGTTGGCTTCTGGAAAGGTTAAAACGAATTGTTACCTAGCGCTGCGGAAAGAAAACACCAGGAAAAAGACCAAAGGCCTGAGTACCGTGAGTTACGCCGACAAGGTAACAGGAAGATTGTAGATACTCAGACTGTTGTCTCAGGGCAGACATGAGATACGCAAGAACAGACTACGTGACACGAGACATAGATAAGAGATGAGATAGTATTGAGATTGAATTCAACCTGAGTGTAGCTGGTGAAGCAACGCATGCCGAAGAGATACCTTTAGACGTCTGATACTGCACCTGGAGTCAAAGTCCAGGTGCAGCGCGTTGCCCTAGGGCAGGTAGTACGCGGGTTGATAGTGTTCAGGCTTGTCCCAGTACTCAGCCATGTCGGGATGTTGCAAGTATGTGGTCTTTGAAGATCAGACATCTCATGTGATGTTTTCAATTGCCCCGGAAGGTTGTCATCCATGTCATTCGTGATGTTGTTCCATGTAGGGAAGGCAACCGTGCGACGGTTCATCTGATGAAGCACTCGCCTGGATCAGGGCTCCTGGATGAGCAAGTCTCATCATGCAGAGGGGTGTCTATGTGGTATTACGAGAGCCTCAGTGGATCTAAGATAGAATTTCCAGCCTTGGAGTGGTCATGCATACGGTTGAGAAGATCAAGTACGAAGCGATCTGGATACTTGGCAAGCTTGGTCCATTTGGGGTAGCGCTTGAGATGGAGATGGAGAGCGAGATCATAGATCCAATGTCCAGTGAAGTGATGGATCGGGTTCATCTGTGCGACGTTGGGAAACATGCCACTGGTTCTACATTGACTGAAGATGAAGGTTATGCACAATATCATCGATCTCCAGAAGCCAGCCGATTTTACAAAGTTCAATAGCCATGTAAATTCCTATCGAGTTTGCCCCCTCCCCCTCTCCCAATGCGGAGGGAAGCTGTGCTCCCGGATCAAGGAAGAAGTCGGTAATCCTCCGGTGTGTAGCCAAGGGAGAAAGGCGCGCACAAGAGTGGGGCAGTCATCAAACCCGTAGGTGTGCGGACAATTCTTAAAGTCTTGCCCGGCATGTCCAGTGTTTGGGGTGAGCATCGTCCTCCATTCGCGACCAAAGTTGTCGAGAATGGCGGCGGGCACGGTGAACGTCTCACCACCAGCTTCGAACTGCACCATATCCCGGTAATCCATGGAGCTGACAGTCGACTAGCTTGCCCTCTATCTCGCCTGCAGTCTCATCATTCTTACTAGACTGAGGACTTCCTCTTCTTACCCGCCCCAGAAGGCTCGATCTTCTTCGGTGCCATTGTCGGTCGATGAAAGCGCTTCCGGGATGCTGAACCGCTTGTGGGAATCCAATGACGCACATATACAACAGCGAGCTTACCGGGAGCCACCAATTGAAATATCCTCCTTACCGAGCCTGCTACATAAGGTTCGACGCAAGTAGCGGGTGTTGCGAAGAAGATCGATTCGCTGTGGAGAGCTGCCTTTACACACTCCACTCGCAGCAGAGTGAAAGGGTCTTGCAATCCAACCGATTGCGGTAAAGCGTTTGGAGTAAGAGCGAGAGGAACCAGTCCTGCCTCGAGCCGTCAGCAGTGAGAAATAACAGTTGTAGATAACACCGGGTCGACAACTTTCTACCTCAATAAAAACGGTCCGGCATTATCGCAGGTATTGAATGGAATCACTCACAAGTGCCTCGGAGCACCATTCATGAATACCAATGATACAATTGAATGCTGGAATACATCAAGAGTGAACAAGGCCTGGCGTAAAGCCTTGACCTGGTCGGTGTAGGCGGGCCTGTGTAGGTTCCCTTATCCTCACTCCGTAATACGTCCTGTTTTGTCTTTTCAATATCTCAAAATCATGAGCGAGAGAGAAAGCCATGTGCGCATACGAAGGTCGCGTCCTTTCCATTTCCACGCTCCTCTTTCCTGTCCCGCCACACCCATAATCATTGCAGTCGCTCTTCTCTTCCTTCTCGCCGTCCCGACCCTCCCAAAAGATCACCCAATCCCGCCTATTTCTTGTTCTCACTCACAACCCTCAGCACAAAGTTCACCACCACGGCGCAGAACAGCGCAATCGTCAGGACCGTCGGGCCGAACCTGTCATCGAACCCACCCTGTCCGCGCTGCCGTATGCTCTTCGCGCGCCAGTGAAACGTCACCAGGGCATACGCCATCGCGGCCATGGCAACCAGCGTGAACAGCCCTGCGGAGATCTGCCCAATCTTGTCGCCGAAGTTGAGCAAGCCGACGGCAAGGCCGCCGAGGATGACGGTGAAATTGAGCCAGCTGAGGAAGGTGCGCTCGTTGGCGAAGAAGACCTTGGGCTCGACGCGCGTGGGGAGCGCGATGCGTTTGCCTGGGTGTGTTAGTGTTTGTTGCTGATAGCGTGCGGAGACAGTGTCTGAGAGGAAAGTTGGCCTCCTCTGCACAGAAACGGCGTGCGAGGAGTCCAATTCATCTCCTCGGCGATGGTGGGAGGGGATTGTGCGTACCCGGGGCGGTTTGGAGCAGCGGTTGGGTCGACATGACGACGGCTGTATAACCCCGCTAGCGGAAGCTCGACGGATATTCGATTCTCAGTCGCGCGCGGGTGTCTGGGTTTGCGGGGCCTCGGCAGCGATGGACTCGCACAGCAATTGACGTCGTCGTAGAAATGGGCGTGTAGGCGGAGGAATTGCGCAGAGCAGAGCGACCGACCCAAGCAAGCTCTTTGAGACATGCGCAAGCTCGTTCCTTGTGACGGCAGCTACGCTCCCCTGCTCGCGCTGTCCAATCACTGCGCCCACGTGATGCGGGCCTCCCCCGTGCTTTTTCCCAGGCCTGTGCGGCGGCCACGGCCGCTGGTTGCGGCGCTAGCGACAGACGGGCTCGGCGGCTTTGTTGTGTTGGCAAAAACAGAGGGCGTAAACACCTACACTACTTTGCTATCCGTCGCATATCTCTTCCGCGAAGGCCAGAGGCTCACGATATATTGCTAGATTCCCTGCGCTGCGCTGCACGTACTCCACAATGGCTGTAGGTGGATTGAGAGAGAGCGCTGGGAAAGGATGGAAGCTGACGGACACAGTCTCCCCTCCCCACGGATGAGCTCACTGAGATCGTCAGGACGGTATGGGTGCCTAGCCCGGAGGTAGAGCGGTACTAATGGAGACCAGACCGTCGAGTCGGCCCTCGCCTCCGCAGAGAAGTACGAGCACGACAAGGTAGCAGACTGGAACACCGCCATCATCGTACGTCCCCTTTCCACCCCATCCCATCCCATCATCCACCTCACGCGACACCTCTGTCCAAGCTCCCAACTCCCCGCTGGGCCTCGCACACTCTCCAGCCTTTCTGTCCATTAATTTCCCACCATAGCTAACCCTTCTCCCCACCAGAACAACCTCCTCAAGACCCTCATTGAAAAGACCACCCCCGCCTCCCAAGACACCTCCAAGCCCGCACAGCCCGCCTACAAGTACATCGCCCACAGCACCATCATCCAGCACCCGGGCGCGCCCTCGGATGGCGGCGCCGCCGGCCGCCGCGGCATGCACAGCGCTGTCGGCGCGTTCTGGAACACCGAGAAGGACGGGACGCTGAGCTACAAGTGGGACGGCGCCGAGAAGAAGGGCATGGATGTTGTCGTTAGCGTAAACTGGATCGGGATCTGAGGGGACGGCGAAGGGGTGTAAGAGAAAGAGGCAGTCATAGGCAGGACCAAAAGTTGGGGAGGTGGGAGAGTGTCATCAATTGCATGGTGGAGGGGTGTTAGGGTGCTTTTGGGATGGGGCTGGACTTCTCTGCACATATGCGAATCAAATTCAGTATTTACCTACACTGGTGTTCAAATTGTTCAGTAATATGGCTACGACTTCAAGGCAGGTTCCACCGGATTGCTTCATTCAATCTCGCGACAGGACAATGCTGCGCAACTGGCCATGCTGCTTTACACACAAAACCTGAGTCAGCCGGGTCATCACAAACGTAATCATAAAGAACTAATGAGGTGCTGATCTCGTTGATTTCGCGTGCGTGTGGTCCGCAACCGCTCCCTATCCGCCACCAGACTGCATGTTGCAGCCAAGTCATACTCTAATCGTCGAGCAGACGTACATTTTCAAATCCCAAAATGCCACAGCGCGACATGAATCATCCCAAACATTACGCCGATATCCGTCCCAATCTCTATTGAGTTCGCGACCCGCCTGCTCATGAACGCCAATGTTGAAGGCGCTCATATAGTACATCTCTCATATGTCCCCTCCCCAATGCAGGTTGAACAGGTTGAACTACTTTTTGGTATCATAAACACATTAGACACATTACACCCGGCCGCTTAGATGATAAGCGGCCAGCAGAGAAAAGTCTGAGCGGTTGTTAAAGTGCTCGAGACTTTGATAAGAAAACCGCTTAAGCGGAGTGCTTCTGGCGGTAGGACTTGGCCGAGTTGACCATGTTGGTCAGGGCGGCCTTGGTCTCCTTCCACTGGCGGGTCTTGAGACCGCAATCGGGGTTGATCCAGAGCTGCTCGGGCTTGAGCCACTGGAGCATCTCGCCGATGCGCTCCTCCATCTCCTGCTGCGAGGGGACACGCGGGGAGTGGATGTCGTAGACACCGGGGCCGATGTGGCGGGGGTACTCCTTCTCCTCGAAGACCTTGAGGAGCTTGGCGTCGCTCTTGGAGTTCTCGATGGACAGGACGTCGGCGTCGAGAGCGGCAATGGCGTGGAAGAAGTCCTGGAACTCGGAGTAGCAGAAGTGGGAGTGGATCTGGGTGGAGTCCTGGACACCAGCGGCGGACAGCTTGAACGAGTCAACAGCCCACGAGAGGTACTTCTCGCGCTCCTCGCCGGCGCGGAGGGGAAGACCCTCACGGAGAGCAGGCTCGTCGATCTGGATGACGAAGACACCAGCAGCCTCGAGGTCGACGACCTCGTCGCGGATAGCAAGAGCAAGCTGTTGGGCCTGGACGGACTGGTGGACATCGTCACGGGGGAAGGACCATCGGAGGCAGGTGATGGGGCCCGTGAGCATACCCTTCATGGGCTTCTTGGAGATGGAGGCGGCGTACTTGGACTCCTTGACGGTCATAGCAGCCGGGCGGGAGATGTCACCGACCACGATCGGAGGACGAACGCAGCGGGATCCGTAGGACTGGACCCAGCCGTTGGTGGTGAAGGCATAACCGTCAAGGCGCTCGCCAAAGTACTGAACCATGTCGTTACGCTCAGGCTCACCGTGGACAAGGACGTCGAGGTCGAGCTCCTCCTGGATGCGGACGACCTCCTCAATCTCCTTCTCGATGAATCGCTCGTACTCCTCAGCGGTGATCTCACCCTTGGTGAACTTGTTACGCTGGATACGGATCTCCTTGGTCTGGGGGAAGGAGCCGATGGTAGTAGTAGGGAAGATGGGGAGCTTGAGGTGGGTCTTCTGGGCGGCAAGACGCTGGGGGAAGGGGGACTGGCGCTCGTGGTCGGCGGGCTTGACGCCGGCCTGGCGGTCCTTGACGTCCTTGTTGTTGGTGCGCTTGGAGGTGGCGCGAGACTCCATCGACTTGGCGTTGGCCTCGAGAGCCTCACGGACGGAGGCAGGGCCCTCAGTGACGGCCTTGGCGATCACGGTAACCTCAGAGACCTTCTGGACGGCGAAAGAGAACCAGTCCTTGACCTCAGCGTCGAGCTTCTTCTCGGCCTCGAGGGAGTGGGGAGTGTGGAGGAGGGAGCTGGAGGTGGCAACGATGACACGGTCCTTGCCGAGCTTCTGGATGGCGGACTCCACGGTCTCGATGGCACGCTTGAAGTTGGTCTTCCAGATGTTGCGGCCGTCGACGACACCGGCAGAGAGGATCTGGTTGGGGGCGAGCTTGCTAATAACAGCCTCGAGCTGCTCAGGGTTGCGGACAAGGTCGACGTGGATGGCAGAGACACCCTGGAGGGCGGGGAAGACCTCGAAGTTGTGGACAACGTCACCGAAGTAGGTGGCGAGGACGAGCTTGGGCAGACCGCTGGCGGTCAGGGCCTCGTAGGCGGGCTTGAAAGCATCCTTGACCTTCTGGGGGAGGTCCTGGACGAGGATGGGCTCGTCGATCTGGACAGTCTCGGCACCAGCCTCCTTGAGCTTCTTCAGGAGCTCAACGTATACGGGGACAAGCTTGGAGATGAGGGAGATGGGGTCGACGGACTGGCCACGGTCGGCCTTGCCGAGGTGAAGGAAGGAGACGGGACCGACGAGGACGGGGCGGGTGGTGATGCCGGCCTCCTTGGCCTCGAGGAACTCGCGGACGGGCTTGGGGTCGGAGGAGAGGGTGAAGGTCTGGTTGTCCTGGAGGGTGGGCTTGACGTAGTGGTAGTTGGAGTCGAACCACTTGACCATCTCCTGTGCTGGGTGTCAGTGCTGTTCAGATGGTTCAATCATCGGCTAGTAATTCGGCGACTTACGAGGGCGGGGACATCGACGCCATCCTTCTGGTGGCCACGGCCCATGGCGAAGTACTCATCGAGGGTGTCGAGCTTAGCGCTGGAGTATCGCTCCGGGATGGCCTGCAAAGAGTCAGCATTGTAAGACGTCAACTACAGGCGGTGAGAGACGCACGTTGAAGAGCTGGATGTGGTCGAGGAGGTGGTCGTAGAAGGCGAAGTCGTTGCTGGGGATGACATCGACACCAGCATCCTTCTGGATCTGCCAGTGAGCAAGACGGAGGCGCTTGGCCTCCTTGACGAGCTCATCGCGGGAGAGCTTGTCGGCCCAGTAGGCCTCGTTGGCCTTCTTCAGGTCACGGTTCGCGCCCATGCGGGGGAAACCGAGCACCGATGACTGCACCATGGTGGGGATGTGGGAGGGACGGAGGGGTATCTAGAATTGGCGTGCCTGGTCTGAGGGAGCAATTGCAAGTAGAGATGCCCGTCAGAGGAAGTGGTGTAGGAGAGAGGGAGGACAAGTGAGACAGACCCAGGATGACCGCTGCCTTTGTAGGCGGTGTCGTGCTTTTCTATCTTTTTCGCTGGCGTCCGAGGGGTGCTGGTGTCATTGGCCCGCCGCCCGCATGTGGAATGGCCCGTGCGCCCAGCCCCGACCCTTTCCTCGTCGGTTCCCGGCCCATGTGTAGCTCCTGTTACCAACGCGTCTACCATCGGGCTTCGCAATGGCAGTGCTGTGGCCATGCTCACACGCTCACACGCCGGCCATCCTCGAAGAGCCGACCTCTCTGGCCGGCCATCGTCGTCGGCTCGGCCGTCACGTCGAGCGACAGCTGTGCGGTGACTTTCGCGCAGACTTTGTCCAGGTCGGAGCTCCGACAGAGAGCTCGCTTTGGCGCGGGAGACTTCCCGCCGATTTCGGAAAGATGCCCCTCCAGATGCGACAAGGCCTGTAGCGCAGCACTACGATCTACAATTCGACCCATTGTTATTGTCTCATGCGCTGATGTCGGAGGTGTCGGTGGGTTTTTCTGAGATCATCCCACGCACCAACAGCGACCTGGGGACGCCGTCACGTTGGAGGGAGGGGCTTTGGGAGCCCGCCGCTGGCCAGCCAAACCTTCCAACGCTGCACCTCGCTAGCGAAGGAATCAGTGAAGCACTCGGACTCCGTGCAGTCATCATGAAGCTCCACATTTATTGGTCTGTTGACTTTCAGTACGTCGAGTGGAGACTGCAGCAACACGCCCCCTGTGCACAGGACCGCACCTGCACGACGACTGTTCCATCCTCGACGGTGCACGGATCTCGGTGGTCAGGCTGGGTGCAAAGAACGGAATTTTCCTCGTAACAGCCCAATCTGCGTGGGACACCCACGCCGGAGAACGGGAGGATAAGCTCTTAAAGCTGACCAGGTTCCCGTCCATTGCCCCAGAGCCGACCTCTGTCATTCCTGAAGACCGACGAAGCTCATTCTAGCATCGTGGGTCGATCCTGCCCTCAAACACCATCAGTTTCGCCAGGTTGCATCGTGAGCACTCAGTTGATCATGTGTTGGCAAAAAGTTACACGAGTATGGCCGCGGAAAAACTCGGACAATCTAGACCCGGACTCCACAAGTGCCCCTCCACGAACTACCCCGCCATGTAGCAGCAGCGAGACCTCTGAAGTTGCGAGCACTTGATTGTTTTTTCTGACTCCTATCATATATAACCCGAGCCTCATCATGTCCCGACCCGAGCATTCACGGACTTACTCAACGAACTTGGTGAGCAGTGGCTCGGGTTCGCGTGCGTTGGAAGGACGTATTGGCATTGTCACCGGAGCAAGTAGAGGTATGCCAGCCATGCTGGTCGACATTAGCCCTTCTCACCATTGTCACAGGTATTGGTGCTGCCATTGCGCGCAATCTCGCCAGCAAAGGCTTGAACGTCGTCTTGAACTATACATCAGACTCTTCCGAGAAGATCACCCAAGACCTCGCCGAGGAGCTTCAAACCCAGCATGGCGTCAAGGCTGTCATTGTCCAGGCGAACATGGGCGATGAGAACGGACCCAAGCACATTGTTGAGGTAGCGAAGAACAACCTTTCGCATCAGAAAACCGGCAAGTTCCAGATCGATGTGATTATCAACAACGCTGGTGTTGCGGGCAACAACAGGATTGAGACGATAAACTGCGAGGATTTCGCGCGGCAGTACAACATCAACGTCCGTGGACCTCTGCTATTACTGCAGGCCGCTTTGCCATACTTGCCCAACGATCGGTCCGGTCGCATCGTGAACCTTTCCTCTGTCAGTTCTTCGCTTGGATATATCAGCCAGAGCGTCTATGGCGGCACGAAAGCCGCCCTGGAGGCCATGACAAGGACATGGTCCAGAGAGCTGGCTGAGCGTGCAACGGTCAACTCAGTCAACCCCGGACCAGTCGCTACGGACATGTACGGTACGAACGACGAGTCTTTCATCAACTTCAACCGGCCGTTCCTGCAAAGCACGCCCTTGGCCACGCCTAGAAAGGAATTCGAGGCGGATAAGACGGAGTACTACGAGTCTGTGGGCGGACGACCGGCTTACAGCGAAGAAGTAGCGGGCGTTGTGGGTATGCTTTGTTTACCTGAAGCGGCATGGACGACGGGCAGCGTCATCTGCGCGAATGGAGGCATGAGATTCAGCTTTTAGAGTGGCTCTGTCGGAAGGTAGCACAATTTAGAAGCAGATAGCCAGTCGAGCGCGCGATCTCGGTGGGACAGCACGTTCCGGCACACAGCATCCGAGAGACAAGCAAGATTCGAGACACCAGAAAACTTGGAATACTGCTACTTGCTTAGCATTTGCACGCCGGCAACGCGCTGTTGCTGCTATGTACCGTGGGACGACAACCACTAGTATATATTGCCGCTTGTGCGACTCAAACCTTTGGCCAAGCACATTGACAGTACTCAACGCGGAAGACGAGATCCAGCGACCTGTCTTGTGAACAATGTACTGGCGTACATGCGTGGTGCGTGCTCTTTTGTTCTGCTCGAGGCAGCTCATCAAGGGTCCACTTGGCACGCGCCGGTGTAACCACGCCCAACCTCCCTACCTTGCCCACACCTGCCGCCTCAGATCTACGGAAATGAAATCGCCGTCTTATCGTCAGAAGAACCATCAAGCGTACCGGTCTTGCGTCGCATGGCCATGGCTGGACTCGGGCACGATGCTCGATGCGCTCAGCTACAACCGGGCGCCGCGCCAAGCGAGCGGTTGCCCGGAGCAACTCGTGTTTACCCGTGCGGCATGTGCGGGATCATGCCGTCTGATGGCTGCCATTGGGGCTAGGCTACGCCCGCTGCATTCCGGGAGGCGGTTCCGTATAACGGCCATTGGCTTGAACAACTTCTGCAGCGGATCACAGGCTGACTCGGCGCTCCGGTGGTGGTGCGCGTAATGGTGGCTGGACCTGTTTACTGACCCAACGACCCGCCTCCCTTCGCAACCGTGCATGAACTGCGGATCTATGATAGCACTGGGCTCTCGCCAGTCTCTTCCCCAGCACCGTGTCCACGTCGAGCTTTGTGCTACCCTGTCCCGCGGCCCTCACCACCGTGCGTGTTCGATGGAGGAAAGAAGAAGAGCTACGGACTGAAGGTCCCCACGATCGCGAACGAGAACTCACCACCACTATGGACCCTTCAACCCCACCGGTGCCGACCGTGCTGCCCCGCCCACCATTCGCATCGTGGCGTACAAGTCTGCTGTGGGCCGCGTTCTTCCTTGCGGGTACTGACGCTCAAGTATACAACCCAACAAGACTGCTTCTCAATGGCTCTCGGGTCTACATCTTCCAGCCCTCGTCTAGCTCGTCTTCGCAGTTTGAACTCGGCACTATCGATATATCATCTCGCATCGAATCGTCCGACCCCTCAGTCACCACACTCTACTCTACGTTGCCCTTCCTCGATTCGGATAAACAGCGACCGTTCAACCCAATACTAGACGATGGAGGGAACATCACAGTGTACACGGGTGACTGTACGTCTGGAGCAAGAGGAGGTGAGGTATGGACCTTTGTGCCAGAAGTGTCCGAGCAAGGTGGAAATGGCAGCTGGAGGCACGAAAACATCACATTCGCGCGAGATGGCAAGCACGTTGCTGACATAGGGCCAAACTATCTCAGCGCGGGCATGTCCTTCTCAGCCATTGTTGAGGCCGATGCCTTGAGCACGCAAGCCTACTTTTTTGGTGGAATGTGCCCGTCGCAAGGGGGTAACAACGTTGACTGGCAGGCGAAGGCGAACTATTCCAACTACATGGTCACCCTAAATCCATCAAAAGACACCGCAGAATCGCTGGAATATCAGTTAGGCACATCTAACAGCCGAGGTCCACCAATTGCAGAAGCTGGCTTCACACTAACCGGCTTGTCGCCAAGTTATTCCAATCGCAGCGACGGTACCCAGACACAGCAGCAGAACTTCGTCTTAGTGGGAGGCCATACCAGCGCTGCCTTCATCAACACTTCGCAGGTTGCACTGTTCTCATTGCCTCAGCAAGGATGGACCTTCGTTCCCGTAAATCAACCAGACACAACACAAACAGACCTTGCGATTCGGGCAGACGTTTCGGCGGTTGAGTCTCGCTCCGGACATAGTGCTGTCCTGAGTGATGATGGTCAACGCGTTATCGTGTTCGGTGGCTGGATCGGTGACACCAACACGCCTGCAAGTCCCCAACTGGCAGTGTTAAATGTCGGGGATGGGTACGGTGGGCAAGGTGGTTGGGAATGGACCGTGCCGTCAACATCTGGCTCAGGCCTACCTCCATCGGCGGGTATCTATGGCCACGGTGCCGCTATGCTGCCGGGTGGGGTTATGATGGTGATGGGCGGCCACTCTATATCGGCGTCGAGTTCCCGCAGGCGAAGAGCATCCACGAGTGACGGTCAACGGCCGATGTTCCTTAACATTTCCTCATATACCTGGACAACCAATTACTCCCCTCCACCCGAGACCCGGATCGAACAGCCAGCTAAGAGCGGACCTCTTGCCACTACCGGCCAAAAAGCAGGGCTCGGTGCAGGCTTAGGAATTGGGATGGCCGCTGTGCTCAGCCTGATGGCTTTTTACATTTTCTATACGCGCAAGCTACGGAGGCAGCGCGAGTTCCGGGAGAGTCAACTGCATGAGCTTGCAATGGGTGCGCACCGGTATACTCTATCACCAGGCTTTGATGGTCGCGGTGGCCAGGGTGAATACTTCCAAACCGCGGATGACTCCCATTTCTACCCATCTGCAACATCTCAAGGTGCATCGAGCTGGGGACGAACCAAGGCCCACGACGCTGAGCGAACAGGACTACTGGTAGAGATCCCCAGCCCGACACGTGGGTTGCGTCGTGGTTTGAGTGGGAAAGCTACCCACGGTGGGGCCCGATACGATGATAGGAGAGTTCGAGGATCAGGCCATATTCATCCTATCGATGAGGAAGAGGAGCAGGAGCACGATGCAGCCAACGATAAAACACCGTTAACTTCGCAACCAGAGATGAGGGAGCGAGGACTAGATCAAGGTCACTCCATCTTCGACAATGCGCCCAGCTTGGATCCTTTTGTGCAGCAACACCGTTTGCACAGGGATGATGGCGCCTTCCATTCTGCGCCTGATTCTCCTGTACGAGATGAACGCGATGACCATCACAATGACCACCACAGCTGGCAAGCAGTCGCCGGGCCTCATCTACCTGGACGTTCCAGCCCCACTAATCACGGCCGTGTATCACCGTCGAAGTCGTCAGAGCGCACCGGGTCGAACTTAAGCGAGCGAAGTACCTATTCCAACCTGTCATCGCATTCACATAGCGGAAGCATGGGCAGGAGTGCCTCTGTGCGCTCCGCAGCTATTCTCAACCATGCTGCCAATGCCAACCCGTTCAAAACACCAGACGCCAGCCCGACATTGGAACGCGGTACAAACATCTGGCAAACCGCAGCGGACCCTCGCACGCGGTCTTTTACCAGTATACGAAGCAACGCACGTTCCACGACAGCCAGGGAAGATGCAGACTCATTCACAACTGCGCGGTCCTCCTTCATGGTTCTTCAAGCGGAGGGTGAGGCTCTCCTGGGTGGAAATCCCGAGCGCACCAGGCCAAACACCTCATCGACATCCAACGGCTCGAACAGCCAGTCAAATCCCACAGAGAGCAGCATGAGCCGCGGCAACACAATCACCGCCGCGACCTCAACAACAGAAGGCTTCACCCGCCGCCGACGTAAGAGCTGGCTCGGCAGCGTCCGCCGCGCCCTCGCGCGCTCCACCTCCACCGCCGACCGAACCCGTTCCATGACCGCTGCAACGATGCACTTCGAATCCTACACCGACAGTCCCTCCCCCGAACCCATCGAGCCCCGGCCCACCGTCGAAAACCGCAAATCCATGCCCGCATCAAGCACGCTCCCCCGCCGCGCCGCCTCCGACGCCTCCTTCTGGCGCTCCAAGCGCGGCCGCCAGGACTGGCTCGAAGACGAAATCGCACAGAACCCAAACGACCCGCGCGCAAAGTGGAAGCGGCATCCCGGCGACGACTGGGGCACGCCCGAGGATGTCGAGCTCGCAGAGCGCGAGCGGCTACGAAGAGAGTGGCGCGAGCGAGGGAACTTGCTCATCAATCTTACCGACGAGGAAAGGCTGCCTACGCCTACGACGCCGATTGGGCCCGGGCAGCTGGGCGTGGAGGGCGGGCGCGAGAGGCCGAGCACTCCGGCGGATGAGGACGAGTGGGATGTGGAGGCAGCGGTGGAGAGGCGGGTCGTGCAGGTCATGTTCACCGTGCCGAAGTCGAAATTGCGCGTTGTCAACGCCGACATTGCTGAGACGTCTTCGCTGCTTTCTCTCCCGAGGGAAAACTCGAAGGAAAGCATACGCGACGTGCTGAGGGATGATGGCGAGGGGAGGGAAAAGGAAAGGGGGGCCGGGAGCCCGAGCAGGGTGCGCGATCTCGCTGGCCGCTTCGAGCAGTTGAGTTCGCCGCCGCGGACGAGCCCGAGGCCGAGCCCGGCGGCGAGCATCAAGAGTGTGAAGCTGCGTGGGAGGGGGAGCGTGGCATCGTTGGATCAGGCGAGGAGTAGCAGTGGAGGGGGAAAGGGGAAGGGGAAGGACAGGGCGGTGGAATAGTGGCTGGTGTCGGGATGTGCTCATGATTGACGATTTATTCTTCGAGGAGGCATGTTTTATTACGACACTCGCTTTGCATGGAGGAAGCGACGGGATGCGGATTGAATTCTGTGTTTAGCGTTTGGCGTTGGGGTAAGCGTGTGGGAGGGTGAGAGTGCGGGTTTGCATCTAAGGATGGGTATATAGAAGAATCTGAGCGATGAACTTCCATCTGAGCCCCGCCTATTTGCTCCATGTGTCTGGGCTGCGGGGGAGATGTCTGATGAGAGGGTGTATGGAATGCATAGGGAGTAGACGGGAAAAGCTGCGGCGATATTGTGACGAAGAGCAATGAGCTAAAAGCAGGAATGGGTATTTCATTCAGGAGAAAGAGTGGTTTGGACACCAAACGGATATGCAATGCTAATAACTCCATGTAAAATGCTCCCGCCAAGTACTACTGTAGCCGCCTCAACTCCTACTCAACGCACAGGCACTGTGCGATCATGATTTAGAATATGTCTCGCATTGCTGCAGGATGTCCTCGCCGATCAATTCTGGCGCTTGGAGGTAGTATCGCTCGTTCTTGTACTGTGGCAATATGAGCAATGAAGATGGAGCATCGGCTACAGATAGTGCACCTTCAGGCGACAATTCTCTATTCCATATCGCTTCTGACACATCGCTAGGAGTTTGTCTCCGTCTATGTATCGGTCCTGGATTATCTGTGGCTCCCGAGGGGCTTGCGGTATCGGTTCAGGTCTGGGGAGACGAGCGATCTCGGACGGTGGAGGTGTATGGGAAGATCTTGGAGGTATTGCGATTTGTGACGAAGTAGGGGAATTTGGCCCGTTCCGGGCGTACGACAGCTTTTGCTGTCTGGAGAAGAACTTCATCGTGAGCTGTGAAATCCGACGTGTACCTTCGCGTAACCGCAGGCCATCCTCTCGTCCTATTAATCGCTCTTGCGCGCCTCAAGATTCTTCTCAGTGTATGCATCTTGGAGCGAACAGCCACAGACCACGTAGCAGCGAAGCCAGCACTGCCCTGCGCAGATTCTGCCTCGCAGAAAGACTCGTGGTTGGTACTTGTGAGTACATAGCTAACGTGTTGGGGAATCGGCTGATCTACCGTACGGCTTGCATGCAGCTTGCGGAGTCATCGGGTTGCCAGCGAACGTTGCAGTAGGCGATAGGCTAACACCACCGACTAGATTCATGCATTCCTATGGTAAGTGAGGCTGTGTACTTTATTCATTCTGGAGGTTGCATGGCAATGAAGAAGACGTGCGAGGCGATTGTATACGTCGTGGCCAGATGACAAAGGCGAAGTAGGCTGAATCGAACTAAGATTCCAGCGAAGCAGGTCTAAGCGAGAGGTGTTCAAGTGTGCGCGTGTGGCGCCAGTTGAGAGCAGGCTGCAGCAGGCTGCAATTCCGCCATTGAGGTGATGCCCAAGAGCTGCAGCTCTCACTAGTAAGTAGTAACCAATGTAAGCTCACGGGGAAACGGCGTCAGTCTCTCAATCGGAGCGATGAAGTGCGAGGGGTCATAATTGAGGGTATGGTCACTGAAACGAGAAGTGGAGATCGCTGAGCAGTCAGGTGGAAGTCGGTGAGATGGAATGGGGAGGCATGTCTTAGCGGTGCCCAAACTGGCCTAGTCTCACTTTCACTGCATCTGCTTCGCTCTCCCCACACAGGATCCTGCTTTCACGGAAAATAGCAGATTCTGCCCCGAGATAGAGCCTTAGAGGCCTCCTGGAGGTAGGCATCGGTCTTCGTTCGCTTATGAGGACGCTGGGTCGTGCGGAAGAGACGACGAGTGCTACCAGCCACCCGATTTTCTTCCAGCCCGCTGTACCTCGAGATGGAGACCTCATCTTATTTCGAACGTACGCTCTTCTACGATCGAAGTCCGGCCACCGAGGAGTACTACGCACGATCCGCTGAGACGATTTTCGAAAAGGAACCCAGTCGCTCGAAGATCGAAGTTAGGGTCCAGTCATCGATCGATGCCTCATACTATATCAAAAAGCAAGACTGTTCAAGTCTTGAGGAGAAAGCGGAAGATGCAGAGTCACCTCGTATCTCTCCGAAGCGGAAAGCTGTCTTAGATGAGAAGAGACCTTCTCAAAGCGATCCGCAACCAGCTTCAAGAGCAGATGTGGCTTACAAAGTCAAAGTTGACGATGCCTACGATTCGGATAGCGACTATGCGTGGTCGATCTCTAGCAGAGCTTCCAGTACCGCGCTATCAACTGGGCTGGATCAGCACCATGGCTCTTTGCCGCCCACATACCCTGGTCCGCCTATATTGACAATCATTGACCTAGAGCCTTCTAATCTTCGCAACTTTACCAGACAAACAAAACACGAGTTTAGGGTCTTCTACATTCGGCAAAGGAACTCTTATAGCAGACTGCAGATCACCAAAGAGTTGTTCGAGGAACTCCTCCGTTGCTGCCATGTTTTCCCTCGGTTCAACGAATATGTGATAGGCTTTGGGACTAGGAACAGTGAAACGGAGGTTGGTCCACCACCCCTAACTTTCAGACCGCTGTGTGAAGTACGGAGTAATCGATATCATGGCTTCGGTATGTCTTATAGTCCTTCTGCGCTGCTGCTACTAAACCTCCCTAGAATGCTCTTACATCCTGCGCTACATAGAGTTCACAAATCGGACAGGGGTCAAGTTCCCGTGGTCTCTCCGACAATTCGCTGTCTATCATCGTTACAAACCCAAGTCTGGCAGGGCATGCTCCACCTGGATCTTGGTGGGAGCGTCACAACGGACTGAAACGCGCATCGATGACTACACAAGAAGCATTGATGATTTAAATGCCTCTAATCCCTTTGAACTCCATGTTACGTTCGTCGATACGGCTATAGCAAGCTGGAGACCGTATCTGGTTTCCCTAACAAAACTCGTAGCGCACCAGGTACACTATCTGCGTCCGATTCCGTGCCCTCTGAGCTTACGATTGTAGTCAGATAAAGCCACTGGAGTGGAAGTCGAAGGCGACGACGACCTAGTCCCGATCACTTTCGAAGACCATCAAGAGCTCAAGATGATTGAAGATCGGGTAGCCGACCTCATCTTGTGCCTGGATTCGACCTTGGATACTGTCGCAACGTTCGAGGAAATGTATGAGCAGTTCTCTCGTCAACAGATCATGCCTTCCTCTGTCGGCAACAAGGATCGAAACTCAGCATACGGGATTGACATAGTTATATTCGGTTTGAGAAGACGGGCAAGGGAGATATCGTATAGACAGAAGCAGGCCAAGGTCTTGTTGAAGAAGGTGCAAACAACTAGAACGCTGGTACGCTTGCTCCTATGTCCGCCTTCGTTACATGCAACTGACAACTATAAAACCCAAAAAGATATCCTCTCTCCTCGAACAGAAGAACGGTCTTGGTACGAACGAACAACTCTCCGCTGTCCGCAAGCTTGTAGAGCAGAGCCAAGAAGAGACCGCTCTGATGAGAGAACTGGCAGAGAAGAATAGTAGAGATTCATCGAGCATGAGGATCCTTACTATCATTACAATGATCTATTTGCCATGTACCATTGTTTCGGTAGGTTTGAGAGGAACCTTACACAGACTAGAGTGTGCTTACTGAAGATTCTAGAACTTCTTCTCGACTCAGTTTGTAAAGCAAATCGATTCACCCTCCGGCGATACGAAACTGGGCTACGCGCAGAATGCTTGGCTCTTCTTTGCAATATCTGTCCCATTAACGCTTGCGACTATAGGTGTATGGTACTTATGGGTCAACGGCGAGAGGATTTTCCGAAATGTGTGGGCGAAACGAACGACGTCAGATATGATTCAGCGCCGAAAACCGAGCTCACTCGGGCTGAAAGAGCTGCTCGTGTAGCTGCCGCGTCGACCCGACCCGTAATGGGCGGCCTCCGCGCTCAGCCACCACCTCATCGACATTAGCCGTAAGCATGCCGTTGTTCACCCCTGTCATGGTGTTAATCATCACTAGCACGAAATCACTGCAGGTGTCGGTTCCTCCCTTCATTGTCATGGGGAGATGCCATCGAAGCGGCAGCACGCCGCTATTTTCTGTTTGGAGCATGACATGACGGGAAAAAGCTGCAAAGTATCTCCATGGTCATTTCGGATCGTATGCAGAAATTCTTGCGATTGGATGTCCTGCAAATCGGGCAAAGGTCTCTTGGGTACAGCCCAATACACAACCCAGCTGCAAAGAGCTAGCCATAGTTCAGGAACGGGCCTCTAACATTCAGCTCAGCCTTCAGGAGTCCCTCGGGCATCAGATCACCGCAGGAAATGCCCATGCAAGAATGACTGGCATGCGCATGCAGCCCTGATCTTGAGGCGTGATTTGACTGGACATCTCTAGCGATGCTGCGAGTCCCCCTCCAACCCCACCTTCTCCGCGATAACGACCTCCTAGCCATGCACGCAGATCAGTCTCACCGGAGCATTCCCTGGGTTCTCTTGCTTCAAAGCAACGAATTGAATTCATTGTGTCTCGCTAAGACGTCCTGTACGCACATGCCGTCCAAGCCATGGCAGGCTCGGCTGCATCGCAGGCCAATGCAGTATTACGCCCATAAATCTGGCTTTCGCATTCACTGACCGGTGCAATACCTTCTGGTACAATGAACCTCTTTCATCGCCTCACTGGATGCAGCGAGCCGTTGCTGCCTGGTCGTCTCAAGCCCCCGGATCGGAACATATATTTGCTGCGCCGGCTTTCACATCATGGCTTCTACGTCAGACTTCAGCCTTGTCGCACCCGCCCTTCGAACGTGGATTGAGTCACCTTTCTCAGCCTTTCGCTGCAAACCATCACACCCGAGTGTGTCACACCCGAGTGCGCTCCAAACATACAGCTTTCATTACACAACAGCGCAACAGCGTGGATTTAATCATCAAGTGAGCCATGGCAGAGCCGATGAACAACAAAGATGATGTGTGCGATTACATGGAAGATCACATGGTGAAATTCAACTTCAGAGGACAGCCGCAGCACTTCCTCCCACGATCGGCTCTAGAAAACGTTACTCGCAAGGTGGTGGTGCAGAAGATCGTCGAACAGGATAATGATATAGTCCTCAACAACCGCGAACAGGCAGAGTTGGTCGATCGCATTGTCAAAGACGGACAGAGGCTCTTCGCAATATGCGTACACTGTGGAACAACCATACAGCACCTCAAAGTTATGCTCGATAATAAAATCACGGACAAGCGATTGCCTTTGAGCAAGGATGATTTCGGGAGTTTGAAGGAGAAAAGAAGCTTCGTCAGGAACTTCATCGCCAACCAGAAACACTTCAACACGATAAGCCTCTCAGTAGACTCGATCCAACGGCTTGACGATCTTCAATCCGATCGCTTCACGATACCGATCGACTACGAAGAGATCGAAGCCAACTACAAAGGCAAAGGTGCTTTCGGCACAGTGTGGAAGGTCAGGATCCACCGCGATCATCGATCCTTCATATGCGTATGTATAAAGCTAGGAGAAGAGAGTTTACACACTGACTACTGGAAAGGAGACAGATGATGGGGATTTTTTCGCCATGAAGGTCACACCCCATGAAGGACGGGAGCAAGACTACCATCGTCAGATGGCAGGCCTCAACCACCCACACCTTGTCAAATGCCTCGCCAGCTTCACCCTTGGGGCTAAGTACCAGATGGTTAGCGTGGCGCTGTTCCTACGGCGACGAAGCTGACGATTACAGATATACGAGCTCGCCAGCTGCGATCTGGAAGAGTTTATGCGTGAACGATCAAAGCCTTCCAAGCACCCAGAGCTGACAAAGGCTTGGCTTGCACAACAACTAGCAGGTCTTGCCGGCGCTCTTAAGGTCGTCCACAATCCTCAAGGCCTGCTCAACGTGCCGAATCCGAATACGACGAGGACCGGCTACATGCATGATATCAAGCCCGAGAATATCCTTGTGTTTATCTACAAAGGCAAGGTCTGCATCCTTCGGTTATCAGACTTCTCGTGCGCCAAGGTGGTGGAGATTGTTGCTACCATCAGCGGCAAGCGAGATAGCTACAAGACTGGCTCAAAACCCGGTACTCCCACATATCGTGCACCGGAGATCTCTGAGAATGCATCTTCAAGACCCTACGATATGTGGTCTCTGGGTTGTGTCTTCCTCGAGCTGCTTGTGTGGTACCTGGAAGGATATAAGGCTCTCGAGTTGTTCCGAGAATCTCGTGAGGGTTCTGTCCTCCCTAGCGGTGTGGTCGACGAAGGCTTCTACCACAAGACCAGCAATGGCGAGATGCAGCTCCGGGAGCCTGTCCTCCGCAAAATCGATGATCTGAAGCGCCAGTGCCGAGGGGATCTGAAAGACATTGTGGACGTCGTACCCTGGCTACTAAAGATCAAGCCTAAGGAGCGAATGGATGCTTCGCACTTGGCAGCGAGGCTAGGTCGCTTCAGCACAGTGGCTGGATCGAAGGGCACTACGAACTTCGCTGGCTCGCTCACGGTGCCTTCGCTCGGATCGAACAGCTTACCCACGTACGACTCTGATTCTGACCCGAACGAGTTCATCAAGATCACTAGACCGAGTAACGAGTAGTGACTCTTGAGGCATCGGACTGCCACACAATTGTGTACTAAAGCTAGAGTGAGTCTGTCCCTCACCAATGTCAATCCCGGCACTAATGATGATGATTAGGATGTATTCTCTCAGGTGTACTATATGGACCAGGATTTTATAAGAGAGTGGCTAATGTTGAGGGGACTATTCAGTTCATTTGTGATACCCCCTTTGCTTACTGCCTTTGGTTCATTCTCCTACTACCTTGAGGTACATAAGAAATTTTGAACTCAGGGGCCGATTGTAGTAAGACTGTAGATTGGTCAAAAACCACGATCTTCTGCAACATCACCGATGTATACCGTGAGGGTGCGCACAGAACAAACAGACATCGCAGGCAGGACCGGCTCTACATGCAGCTGTCTTACAATCGAAAGAATCACCTAAGGAAGGCGTCAACGTTGCTTTTAGCTTAGGGCGCGTGTGTGGAGAAAAGCATCCAAGCGAGAACGCAGACGCACGGCAAGCTGGGGCTGTTTAGCGCGCATGGTGAATCAATGTTGCAGGGCCGGCAAGATCCAGACAGCGCTAGCTGGAGGCCTTGATGGTGCATGAGCACTCCAAGAGTACGCAGTAGTTTCGTGCCACATTCTGGTTGGTTGTTCCGTAACACACTTCCAAGCGAGTTGAGGATGGTGGAAAAGTAAAGGACGATGGCCTCAAAAGCAGTTTGGGAAGCTTGTAGTTCGTTGAATATACGAGTGATGTTTTAGCAACTGTGCAATGGGCGATTAGTGATATCACCTTACCTCTTGGCGCCCTGACCTCATCCAAACAATTTGCGGCGAACGCGGAGGTTTACCAATCGACCACCGTTCACCTTCCCATCACCAACTCCTACACAAATCACCATGTTCTCAAGAAGAGCTTTCCCATCGGTAGTGCAACCAGATCACGCTTTCTGTGGAACACCACTAATCAATTGCAAATAGGCCTTCAGCGCCGCGACACGGGCGACTCGCCCCCTCGCCTCGGCCGCAGCTCCCCGCTTCCTGACGCCTATGCAGATGCGCATGCTCTCCGATGACATGCGCCAGGCCATCGACAAAGCTGTCGCGTCAGCTCCCGTAGTTTTGTTCATGAAGGGGACACCCGAGACACCACAGTGCGGCTTCTCGCGCGCGAGCATACAGATTCTGGGCATGCAGGGCGTGGACCCGGAGAAGTTTACGGCTTTCAATGTGCTAGAGGATAACGATCTGCGATCGGGTACGTTGATGCAGTTGTTCATGCGCTACCTTCGCTGCGCATGGAGGGCGAAGCAATGACTTGTTTCGATGAGGAGGCAAATAGCTAACAGAATGGCACAGGCATCAAAGAGTACTCAGAGTGGCCCACGATACCCCAGCTCTACGTTGACAAGGAGTTCGTCGGTGGATGCGATATTCTGATGACCATGCATCAGGACGGCTCGCTGGCCAAGATGCTTGAAGAGAAGGGTGTCCTGGTACCAGCGGAGAACGATGCTGAGCCGCCAAAATAGAGCCTCCGTTATGGGATTAAATAGCTAGGAGCAAAGGAGATGGAAGGAGCAGGGAAATAGCCCACGAGGGTTGTACCGGGGACGATGTAAGATTGATGCTGTATACTTACCAGCTGTCCATGAAGCGTTGCTCAAAGATAGCAATGTATTTCGCGGGGACTTGATGCGAAGTCGCTCTTACGCGTACTCGGTGCTTTATGATCTGATCGCATGATATTTATCAACGTTATTTTCTTTCGGAAGTCGCGAGGATGTGGTCGGACCCGTTCGCGCTTTCCTTCTTTCCTCATTCTCTCAACCTTAAAACCCACCAGCCGCAAGTTCGCAGCTCCAAGCTCCCGATTACCTTCGGGCCTTTATTAGATTACGATCGGATCACTCTACTGGATGGAGATGGCGCGTGAAGGCACAGCTCTTCGGGCGGGCCGAGCTGCAGGTGCAGGCGTAGTGAAGGTGAACGAGAGCAAGCCACCATCCTCGAAGCGTCCAGTGTCAGCAGCAAGCATCTTCAAGCAGCAGCAGTCAAAAGCCGTGAAGAATTCTGTGGTCACTCCGGTTCTTCATACGTCGGCAATGAAGAAGTGGACGCAGGCGAAGCGAGGCTCGAGCAGCAGCCCAGAAAAGATGGGAAGCAACGACGGCAGGAAGCAGGACGACTTGCACCCTCTGGCTGCAGCATTCAATGGTAACGCTGGCCTACGCCTCTCTTGCACGATCATTTTTGGGCCGTTCTACGTTCGCATAGCGCATCATGGAGCAACTCCATGCAACAACCACATACACGTCAGAATCTCAACAGCAGATGTATGCAACTAACATGATCTAGACACAGCGCGTGCATATAGGCAAACACTGCTTGAGAGTACTACGAGGAAACTTGATGACACCCTCTCTCACCTCCTCGATCAACTAAATGATTTCAACATCACAACTTCATCGTCTCCTCCCCAGGCATCCGACCCCAACGACTCACCCCAGAGACTCACTATAGCAGACAGGGCCGATCGGACTGCGAAAAAGCTCTTCACACCGCTCGGCCAGTACGAGCTGACTGTTGCGCGGAATGATCCTAATGGTGAAGAATATCGAGTAGTGCAGAAATTGGAAGATGGGCTCGTAGACTACCAGGCTAGGCATGAACACCGTATCGAGGAGATTCGCAAGCTAGAGGTGAAGTGGGAGACTGTTGTGGGCGAGATATGGAAGGTTGGCATCAACTGCTTGGGCGAAGACGCCATGTCTGCCCTCTTACTTATCAAGCCGGCACCTCCACCTTCGCCACCCGCCAAAGCCGAGAGATACAGCCTAATGCTCGCCGACCTCGACCCGAGGCCCGTACGCAAGAAGGTCAAGTTTGAGGAGTCAGCCCCCAAGCTGCCCAGGTTCCTCACTTCGGCCTCCAGATACGCGGATCTTCCCATCCCGAAACAAATATCAAAGGACGATATCAAGATGCTGACAGAAAAGGTCAACGACTTCGGCACCGAGCAGATCGAGGCACTTACGAAGGTCAAGAAGGATGGGGAGATCTGGTGGGAGAAGAAGCAGGCGCAGATGATGATCGCTCTGCAGGAGGATTGAGGCTCACGGTAACACAAGATCCCGATGAAGGTTGCGATAATGAAAGAAAGCATGCCACAAGGATTCTGGGGCAAAAATACGGAGAATCTATCAAGGAGGAAGATTGAACAATTCGGGGGATGTAAGGAGGGTACAGCATGTGTTACGATTTTTTGAGAGCGGCGAATGGCAATCACAGACGAAACAAAGCCGTCGAGCTCAGTACATGACAAAGTGCCACAGATGAGCAATAAGGCCAATTCCATACGCAGAAACATGTGGTTATGCCCGCAGGAGAATGCTATAATACATGTATAAGAATGATTCCCCCAGGCTCAATCTTAATAAGGTTGCATGCCCGACAAATGGTCCCCACGTGATAGCGCGTGTAGCTGACGTGTCATTGGCCGCACCCCGCCAAACAGTTCCCCAAGCTCCCTCAAGCTCTCACAACTTCCACCCGACGAACTGCAGATACAATGCACGACCAACCGCCTCGATAGCACAGTACTTCTATTCCAATTTCTCACTGCGGCACCCGCGACCGCCTACCCACCCACAATGGCCCACCCACCACCGCCCTCCGCACTCTACACTCCAACGTTCTTCCTTGCCCTCCTCACCACCCTCCTGCTTTGCGCTACCCTCCGCGCCCTCTCGATCCTCCCCTCCCACAGTGCCAAACCTCGACCCCGCGCCCCCGGCACGCGCACGCGCGTCGTCATCGTCCTCGGCTCCGGCGGCCACACGCAGGAAATGCTGTACCTGCTGCGCGACCTCGACCCGGGGCGGTACACGCACCGGACGTGGGTGGTCAGCAGCGGGGACGCGTTTAGTGCGGGGCGGGCTGTTGCGTTTGAGTCGGAAATTGAGCACAGGGTGGGCAAAGGGATGGGGAGGCAGAATGTTGGCCCGGGGAGCTACGATGTCCAGATTGTGCCGCGCGCCCGCAAGATCCATCAGAGCTTGCTGACGACGCCCGCGTCGAGTCTGAGGTGTCTGTGGGCGTGCTTCGGACCCCTCTTGTCGTCGTCGTCTTCTTCTTCCTCTGCCTCCACCAACTCCACCCCCGCAGCAGCGGATCTGCCCGAGCTCATCATCACCAACGGCCCGGCCACGGCGTGCATACTCGTTCTGGCGGCGCTGCTTCTCAAGTTCTTCGACGTGCGCGGCGCGCAGAGCAGGGGGAAGTGCAGGACTGTATATGCGGAGAGTTTTGCGCGGGTCAAGACGCTGAGCTTGAGCGGGAAACTGTTGGTCAGGGTGGTGGATCGGTTTTTGGTGCAGTGGGAGGAGTTGGAGGGGGCTGGAGGGGGACGGGCGGAGTTTGTGGGGGTGTTGGTGTGAGATGTGCAGATAATGTTTGGAAAATGATACCCCGGTCGAACTATGCTATGCGATGTCTGTCCTGAGTTTGCTTTCCTACATGCTTCCTTGCGTATCATACAAGCGGAATATCTATCTACAATATGCTACACGTTGCAGTACACTAATCCAACTCGGCCGCCTCCTGCTTGGCCGGACTCCGCGCCCCCGTCTTCGCCGCCCGCGTAGCCTCAATGTGCTGGCCCAGCGCAATCAGCAGTGCCTCGCGATCGACCTTGGTCTTCTCCGCTGCGGCGAGCTTGTTCCGCCTCTCGACCTCCCACCGCAACTGCAGCGGCGTCTTCATGCTGTCCGGCACAGTCTTCCTCCGCAGCTTCTCCGCCTTCGCCGCCTTGCGCGCTGCACGCTCCTCGGGCGTGACTTCCTTGGCATCTTCGTACCAGTCCTGCTTCTCGTTGCGCTCCTTGATGTCCGCTTCGTGCGTGTGCTGCTGGATTTCAGAGGCGAGCTCCGCGGGGAACGGCGGGTAGACCAGTGTCGGGTAGAAAGACGCCGTGTGCTGAGAGGGCTCGGCCTTGTGGCGCTGGGTGTCGTCGGGGTACCTTGGGGAGAAGCCTGAGGGTGCTCCACGGGGGTTTGTGGGGACCGCGTTGATCTGGTCGAGCTTGGACTGGAGCTTCAGCTCTTCTATTTCCTCAGGGGTCTTGGGTTTTGCTTCGGGCTTGGCTGGCTTCTTGCTCTTGCCGAGCTTGCTCTTGAGGAACTTCACGGGGTGTCGGACCTTGCCGTACAGAGACACGTTGTCTTCCTTGTTGGCCTTTGTCACGCGAGCGACTTCATCCTCCTTGGGGAGTTTGGTCTCCCAGGGCCACTGGATGCGGGTGCGGGTGCCGGCGATGTAGCGGTTGAAGATGGGGAGGCCGGTTCTGGGGTCGAATCGGTGCTCCTCTGGGATCTCTTCAGCGCCATGGTCTATGCCGGTAAAGGGGTCTCTGCCGGTAGTGTGGCGCTCCAAGAGGATGTCGTCGACGACAACATCGGACCAGCTGTGCACGTCTTTTCCATTTTCGGTTCGCTTGGTCATACGGTACGGGATGACGAGGCGGATGTCCTCTAACGATAGCGGGATCTCGATTGCGCGCTTCGTTTCCGGTTCCTCGCCCTCAGGGGTGTTGAAGACGCTGCCGTCAGCGTAGTGCTGTCGAAGTTGGTCAGGTCAAATCAATGGCACTGGGCGGGACAAAATGGCGTACCTTGTTGATGTCCTTGATAATGACCTCGTGCGAGTCTTTGATCACTTCCTCGACAACACCAATCTTGCCTAGCTCTCTGCCCTTGATGACCATGACACGGTCACCGGCTGCAACGGGGAAGTACTTTTTGTTGTCCACCACAAGCGGGTACTCGGGCTCGAGACCCTTGGCTGTTCTGGCTTCATTCTTGCGCGCCCACGATTCGGCGGATATGACTGGTCTCCTCAATTGCTGCATGCTCAGGACACCGTATTGGTCTGCGCCCGGGCCGTAAGCTCGATTCGGCCGCAAGGGGCCCATCTCGTAGTCTTCCTTGAGGTTCTTTTTCGCTTGTCTGATGGGCGCAAGAACGTTTTCCTGCCTCCATCTCCTGACTTCGGCAAAGGCCCGTTTGTCGTCGTGGCGCTCTGCTACAATCTTCTGGCGCTTTTCGCGGGCGCGTTCGTGCCATCTGATGGCGCCCTTGACCTTCCTCATCTCTCTGATCTTCGCCACATGCCTGGCGGTCTTCGCCGGCCGAGCGGCGGCCGTCATTTGGGTCATCGTGAATGTTCCAGGTGTGGACGGATGGTGCTTTCAGGGCGCGGCGCTATCGAGACATGGGCGGTCGGCGGACGGATGCGACCGGACAGTGAAAGGAAGGACGAGGAGAGATGGACGTCCAGACACGTCGCAATTCGGCGTGCTGCTTCTGGGCGGTGGAATTGGTCGACCGTCGAGGGTTCGCATGAGCTCGCGCGGAGCCGCCAAATTTCGCGTAGCTTCAGGCGGTCACGCGCGGCAGAACTTTGCAGGCGTGACGATGCACCGTCCCGAGCGCATCGCGCCGCAACGACACCCGCCCGCCCGCCCGCACGCACTGCCACCATGGTGAAGCTGCTGCGCCGCCGACTGCGCTGCCATGGTTGCGGGGAGGCTTCACCCAACGAGCGCTCCGGCGTCGCCCGTGCCTGGGTGTGCCCGTACTGTGAAGCAGTCAACCATGTAGACGAGGTAACACAGGCCCGCGCATAGACACCGTGTCAATATAGCGAGTCCCTCTCTGACCTGCTCTGCAGCGCGGCCAGATCACCGACCCGCCCGTCGAGTTGACCGCCCAAACCCAGCCGCTGTATACCCAGCGCTCGCGGTCGGGCACCCCCGACATCATGCACCCGCCCGTCGAGTCGCCCTTCTGCGAACGCTGCGAGAAGAACCAGCTGATCGTGAACCGCTCGCTCGCCGAGTATCTCCCCGACGAAGACGACCCGCAGTACGCAAAATACGACAAGGCGCTCCCGCAATACCAGGCACAGCTCGAGGAGCGCTACCCGCCCGTCTGCGAGAACTGCATCGAGAGGGTCCAAGCAGGCATCCGGCAAGCGGGCTATGCAACCAAAGCGGAAGAGCTGCGGCGCAAGCTGGACCAGTCCAAGAAGTACCAGAAGGAGACGCCGACTGTGCGGCAGACCTGCACTCTGTGGATCATATGGCTGGGCCGGTGGGCATACATTACCAGCGTCCTCGTCATTATGCTCTGGCACAGTCTCGGTGCCATTGCATATTTCGACTTTTCGGAGCGGGACTTCGACTGGGCGCATTGCCTTTCGGAAGCAGCATACATGAGGGAGGCCCACCAGAGCTGTGTCGCATCATCCCCGGTTCGACAGGTGGTCTTCTATGCACTTGTTGCAGACCTTCTTACCATCTGGTGGAACCCGAAGCTGGGCCAAAAGATGAAGCACGCCAGCGGGCGTATGCGTGGTCTCGTCACTACGTGGATGATCCGTATGCTTCTTCTCCTGTTAAATGCGGGGAGTCACTTTCTGCTCAACGACACTTCTATACGAGAGACCGGCATCATCTCGGACGAGCGCGTGGGCTTCTTCCGCTACACCCACATGACACTCCTCACCCTCAACATCCTGGCCACCCTCCTCGCGTGGAACACAGTGACCATCAAGTACGTCTCGACCAAGGAGCTCCTCCGCCCGCTCGACGCACACCTCCCCACCGCCCCGCGCAGCACGCAAACCACGCCCCGGCCACAACACACCGCCCCGCTTCCCAACAACACCAGCTTCGACTCCATGGCTGCCGGTTTCGCTTCCAGCTTCCCCTCCGAGCTCAACGCCTACCCGCCCTCTCCAACCCTATCCGCCACCTCCTACGCCGACACCGAAGAAAGCGACTTCACCCCCTACTCCGCGCGCAAGTCGTCCATCGCCACAAACGCCTCCACAGACGCCATGGACTGGACGCCCACGCACTCCCGCTTCGCCAGTCACACGCCGTCGTTGCTCCCCTTCCCCTCCAGCAGCCAGCACCAACCAGACTCCCCCTCCCCCTCTCCGTCCAAGCCGCCCCCCGTCAACATCTTCAAGCCCGGCGCCGAGACGAATCCCTTCCGCCGCCGCATCCCGGCTGCCCCCGCTAGCTGGCACAAGTCCACACTCCCGCCGCACCCGGAAGAACAGTCTCGCAAGCGGAATTTTTTCGCCGAGGATGCGGAGCGGAATCGCGATCTTGGGCTGGGGCTGCGGGGACGGGGGGTTCCCAAGGCGGTGGAGAGGGAGGCGAGTCTGTTCCAGGCGCCGCAGTTCAAGTATGATGCGGGGGGTTTGGTGGGTGCGAAGGAGACGGGGCTCGAGGAGGGGTTCAATGATTTGTTTTCGAAATAAGATTGCATGGGGATGGGGGCGGGGTGGACGGGCATTTGCGTGGCGTTGTGTGTCGTTTTGTTTGAGATACCCTTTCTTGTGGTTTTTCTTTTGTCTAAGATCAGGTGCATAGGGAGGGAGGACGGTCTGCAGCGCTTTGGCGCGGTCTGGCATGGTCAAGGTAGCATTGCGCAATGGTACATGCGGGTTCTGCTGGCAAACCCTCTTGTTTGCGATGGCGATACCACGCCCGTCTACAGGCAACAAGTCGATAGTGATCTGCCGATATCCAAACATGACTTTATCTGAGCACAGACTTCCACGTCAGTCGTTGACTTGAATTTTTTTCAGATTGTGAGGCGGAGAGATAGAACATTAGGGAAATTATTCGTCAGGACTGTCCGGTCGTCTTCAGCTCAAATGTGGACTTTTCAACGCCGGGAGGGTGGCGAATGGGCAGTCCGTACGATCCTGTTAGTTGGGTCTTGTTGGAATGTCGCACATTATCCGCAGCGATATATTTATGGAGAAACGAGCAGCCGTAAGGCATAGTGGAGAATGCCAGACGCTGCGCCCCAACGATCTATCCTCGGGCAATAGTGAGCAACGACATCATAAGCGAAAGACCATAGACGCAGAGGTGGGCGCTTGAACCGGTTAGGATTTTCTACCTAACCTCAAGCCAAATCATGATCTTTTCACATGCCGATATAGTGCGGGAAGAAGCCCAGAAGATCCCCAAATGCTAAGACTCCGTTGCCCTTCCTCGATGTCCGCAGATCCGCAATTCATCGCTTGTCGTATCCCATCCTGAGGTCCCATTCCTTGCTGCTGGCGAGGCGCTTATGACCTGGGCTTCTCCTTCTTCTCCTTCCACAGAGCAGACAGACCGACACCGGAAACCTTGACGACCTTGAAACGCACACCGGGAATATCACCCTTAGCCTTGCCCTTGCGACCGAAACCGGCGAGGAGGACTTCGTCGTTCTCGTCTACGAAGTTGAGGCAACCATCGTTGGGGACTGCGCTGTGTTAGCTGTGTGCTCGGGTAGCAAAATGTCCTGGGCCGCATCGTTCGTGTGGCTGAGCGTAGCGGCGCGGGGCACGTACCGAAAGCAGTGACCTTCTTTCCGTTCTTGATCAACTGCACCCTGACGCACTTTCGGATAGCAGAGTTGGGCTGCTTGGCCTCAACACCGACCTTCTCGAGGACGATGCCCTTGGCGTGGGAAGAGCCACCGAAGGGAGACGACTTGTAGGCGGTTCCGAGGAGACGCTTCTTGTAGTGGAGATCGGCCCATTTGCCCTCACGGCGGGTGTTCTGAAGCTTGCGCGCGGCGTTGAGACCTCTCGGCTGTCCTGTACACCATTGTAAGCTTTTGCGTCGTAGCAACGGGTGCGGCGTGCGAGTCGGCGGAGTCTCGTGCTGCGGAGCGTGGTTTTCAATGCGAATGCGTACCTTTACCCATGATGGCGGTGTTGTCGATGCAATCGCTGGGTGGGGTGGATGGTTAGTATGGCGGACTGAAGAAGATGGAAGTCGTGGGCTCGCGAAATGCGTTGTGTGCGGCCTTGGCGAACGCGGAAGCCGCTAGCGACAGAACAGGCACTAGTGGGCGATGTGCCTGCCCCACCGCGAGCCTCCATTGTCAAGCGGCCCTATACCACCTCGCGTTTGCTCCAGCATAACGTTACGTGCGAACATGTCGCGCGATATTGGCGGCGAGCGTTGATTTTTCCTCGGACTCAGTAACACTGCTTACACCTAGATCTCGATTGATACCTACCATGTCTAACAACAAGATCGCGAAAGTCCCCTCGCGGCTTCCAGCTCCCGCGCTCTTCGTCGGGCCGCCTTCTCACAATGCGTCTGCTACATCTCTGCTTCCCGGCACAGGGGCAGATAAACCCTCACGGGTGCCTCTGACCCGGCAACGCTCTTTGTTGTCGCCAGACGGAAAGCGACCGCCTCCGCCGCTCTCGTCTACCTCCGCCTACGACGGCGACCCTCTCAAACTCTCCTCGTCGAACCCCAATGCGCCCTTTGTCCGCCATCAGAGGCAACAGAACGAAGCTGCAGATGCCGAAGCGTCATCGCGCGCCGAGGCAATATGGGCAGAGATGCAGAACACGCTTGAGGAGGTGGAGCTGAGCGCCATTAAAGGACCAGGCATGACCGTGTTCGGTAGCGAGCACAGCCGCGCTCTTGAAGATCTCCGGAGAGCACAGATAGACCTTGCGAAAGCGTGGGCGCGGTCTGAGGCCGAAGAGTTAGACCAGTCCTCCGAGGATCGTAAGACCGCGGGCGTCACCAACACTGATGTAGCTGACCTTCTCAACATCCCCGAACGCTCCATGGAGAAATCCAATCAGGGCTCACCGAAGGCGGGTAGCAATTCTGGCGGCACATTCGAGAAGAGCAAGCTCGAGGAAGAAACAGAGAAAGACATTGAGCTCAGCAGGAAGAGGAGAGAGGCGAACGACCGGTACTTCGAGAAGGTGAATCGAGGAGTGCTGGAGGTGGTCAACAAGCTTGAGGAGGTTGCGAAAGCGATGAAGACCGTCGAAAGTGAGAGCAAGGAGATCTGGAGCGACAATCAGAGTGCGGAGACCGCAAGTACGACAGCGCCAAGCGTGACATGAAGACGATAAACACCGTCAATGGACAGAGAGTACGGGAGCAAAAACACATAACGGGACAAGTTCAACATGGATGATTTCATCTGCTATTCGCTTGTTTTTGCATTCTGGACGGTTTTCGAACGCTCTCTTCACCAGACTGTGCCCCTACAGCAAATACCTGTAGTCCGGGTTCAGGTCGCCCAGCTCCGTCTTCTCATACTCAGTCAGCCCTACATCCCTTACGCTCTTCTCTCGGCTTCGGTTCGCCCACTGGCACATGAAGAAGTATAGCGTGCAGCTAAGCGCACTCAGCGATACGAAGGCAATGCAAATCGAATATCCCGGAATATATTTGGGCGCATCCTTGGCCAGGAATGCATAGACTGCAATGATGCCTCCAATATTACCAAAGCCGACTTGCCAAGCTGATCCTATCGCCCTGCGGTGATGTCCACCCAGGTTCATGTTGAACCAGCATACGATGACAGGCATGGCTGTGTAGCATCCCATAGCGACGAGGAATAGTGCCGCATACTGCAGGTTGTGGTTGTTGTGGACGGTTATGAGGATTGCAAACCCTGCGATAGCAACGCAGATGGGGAAGATGGCGAAGAGGAAGCGATGTTTCAATCGATCCGAAAACCACGCAATGGTCATTGCGAAACCGAAAGCTGCTGCCCATGGCGGGACAGAGTGCAGCTGCGTCTGGATCTTGCTATAGCCGTACCCTTTGATGATGGCAGGTGAGAAGTACGCGTACCCATAGGCTGGCACGATCAAACCGAAGTACATGAAGCCACCGACGAGGATCTTCGGGTCTTTGAAAACGCGTCCAACATCTGCGAGCTTGATGGGTCGCTCTCGCGCACTCCTGCCTTGGTCGATGCGCAGTCGGGCCTGGACGAAATCGCGCTCTTCATTTGTCAACCACTTAACTTCCTCGGGGAAGTTGGGCAACAGAAAGAAGAAGAAGAACGAAACCACGCAGGTTAGCGTGCCCTCCAGTATAAAGATCCAACGCCATCCCTGATAACCGCGCATGCCGTCCATTTTTCCGATGGCGCTGGCGAGCAGACCACCGAATGCGCCAGCCAATGTGGTGCTGCTGAAGAAGAAGCTATACCGCTTCTGCGCTTCGTGCCTTCGATACCACATGCCAATCAAGTAGAAGGCACCTGGGAACATGCCCGTCTCAAACACTCCCAGGAAAAACCGCGTTGCCAGCAATCCCGAGTAGCTGTGGACGAAGCCCTGGAGCATGGTGACAAGCCCAAAACCGAACATGCATATCGCGAGCCATACCCTAGGCTTCAGCTTCTTCAGTATGATGTTCGACGGAATCTCGAATAGGATGTATGGCACGAAGAAGATGACGAGTGCGTTATTGTACTGCGTCTTGACGAGGCCGAGTTCTTTGGACAAGCCAAAGACATCAGCGTTGGCAATGTTAACCTGTGTAAAGTCAGACTGAGGCAGGCGAAGAAGAATTGGGGCCATCTTACTCGGTCCAAGAAAGCGAGTAGGTACATGATGCAGAGGAATGGAACGACGTGCAGGTCGATCTTAGTGATCAGCTTGCGCTCCGTGGTATGCGGTGGGCATACCACCATATCCGGGGTGTCATCGTCGTAATTGGTGTCGTAGGGCGGTGCTCCGGCATCGTCGGAGAGATTTGGGTGTTCTTCTACACAATATGAGCATACGGCTGCTGTGCCATTGACTCGTCTTGCTTACTCTCTTTGTGCGAAAACATGGCCGCGGTCTCAATGTGTTGAGCGGCCCGGTGCGGAGCTCTCCCTCGCTTTATGCAATCGCGTACCCTGCAGAGAAGTATCTCACACGAGCGTCAGCCTTCGTTGCTCGCAGCGCGCTTGCTGCGTAATATACGAAGCTCCCTGGTCCTCGGAGCTCGGATCAAGCCAAAAGCGCAGGCTGTTAAGCCGACGTCGGTCGCTTATTATGAACGCCCTGTCGGCGCGCCCCGCACCAGCTTGCCGCGATGGGGAACGGCTTTGTGGGCTGAACAACACTTGTGAACGCAGCTTGCGCCAAAGAGGAAGCTATCAACGCTTCCCCAGACGTGTGGCCCAATCACACCAACGGCGCCTTCTCCTCCACTGCTGGCGGCGAGCGATGCCGAGTCGCGCGGCGACAAACACGAACTGGAGGAGCGTCACGTTGCCAGTTTCTGACGCGGCCGGTTGGCAGTCGCGTCGAGCAACCTTTTGGAGGCGTCCGCGGTGAACGAACGCTGGTCACGGAGATGCAGTCTTGCTAATTACACTGGGCACTGACATGATGAGGGATGGGAGTATGTGGGAACGCACATGCCCGCGCGAATTACCCGTTGCGGTCGGCGCGTGCAGCAACACACCGTGAGTAAGCTTGCGACGCCCTGACGTGCTGGCGATTTGCAAACTCGAGCATCATCAGCATTACCAGCGCCCCGACGTATCCGGCCCTCGGTCCGACAGCCAACAAGGGTTTTCATTGTCGGATGTTTGACGGGTAGATCGACGCCGATGAGGCGTAGGCTCACGCAACTAGCGCGGGGCCTGTGCGGTATGGAATCATGGTGATGTGAAAGTCGCATCGCGCTCATTGAGCCTCAACAGCCCTGCGCGATGCAGGCGGACGCTCGCCATCCGTGGCTACCATCCATACACCTACAGGCTGATGTCCACATGTGCCCTTGGGCCGGCAAATGCGGCGGATATATTTCTCGCTTAGTCTAGGTCTGGTCCTTTCCGGAGCCACCAGACCTGTAGCGGTAGCCAAGTGTCAGAGCTGCACTTTTCAAACCCAACGTCGGTTGACCTAGCCTTCTGCTCCTCTTCCACTCCGCCTCACAACTCGTCGCAACTGCCACCCACTTCCTTGCGCCCTCGCCAACCTATGCTGTCGTCACCAACGTTTCCCGAAGTGCCTACTGCTCGTCTCTCGCAACCCCTCCAGCGGCTGGTCTGCTGACCAGAAATGGTTAATTCCAAAGATTTCGCCTTCAAAGTCAACAAGCAAACTCCTACCGAAGGAGTGTTACCGCCAGCGTATGGCACCGTCATCGACTGCCGTCCGGCATCCGGAAAGCGGGGCAGAAGTGAAAAGGAGGTCAAGTCTCGACAAGTGAGGTTGACCAGAGTCCCGGATCCGGATGGCGTAGACTGCAAAAGGCGGAAACGAGAACCCCACGACTCGGCCAACGACGATGGAGCCGCCACCGCCAGCAAGGAGTCCTGTGTTGGCGCCATGTCGACAGCATCAAATTCCACGGCGTCAGCTGAGCGGCCGCCTGCTGTGCGGAAATCGCAGCCAGCGCCCACCAAGTTCCGAAGAGGCACGGTTCTAAAAAAGCAAGTCGATCTGGACAGCTGGTTTACCATTTTAAGATTTTCGGATCCAGCACAGCTGTTGGAAATGCGCACTAGGATTGCTTCGTGTTATCGATTTCTAAGAGACAACCCCATGCTTTGGAAGCACAGCAGGGACCATTTTTACGACGATACCCTTCCGGATCCACCTTCGGAGCTTTCGGAGTTCCAGTATGCCCATTTGCGACACGGTCACGGATGCATGAGCTGCCACACAAAGTCGACGCGCAAAACGTACTGGGCGTTCCTCCGTCGATGGTGCAAGAACTGCCTGCATTCCAAGATCATCAAAGAGCACGATGTTGTGGGCATGCTCAAGGAAGCAAGCGAGGAGCACATGCTGGACCTCCTCAAGTGTTTGCCCGTGGCCATTTTCGACTCATGGGACAATTACGTCGGCGTTGGACCTGGCAACACGCACCCGCAAAAGAATGTGTATGTTCTTCGAGATGTAGAAGTTCTTCTCGCGCAGCATGCCCAGGAACGAGACGAGAATCCTGCGACGTGGCACGCCGAGTGCAGAGTGTGGATGAGCGAAAAAGAGAAGGTGATGCAGGAGCGGCACGACTTTGCGCGCAAGATGGAGCTTTGGGAAGACCACGCAAGACAGTCCAAATCGTCCGACTTCCAGGAAAAGAAGACGGCACGCAAGAAGTACTTCCAGGAGAAGGCGGCCGAGCTCACGCCCCCAATCAGCGAGAAAGAACTGCAGCTGTGTCCATCGTACCGTCGCGCCGTCGTCATTCCGAAGATGCCCAACATGCTTTCCTGGTCTCAGCTCAAGCCCAAGGTCGAGAAGGAAGCGGCGGACGTCAGGGCGCGATGCACGACGCCGGATGCCCGCCGTCTGCCTGACCCGTTCGGGTTGGGTCGCGATCGAGTCCCGCATCATCTGCCTTTCTTCTCGCAGCCCAGCAGCAGGACCACGACACCGAGTACGGATCCGTTCTTCTAGTACGGGACGAGTGGGACTTTGCGACAGTGACTAGTACATACTCACACTTAACGACTCCATGACGGACATATATACGACTTCCGGTGCATGGCATGGAGTTTAGACGACACTGGGGACATAATAGGGACCGCGACGCCTTGCTTACACTTTTGGGTTTGTTCATCAGCATCTAATGGTCCAGGCTGGGAGGATGCATCATTCGCACGGGACGGGGGGTTCATTGTTACGGCGCAACGGCATAGACGGACGTGTTACGAGTTTCTGTATCCATGGGCATGTTATTTCTGTCACCTGAAGCGTTCATGACTTTCAATGGCTGCTTTGTAATGCAGGAGATGCGAGCGGTAGAGCCTAAATTCAACTTCTGTACACACGTTGACAACGGGCTCGTCGTGACACGGCGTTGGCGGGGTGGAGTGTTCGGCCCAGGGATGGAGGGCGGGGGTGGGCTGTTCGACCCAACAGGTACAGACACCTAGAACAGCAGAGTCTGTACACATGTTGACAACAGGCTCGTGGTGACACGGCGCTGGCGGAGTGGAGTGTTCGGCCCACATGAGCGGCAAGTGGGCCGAGTGCTGCTGGCCCCGCTTAGCAAGGGTGCGGCGAGCAGAGCAGCAGCTTACACCATCAGCGGGCATCTAGATGCAGGAGCTGTTGGGCTCTGCAGGCGTAGCCTTGCGGGCGCGTTCTGAGTCTGTATCGCAGGGACTGCCCATGGTGTTTCAGAGGGCCGAGATGCACCCCTCGATGCCTCGGTCGACGCAGCGAGACGCGGCCAATCATAGCACGCGGAAGCGCGATGACGGAGGCGCATGTGCGTGAGGGGAACGTGAGGCTCTGCGAGACGCTGCCAATAAAGACGCGTCGCGCCCGAGCAGGTCTCGCGCAACGTCGCCGCGGCATCGGCAGCCCTCGTCCACGGAGACGCTTTTCATGCCGAAACGGTCGGCGGAGTGAGGCAGGGCGTGGTTATCAGCGCGGCTTAGTTGAGCAGCATGGCCTAGAAAGAAGGCTTCACCGAGGCTGGCGATTGGCTGGCGGGCGCGCGTCGGCCCACTTGGAGGAGGTGCCGGGTCGGTTTTTGTCGAAGAGGATGGAATTTCCAGCGTGTCTGCCGCACGAGCTTCGCCGTCTGGCGAGATAAGTACCTGGCTTTCCGCGCCGAGCGTCTTGCTTTCTGTCCCTGTCCACGCACGCTGCCAATTGAGCTCCGCACCCTACAACTCGCTCGTCGCCGCCGCCTGCTCTTATCGCGAGGGACACTGCAGCACTGCTACCACACCGAGGCCCGAACCGAGACACGTCCCCATCGCCGCTGTCTGCAGAGCACTGCAATGGCATCCGCTTCGCGAAGCTTCACCCGCGCTCTGCGCACCGCCGCGCCCTCCTTCCGCACCACCTCGACACGCTCTGCCCGCTTCGTTGCGCCCCAGCACGCTTTCCGCCAGCAGTACCAGCGCCGCGGCTATGCTTCCGAGGAGCCCAAGGACAAATATGAAGGCAACCCCAGCGGCCTGATCTACGGGGCCGGTGCCCTGGCCGCTGTCGCTGCGGGATATGGCGTCTACCTCATGAACCCTCAGTGGTTTGGCCAGACGGCCAAGGAGACCGCTGTCTTTGCCCCCAAGTTCGACGACTACCAGAAGGTCTACGACCACATTGCGAAGATGCTCGAGGAGCACGACGACTACGACGACGGCAGCTACGGCCCCGTTCTTCTCCGCCTGGCATGGCACGCCTCCGGAACGTGAGCAGCCCTCCTTCTCCCGCCACAGCAACCACCCCCCATGCTAACGCCCCCCAGCTACGACAAGCTCACCAACACCGGCGGCTCCAACGGTGCCACCATGCGCTTCGCCCCCGAAGGCGACCACGGCGCCAACGCCGGCCTCAAGGCCGCCCGCGACTTCCTCGAGCCCGTCAAGGAAGCCTTCCCCTGGATCTCCTACTCGGACCTCTGGATCCTCGCCGGCGTCGCCGCCATCCAGGAGATGCAGGGCCCCAAGATCCCCTACCGCCCCGGCCGCACCGACCGCGACCTCTCCTTCTGCACGCCCGACGGCCGCCTCCCCGATGCCTCCCAGGGCGCCTCCCACATCCGCGCCATCTTCGGCCGCATGGGCTTCGGCGACAAGGAAATGGTCGCGCTGTCCGGCGCACACGCCTTGGGTCGCTGCCACACGGACCGCTCGGGCTTCGACGGCCCGTGGACCTTCTCGCCCACTACCCTGACCAACGACTACTACAAGCTGCTCCTCGAGGAGCGCTGGAGCTACAAGAAGTGGAACGGCCCCAAGCAGTTCGAGGACGTCAAGACGAAGAGCCTGATGATGCTGCCGACGGATATGGAGTTGATCAGGGATAAGAGCTTCCGCGCGTACACGGAGAAGTATGCGAGGGATAACGAGGCGTTTTTCAAGGACTTCAGCGAGGCGGTGACGAAGCTGTTTGAGTTGGGCGTGCCGTTTACGCAGCCCGAGGACCAGAGGTGGGTGTTTAAGAGCTCGTTTGATTAGGCGGTGGTGGGCGGGAGCGGACGAAGGGGTGGAGGGGGGCGAAGGGCAGGTGCAGGGACGAGGTTTGCATTGAGTGAGCGAGTGATATCCTACTAGACCGTCCCGTTCTTAGAGCTAGACTTTGCTTTGCTTGGATCAGAGCGAGTAGACTTGTGGCCCGCACCACATCATTTCCCTTTACCTCCTGGTGGCATGTAGCCTCCGGTCATAGATGTACGTTAAGTCATGTGTGCAGTAGCATTCGAAGGAAAGTACCACTACCGAGAAGGTTCTCTTACTGATCTAATGTGAAGAAAAGACTATGGTGCTGTGATTTATTATGATGCAAACTTGTGCGAGACCTGTGGTGCTGTGTTGTGTCCAGGGTGCGAATGCAGTGCCTGCCTATCTGAACAGCACCACTAACTGTGACCATTCCAAACTGCCGGTACTATACCGCTCGCCGCCAACATGGTAGTAGCTGGGTACGGAACTCACCCCACCTCCGTCCCTTCCCTTCCCTACCTCAGATCGACCGACAGTGCCACCCACTTGCAGCCCAGCATCGCACAACGAGGCCTCCTCCCTCTCCCTCTCGCCTCCTCTCCCTCCCCGCCCTTGCGCAGCTGGTAACCCGTTCCTCCCACCCCGACCAACAGCCCTGTATAGTCGAGTGACGCAGCAAGCATAGTCGGGGACAGGCGCGGCTTTCTTACGCAGCGCCGGTCTGTCGACAGAGGGGGGGAAAGAAGCGGGAGAGGCTGGCTCGCAATGAAGATGCACGTTGGGAGCTCCAGAGGGGCGGTGGCGTGCGGTGGAGACGTGGGAGAGGTGAGTGGAGTGTTTGACTCGGACAGACGGGCCGGTGTGTGTCTGCTCTGTGTGGGATTCGGGCTTCAGATGCGTTGGTTGTACACTGAGGATTCGTATATGGAATCAGCAATGGCGGCCTTCCTGGGGTATGCATTCGCGTAATGGTCGGTTCAGTGAAGGTGCTAGTGGTGTGTCCAGTCTGCTATTGACCGTAGGTGTAGCACGTGGACATCTTCTGTGCGGGCTGGGTCTTCGTGATTATAGGCCGATGAATTGGTTTCGCTTGCAGAGGAGGGCATTCCTGTAGTCTTGAACATTGAATGTCTCCTTTTGGCAAGCCTACTGTAAACAGACCGGATCGTAAGGTGTCGTCGACCTGCACGAATCGTTGCCCTCTTCGCCTAAGAACTTGTGTGCCGAGCTGGTGAAGATCTCGGACGATGCCTTGCGTCGAGCTTGCATCCACCAGCGCTTCGGATTACGGGTTACTAAAAATGATTGTGATCAGTCTGGCATTGTGCTTTCGACTCGGAAGATCTGTGTGAGGGATGCTGGACACGTTCGATACAGACAAAGGAGCGCGTCATCCTAGTCTGGTGTTACGTTGGGATATCCAGGCTACTTGCTCCTGGACCCTGGTAAGATGCTGTGATGGGTATTCTTGCCTGTTTTGTGGCCCTTGTCTCCAGGTACCACCGGCAAAACATGGGCCAATCTAAAGTTGCCTTTCCATCTAGCTTAACAGAGGAGGGACGTGAAAAGGATGACAAGCTCCGCCTTGCTAAGAGAACAGCGAGGTGGCTTTGTGGCGGCAGCTGTGATCCACGCACGCGTCCGAAAGCAGCACACCATACCAGCAGTTCCGCCCTCAATTTGCCATCTGCACCGCGGCGTGCCTGGCGGGAATAGCGACAGCGGAGGCTAGGTTCTCCTGCGTTCAAGGCCGCACGACCTAGGCGCAACGGAGAAGGTCGGTCGCTCACCTCCGCAAAAATATGTAGAAATTGCGGGGTACAACAGATGTAGTGGGATCGACCAGCCGCTAACAATGTTCCCCAACTCTCGAGCGACTCGCTCGCCCTGCATAAATACAATGCGGGGGACCCGGGAACCGTTTTCTGGGCGCTGTAATGATGATTTTAAATCTCGTACTGGCGCTGGCGGTGTTACAGTGGACTGCAGCGGCTTCGTATGGTACCTCCTTCCGCAAGTCATGTCTAGGCTTCAACGCGACGTCCTTCCTCACAAACTCAACTCTTCGTCTGCACGAGTATGTGCCGGCTAATACTACCATTCCGCTCAATGGCATGGATTCGACCTGCAGTCGGGCGGACCAGCTATTCTCCGTGGAAGCATGCCGCATAGCCCTCACAGTACCAACTACCAACCGTTCCTCAGTCATTGTCGAGGTCTTTCTCCCACGCAACGATGCCTGGACCGGCCGCTACCTCGCAACTGGAAACGGTGGGATAGACGGTTGCATCAAGTACGAAGACATCGCGTATGGCCTGTCACATGGTTTTGCGACCACCGGATCCAATAACGGCCACAATGGGACAGGTGGGAAAGACTTCTTCAACAACGAAGATATCGTCATCGACTTCTCCTGGCGTGCACTGCACACCGCCGCGAACACAGGAAAGACTCTGACCAAAGCGTTCTACAAGATGGACCTCGGGAAGAGCTACTACATGGGCTGCTCCGGCGGCGGACGGCAGGGCATCCAAGCCGCAGATCTCGTTCCGCAAGACTATGACGGGATTCTGGTCGGATGTCCAGCTCTTAATTTCAACTACATGTCTGCCTGGCGAGCAAGCTTCTACGCCATTACAGGAGCAGCGAACAGCTCGGACTTCGTCGCGCCCGAGACATGGCAGGGCCTCATCCACAACGAAGTCCTAGCACAATGCGACGCCCTCGACGGCGTACAAGACGGTATACTAACCGATCCGTCCCTCTGCCTGGGCATCTTCCGACCTGAAGCTCTCTTGTGCACCGAGTCGAACACAGCAGACTGCCTCACCGCAGTCCAAGTCGACATGGTCCGCCGCGTCTTTAGCCCCCTCTACGGCGTCGACGGTAAGATGATCTACCCTCCGCTTTCTCCTGGCGCAGAAACCCTGGCAACGCAGCGCCTCCTCTCCGGCACGCCGTTCTCCTACTCCGTAGACTGGTTCCGGTACGCTGTGTACTCTGATCCCTCATGGGACCCGGCAGCATTCACCATTGCCGACGCAGCTGCAGCAGAGACGAAGAACCCTGGGAATTCGGTGACCTGGCCGTCCTCCTTGTCCAATTTCCGCGACGCAGGCGGGAAAATGCTTATCTTCCACGGCGGCGCAGACCAACAAATCACGCACCTTGATACCGAGCGATGGTACAACTACCTTTCCGTCGGCATGGCGTCCCGGCCTTCAGACCTTGACACCTGGATGCGATTCTTCTTTGTGCCGGGGATGAACCACTGCTCTGGCGGCGCGGGAGCCTGGCAGATTGGGCAGAGCGGCGCTGCGGCGGCGGGTATCGGGTACACGCCGAAGTTCAACGTGTTGGCTGCTCTTGTGGAGTGGGTTGAGGGCGGGACGGCGCCGGGGGAGTTGATGGGGACGAAGTTTGCGAATGATACGGTGGCACAGGGTGTGCAGTATCAGAGGGTGCATTGTAGATATCCGACGAAGAGTGTGTATTTGGGCGGGGATGCGGGGGCGGTGGAGAGCTGGGGGTGCAAGTAGAGGATAGAGAGGGGTTAGAGGGAGTGATCAATTGCAACTTCCTTTGCTGGCCGAATGCGCCTTCTTCAAGTTGTGCAGAGGATTCCTCACGACAGATGAGTACACAGCCAGTGTCACGAGCATTGTACGTATAATTTCATCAGTACTTCCATCATTGCTTTGAATCAGTCATGTTCACAATGTCAATATCAGGTTCAGACACTGCATTAATCCTCGCTGCTTTCAAAGACCACTAAACATAACCTATCAAACTCGCCCAAAAGCGCCTCTCGTTCTTTTCTTTTTTCTTTTCTTTTTTTTTCGAATAGAACGTCCTTGCTAACCATGAACAGTTGCAAGATTGACACACTCTTGCCTTAGGAAAGAACTCATTGCCAATGGCATGGCCAGACGTGACCACTCACGAAGATGAAAGGCGCGGCCTACCTCGGCCTTGACTTCGACCTTTCATATACTCGTCCCCTACTTCTTCACTCGGCAACCTTCTACATATTTGCGTCTCTTGAATCGACTTCCGAAAGGGCTTCGGTCAACAAAACCCTGACTGCCTATCATACATGCACTTACCTCCTTGTGAGCCTGAAGCTGAGGCCTGGCAGTAGTCTTGCACTCCCTGTCTTCACCAAAATCCTACATCGCACTGAAACAGCGACAATCTCCCAATCCGACTCGAAGAAGCATTGATTCAAGGATATCGGGTGAGGCTTCCGTGTTGCCGCCAATTTGCAAATCCCATGTCTCGACCGCCATGGACCGGCTGATCCAGATCTGTTGTACGAATTGAATTCGGCGGAAAATATCCCGGTCACCGACATATCCCTGGCGTCTTTGCCAGACTACATTTTGACAAGGTTATGGGTATGTGAACTGGGTCCACGAGCACTGAAAAGAGGGCACTACGCACTGCTCCGTCTGATCAACGCAGACTCCAGCAAGCCTCTGGGACCCACCTTGATGGGAGCGGACTAGACCTTTCGTCTCTGGGCTAGAGCTTCATCTTTGCCGTTCGTAGTATCGCGAAACGGCGAGGATAGCCCTCTATCAGCCCAAAGCCACCACGCGGCCCTCTTTCCTTTTACGAGTGTTAGATACTTGCCGATGTCTACTATCACTTTTCCCCAGCAGGACCATCCTAGCCTTCGGCGCTTCCACACCTTGGCATGCTAAACACGATGTCCGCCATCTCCATAGATCTACCCCAAATCCTACCGGTACATTCCTGCACCAATGCTCGCCTCCTGGCATCGGCTACAAATGACCGAGTCGCGGCAAACCATGGCTACGGCTCAAAGCAAAAGCATGACGCACCGAATACCTAAACCGTCCTACCGCGGACCACAGCAGGTCCCCAATTCGCTCTACTGCGTCTTAAAACTACTACTTTGCTACATCTGTTGTATGTGTTGGGTTAGCCTATGGTATGTACCACGCCGAACATTCACCATTTCCCTGCAAGTGTAGGACCTCAATCCGCAACATCGGCAGCCTGCTTGCGCAACAGCAAGTGCACCTAGCCCAAAGCCTAGTGTGAGCGACGGTCGACTGAATCCAGGCTCCACGGCGCCCATCGTGAACGCGTATGCATGAACGGGCCCATCCGCGCGCAGCTGCAGCGCACCACATCGCGCCCGCTACCACATTGCGTATAAACCGCGAATAGCACGTCCGCCGGTGAGCGCTCCGCTGCACGCATATTGAGTGCTCCGTGTTGCCGTACTCGTCAACCGTAGTTTGCCTCCCGAGCGAAGGGAACCTTTGGCGCGACCACCATGGTGCCGTTTATTGAAGCGACGTGGCTGGGCTCCAGGCTTGCAGAAGGCCCGTTATGTACATCATGAGCCGATAGTGACGGCACGGGGAGGTTTCAATTCGCGATCTGGACGTGTGTGGGTTGATAGAAATGGAAAGGGGAGGGTAGAGGGAGAGGCGAGAAGGCCGCGAAAGTCTAATCGTATGAATCGGAGGTGGCCGAAGAATTGCGTGTCATGACTCTAACTCTCCAGGCACAGCAACGTCGAGTACTGCAATGCGCCGCGGAGCAGGCGCGGACTAGGCGCGGAATCACCGGCGTGAAAGTGCCGTTGTCGCCGCGTCAACTCGCGTAGCGGTCGAAACCACCATCGCGATCCTTCCTCCGCCAGCCAGCACAGTTCCACAAATCCTGAGTCCCGGAGGATTTCCCACATGCAAGCATGATTTACGGAAGATTTTCTGACTGCTGCATGCGCGCGTCGCACCGCGTTTCGTACCTGCGCTGTCGGATCCAGACATGTCATGTACGGCCTCGCTACACACTCGGAGGGAAATCTGGGGCTCGGTTCCAAAAGGCGCTTTTCTTTTCGAGGGTGGTCTAGGTGCGAGCGTTATGTCAGCTACCTCCTAGGGCTGGCTGGGCGGACGTTGCAGTTGCGCTGAAACTCGAGGCCATGTCCTGACCACTCAAAGTATGGGCGGAAAGGTTGTGGAGCTGGAGAGATGAGAAAGCTTTTTCTTTGTCACTCAGGGGCCGCGAGGGACGATAGCAGCAATCCTTTGACGGGACGCCACCAACAGAAGGTTTGTGGCTGCTGCGGCCTCCCGTGATATCGTCGTGCTTACGCGACTGGGCTGCTTTTGCAATCTATCACGCTGCACCGCAACGGGGAAACTCGTCGACCGGACCAGCGTCCTCACCCAGGTAGCGAAAGACGCTCAAGACGTACCACCGCATGTCGTACATGCGCCCGCCAGCATACTAGCGCTCGCTGTTCCGAGAACTGTCAGTGGTGAACCAGGATGCTTTGTGCCCGTTTTGGAGGCGCATGATCTGCGAGCCGTGAAGGGCTGCACACGACTCATGCGTCGCTGGCACGGCCCGTCACATCTGTCTGCGAACATCGTGTGCGGTTCAGCCGAGGGCTTTCCTTTTTGCGCACTCTGACCCATGGCCATGACACGCCTACGCCACGTGTGATGCACGCAGTCACGCATGGCAACGTGTGAGGCACCCGCTATGCGTGACAAAGAGACGGGTCGCGTATTGGCGTCTGCCTGGGAGTCTGTGGCCCGCCTGGCAGAAACGCAAAAAAAATTCCGTGGCAGGAAAATGATTTGACTGCCCGTGTCACCGCGCGCGCGTGTGGACTAGGGGTGCAACCGAAGATGGAGCAGGATGGTTACACCCTGCTGGCAGTTATTGGTGAGAGGGACAAGGGCTGCGCACGATCGGCCACGGATGCCGCCATGAGTCAGGACACATGCATGCTTGCCCAAGCCGCCTACCTAGGAATGCGCGTCGCCCAGTATGGCCGCGAGGAAAGGGGAGGAGGAAGGAAGGTGGATTGAAGCGGGTGCATGCGGTGATTCTATTGAATTGGCATGTTGTGGCAGGATAAACAGACAGTCCTTGACGGCGCCGTCTTCCCCGCACCACACGTCCGGAACTTATAGCGGGGAGACATTATGCTGTACTCTTGCCTTAAAATCGGTCCATTGGACGGAAGGCCTCCCCGTGCTGGCTTGTAGGTTTTTGACTATCCGTAGCGACCTGCGGTACCTTTGAATAAACTCTGTATACGAAAGGTCGTGCAACACCGTGGAGCCGGGAGCATGCCCAGTGGATCCAAAGTGCTCCTCGTAGGACCGGTCGCTAGAGGATGCCATTTTAAGTTTGACAGGCAGGTGTGACAGCTCTAGCTCGAGGCCGTGTTGGGGAACGCAACAGTAGTTTGCTCCCACGTCTAGGCCAATCAGGCCCAGCAAGTTAGTGATGGTCTTTTGCACGCTGCATCCCATCCTGAGTGCACCGCGGAGGGCGAAAGGTTCAATTAGACGATCATTAGGTGGCCCGCTCAAATGTGTGGATTCCTTAGGTCCACACGAAAACCGCGTCGGTTATCGTCAGCCGCACAGAGAGAAATCGAGGCGCTCTATGCTTCGCCGTTTTTCTTCGATGTGAAAGATAAGGGCAAAGGGTTTCTCGCTTGCAAAAGACGACAATGGAAAGCTCATCGTGCAGACGGTGGTGGCGGACCAGGCTTCAGACGTGCTAGCGCAACCATGGGATAATCTGTGTTTGATGTTCGTAAGGAAGGTTCATGGGAGGTCAGTCATTTTGAGGCGAAAAGGATGATTCCAAGCGCCACCTTCCTTTAACGAGTCCCTAGAATCTGTCATTAACCGCGGCGGCGGCGGCGGCAAATCAGTGAGCTGTCCCTCCAGCGCGGTGGATCAGCTCAGGTACACAAGGACTGCAGCATGTAAGACCGACATGCTCGCGGCTAGACGCGTTCAATTACGATCTGGCAGTATGCACATAGTGACCAGTGCTCTCGCTCACCTGCTTGTGCGCAGTAGTCGGAAATCGCTGGGCGTGGGGGGTGACAGGCTGGCACGGCCTCCGTGCCTGTTGGAGGAGCGGTTGAAGGGATAATGCCTGGGGCGCACATATATATTAGACCGTCATAGACGGACAGATAGCGCCATGATGCCGGCATTGCGGTGGTTAGCAATAGTGATATAGGGCGGGGCAACCGACTGACTGAACATCCTGTGATGGCGCATGACCTGAAAGCTGGCAGGGCGGCCGTAATAGTCCTAATCTGCCGGCGCAAGCTGACGTAGGGAGCAAGTTCGCTAGAGTATCTCTGCGTTGGCTGGCCATGCAAGTGGCCAAGAAATTACCGGATGCGGATTGATTGAAGATGCTGTGGTACTATCGGTAACGAGGTAAGTCGTTGTAGGTACATTTCGGGAAAGCCGACAAATAGATGAAATGATATGGCAGGGAACGTGGATACATGATTTGATGTAGGATGTATGCGTTGACTATATTTAGCGACTTGAAACATTTGGCTGATCGGTAGGAAAGGCGAGGATCCTGCGACCCGCAGACGCGCCGCAAGCGACAATGAATATCTGTCGTAGACGGAACACGGCATCGGACCAGAAAATTGATCAGGTGCCACTTGAGACACCTAAACTGCCATCCCTATCCATGTCCTTATTGTTCTCGGAATGGACCTCGGCCAAGCATTGCTTTGATTCCAAGGTTCGCGTACGTCTGCTTGCCGGCTTGGTGTGGAGTAGGTGGGCTGTTTTGGACCACGTAGGTATCATCTCCAACGCTCTGGGAGTCATAGACAACAGAATCATTCGTAGCGAGAATATGACGGCGATAAAGATCCGTCTCTGCGGCGCCAGAAGCGGAGATGCCAGCCAGCGAGTAAATCTGTTCGGTGCTTCCGGATCCGAATGATTTCTTCAGGGCTGGCGCAGCGAGATAGTGGGCGGACCCATTCTGGCTGTTGCTGATCGCGGCGCCTGTGAACAATGGGGTATGGCCAGGAAGCTGGCCATAATCGAAGGAATCCGCTGCTGTAGGGAAGGCTAGGTGACCAATGTTCTGCACATTCTTGGCGCGACTCATTTCTGCGTTGATGGTGTAATTGCCACCCTCCAACACGTTGTACGACGATGATACCTTAAGGGGATAACTGAAACTCCGGGAATAACTACCTTGGGACTCGTGCTTCCCTGTCGTGGTTTGGGTCGTGTTTTGATCATTACCGCTATTGGAAAGCTTGCCCTTGATCACGAAGCTCAGATCTTGAGTCCAAGCGACATCCCGCGAGCCTTCCGAAGTGATGATAGTAGACCTGACCGAGAAAGATCTCCGAGCCTTTACCGAGTAATCCAGAGCCTGGACCGTTCCATTTGCGCCCTTGGTGATCGACGAAGACACACCAAGCACCACATTAGGGGCTTCGATGGTAGGAGCGGCTCCTCGTGTGATACTGTCGGTCTTGTCTAGCCAAATAAAAACCTTCCCTGTCACTACCCAATTTGAGCCCACCGTTTCCGTCAAGAATGCGTTGCCGTTCTCATCTTGGTCTATTCCCGCGACCTTGATTTCAAATGTATGTTCTTGTCCGTCGCAAATACTTGGAAGAAAAGCAGAGATGTCGATCTCATCCTCTTGAAGGTCGAAAGCATCTATGCCCACTACTGGCCGCCAAAAGCCTGGAACGACGCCGCCCGTAAAGATAACTGGGAACGGCCACGCAACGCCGACCAATGTTTCATCAATGTAAAGTTGCACCTCTCGGAAAGGGGAGTATCCGTAAAGAGTCGTTTCATTGCCAAATGCCGTCGTGTCTGAGGACAGGACGTTGGACCACCAGAACTCTTCGGTTGCTTGACCAACTGCCGAGAGACTGACAACAGCCTTCTTGACGTTGTGCGGGAACTTCAGAGTATCGATAGCCTTCGTGTCAGGTATGGCGAAAGCGCTAGGCTTATCCAGGGAGGACTGATGTGCAGAGATGGGGATGATAACGTCTGCTGCATCGATAGTGTCTTGCGCGGTAAAGAAGGTAGCCGTCAACGTGGTCTCCCACTTTCCTGTATACGTGTCGTCTATCAAGTTCCCGAGGTCGAAGATGATCTTTTGCGGCTCCTGGAAAAGTGACAAATAGTTGCTCATGTCCTTGACATATGTCCAGACAATGCCGTTTGCCGTAGGCTCAGCCGTGGATGTTCTCCAAACTTCTGTGTCGTTAAAGTACATGAGCGCGAGACGGTCGAACTGCCTTCCTGCAGAGGTGACGGTGAAGTTGATCGTGATCCTGTTGAATTCGCATTCGGGCGGAGTGTAGTTTCCTATGAAGGGAATCCCGTAGGAATAGGCAAACTCGTGAACCATCAGAGTCTTTTCGCAGCTCTTTTTCGGGCTCAAAACAGGCGGTGACACTTGGAGGCATTCTAGTAGGGGCGTAGTTGCATTTGGCGCGCGGCCGCTCAAGGCAGAGTCGATGCGACTGAGTTGAGACCGCGACGAGGCCTGGGAGGCGATGACGGGATGCGAAAAAGTCATTAGTATTAGAAAGAAGAATATGGAGGACAATGCCGCTCGATGTTGACATGCTCGTTTTCCTTTCCAACCTAGCTGATTCTGCTCACCAATAGCCTGCAACGCCGGGGTCCTGGATATGCCCATCTTTTGATAAAAACCGTTCCGAACTTCCTTCGGTCTTCTCGAGCAGTTCGCTGATTCGTGCACACTCCGATGACGCCGTGCTGAGGTATCTCTGTAATGAAAGCCAGGTACAGGTTCCGTGAACGCCGCGCAGATCTCGAAAATGGAGAGAGGATATGATGACTTGGAAGTATGAGCATTGGGGCGTTGTGGCAGCCATGGAAGGAAGGTACGAACCTCGCTAAATGACAGATGCAAAGAAAGAAGCAAACGATGCGATCAGCTCCGGCCACGATGATTGTCCCAGAAGCGTTTTGTTGCGCTCTTGATGATTTCCGAGTCGCCGAACCTCGAACGATAGTAGTTGATGAGAGCAAATTCGTCTTGTGGGAGGATGTAGGAATGGGGTTGCGCTTTTATCTTAGCATGGACCTCGACGAGCTTCCTCTCGAGATGTTGGGCGAGACGTTGGTCGACACCACCTGGCGAATTCTGTGCAAGGTGGACAGCCTGGCTGAGGGTTAAGCTTCCCATGCCGCTTATATATTCTGCACCCATGGTGGACGGTGATAGTCGATCGCTGGAATAAAGTAGGTGCGGGCGGGGTGTGATCAAGAAAGGAAGGCGCGATTCGATAGTGGGAAAGCACTTAGGCACAATGTGGGAAGAGCGGGCAACGACAGGAGATAGGGTGCAAATATAAATATACGTACCAGCTCGACGCACGTGGAGAAGAGAGCCCAAGTCAGGTCAACGAGCTTAGTTTGAAGCTGTAACCCACTGGCGACGGAAGTGATCCGTATTGGGAGCTGTCAACGCTGCAGCTGCAAGCCTACCCGCGCAATGAACGCATGTGCCAGCAGCCCCGGTCCAGCAAGGAAGCGATAATGCCTGAGCGGTCGCAGGGATGGGCAAGACGAGAGTCAGCGGAGCGCGGTGGGGGTGCACGGCGCCGTTCCTGGTGAAGACACGCGTTTCCGCCGTGCTGGTACGCTGAAGCAGCCCAGCGCAGACGACGAGGGCGACGACCAATGGGAGGCCAAGGCGGGTCTGTTTAGGGGGATTTTAGATGGAATTTTGAATTTTAAGGACAAGGATCTCTGGCATCGTCAGATTATCGATGCGTACATACGCTGCGTAGGCGTTGGGTTGCGACTGGTGCCGAAACAGGGTCAAAACCTTAATAAACCTTCGCAGCTGTGTCACCGACCCGCACGGGGAATACTTCGGGGAGCGTTGGGTAGCGGACACGGCGAATTCGACAGCCCGCGGGCTTGTCAGGAGCTTCCTGGACTGGCGACGATGGGCGAGGTTGAACTAGGATCGGCGGAGCAGACAAAGGCGACGGTGGCGGGGATGTGTCGTCGCGAGACACTGACCAGGAGCACAGGTGCCACCGGCCGAGTGCCACCATGCCGCGGTCGAATTAGGCTGCTGGAGCGTTTGTGAACGGCTGCAGGCCTCGACGTCAAACGTTGCTCATCCCGGGCGCGCTGCGTCGTGCCCTGGTGCCGTGCCCTTAGTCAGTGCCGCACCCTTGTCCCGAGGGTGGCAGATCGACCGACAACGGCTGAGAAATAGGGAGCGGCGGCAGAAGATTTGGCCAGGCCTAGTGCTACCCAACCGCCTACGTCAAGCCCTGGACGTCGAGGACTCGAGCCTCGCGCGACGGAGGTTCAAGGCCTCACGGCAGCACAGTCGGGTTCATGCAAGCTGCCCCGCAGTTTAGCATTTGCGGTGGGATGGGAGAACTGCCCACGCGAGCAGAGCGTCGCTTGGGCCATTTGCATTTATGCGGCCTCTGCGACGCTGCCGCCTATCCATCATGGGCAAGCCCACCGTGGGCTGGCACTCTGTAACGGCGAGATCCACGGCGGCTTCTGGCAATGCTTCGGCAATCTCGAAACGAGTGCATCAGACAAAGACGACTCGCGTGACTGGCCGTGCTGCGAGACAAGTCACGTTCTGCAGTAGTCGAGATGAGAGACGTGAAACAGATGGGGCGGCTTGTGCGGATCTGCTAGCGGCAGCCCAAGTCGTTAACGTTGATGGTCGCAGGGGTATCGTGTTCTTCACGCGGTGCCCGTGCAGGCCCACAAACTGCCATGTCGCTTGCAGATACTCCTTGAGGGTGTGCCGGTGGTGTCTGTCCGACTCTCTGTGGCGCGCACCTACACTAGAGCACTCATTTCCGCGCTGTTCCGTCGTCGCGTTGTCGAGCAGAGAAGGCCCTTTCACTTCCGTCTGCACAACGAGGCGGAACATCCCTCCGACCCTCCTTGATTCTGGAGAATGGCAGCTTCGGCGCCGCATCGGCAGGGGTGCGATTGCGATCGCGACGGCAACTGAATGCTCTGGGAGTATCTCACGGACTGTGTGGTCGCGAACAACGGAGACATCGCCCAAGTCAAACTTCTGGACATTTCTAGCAATCCAAGCCATGCCGGGCCTGACAACCAGGACTCTCATCAAGCCTCGCCTTGAATCCTGTCCTGATGTTGACACGAGTGGGCTGCAGCTGCATGCTTGGGAGCAACGCCACACGCTGGAGAGGGTGTCCTGACCGCAAAACAACGCGCCCCTGATTCCGGGGCCGCCTTGTGCTGGCACAGCCTTCTGGAATGCGGCAGAAGCCATGTGGCTGCAGAAGAGACGAGGAAGAGCCGGCGGCGATGGGCTGGACTGACGCGTTCCTGGCGGGGAGAGCTTGACATTGCATCGGAGCGCGGCGCGCCAAGCCCGCTGAGGACCCCTGCCCGAAAAAGAAGGCGTCGTCACCGTCGCGTTACCTTCACCAGGCGTGGCGTGCACAGCAGGAGACGAGCAGCCCTCACGATACCTTTGCACAGCCTGCGGCAAACCCGATGAACGCACCCGCCGTCCGCATCTGGACGGAGCAGCTCCTGTTCCGGGGCGCCTTCTCGCGGCCTGCCGCCGCCGGCCGACCCCAGACCTTCACTCGCACCCTCTCCCACTTCCAGCCAAGAGCCCCGCGCGGATCTCTCCAGCGCTCCCCGCTCTGCATCCTCCGCAATGGGCGTGCAACCGTGAACCCACGCTTCCGGACCCTCCGCTTCAAGAGCGACAAACCGTCACACACGCCCAACCCCACGCCCAATCTCGGTAGCCCTGAGCCTGCACTCACGCTCTCGCAGCGTCTGAAGAGGCTCTCAAAACAGTACGGATGGCTGGCAGTGGGCGTCTACTTCGGCCTGTCCGCTCTCGACTTTCCCTTCTGCTACCTCGCAGTGCGGATGCTGGGCACCGAGCGAATGGGCCACTACGAACATGTGGTTGTGGAGGGCATCAAATCCCTGATACGAATACCGTTTCCCACTCTGTTCCAAGGATCTCGGGACCTGGAGGGCCCCATCGCCGAGGAGATCCGGGAGGCTGCCGAGAGAGAAGAGACCCTTGGGCACGACGGCGGTAAGGTCGTGGGCCACAATGGAGCTGCTGAAGCATGTATGAGATCTGTTGGTCCTCATTAGCTCTATCACACACTAACGCGCTTGCAGCGCTCTGGACCCAGCTCGCGCTGGCCTATGCCGTCCATAAGTCGCTCATCTTCTTCCGAATTCCGCTCACCGCAGCTGTTCTTCCCAAGGTTGCAAAGACCCTCAGGAAATGGGGCTGGAATGTCGGCAAACCCAAGCCAACCTAAAGTCGGCTGCTCATACGATTGTCAACCGTCTTCCCGACCTGTAGTGGACTTCTCAAGTATTGTCCATGATTTTGTATCAGTAACGAACGGTCGCACAGTGGGTGCCACTTGCGCGGTGTATGAATATGTAAGATATCTGTACGTGGATCTCACGTTGGTTCCATTCAGCAGGCGAACCCCGTTTCAGGCGAGGCTGTCTTGGACTCACTGAGTCTTTAGCTTCCGTCGAGCACATCTCACCCTTCGTCAATACTTTGTATCATGTTCACACACATACGCGCAGCCCAATCATGATTCAGGTCTGCACAGAAACCAACCGTGATGTGACCGGGCCTACCGAAGTTTTGCCATCGCCTTGGAAGCTCACCATCTGAGGTACCAGATCTCTGGTACTCGCTTATCGTACCGTATTCCTTTTTTGTTAGTGCGACGCGTGGCTTCAAGGTTTTTCAGAAACCCAGAGACAGTCACGAATAGCAGCAATTTCAACAGTGCGTGCTAAGACACTTGCAACTGCGGTCATGCATCGGGCCCTCCATGGCCTTGGTTCAGCTTGTGTTGTAAAGACAAAGCTTCCGATCGACCTTAGTATCGAGATAAGTTCACAACGAGAAGCCATTCGGCCAATTCATCTCAGCACTGTGCATCACAGCCGAACGATGCTAAAGGTCCACGTATCCTACACTTTCACTTCACGATGCTCGACGAATCATGAAGTATAATTGACCATTGCAAACACCCGTTTTACAAGCACATGAAGGTTCAACGCAAAAACCTTGCACGGTCCCCCGACGGTTCATCAGATTATCTCTCCAACGTACAGTCCTCGCCCATGAAGTAGTGCAGCAATAGTGGAAATCGTTAGCGAATAAGCAGGCCTGCCGTCCGATTCCCGTAGTGTTGACGCTCCACAGCCATGTTGTCTGACTTATGCTATCTCATCGACGCTGTGGACACAGGTTAAGGGAAGCACAGCGCAACGCATTATCAATATATCTGCGCGAACCAGTCCGACTCGTGCGTACTCCACGTTAAAGGTGACTTTTTGAACACGTGAATCTCCACGAACACGTCACCCCTGTATGCTCCCAGACCGCGCGGCATCTCCGAGGAGATCGCGAGGCTACGGCCCTCCGTCTCAGAGCTGTCAAAATAGAGTTCATACCGGCGCTGCAGATGATCTGCGTTACCTTCGTATGATCTGAGCTAATGACCCTAGCGTAGCCCTATCGCGAGGCATTAGCCGCACGCCGAGCTTGTTTTGTACCTCGTCGAAGATGTATATACAGTGGGGCTCAAGTTTCCCTAAGTTTAGCTTGTTAGCTCGCGTCCACGTGTGCATGAACTGGTCACTGTTAGCCTACGGCTCGATGGCTCCGAGATGAATTCGCCGACGAGGCGACTGAGAAATACGGAAAGTTTTCATCAAAGGAAGGTAAGACGGGTACCCATGTGATATAGGTGTCATACAAGTCTGACATTATGCTGCATTCTCGCAAAGGAAACGAGTCCACTGTTTTGAGGCTTAGGTACCACCCAGCGTCATGGTCCAGCAAGGCCTTCCTTACCTCCTAGCAATCCACCATATTCGGCACACACCGAATGCTGCGCAGACTAACGACTAGCTTACCACAGTACTTCAGGCACAGACTCCGGACCCTCCGAGGCTGAATCAGCGTCTCCACGGCAATTTGGTACACCCACAATGACCTCCGTGCGTGGGTCCGATCTCCTCGAACACCAAGCAACTTGATTCGGCATTCCTACCATTCCACGTTTTGGAGTACAGATGCCGTTTCCCTGCATCAGGCGATCTTTCGACGACGTCGTGACGCCTCTGTGTAATGCTGGTCCCTTTGCGCCAAGACACGCGATTCGGCAAACCTTCGCAGATTGTATGTTGTACGGACTGGACGAGGGGAAGTCTGCTTTAGGCTTCATTCACATCGGGCTGTTTGCTACGCTGAACACCTCCAGTTCTTGACTTCTTATACTTGCGACTCTTCATGTTCGGCTTGGTTTCCAACAAACGTCCTGCTAACCCTTTCGAGCTATTAGAGTTGTCCCCTCCGCGGCTCTTTGAACTGAACTCGATTTAGGCCCCTAACACTTCCGATTCCCGAGGATTGAGTCCGCGGATCATGTCTGCTTGAAGTGATGGTTCGCAAGGCTTAGAGAAAGGGCTTGTACGGGAGGTTCCGGGGCACGGCCACAAATCTTGTGGCGGAAGAATGTCTGGAGAAGCCTGCTAAAACACGCGAAACGCAAGCCTTGCCCTTGCGTAAGTACTCTAGCGCTAGCCCCGATGTCAGAGCCTCGCACATTGGGCTCTGCTGTACGCGGTGGCGCGGATATCGAGCTTCCGCTCAGAAAAATGGTGGAGCCCGATCCGCATCGGGCGGTTATGGACGCAGGCGACTAGAGAGAGGGTGACTGTATCGATTTGGAAACATTTGCCGCGATGAGACGACGTCGAAGCTTCCGGCTCAGGAGTGGGTGGGAGACAGCCGCTCGTTGTAATGCCGCCAAGCAAACTCATCCGCACAAACCAGGGCCCTTATTTTACCACTTCCGACGACGATCTGATAGGGCGATTTGAAATGTGATATCTGCACTCTTTCACTGCCTGACCTAATTGGTCTCGAACGCTCAGACACGAGCTTGTTATATGTTCTCAAATGCAATGCAATGCATTGCTACGGGAACACTTCAGTGCGCCGACTATACTAGGACCTATTTCGTCGCCGCGAGAAATGACTACTCGAGGACCCGGGCATAGTGCGGTCTATCTTCTTGTGCCGAGATTCGCAAGCAGAAGTGTAGCGAGTGTTGTGGACAATGTAGTGTGATTCTGACTCTGCGCGTGTGGAGAACGACATGTGCTCGGCACTTGCGACAGTTAGTCTGCGGAGGTTGCGATTGTGTGTGTGCTAGTAGGCATGTGGGATAGGCGGAGAGGGGAATGGAATGTACATTCAGCCGCCTGGCGAACTAGACGTACCTCAAATTTTGCCCTATTGTTTTTTTTTAGAGATGGAAGAGGTATTTTTGAGAGCTTGACCGGTATGAGATCCTCGCAGATGGACACTCATTGTGGCTTCGTTGTGTTCTAGGCCCCTCGCCGAAGCACATGATCACTCCTCTTAGCCTCGATTAGAGCGTGCAGGCGCGGACATATGCCACGATAATAGCATGATCTCAGATAACCAGGAAACTTACTTCAAGAACTTCGTAATTTCAAGTCCCGAAGACTAAGTCAAGCGTGAAGATCTGATCAACGCAGAGTGGCGAATTCATACACATAATGCAACACTAGATCATCGATGTTTAGAGACCATGCTCATCACCATGTCTCGGTAATCACTAGAGACATTCCATGCGATGGAGGGCAGCAGATCACGCGTATATAGCGGAATGTACGCCACTTTTAGAACACCGCGAGAGCACCACACCATAATAGACTTTGTCCAATTTTAGACTCCTGCGAGTTATGAAGTCTGAAGATCTCTTCAACACGCGGAAGTCAGACTTCATAGCCGAGCGCCATGTCGTCGGACCATCGTTTTGAAGATGGTGTTCATTATCACGCGTCTATAATTGTTGGTTGCCGTAAACGTTGGACCCAGCTCATCAAAGGGCGGATTGAGAGATGTTAGATGGCCGGGGAAGCAGCACATGTACATGTGCTGTGCCAATATTTAGACCTGAGCTCGTCAGGTGGAGTGAAGCGTGAAGACTTTTCCGCGCGGAGGTGCGGATTTATATACACTACTCCGTCTCATCGCACCTGCCCAACCTAGTATTCCAAGATGATATTCACCATCATGCTTCGCCGGCCGTTATATGCCTTGAAGATGAAGATAGCAGGCCAGAGGCACCATCTCAATTCAAGCAATCTATTTTTAGACTCAGACCATAAACTCACATTGTGAGGAAAACAAATAGATTTTAGACCTGTGCTCGCCAGGGACAGAGTGAAGAACCACCGAGCAAAAATTGCGAGTTTATATAGACGATTAGGATTACTAAATCACCTGTTCTTTCCCAACAGTGATTGATGATGCTGATCGCCATCATGATGCCTGGGATGTGTTCTGACGCGGTGATGCAACGACGAGGCGAAGCACACACATGACTGTTAACTGATGGCTTTTTAGACAGTTAGCTGTCAGGTGTAATGTGAACATCCTTCCAGAGCAGAAGAAAGAAAGTATATACATCGAAGTGTGCCATTCCTCGTATCACCTATTTCTGCAACCGCGACAGATTATGGTTATCATCATAAGCGTTCTTCCAGTGCTTCGACGATTGCACGGCGAGTAGGAGCGAGGCACGCACACATGCATTGCTGGTGTGCAGCGCTTCCAACAGTCGGTATTACGGACCGTGAGAGGTGGTTACGGTTACGTTACGGTTGCTAGTCATTACGGTACGGACGCTACGGTGGAGAGACTGCGTCGGTACGGGACTTGAACCGTAGTGATAAAATTGGAGCCTGACGGCGTAATCACAGCGTAAAATTTCCTAATTAGGAAATAGGAGTGAGTTGAGCCTGTGGGTTGCAGTCCTCCGGAGCTCTATCGTCGTCGTTGTTATCGTTAGGTCCCTACTCCTTGCCCTGTATATACGAAGTAAGCTCTCTGAGGTAACTTAGGACGATCTCTCTCAGCCAGTGCTTTTGTAGCTGGCAGGCCTCAATTACAGCCGGCGATAGTGAATTGCGATCACACGTGACTGTATGTTTGGCGGAGGAGAAACACCTCTCACAGTCACATGAGGTAGCTGGCACTGAGAGGTGATCCATGGCCATCTAGTACAGCGTAGGGTACCTTGTTTGGCAGATTTCTACCCACCAACGGTGTGGGTCATCGAGTAACTGGGAGAGGCGCTCATCGTGATCGGCCATCTGCAGGTCCTCAAGGAGGCTACCGTAATAGTCCTCCAGCTGGGAGCTCTGTTTTTGGCGCTTGCGTTGTTTTGTGGCAGTGAGGAGCATGGGGTCAACCCACACCTCCTTCCTAATTAGGCAATTCTATCACCATATTACGGCTCAAAAGTTACTACGGACGGTTGCTTTTACGGCGAAATTTCTATACGGTACGGACCGCCCAAAAACACCGTCGAGCCGTACCGTAGTCACCGTATTACCGACTGTTGGAAGCGCTGCTGGTGTGTGCTGTCTGGACAACTGGCAGAGCAAGTTGATGGCAGGTGCGGGGATTTTTAGACAGACATTTGGTGTGTAGTGTGGTATAAATTACCCGGCAGCGAGCGGGTATATATACGCGTTCCATTTCCGGACTCAGAACTCATGACATGGAACCTGAGTGGTGTTCATTATCACGCTGAAATTAAGTTCTCTTTGAGAATGCGTTGGGGTCACGCAGCAAGAGGCGCACGTAGTTTGTGTCGATTATGGACTTTTAGAGAACGAGCGAAGCACATGGTGATCTCTTTCTGCTTCCTTTCTCCTTATTTTTAGAGAGATGAAGATTGGGTGAAGTGTGAGGTTCACAATGTTGAGAACAGGAGTGGCTTATATAGACGCCTTGCGTCCATATCCGGTCTCGGAGAAGTGTTTTCGGTGGTACTGATCATCACCACATATTCGTGGGGTTACCTTTGATCGCGCCGTGGCCACCCAGCGAGTCGTGAACATGTTTTGTCTTGACTAAGGCATTTAGAGGACCAGCGTGGCACATGTGCTTTTTGTGTGTATGTCCATGAACAGCTGAATTTCCAGGTATAGTGTGGAGTCAAATCGTTGAAAACGAAGGGACTTCTACAGACGTTTGTTGACAGCTCCTTGCGAGCGGTGGCCATCGTCACCATCACATCTTCTACAGCCGACTTTTAGATGTACCTCTAGAGCGCATAATACCGCTTTGGTGAGTTGACAGTAGATGTACGGCTTCTCTCGGAGACGCTCATGATCAATCATTCTGGGCGTTTACCTTCTTACGCCTGGGGAGCCCATCTTCATGGTTGAAGGCCATTCTTAGGGTAACGGAAACCAGCAATTTGGTGTAGACCAGGTGCCGAACCAGGAAGGGTTCATATGCACACTGGCACCGGGACTAACAATTTGCTGTAACAAGGCCTGAGATAGTGGTTGTCACCATTGGTCTTCTCGTGACGTGCGTGTCTTGGCGAAGTCACATCGCATATGCGTGCGTGAACGTTTAGGGGATCAACCCGCCACATAGCGGGTGGCTTCTGCGTCTATTGGTTTCATGACAGTCGAGCGAATTGTGAAAACCAGAAGGCTCTCAGGATGGTCGTACTTATACTTCGCCATATGCTCCTCTAAATCGCTACTTACGGCCTCAGTTATAGTGCTCCCCATCATCACTACCCCATTGGAAGTGATTCGGAGCACAGGTCAGGTGGATGAATCAAGCGCCGAACAGCCGCATGGCTCCATCCACATCAATTATTTAGACAAGCACCAGAACGGCACATTGAAACATTGTCCGACGGCTTTGAAATCCCGGTGAAGCTATTTAAGCCATTGTTTAGGGATTTTAGAACGATGGTCAGAGTTCCAGTGTGATGAGCAAGATGTCTGCGAGGGAGGCGGGTTATATAAACTTCGAAGCGATAGAGCCGCCTGGTCCATCCTTCAATACTTCTTTTGCACACAAAAATCGCTCAGAACAGTGATCGTCAGCTCCATCTCCGGAAGAAGCGGGCAGACCCTAGATAATCGGGAAACGAAGATGTATGTGTTTTAGACATCTGTCGCATCAACATGATCGCGGCAAAGACGTATTTATAGAGCATTTTGTGACTGAAACGTAAACGATGATAAACTCCCAGATGAACATGAATATATATTTAGACGTCCAATGATGTAGCTTCTTCCTGCTGCCTTCATAGATATTGGCCACCATGTGTGAGTGGACGAAGACAGCTTATATATCTGCCTCTCGTCTCTTTTCTCACTCCACATTCACAGGTCTGGCAGAGAGTGTCCTGCGGTCATTAATGTGCTCCAAATGTCGCGTGCGAACTGCCTGGTAGCCAGAAGTTGACAGTGCGCACTGAACCGACCTGATGGTCCACCCAACCAATATCGGAATAGCTCTCTTGTAGCTGAAAATATATGCAGAAAGCACTAGGCAGGATCGCTCGATGGCTGGCCGCCACAGAAGATCCAGTAGCGATGATTGGCTCTCGTTGTTTCAGCTGATGCACCTCAATATTGGCAAACTGCATAACAGACTTCAGCCTTGCGGAGTCTCTAAAAAGTGCAACAAAACTATATAACGCACAAGCTGCTAAATAACAGAGCGTCTGGATCCACGGCAACCAAAGCGAGAAGCAGATATGGAACAATTTCTTGCCTCCGAAAAGGAGCACATTCGTGTTCACCACCTCACCAGTGGCAATGAAATCACCACATTGATCAGAAATACCATAGAGCTCGAGACTCTTGCTACGGTGGAAGATGGTATCCAATGGGTCCATATACCGGTCAACAGCATGATACTGGTAGCTGTACGTTGAACCCTCAGATCCTGCACACGTTACTACTTGAATTCAGAAACTCACTCATATACTATTAGCTTTGCTTTGCGAAATACGGGTTCTACATGCACCCAGAAATTTCAGACATGAAATTACGACCTTCTCTAAAACAAGTCCCTAAGCCTAGACACTCCTTGCACATGGAGGCCTCATGCACCGAAGGGAACCTTATGCGAAATATGGAGGTGTCCTCAAACCCAGGACGGAATGAAAGAGATTTGAAAAGTGCGAAAAGTTCATCGCAAAGAAAACTGGGTCAAAGAGAGAGTTCTAATGAAGACCTTGTGGCACCTGTTGAGCCGCGTGTACACGAAAAGGACACAATTTCGTTACCGCCACTAACTCTATATGTGAGCAAATGAGACTTATGGAAGCTGAAGGATCTTTAACGTATCATAGCTTCCTTATGCGAGTTGGATCTCCTATTCCAACCATGAGGAGTCTTCCAAGAGACACGAGCTCGAAAATGATCGCACCTATTTGATAGAAAATCTCCATGGAATGCTGCAAGTAAATGAAACAGAAACCAAAAGGAGCTTTGAGGCCACAATGAACGTCCACCCGAGACGAACTCTTGACCAGTTCTACTATCCTTCGCTGTCCGATACATCCGCGAGAGATAAGGATCAGACCATTTCTAAATGGACTGGATCCAACGTAGGTGAAGAAGGGCGGGAAGCTGCCGAAAGAAATAGCACATTACTTACGGTGGATCAGCTGTGGTGTTGGGTAATTGACGACAGTAAGCTACTCGTCTCAAACCGTTGACTAATATTATCCTGACGCTGAATCTTGGGATAGAAACCATAATATCATGCTTTCCCTGTAGAGAGACTGACGGAATTTCGCCAGACTTTTGTGACCTTTATGAAAGTGTCAAGAAGCATGCAAATGCTTGCAAAACAGTGTGGGACATGCAAGCACTTCTGGTCCGAGAAGCCATCAGTTATACCGCGGAACAAAACAACAAGAATGTTGTAGATCTCATTGAAACTTACAAATGGGTCTCAAGAACGAAGGTGACGTAGTCTTTGCGAATACAAGATTGATCCACTAGTAACCAAACGTAGGCTGCACGCCAAACATCATACGTACAAGATTTCCTTATAAAACACCACGAGAATCACTTTGATTCGGCAGCTCTTGATGACAGCAAAGAATCAAAACTGGTCCTCGAAGTATCTGACATCGTCGACGAATTGAAGATGATCAAGAGCCTGGTACAGACACAGAGGGGTGTTTTGAAGACATTCATCGAGGCATTGACGAGGAAGAACCCTTCAACCGATGAACCGCAGCAGAACTCCCGTAAGCGTGCAAATATCAGTAAATGTAGCTTCACCTCTACAGATGCGTCACGTATGTTTATCAATCTCCAGAATCAGGAGACGCTGCACCGCGACAGTGAAGATATCAAACTATTGGCCCAAGACATCTCCGGGGCAGCCGCAAGTTATGCAGTAACGGCAGACGAAACATTAGTGTCGCTTCTTAAGGACCTGGATGAGATCAAAGAAGAAGCAGACTACACTCACAGAATGGTATGAATGTACATGCATTTTCTGAAATGCAAACTCTAAAGGTGACACAGCTACAAGATTTATTGGACCTCAAGTCAAAAGCTGCCAGTTTGGCAGAAGCCCGGTCGACGACCAAACAAGGTCAGGCAGTGATGTTGTTCACGATTGTGACCATTATATTCGTACGTTCTACTATGTTAACAATAGGTCCATGCGCTAATGGTCCATTCTTCCAGTTGCCGCTATCCTTTTTCACTTCTTATTTCGGTCAAAACGTATCAGAATTCACGGGTGACGACAAGAATCCCTCTTCGTGGGATCTGTGGAAGGTTGGCAGTAAGTCTAGCCCTTAGACTGATACCGATACAATTGACCAACTCTGACAGCGCCAATCACTGTCATTGTAATCGCAGTGGCACTACTTATTGCGTTATTGATCATGAAGCCGGATTGGCGCCGAAGCTTAGTTTTGAGCCGCAGTGATGGCGTGCACGACGTCGAAGCAGCGTAGACTTGTTGTTCTCGCCTGACCCTCAAAGCCTCTACAGCGAGATGGAGGGGAGCGCAGGAAGTACCATGGTGAGAGAGATACCGCGTTGTCTTCATAACATCTCGTGTTCAATTTTGTCCTCAACAAGGGGACAGTACTGGGCCCTTGTAAAGAGGAGCGCATTTCAGCCTGGGCAAGGAAAGTTTTTCATTAGAACGAGACAGGACAAGCTTATAGATGTAAGTACTGAATATGCGCTTGTGCATATTCATATTAATGGGCAGCAACATCACCAGTGAAAAAGAGCAACCCGCCTGGTGCGATTGATCTTGGGTTACGGATACAAACCGCAAGCAAGTGCTTACGCCATGGAGGCCCAGCATGAACGCGTGCTTTGCAAGCGAAATGACGGCCATGGCTTCATCACTCAGTAAAACTGCCGTCGGCTTGATGGTTCCGAAGAAATGTGAGCATGATTGTAAACGCGCGCTAGCGATCACGCAGGGAGAACATCCTAGAAAGGAAGGAGATCCTTCTTAACCAAGGTAAACGGAAGGCCTCGGGTACCTGATTATAGGCAAAGTCACGTGCTCAACGGACCGAATGTGGCTTAGAATCCCTGGAAACACACGGATGAGCATGAGTGCCGTCGCCAATTTCCCTTATTAATCAATCTGCCGGAACGATCCCCGGCACTTTGACCAGCTATTATGATCGGTACAACCATGGGCGAAACGGGGGCGCGGTATATGAACCATTCGTGGGGAGATCACATTGCTGGACAGCGTTGTTGCCGCGGAGTACATTCGCTCTTCTCATTCGTTTTACAAACATGATCGCCGTTTCACGAGTAAGCCTCGCTTCGTGGGCATTTATCGCGATCAGTGCGCACGCGCATCCGCTATTCAATGGTGTATTGGTGCAGCGAGCAGAGGACCTGAGGAAGACGTACGATTATGTGGTGGTCGGGGCTGGCGCGACGGGTTTGACGGTTGCGAATCGATTGTCGGAGGACCCTAGTATGTTCTGATTCACGTATTGTGCTCAGCACCCACATGCGACTGATCACATTTGACTTGCAGCTGTCACTGTGCTTGTGATCGAGGCTGGGGAATTGTAAGTTATCGAACGGTTGTAATTCTGGCAAGATGTTCAACTGACAGTGTTCGTCAGTGACCAGAACGAAGACTTTGTGACCGTTCCTGGTCTTGCAGGCGGTGCGGTTGGCACAAAGTATGACTGGAACACGTCGTACACTGCGAATGATGCTCTGGGCGGTCGAGTCGTGCCTATACCGCAGGGAAAAGTCGTTGGTGGCTCCACGAAGCTGAACCGCATGGTCTTTGACCGTGGGTCGAAGTCAGATTATAATGCTTGGGAAGGCTTCGGAAATGATGGGTGGAACTTTGAAGGCATCTTACCATACTTTAAGAAGGTGCGTTCGATGGGATTTGCCCAGTGTTGGCCCATGAGGAGCATGCTATACACCTGAAAACAACGGCATCTAACAGTGCACAGAACGAAAAGTTCACACCACCGACGGAGGAGATTCTGGCTGAGTACGACATCAAATGGGATCTTGCCTTTCACGGCGACAAGGGACCTATGTATACTTCATATTCTCCCTTCATTTGGCCAACGACCAGTAAGTGCTGATTAAGCTGCCGGTTGCCTGAGACTCTGCGAAAAAGACCCAAATGCGGCACTAACACTCCATGCAGAAAATCTTATTAACGCGACGAAAGAAGCCGGAATATACATTCCTGAGGACCAAGCTAATGGAAATGCCTATGGAGGTTACTACTGCCCTCACAACCTAGACCCTGTCAATGTCACACGGTCTTCTGCCAAAGAAGCGTATTACAACACCGCGTCCGCGCGCCAGAACTTTCACGTTATTACAGGGAACCAGGTCAAACGAATCGTTACTCAGACGATAAATGGTACTGTCAAGGTGACCGGCGTTGAGGTAGGATGATCACTCCGTAGTTCGTACATTGTAATGACGCTAACATGCTGTGTATAGTTTGCCAGCTCTTCAAATGCAACATGCCAAGCCGTCAATGTCTCTCGTGAGGCTGTCCTCGCCGCTGGGGCGCTTCATACACCTCAGCTACTCCAAGTGTCTGGCATTGGAGACTCAGCCCATCTCAAGAGCATCAATGTGGAGCCTATTGTCGACCTGCCAGCTGTTGGACAGAATCTGCACGATCATGTTTCAGCTATAGTCGTAAATACCAGTAAGACTCTACAATCTACCTGTTCACTCGCGAGGCATCGGGCTGACCTAGAATAACAGTCAACACCACCATTCTGACCCAAAGTGCCCTCCAAAACGCCACCTTTGCCGCCCAGGCTCGAGAAGAATACAATACACAGAGGAAGGGCCCGTACTCTTCTCCTACGGGCGACTTCCTCCTATTCCTTCCCGTCCCCACGTATTCAAATGACTCGGCTTCAATTCACGCTCAAGCCAGTGCTGGAAATGTATCAGCTTCTCTCCCGTCCGACGCCACCGCCGAAGTTATCAAAGGGTACCAAGCCCAGTACGAATCTCTGACTGCGAGGCTCCTCGCCAACGACTCTGGGACCCTTGAAATTATCTGGGCAGACGGCGTCATAGTTCTTGGTCTTCAGCATCCTTACTCGCGAGGAAGCGTCAAGGCGGCTTCATCTAGCATATTTGATCCGCCAGTCGCAGACTCTGGCTTCCTACGCAACCCTCTGGACGTGCTGCTTCTACGAGAAGGCGTAAAGTTTGCGCGTCGCTTCATAACGTCTCCATCGCTCGCGGCACTGAATCCCTTCGAGGCCGTGCCTGGAGCGAATGTCACCAGCGATGCTGATCTGGACGAATACATTCGTGGCAGTGCGTCGACTTTGTACCATCCGGCGGGGTCCTGTAAGATGGGACCAAAAGAAGAGGGCGGTGTAGTTGATGGGGAACTCAAGGTGCATGGTGTTCAAGGACTGAGGATCGTGGATCAAAGTGTGTTCCCGCAGTTGCCCGCAAGCCACACGATGACGACGGCGTATGGTGTCGCTGAGAAGGCGGCAGATATCATCCGTGGGGTATAGAGTAGGAGAGGAATCCGAGGCACAGCGAAAGTCGTGTAAATATTTGTACCAAACTTCATCACGTCGTGAAAAGTCCAGTTCTGAAGACACAGTTACATCTGTTTAGGCCTCAAGCGAAATTCTCGTATTCGCCCTCATCCGATCTGCCTCTTCCAGGTGGCCCTTCCACAATTCTTCCAGCCCAACCATGGACTTCCGATCTTGTACTTTTCGATAACGCCTACACTACATGGGTTCCCTGATCCACGACTTCTAGACATGCGATTGAGATGTATCGTGCAGAATACCCGGGCCCTCGGCAGGATATGTATACCCCTCGTCCATCCTGACTACCTCTGCCTGCACTCCCAAAGGTAATCTTCGAAGTTTTCGACCAGCCAACAGGAACGACACATGGAGGATGATGAAGAAGCTAAATTTGAGAGATCCAGCCAAACAGAACATCATCTGCCTTCCTCTTGAGTTTTAGACCCGGCAACAGGCACACATAGTGACCCTATGTTGTTGGTTTTTCTTTTTGACAACCAGCTAGGCACCGCATGGCAGTGGTGGCAGTGGCATTCACCGTTTTATTTTTGTGCACCGCCAACGGCCCCTCAGGCCATCTGATGTCACTTTTGTCGTGAAGTCAAATTGGTGCTCGTCATCGTGGTTCTTGGGATGGCCCGTAGTTTTTCGACAGCGACATAGAATAGGACATTTCGGTCTTTGTTATCGATTTATTTTGAGGCAGCCCACACATGGGACGTTGATGCCGATCTTTCGGGCAGCGTCCAAGGGAAGCACATAGGTCTGGCATGGTGGAATTTTAGACAGCCTCCAGGACCACATGAACGTTCTTTTGCACTCTTTTTGACGCCCCTCGCACCGAAGCACACCATATGTGGCATATCCACGCATGCTTTGGCTTTCAGATGGACAGTTGCTGATTGCAGTGTGGGTTGTTCAGGAGACATGGCGGGAATTTAGCCATTCGTTTTCCATTCCTTTTCTCAGGAGTCTAAGTCAAGCTCACCATCGCAATATAACCTCTGGGTTCTCTTCTCACAGCGGCGAGGCACGACGTTTTGCTGCCCGCCTCTGCTCTTAGACGGCCACCGAGGCACCACATCGAATGGGGACCGTGGTGGTTTCAGACGGGCACAAAAACAGCACATGCGTTTGGGTCTCGTTGATTTTGGACAGCTGCCGGAGCCAGAGACACATGGTATTCTCTTCAGTTCGTTTCAAGACGGCCACCAAAGCACCACATCCGTGCAATGTCGACGCTGTCAGAACCCTCGAGAAGCACCATCATCTGAACAAGAGTCCGGTTTTTGACGGCGACCGGGGCACCACATCGGATGCACTGGTCAGCGTTTCTGGACAGGCACAGAAGCAGCACATGCATTTGTTCTCCATCAATTTTTGAAAGCCACTGGAGCCAGAGACACATGGAGTGCGCCTGCACACCCTTGAGACAGCCACCAGCCCATCCCCAGAAGGTAGTTTCGTGTTTGGACTACCCGCAAAGTCCATCCCACGCGTAAAGCCTTGCTCTTCGATTTCTGAAAGACCACCAGAGGCACCACATCGGCTTCCGGGACGGCTGTTTTCAGACGACCTCCACACCCCACCCACTCCGCATACATGGGCGTGCTTCCATTTTTTAGGACAGGAAGGTCGCTAGAAGTGTGACCCCCAACCCTCTCCCATGTGAAGTATATATACCCCTCCTCATCCGAACCTCCCTCCTCCATCTCCCTACGATGGTGCTCATCATCGCCATCCTCACCATCAGACGTTGGTTATGCTGACATGTGATGGATTGGGGAACCAGCATACCCCGGACACCTCGCTCTACTCGCCCTAGCCCCTACGGCAAACCCCACCCCAGTTTATTATGCAATGCCCCGGCTCCCCCGCCCCACGCACCAGGGTCGACGTGTAGGGCGAGTAAACAACGCGTGGGCGAACGATGACGAGGGTACGGGGGGTGAGTCACACTTTCACTCTGACGCTTACCTTGCCCTGACCTACCTACTGGGCGAAACAAACAAAGAAACAAACAAACAAACAGCATGAGCCGCGGACGCGTCTTGGAAAACCAGGAGACGGGCAATGACGAATCGATGCATAAATTCGTAAATTACTCTAGAATCTAGGAGTGACATTTTGCCAGCCGTATCTATCGTGTATGTGTATAAGCCCCCAACCCAGCTCTACTACCAGGTCGGGGGCGGGTATTACTGTATGAACGCCGATGCCGTGCATGATGTGATGCTTTTGAGAGAGACGAGACGCGCTAAGTGACTTTTTGTTCGATGCAAGAACGTGAGAGGAGCGGACCGGACCATGCGAGAGGGGAAGAGAGATGCCGTGAGCGACGAGAGGAGTGACTCGCTGGAAACGCGGCAAAGCAATAACGCAGACGAACACGAGGAGCGAACTTATATCTTCGCCTCCCGCAGAATCGGACTCTTCTGCTCCTGGAACGCCCGCCGGCTCATCTCAAGCACCATCTCGAAGCCCTCCTTTCCCCTCTGCGCATTCTGCTGGAACCGCTCCACCGTGACTTCCTCGAGCTTGTTCTTGATCTTGGCCCATCCGCCGCATAACGCGGTAATCTCGGCGCGCTGCTGGAACTTTGTCTTTGCGGCCGGGTGCGACGACGAGGGCGAGTATGTGCATGTTTCGCGGACGTTGAGAAGGTCGGACCAGGTCAGGTTCATGGAGCAGAGGGTGACGCTGCGCTGGGATGCGTCGACGTAGGAGGTCTCGTAGACGAGGGATGTATCCTGGCCGCCGAGGATAGCAGTGACAAACTTGGGCGCGGATTGCTTGCAGGTGATGAGGCGCTCTGTCCGGAGCTGTTGTGGATCAGCAGTGTACGGGGAAAAAGGGAGATTGGATGGCTTACGATGCCGGTGACTGGGTCGACAGTCCGTGATAAGGTGTCGACCGCGATAACGTGCTTGCAGCTCTCATTCCAGGGACCATATTTCCGCCAGTTGCTTGTGCTGACCTCCTCCCATGAGTAGTCGAACTCGGTACTTTGCTGGAAGATCTTCATGGTGGTGTCGGGCGCGCGGAGCGCGTTGGGCGATAAGACGTGCTATTCGGTGGCGGACGCGTGCAGTGCGGCAGTCGTGAACGGTGGAGTTAGAGAGCAACTATGTGCGATGGGGGGTCCGGAGTAGGGTCGTGGGTTATCGATGGGTGCCGGTGATGGCGTTGTGGATGTAAAGGAGGGTGAGTCGCGGCGTAGATAAAAAACGCTCGTCTCGGCAAAAAGAACGAGCAAGGGCCACACAGACCGGGGAGGTGTATCCGTGCGGTATCGGGGGCTCGGCGAGTGTTCCGCGATGACTCTAGAACGTCCAGCAGAAATGCGAAGGCGTTTTCTTTCGTCTATTGTTTCGTACCGACTTCCAACGCGATAAGTAGGCAGTGTGAGGACTCTAAATCCGCACGCGAGCAATGTTAAGGGCCTTCGGTTGCTGTTGGGCCGTAGAGAGAAAGCGGCGACCCTGGATCTTCACAGGCCAATCGTCAGGAAACCGATTGCCACCCGCCGAGGCCCAGCCAACCACAACCCGCGTAGTCAGCCTCTCGGTCGTGTGCCTCGCCCGACATCTCCCGATGACGTCTTATTGCCGGCACTGCTCGTTGTTCGTTGGCCCGATGCGACGACCCTGTTCGGGCGTGGGGAAACAGTGGATACGTGCGCCTGTTCGTTCGTGCAATGTGAGCCATGTGGGTTTTCGTCATGCCCATCCCCGGATGTTAACAACATGATGTGCGTCACGATGAAGATCCATTGGTTTCTTTGCTGTTGTGTTTGAAGGCCGAGCTCACGGGCTCCGAGGAGTCAACAGTTGTGGGCATTCTTTCCGGTCAACCTTTGATTTCCCAAACTCGAAAGAAGCAAATCTAGAATCCCTCATGTCGCCAACCGCCCGGTCAGAAAAGCTGATCAATCAATCATTGGGTGCGCATGAATGGTAAGAGACAAAAGCAACGGGAGTATGTACACTCTCCGCCGCGTATGATACATATTGTACAAGTCCATGTTCCGAAGAGCTGTCCGTTCGGACGCTTCAATCCAGATACTGTTTGTAAACGCCCATGCATATAGATTGCGCCCGCCACAACGTGAGCTACCCATTCGTCAGCTCTGCGTGCCTTTGCAGCACTAGAGCGGTATGAAGAGGAGAGTGATAAAAACGCCTGCAATGCCGAACCTGCACATCATCTTTCGTTCATTCTTCGTCATGGTCAAGTGGAGCAATGCCCGCGGCTGTTAGGGAATATTGTAGAGCCTCTTGGCGGTCCCAGAAGTACTCTCGCATCCATGCTGCTACCATGTCAAGTGCTGAGATTGCTGAAGTGCTGCTCCAGAGATGGTCATGTCGCGCCCATGGCATATTCTCCCAAATCGTTTCGGGGTATCTTTGTCGAAGTGTTCGGATCAGACTGGGTGGTCCTGTTGCTCGCTTCCGGTAGAGGATCCCTGACTGAGCTAGCCTGAGAATCCCAGACGAAACGCAAAAGATTGCGATCATTTCTGGACTGGACACTTGAGTCGTAAGCAATGTGATAGCGGAGACTGGTAGCTCGCTCGCGGAGAAGGAACCAGGAATTATGAGAATGTCGAACTGCGGTGCATCGCCAAAGGAATTCTGTCCAATCGTCAGTCCGAGGTCTTTCGATTTGGAAATAGCGACGTAGGGAGAGGAAGGGTAACCTTTATCTCCTTGCCAGATTCTCTCAGCAAGCCGAGGAAGCAAAACTATGGGAATCCGGCGCGACCAAGGAAGGCTCGTTGGCCAGGAGTAATGGCTCGTGGTGCTCGCAATGGGTGAACTCCAGATCATCCTCGCCAACCCATCTCTTCGCTTGATACTCCAGGTCCCCGTCCACAAGGAAGCTTTATGGAGGATTGCCATCCAATCGCTGCAAAGGATTGTGCATAATCTCTGCTTGCACTGGCTATCCGAGAGCAACATGCAGCAGAGCTGATTCGCGAGGCGTCTGGTCTGATCCGTCACCCATTGAGGCTCGTGGTCTTCGTGCTAGCTGATACAGTCTAGCTCACCGTCACTGGCATTCGAGCGCCAGAGGTGATTGCGAACGATCCCTCTCCGCTCTCGTTGACATAACGAATATCGAGCTCATCGACTGCTTCGTCTTGAGCTGCAGTCGGCGCATTCAGTCGGCTGAGTCCATTCCGTCCAATCTTTGCCAGAAGGTCGACAACGGCAAGATCCATCATTTGAATCTGATCATTGCCGAAAATCAGCACACCGATCTTCATCGAGGACTTTGATGGCGGCGCATAGTGGATGTTCAAGTCCTCTTCAGATGTTGAGGAGGTTGTGCAAAAGTAGAAGAGGTCCGCCGACGATGGAAACGATGTATATCCTCTTGGTGATGGGGAAGGCATGGGACATATATGTTCAATATTTGAGAGGTATTGTCAGAGATAGAGAGTATAGTGTAAAAGTGTGGTGACCAAGGAGTGACAGTGGTGTGATAGCCTAACCTTGTAGCCTGACGGTGGTTCTTATACCACGACAATGGAGCGGGTTAGAACCTGCATTGACGGTTGGGAACCGGATATGACTCTGGTCCTGACGCATTCACACCAATATAGTCACACGCCTTACTACGTGCTACGTGCTCAAAAATATACGAGTGGCTGCGCGTGCAGATCCAACGGGTAGTGCAGCCCCAGAGCAGGAGTGGGTTTGACCGCGTGCAGTCGGAAACGGAATGGCCGAAGCGACATCTACCGAGCATCATGAATCCTACAACGGCATAAACGGTGCCTATAAATGGTATAGTCAACGCAATCATTCCATGTGTCCTCTTGATTTGATTGCGATGCGTACGAAGAATGCGTCGCTGCGCCGGTAGGAACGTCGGAGACGTGAGAGGCTCACAGGCAACAGCATTTGCTGACGTCTGGTTGGAATAAGCTCCACCGGGACACGGAACGAGTCGCAGGATCCCTGAGCGCTGAACGAGAGTATGGGTCAGCGGAATGCCTCAAATCTGATTAGATGGGGGCTGTGAAAGCTCGCAAGGGCAAAACCGGAACATGTAGCGAGTTGATTTCCCTTGGAGGAAGTAGATTGGAGGCCCCGTAATTCAGGCACGGATTTTGCTGGTCATCTGCCATCTGACGGCACTTTTCCGGACAACGAGCCAAAAGAAACGAGATTGTGCGAGGGTGAGTCAAGAGGTTGCGCTGGAGGGAATTCCGCCTCCGACTTCACCCGCGCACGCGACCCAAGCAAGTCTCCATTTAGCAGGCGCGCTCGACAGGACACCGAGACACCGAAGGGCAGTCACGCTGGGCGACTTCACACTTCGCTGAGAAGATGTAGCGAATGGTGTTGCCTCTCAAGCTTCAACAATCTCGCCTTCGCTTTCGTTTTCGACAAGGCAAGTCCTCCACAAGTCTTCCTTTTGATCATCATCACGAAACATCGCTGGCAGACAAAGTGATTCGAAATGCTTTATTCATTGCCCATAACTCCAATATCTATCCGACTTTGCGAGGCAGGACAAGACCCGCGGCGCATGCATACGACCACCGCTCGCTGAAGAAAACCTGGTATACCGAAGATGCAACCCAACCGAAGACGTGCCATGCGGAGCTAGACGTCCCTAGTCTCACCGTCTGCGGTACCTGACTTGACGGTCTTTCCAGTCTTCTTGATCTTCTCGAGGACGGTGTCGTAGCTGAGTGAATCTTCAGCGACAATCTCGGCGGACTGGGTCTCGAGAGACACGTTGTACGACTTGACGCCTGGAGACATGTGAGCTTTTGGCGGCCACGGCCACGGGAAGTATGCACGCACCATCGAGCTTCTTCAGCACGCGCTCCACGGCGCCGGAGCAGCCGCCGCAGCTCATGGCGACCTCGAACTTGTAGTTGTGTTCAGACATGGCGTGGTTTGCGCGTGGTGTTCGGTGCAGAGTAGAGCGAAGTGGGCTGGCGGGGTAGCTGGTGCTTGCGAGGATGCAGAAGATATGTGGTGTGGATATTGAGGCTAACTTTGGGAAGCGGGCCGCTTTATATGTTCGCGTACAACGTGAATAAGGGTTGCGCGAGTTTCGTAGACGTGTTGCAATCGGCTAGATTGCGCAATAGATTAGGGCTTCGCTGCTGACAATTCGCTTTGTGTGCGGGGAGTTGACACTTGCGGCGATTCACCAGCACGTCCGAAACCGCAAGGTGTCAACAGCCGCCACGAGCACCCAACCTGTGGCGCGAAACTTGCTCACTGTTTTGGCCGCGGATGCTCCACAGGCGCGGCTTACATCGTGCTGGGTACGAGTGCCATGTTTGCAGACGCAAATGCACGCAGACCATGGTCTACCGACTGCGAGTTGTCGCACATAATCATGCAGAGACGAGAATGCTGCTGGTCGAAGAGAGAACCAGGACGATGATGGTGCGCGCGTGCTTGCCCGCAGTGGCTGTAGCTTGCCCCACGCGCCCGGTCCCGCTGCAGACTTTCAGGGCCTCTGCCGACGTCACACTTCCTCTCAGCTTCCTCAGCGCAGCGGTAAACAATCCAGCACCCCGTGTTACGTAGCCCGCGATGGGTTCGTAAGTCAGCACTCCGCTCTGTTTGCACGCCCAGATCTAACCAAGATGCGCAGCAACATTCTCTTTCTGCCCTTCCGGCGCTCGCACTCTGTCAACCTCTCCGAAGCCATCAAGCAGTACATATCGTCCAAATATGATCAGCACCCGGACATGTTCACCAAGGACCTGGAGGCCATCGAGAAGTTGCGCTCGGTCGCTGTCCACGCCCAGGAGCCCCACGCCAGCAACATACCAAAGCTCCAGACGTACGCCGCCCAGCTCGTGTGGATAAGCGGAAAGTTCCCAATCGACATTGGCGTAGAGTTTCCATGGTATCCCGCCTTGGGATACAACACGAGCCGTCCTATATCTAGGAACAACCTCCGGTTCGAGCTGGCCAACATTGTGTTCAACATCGCCGCCATGTACTCGCAACTAGCCATGTCGTCGAATCGAAGCACGCCGGACGGACTGAAGGCTGCAGCCAACAACTTCTGTCTGGCCGCCGGCACACTCGTCCACCTACGTGATACCGTTCTCCCCGAGCTGCGCACCACTCCGCCAGAAGACATGGACACAATGACGCTGGAGTGCTTGGAAAAGCTGATGCTGGCCCAAGGACAAGAGTGTTTCTGGCAGAAAGCAGTCAAGGATGGCCTCAAGGACGCCACAATAGCGAAGCTCGCGGCTCGAGTATCGGACCTGTACAACGAAGCCAGCGAGGCAGGCATACAGTCAGATGCCATCAGCAGCGAGTGGATACATCACATGTCGGCAAAGCACCACCATTTCGCAGCAGCCGCCCAATTCCGCGCTGCATGCGATTGCTTGGAGAAGCGCAAATACGGAGAAGAGGTGGCGAGGCTACAAGACAGCTTGACATGCGTCAACGAGGCTCTCAAAGAGACACGTTACATCAACAAGATGGTGCTGGGTGATCTGAACGGACTCAAGAACAGGGTAACTGAAGACTTGAAGCGGGCAGAGAAGGACAACGACATGATATACCTACTCCCGGTCCCGCCAAAGGCAGAACTGAAGATTCTTGATCGGGCCAACATGGTGGTTGCTAGAGTGCCGAAGGAGGTCGCTGATTCCAACTCTCTGCTGGGCGACCATGGCGAACTTGGACCCGCGCTCTTTTCCAAACTAGTGCCTTATTCCGTTCATTTGGCAGCCAGCATCTATGCCGACCGACGAGATCGACTTGTGAACAGCAATATTGTCGAGGAGCTAGAGAAGCTGACAGCGGAGCTCCACGATATATTGAGGAGCCTGAACCTGCCCGGCTCGCTCCAGGCGCTTGAGAAGCCACTTGGCATACCCCCTGGCCTTATGGCTCATGCAGAAGAGATCCGGCAACAAGATGGACTGAACCGACTGCACCGCTCAATGAAAGATACCAAAAAGCTGAAAGAGAATGACGTGGCCATATTTCGTGAAGGTTGCAATCTCCTCAGCTCAGAGGCTGCCGAGGACGACGCAGCTCGACTAAAGTATGGAACCGATCGGTGGTCACGGCCAACGGCGCGGCTAGCCGCACCGAAATTGTACGGACAAATCGACGAAATCAATGGCTACTTCAAGGCTGCGGAAGGCAGCGACTCGATCGTTGGGACTAAGTTGACTGAGAATGAAAAGCTTATTGCTCTCCTCAATGGCTCCGACTATGATATCGAAAATTACGTGCCTAGTGGACGGCGGCCGGCCATCACTGGCGACGTGGAGAGAGAGGCTGGCAAGCTCCGGGGCTGTTTCAACGAAGTCAGCCGTCTCGAGAGCCGACGGCGACGAAAAGTGGAAGCGCTGCGTACAAAGGCGAAGCAGGACGACATCAGTACGTACTCTGCTCTTTTATCGATAATGCATGCTTACAGCCATACAGATCCCGAGCTACTGCGCGAAGCCGCTCGCTTAGAGCGGGAGTACCCTATGCAGAACATCGAGGCTGTACAATTTGAGACGCTGTTCGATAAGCGGCTGCAGATGTACGATGTTGACCAGGAGATGGTCAAAGAAGAAGGAAGAGAGCAGCAAGACGCGATACAGAGACTCCAGACCGCCAACGCCACTTTTGTGAACGCGCGGCGAGGTGACCAGTCCACCAAGCAGCGCGAACAGGCCCTGCAGAGCTTGGAAAACGCGTACTACAAGTACAAAGAGATTATTGCTAACCTCGACACCGGACGCAAGTTCTACAACGACCTCTCCAAGATAGTATCGAGGTTTCGGGACGATTGTCGAAGCTTCGTCTACCAACGGAAGCAGGAGGCTTCTCAGGTTGAGGGGTACGGTATGAAGAATCCCATTTGCAGGGCATGCTGACGGTTGCTAGGGACATTGCAAATTCGATGAGCGCGCTCAGCCTGCAGCAAGCGAACTCGAGCTCATTGCAGCAACAACGCCAGGAGGATGCCCAGAACCCACAGTATGGTGCAGCTGCTCACGCCGACGAACCTCTGGCAGCGCCGACGCCTACACGGGCCAGCGTGGGACCTGGCATGTGGACGCCAGAGATGCCCATTCGCTTTGCTGCAGTGCCGACGGCTTCTGGCGGCGCGCGCCCCACAAACGGGCCTGCGCAGGATGGTCGATGGGATCCTACGAAAGGTCTGAAGTTTGGATAAATGTCCGGCAGCACGAGCGGGGGTCTCATGTAGAAGCAAGACAGCCTCGTGCACTGGCACATTTTCCAGCGGCGATTTCCTCTGGGACTTCACTCGACATGCAAACAAGATACCAAGACCTACGGTGCATAACAGCTCACAAATACACTATAAATAAACCAGCGGCTGATGATGTAACCAAGCCGTTGTAATGAAAAAGCCGAACCCAGAGGTCGCGTGTGGGGTTGTGGACCATGATGTAGAAATCTGCCTCGTAGAGAGATGCGCCTTGCACAGCCCCCCGAAGCGGAACGAACCACGGCGGTGGGCCGTGATTTGACGTGAGGGGCGTGATGTAGTCGCTTACGGGGATTCGACGCGCCTGACAATGACATGAGGAGAGCATTTGGATAGTGTTCAAGATTATTGGAGCTGCCGGGCGGTTAGGCATGGCATAATGGTGTGCGAGTGCTGTGGTGGTTCCCACTTGTCGCAATATTACCCGTGGGTGTGATCATGTCGCGCCTGGGAAGCGTCGAGCGAATCGAGGACAAAGTCAAGACCTATATGCTAGTGCTGATGCCGCGAATGTAGGTACCGTTCGACTTTGGACGAGCTGCAGGGAGCCCCTTTCGCCACGCAGAGCGACATTGAAGCGCAAAGACACCGGCGTCGCAGCGCAAAGCTTGTGTCTTGAGCAGTCCCCATCTTTTCATGCAGTCGTGCGCTTGTCCCGATCCTTCGCGCTCTGTCGCCCACGCGGTACTGGTCGTGCTGGCCGCCCGAGCACCAAGCGCGCCGTTCACCGCGGGATCGTCGCGGGCAATCCAGTCGCCCGTCTCCTGTGCGTTTCAGCGGGCAGCGACGCTGCGACGAGGCACCGCCGGGGCGGGTGTTGACGTCGCGGCGTTACTTTTAGCAGCACGCGCTTCTGGATAGCGCCGTGGGCTGTGTTGGGTTGCGTCTCGACGGCCACAGGCCACAGCCACGGCTCAAGCCACGACAGCAGCCCGCCGCCCGGCCAGGAACCACTCAGAGGCCCCGTCGCGCGCCCGCACGGCCCGCAGCTGTGCGAAGAGCGTCGTCGCCGTCGCATCACCCCAGGAATAGACACCCGCGCTCGCTCGCAGCCCACGCACCATGGATCGCGGCCGCTCTCGCTCCCCGTCTCATATAAGGCACCCGTCCGCCAGTCCTGCCGGCCATCCGTTCGGCACGTCTGGGCTCGGCCTCGATCAATCGCTCTCGCCAGACCCGGGCTCCAGCTTCCACCCCGTCACCACCGCGGGGCAGCCCTACGACCAGCAGCAGTACCTGGCCACCACCGCCCAGCCGCCGCAGTTTGCGCACCCCGCCCTCGACCAGAGCTTCCTGCACGCCGCCCAGAGCAGCGCGCAGCCGCACCACGGCACCCCGAGCTTCGCGCCCCAAGGCAACAGCGCCGCGCCCGACCCGCTCAACATCAACAGCAGCAGCAACAGCAGCAGCAACCTCGACTTCAGCCTCTTCCCCGACCCCACCAGCGGCGCGCTCGGCCAGAGCCACGCCATCGACCCCTCCTTCCTCAGCAACTCGCTCGACCCGCAGCTGCTCGACTCGTCGCGCCCCCAGAACCACGCCATCGACCCCTCGAGTCTCATGAACCAGATGGCCACCACGCAGGCGCACTCCCCCACCCCGCCGCACCTGCTGCCCGGCATGAACCAGCGCAGCCCCAGCCCGCACGCCTCGCCCAACATGAACCAGGGCGCCTTCCCCTCGCCGGGCCACTCGCGCCATGCCTCGCTAGACCCCAGCGCCGCCTACGGACAGGCGAACGAGTGGGGCAACATGGCTGCGTTTCGGGGACACCGACGCACGCCCTCGGAGACGTACAGCGATGTCTCGTCGGCGCACGCGTCGCCCTACCTGGGCAACCAGGACAGCTTCGACGACGGCAACCCCTCGCCGCTGCTCAATGCCCAGGACCCCTCGCTTTTCCACGACGTCATGCAGTTTGGCCAGTTCAACCTCAACGACGCGCAGTCACACATCAGCCCCGGCCACAGCCCCCACATCTCCCCGCGACTGATGCCGCAGCAGCAAGCTCTCCCGCAGTTCCAGCCGGGCACCTTTGGCTTGGACCCCAACCTCCAGAACCAATACGCGCAGCAGGGCATGGGCACATATCAGGGACAGGAGCCGTTCCCAACCATCAACCAAGGGGGACCCGGGCCCGAGTTCGGCCAGGCCGACACCATGTCACCCCCAGAGATCAACATCGACTTCGCGCCGCCTTCGCGCCAAGCGAGCTTTGAGCCCCCAAAGCCGGATCTGCAGACTGATGCGCTTAGCCCGCCCGATAGATGTGAGTATTCCGCTTGGCATGCCTCTGCCATTACTGACAGCAAGCAGCACGCAGCCGAAACAGGATACGTGCCAAATCGGACCCCTTTAGCAGTGCGAGCTCCCGCGCCTCGACTCCGGGCCTCGACCCGCTCGAAGCCCAGAGGTCACTCTCGCCGGGTGCCGCAAAAGGCTCCCGCTCCCCCTCACCTGGTTCTACCAAATCTTCCCGTCGTTCCTCTACCTCTAGTGTGCCTCACCGTGACTACATCCTTGACCTCGCCGACCCGTCCCGGCCTTCGGGTGCGCCTGATGGCTCGAATACGAAGCGGACACAGAAACACCCCGCAACCTTCCAATGCACTCTCTGCCCCAAACGCTTCACACGTGCCTACAATCTCCGATCACATCTGCGCACCCACACCGACGAACGACCGTTCGTCTGCAGTGTCTGCGGCAAAGCATTCGCTCGCCAGCACGACCGTAAGCGTCACGAAGGTCTTCATTCTGGAGAGAAGAAGTTCATTTGCCGTGGTAACCTGAAGGATGGCAACAACTGGGGTTGCGGCAGGAGGTTCGCTCGCGCGGATGCTCTCGGCCGACATTTCCGTTCAGAAGCCGGTCGCGTGTGCATACGTCCGCTCCTCGAGGAGGAAGCCCAGGAGAAGGGCCACTGGGACGGCCAAAACCAGCCCATGGACAATTCCAACGGCATGTTTGCCCCCATGCCCCAGCAAGGCTACCCAGGCATGATGGCGCCGCAGCCAGGTTACGAGGCCTTCCCTTCTGTCAGCGGCGGCCTCGAGCCCGGCACCGTCCCGCAGTACGGTCTGCCCGCCGCGCTTCTAGCCCAGTACCCCGCACTCGCGGGCTTGAACTGGAATGAGCTGCCCGCCGGTGCGCCCGACGACGTCGAAGGCGACATCAGCGGGAGGAGCAGCTTCGATGCCAGCAGCGGAGGCGAGATGTTCGATGACGATGGCGAGTCGTATCCCGCGCAGCAGTACGGGTGGGCGAGCGACTACGAGACCAACGCCCGGTAGGGGATTTACGGCCTGTCCCACCTGATCTTCTACCTCCTTGACGTTGTCTGCTCACTACATGTTGCGAATGTATGCACCTCCGACAGCTGACCCGCGATTCGATGTTTTTTCACGGCTGATTTTACGATGTTGGACGACTTGATCTGATTCTGAGCTTTTGAACCCCCGATTTTCCTTCTATACTACTGGATACCACTGTCATTGCTGGTTGGTTCGGCTTTTTATGCGCGCGAAACGGAGAGGAGGTTGGTATACCCGGCCGGCCGATTGACGACGACCTTGACGAATGCGTGGGTGGGCTTGGAGTTTTGCTTTGCGTTGCACAGGGCGCGCTGTGCTGTGTGACATGTTATAGAGATAGAGCGCCATCTAATGCTATGGGTTGCTTACCCGGCCTTGCTGCTTCACGCCTTTCTGCTTCTTCTCATCTTTCAGCGTCTCATGCATGTTCCAGCCTGCGTGCTCCAGCCTGCTTGCTGTAGCGATGAACCCATCGCGACTCGGGACACGCCTAGGGCGCGAGGGATCCAAGCACGGGGCTACGGAAGCGGGCGCGCGTCCCTGCTGCTTCGCCGTGCTCGTTCTTGTCGTGCGTCTTCTGGTGCAAGCGGGAGATGCTGACGATGCGAAGTGGCTCAAGGTGAACGTGGCGGAGGTGGCGCAGTCGGATTGCGTGGCGGGCATTGGGGGCCGGGGCGGATGGCCGAGAGAAGTGGAAGGGGAGGGCGCGGACGGATGTGGGTTTGTTGCGGAGCGTGCTGCGAGGAGTGCGTGGGATCATGTCCATGAGCTTGGAGGAGGATGTGGTTGGGCTTAGTGGGGAGGGATGGGCTAGGTCTTGATGGTGGGTTTCAATGCTGCGACTGCAGTCTGGAGACGGGCTCGCGAGGAGAAGGGGGGATTGAACGTACGTGACCGATGGTTGGAGAGGGCGTAGCTGCTGGGTGGTGGCGTGGGTTGGGTGCGATCAAGGGACGAAGAAAGACACATGTTAGTAGAGGAGTGAGATAGGCAAGGAAAGGGTTGCTGCATGGTGAGTGTTACGAGGGAGGAGAAGGAATAGGTCACGTCGTTGCAATACAAAGGCTTCTGCTCCTCGGGTAATGGCCGTATGGGCGTTCGACGGCGCACTCAGGCTTGTCGACGACTCCCAAATCATGATTGGATCAAGAGACTCGCAATTCCGCATGCACAACTCAACTATCAACGATCTAGTCTTTGCATCGTCTCGTGGGCTGACTATAGTTAGGATCGAGATTACAATGATGTGATTGAACTTTTTCGAAAATCGGAGCCGAGTCTAGTACAACCCGTATTCCTTGACGAATGTTGACGATCTCGTGGATGAGATAATGAAGTCCGCGCCGGCTGCAAGTATTAACTCAGAACGTTGCACAATGACGAGTTCAAACATGACGAGTTCAAACACTCCAAAATACTATAAATTACAGTGCTTCGCAGTGGGACCATGAATTTCGTGAAGGTATCTCCTCATCTGCTTGGTATGGGTGCTTTTGGGAAACTCACCAACGTCCTTAGTACACTGTCCGAATGAAAACGGTCTGATCAAAGCCTAATCGGTCAATTTTAGTCCTGAAGAGACGGTCAAGAAACTAGAGATCTGCACGAGGTGGGCTGCTACAGAGGGTGTGGATAAGGCCATCGAAGATCATGGAGTCGACGTCATTGTAGCTTCTGCTGATAGCTTCTTCGCGGTTGTACCTGCCGGCGCCCGTAAGTTTCCATCAACATCGTACATACCTAGTCACATAAACTCACAAGCATGATATGATACCCGCTAGCTTCCACCCCATTCAGCTATGTGGAGAGCAGTGGCCGTCCTTATGGACTCCAAGTCATAGCCAAAGCGAAAGAGGAGGACAAGATCATTAAGTTCATGAGGATGTGGGAGAAGACAGTTGAACCGCAAAGAGTGCCCACTCTCAGTGTACTATGACAAGCTTTTCGGTATTCGCTAGGGCATGGTACATCTCCTGTGATCAAATTTGACAAACGTCCATGCAAGACTATCCCGAATATACATGTCAGCTGCCAGCTGCCATGCGCTACCATCATCAGTGCAGCCGTTTAATCGTATATGGTTGGCCGAAGTTGTGAAGAATCCAGAACTGCATACTGTCTGGTTCATCTCCAGTCTACCTTTCATCATTGGTTCTAGCATACCAGTACTTCGCATAGAAAATGACTTGAAGACCAAGAGCGCCGATCTTTGATTTAAAGGAGTAAAATACACCGTGGATAGTCAAACTTAGGAAAACTCAGCGTTGTGGTCATGCAGGGCGATCGGATGACCAATGATTTCTCCAAACGCCAAAATATCAAACCGTTATGATACATTGGCATCATAACAAAGGTCATGAAGAGGATATGACATCTTTTTCACAAGATACTGAGAACACCACTGACCTTCACCAACCTGATTGTTCCACACGTTTATTCACATATCCAGGTCCTTGTAAGCCTCATGCTCACTGCGAGTCATTTGCATACAAAGAGTACGGCTCAGATATAGCAGTAGGTTCATAAGCTCGAAGCGAGGCTCAACATGAGTAGCTCACGCAACCCCTGGGACGACCTTCGTCACTCCGTTGAGCAAAATGTGCGCACCATGTCATTTGGTAGCAACGAGAGGCAACAGAAGTATGTTCGTCAACATGTGTTCGAAGTTTTACGGGATTTGCAAAGAGTATGGAAGCTGGACAAACGTGACTCAACCCGTAGTCAGACACAGGTCGAGAGAGTACAGTTACGTGACGCTGTTCTAAGGAGGGATTTTAAGAGGCTGTTTGTATTGGCGATATACACTAACACCCCTCTCAAAATGCTTAACATTCTGCTGCACAGAGGATTCTCTGACGACGACTTGCCTTTCACAAAGCTAGATCGAGGACCGACTCGCGGGCGAGATTCCCAAGTTCACAGACTGGGGTCGCGCGAAGGTTAACGAACTTGAGCCGGGTGGAGACAGCCCCAAGAGCCCACCTAGACTTACCCCTCCGTATCGCCCGCCTGGAGTTGATGAAGATCGCGATGAGCCTGCTTCTAGGCCTCACGATATCTGGACCCTTGGATTTGTCTTTGTCGATATGCTCGTCTGGTTTAATGGTGTCCCTCACTCACATTAGACTTATCGCAAGAACCGCAACAATGGACAGAATAAGGACTATTGGGAGGTGAAAGATGGATCAACTAAGCTTCGTGCTGCGGTCGCATCGAGATTTGCGGATTTGAACACTCAGGGTGGATAGATGAAAATGTGGGTAAACGCGATAGAACAAATGCTTCATATAGACTCAACGAAGCGCGTTGCAATCGACGATGTTCGTGGTAGCCCTAGAACCTAAAGTGCAAGATGGCGGAGCAGGATCAAGCTAGTTATGGTGGCATCGTGCATGGAGCGAGGTGGCACTTGAGTAACTGGTGGTTTCCTTGTAATCTGCCAGAGCTCAAATTTCTAGCGACACTTCACCAATGGTCTTCCCAGCCTCATTAATCTCGTACGCATTCTTTACACCTGCTTCATAAAGCTTCAGATTCTGTGTGTTATGGCATATCACCTCCCCGTTGTCCAGCCGGTCTTTCAGCTGCTCAAGGATCTTCTCCATGACTTTCCGGTTCCACGCCATAGTACGGCTTGGTGCCCATAAGCGCCCGCACGAAGGTAAAGATCTTTACCATAAACCGAGTCCCATAGATCGGCATCTCTTGGTCCTGCAAAATAGAGCAGACTTTGTCGAACGGCGCCAGTACCTCAGCGGTAGGCCCGAGGTAGCCTGAAGTCGGAGTATGCGTGATGAAAATGTGCTTAATCAGAATGTCTAGCCCCAATTCTTGCACGTGTTACAATTTCCTCGCAATGATTGACGGTATGTGTGGTACCTCCAACGTCTTTGGGAAATTTGATCGTCTCTTCTCTGAAGGCCGCCGTTACCACGAGCACCCGCCGCCCGATCTGGTTTGCAACAGTGCCGCACCTCCCCCGCCTTTGATGATAATAAATCCGCGTTCTCGCCTTTCTGGATCTCCAGACGCTCTACTAGTGCCTCACACGCCGTGACCTATGCCAATGGCATACTGGCAGCTTGGCCCCAATCCAAGCTCTTCGGTTTCGATGCTACACCCCGCGAGTCGACGAACTGATATTCCGCATTGCTGCCTTGCCGAATGGGGGAGCCGGCATAGTAGACCTCGCCTCCAGCTCTGGACTTCTTGACAAGTGGGCCGGTGTTTTCAGCGATACCAGCTGTATCGAACCCAAAGATCTGAGGAAGTCCGGGAGCTCGGTCGTAGTAGTCTGAGTAAGCAACGTACACAGCTGCTCAGCCTTTTGTATCCACTGGATTCACCGGACAGGCTTTGATCCGGACGAGGATGTCGTGGCCTTGCGAGATCGGGGGTTTCCCTACTTTGATATTATGGAGGGTATCGATGTCGCCACGCTTCGTGACAGTGATGGCACGGAACGTTGGGGTAGTAGAAGTCACGTTCGAATTATGCAAATTAGAGAAAGCATATATTTTGAAGGAGCTGTATCTTGCGCATCTTCTGGTAATGCTGGTCCCGGATGCCGGTGCAACTCAAGATGACCGACATGCCTGAAACACCTATCCCTGCTTGTTATTGACCGTCTTGTATGCTCCACATCACCAGATAAAGGACTCCAGGAGTACGCAAGTCTGACTGCCCCATTTGGATAAAGCGTAATGAAGTGGCCCAATGATCGGCGCGGCGGTGGGGCAACATAGCATGAGAGACCCAACTAGAGCGCGAGTCAGCTCGTTGGCCGCAAAGCCAAAAGACAGTGCGTGTTACCCGTGCGTAGGCATCCGGGCAGGGCATGTGTAGGTCGATAAGAAAACCCCTACTTCTGGACCGAGTACTACAACCACGAACACCCGCACGCAAAAATTCGTGATTTGGTTGCAGCTCATACTTTCGTGCCATACGTGATCAAAACAATTATCAGGCTCATATTGCCTGTGAATCGCACCAGTCCTTCTTCCAGATCCAGAAATGGCCACCGAAATTACCCTCCAGGTCAGACCAGCGACCCACGATGCCGAACGGAATGACAATGCCGTTATATTGCCAATCCCAAGCATGTTGCGTATAGTGTTTTACAAATTCGACCCGGCCATCGTGGTGGAACTCCCCGCAAATGGTGAAGGGTCCATACGAGTCGAAACCAGAACTTTCTGAGCAGTCGATGTGGCCCTTTGGTTCCGAACGCTTGTCGGATTCCCCAGAAGGTTTAGCAACGATGTTTATGTCATTCATGGGGGGGCCGACAAGAGCAAAGTGTCGATGATTTACCAGTCGTTGATCTGTGTAGTACTGTACAACACGTGAGCAGTCGTATTTGAAATGCTCAGAACTTGATACTTACGCCCATCCAAGTACCTGTCAAGAAACCGGACTCTGTCATCTTTGAGATATGGCATTTCGAGAAAGCTTCGGCACTGTCCCGAAATACCCAAGGAACTTCCATGAAGGATCGAAAGGGTGTTCTTGATGGGACAGGGAATGGGATCCGTCCGAAGAGGCCACTGCCCAAGATGCTATAAAGAAACGGTATGATGCAGGTTGATCCTTGAGCAAGATCGAAGCTGCTGGAGCCCTGACTGACATCCGGCGGCTTTAGACCCCAGCACAGACTAAACATGTACTCTGTGGACATCTTCGCGATCGATTCCTCTATCTCGAAGGGTGTATAAACATCCCCACTCATGCTAGAGACATTCTGCAAGGCAAAATATGCCAGACAGAAACCAACATTGATGAAGCTGGCCATGCTGCTATAGTCGAGCCTCTTGCCGAGTTGCAGATGAGCGGGTAACAGTGAGGTATCCAGCATGTATTTGCAGCTGGGGTGGTGCCAAGCCAACAATTGAGGTAGCCATTCATCGATATCTGGAAAAACAACATCCCGCGAACCGACGGACCTTTCTTTTGCAATCCACACAGGTTCGCATCTTCCGCATGCTCGTCCCACTGCATGCTCAACAGCTCGCTCAACGGCGCAGGCCAAGCGCACAGTGTCAGGGAGGGAGGCGCCCTTTAGAATATCGTACCCTTCCGGCCAGAGTAGCAATTCGGCCCGTGGGTCGTTGAAGTCGTGCGCGAGTGAATACAGGGCGACGTCTCTGAACACGACGCGGTGGTTGCAGGCGTCGTGTAGCTTGCGGCTGACACGCGCCAGTGTGAGAACCGAAGAACAATTCAAAAAGCTAGCAATGCGCTGCAAAAGCTCAACAGGAAGGTCCAGCAAGTACGCCATCATTTGCACATGTGTTTTGATGAATTTTGGTCGGTTAAAGATGATATACTTCGATGCGAAGTCCGATCCTGCACAATCACCGACTGCGCACGTAGATAATGCCCCTAACTTTAGCGTCCCCAGGTTCAGACTAGCGTGAATTATGCCACTATCACGTCACGGGAGCCAGCACCTCAACACACCTCAATGTACCATTTGTCCTACAATCAACGCCATCATAGGCAACGCGCGCTCTTAAATACAGTGTTTTCGTGTCGCACTGACTCCTTTGTCAACATCCCACCCGTTGTTGTACTCTCTTGATCAATATATCTGTGACTGTACAGGCCTGTGGGCAGCCTCAGGGCAGGTGAAGTGTCATCGACCGAGGTAGAAGCCAGCAACGCACGTGAACATTGAGTTTGTACCTCCAACGTATAGCTGAGTCTTGCATCAGCGTCAGTGGTAGGTCACGAAAGGCAAATATCTGAATGCGCCTCACGCGTCTTACTCTGACGTCTTACTTTGATGTCGTACTCGCACACTCCACAGCGAAAAAATCATACATAAAACATGCCACAGTATGTACCGGGCTCCTCATGCTGGCCTGACAAAATGTGTCACGACCTAGGGACATTTACGACTCTGCGCTGCACGGATGCATTACCACAATAGACGGCATGCGGGGTTGTCCTTGACAACAAATTCCTGATGCTCACTTCAAGATGACGAATCAGACGAACGGTCACCAGGAACCGACCAAAGATGTTTATTATGACACCAAGCTGCCGGGTCGTGGCGTCTGGATCTGCACCGAGCCGCGCACTATATCAGGGATTATTGCCCCCGCACTATGGATCTCACTTAACCCTGCGCGCATCAAATTGCCTTCTCACCACGCGACATTACTCCGACCCACAGCTCAGGGCTGAGACCCAGTGCTCTAAATTATGTACTCGGGGCCTACACAGTGCTGATTCGCGCTGCACATTACATACGAGGATGTGGTATTATTCGCTGACATCGCTACCGACTTTATCCCGGAGGAGAACATTCAAGAAGCTTGAACATGAGCGCTCAAGGGTACAGTTCTCGGAACTTCGACTCAGATTCCGGGTGTCTTGTTCCTAAGAATAGCACGCAATCTACTGTATTACATGGACACACAGCGAGGCAAGACCTCGAACTCCACCGCGCCGAAGGTGACTTTAAGCCTATGCGCTCGATTGCAGTCTATAGAGCTCCAGATCTAACGTAAGACGACCAGGCGGGTATTATCAATACGAAGCGGTAGATGAAGCAGGGCTCACAGCTTGTATTCCTGACCAAGATCTCAATTTAGCAGCATCTTGCACCGCTCAATGAGGACACTTTCAGGGCTCAAACTCCACCTACGCCTCACAACGACTTCAATCAAGGCCAACCTCTCATGCCATGATTTCAAATCAACACCTCAACATGAGCAAAGCCAAGTATTGAAAATCGGATCAACACTATCACTTCATCTGATTTCAACTCTACGCTCATATCAGAATCATCTCAACGAGGCCTCGGCTGCAGGCGAGAGACTCATGACAACTGACTTGCAGATGAAGAAGCTCCTTCCAGCAGGCTTCGTCGGTCTAGACTCACAGAGTGGGTAGAAGGTCAAGTATAAGAATCACTCATTGCCGTTTCAACAAGAACCACCAACTTTGAGAGAATTCATTACAAAAGGACAACCATCATCATCATTCAACCCATCAACCACCATGCGCTACACAACGCTCCTCCTTCTCCCCACCATTGCCCTCGCGGCCCCAGCCCCTCTCCCAGTCCCCCAAGACAAGCCCTCCGGCCACGAAGTCGAAATCACAGCCGTCACCTACGGCGGCACCGGCTGTCCCGATAGAACGGTGCAGGGCCTCCTCTCAGACGACAGGACCACCATCACGCTGTCATTCGACCAGTACACGGTGCAGTCCGGCCCCAACATCCCGGCCACCGAGCGCCGCAAATTCTGCCAGCTGCAGCTGAAGCTGAAGTACCCGAGTGGGTTCCAGTATAGGTGAGCAGCAAGAAGATGGAGAAGGGAGAGGAAAAAGACATGGAGGCTAACGGACGACAATAGTGTTTTCGGTGCGGATTACCGCGGGTATGCGAGTCTGGAAAAGGATGTAACCGGCACGGCGCAGAGCACGTACTATTTCTCTGGACAGCAGAACCAGGTATGCGTCCCCACACGTTGTCGTCTTCCACAACCCCAACCAGCAGCGTGCTCGAGTCCTCGCAACCCCTCGTCCCCGGCACTAACACATCTCACCCAGACCGTCATCCCCACGACCTTCAAAGGTCCCATGGAAGGCAACTACCTTAAGCACGACGAAGTCGACGCGGGGTCCACCGTGTGGTCGCCCTGCGGCGAGCAGGGTATGCTCAACATCAAGTCCGAAGTGCGCATCGTGCCGTTCACGGCGAAGGGGCTGAATCTGCTGACGGTGGATACCGTGGATGCCAAGTTTAGCCAGAAGTACTACGTGCAGTGGCAGCGGTGTGACGGTAAGACCGGAGGCGGGTCGGGTGGGATGCCAATTGGACGGCCGCCGGTGGATTTGGGTAGGATCTGAGGATTGGGCTCGAGAGTTTTGAAGTCTAGGGGGTACTTAGTGTAGCATCGTGCAATGGAGTAGGGTTTTATGTATGTGTATTGGCGTTGACGCGTGCTGTTCGGTGAAGCTCTGATTACGGCTTGCGGGTTTGACGATCACCGAGATTTTATCCTTTTCCTCCTCGCGAGCGCCTTTCCACGCTACAACGTTACAGCTTTAGGGCTCATCGGACCCTTTATTGTTTGTATTGATCATGTCCCATGTGCTGATCTCAGGCGCAACGGGAACTGCAGGCGTAGATCTGGAAATCCCGAGGCACTGCTCTCTAGATCGCAGAATCGAGATCCTCTTTAGTGATCGTGTTGATTCATGGTGAAATCACGTTCAAGCGGTACGGGGCCATCTGGAGCCTCCTGGCGCCTTTGCCGATGGCTGAAGAATCGTCCTGATGCTGGATATCGATCCGGTCTTGAGCTCGCACCGATGTTGGGGCCTGAGAGCGTAAACTTACGTGCATGTGAGGTCAGTGATGTGCTGTCGGGGCTTATAGATTATCCGCAGGATGCTGGCCAGATACAACAGGTGCGTGTTGTTCAGAAGCGCGCGTTATCGACAGCGTCGATGAGATCTCGTGTAGCTCTGGAATGTGATCACAGTGAGGGATGCCGCTAGGCCCGGTAGTACGAAGCACGTACGCTAGTGTAGCGTTCCACGTGGTGCAGTATCGTCGCTGACTGGTCCATACCCATACGATCTGGACTTTTCACACGATGAAAATCTTCGTGCGGCACAGCAAAAGTAAGTTTGACACTTTCTCATAGAGGTACGCCTGGTTCAATTGGGGCTCGGCTTCTTGCGATTGCCGTGTGGGCTGAGGTCAGAGACTTCTCGAGGAGACTGGATTGGGTGCCGAGATCTGCCTCGCATACACCGGTTCCAAGTCACCGGATATCTCTGCTCGCGTTGCAGAACGCAAGCGGAAGCGGGGCTTAGCCTTTGTAGGACTAAGACGGTGTTGTTCACTTGGAACGCAAGGTCACTATGGCGGCGATGATTCCTGTTGCCAGCACCAATCAGACATACGAACACATGGTTCTCGCTCGCTTCATATGTGATGTCTTTCCGACAAGTCCCGTTCTGGGCGTTGGCAGTGTCGCTGTTCGGAAATTCGAAGACGCATGAAGGACCGCGAATTCGTCAATGCCGTGGACATCAGGTCGTAGCAAGCGGCCAGGGTAGCCTTGTCCAACATGATGGCTGAATGGGGAACGACTAGACAGATTCCATTGGTTCCAAAAGGCCAGTCAGTGTCAGCCAAAGTCCCTTGCGTGTTGCTATTGCGAGGGGGGCAGGAGACACGGGCGTCCTTTGCCTGACTGTGATGTCCTCGAGGAGAACCCGCAGATGCAGAGACGTGGTGGAATTCGCCAACATAGCATGTTTCCAATAATGCGATGGTGGGGTGACAGGATGCAGCTGCAGTGCACGGTGCAAACGCGCGACGCTGGTCCAGAATGGGGGTTCGGGAGCCGCGCGTAAGCAAGGCAGAGGGTGTGCAATACAAAGCCAATGGTGCTGTGACGCAGGTTGTGCTGGGAAAATTCTCGCTGTCTGAGAAGCTAGATGGGTGGTGCATGTGGACGCCCACGGCGGGCGCCGGTGCCTGCAGGAACCACTGGACCGGGTGCATGGGTCCTGTCCGCGAGGCTCTTCTCGGACCCATGTGTAAACGCAATCCCGTGTGCGCAGGCATGGCGTCGAGGAGCGTGGAGTGCGTGCGGGTGCCAACGGCACGTGTGGCCGCGGTGCACGTAATAGACGGGCATGGCCGCACGAAGTCAAGAGACGCCGAGCTGAACAAGACTCGACAAGCAATCAGCGCGGCAGCAGGCGGTGCAGGCGGCCTTCACCTGCGGCCTCGTTTGCGGCTGGCGTGGGGAGGGCTTGGCGTGGTAGAAACACGTGGGGCGCTTGATTGGCTGCACGAAGTCGCGATGCTCGCGCACTCTCGTTCAATGTCGGTCGCGCCTTCCCAGCGCAGACGTAGCGGCACCCAGCAGCGTCCAGAAGGCGACGCCCCGGCAGCGAAACATGCATCGACGCTCGCTCACGGCCGCGCCCAGCGCTGCTCAACACCCCCCGTGCCCTGTCCCGAGTACCCTCATTCGTCGGCACCACCCAGCTTGATGCCAAGTGCACCTCCTTGGCATGCCACCTTCGCCCGTGTTTAATATATAAGGCGTGAGGTTGAACCCGGCCCTCAGCTCCTTGGCTACAGTCTTCGCACTTCTTGTCCTTCCTTACCTCCTCCAGGGCGCTTGGTACCAAGCTCGGCAAAAGCTTCAACCATGGCCAACAAGACCTCCGGCGGGAACAACGCGTTCCACAACTTCCACAATGACTTCGCCCACATCGAAGACCCCAACGAGCGCCGTCGGCTGGCCCTCGCCGAGATCGACAAGGCCCCGTTCGGCTGGTATCACGTTCGTGCAGTCTTGGTGGCCGGTACGTGACGCTCCGGCACGATGTGAACATGCCTCTGGCATGCTTGCACCATGCCTCGCCCTGCTGTTGCGGACCACGCTGACTCGGTATTCGCGCGTCTAGGCACTGGTTTCTTCACCGACAGCTACGACATCTTCTGTGTCTCGTTGCTCTGTATCATGCTGGGCATCGTCTACAAGCACGACAACAAGGGTGTCTTGTTGACCCCCCAGGATACTGCCATCAAGCTGTCAACCTCGGCCGGTACTGTCATCGGTCAGGTCGGCTTCGGTGCCCTTGCCGACATTGTCGGTCGCAAGAAGATGTACGGTCTCGAGCTGATCCTCATCATTGTCGCTACGCTTGCTCAGGCCCTCACCGGCCCGGGCCCAGGGACTAGCATCGTTGGTTTGATCATCTTCTGGCGTGTACTCATGGGCATTGGTATGCATTCGCGTATCCCCGTCACCCTTGATCCCCAAGCTAATTCCAGTAGGTATTGGCGGAGACTACCCTCTTTCGAGCATCATCACATCCGAGTTCGCTACCACCAAGTGGCGTGGTGCAATGATGGCCGCCGTCTTCTCCATGCAAGGTCTCGGACAGCTTGGCGGGGCCCTCGTCATGCTCTGCTTGACTGCTGGTTTCAAGGACTCTCTTTCCACCGCAGTCAAGACCAAAGCCACCGCAGGCGTTCCTGCGACCACAAACTACCAAAACTGCACTGGAGAATGCGCCGTCTCTGTTGACAAGATGTGGAGAGCTCTTATCGGTATGTCCTGTTTGCAAGCACATGTGACGACCGTGTAATCATGACTGACACGTCACAGGTATTGGCATCGTGCCCGCCGCGATTGCTCTCTACTACCGTCTCACCATCCCTGAGACCCCACGTTACACCTTTGACGTTGCTCGTGACGTCGAGAAGGCTAACGCTGATACGGAGAAGTACCTCTCAGGCAAGTACGGCGAGGGCCACCCCGATGAGATCCAAGCTGTCGCCGCTCGTCGTGCTTCCGTCGAGCAACTTCACGTGCCCAAGGCTTCATGGTCCGACTTCTTCCGCTTCTACGGCAAGATCCGCAACGGCAAGATCCTATTCGGAACTGCAATGTCCTGGCTGTTGCTCGACGTTGCCTTCTATGGGCTCGGTTTGAATGCTTCCACCGTCCTTACGGCTATTGGCTACGGAAGCGGTGCCAACGCCTATCACCAGCTGTACAACCTTGCCGCTGGTAATGCCATCCTAACCTGTGCCGGTGCTATTCCTGGATACTGGCTTGCTGTGGCCACCATCGACACGGTTGGTCGCAAGCCCCTCCAACTGATCGGCTTCAGCTTCCTCACCATCCTCTTCATCGTCTGGGGTTTCGCCTACCACCACCTGTCCAGCCATGCGATGCTTGCCATCTACATCCTCATCCAGCTCTTCTTCAACTGGGGACCCAACACTACCACTTTCATTGTACCCGGCGAGTGCTTCCCTACCCGTTACCGTTCGACCTCGCACGGTATCTCTGCCGGCTCCGGAAAGATTGGATCCATCATTGCCCAGGGTGCCATTGCTCCTCTGCGCACTCGCGGTGCCGTCAAGAGTGGAGACTCTCCATGGCTCAACCACGTCATGCAAATCTTCTCTGCTTTCATGTTCGCCGGTGTCTTCACCACGCTGCTCATCCCCGAGACTAAGCGCAGGACGCTTGAGGACCTTGCTATGGACTGGGACATGGGTGATGAGAGCATTACCGGAGCGCCTGCTGTCAACAAGTCTACGGACGCCAACAGCGACGAGCCCCACGAGCCCAAGACCGTTTAGGATATGGAGCGTCGTGGAGGAAGTGTAGCGCAGGGGTGGGCGCTTTTCAGTCACTTCTGCCAGAGGATATAGCCTTGGCGAAGTCCGTGTATAATTTAATACTCTGCATACCCCGTTAGGCCAGATTGTATGTACCATCGGTCGCTTCAATGTCAATACTACTTCATAACTTGAACTTCGATACTTCCCTCTTCGCGTGTTCTCGACAATATTTCTGAATGCTCACCGCTAACGCAACCTCATGAACTGTGGTCTTGTCTTGGAGATATGAATTGGCTCACATTAGCAGGTCATAGCAGAAAGCTTGCCTCTGTAAGTTTTATCATGCTCTCTCATGCTCACCTTCAGACGCTACACTTTGCTACCCTTCGCGTTCCCACCCGCGCCTTCAGATCTTCGACCCTTTCACAGTCTTTACCACCCAGTCCACCACATCCTGCTGGTACTGCACAAAGTACTTCAGGTGATTCTCCAACGCCAGAGGACTGCTCGACTTGGCGCAATACTGGTCCCCCTCGTTGCAGTAATCCCTCAGCACGCCCGCATACTGATCAATGCCCACCTTCAGCTCTCCGTCGCGCAGTGCCTCAGGCTGGAAGTCCTTGCCCGCGCCCACCGAGTAGGGCTCACTCGGGGACCTTCTAACGGTGCCGAACGTGACCACCGCTGCGACTGCGCACTGTCAGCTTCTTTCCCGCGCAAAGCAGAAATCCATCCCAATAAGAGAATCCGGGGATGGGAGAGTTCTTACCCTTCGTACCCGGCGCCTGGCCTCGATCAAGACCTTTGTTGGCCTCCTGCGTGCACAAATCGAACAACGGCCCCCCGCCTCCCCCAAGCAAATCCTGCGTCACCGTTGCCCCCTGCGAAAAACCCATCAACACGACCTTGCTCGCCGGACACCTTGCAACGTACTCTTTCAGCTGCGTCTGCCCATTCCGCACACCCGTCGCCGCGCTCTCGCACCACGACGTGGCTGAGATGTACCGGTTGGCAGCGGGGTACGAGACGTCTTCGTAGCCGCACTGCGAGTCGCCGCCGAGCGCAGTGCAGACCAGCGACGTGATGTTGCCGAGGCGGCCTGGGTACGGTTCGTCGGTACCGCGAGTGAGGAAGATGTGCGTAGGGGTGCAGGAGGTGGTGCGGTAGGCGGCGATTTCTGGGACGGCGCTGCACTCAATGTCGGGGGAAGGAGAGTCGCAGCGTTGGGCGGTCGCGGATGCCGCGAGGGTGGAGAGAAGGAAGGCGTGGTGGCGCATTGTGGGAGACGGGCGGAATGGTATGGTATGGTATGGTATGGTATGGTATGGTATGGTATGGTATGGAATGGAATGGGATGGGATGGGATGAATAGTGTAGAGGTGTGTGTGTTCTTGCGAGAATCGGGGCCTGCACCAGGTTCACGGCGAGGCTGCGAAGACGAGTGCTGGGCAATTCGAGAAAGGAAGTTAGTATACCTAGCTGCCCACGCGTCTTTGCAAAGAGGCGGGATGTGACCTGAGACAGTAAGGCTGATCACGCTGTCGGTCGACCGTCTGTGTACAGTGGACTCCTAGAGAACGACCACACGATCTAACTCTTTTGTGTCCAGAGTGGGTCGAACTGGCAATGTGTGTCAACGAGTAGGAGTGCCGAGTGCCGAAGATCTGCGCTTGCGCGTGTAATTTGGGGTTTGGCGCTCCACTTTTTCCAAGCGCATGGATTTACTCGTACGGGATGCACTCGCGTCACAATTTCTTGGACGGGCATTGTTGGTACCGACAAGGCATCCTACTATCAAGATAACCTTTGAAACTGTTTCCTATCAATGCAAGACGCAGTAATGCGGCTGATGTCCGAGGGAGCTTCCAGATGTCCATTATTTGTATGCAACTTTTTCTTATCAATACAGCTAGCACGTGAATCCAATTATGTACCAAGAATCGCTCTCTTCAGGGCCAGAGAATATATCTAAGTCTAAACCATCTTGCCCATAGTCTTGCCGCCCATTTCAACGCGAAATCGTATTGTTCATCGGAGCCAGGCTCTCGCTCAGCGGTCTTAACGTAGTTAAATCGCTGTCCAGAATGATGTACTTGACCTTAGGCATGGCACCAGCTTACCATGAATTAGCACATTGAACATGAAGTGAGGGTAAAATGAGGGTAATCACGTTTCCAAACTCCTTTCTCGAGGATAGGGAACATCCAGACACCCTTTCAAACCTTCGCAGCTTGCCACCCTTTGGGCACTTGGTAGCCTTCTTCTTCTAACCCCTTCTTTGGCGTCGTGTTCTTAGGCGTCTTTTAGGCGCAGTCTTCTTCGTTGTTTCTTTTCGGCTTCGTCTTGCGCGTAGGCTTGCTCGTGGTCCTGGTCCTGCTGCCTCCACTCCTCCCACGGAATCGAGTTCGTTGGCCACAGTGGAGTTTCCGGCGCTATACCCCGTTGGGTTAGGTCGCTCAATTTCGCCCCCAGGACAGTTTCACCAGTGGGAACCTTCGAATTATCTTCAATTGGAAAACCGGATGGATGTGGAGTAGGTGTGTAGGTCGAGACTAGTACTTATCTATTAATAGGGTACAAGAGCATGTGCGAGTCCGTAGTTCGATGGTGGAGGTAGTGTAAATTATGATCGAGGGGACAGCAACGTAGGATCAATGACTGCACATGCGCGATGAGAAAATCCGAATGTGTCGCATATATGTCCTTGGAGCTTTTCATACATAATATGCTTGAAAGGATCACACAATGTGCACGCACGGCAGCTGAAATATATCCCATGGTCCCATGCTATACAGGTCTTCCTTCGAGTAAGAGCACATCAGAAAGTCTGGTCGTCTCTGCTGATAGGAACAAGATCTCCCTTGCCCTGTGATTGTGGGTTAGTATAATATAGTCATAAGACCACAGGAGCACAACGTACCTTGAACACCTCCACTATATCCGCCTGTTCACTCAGCATAAATCGGCTGGCCTGATTTCCCACGTCAGCCAGCTTCCTCCATCTCTCCAGACACTCCTTTTGTCTTTTGTCTCCATGGGCCACCTCGGGCTGCTTCCAATGGCCCTCGGAGAAAGAGATCAACGTCGTGATCTTCTTTTTGGGAATGTCATATACTGCAGAGACTACGGTTCCTGTTTCTTCGAGCCAATTGATCTGCCACAGCTCCCCGGGACGGATACATTGGTACGTTGCTCGTTGGTAGTTGATCCTGCCGGCCATAGGGCCACCATGGATGGCGTATACCACGCGGTCATCTGAGAAACACCAAAGCTCGTAGCGCCACTTCTCTGGATTGCCGTTTCTGTCCTGGGCATCGTAGTCGTAGATGAGGTGCGTGTCTTTGATGTCTTTGTCGAATGAAGCGTGCAGTGGCGTGTTGGTGAGAAAGTCGGGAAGATTATCGCCGGGCGCCATGACGGGGGATTTCTTTGATGGGGGGATCAAGGCACGAGTACGGTAAATTTAGTAAATGCTGTCGATGAATTTATCTTATGTCTGTAAGAACGGATGAAGGGAATGGCCAGCGCGGAAGCGGCCGGAGAATATCGATGACGTAACAGCACACGTACATGCACGCCCACCGAGCTAACGCGAGTAGTGACCAAGGCACCAACTAACAATGATGCTCAGGTTTTCTTTGATACCACCCTTGTGTATATGATTTGTCACCCGTAAAGGTAGGGACGATGTTACGAAGACTCACGTTTGCTTCAACACGGGTATGTCGCCAAGAAAGCTACTGCATTTTCCTCTTTTGGCACAGGCAAAGGTATCCATCTGATACTACCTAGCCAAGCAAAGAAAGGTATTGACTCCTCTCGGCGACATATCTGATATATCCTGCGTCTATACATCTAAATTTGCTTTTCGAAAGCAGACTTGGTTCGCGGCTGCGTAGTGATGAAATTTTTGATGCTGTCGCTATCGCAACCAGTTGATGCAAAGCTGGACTTTATAACTATGCTGACTTTTTTGTGATGCCGCTGGCCATGATACCTTCTTAACTCTTGTTGTGCCTCAGATAAGTCGAGTTCAAATTTGTCGAGTTCGGCCAATCTTGAAGCCGGATTCCTCCACATTATAGCACTGTGCGCGTATTTGTTCCTTCATTAGAACTCGTGATCGAAAATCCGAATACGGGACAGCCATTCACGCAGAAGTGGTTCGAAGACGGGTCCATTAGTACAAACAACCTCAATGAAGGTTTCACGCACTGCCTATTGGCTGGCTTACTTAATATCAATAACCGGGCTCTTAGCATTGCTAGCACTGAGAATAGTGGCAGTGTAGCATATTGTGACAATCAAAATATATCGCAAAACTCATGCAACACAAGTGAAGTTACTTCCGGAGAAGAGAGCGATGAAACCCATCTTCTTCCAAGTTACGTTCTTCACAGGCCACAGTAATGGTATGGGATTAGACAGAAGGTAATAGTCTGTTGCAACATTGGTGATGAGAGCGACGAAGATGTTGATGTTGGAGATTATGGGCTGGGCGAGATTACTTGGGTTCGGAGATATTTGCCAATTCTTGGTCAATGGCTGGCAGTCCAGAAGAACTGCAAATATCAATCCAACCCAGGTAACTCCGACTATCATAAAGCCAACGTTGATGCGGGTCTTATAGAAAGACAATCCGTTCTATAAATAGGTCAATACCTGTAGACTAAATGTACGGGATCCTCTACACGTACGGTAAGTCGCATGTAGTGCGCACAGCAGGAGGCTTTCAAGGCCCATAAAATTGCTGCGTATACACACCATCTAGTTGGCCATCCTCTAATCTTTCACATAATGTTGGGTCTGTGGAAAGATTTTCTAGCAAAATGTGGGCGGGAGAGGGTGAGTTGATCCACATCGCGAGGCGAGCAATGCATCTGCAGTAATGGCTTAGACAGTCACCCTGCATTAGCTTCCTCGCTAAGACTTGTCGTGTATAGTAGTTCCTGGATCTGTCAATTTTAAACGTGGTACGCTACGTTGTCATAACGTTTTAGCGGCAAGACACGGGAACTGTTAGTGATTGTTCATCACCTTGCTCACCGCACCCGCACAGAGGACCAAGATGTCCAATTTTCCAAGTTCCTGGCCCTCATCGCGATAGGTGCGTTCATCAACCACAAACATGCTGGTACAGTTCAGCAAAAACTCGAACATCCAGAGCAGGTAGTCTTACTGCTTGAGGAAACGTTCTAGCATGGATAAAGTGGGAAGCAATAAGATCCCAAGCTCTTATACATAACCAAATGCCATATATTTTCAAGCTCTATCGACGTGCCCATATCTGTGGCTGAATCCGAGAGGCCTGGAAAATCTACCATCACGATTACGTCGGTATCATCGCGAGAAGTCCGGCAATGAATACACATAGCCAGACAAAAAACGAATTGTCTTTTAGGGATTGTAATTTATGAGGCTCGGGCTGGATTTAAGCCGAGCCGCTGCTGAATTTTCACAAGATAGTGTCGGAGGCCTTTTGGGATCGCTCCCCATGTTCTGAAACAATTTCCTGCAAATTACAGTCACGCCGCCCTTGCCCAACCCCCTAAAAGATCTTATCGGCTACAGCAGTGATGCTCTTGTGGTTTCTGATACGCAATATTCCAAGCGAGAGGTCGAGATTTGGGGGGGCTGATCTATTATGCCGACACCCGAGTCAAATCAACTTCCTCTGCCTCTCCTTCATCCTCTGTTCTTTGACCGAGGCCATAACGATGGAGAGACCACAACTCTAAGGGTCTTAGAACTGGCAGTTAGAGTACAGCTTTCGCAAAAGCAGCAACGGTCGGAAGTGAGGTATCCTTGTCAGGGCTGACTTGGTACTTGTATGTAGCTTCATGGAAGCGTGGGCCTGCGTGCGCAACCTCATCATCAATTCTACGTTTTGCTCTGTGTCTGCCAAAGGCGAATATTGGGTTCTGGATTGAATTTTAGATAAGGTTTATCAACGAATCGTCTCAGGATGCTCGAAGTACTAAGAGCTAGATTGAGTAGACAAATAGAAAGTAATATTTAAGTGCTCTAGGATAGGCCACAGTGGCACTAATGAGATAAATCCAGAAAGTAGCCCTAATTCGCATATCGGAACAGCGGAGTCTTGCCGCCCATATCCAGTAATGCTTCTATTTTGACAATATTAGTTTTGGGACAGCTTGACTAAAGACCATATGAGCTAATCCCACTTACCTTTACTATATGTCGCTCCGATCTCTTCCCTTGAGATCTGACCCCACTATTTGTTGAGACGGGTGAGGACAAACCCTAAGACTAAGGCGGAGACAATGGCCGCAGGTACAATGCCTGCTGAGAAGCCGTATCCTAGCCAATAGGAATGATCCTCATGCTGGAGAAAGATATTCACACCAATGGCACCGCCAAGGTTTCCGACTGTCAACACGAGTGCCATGCCAACAGCGCGCTTGAAGGACGGTGCGGCATTATTTCCCACCCATGAGATGCAGCCAATGACATATGGATAGAGCACGCCAGTAGTGAAGAAAAGAAAGGAGTAGGTGAGCTAGGGCAAAGCGGGGTGAAGGATGGACAGAAGCCCGATCAACCCGATCGAGGCAATACCGTATGGGATTGCGATGAATATCCATCTACTCTTACGTCTATCCGCCAGAAGCGAGGAGAATATAGTAGACAAGGCACCAAAAAAGTAGATAAGTATTGATCAAATGTGCGTGAGCCGCGCTGTATCCGAGCTGCTTGATGATGTTGGGAGACGAGAACGTGAAGTCGTAGGTGGATATACTGTCGTGTGAACTAGGTCAACATCAATCGCGGTCTTTGTCATATAAAGAGGGACATGTGACTGACCAGTTTCCCCATAACATGACCGCGTACATCGAGGTAGATCTTTCAGTCGAGCAGTGCTGCTTTTAAGTGCTTCCACTCCAATGTCTCCGTCTTCTGCCCGAATTCTCCCGAAACACCCTCAACTTGCTGTGGTGCTTGATCGCTTCTCTCCCCTTGGGGAAGAGGAAATTGAGGCGTCTCGTGCTTTGTAAGAGGTCCAAGGTACTGTCAGACCTACCGAGACAGTCAATATACCTTCCAGGATGAAGATCCAATGCCAGCCACCCAAACCCCCAACGCCATCCATATGCTGAATTACGTAGACCAGCAGTTTGGAGAAGGCACCCGTTAGAGAGGCCGACGAGTATGCAAGGGCGACGCGCGTCTGCGGCTACCTGCGGGAGTACCAAGTTGTAAGGAGATACGACACGGCTAGAAAGAAACCGGCTTCAGTGAGCCCAAGAAGGACCCTTGTAACGAGCAGCTGGTGATAGTCCTGAACAATGCTCTGGAGAGTGACAACTTGCGCCGAAACTATTAGCAAGTGCTTGACAATTAGTTTTGGCGGGACATGCACATACTGTTCCCCAAGCGATAACTAGGAATGCCACTCAGTAGTTGGGGCGTGTGAGTTTGGGCACAATGTTGCTGGGGATTTCGAACAAGGCGAATGGGAAGAATAAGACAATTAACGCCATGTTGTACTGAGCACCGGCTAGGCGGATTTCTTCGTTCATTCCGGCTATTTTGGCGTTCTCAATGTTGGACCGATCTAGGAACGAAAGAACGTAGAGGATTGCGAAGATGGGCATGATGCGCAAAACAATCTTTCGTGTGAGGTGCCTTATTCCTGCTTCGTCGGACGTTTGATGCTACATCAGCTTTCAATGATAGATCGAGGAAATATTAAATAGGGGCACGAGTCTCTGGAACGGCGAGCTCGGACTCAGTACCGTTGCCAACACCACTATACTAATCAATGTGGATGACAACGTTCACGCGCATCTCCTCAGAAGTTATACTGGACATGACAGACAGACGAAAACAAAGATCAGGAGTGAGAGTCCGATAAGGTAGAGATTAGGTAGATGTACAGTTGCTTAGATATGCATGCTTTTCGTCGAACAGTTACGCTGAGATGAGTACTTGGAAGCAACCGAGCTGGAGGCGCCATAAAATTCGTATTTAATGACAATTTGGCATAATCTTTAGGCGTACGGATTTATTAGCCCTATGGGGACCCCACAAAATCACTGATCGACTGGGTCGATTGACGATAGGTCGATGAAGAAAAAAATCAGCAAAATCTAGGATAGTAGGGCCCATCTTCCCGGGAACATTTACCATGTATTCTAGATTCATGTACACGGTGCAAATGTGGGACTCATCACAACTGTAGTAGGCATAAGCTGGTTGAATTGCGGCATTATTGGCCCTAGATTCTTTGTTGCGGTTGAGGATAAACCGCACGTTGGGCAGAAGAAATTGTTAGGCACTGAAGATTGATTGAATACTAGCTATTGTGGTATATATATGTGTGCGTGAAGCGATGTAGTACAGAGCATGGGTAAGCGATGCTGGACCGAGCCATGGTGTTGAGGTTAACAGGGTAAACCGCGACATTCTTGCTTCAATCGCGGAGAAAACATTAGCTTGGCTTCAATCGAGCTAACTCCGAAATAGTAGTTTCAAGAAGAGATTTTTGCGGAATTCAATGTTAAGCTGCAAGGTCACCGGAAAGCAACTACCCGCGCGGGGGCCTAGAATCCGACAACCTAGGCGCGCGCTCTTGTTCCCTTCACGATACGCCCAACGACGTCAGTCTTGGAGATGCATGCATGAGCCAAGCTGGAGTATTCTCTGTAGTAAGCCGTAAACGGAGGAACAATAATGTCTCTAAGTTTTAGCTCTTTTACTTCACTGCCAACTTATTCCATAGCGCTCATAGACTCACTGTTCATGATAAAGCCCGGCTTGAAAAGCTGGTAGCCTCGAAAAACATGTAATTCACTGAAATGACAGATGGTAAGCTCGTCTACCTGTTTGAGCCCCCGCACCTAATGCGTTTTAACCTGCCCCATAGTGCTGTGTATCGAACCTTGACAATAATGTCATATGTATCTTGAATGGTCGGAATGGGCCTTTTGAGCTGATTGGATGCGGGTTGTATCATATTTGAGGATCAGAAATACCGAAAAGACGATGTGTACTAGCATTAAGTTCACTCTCTTCGAACTGTGGTGCTCCTACTAGTGGGTATATGACTTAAAATCAATAGACTGAAGCTTCTAACTCGCAATCTAGCGGCTGTATAACCCAGCTGCGCTCCAAAAAACCCAACGTCTAGGTAGTCTTACCTTTAGTTGTCTTACCTTTGGTAGCTTTGCCCCCCTTCTTAGGATTCTCAACACAGATATCAAACTCCTCAGCAGAACCAGGCTCGCGCTCGGCGGTCTTAACGTAGTTATACTTGCGGTCTAGGATAACGTAATTAAGCTCAGGCATCATACCAGCTAGAGTGAGGGTTAGCATATAGGACACGGCAGGCGACGGATGTGTAGTAAGAGAGGGGAAAAACTTACGCTTCCAGACGCCCGTCTTAAGGATGGGGAACATCCAAGCGCCTGGCCCGACCTTGACTGGAGCGGCCTTCTTGCACTTCTCCTTCTTGGGCTTGGTGGTCTTGGGCTTGGTGGTTTTGGGCTTGGTAGTCTTGGGCTTGGTAGTCTTGGGCTTGGTCGCCTTAGGCCTGCTTCGGGAGCTTCCGCCTCCACGGCCACGGCGGGCTTCGAGGGTGCGGGTCACCAGAGACTGGCCTTTGTGGGCGTGGTCCTCCGGAGCCTCAATGTCGAGATGCTCGTCGTCTTCCTCATCATCCTCATCATCCTCATCATCCTCATCATCCTCATCATCCTCATCATCCTCATCGTCCTCATCATCCTCATCGTCCTCGTCATCCTCCCTATCATCCAAATCTCTCTTCCCCGTCTTGCTCTTAGTCCCCTTGATTCCCTTGACCTTGATCTTCACCTCCTTGTCATGCTTGTACTTGGCCGGGAAGTGAATGCCCTTGCCCTTCTTGCCCTTGAGCTTCATGGCCTTGGCCTGCTTTACAGTGCGCTGGATTTGGGCCGCGGTGAACTTCACGCGGGGGCAAGTCACGCCAGTAGTGAGGGCGCTGGTGTTGTCGCACGTGTCAACCTTGCCCTTCTTGCCAGTCTTGCTGCCGGCAACGGCTTTGCTAGTGGCCCTGTCTTCGAGAAGGGGATTCGCAGCCGCGAGGGCTGCAAGGCCCAAGAACAGAATGTTCTTGATAAGCATAGTGATGATGGGTCCGGCCCCTGATGCGCGATATCGAAAATTGAAGTTTTGAAAAGAGGGAAGTAGGGGAATGAATGAGACAGAATCAACGAGTGTGTATTTTGCAGCGAAAGTAAAAGCGATGCGGAACGAAGGAAAATCGAAAAGAACGTCTCGCGCCGAGGTGACTGGCTGAAGAGCCTCATTCAACGCGCTGCGCCGCTGAAATATACTCACGAAATTGCACACCGGGGTCTTCAGCCCTACCAGCACGGTTTATTTCGGAAGCCCGTCGCGTGATCCACTTAACCAGCTGTCAAAGAAATTCTCCGACAGCCTTCCCGTATTCTGTTGCATCAAACTCATTACAGACTTTGAAGTTTGCAACCCTACGTCCTAAATTAGAAATAAGAGAGGTTCTCCGAGGGCGTGATCATGATAGCGCTGCCAGATGCCCGCATTCGGCCTCATACAGGACTGGTGTCGGGTTTGGGGGCTAGGCCAGGGTCAGCAGGGTGGAGGGCCAACCCACTTTCAATGGTTGTGCAGACGGCCTCCTCCTGCCGAACTTCAGCTCGGAAAACGGACTTGCAAGGCTCGAAACAAAAACTGCGGAAGTCACGTAGGCTGTGAAGCTGGACCTCGGCAGGGTAAAAATTGTCCTGCGGACAGATCAAGCTAGCGTCTATGCTAGCGTACCTTTGGGGGCGAGATAGTGGAGGCCATCTTCGGACATCGGGCATTGCAGCAAGGGTCGAGAACTCCACTTTTCAAACTTGCGGATTTTGAAGGTCGCAGCATGTAGAGCTGGTATTATAAGATAGTGGGTGCGAGTCCTCTCAGGCTGAGCCAAAACAACAGCCCCTTTCCTACCTATCTTCACATTCGTTCCTTCGGTATCGGTCTGCGACTGTATACCTTCCATTCGTTTCTTGCAAACATGCGTTCCTTCTATCAACTTGTGACTTTCGCCTTCCTCCAGATCTTATTGTGGTCCAGCAACGGAGCAGAGGCCGTCAATTTGAAAACCCGCAAAAAGCCAACGAACGCCAGAGTTGGCGTAGAGCTCGATCGAGATCTCTTCAACGCCGGTCCTGAGACTTATGTCGCTGGCGCACCAACTGTCAGGGCAAAGGCGGACGCGAACCGCATCATCTTCATGGCCCACTGGCGGGTCAGCGGCCCGCTCTCAGATGGACAGCTCGTACAGATTGCCATGGACGGCTACCTCGACATGCTCGAAAACGTAGAGCAGTACGGTAGCGCAGTCGGCGCTAAAGCTATCCCCGGCGTGATTACGGTCTTCCACTGGGACCAAGAAATCATCGTCGCCAGCTCGCAGAGTAAAGGTCTTCCGCTCACGTACACACGCAACAACCATATCCTTCCGCTCATCATGGAGTGTATCCAGCCAGCTACCGCAAAGTCCAACGAGGCCAAGTGCGGAGAGATGAGCGCCGCCCAGCTATTCGTGCACCTGTACCCAAATACTCAGATCAATACGAAAAATATTGTGACTGTTACGGTTGAAGGCAACAAGGAGGACATCAAGGGCACTACAATGGCTTGGCTCACCCAGAATGGGATCAAGGAACCATGCAATCCGGCCCACGTAAGTCTCTGTTTATGAACTCCTATGTTTGTGTAACTTACATAATAAACAGGGTGGTGGCTGCGCCGCAATTGTCGGTCCTGGCAAGGTCCTTCGCAGGGAGGTACCGGTAGGCACAGCGCCGGCTCCCTACTCCAAGAATGGCTGGACTCAGAGCGATACTCAACAAATATCCTTCATTCTACCTGATGATCAAGTAGTCCATGCCTAGGTATTTTGAAGGTCAAATAATCTTAGTATTGTGAACCGTGTACATTCAGTAGCATGTACCGTTAGAGTTATATAGATGGGATACGGGTTCTGGAGTAAAATATATCATCTATTTAATAGGCCTATCCCTACCGACTTTGCCCCGGCTACTGTACAAACCCCCAATCTCCCAGGCAACTATAGAATCTCCTTATTACCTAGTACATGCTCGGCGGCACGTTCACCGCCTCCCATCACACGTCGTTCCAGGGCTCCTCGTCCTTCGCCTTAATAATCCTATGCCTCAACCGCGATCCCTCAAAAACCCGCTCAAAGTCCTCATACTTTTCATACCTGACCCAATCCGACGCCAATGTCAGATAGAAGCAGATCTCGACAAGTTTTGGCGTCCTCGTCGCGGCCGTCTCAGTAATCCAAGCACGCAACTTCGCCATTTCGCTCTCTCGATCGTAAGGATATTCGGGAACCCAGTCCTCATCCGTGACCGTCACGACCTCAACATTAGGAGGCATGCTGTCTTCCAATCGTGTCGATTCCTTCGGTTCGTCATCCCAGTCCGGAAGGAGGAGTGTGAAAGGGGCCTTGAATCGCTTGATGTTGGCGAAGCGGTCCAAGCCGTGCAGGGATCCTCGAAGGTTGATGTACCTACGTTCGTAGTCATCCCAGGCGACGGTGTTGATGCAATCGATGGTGAGATCCTCGAGTGTATCCTGGCAAGGTTTTATGGCTTCAACGAATCTGTCGAGGTCGATCGTGTCGGTGTTTAGCGGATCGATGTCAGCTATGTATTTCCACTCCCAGCTTAGCTTCTTGAGGTTCAGGGTTCTTTCCAGGATCTGTGCCAAGAAGTCGACATGGACGAATGACATAGACAGCGAGGTGAGGTGAGACAGATTGGGCGGGCCTGCTGGCCAGGTGAACGGGAACGAGCTGGGGTTTAGACACCAGCCCGAAAGGCTACGTATTGACGGAAGACTGAGAAGTGCCATCACATCCCTCGGGTTGGAGAATTCCGGGTTGCGCCCAGGGTCATTTTCCAATGGGCCAGGGAAAAAGACATCCTGGAGGTGTTGGAAGCGAGAGATACCGTGATTTGATTTATCAAAGGCGGCAGATTGGAAAATTTTGCCGAGGAACTGGCTCTCGCCCGCGGTCTCTGGTGGCTTTCTGCCATATTCGAGACCTTCGAGATCTGCTAAGGCAACTGCGTATCCAACGCGAAAAGTTGTAAGTTTGGGCAGTTTGGACAGCAGTAATGCAACACAGGCGTTCAAATCGCCTACGCGCAATTTCTCTATCCAGAAATCGGCATACGACAGGCCAGAACCCGCGATGAATGAGACGAATTCAGGCAGGCCATCTTCGTCTGTCGGCTGTGGTGGAGAGGCCTTGGGTGTCCGCGACTGATGATTGTAGGGATGTTGGAAAAGCTTCTGAATTTCGGGTTCGCCGTCGCGCAAACGCACAGACTTTATATATATCGCTAGCTCAGGGTTCTGAAAAATGCTTCGACAAAGGTGTATTAGGGGGCGTGGGTTGTCCCGATAGATGCTAAAGTTGATTCGAGAATAGAGCAATGGAGTTGCCGCTGCATGTAACTTTTTGCTTGTGAGGCTCAGGGCGGCAAGGTCACAGGTCGAGACCTGCTCAAGGATGGAGTCTGTGAGTTCTCTGGGACAGGCATGAAAAGACGCCATGTTGTAGAGATCGATAAAGATGCAGTGGAGAGAAGCCGACGATATAATGCGCCAGGTGTTTTGGCGTGGTGCAGGGACGACGTAGTACACTGCTATTTTCAGTGATTGAGGCGGCCCGCGACTATTTTAGTGTACGTGTCAGAAGCTCCGGCACTAACCCCTTCAGGCTCCGAGGTAGTTCCTCCCCGATCGCAACTTATCTAGCCAAGAACCTAGAATTGTAGGGCTGCCCTCTTTATCCGTTAGTAAATGTTAAGATATAAGGATCCCATATGAAATAGACATCTACTTTATACCTAGCCATAGCGCGTACACCTCAAAGCACCCATATCCCCACTAATTACGCCGCGTATATAAGTCACGTGCCTATTCTATAGACAGCGCTCTATAGAGAGTAATGAACGAACTCTTTGTTCGTTAACCGGCGCGCAACATATGAGGTACTCAAGCCCCTGAAGGAATCTTGTGTCTAGCTACCATTTTAGTTCAGACCGTTCTGACCTACGGTATCGATATCGATAAGCCTGCACTGCCTGGTCAGCAGGAGCTTCCAAAAATAGAGACAAGTTTACTTTCCGCTTGCTTTGTGGTGGCAATTTCTTGATACAAATGGCTTTCCTCACTGTTACGTACTATATATGTGCAGTCTTTACTTCGAATATTGTTATTTGCGCCGAGGAAAAAGAGTTCTGGAGATTTACAGCCCTACCCTTCTGCAATACGCCCTTACTAACCAGCAGCATTACAATCTACTCGCAGCCTCTTTCTGACGCCTCCTAGAGTGTGTTGCCGTATCCTCCTCTCTGCGCGTTAATGTCGGCGCTTAGATCAACTACCCTTCTAAAGCGACGCTGGTAGCTTATCGAAAGTGCAGCTAGCCTCCTAATTACCCAATGCGGACCACTCCGTCAAATGTATTCAGACGCGTTTGATTGGGCTTCGGCCATCGCTTGGTTCGCATCGTAATTGGCGTTAGAGTATTGCACATTCTGCTGTTCGTAACCGACGTTGGGATATTGCATACACTGCTGCTGATATGAAGGTTGGGGATCGTAGGACGTTTGCTGTACCCCAGATGATTCCTGATAGTCGTCGGAAGGCAGTGATAATCCGCAACCCATGATCGTGTGCCAGGATGGTTGATCACGCTGAAGATATAGATCGAGCTGAGGGCTGTTAACGGCCGTCGCTCCAGCAACGCGCAAAGAACGAAATGGAGAGAACCAACTCACTGTCTAGCAGTTTGATGCCGTAAAAAGCTCGGAGGGGTTTTCGGCAATGTCGTCTGGAGCATACAAAAGCCAAATGCACTGTTGGTGGGCTTTATAGTAGTAGACTCGCCTCAGCTGGGCGCCACGGCGCTGTGTGGCGTAATGTGTCGTATTGACACTGTCAACACACGACTGCATGCTCTCTCATGAGGCTGAAGTGATAAGAAAACAGCGTTCAGCATGTTGTACGCAAGACTAGAGTATACTCTAAGTTCAATCCAGAGCTTGAGAATTAGAATTTTAATGTGTTGGATCACTCCCCAGCCCAAACTATTCCTCAACACCACTCCAGAAGTAGTATTGTTGTCAGCGAGACGCTTCTATTCGCCCCGAAGGTTTACACCTTATAGGGTTAAGCTCCATAACCTCGTTGCTACTTCTTATTGCTGTGTGGATCATGCGGTAAGTAGGAGCGATATGTGACCAGCGCGAAACGGCAAGCACAAACTATACGCCATGCGGGAGATATTTAGCTCCATACTAGCACCCACATGTATGGTCAGCTAGTAGCTAAACGTGCTAAAATAGTAAGTGCATCACACGCCACCTTCTAGCGCCTTCTCGCAACAATATCATTAGTAAATTAAATGTCTAGACCAGAAATTCAATAGGATCGGAAATTCTATGCAGATTGGGTGCAGAGATTTCTGCACAAAAAAGTAATTAAAGCACCGGGGCTGGCGCTGAGAACTACTGGAAATGGGGTGCTAGCCAGTCGCAGCCGGTAGACTTGACAGGTCTAACGCCGGTGGGGGGTTAAGCTGGCAGACTGGCCTAACTAGTAGGCCGGCGCTTAGTCTCCGTACAAAGCATTCGGCGTTCCTCGCACTCTTCACACTGCTGACTACTATAAGCTATAAGATAAACCCCTGAATGTTTATAGCACAGATATCCTATGTTTGGATACCTAACAAGATCGACGTAGAACAGAGCACACTATGCCATTCATGTCATGCCGGCCCGCCAACTGAACCCCACCGGCGCCAGACCCTGTCTAGTCTACCGGCTGCGACTGGCCAGCACCCCACCTCCATCAGTTCTCAGCTCCAGCCCATGCTACGGACATGCCACTTTTCCCATACACGCCCCACTGCACTTCTTTTTCCTGAGAGGTGGCGACCCTCGACCTAATTCCCCTTAGGTGGCGCGGCAGCGTGTACAAGGCTGGCAGCACTCTTCCTCCTCCACATCCACAAGCAACCGCAACTGCAAGTCAAGACATGGAGCAAGCGACATCAACCAGAGATGTCGGAGAACTAAAACCACTCGACATCAGTAATCTATACCTCCTGTCCCTCGATGGCGGCGGTGTGCGCAGGCTCTCGACATCTTGAAGAGGATTATGGACCGACTAGACCGCGAGCTAAAGAAGGATCCTATATGTGGCTGTAAGTGTTAAATCCAGAAGGGTAGCTAGTCCTAAAGGGTTAGGGCTGGTTCTCGGGCAAGACAACTGTGGGGAAGGAAAGGGGTCTTATTAGTATAGAAGTATGTTATAAAGTATAACAAGTTAATAATATGGCCTAAGTATAATCCAAACGATAGATTGATAAACAGGTTGAACACGAGTATGAGCGCTAATACTCGAGTGCCTATATATTGAGACTGATCAGTTACCTGATCACCGTGATCAAGGTGATCAGGTCGTGCTCAGTGATCAATATGCGAGTTGCTCAGTATAATCAGTGGTCTTGGCGCACTGATCACTCTGATCAAGTCACGTGACCTGCGTCCCACTTGCGACACCGGTCGAGTTGCTAATTATATGTGTGGTCCGGATGACCATTCATCCTGGATCCTAGCATTTAGTAGAGACAAGGGTGTCTTCACGTGTACGCGCCCGTGGCTAGATAAATATCGCGCCTTCCTTAGGTTGGATTTGGATCCTAACAATTAGTGACATAGCCAAGTATTTTAACTAGTTACCTAAGTATTTGTTAGTAATATATAGAGAGTGCGGGCATGGCGTTTTACCTAGTTAGGGTCTAGCTTATTTATGACGCAATGCTACTATAAATCTGCCTATAAGCTAGCTAATTTAATTGCGGAAGAAGTTCGTAGTCAGACCAGCTTAATCTAGTATACGAGCCAGCCAGTTGCCGGTATACACGGATGGATTAATGTGCAAGCTAGAGCTAGATCGATGCCGCTAGGTGCTTCAAACCGTCCACTCTGTCAAGAACCATTAGCAAATGACCCATAAATGGTCGCTAGCAGCATATATCATTCCACCCATGGCAAGCCTAGTCGGTTTCCATAACGCGGCGAATATGGTCACAACCCCGTTCAAATCCTTTAGAATGTCCACTGTAGGTGCAGAATTGGTGAGAAGTAGAATAGAGCAGGGGTATCCAAACGTGACACACAAAGGTTGACAGATTAAGACTCCTAACATCACACTTTGTCGTGCAATAGTGTTGAACAAGAGGCATGTGAAAGGTACAGCGAGGTTTAGAATTAGAAAGATGAGACATAGGGCCTTGAGACATCCAATTATTCCAAAGCGTTGGATCAAACGAGGAAAGTCAACAACCTGCATAATGAAGCTGGCAACCACAGAGGAAATGGTGAGAAGGTTAATTCGAGAGGTATCTGGTCCTGCTCCCCCAGAGAACGATAGAAGGGAGTGACTTATCGCAGTGCCGTCGACTGGTGCCTTTTCGTGCATGAAGGCTGGAACAAACTACTCAAATGCTGATATATGCATCTCTAGCAAAGTATGGATAATAAAATTCAGAAAAGTCTGAATTGAAAAGACCGCCCGATAGTTTGGCACATGGCTCTTGACATGTCTTTTGTTTATATTCTCGGGTGTCAAGTTTTCACGCGGTCGTGTCACATTCCCTTAGAGAAAGGCCTCGCTCTTGGAGTCTACGAGGTTTGTTCTTTTGCAGGGTCGCTCCTCATGATTCTTTTCCAGCAGATTGTCAAAGTCAAAGTCAATGCCGGTCGATTGTCAAGTGTCTCACTGAGGAGAGAAAATGTAACAGCCAGGCTAAAGGCGAACAAGCCACCCGCAACGAGATTAGGTAGCACAAACGGATGTTGTTGTAAGAATAACGTGTTTACAAGCGAGCTGCGAATACAAGCGAGCTTCGAACCCCACCAAGTCTCTAAGCCTTTTGCAGTATATAAAATTACAACGCATTAATATTCTATAGATATAATAGCTATCCTGAATCAAGTAGTATCTATAGAGGCCTTCTTACACGTACGTAAGTTGTGCCCAGGCTCCCTACAGCGCGTGCAGCGCGGAGAAGCCTTCCGGCTCATACCTAACTATGCCTTACCTTGCTGCATTTCTCCCTCTAGTTGCTGCTCAATAGCCTTTTAAGCAATAATATCCTCTCCCTCTACTTTTAATGAAGTACCTCACTTTTAGATCCACTTCTTTTTACGCTATTTACGCATTATGGCTACCTTATTTACCCTTTATAGAGTAGCTATCTCCTTATGTATAAGTACTATTAAATGCGCTATTCTCTTAGTGCCTCTTATAAGCCAATTAAGTGACTAGATAACTAAGGTAGGAGAGGATCCCTAATACCTTTAAATCCGCTTATAAACTAGATTTAACTAAGCGCCTAGCTCGCACGCGTTACTTAGTATTATAGACTCCTATAGGGTCTCTAGTAGGGCTGCTGGCGACGGTATATAAAGCTTAATATTAAGCTTTATAAGCACTACCTCTAGATTGTGTAGAACTAGCCTAGAGCCTTAAAAGCTTACATAGATGTTCTCCTTTATAATTAACTAGTTATAGGCGGCGCGGAAGGCTAGTAGTAACTTAAGCTTAGTAATATAGTTAATATAGTTACATATTAGGCCCTTAACCTAGCGCCCATATGCCCACTTTAATGGCGAGAAATAGCCCACGTTAAGTGGTTGTAGGAGGTATGACGAATGTAGTAGCATATAGAGAGTATAGATCTTATTCTCCTTATAGATCTCCTAGAATTCAAGTAAGGTGTGGCTCTTATAGCTATTAAGTATTAGTAGCTAACCTACGCCTACTCTACACTCTACTATATGCTTAATAAAGTGCTATAGCCAGGCAACACCAAGCTCATTCGTAGTCTAGCTATTATCACTAAGACCAATAGCCTAGTCACCTAGTATATTATCACCCTTATACTAGGCAGAGAGGTGGTACTTGCCAGCGAAGATAATAAAGGGCAGGATTACCTACCTAGCAGCGTTAATTCTATAGATTATTATTACCCACTCATAATTGCCTGGCTAGATTGCTTTTGGCCGACCACGCCTCTCTAAGCCTATAACGACTAGCTAGGACGATATCTTGCCTATTAGAAAGCCAGTCTCGTTAAAGCTAAAGGTGTCCTTATTATAGATACCGTAGGTGGCCTTTATACATACTATTAGCTCAAACCAGGCCTGTATAACCGTCGGGTCCTCACAGAGGGCTCGCTGTCAATCATAGGCTCAATTAAATTGCGTTGTGAGACTGTCTGTTCGCTTGACAAGGTTTCTAGGCCACTACTGGCCAACGTGGCCTGCGTGACGCTCAGCGAGCAGCTTATTCGCCATATCTTATACAGCACCTAGAGTAGGCGCAAAGCCTCACGAATCTAGGTTAAGTATATGCTTAATAATAACCTCCTCTTCTAGCTTAGTAAGCTTCTTTAATTTAGGCTCACAATCGCGTCGCGCAATAGTTCCAGCGCGTTGGCTACGAAGCGTGCTTTCAGGAACGTTAAATGTTGCTGCAGCACGATTAACGCTCTGGATCTAATTCTGATTGATAGCTAAGATAGCTAGGGAGATATCTGCTTCATTATAGGGCAATTGAATAAGTGTTGGTTGAGCCATTATGGTTGATAGGTGACGCGTCGGAGAAAGTTGGTGGGGTTCGCAGCTCGCTTGTATTCGCAGCTCGCTTGTAAACACGTTACGCTGCTTCCGAAGACGGAAGTATAGTATTCTGTGAGATGGACGAGCGCTCCCCCGAGTGTAGGGCCCAAGATTGCACCAGCCGTCCAGAGTAGAGGGAGAAGGCTGAAGGCTCTTGGCTGTAAGCGGTCTTGAGGAACGATCTCTACAATGAGCGTCCTTGTAACACCAATGCAGCCGCTGGCCATTCCTGCCATCCCAACCCGCTCTGCAAGGAGAACAATATCCATTCTCTCTGCATGCCGCCACATTCGTCGCACCTCCTGTAGCCACTTGACGTTGGCTGCTTCTCGCCGTTGAAGCGCGCATATAGCCGCCAGATCGAGGGCCTGATTCGCGATCACATCAACCATGTCACCAAGCTAGAGTTCCTACCAGCCTTCTACGCAGCCTACATGTAGTCTGATATAAAGGAGACTATCTGCGCAAGCTTTCACGGCACTGGTCTAGTACCGCATGATCCTGATAGGGTGATAGTGAAGCTTGATGTGAAGCTTCGTACGCTAACGCCGCCTGCATCAGAGAGTACCCTCTACGAAGCTAAACCACTAGGCAACGCGCGTGAGCTAGAGGCTCAATCGACATTAATATGCGATAGAATATAGAGGCATAGACGCTTATTTATCTGCTTCTATTATTTTAGCGCTTAATCAGCTTAAAAAGGGTGCTGAAATAATGTCGTGTTCAGCTAACTTACGCTAATGCGTGAACGGATCGTAAGGCTTGAGAAGGCAAATGAAGCTGTTATATCGCGTAAAGGTCGCAAGAAGAAGCGGATCCAGCAGCAAGGCAACCTAAAAAGGCAGAGGCAGAGGAAACTATCGCTCAAAAGGAGGTTGAGCAGCAGCTTAGGGGAGAACGCGTCAAGGTAAAGCGTGATTAGGTACCAGTCGGCAGGCTTCCGTGCGCTGTAGGCGCTGTAAAGAGACTGGTCAGAATTCACGAACATGTAAGAAAGGTAAGTTAACGTTACTAGAGATGCAGCTCAATCTAGCATAGTAATTATATTCTATTTTCTTATTGTGTTGTTAAGATATATTACTGAGGAGTCAAAGTCTGATGGGGTGGCAAGCTCGCGTGCCAGGTACGTTAGAGCTCACAAGATTAAATTCGAAACTTGTTTGATTATAGGCTATTGACTTTTTATACTTAATGAGCGCTGGACCTTTATCCTACTGGATATACTTTTAGACCTTGAATTGTCCATGGAGACTCATTCCACGAGGTTTTCCAACCAGAGTTCCAGCTTCACCGTCGGGTTAGACCTAGAAATACCACTAAAAGGGAACCGTAGCTGACCCGAAGATTAGTAAGGAGATATCAGACAGAACAAACCTAGCTTACCTGGCCGAAGCACCCAGTGTCTCATGCCCGTTCGCTAGAGTACACAGCCAGAGGTAAATCCAGAATCCGCAAGACCATCCAATGATTCGTCCAAACTTTTCCCAATTTGTCCAGTTGTCCACATTGAAATAAAGTTGTCCAATGGGGACAAGAATGAATACTAGGGCGATGACTGTGGCGATCGATGATGACATTCGCAATAACCTCTTCTCGCTGAAATACTTCACGTCCGGAAACTTCCTCTTGTCCAGCCTTGAAGTTATCTAGGGCAGTTAGCAAGAACAATCAATATCCTTTTTTTTTTTTTTGGGGGGGCGCACCATCCAGCTCGGAAAGGGTAACGACGACACTACCTTGTCGATATAGATTGTTAATCTTATCCTTCGCTTGGGATAAAGTGTAATGACCTCATCCTCCCGAAGGGCCCAATCAAGGTTTGCCATTTTTCGATTCGTGAACGCGAAGTTTAGTAGATTATGGTACTCGTGTGAAGATGGCTTCATGTACCGAAGTGACTGGCTGCGGTTGCTTAGAAGTGTAGCATACTATTCAAGTTCTTTTCGGATATTGTTGACGATGATGTCATGCTCGTATTTGAGAGCGTCACTGCGTGGATATTCGTCAATACTTCCACACATGCCCTTTAATTCGTCCTTAAGTTAGGCAAGTCTATTCTGCGAATTAAGGATGTAGTATGTATATAACCAATCGTAACGCCGAAACATCTATAACACACTATCGCTTACTAGGATGGCTACAACCTTACCCGAAACGCCTTTAAACTCGGCAACTTAATTTGTTAGCAGCACACCAGAAGATGTTCCCACTCATAACCTACCATTAATGTGATCTCTTGCCTCCTTAGTTTTAAGGAAATCCTTATAATCTCCATCAATACGTCTTCAGATAGAGGGATTTCTAGTAAATGGATTATCCCTTAATTTGTTCTTCAAGGACTTCGAACTTTTTTCATGGGCTGTAATTGGCATAGGACCATTCTCAAGATCTAGACCTATGCCCCAATAGTTCTGTATGTTGGCACTCATAATAGAATAGGTTGCAAATTTTCGATAGGATGTGCAAGAGATTCTCGTTAAGGGGTAAGTGAGTATAACATTTTATGGCTTGCGCTTTTGGACGTTAATGCATAACCTATTAGCTCATACTAGAGAATTAATTCAAATCACGCACTTAGATCAAATCATATAATCCAATTAAGTTATGCACTTGGCTTAAGTCATGCCATCAGCTAAGATTATTCCACTATTAATGGTACCTAACTATAACCACAATAACGCGTGCGGTTTCCGTTTCCTATATATTTAAATAGACTTTTTTCTTTAATTTAAGGGTGTCGACCGTGCTTAGTCCATTAGGTATTAAAATGATCTCATTATAGAGTTCGATCTATTCATCACTCAAGCCACCTTGGTCACATCTAGTGTTTATCGTGGTCCTTTCTTCGCAATTACCACTAAGTCTCGCCGACTAAAAGGCATAAAGTCGCCGACTACTAAAACCAGAAACTATGAAGATACATCTATTATCGGCCTGGATCACGCTACTATTCAGGGTCTTTAATTTGATTACAATACCATACTAGCGTACTCAGGAATATGACTATCACTCTAAACATAAAATAGAGGTTATGTCCTTAATAGAATTCCTTGAGTAATAAACTAAATCTCACATAGAGAACAGCGCAATGCTTAGGCCACAGTAAGGAGGTAGCAGTCACGGTCTATCATATTAATTCAATATATTGGACGCCATAAGCATAGAGAAAGGTTCCATCCGCACGCACAAAGATAGAATAAATAGGTCTTATACATGAATATATAAACTCAAAGGCTCAAGTGCCTGGGAATACTACATCCTAGGGTCCATTTTAGACGGTAGTAGAGTCCTCCCATCTACCTAGTAGAGTCCCCACGTAACGTCCTCTTGCTTAACGTTGCCATTACACGACATATACCCCTTCACTCCCACCTTTCCCCCACCTCCATACTTCTCGATGACGGAGTTAATAATATCAATAATATCCTGCCCGCCCACCTTAAAATTAACATTCCCATTCGTCTTGCTCGCCTCAACGCCAAAGCTACACCCTCCTAATTTGGCAATCTCGCGCTACTTGTGCCCGATGTCCTACGTGGTCCACTCAGTCATTGAGTCGCCCTGGATGTTCTTGATAATCTGGCAGCAGTCGTCGACGCTGGGCGACGCGTCACTGGTCTGGTCCTCGAAGTCTAAGTCGCCGCAGTCGTTCTTGCCTGGCACGTCATTACACGGGTAGAGTTTATTGCCCATGTCCTGTGCGCCCCAGGCTTGAAAGGCGCGCTCAGGGGAGCAGACAGAGAGGCGGACCATTCCCAGGGTGGTTACATTAACGTTAAGAAGGGCGTCAAACGCACCTAAAAGGTTCTGAATTAGTCTCTAGCGCTAAAGAGGATGGTAGAACTGCATATACCATCACCGTCAACATTTAAGGCTGCCCCACCGTTTCTGCCGCCGTTCTGGTTATACGTGTTGACGGAGCCCTTCACAAGGTCCTCTAGTTTAATGCCACCACACTGTTCGCCATTAAGCTCTTCAACACCCAGGGGCGCGGTGAACTTCTTATCCCAGCAGGTTGTCTGGCAGGGCCCGTGATCGCCGGTAATTTCACATTTACATTCTGTAGATTTGCCGTCTACGCGGCCTAGGTAGTACATCTTGCCATCAATACAGACGCCCGTTACATCCACCATCTCTGCATCAATATATTTTTCAAGCTTCTCCTTGGCCTCGTCGCATCCATAGCCTGAGTCGATAACGAAAGCGTAAGCGTTTGAGTAAGACCTATAATAAAACTTTATCAGCAAAGATGCGAAAGGGAAAGCAGACTTAGGCATGAGCATTAAATAGGGTGGCCTCTCTAGGGTAAGTACGTACCACAAGGCAGGGATACCAAATCCAAAGACCGTCTTCAACACATTAGTTCGGAGATCTAATTCAGCTATTTCATTCACTATAAGATCCTACTTATTATTTAGAACCACCAGCTTGCCTCCAGACATCATGTCACCAAGACGCGTGATACTTTTGTCTAAGCCATCAAAGATGTCTCTAAGGGATACTAACGTAACGTTGGCCTATAAGTTAATAACGTGGCACATATAGGCCGTGAACGTCTTTTGCTTTTCTAGTGTCCACGGTCCTTCCTTGTCTTGGAGAGGTAAAAGATCCTTAGTAATTATTCCACACATAGATAGTGTATTCTTCACCACCTCCTTAAGATCATCATGTGAGCTCCCTACAACCAGCTTCGTGTCCTTAATTGCCCTCTAGATAAAGGTGCCCCAAGCCGAAACGGTTCCAAGAGTAATGAGGTCAATCATAAAGTCAATCCACATGGTATTAGGCGCAGGAGGTACTGGCGCAAATTTGTCTTTAAAGTTGTTAAGCATGGTGTTCAATGTCGACGCCGCTTTGAAAAGCGTGTCCTGGTAGTCTTTGTGCAGCTAATGAATGAATACCATGGAGTTCCAGATTAACGTGCCTACGGCTCTAGAATCCTCCACATTAAAGCCCTTATCGCAGTCCTTGGCTTGCTCACAGTTAGAGGTCAATAGTATTTCGCCACAGTCTGCGTTCGTGCCTACGTGGATCGTCAATCCTACGGACACCATAAAGGTCACAGCTGGTTTCCGCTTACTATCGGTATCCTTCCAGATCCAAATAATGTTGCCCCAGGCACTATCAGCATTAAGTTTCTACCACTTCTCCACAGCAGTGAAATCCAGAGGATTCATAATCACCTCACTCTCATAATGGAAGCTGGTCCAGTTACCATTTCGCGAGTAATCTGTCTTAGGATCTGACCCACTGGCTACAAGTAGCTTAAATTGGTCCCAGCTTTTCCCTGGTGCGGGAACGTCGTGGTACTCCTATAGATCACTTGCCTAGTCATTAAGTTAGTGAAACTATACGCCTTGTTTTACGTTCAAAACAACAACTTGGCTGTAATGAAGAGGTTTTATAACTACGTACCCAATCGGTAGTACCTCCCATACCCTAGGCTTTGGCAAGAGACGAACGGGTCTTCTTAGTCTTGTCACTTATGTAAGAATCCAGAGAGGTTGCATTGGGCGAAGTCCATTAACTGCTACCGTTCGCGTTATGTAGCAGATAAGCGTCAATATTAATGATTAGATCGAGGAAAGGCGCAAGATAAGAGTTCTGGAAGGCAAAAATAATTAGTAAATTAGCAGTAGGCGCATGTCTCGTTACGCGGAAAGATCAAATTAAACTCTAGTACACCTAACAAGGCTCTTACCATCTTTGCGCATGCTATAATGAAGACTAGGAAATATAGCGTTAAGGACGTGCCAAGCGCAATAGGCGCAGGCATGTGGTGGGCCATATTAGGCGGTGACCGAAGGTAGCCACGTATTCTAACTTCTTAAAATAGTATATATTATAGAACCTGTCCTAGTACACTTTAAAGACGGAGAACTATTAAGAATTAAGATAGATACTAGTGACTTAGCACTTAGCACCTATATAAAGTAAGAAAGAAATGGTAAATGGTATATAATTATCTACTACTTAACATACCCCATAGGCGAGCGGCGCACACGGGCGAGCGGCGCACTTTTACCAAGACCCTACCAAAATACCTTCTCTATACTAATGCCAGCCCAATAACCCCAATTTAACGCGTCTAAGGAAACTTAGATACAGCCTACAATTTAAGCTCTTAAATAAGACGCGAATCTATTAGTTCAACATGCTGTAGCCATATATAGGACCTCTAAAACCACACTACGCTAGTGACGCGCCGGACGACCTTTACGCGTTAATATTATACCTAACTCGCGGAAGCTGGACCAGAATAAGGAATAGGTGATTGTTAAGTATATACTTAAGCTAGATGTGTGAGGATTTCCCCCTCAGCTCGCTACTATGGCTAATATGGCTAATTCTCTACGCGCTAAGCGTAATCTAGCACTAGTTGGTATAAACTAGCCTAGTACGTTTGTAAAGCGTAATAATGAGCTCACAATAAAGTTTAATCATAAGTATAACTATAAAAGAGCTCTCTATAAGGATTCTGGTTTAATCTAGGGCTGGTTTAATCTAGTAGCTAATATCAAAGCTAAGTATGGCATCCAGGATAACGACTTATACAACTTTAATGAGACAGGCTTTATAATAGGCTAGATATCCACCTAATTAGTTATTACAACTTCAGAGAGACGAGGAAGGCCTAAATTAGTCTAACTAGGCAATTAGGAGTGGATAATACTTATCTAGGGCATTAATACTAAAGGATAGGCTATCCCGCCCTTTATTATCTTTAAGGCATGCCAACATCTATTAAGCTAGTATAAACTAGGTGATCTACCCTATAATTAGGTTATCGTGGTCTCTAAGAATGGCTGGACAACTAATAAGCTTAGTCTTAAGTGGCTAAGGCACTTTAATGAGCATATAAAGAAGAAGGTAGTTAGTAGCTACTAATTACTTATTATTAATAGTCATAAGAGCCATAACTCGCTTGAATTCTAGCAATACTATAAGGATAAAAGGATTATTACTCTCTATATACCTCTATATTCGTTACACCTCCTATAGCCACTTAATGTTGGGTATTTTAGGCCGCTAAAGAAGGTGTATGGGCACTAAGCTAAAGAGCTTATAAGGAACCACATTATACATATTATAAAATTTAAGTTCCTATATTACTTTAAGCGCGCCTTTAATATGGCAATTACTCCTAGTAATATCTAAGGAGGGTTCTAAGGCGCTAGATTAGTCCCATTTGCGCCAGATTGGGTTATATTATGCCTTAATATGAAGGTATAGACTCCATCACCATCACTACCTAGTAATAGTCCCTAGTAGTCGCAAACCCCTAGTAATGCCCTAGAATTGGGGTCGTAGTTAATACTTATAAAGTTAAAGATCTAGATGCACCTAAATAGCTTACTAATATCTATAGTTAAGGCATTTAAAAAGGTCTTAAAGGGGGCGGTAATTATTGCGTATAAGCTGGTATTAGCATAATAGGAGATAGCTAAGCTTAAGGTAGTAAATAAGGCTGCCACACAACGTAAATTACACAAAAAAAAGTAGATATAGGTAGAAGAAGTACTTATAACTAAAGAAGGCTAGCGGCTGGCTACTCTATAGGAGTTTAGGGCGCGTAGTGATAGAAAGAAGGCAAAGAAGTAGGTATACGCTAAGGTAGGCAAACCATCTTAAAGGTGCTATAGATGATACTAAACTACTAGGTATAATATGCGAACGTGTAAGAAGGCTATAGAAGTGGACTCTAAGTAGTATTTTATATTATTTCATACTAAATAGGGCTAGACTGTGCCATTTTGTGTCATAATGGGTGTAGTTTTAGTGGGGTCTTAATAAAAGTGCGCCGCTCGCCCGTGTATGCCACTCGCCTATAGGGTACGTTATAAGAATTCTTCTTATAAATATTACTACTCTAATAGTAAAGACTATAATACACCTAAAATAATAAAATGGAGTTCTCCTAGAACCTAGGGGGAAGATTATCTATAGCTAACCATATGGAAGTACTAAGTTTAGTAGGACTAGCCAGCTAAGTAGGCTAGACTAG